CTTCAGCACGCTGGAGTCTAAAACTGGCTCAATTTTTACTAATGAATCATATCAAACGAACACTGGCGTAAGGAGCTCCGCCTGCCGGTACTCGACGGTGACAACATGCGCGGCTTGTCGGCGCTGATGATCCTTGAACAGCTTACGGTGCGGGCGCTGCAAGGCTACGAGGTGGCACTTGGGCTGAGGCACACATCGACACTGGATATGGTCAATAATACACATCAAGAGCGACCGCGGATGTTGCTCTGAATGCTTCAGCCATTGATCAACACACGTGGTTCGCTTGCGAATGCGGGCGAAGCGCATAGAACTCCAGTGCTGCCTTAGATAGGGGGCTCTTGTGGTCGGACAGGGCCTTGCAATTCTCCTGCTTCGAGACCGTGCGACCCGTATTGTCTGATGCTCTCTTATTAGCCTTGAACGCCAGCCAAGTTCAGTGGCTTGGTGCTCTGATTCTCCCTCGTTAGGCGACATTCCATGCTCATGCCACCGACCTAGCATCTTCAGGTCTTCAGGTTGTCCGCCGAGTCCAGGTATCTTTTTTTACTCATGCGAAATCCTTGATTTGGAGAAGCAAACGAACTTCAAGCCAAGAATTTTGTGACCTTCACGTATGTACTTAGCTTCTGTCCTGATTATTATAATCTCAGCATATGAACGGGAAGCTAACAGCACCGAAGCAAAGGCACGTCCCTTCTCTGCTGACCTGCCTTTCTACCCAGATTCTCTACTCTTTTCCCTCTTTTTTTGTGGCTTATTGGCTAACTGCATTCGGGCATGCCATACATCGTAGTTGAAACTGTGTATATCCTTGAGATGTATGATATAATAAACAACATCCAAGTCAAGGGATGATGGCCACGTGCTTTGGATGGCACATCCTCTGCATTCCACGCCTGGAGTCTTCATCCCTTGAGGCACAGCGTTCCAATTTCCCACATTCCAGTCATGGGTGTCGACGCCCTTGTGCAAACAGCACCCGCAAAACTCGCCTTCTCCACCATGTTTCGGGCTGCGACCAGGCGGATGAGCAATAGACAACGAAACGCGAAAGATGTGGCCCTTATGGCTAATCATTGTGATTGCGGTGGTGGGCGCGGCAGTCCTGACCTGTACAGGGATCTTGCTTGCTATCACCCTGGAGCGACGCCGACATCGCCACATCATGAGAGCGCATGGATTGACGCGGGGTCTCAGCAAATATCACCGCCCGAAGCTCAGTGCCTGCGAACACAACTACTCTCACGTTACACATCCGACCACCCCCTTAAGACGAAGTCTGCAGCTTCCCTTCGGAGTCATATCTATCGGGGCTGAAAGTGCGAATGAAGATGAAGAGAAGCAACTCAACTCTGTGGCCGGGTTCGTCGACGACTATATCGAAGTGCTGCGGCCCAGAAGCAAAAGGAGCATACGACGACCTTTCACCGGGCACCCGCTCTATATTCCAAAGACGCGCCTACAGGGAAAGCTTAGGAAGGCTGTACCGTTGGACCGGATTCAAAAGTCTCCTCTCTCAGCAATCACCGAGTTTAGCGATCCTTCGACAGGTGTATCGCCCGTCGCGCCTGAGTTTCCAGCGGAACCCATGGCAATGGCCACTCATGAAAAGGCGGTGCTGGAACCAGAAGATGATACTTCTACTCAATGGCCGTTGAGGATTGCAAGTACCAGAGCCTCTGATACCATTCCCACCGAAATCATGTCGATAGCGGTACGGGAAAGTGTCCTCATGAGGAAAGGGGGCGCAAAACACGGTCAAGCAGCAGCTCCGCAGTTGGCAGTAGTTCCTCGCTCGGTCAGCGCAGCGAGCATGGCTTCGATGGCACCGGATGAGCCCCTGCCACCGTTACCGACAATACAGGTTCCAAGACATCTCAAGCCAAGATCCTCGAATGCCAGTTTGGAAACAGTTGGCAGCTCGGTCTTGGGGGCATTCATGAGTTCGCCTGCGAACAATGGTACAGAACCTAGCACTTCGATGCTCGAATTGAACCGACAGGCCCATAACCTCAGCCTGGGACACGAGCGGGAATTCTCGACACCCAGACTGCAAGCGCCCCCGGTCAAGCAAACAATACATGGTCTCTGTGCGGGCCAGCCGAGCATTCGATCCCTTCACCCAACTGTTGACACGGACGACCTAAGCCCAGGTAATACCACTCATATCTCGAATGCCCCTCCGTTTCCAACAATCATTGTACAAGAGGAATCCTTCAAGGTCATCGATGCGAGTGGCTGGGATTTGCCGCCTCTCAAAGTGGGTAAAACAAGAGTTCCACCGGATCGGCCTAATCGACATTCGATGATCGAACAGTCGCGAACTGCCCAATACCGCGCCGTCAGCGACTCCGCTACAAGCTTGCATGCTAACGACGATGTATTTTCAGTCCTGGAGGCTCCTAGACGACCCAATTCAGTGGCCACTGGGCATCCCCTCAAATGGGATCGACAAGGTAGTTTTGCAACCAAGCGGCACTCTTTATCTTCTTTGGACGGACCAAAGCGAGGACACAGACGGCAGAATTGTGTTCGAATAACTAATCTGCCGTGTCTAGATCCGAGAGCAAACGGCGCGATGCGGCTCCCCGACCTCAAAGAGGAGCACCGTCAGTTGGCCCTGGCCAGCACGATCCGCGCAGATGAGCCTTCCCATGGGATTGAAATCCAGCAGCCCCGGCCAATGTTCAAGACAGGGCAATCGGAGATGTACTCCAGACCGTCAACAACTCCAATGCCGTCTCCGTTCAGAAATCCACCGATCTTGACGCCTACGCCTCGTCCTACGCGGAAGCAATACATACAATGCTCCGACAGTGGACTGTCAGGAACACCCAGAACAGATTCAGAGGTCTTCAATTCCAGCTTCGTGGCCACTCAAATGTCGGACCGTTGTCACACGTCGCCTAGCCAGTGGCCACTCTCGCCATGCTCAAGACCAAATGCTCCCTTGAGGGATGCTCCGCCATCGTCGCAGCCGTCTAGACACATTCCCTTTGAATCACCCACTTTGCCTTCTCCTGCGCTGGACTCGGCGTCCCTTTATCCTCGCAAGTCGCTCGTCAAAGGCCCACGCGACCCTCGGAATCCGGGTCGAAGCAGCCATGCAGCTTCGGTTAGTCCTCTGCAAAACAAAACTGGACCCCACTGCCGGATCACCAAGGCTCGCGACTCTACCGGATCGGGAGATTTCACCCTTCGGAAATCAGTCATGATGCTGCGAAGCATGGACTCCGAGGGCCGCCTCCTTGACCAGAGGAGCACCAGGGGCTCCAATACTGGCGCAGCAGGATATGAAAGCCCCGACATCGTCGCGATTCCGTCTCCGCTCATGAATAAACGTGTCATGGGTCTGCGAAGCACCAGCTGTACTCCATCCACGACGAGCACGCCCTGCGCCGCGTCGTTGGATAGACAGCAAGCCAGTCGCGGCTCGAGTCCGCTGGCGCAGTCTGGACCGAAATTGAACAAACCGCCCCAAACAAGGCCGGCAGCACGGACATCATTGCATGCCGATCTCGACCTGCCACCGCCAGCCATGTGCGTATCGCCGTCCGTCATGTCCGTCGGCGGCGGCTCCATCTGGGAAGACGTCAGTGTATGCGGTGACAGCCCCGAGCCCGAAGTCCACGTGGCTCCCCTGGCGTTGCGCACCAGGACGGACCACAACCAGCAAGGGTACCCATCGAGCTCGACACCACAAGCCCGGCGCGGCGAGGATTTCTTCGACGCCCGGGCCCACGGGCAGTACCTTGTCCCGCACGCACCTTTCGTGGGAATCGACAGTGAAAACTCGCACCTGGTGCAACAACTCGAACGGGCCGTGAGCGGCGGACAGTGGAGCCACAAGGAAAGCGTCGTCCTCAGTGACGACCCGTATCTGAACATGGCACCAGTTCGGTACGGTGAGCGGGATCAGCATGACAGCGATGTATTCCAACTTGCCGTCCACCGCAGAAAGGAAATCGGGCTAGGTTTGCGACTACCGAGCTCCACGATGGGAAGCACATAGCCGGACAGGAACCATGGGCGGACGGCCTCCCCTCTTCGTCTCCGAAGGATTGCTTGCAAAGCGTCGACCCTTCACCGCCTGAGGATGTTCATTGCGGTGTTGCAATGCTTATGATTCCGGTTGCGGGTTTACGACGGGCATGGATTTCGCAATTGCTTCGCTCCAAATATTCTCCCTTATGGTGCTGTTTCATGTTTTCTTCCTTCTTACGATATCGAACAGAACAGTTCCCTCTTATTTTGGCCTCTTCTTCATCCACCTTGTTCTTATTTTTCCATTTGATGATACCCCAGAATGGCAGGCAGGAAGGATCGTGGAGCGAGCTGGTGCTGTGATCTGATTTACTTTTCCCCTTTGATTCATCTGATTGTTTTTGTTCCTCCCATCTAACCTTCACTTGGGACGCAGGGATCGGGTCGAAAGTGTGATTGAGGCTCGAGATTCGGGGGCTTGGAGGTGTCGGGTACGTCACAGGCCGGGTGGTCGCTCGGCCGAAATACTGCTACGAGATACTGCCAGTCCGTCCTGCGGCCGTGCCTGTGTAGCTACTCTGGTACTGTGCTGTAGACATAATGTTAATGATACTTATTACTTTCCACCCTTTTCGTCCCGTGGTCTCCGATCTATGCTGTACTTCTCCAATTATCGGACGGATGCGCAGGGTGAATGAAGGGCGATACCATTGAAGTATAGAAGTCGTTAAGACTCTTCTCGAGCTCTAATGACCGTCAAGTTTGGGTTGATCCTCTGCTAAGGTTGCATGTCCATTTCCAGACCCATTTCCAGACCCATCCCATCCTTTTCATTGCCGTCTGTTGTTCGTTTGTCCTCCCGAAGAAGCCTCTCCTACGACCTCGTTGTGAAAGGCTCAGTTACGATTCGTGACGATCGATCACAATCCTTGCGCTTTAACGTCACGACTGCGTGCCTGTAAGTCAACGACTACCCCCACATATTTCATGTCCGCCTATTCCACTCATCGGCACTAAGTCTGGCTTCCCCTGACCAAGATCTTGACATGATCCTCCTTCTTCTCCAACAGTGCCTTGAACGCCTTCTCGACCGCATCCTCAAGCGGCACGGTCCCCGAGATCATCTTGGTCGCCTTCTCCGCAAAGTCCGCGTTCTTTTCCAGCGCCGAGATCACGGAGCGAAAATCGTCCGCCGTGTAGCCGATGCCTCCCATGTACTTTTTCTCTAGAATCACGAGGTCGTTCGGGTTGATCTGGATCGGTTTGCTGTGGATCGCCACGTTGAACATCGTCCCGCCGGGCCGGGTCGCCGCGATGGCCGTGTCGAGGGTCGATTGGAGCCCCGAGGCATCGAAGGCGACGTGCACGCCCAGGTTTCCCGGCGTCAGTTGACGGCAGGTTGCGACCACGGGGTTAGAGTTGCCCGCTGTGTCATCTGAACCTGATGATGTGGGATCGATAACGGCATCTGCGCCGAATTCTTGAGCACGGTCCCGCCGCTTCCCGAGCACTTCGCTGACCACGACGCGTCTGGCGCCGACGACCTTGAGGACCAGGAGTAGGCCAAGTCCGATGGGACCTGCACCCTGCACCAAAGCGTCCTGTCCTGCTTGAAACCCCGAAACGCGAACCATGTGCCATGCCACAGAGAGGGGTTCGACCAATGCGCCGACATCCAGGGGCACGTTATCAGGGAGTGTGAATGCATTCGCGGCCTTGACGACTGCTTCTTCGGAGAAACCTCCGCTCAAAGCGTCGAGACCGTAATAGGCAGTCTTGGTGCACAGATTGATCCTGCCGATCTCACACATCGCACACTTGGACAGCCCGAACTGTGCATCTCCCAGGTTAGGCATGACAGCCACGCGATCTCCCACTTTGACATTAGATACGCTGGGGCCGAGTTCAACCACAGTGCCCGAGAATTCATGTCCCAGAATGACAGGCAGTCGAGCACCGGTCTGTTCGTGTGATGAGCCAGGCTGCGGACACATGATAGGTCCAGAGGTAAATTCTTTCAAATCAGTTCCACATAGCCCACAGAAGCCTGGGCGGATGCGAATCTCGTCTGGGCCACATGGTAGAGAGGGAACCTGTTCGAGGCGAATGTCTGAGCGGCCATGGAAGCGTAGGGCGCTGAAAGACGACATTTCCTGGTGAGTAGGGTTTGCTCGGTTTAGAAGCAGGCCAAGGCACTTCTAGAGAGGACTGCTATGCTGCAGAATACTTCCAAAACTTCTGTGCTTTACCTGCTTGCCTTTGTTTTTATCGCGACATGCAGTGATACCCCCACTCTCAATGAGTTGTCCTTGCGTCACCGTGCGGGGGTCCGACATGATAGGGCAATCGCCAGTTCTCTCAGAAATCGATTGTAGGGCCTCTTTACCTACGTGTCAACTCCTGTGAGGGTGCTAGTGCGCGCACTCGGTAAAGCTCTGAGATTCACTGGATCGTCCATGGCACGGGTCATTGTGATCCGAATGCTAAGAGACCACAATTATGCCGGCGTGATCACCATGGAGGCGTAAGCGTGGTGATTGGGCACAATATGGCTCGTCTGCTGGGCCTGCAGCGACGTTGAAAGCTTGTTGGAAGGTGAAGTTGTGCTTTCGGACTGTCTGAGAGCGAAGGGCACTTCTGAGCGTTGAGAGGATTGGAAATCAGACTGTATAGCTGATTAGAAACCCCCTCCTGGGATCTAGAAATTGTCCTGTGACTCGGCTCACAATTGCAGCATCCCATGGGTTCTGTCGACTTTGTAGCCTCTTCTCGGACGTTTGACCGTTGTTGAAGAGGCTATTGCTGGCGAATAAAAGAGCCCTTTGGTTGCTCTCTCGCTCCTTGTGCGCGAACCTACCAGGCAGAAAAGATGTCAGTATTTCTGCGGATGTCCGCTGCTTGCTATATGATATGAGCAAGCTCTTTGTCCAGCTGCAAGTGCCATTCCTGACCTGTAATGCTAAAGTGCTTGTCTTCGTGGCACAAACAAACAAGCCGTCAAGGAGACTGATATGGGCATGGCGAGACGATTATAAGGCTCCTAACCCATTTTATCGGACGGTGAGCATGATGGCTAGTTACTATACCGATATATACGGGTCATGAAAGTTCTATGGATGATTCAAGGACGACGGAAGCCGACAGTGGCACAAGGGGCTTGTATGTTCACCAGCGTCGGTCGCTCACGTGAGATCGCGTCCTTAGCGCGAATCTTGGAAGTCGCGGTGTCGCGTCCTCAGCCACCCCTCTAGCACCTCTCACGACCAATCAATCATTCTCCCATACCAAACGTCGACCTCCCCTCCAAACGAGCTCTTCCACGTCTGATCTGTGGCGAGGCGCAAGCCCCAATGCCCTTCAAATACAGACACCTAGTACAACTCCTTGAAGAACTTGATGCAGCGCGGAAACAAGCCCAGTTTTCCTCCACACGTCACTGCAAGCCGGCGGACGAACTCATCATCTCATGGTTTGGTCAACACGACTCTGAGATCCTTCGGCATGGACCCTCCGCTGTGGCATTCCTGTCTTGCCTGCTATTGGGTCGAGTGCCACATCTTGTTTATGGCTTGCAGGAGAAATCGTTGGCCAGTGTATTATGCAAGGCTCTGTTCATCGAAAACACGACCCGTGGCCGCCAGTTGCAAGCATGGGAAGCGACAGGTCTCGACTTTGCCACCTGCCTTGAGAAGTGTGTCATGGCCCTCTCCGAGAACGACTCGTCGCCGCCCGAACGAGAGGTAACGCTGGAAGAGATTGATGATGTTTTGCGACAGCTTGCTGCGAATTCCAGGTTTGCTTGCCCTGAGCTGAAAAACCGTAGGGATGGCGTCAAAGCCGAGGTCCTCCTACGGTCCATTCTATCCCGACTGCACAGCAAAGAGGCCAAATGGTTCGTACGGATGATTCTGAAATCTTATAGTCCTGTACAGATTCCAGAACACCTAGTCCTCGGATGCTTCCACTTCTTGCTGCCTGATATTCTGCCCTTTCAAAACTCTCTCGACGAAGCGATCAAGATCCTGGGGAAGCCCGAATTGATCTCCATTCCTTATGATCCACCAAATGCGTTGCAACGAAAATATCGACAAGAATGCGCCCGTCTCGTAACACCTAAGCTTGGTGTTATGATCAAACGCCAAGAGTATGGCAAGGCAAGAAGTATTAGGCACTGCTGTCTGATGGCGAATACAAGGACGATGAGCGTCGAGCGGAAGTACGACGGTTGGTACTGCCAGATCCATATCGACAAATTAAAAGGTAAAGACTGTATACAATTATTCTCCAAACGCGGGAAAGACTCAACAAAACCCTGGGTCCCGCTTCACCCAGCACTGGAAGCCGGTCTACGCCTTAGTGAACCGGACTGTGCTATTACTCAGAACTGTATACTCGAGGGCGAAATGCTGGTCTGGAGCCGTTCGCGAAAATCGATCATGCCCTTCGAAAAGATCAGGAAATACATCCAGTACAACGGCAGAGCCATAGGCGCAGCTGCCGATTCTCCTAGATCGCCAGACGAACAACTGATGATCATCTTCTATGACTGCCTGTGGCATGACAGCCAGAACTTGGTCAATGAGCCTCATCATATGCGGAGACAGCGATTGGAGCAGATCGTCAGTGTCACTGAAGGTGTCGCTCAGATTGGCGAGGGTCGGGAGATCAGATTCGGCTCCGCAAGTGCGAAGGAGGAACTCCGAAAGTTTTTCGGGCATGCGATTGAACAGAGATGGGAAGGATTCGTGCTCAAGGGTCGCCGCGACCCCTATTTGTCAATCAATTGGAACGCTAACGCCATCAAGCTGAAGAAGGACTACATCAAGGGACTTGGGGACGCGGCCGATCTTTGTATTGTTGGCGGACGCAGGGATGCGGCAGAAGCAGAGCAGTGCGGTGGATCTCCCAACTGGACAGCCTTCTATGTTGCCTGCCTCCAGAATAAGGAGATCGTTCAAAGATTTGGAAGCAAGCCAGAGTTTCTGATCCTAGACATCCTTACACGTCAAACCATGTCGGAAGACACGTTTCGGGAACTGAACCAGCGTGGCTTGGGGTTCTGCTTGCCTTATTCCGACTCGACAGAGCAGATGGATGTCAATATCGACCAGCCGGATATTAGGCGTCAACCTCCCACGGTCTTATTCACAAAGCCATTCGTTGTCGAAGTCACTGGGGCGGCCTTTACAAAGCCCTCGGACGTTGCCTATTACACCCTGCGGTTTCCTCGTAACGTCAGGCTGCACTTCGGTCGGCCTCTAACAGAGACCCATAGCTTTGAGGAGCTGCAGGAGATGGCAAAGGATAGCCTCACACCTGCAGGCCCTGAAGAGCAGGAAGAGATTGATTGGATCTTGCGTCTCACTGAAGCCGATGGAAAGCGAGACCAATGTGTCGACCTCCACGCCGGGGGTACGCCAAGTCCTTCACGCGTCTCGACTGCTAGCATCAGCATATGTACGTCGTCTCCTTTGACTGCCAGCCGCGGTGGGGCTATGGGCGTACACCCAACACATTCGTCTCTCAGCAGTCGCGATGTTGCTGTCAATCATGACGGCACACTAAGCCCCAGCACCGCGAGCAATCATGGACCATCCCATCCTCTGCTACCAGCAGATCACGTTGAGCTTGTGGACGGATCTACGGCACTGCCAGTGTCAATAAACCATACCTTTGGTCCTGAGTTGGGCGTGAAGCGTAAACGCGAGGGTTCCAGCTTGCCCGCCGTAGCCCACAAGCGGCCGAGGATCGATACAGCCAAGAGAGCTCTCATTCCTCTGGGGTCGTCCCTCCGAAGACAGACCTCTCCTGTTCACCCATATCAGCCTCCAGCAGTATTTCGCACCCCAACGACAACCACAGACCAGAGGTTCTCTGCCTCTATCGAAAGGCAGCCCCTTAGTGAACTGAAGAACGTCCGTACCAAACATGGTTCGGAGAAGCATAGCACCTCTCTAGCAGAGTGTGTTGCTCATGGCGAGAAGAATGCTGGAAGGACTATGGACATGCATGCGGAAAACAGAAGTTTCGCCACTCATCCAGGCAGCTCATCCACGACCAGGTCAGCCCACAGTCTGGACGATATTATACTAACAGTCATGTCGTCTTCTGCGCTTTCGCTACAGGACGTCAAGTCCGTCAACCGAGTGACAATGGTGTTTGTCCAGCTTGTCGATAAGCCATATTCGAAGTCGGTCCGCAACACCATATACGGAACTACAAAGGCAGTCCTCAAAGAGTACAAGAGACAGCGCGATGCCGAAAGGGAATGGCGGCTCGAACGCTGCAGCAATGACCATGCATCTCAACCGCAGCCTTCGCAGCAACAACGCAGAATGATTCTATTCTATGACGAAAAGATGCGAACCTCCTTCTCAGACTCTTCGTTGGACAGCCTCAAAGGAGCAGGCGACATCTTGCGAAATCAGCAGGTCAAGAAGTATTTCGCGGGAGGCTTGCTCATCACGGTCCACGCGGATAGGGACGAAGTCATCTCCAGGGCGATTTGGTACTGGCGCGAGTCTGTTCGACTTTTGGATGAGTTGCAGCCGTGATCAGGCAGGTACACACACTATGATTGGAACGAGGATTCGGTTTCCGTACCTCCCTGGTCGATGTATAGACTGGTGTTATAATTTTGGGTACGAGATGATTACAATCCTTACAGAGAGCAAGAGAATGGACGACGGGTCGTGAGGTAATGTGTAGATGGATATGTACATCAATCGATTCCGACGGCTGTTGAGAGTATGACAGTGAAGGGCAGCAGGCACACTTCGTGACCATTTCACGTTGACGAAGTGTCGAAAGTGAGTCCGCTAGAACAACCAGGCGACGAAAGTCCTGTAGAACCAGCCGCGGCGGCCCTTGGTCGCGGCGTCCTTCCGGGCCTTCTCGGCCAGAAACTCCTCCTCCTCGCGGTCGATGGCGTCTTTGCCGGTCCACAGGTCGGCCTCGGCGGGGCGCACGCGGCGACAGCGCGTCCACCACTTGTAGCCGGCGATCATGGCGAGGTAGAGGGGGATGCCGAGGTAGCCGGTGATGAAGTTCTTGTAGTCGAAGGCGCCGTAGGAGGACGGCGAGCGGACGAAGACGGCGAAGTTTTTGGTGAGGGCGATGAGGATGCACATGGCCAGGGCGCCGTAGGAGCCGGCCACGCCCAGCGGGGCCGTGTAGGCGAGGGCGGCGGACGGGACGGCCTGGGCGCGGCGGGCGCGCACGAAGCAGATGTGCGCGACCAGGATGGAGATCCAGGTCAGCAGGCCGAAGATGGTGACCAGGTTGACAAAGTAGCCGAACACGGTCTTGGAGTCGTCGGCCACGTTCATGAACGCCAGCAGCGCGAACGCCGCCGAGAGGCCCAGCGCGTACACCGGCACGCCGCGGGAGTCGGTGCGCCGGAAGAGCGCCGGCGCGTGGCCCTCGCTGGCCAGCCCGTAGAGGGTGCGCGACGCGATGTACAGGTCCGAGTTGGACGCCGAGAAGACGAACAGCAGGATGCACCCATTCAGGATGCCCGGCAGGGCCGTGATGCCCGCCAGCTTGACGGCCACGACAAAGGGCGACGCCGACGCCGACGACGACGCCTTGTTGGCGAACGCCAGCTCCTCGCTGTCGTACGGCACGAGCATGCCCAGCAGCAGCACGCTGAGGCAGTAGAAGAACAGGATGCGGTAGAAGGTCAGCTTGATCGCCCGCGGGATCGTTTTGCGCGGGTTCTGCGCCTCGCCCACCGTGACGCCCACCAGCTCCGTCCCCAGGTAGGCGAACGTGGCCGTCACCATGGTGGACCAGAAGGCCAGGAACCGTCCCGTGGCGCCGTCTTCAATGTACTCTGCGAACGCCCCGGGGTCACTCCAGTAGCGAAAGCCCTTGCGGTCGTGGTCCGGCCCACCACCCAGGGCGAGCACGAGGGATAAGATGATGACACCGACGATGACGATTACCTTGATCGTAGAGAGCCAGAACTCGAACTCGCCAAAGAACCGAATGCCGAAGTAGTTGATGCAGACGATGGCGACCCAGAAGACGGCGATGAACACTCCGGGATTGACGCGGTCCCGGTCCACCCAGTATTGGATGATCAATGCCCCAGCAGTCAATTGATTGGGTGTCACTATGATATACTTGAACCAATACCTGTGCACGTTAGCCTTTCGATATCAATGTATTGGGTTGGGAAAGACCGACGTGTAGCCGAGAGCAAACCCCAGTGCAGGGTCACAGAATCTGGCGGCGTAACCGGTGAATCCTGACGACAGCGGCAGCCAGGCGGCCATCTCTCCCAGCGCACACATGACAAGGTAGACAAGCAATCCGACAATGGTGTATGAGATGAATATAGAGCCTGGACCTGCCTGGGCCAGAGCTTTGCCAGTTCCAATAATCAGTCCGGTACCTGTCGTCAAAAGTCAGAATAGATTCATTGTTTTGCTGGAGTGCCTCTGTGTGACCAACCGATAGCGCCCCCAATGGCGATCATGGTTATGTGGCGGGCCTTGAGGCCGCGGTGAAGTCGAGTTCTCTCTTCATTCTCGCCGCCATGGATACCTTGTCGGCTCTCTATGGGCGAGACTGTTTGTTCTCTGATCTGTTTCTCTGCAGCATCCGCGTCTGGGGATGAAGTAGAATACCTCTGGTGAAGATCCATCCTGGAGAACAACCAAAGGGACGTCGAAGGAAAGCATAGAATACGACAAGCTAACTTGACCTAACTGCTTCCTACCTCCACGGAAGGCCAAAGCGAGCCAGAGATGGTGAGCGGATCAAAGAGGAAGACTCGATACTTATCATTTTGACGCTACCTCGCCTGGCAACTGCTGTCAGACTGAACCTTTGGGCGGAGGATTCCTGGTCGATCAGTTGTGGCCGAGACTTGTCCTTGGACTATGTCACATTATCTCAAAGACCAGGGATGAGGCTGCGCCAAGTATATTCGCTGTCCAAGTGTCGGCTGCATGGGCGGAATCCCGCACCAGCTGCATGTTTGACTGGAGGAACCCAAGAGGATCTGCGGGGTTTCGGGATCTTGGTTCGCTGGTCAATGCTGCGGTGATGAGACCCAAGAAATACCAAGAACTCTTGGAACCCAGGGAGAAGATAAGGAGTGGGAGTTTCTGCCCTGCAAATGGACCCAAGTTGCATAACATCAATGAAAAGGTGACACCGGGGGCAGTGCTGGTGGAAGACGTGCGCCCAGGCCTGAGTGGAGCACAGTAGCACCAGCTTGAACTGACCACAGCTCGCTGTATAGCGTCCACTTGCGCCAGAGAGCATATCGACTTGCGAAAGCGATGGAGCTTTTCACAAGGGCGCATTGAGCGTGTGGGTGCTCTATTGTCTGGGTTCGAGGACTCCATTTGCAGGGTTATAGATAGTAGATTTTTGAATGAGTCGAGTGCGTGGTCGGTGCTGCTCGATATACATTTGACCTCGAAACAGATCTTGTGGTCATATAAAACAGGTCATCAATTTTCCATCATCACTCACCTGAATGCCTTTTGTCTTCCCTGTGCCCGCTCACCTAACTCCCAAGCCTTGTCACCCACCCAAACGTAGATTGCTTGCGGGAGCGCATCCCGAACATTTCAGCTGCCCCAGAAAGAATCCCACAAGTCTGAGAACCAGCCGCCACCTCCGCCTTCCCCTGCTCCAGACCCTCCTCCTTGAGGTCCGTCTTTAAAAGGATCCGAGTCTTCTGACCCCCAGATATCTTCACCTTGATGCGGCTCGTCAGAACCGCTTTGCGGAAAGTCAGTATCGAATGGTTGGCCAGAGGGCTGATCCGGAGACGGTCGTTGCTGAGGATTGTCCTCATCGGCTGCGGGCTCGGACCTTCGTCCCATTCCCCGTTGCATTGCTTCGTAACCTGCCATCGTCCCGGCGCCCGCAATAGCACCTTCACCCATCCCTGCTGCTCCGCCTGCAGCCGATCCAACTGCTCGACCAGCTCCTCCGACAACAGCACCGCCAGCCTCGGCAGCTCCAGCAGCTCCAATAGCTCCAGCCTCTCCGGCCCCGGCTGCCCCAGCTCCAGCAGCGCCGCCAGCCGCTTCTCCGGCACCACCTCCAAGCCAGATGGGGAAGAATCCATGCCCTCCGCTATGCCGAGAGAAGTAGTCATAATCGATCGTCACGGCGGTGGCGAGCATCACGGCTCTTTGATCAAGCGTCATCCCGTAGTTGCCTTCTCTCCCCCCCAATGCCTCTGCATAGCCACGGTCACCCTGCTTGTCTGCTGGCTCTGGCGTCCCAGCCGCATCCATCCGTAAAACGTAGCTTCCAGTATCTGTGAAGATTTCTCGTCCAAATCCCCGGAATTCGCGATTAACCGATCCGATCTTCTGGTTGTTTTGATCCAGCAGAGAGAAGTCCCAAGATAAGAAGGGCTCATTGACTGCGGCGAATTGGGTAAAGTCTGTGGTCGAACGAGACCTGGTATTTTCTGCAATTTGGCTCTGCTGCAGGCTCGACAGTTCCTCACCTCTCCTCCTTGAGATCGCATCTGGGCCAGGGTCATTCAAGGCGAGGTCGTGGGAAAGAAAGAGATCGTATTTACGGCGTAGTGGCGCCCACTGTGAATGTGTCTCGCCAATGATGCGCATTGATTCCAGGGGAAGAGGAGATATTTGTGGCTGGTCTATCGAATCGGCATTTTGTGAAGTTAGCATCGTGGAAGAGGATCTCTGGGTCTCGGAAGGCGTGTCCCAGGGGTCGTAGACCCGAATGCGAGTGTTGATCCACGAAAATGGGCGATGGAACCTCAGCACCTCCCGCGACTGACGATTGAAGACGTGGGTGGTGAACGCCCGATGTGTTGCGAAGAATTGCCTCCTCATAGTGTACCCTATGCCACCCTCATGCTCGGCCATGTACCCAATGTGATTCCCGTGGGGATCAAGTATGACATATCGATTGGCTTGCTCGAAGCCGATCAAGACGTTCATCATTTCCAGTTGTCGCTGAACAACTATGCCTGACTGAGATAGGATGTCGGCGGCAGGGTGATCGGACTTGAGGATAGCGTTTGCATCTTCCGCTATGTGTACGGGGGCCAGGAGAGAATTGTCTTGAGGATTTGTGTTGGCTAGGAGTTCCTCCATCGACGGGCTTTTCGGTGGAGGGTTTCCCTGCGAGGACGTCGAGCCATCTTGCTCTTTCTTCGGATTGGGTCCTGTGGACGATTGCCGCAGGCCTTTGCTGAAATTTCTACCGACAATGAAAATCCGCGGTGTTGGGCTCAGTGCAGCGCACGCAGAGCGCCTGAGAAGAGAGGCAGGGTTCAGCATGAAGGATCACTTGCAGGACGGTGCCCGCGTGGTACCTTTTCTAGAGGATGGTTTGACAAATGAGATGGATGCTGTGCCTCTGCACCGGAACTAAGGCATAGGACGTCATGACATGCTTGCGATGGACAAGGTCAGTGGAGGCACACTATCCCGGAGCTGGATTTACGAAGAAGTCAACACTGAGACATTAACACGAAGGGGCCAGCGTAGAAGAAGTAGAGCTTCAGGCATAAGTTTGGACACGACACAGTCTGTATGGGCGCAGTTTGGAGAAATGCGAAGTGACCTCACATTCTTTGGTCTCCGCAACCTAGAAGCCCGGCTCCTCCGGCGAAATGGTTGTTCCATGCCCGTGACGTTGTAACCCCCGAAGTCCGTATCAAAGGATCCTGTGTTTCTCCTTGACTATCTTCATAATAATGCGTCCGCCAGCAATTCTGTTGATCTGATTGCGAGCTCTCGTCGTCATCCTTCGTCAATTCCCGCCCCCAACGCTGCCTGAAACTCTCAACCTTTCATCTCGTTGTCTGCCACGCGGAGCTCATGCGTAGCCTCATTCCACAGCTCCATCGCAGGCCTGTCCACCACAGGATCCCACCAAAGAAATTTGGAAACGTGCCTTTTGAACTCCGCCCAAGTTCCGGAACTGAAACTCGCGTCCGATTTGGTCCTTCTCAATCTGGTCCTCAAGCGGTCTTGGAACCACCGCCGGTGCTCGGTGAAAGATGCAGCAATTCCACCCATGACCAGCACCCACAGGACCATGTCCGAGACCGGATGTTTGAAATCTTCTGTTACGATCTTCAGGTCTTGGAATTCTTCCAAAAGCTGCCTCAGCTCTCGAGCGAGGCGTGGCTTTATCTTGGTGCAGCTCGGCATTGGAAAGAGGACCATATCACTATAAATCTGCAAGTGATTCGAGGTCAGTGACTCTAACATTGAGGATGTGATGCAATGGACCTCAGCGCCGAAATGGTGCTAGTACTCGAGACTTGAATTTCGGTGCAATAATGAAAAGAAATGGTGAGAAAGATACGTGCTGAAAGATCAACTCACCAATGATCCTAAACGACAGCAGTTATTCACTAGTTGCTCCAGACCCAACCCTTCTCTTGGGTCGAGTTCCAGGAACGATCGATGCGCCTCATTTGCCGCAAGCATAACGTCAACCAGGCACGGTTGGCTATTTTCGTGGCGATGGTAGTGGTCCAGCGCCACTGTAGCTTCCACACCCTTCACTACCGCTTCGCGCACGCCCGTGGTGAGAGAATCGTCAATGCTGTGGAATCCACCTCCGAGTTTCTCGGACAGCAACGTGGCTTTGGCGTCAAGAACGTGCCTACCGCTGCTCACGATTGAATGATACGGCCGGATTCGAGGGTACAGGAGTCTGTCGCCGGTCCGCGACGCGTGGTGGAGGTCAGCCCTTGATCACGGGTGAGCAGACATTCTGTTTTCTGAAATCCACAGCTACTCACAAAAGAAGCCAGTCCGGCAAAGCCAGATGTTTAAGCGCGGAGATTCCTCCCCGAGCCCTGACCAATTGCTCCAGCGCCGCGGCATAACTCGGCATTAGCGTGAGTCTCCCATAGAGATGCATGTATTGAGAGGTAGCCAGCGGCGATCGAGGGTGGCATTCTGGCATCGACGATTCGATATCAGCGTTGACACCTAATATCAGAACGCTCATCATGAGGTCCTCCGAGGCCGGCCCGTCGAGATTCTCAATCCTCTGCTTCAGCAATCTGATAGCCTTGGAGTAGTGAGATAAACGGGCGAGACCGAGCGCCTCCGAAACCTTGGGGACATTTTGTAAAGCTAGGTTCAGGCCGCAGGCGAGAGCAACCTGGACGTGGAAAAGTAATTCGTCGTCGAGGCCGTGGTGTCTCCATTCGCGCTTTGCAACAGCCAGATTCTCGCCTCGTACCGAGCAGAGCATGTCGGGCCATATTCTGTCGAAAGCTTTGCCTTGTCAGCATAGTGCCATGGATATCGGTTTGAAGCTGTGCTCATGACGACTGTAGCAAAGAATCTCCTACCGCGGGTATACCATCGGATCCCGGGACCACCTACCATATTGCACCACCTTCTCTACATTTTCCGGCAATCTACGTTCAGGATAAGAGTCGAATGGATCTCTGCTCGTTTGTGAAAGAAGCGACTGGACAGACAGTTTAGTTCGGGGAAGAAGTCTAACGCCCTTGGAATGAGCGGGCGATGGCCGACCGTGGCCCAGCGCCGTCTTAGTCTGGCCCTCGATGCTGAGACGCTCCTCCATCGAGGCCTTGAACGACTCGGCAGATTTCACATCTTTGGGCGCGGCTAGCTGGGCCACCTCGTCTTGGGAACTGCTGATCGAGCTGCTGGCCCGATCCTGCTCTCGCGCCTTTTTCTTCAGGTAAGCGATCTTAGCTGCATGAGATCTGGCATCGGCATCCTGCAGCTCGGCGAGCCGTCGATCCGCCGAAGACTGAGGTTTGGGGTTTTTGAACACGAAATGATACATGCCTGCCTTTGGCCAGTTGCGTCGATCGGCCGTTTGCCAGATGTGTAGGTGCGTAGGTCGAGTGACATGGCTTTCCTCGTATTGATGAGTGAGAGTCGACGGGAGCCAAAGGCGATTGAAGGTGGACTTAATCTCTTTTTTTCTTCCCAATTTTCCCCCTTACTTCAAGCCTAGTTGGATGGCGAGTGGCCCAGGTGCCCCGTGTCGCCACAGTAAGACCGCACACCTCGAAATTGGGTAGTATCAAGCACCGCAAGGAGCGTGTAATCGATTTGTGTACGGCTGTGTGCGGCCGCCTCCACCGCCTCCGTTTCACCCGTCGCCAATTTGTCTACTACCCAGAGACTCTCCGGCTGAGCGGGTGCCTCTCCAGCCAGTATGACAAAGCACTAAATGATCATGATGACAGCCTATAGACACCTGCGCAAGACGGGCAATGGCGACAAAGTATTGTACGCATTAAATTCGATCCCGGCGATACCTTGAGCCAAGAGAATGATCGACTATTTCCCTAGTCTCGCCGATCTTAAAGTTGACGCCGCAGATCCTCTGAAGAACCATGAGGCTGAAAGGGCTCAAAACCTGTCATTTGCTGCCTTTAAGCAGCCTCGTTGCGGTTTGCTCGCACCAAATTCAAGAAATTGCATTTGTCTGACTCAACGGTGGAATATTCATTTGTCAAGTCCAGCTCGGTGCTGCTCAGCATGATCACAGGCCTGAACGAAAGGCCATGTCGCTCAACGCATCAATCGACGCACCATGTGGTCGCCTCGTTGCTCAGCGTTACCTTGAAGTAGTCACCCACAAGACAGAAATAGCCCACGCAGCCGACCGCATCCAGAAGAGAGGCCTCCTTGTCGAGAGGACCGTGTTGTTGGCGCTCGTCGTCGTCTAGTGCGGCGTGGCTCTCAAGCTCCAAGAGCTCCGAAAGCCTAGGGTAGCTCTCCACCCACGACCTGATGCTGTCGTGGAACTCGTCCACGACGTCTTCGTCGTCCTCGCTCTCGATTCCATCGTCCTGGAGCTCCTGGTGCTCGCTCCTGTACCCGGCTGCACAGGTCACAGCTTCGTCGAAGTATGCCCAGTGCTCAGGGGGTACCATGTTGACACTGACATGAGTGTGTGCCTTGACTCGAGGAGTTGCGGCAGATGGGAGATAGGTCACAAAAACCCCTAGATAGCTTGGTCTCTCGGGCTCATTTTCACTGTTGTCATCGTCGCTCTCTGCTCCGATAAGCAGATCATAGTCGGTGACGTTCGGTTCCTCGACGAGAAGTAATATTCCGGGGGCTTCTTGCCGATAGAGGGGCTCTCGTGGGGTCTGGTGCCACAGATCCGTTACGAAGCAGGTATACCAAGCTCCGTTCTGGTCTTGGAGGAGAAAATCCCACCTCGTCGCCTCGAATTCTTGGATATCTCGGCAGATTTGGATGAGATTCCGCCTGGATGCTAAAGATGATGCATCGCTTGAGCATCCAGCATCGAATGTCATTGATGGCGTGTCAACCAGAAGGCCATCCTCGGTGGGTGTCGCGTAGAGGGCGAAGTTGTACATTGGTAGAGCTGTAAGACCATGATTTGAGCCGCCTAACAGGGTGGCCGGAGCCCAATGAATCCCATCCAGGTCGAGCTTTGGTAAGAACTTTGTGAAAACCAGATCAATTGGTAGATACGCTGGTGGCATCTGCCGCCACAAGGCAGCCATTTTCTGACTGTCGTTGGCTGCAATAATCTCTGACAAGTCAAGTTCAAGGATCGCTCCTAGGCACAAAGCCTCATCGCTCTGCCAACTAGTCTGACGTGAAACGAGCGCAGCCTTGATCTGCGAAAGCTGCAGTAACTCCTCTTCAACGTCACTGTCGCGGGTCAGGGTGGTTGCCGTGTACAAGCTTGTCATCTGGTATGCCACATTGGTTGATGGAAGTGACGGAATCTGGTTTTCCCGCAATTCCGCTTGCCATGCACTGATGTATCGATGGAGGTTGATCGCCGTGTCGCTGAATTGAAACCAGATCTGCCGTGCCAGTCGGCCCTCAGAGAATGTCCACAGACGAGAAGTCCACCCTGAAAGTGATATTCGAGCAAGTATCTCGATCGCCGACATATTTGCACACGTTCGTGTCTGGAGGTATGAGTCTATCACCAGAACACCAGCGGCATGCCGGAAGATATCGCTGAGGCGCAGAACAGCCTTCCTTCGGAGCTCAAGAGGATGGCGAGGCAGGCACAAAGTATCCATCCAGATTGGTGTCTGGGTGCCCGGTGTCAGCCCTAAAGCATCGACGTTCGCTTGCAGATTGCGGAGGAAGCACGATGGAAGAGCATTGGAGTCCAAGTTGCCGTGACCATCCGCCCACACATGCGAGATCGCCACATATGTTGGAGTCTTTCGTTGATTATGCAAAGCTAATGTCATTCTCCCTCGAGTCTCTTGCACTGTGAATAGGGCGATAGAGCCTTCTTGGACGGTATTAAGCAGCGAAGGGGTCGCAAGTTCTTGGAAGTTGCAATTGCAAGCCTCGTCTAGATGCTGGACCTTATACAGTTGCGGGTCAACAAATGGTGAGTTGCACTGTTCAGCGCTACAAGTTGAATGTAGATCGTGCACCTGAGGGGTTTCTAGGTTCGCAGCATACCATAAAGCTCCTGCGCCGATGCCGTTGCTAATGAAACTGTATATTCTGTTGGGGCAGAAATGCTGCATTCTCTGCGTCACAGGTTGGGAAAGAGACGCCGAGAGCGTCCATGCAGGAAAGTCCTCATCGTGGTAGCCTCTTTCAAGAGCAATGCTAGCAATAGTACGACCTAGATAATCGCCTAGAGCAGCGATGCTAAGTCCGACATGGCTGATGATGGTGTGCTCCCTCGTTTCGTATGCGTCGACAATGCGGTCAAGCATATCGTCGGCGTTCTTCAGTACAGAGTAGCATTCATCAACCCAGGCTTCGAGCCGATGGGCTGACTGCCTGGTATTCATTCTGGGCAGGTGCGAAAGCGCCTCGACAGACCAGTCGCTAACAATGTTGGTGAGGGGCTCAGACGAAAACTGTGGAGTGCCAGTAGGCGTCGTCTTGCGGAAGAGAGCAGGCTCAACCTGGCGACCAGTGATCTGAAATAATAGACCAAAGTAGAGCCATGTCTGTAGAAACGCGCCAACCTCACGCTCGTCATAGACTTGTTGGTCGCGGCGGAAAAGGAGAAAAGGGCTATCAGCCTCAGGCACCTGCCAACCTGCCCGAGACGGATACGTCTCGAAGTCACCGCCATCGTACCGCTCATTGCACAGGAAAGGGACAATCAGCGACTTGATCAACGGAGCGGGAGGAAGAGGCAGGTGGTCTATGTCACCGAGGGATAATGCTGGACTGACTAAAATTGGCGCAAGTACTATATGTCGTCCAGAAATCGCGGGGGAGGCGTAAAACTACTCAAGCCACCCAGATCCCTCCCTAGCTATCTCTACCCGGCGTCAGTGATTTCTGCCTTCCTAAAAACACTGAGCGGCACGGCTCTGCTGGTGACAAATACCCAATTCCGCCCCCAGCGGAGCAAACAAATGCGCCCTGCCTCATCCAATAGTCGCCCGTAACGCGCCGTTGAGCCTTGTTTACTTGTACAACTGTTACCACTGGTGGCACTGCTTGAACTAATGAGCGTTTAGGGGGCCGACAGATCGACGGTATGATTGGAAATGGGCCTGATTGAGGCGCCCAACCACCCCACTACCGATGGTACTGGTAGACCTCTCTAGGCTGGCTGTCTGGCGGTTGCAGGCCATGATTATGCCAGGAATTTGAGGTGCTTGTACAAAGAGCCAACCTATATTGACAGCTTTCTGGGCCATTTACGGCCTCAATTGCCTCTATATGAAGCGGACACCTGTGCTAGGCATGAGGCTCGTCAGGGAATAGAGGCAGGTCTGGCCAAGCCCAATTTCGCCCTGACTGGGTTCTGAAAACAATACCAGAAACTAGGCGCTGCTGCACAGGCGGCCCCAGGCATGGGTGGGCTGCCTTTGCAAATATGGGGCAACTCACGTTTCAGAGATCAAAATGGGCGCCTGCGTCCGAGTTCTTTGTCGTTGTCCTCTGCATCATTCTTCTGTTGTCGTCGCTCCTGCTGCTACTGTTATCGAGGTCCACGTCGACATCATGCTGGGCGCAATTGTTGCGCTCGGCCTCGCTGCCGTTCATGCATCTGAAGCGGCCCTCATCCGCGACACTATTTTAGAGTGGTTCTGGCTTGCTTGTACGGACCTACCCTTCCCTTTGCGACAGACTGCTGTGCTTGGTACTAATTCTCTTAGCGGTGGCTGATAATAACTACCTATATATCACGGGAGGCGAATTTTACGAGCCGGCCGACGATGTGGTGACGATGTACTACCGTAAGAGATGGAGGCCCCCCGCATCCCTGAGAGCCCGGTTCTGACCCCGACCAGAAGGCAATACACTTGTGGTCGATCTCACACAGTCTTGGACGAACCAAACAGTTACTGCTGTTACTTCAGCCACTGATCCGGATGGATTAATCTATGTTCGACAACCGATGCTTTTCTATGACAAGACGCGGAACAAAATAAGCCGATATGGTGGATGGCCGTACGAAGAAGCAGATTTTCCGTCCTTGCTGTGGTCCTTCACCGCAGGAACATCCGATGTTACGTGGAAGAATGAGACGGCGCCGTCCACGGACGGACTTTCAACGAGTTCGCCAGGCCCGTTCGCCTCAGCAAATGCCTTCACCAATTCCACTTATTACAACTTCGGTGGGAATGTTGTCAGCTCGCTTCCCGACATGACTGTCCTGTCTGGTCTGGTCACGCGAGACTTTGTGGCTCAGTCTTGGACGAATTCCACGGCGATCATCCCGAACCAGAGCAGATATCGGACGCAGGCCCGCATGGTATACACACCAAATTTCGGGAGCCAAGGGTTTCTTGTGATGGTCGGTGGAGAGGCCCCTCCGACGGAAGCATCTGTCTACGAGACTGGGGCACATATGGTTGATATGTCAACAATCACTCTTTATGATATTGAAACAGGAAACTGGTTCACACAAACAGCAACTGGCGACATCCCCCCTCCAAGGTCGGAATTCTGCGCCGTTGGAGCAGCATCTAGGGGCGGCAAAAGATTCGAATTGTAAGAACTCCCCCAAGACACAGCATCTGGGTTTTGCTGTACTAAAGACACTCTCCCAGGTTCGTTTACGGTGGTTCAACCAATTCTACATTTGATCTGAACCACTCTTCCGACGAGGGCTATCTTAATGTCTACGCGCTCTCTCTGCCTGCTTTTCGGTGGTTCAAGTCGAACTCTACAACCCCGGTCCGCCGAGCTTGCCATGCCTGCTCCGTCATCGGCAACCGACAGATGGTGTCGATAGGTGGCAGGCTGCCTAGTTCCTTGCAAGCACTGGGTGCCGAACAAGATCCTTGGGCAAGCGGCCTGGGAGTCTTCGATATGACGGACTTTGAATGGGTGGATCATTACGATGCAGCTGCAGCTGCCTATGAAACGCCCGACGTGGTCAAACAGTATTACTCTGACAGCTACCAAGAGCCAACTTGGAGTGATGCAACATTGGCCACGATTTTTGGTACGTCGTCTTCGCGCTTCGTGTTGTTGAGGTTTGGAACCTTGCTGACTGCCGTTCTCCAGCATTTACACCACCCGCAAACTCGTCTTCCAATTCTACTTCCTCAGGCGATTCAGGCAGTTCCTCAGACAGTTCCTCAGGCACTTCGGGTAGTCAATCATCCTCATCATTCACTTCCGCGAAGAAGGGTAATGCAGGCGCGATAGCCGGCGGTGTTGTTGGGGGCGTCGCACTACTCGCAGCAATCCTCGGGCTGTGGTACTGGGTGGCAATACGACGAAGACGACAGGCCCGGGCTGAATTCGCTGCCACAACGGACAGCAAAATCGACTACAAACCACCTCTCGAAGCGGCCTCAACACCAATGTTTGAAGTGGACGATAACTCCCGGTCGGAACTACACGGATTGTCGCCCAAGCCCCAGATTATCGCGGAGTTGCCTGTCAACGAGGAACCGCAGAGAAATGTCGGTCCTGGTGCGGCAAGGAGATGACAATGTAAAACGTGACGATCATTAGAACAACCCCAGCGCCGGCGTTTCGGAGGGTGAGGGCTTTTGTAAAGAAAAATGTGTATAGAATTGTGCAAATTTTGGAAACGCATCACGCCCAAAACAGCCCGGATTCGGTTTTTGAAGATCCGCGAGGCATTTCCCCCTTTCCTCTTCGGAATCATTTTTCTGAGGAAACGTCCCAGGTCTCATGTGTCTTGGACTGCACAGCTGTGCGTCTCAGCCGTGTTCCGCATTTCGTACGGCAGGAGTTTCGGCAGAGCCACTAATATTGCACAAGACGCTGCCAATCATGACCCTCCCCCTGCAATTTCTCCCGAACAACCCCTTTTTCTTGTCCCCAAGCTAGGCACCTAGGGAAGGACGAGAACAGTGAGTTGAGAGTAGGCCGAGGGGTGTCTTTCACAGAACCTTGGACACCAGGCTGCGGCCCCCTATTTTTCTTACGTCGATCACCCGAGCTCACGTCGACTACCTGGGCCTTGCATCGCATGGTAGAAACGCAGTGCTCCTGTCACTACCGCTGCTTCACACTGTGCGAAGGTGGTGCCATTTGGCTACATCCTGCCACTTATTCCGCACCGGTGATAAGTTGTTTGCAGCTCACAAGGCTCCCTTGAGACAATAATCCCGTCCCCATTTCCGATTTCCAGTGTCTGACAGGCTTGGAGCTAGCTATGGGCAGAGTGCATCCTGCTATATTCTTCCTCATTACTCGGATCAGCTACTCTCAGGCGGAAAGTGTGATGATATGAACTGCTTTAGACCCGGCTCTGCCAGCTTTTGCGTGCAGTTGACCCTCGTATTTACGGCTTGTCAACAGCGGGACGGCTACAGGAATGTACGAAAGCCAGATGCTGCTCGACTGTGGATTGATAACAATAGGAAACATTTACATACCACTTCTCCTCTCACCGTAATGCCTGTGGGAGACTCGCGAAAGAGGATGCCGTCCCGAGTCAGCTTTGCTCAGGAACTAATCTGGAGAGGAAGGTGACCATAACCGCTCTCGAAAGAAGCGCACAACCGTTTCCATCAATAGTTAATCAGAGGTATGTCAGGTCTTCATTATCCCATACTCGCCATAAGGGTGCTCGGATCGGCCATAAGATAGAGTATGGGGCTGATGTGTACTCCTGGAGAAAGGAAACAAGTCGTCGCGAAATTCGAGCGAAAGTGGGCGGAGCTCTCTGCTTCTAAGAGACCGTCATCTTCCGTACCATGAGCGTCGGATGGGTCTTGAGGAGCCTACTTGGCCAACGATGTGTGTCTCTTTCGAGGATCAAGAATACTGATCCCAAATATCAGTAAGCACCGGGGCATTCATTGTTTGTGTCGATTTCCAAAAAGTAAAGGATCACCACCACCCTGACGAGCTTCGCCTTACCATCAACATGTAACTCGTACAGGATAAAAGGCTCACTGAGAAATGGGGCCGAAAGACCCTTTTTTGCAAGGTCATGCTTTCCCCGAAGCCGAGGAAGAAGTGGTTTATGTTTGATGACGATGTGTTCTTGCCGTTTTCGGCAGGGCCTGACTCGGGTTTTGTCTATACATACATACCTTGGACTTTTGAGCAAGTGGGCCTCAATATCGTCCCGACGGGCATTTCAGCTCCACTCGGCCTGACAGGGCAGAAGAAGTCTTTGGTGTATTATCCGTCCTCTCAAATGCGTCAGCTTCTGAGTCATCCCTCTCGATTCCTGACGCTGGTGGATCTCTTCATCCCCCGTACGAAGTGGATACCGTATGAGGAGGGTAACCTCTTTTGAAGGTAATTGCCGTATCGGGAATGCAGGTGTATATTAATCTTCGCTGCTGTGCACGGCTCACTAGGCTATGGCCACAGCTCTAGCGGTGGCAGCTGTGAGAACTGCGCTGAAAGGTGTTGACCGGAATGTAAACTAAAACATCGATGCAGAGATGGTGTATGCGGTGGAAATGATGCATTAGTTAGCGTCACACGCGACGTTGCGCCCGCGACTGAATATGCTAAGCTATGACGGATGTTTACGCATGGTCTCTAATCAAAGGCACGTTTTCTCGCCGCTGACACCTAGAATGTGGCCTTCTCCAAACTCACATAGCACATTCGAGGGTGCCGGGCCAGTTTGTTCGCGGCCGCCCAGCTGCTGACCTCGGCCGGGGTCCCCTTCAGCTCAAAGTTCCAAATCATCATGACCAGGATGATTCGCATCTGGAGATACGCCAGTCTGCGACCGAAGCACGCCCGGGGACCTAGTCCGAATGCGAGATGCGGTCCCGCCTGGGCGTCGAAGACCTCTTTCCCGGTCGCGGGATCTTGCACGAGCCAGCGCTCGGGGCGGAACATCTTCATGTCTGCTTCATCCGGTGTCCACTGTCCGACCTGGTTCTTAGCCGCCAGGCTGGATGGGCTGCGCTTTGCATCGTCGACGGGCAGAGGAGGTGACAAATACCCAGGACCGTTCTGCATGAGAAATACGTCGGTGCCCTTGGGGATGTTGTAGCCCAGCAGTGTGGTGTCGACGGTGGTCGTACGAATCGAGCCATTGAAGAGTTGAGCAGTCCGAGACATCTCCTCAATGGTAGCGTCCAGGTAGGGGATCTGGGTCTTGATGATCTCTTCCATCGTCGGGTTGCGTTGTTCTGCGGTCGCGCTGGCGTAAGCGGCTCGAAGGTGAGAGCGAAGAGTGGCTTGGGCAGATTGAGCAGCGGCTAGGTATTTGACGGTCCATGTAAGCGTCGTACTCGTCGTATCGTGGCCACCGATGATGAACCCAAAGAGCTAGCAGATGTGTCAGCGTGTTATGTCCAGAAACCCCGTGGGTAACGCCGATGTTAGAGCTCCCTGGGAAGTAATTTACCTCATCATAAATTGCCCGGGAATGATACTCTGGTTGTCGATCTTCTTTCTTTGCAGCTGCCGTCTCTCGTTGTAAGATGTCATCAAGTGCTGATCTCTTGACTTGGTTCCCGGAGGATAGCTTGCTGAGTGACTCGTTGACCATGTCGGAGAACAGCTTCTCCTTGTCGGCTTTGGCCTTTCGCATATAAGGCAGCTGGCGTAGGACCCAGTGAGCAAAACGAGGGAAAGGCGCCTTGATCGAGACCTCGAGAGATTCTGTGAGCGTTGCAATGGCCTCGAAGGTCGCCGGACGATGAAACTGAGGGAATGACATCGGGTCAGTGAGGGACTGGGGAAGGTCAATATTTTTGGCCGCCAAAAGTTGCTGCAACTGCGCGAACGTGTTGCTATCCTTGATTTGCAGGCCGAAAGTGGTTGCGAAGATGACATCGAGCGCCACGTTGTAGATATCCTGGCCAGCCTCAAAGGCATGCCCCTGCGCCAGTTGAGTCTTGAAGGCCCAAAGCTTTATGAAAGTTTCAGTGTTGGCGTATATCTGAGGGCCACCAACCCCGTGGAGAAAGGCAGGAGTCATAAGATCTTTCAAGAGATTCCGATGGAGTTTGAATTGCTCCTCCGTGGATTTCATACTGATATGCATCTCTGGAACCAGCCCCGTGAAGACATCGGCTGTAAAATTAGACCGGTCAAACTCTTTTGTCCGTCGTAGGAGAATGTCAGAGCTTTCGCGGTGGTCGGATACAATGACCCAAGGCCGGGCGAAAGGTCTTGCAAAGACTTGTACAATAGGCGAGTGATGCTTTGTGATTTGTTCTGCGATCCAGGGCCAGATTTCTTCGGTTCTGGCCATATAGTTCATCATCTCAGGTATATCGCCAAAGAGAGACCGAGTGGCTGACTCATTGTATGGGATGCCAGGGATGGGCTTGGGAAGGAGCCTGCGGTAGCCAGTGTAGAGAATGATGATGCAGACAGCAATGAATATGAAGTAGGGGCCAGTTGTTGGCATTGTGTCGACGACAGGGGGAGCTGTTATCCCTGACATGGCCAGGGAACGTGCTCGGCTGACTTGGTTTTTATTTCGCAGGAGAGGGAAGAGGGAGAAAGGAAGTACTTGACTGTTTGTCTCACCGGTTCGACAAAGGAAGAACTGACTTTATGTACTCAATATAGTCTGCGAGCCTTCGAGGGTGGACACCCTCTCACTCAGCCCATATCGCAGGACGCCTATTCGATATGTGCCTACAAAGTTGCATCCACCACTTTCGGTCGTCACAGCTGACAAGAGCTCTTCTTGTACACCCATAGAGTCGCTTGCGACGCCGGTACTGTCTCTGTGTAGCCGTAGTGACATTCCTGCCTGACATAGTAAGGGAGAGCCTCATGCTAGGTGCCGGTAACTATACGCGGCATCTCACGAGGTGAGGCTGGGATGTTGTTCTCCCATGATAATGTTGCATTTGATGTCTAGGCTGCAAGAATGGGTACGTCGTCTCCATATTCTGACACGAGGATTGGAATGTGGATGCTTAGGGCTGATACAGTGTGTAACCGCTTTCTCTGGTCGTTATACCGGTATGAACACAAGGCTAGCCACGATACGGCCACCACCGTCAAGGGTTGAATTGCTGACATATAATCCACGTACGGGCATTTGCCATGGGGACGAATAGCGTCCCTTCGGCTTGCAGCGCTCAGCGACGAACCGGATCGACTCGCCTTGCTTGGAAGTTTTGGGTTAGAGAGGGCCAAAGGGGAATACTCCATACCGTGTTGATAATTAGCCCGACATCTGCCCGCTGCTGACTCTGTTTGTCTATTTACACTCAGTTCCAGAGATTCGCAGCCGGCATCGTTGTCAGTTGGGACAGACGAAACCAACCGCACCTACCGTCGACCCCAAGTGGTGTAATTGGACAGGGTGACACGGGTGGTTGCATTTATCCGTCAAGGCGTGTTGCCGGCGGAGGGCCGAGCCCATTGGATCTTCGTCAAGTGGCGCCTCGCTAAAGATGCGAACCTCATGGCACCAACGAGCTCTAAGCCTGGATAGGTAGGTCGTGGTTGATTTTCCCGGGGTCAAGCCCAGTCGTGGTGTCATGGAACTGCGGCGGCAGCGGCATCTGCTGGGATCGAGTGAAGCCACCAAGCTGCGTTCTCAGACAAAACCACTCTCAGTCTCGCTCCAGGCAACACTGTTTCTTCTGGCCGACACCACTGCTCTGGGAGGGTGCTCAGCTGGTCTTGCAATATGTCTTTCTTTTGGACACGGTACATATCGCCCCTGGATCGCCAGCTTCTCTTCGTGTGAATATTGATTGCCCTTCACCCCTCCACGATTTCCGCCGACCCAGGTGAATGGAAATGCCGGGCACAGAATACCAGCTGCACTGAGCAAACGAGCGCCGTCAATTGACTATCCTCCATTCGGCTTCTTCAGCTTGCACCATGGCCCTCTTTGTGCGCCAGGTTGTGACCCTGACTCTCAAGAACCTCCTGGTTGCGTTTGTCCGGCGTTGGTTCTCAACCACTATTCGAGCGTTTCTCTTGCCCTGTATCTTCGTCGGCTTTCTGTTGGTTGATCCTTCCTCTATCTTCTGGCGACAACTTCTAACATTTTTAGATCCTACGCGCGCTTTCTGTTCATTCCCCCCAGCGTCTACGGCATCGGTGACCCAACGCCCATTCGAAGTCTGTCCGAAGCGCTTGACCTGGTCTCCGGTGGCAGAGATAAACTGGTATTCGTCAACAGCGGGTTTTCGGATGGTCCCATTCAAGCAGTCATTGACAAGGTGGTAAATGATACAGGGTCGTTTGGTGGCCGCGTCGAGATTTTGTCCCAAGAGGAGGAGCTTTTGACCGTGTGCCGGAACTCAATCAGGGGAACTTCGTCATGCATAGCGGGTGCCGTCTTTTTCTCCTCGCCCTCTGAGGGAGAGGCTGCTCGTTGGAATTACACCATTCGTGCAGACGGCGGCCTTCAGTCCAAGATCGTGACCGACTCCTCGAAGAACGATGTCGAGATCTACTTGCTTCCTCTCCAACACGCCATCGACCGTGCCATCTCTCAAGTCGAAGCCGGCACTGATGGAGCTACAGTCCTTCCCAATACCGCGGATGAATATCCTTACACCTCGATGACCAAAAAGGAGCGCTTGAAACGTATCCGGACCCGATATATGGGAGGTATCATCGACATCCTAGCTGTCGCTTTCTTCATCGGGGTGGTGGGAGTCACGTATCAGCTTACTGGAGTCATCGCCTCGGAGAGAGAAAACGGCATGGCTCAGCTTCTTGACTGCATGATGCCGAATCTGAAGCGTTGGCAACCACAGATGGCACGAATCATTGCTAACCATCTGGCATTCGACCTGCTCTATGGACCCGGCTGGATCATCATGGCGATCATTCTCTGCGCAGGAGTCTTCAGCAATACCTCACCAGCCATCGTCATCATCTTCAATATTCTAGCGGGGCTATCCATGTCGTCGTTGTCAATATTGGGAGGCGCATTCTTTAAAAAAGCCCAACTTAGTGGTATCACCTCTGTCATCGTAAGTCTTTTGCTTGCCATCATCGCGCAGGTCGCCAGCAAAGCCGGAACAGCTTCTGTCGCTATACTCTCTCTTCTTTTCCCCCCTATGAATTACGTATACTTTACGATTTTTATGGCTCGCTGGGAGAGGCAGGACCTTGCCACGAACCTGGTGAAACGAGCGCCGCAGAACACATCTGCTTTACCCGGTATCGCTCTGTGGATCTTTTCGGTAATCCAGATCATTGTGTTTCCAGTCCTTGGTGCTTATGTAGAACGCACGCTGTACGGCACAGCGTCGCAAAGTCGAAAGACCACATATTCGGAAGACACTACTGCCATCTCATTGTCTGGATTCACCAAGGAATATCCACCGTCGTGGTTCGCAAGAGTACGCGCAATATTTACGAGAAAACGACTTACGACCGTACTCGCCGTTGACAATTTAACCTTGGACGCGACGAGAGGCCAAATCGTGGTGCTCCTAGGTGCCAATGGTAGCGGCAAATCCACCACTTTGGATGCAATTGCTGGCCTTAATTCTATCACCTCTGGACAGATCACTGTCAATTTTCCCGAACCAAACACGGGGCTAGGATTCTGTCCCCAGAAGAATGTGCTGTGGGATGATCTCACTGTGGAAGAGCATGTCCGGATCTTCAACAGGATCAAAAGCCAGAAGCCATCATCCAAAGCAGAAAACCTACAACTCCTGGTGTCATGCGATATCGATCGGAAAGTCGGTGCCCGTTCAAAGACATTGTCTGGAGGCCAGAAGCGCAAGTTACAGTTGGCAATGATGTTCACCGGCGACTCGCGCGTGTGTTGCGTGGATGAGGTGTCCTCCGGTCTTGATCCATTATCCCGGCGAAAGATTTGGGATATTCTGCTTGCTGAACGCGGGTCAAGGTCGATTGTTCTCACGACACATTTCCTAGATGAGGCTGAGCTCCTGGCCGATCATATTGCAATACTGTCGAAGGGCATTCTGAAGGCCTCAGGTACCTCGGTGGAGTTAAAACACAAACTCGGCTCAGGATACCGAGTCCACGTCTACCACACCCACGGGTCCCAGCAGCTTCCGACATACAAGGATGTCAATCATGTTCGACGAGATGACCAGACGATTTATGCGTTGACGGACTCAGCAAAGGCGGCAGACTTTCTGCGTCGGATTGAAAGTGAGGGAGTCATGGAGTATCAGGTCAATGGCCCTACCATCGAAGACGTTTTTCTGAAGGTTGCTGAAGAGGTCAGACGGGTGGAGGGACCAGCTGAAAAGACAGGGACCGACCACATCCTCCAGGAGGTTGGGAGTCACAGCAGCACTGAGATCGACCCTGACAACACTGTAAAAGCGATGATCAGAGATGAATCGTCGGGAGAACCCCCTCAGCTTCTGGATGGACGTCGCATCAGCATGCCTCAGCAAGCTCTGGTACTGTTTTCGAAACGATGGGTTGTACTCCGCCGGAACACCCTTCCCTATATTGCGGCCCTACTGATTCCGATCATTGCTGCTGGGCTCGTCACCCTCTTCCTCAACAATTTTCAGAAGACGACCTGCAGCCCAGCCTCGTTAGCTCTGGTGTCTGACATTGAGTCCTTATCATCACAGATCAATTATGATCTTGTGGCAGGACCGCGAGATCGGCTTGGTCAGAATGCTATCCAGCTTTTTGCCTCCACACTGGCAGGGAGCTCGGGTGTCGCAGGAATTGCAGCGAATACCACCAAGTTACTAGACTCGATTCATCTCGTGGATACCCTCGACGAATTCAATAACTACATCGACACGAGGTTCGCCAATGTGACCCCGGGCGGCTTTTTCCTGGGCGACAATACTTCACCCCCGACGTTTGCCTGGCAGGGAAACGGAAATATTGCCTTTTCGGTCATCATCCAGAATGCCATGGACACGTTGTTGACCAACATTTCCATTTCCAATCAATACCAGGCCTTTGACGTGCCGTGGGGTGCAGATGTAGGGAAGGCATTGCAGCTGATCACGTATTTTGGGCTCGCCATGGCAGTTTACCCGTCTTTCTTCGCCTTATATCCGACAATTGAGCGACTGCGCAACGTTCGAGGTCTCCACTACAGCAACGGCGTCCGGTCGGCACCTTTGTGGCTCGCCTACACCTCTTTCGACTTCGTCATTGTCCTGGTCACAAGCTCGATTACCATTATCATCTTTCGGGCTGTCACCGACGTCTGGTACCATATCGAATACCTCTTCGTGGTATTCTTTTTGTATGGCCTGGCTTCGACACTGTTGTCCTATGTCATATCCCTCTTCTCTCGGTCGCAACTCGCAGCTTTTGCATTCGCAAGTGGGGGCCAGGCTGTGATGTTCCTGCTGTACTTCATTGCTTATATGTCGGTTCTCACTTATTCACCGATCGACAAGATCGACAGGAACGTCAATATCTGTCATTTCACGATTGCAGCCATCTCTCCCGTGGCCAACCTGACCCGCGCACTGTTTGTTACTCTCAATGTGTTTTCGATCACCTGCAGAAATCGAGAATTTGCTTCTTATGCTGGATCCATGACCACGTTTGGTGGCCCTATTTTGTACTTGATTCTGCAGTCGTTCTTGCTCTTTGGCTTGCTTCTGTGGTGGGATTCGGGTGGGTTGTTTCAACGTTTCCGCAAAAAGCAACAAGAAGAGGAGGTGGAAGAGAGAGATACCGTAGAAGCTGAAGTGTCCAACGAACTTACACGGGTGTCTTCATCGCAAGACGGTCTCCGGGTGTTGAACCTGACCAAGCGATTCGGCAAAACGCTCGCTGTCAACAACGTCACGTTTGGGGTGCCTCGCAGCGAGGTCTTCGCCCTCCTTGGACCAAATGGCGCCGGGAAGTCGACCACAATATCTCTGATTCGAGGTGACATCCAGCCCAGCCGTCGAGGAGGCGACATTTTGGTCGACAATATCTCCGTGATCCGACATCGGGCCCAGGCCCGCTCTCGACTTGGAGTCTGCCCTCAGTTCGACGCGATGGATACCATGACCGTCTCCGAGCATCTGCATTTCTACGCCCGAATCCGTGGTGTGAGCGATCCCCGCCACAACGTTGAAGCAGTAATGCGTGCGGTTGGCCTCGAGCACTATGCTGATAGGATGGCGGCCAAATTGTCTGGTGGCAACAAGCGCAAGTTGTCCCTCGGGATTGCACTCATGGGCAATCCAAGCGTCCTCCTCCTGGATGAACCCTCATCAGGCATGGATGCGGCGAGCAAGCGCGTCATGTGGAGGACGCTAGAATCGGTGGTTCCTGGTCGATCCCTGGTCCTCACAACCCACTCAATGGAGGAAGCAGACGCCCTTGCAACGAGAGCTGGTATCATGGCAGGCAAGATGTTAGCGCTTGGGACCACGGACTACCTTCGCCGAAAGCACGGGGACGCGTATTATGTCCACCTCGTCCACAACAGCGCCCCGCACGCTTCGGATGAAGACATGCTGCGCATCCGAGACTGGATCCTGCGGAATTTTCCCGATGCAAATATCGAGAACAAAGTGTATGCGGGACAGATCCGATTCTCGGTGCCAACCAAAGGACTGTACGCGAGCAAAGATGGCGAAATTAGCGTGGAGTCGGGCATTGCGTCTCTGTTTACGGCTCTCGAGAAGAACAAGGCGGAGCTGCAAATTGAATACTACAGCGTCAGTCGTGCCACTTTAGACCAAGTCTTCCTCAATATCGTGGGAAAGCACAATGTGGAAGAAGAGGGTGGCGAAACACCTGCTGCACCACGGACCAAATTCATCAAGGAGCTGTCGCGAGTGAGCTCTCGCTTAGTGCACAAATGAAAAGGACCAGGTTCTTGTTGGAGCGGGGACGGCACACGTATATATAAGACCAAACAAGACAGACAAGGGCATTTGAGCTCAAACACTTTGACTGGCGGGAGATCTACTTGTATCATACGTCTAAAGAAGTTCGTCCCTCCACACCCACATTGGGTAGTCGCACGCACGGCATGCACAAGTGGTTACCACCCGGAATTCCTAAAATCCGCCTCGATGGCAAAAAGTAAGTCAGATACCGTGATTTGTAATGGAGTCTCTGACTCGAACATATGCGCAATGGGGGATCCAGCTCGCCTGATGGGGCAAACGGGACTGGGGGTTTCGCACCAAACTTCGGCCCAACAAACGACGATATCTGGAGCTGAGCGAGTTCTCCGTAGATGTTTCGTATCTTGGCTCCGCAACGGATTTTCGCGATCCTCTTATTTGTTCAATCACCGTGTCAGCAGCTGGCATTCAGTGAGTCAACCCAGCAGGGACTCGCGAGACCCCGGAATCTGGCCGCCGAGCGTTGCCCCATGGTGATATACGGAGTACCTCGTACAGTGCTGCCACTGCTCAAGGACGGTGTACCTCGTATAGACAGAGCCTACACTGCCTACGTCAATGGGGATACAGGAGGTCGTTCTTGAACGATGCCAGCTGTTTCAGGCAATTCAGGACACCCCACTCGTCTCTGGGCTCTGCGAGATACCCGACATGGCTTCCCAAAACCAGCGGAGGCTGGAGTCATCGTTGACTGGCGCACTACCCGGATGCCGCTCTGCCGGTTTCTGCACTATTCGCACCGTCCCAAGGCCCAAGTGGAGGCGGGCGGTCAGTGGCCAGAAGTCCGCCGTTTTTCGAGATCAAATTTATTTCCCTTTTTCGTTGATCTTCTTTTCAGGCTATCATATCTGCGACCTGTCTCGCTGGTCGTGTTCTAGGACGGCTGTAGCACCTATTTTCCTTTCGTTGTTGTATTGAATCGGGCCTAGCAAGCTTCGCCCAACACATCCCCGGTTGATGTGGGGGAAGGGGCGAACATAGCCGAACGAAGAAAAAAAGCTTTTGGAATTTATCCGAGGACTTGGGAAGAAAGGCCCAAGCTCGCGAAACCATGGTCGACGCCCTTTCCAAAGAACTAGGCCTGGACCACCCGGCACAACAACATGGTGCTGGCACGAATCAGCATCTTCAAGAACAGGCCCATCAATACGGTGAAAAGGAGCATGACACGATACGAGACAGAGAGGCGTTTGCCAGTGAAAAGCACTATGAAAGACCTCGGATATCAACCGACTCTTACGGTCTGCAACGCACAGCCTCTGGTGTCAACGTTGAACAGGCGGAGAAGGACTTTGCGGAACTGAGCAGAGAACTGAGTGCCATCAGCCGTCGAATCTCCCGGACGCACTCGAAGGCCTCCAACGCCCGGGCGAGGGATGTGGAGAAGGCGATCAGCTCGTCTGATGAGACTTCAGAAGACACCTTTGACTTGGAATCCACGCTGCGCGGCGCGAGGGAGGCGGACAATGCTGCAGGCATCAAGCCCAAGTATATCGGTGAGTTTGGGAAGAGGGAATGCTTCTATCCTTAGCTAAACAGGGTTCAACAGGCGTGATCTGGGACCACCTCACCGTCCGCGGTATTGGTGGTATCAAGAACTTTGTCAAGGTCTTCCCCGATGCCTTCGTCGACTTTTTCAACGTGCCGGGGACGATTATGAGCATCCTCGGAATGGGCAAAAAGGGTCGCGAGTTCAACATCTTGCACAGCTTCCGGGGCGTTGCAAAACCGGGCGAAATGGTGCTTGTTCTGGGCCGACCTGGAAGCGGCTGTACCACCTTCCTGAAAGTACTGGCCAACCAACGATATGGTTATACGGGCATAGATGGAGAGGTTCTTTACGGCCCCTTTGACGCTGCGACTTTCGAGAAGCTCTACCGTGGCGAGGCAGTCTACAACCAGGAGGACGATGTACATCATCCCACGCTGACAGTGGGCCAAACGCTCGGATTTGCACTTGACACGAAAACGCCCGGCAAACGCCCCCAAGGCCTGAGCAAAGCCGAGTTCAAGGACAGGGTGATCCGACTATTACTGAAAATGTTCAATATCGAGCACACAATCAACACCATCGTCGGCAACCCCTTCATGCGCGGCGTTTCTGGCGGAGAAAGAAAGAGAGTGTCGATCGCTGAGATGATGGTGACTCGAGCCACCGTCTGTTGTTGGGATAACAGCACCCGCGGTCTTGATGCGTCGACTGCCCTCGATTACGCCAAATCCTTGCGAATCATGACCAACATCTACAAAACAACGACTTTCGTTTCGCTTTATCAGGCATCTGAGAACATCTACAGTCAGTTCGACAAGGTCATCGTGATCGATCAAGGAAGACAAGTCTTCTTCGGTCCTGCGAAGGAAGCGAGGGCGTATTTTGAAGGGTTGGGTTTCCTGGAGAAGCCTCGTCAGACAACGCCCGACTACCTGACTGGATGTACCGACGAGTTTGAGCGAGAATATAAGCCAGGCAGATCTCCTGAAAACGCGCCGTCGACACCCGACTCCTTTGTGGATGCTTTCAACAAATCCACCTTTGCTGAGAAGCTCGAGAAAGAAATGGCCGACTATCGAGAATCGATCAAAGAAGAAAAGCAGATCTACGATGATTTCGTGGCGGCACACCGCGAGGCCAAGCGCAAACACACCCCCAAAAACTCGGTATACTCGGTTCCGTTCCACTTGCAGATCTGGGCCTTGATGCAACGACAATTCCTGATCAAATGGCAAGACAAGTTTTCTCTGGCGGTTTCGTGGATCACGTCCCTTACCATTGCGATTGTCGTCGGTACTGTCTGGTTGAATCAGCCCAAAACTTCTGCGGGAGCGTTTACTCGGGGCGGTGTCCTCTTCATTGCTCTGCTCTTCAATGCATTCCAGGCGTTTTCGGAACTTGCGTCTACTATGCTCGGACGGCCGATTGTGAACAAGCATCGGGCGTACACGTTCCACCGACCCGGCGCTTTGTGGCTTGCACAAATTCTCGTTGATCTGGCATTTGCGTCCGTCCAGATCTTCGTCTTCAGCGTCATTGTGTACTTCATGACGGGGCTAGTGCGGACTCCAGGCGCGTTCTTTACGTTCGTGCTCATCATTATCACGGGATATCTTTCGATGACATTGTTCTTTCGAACAATTGGTTGTCTATGTCCGGATTTCGACTACGCCATCAAGTTCGCTGCGGTCATCATCACCTTGTTCGTCATCACTTCTGGCTATATCATCCAGTATCAAAGCCAGCAAGTGTGGTTAAGGTGGATATTTTACATCAATGCCCTCGGTCTCGGGTTCGCAGCGATGATGATGAACGAGTTCATGCGACTGACAATGCGCTGTACCGATGAGTCCCTAATACCTTCCGGGCCTGGATACAATAATATTGACCACCAAGTCTGCACCCTCCCGGGTTCTCAAGCTGGATCGATCGAGGTATCGGGCACCGCCTATGTTAAAAAGGGCTTTTCGTATGACCCATCGGATCTCTGGCGCAACTTTGGCATCATTGTCGTGCTGATTGCGTTCTTCCTCTTCACCAACGTTATGCTCGGAGAGTCTATCAAATATGGCGCAGGCGGCCGCACGGTCACGTACTTCACCAAGGAAAACAAAGAAAGAAAAGCCCTGAATGAGAAACTGCAGGAACGCAAACGACGGCGACAAACAAAACAAGATGCCGAGGACAGCTCGGAGCTCAACATCACGTCAAAGGCGGTGTTGACATGGGAGAATCTCACCTACGACGTTCCCACTCCCGCCGGGCAACTGCGGCTGCTGAAGGATGTCTTCGGATACGTACGTCCAGGACAACTAACGGCTTTGATGGGCGCTAGCGGCGCCGGAAAGACGACGTTACTTGATGTTCTTGCTTCTCGAAAGAATATTGGCGTGATTGGCGGAGATATCCTGGTTGATGGTCAAAAGCCAGGCATTGGGTTTCAGAGAGGTACCTCATACGCCGAGCAGCTCGATGTCCACGAGTCGACCCAAACGGTCCGGGAAGCTCTACGATTCAGCGCCGATCTTCGCCAGCCATACGAAGTGCCCAGGGAACAGAAGTACGCCTACGTGGAGGAGGTTCTTTGCCTGCTCGAACTCGAGAACCTTGCGGATGCGATCATCGGCAGCCCTGAAAGCGGTCTTTCAGTTGAGGAGCGAAAGAGAGTGACCATCGGAGTTGAACTCGCCGCGAAGCCTCAGTTGTTGCTCTTCCTCGACGAACCCACTTCCGGTCTCGATTCACAATCTGCATTCAACATTGTCCGCTTCCTCCGCAAGCTGTCTGCCGCGGGGCAGGCAATTCTCTGCACCATCCATCAACCCAACAGCGCGTTGTTTGAGAACTTCGACCGGCTTCTTCTGCTACAAAAGGGTGGAGAGACCGTCTACTTTGGAGACATCGGCAAAGACGCACACGTTCTTTTGGGTTATTTCCACAAATACGGCGCCGACTGCCCTCCTGATGCAAACCCGGCGGAATGGATGCTGGACGCCATCGGAGCAGGCATTGCACCTCGCATCGGCGAGAAGGACTGGGGCGATATTTGGCGCGAAAGTGACGAGCTCGCGACGGTCAAGGCCGAGATCGTCGACATGAAAGCCCAACGCCAACGCCAAGTCGCCAATGAACCGAAGTTGGATGAGAGAGAATACGCCTCCCCGCTGTGGCATCAAATCAAAGTCGTGTCCAAGCGGACACATTTGGCATTCTGGCGCTCGCCGAACTATGGTTTCACCAGGCTGTTCAACCACGTGGCCATCGCGCTGCTCTCGGGGTTGGCATTCTTGCAGCTCGACGACAGTCGGTCCAGCTTGCAGTACCGGGTCTTCGTCATCTTTCAGGTCACCATCATCCCGGCCCTGATATTGGCGCAGGTGGAACCCATGTACGACCTGTCCCGACTCATCTTCTACCGCGAATCCGCGGCGAAGGCGTACAGCCAATTCCCGTTCGCGTTTGCCATGGTCTGCGCCGAGATGCCATACAGCCTTCTCTGTACCGTCGGGTTCTTCATCCCGATCTACTACTTGCCCGGATTCAACAACGACAGTTCGAGGGCGGGATATCAGTTCTTCATGGTGCTCATCACCGAGTTGTTCTCCGTGACCATGGGCCAGATGATCGCCGCCATCACGCCGTCAAGCTTCATCTCCAGCCTGATCAACCCGTTCATCGTCATCACCTTTGCACTGTTCTGCGGCGTCACGATCCCCAAGCCACAGATCCCCGGATTTTGGCGTGCCTGGCTATACCAACTCGACCCCTTCACGCGTTTGGTGTCGGGGATGGTGACCACGGAACTCCACGGGCAGGCCGTGGTCTGCAAGTCCTCGGAGCTCAACCCGTTCCCTTCACCCGCCGGGGAGGACTGTGGAGAGTACATGCGCAACTTCTTCGAACGCGGAGGGGCAGGCTACATTGTCAACAATGTCAGCGACGTGTGTCAGTATTGTGCCTACAAGATTGGCGATCAGTTCTACGAGCCCCTGCAGCTGAGTTTCAACCACCGCTGGAGGGATCTCGGCATCTTTGCGGCCTTTATTGCGAGCAACCTGATCTTGCTGTTCCTGGGGTCGAGGTATCTGAATTTCAACAGACGATAGAGTCCGCCGTGTGGATGGGAAGGTGGGAATATGGAGTGTGCTAGACAGGAAAGGATAATCCTCTGCGGGCATGAAAAAGGGGGACGAGGTAGCTCGCCGCTGTATGTAGTATGTAGTTGTGAAATAAGGCCACGAGAGGACAGTGTACCCATGAGCACCATTGAGCGTTGATTTTGGAGGATAGAAAAAAGAGAGGCCAACGAATACAAAACCAGATAGAACTCCGCCTCATTTATCATTGTAATGCTTTGTAAATCCCAATTGCTCATGCTGTTGTAACCCGACCTTGTCCTCCGTATTACCACCCAGTCGTTCGTGAGCCCGAAAGGGGGTTAGCGTGCTGCACCAGCCACGTGATCTGCATGCGCTTCTCCATCTCCATCTCCACCGCCACAAACCTGTTTTTTCCACGCTCGCGACTCCTCCTCCACGCATGCGCATACCTAGAGCAAATGCAAAACCACTCCGCATCTCACACCTCGTCCCTTGTCGGCGAGTCGGGTCCTCCGTGCTGCTCGCTCACCCGTCCACTCGAGGCTGGCATTTCAGCACAATGACCCGCACGGGCACGGCCATTCTGTGGAATTGTGGCTTGAACCCTCTGACGTCGTCCATCATTCGTTTTTGGGCGAGCGCACATGGGAGGGGTGGAAGGGTCGATGACTTGAACAGCCCGCCATCTTTCTCTCCAGGGTTCGGGTTCTCGTGTTTCTGTCTCTTAACATGGCCTCTTCCCTCGAGCTGTTAAAGTAGCAGCCGGAACCTCTCCTTTTTCCTTCTGTCGCATTTTTGTTCTTCCTCTCCTAGCTTTGCTGTCGCATACGCCTTGACGGTCCGGCATTCGTATCCTTCCCCCGCCTTTCAGGGCCCTGGTCTTACTCTATTCCCTTTGACTAATTGAAACTCCATCGAATGCCGTCCGCACTCATGGAGAACGGTAATGGCGAGAACAACGACCAGAAGGAGAAGTCTCTTCATGAGTGAGTAGATGCAACAGGGCGATCGACGGCAGTCGCATGGCTTCCGGGTCTGGGAACAAAAGTCACTCACGTATCTGTAGGCTTCTTACCTCTTCGCTGGTAGACGTCTACGTCGGCCAGGACTCGACGCGCTGGTCCCTTCACGAGGAACTCCTCTGCTACCACTCGCCCTTCTTCTCGTCCGTCTTCCGTGGGGACGGCAAGAATGAAGAGAAGAAGTCCGGGGAAAACAAGACCTACAACCTCACCGACGAGGACGACTATCCATTTGAGCTTCTGGTGGGCTGGCTGTACTCCAAGTCTCTCCAGCCGCCAAAGACAGAGAAGGACGTCGGCCCCTTACTTGACCTGTATCTGCTCTCGGAGAAATTGCAGATCAAGAAGCTCAGCATCGAAGTGGTCGAAGCGGTCAGGGAATTCTACCACAGCACCTCCACATATCCCGGCCTCCGCAGGGTCCAGTACATCTACGCCGAGACCGACGAGGACAATGAGATGCGCGAAATGATGGTCTCCTCGGTCGCGCGCCAGCTGACCACAAGCGACAAGATCCCTGCCCACTGGGCGACGGCTCTGAAGCGCAACGGACAACTGGCCGTCGACATCATCCGAGCAATCCAGCAATGGCACATCGAGGAACGCAGCATCCCCGACGTTCGCGAGGGTAGCCGGATCCGGGGCAGGCTGCTCAACGGCAGCGTCTTCAGCGCGGTCGAGCGTGCGGCCAAGTCCCACGAGACCGACGAGACCAACGACACGAACTTGGGGGTCGAGAGTCTGAACAGTGGCCCGAGTGATGCACCGAACGCCAAGAGCGACGCTGAAGAGTAAGTTCGCCCGTTCGTGTACCACAAGTTCATTTGGGCGGGAAAAGGGGGATCGGGTATGGGGAGGCTTCCTGCCGCTACTTTCTGGCTAGCGCCGGTGGCCCTCCAAACCTGGTCTTCTTGTCCGCAAGAACATCGAAGCAAAAAAACCAAAGCCCCAACCAAAAAAAGGAAAGAGAGAAGAGAGCTTAAGCTGAGCGAGAACCACGCAAACAAAAGAAGCCCGTTGCCAAATCCGCCACCCCGACCACCAGAGCCGCCAACAAGTCCCCCAGACAAACGACCCGAAGAACCCGGAGGAGGGGGGGAAGGAGAGGGGGAGGTAGAAGCGGGCGGTCAAGGAGCAGCGGAGCCAAAAGTCGATACCGAAGCGGGAGTCGATGCCCAAGACCACAACGCTGACAAAGAAACCGAAACCGAAACCGAAACCGAAGCCGACATCGAGAGCGAAAAGGCAAAAGAAAACAAAAAATCAAGACATGATACCCATTCAAGTAATGACCACACGGACGAGCAGCCCCTTTCCAAGGAAGAATCCCCAGAATCCCACCGGACCGATCCCTCCCCGGCAGCAAAGAGGGATCCCTCGTCCGCGTACAAGGCGTTGATCATGGATGCATGGCGGTTCTCGTCGACGGGGAACCGGGCGGAGAGCATGTTTCTGGCCTCGGCCTGGGCTGTGTATTTTGTCTATTATTTCGGATACGCATTTGGGAGAAACGTCGCTTGAAAATGAAAATCCATCCACCTCCCAAAAAGGAACTACGTTTCTTTTCTCTCTGCCCATGTGCTTATCGCTGCGCAGTGCCTTTGCCGAATCAAGGCGCTGCTGCTGCTGCTGCTACTACTACTACTGCTGCTTTCCCTCTTACAATGGTCCCCTCATCAGCCCTATAGTGGTTAGTGGTCGTCTGGGTAGCAATTGGCCGGAATGCAGAATTCTCACAACACGACGAAGACAAGAAGCAACCAGGGGTAGAAAGGTAAACTGTATTGATACTCCCCCAGTACTTGAGGAGTTGCCACCATCCGTCCACACAAGGCGGCAAGCAGCCTAATGACATCGCGTTATCGAGGCTGGGCAAGTATTGACCAAGACCAACATCCTGTCAGCCGCGATCAAAGCCTCAGCCCTCGCCTCGACACATCCAAGCACTGCCCCGTAACCCTCGGTCCGGGATGAGGCACTAACTAACCAGTAAGAACAATCATGGATACAATCGCGAAGTCCAATGTCCGCTTCCCGGGTCACAACTTTCACTCCTTGTCTCCAGCCCTTCCTTCGCTGCACAATGCACAATGAAAGTGCCCTCTGCCAGCCGGGCCTCCAGCAGTCGGTTTCCCACATTCCTTCAGAAATTCCCTCACCTCGTCCATCCCAATGACATGACTGATACAGGCGCATTCCATCCAGGGCTAACGTTGGAGCATCATAACCGAGCTGGGGACGTAAATCTCTGTGTAGGTCAATTGGTTGCTCCCAAGAATCTTCGAGGTCTCGGTATGGAGAAAGGCGAAGAGGTGATATGAATGATAGTCTGCACTCGATTCCATTAACTAGGGCCGCTTTTATGGTCACTGGTTCCGTTCACCGCCATGCATGGCACATCGCTTTTGACATTAGTGGCTTGTGAACTTTTGCCGCTTGACTTTTGTATCTTCCTCCTCCTATCGATGAATGCTCGCTTTTATCTACAAAGAAGGCGCTGCAATGATTTCAAGAACGATCGCGAAATATGACGGGAAGACTCGTCATCGTCTAGAAGGCATGATATAATCGTGATCGACGGCCAGTTCGGTTGACAAAAGGAGTATGGCGAAGACGACATCATGCACTTCATGCACAGGTTTTTCCGAGCTTTAATTGGATATCCGCTGGTAGAACAATAGATAGGCAACCTTGTTGTCCTTGACGGCGTACTTGGGGTTTGGCGTCTGTTTCCCGGATGAGTCTTTCGGCGTGGAAGTTCCGTTTACCACAGCGCTCATTGTCGATTTAGATCTCGAATGTCCATTGACTTGGCTCCACGTTTTGTCCGAAGTGACATCCTCGTCGGCGTCTTGGTCAAATTGCTCGAATCGATTACCGCCAGCTGTGTGGCGTTCGAGCGCTGCTGCAAGGACCTTCGGATCTTCCTCGCTGCCGCCCTCTGCAACTTCTTCGGACCTGATACGGCGCAGTAATGTGTCGTCCATGCGGATCCATTCGCGGCCATCTTGGCGGCGGATGTCAACAGTGTAGTGGCCGCCGTTGGCATTCTTGCCATGATGGTAGATGACACCTGTAAGGCGGTACTTTGGTAGGCCGCCGTGAGCCGTGTACTTGTTCCGTACTTGCAGGGGGAACACCTCCTTGGGAATTTCGAGTTCCAAGGGGTAGCCGACTCTTTTCCAGATCTTCTCCGCACGTTTCGTGGTGTTGTCATAATGGAATCGTTTGAGATGTAGGATCAGGACCGGAGGTAGAGTTTCAATGAAGACTTGTTTTGTCGCAGTGGCTCTTACTCCTCTCGGAGTGTAAAAATCGCCTTGCATGCTTTCGGGTCTCGTGAGTCCTTTCAAAGCGTCAATGATGTTGTTTACTTGAGGAGAACCGATATCAAGCTGTAGGGGTGAGTATGGCTCCAAAGTGACGGACAGCTTGTTCCCGGAAACCTTTAGTTCGGATCGAAGTTTGCCACCAAAGATGTTGGTCACAGGAGACTCTGCCGCAACCATTCCGGAGGATCGGGTGACTGCAGGCTTCTGCTTGTGGCCTACTTCCATCCAGCCATTCTCGGCATCAGCGTGCTCGGAGGCATTGGAAACGCTGCCAACAGGCGTCGTTCGGCCGGAGCTTGAAGCTGTAGTAGATCTCATGGCGCGAGCACACTCTTCATGCAATTCTTCCAGCAAAAAGCCAAGGAACTCTTGAGCGTCCTGTTGATGGCCCCTCCTCATTTCTCGAAAACGAGGCAGATCTTTTATTGCAGCATAAACGTACTCTGGAATGAAAGAGTCGCCATAGTTTTCATAATCATCTGGTTTCAAGCGTAGGCGGAGCTGATCCACAGAGTTTGCAGAGCAGATGATGGGGTATTCTCGTACAAACATTATAATTGCGTCGATCAAGGGAGTGTCGCTCTTGAATGTATGTGGAGCTCTGTCAGCCAATTTTGCTATGAAATCATAGAACGGCAAGCAGAAAACGAGGACTTGCAACACAGAATTCATGTAGCACATATTGCCGGTATTGACAAGACCACGCGGTTTCAGGAAAGAGATCTTAGCTGGTGCTTCAGTGATCGAGTTCATGTCGTTCAGCACATCGGATAGGGTCTCACTCTTTGCGGTTCCAGAGATGGTCGAGGCTGCCTTGGAATCCAAAGCCGTGAACGGGCCACTCCGCACATCATTTGACTTGAAAAGGTTGGCCCAAGATTTTGGAGCAGCCGGAGGCGAAACAGTGGGAGCGGCAGCTTCAGAAATTGCCTTCATCTCTGACGCCTCTGACGAAATGACTTCAGGCTCCTTTATCTCTATAGACGGTTGTGCCGCTTCGGACGACTTTGACTGTGTCGAAACGACCGAATCACGGTGGCTAGAGCGCGCTGCGGTCGGGCTAGACGGCAGGACTGGAACGGCTGGGAGGATGGGACCAACGGGTCGAACTTTTGGTTGAGTCGGAGTCTGCTGGGACTTTGATAGGGGCCCCGGAACGGCAGAAGAAGGGGTTGTTGGCTGGGTAGAAGCGACATCTGATGGAGCATCGGATGGCAAGGGTGTTGATGCTTGTGTGACAGGCTGATCAGCGGAGACATCTGCGGGCTCATCCTCCTCTTGTGGCACAGCCTCCAATTGCTCTTGTGCCGGCTCTTCTTCAGTGGTTGCTGGAGCAGCTGGTTCCGGGGGGGTGGGCTCTACCAAGGGGTAGACCACCGGTTCCGCGGCAAGGAGGGAGCGAGGAATCCGCCGTCTCTGTCGAGGAGCACGCGGTGGGAAGGCCTCGTCCTCAACAGATAACCAAGGGACTGGGGGATAAAAGGGATCCCTGGGAGTATCGGCGGACGGGCTCTGGACCCGTTGGGGCGCAGGAGAGATCGCTGGGGAGATGTTATCTTTTCTTGTATTCACTGTGCTTGAGGTACTGAGCGGAGGAGAAGGTGGTGTTTGAACCGGGTTTGAGGCAATGGAAGGGGCAGTCGAGGTTGGCTGCGGCGGCACAGATGCTGGGCCTTGAGGGTGTCGCGGCGCAGGCTGCACGTGCGGCTGGGAGGATACAACCAGAGGCCCGTGATGGGGAGGAGGAGCAGCAGGAGGATACTGGGGCGGCGGCACAGGGAGCTGAGCATAATATGGCGGTCTGCCATGCATAGGATGCATGTGGGGTTGTTGATATCCATACCAGTTGGGCGGGTAGTGCTGAGGGTATTGGGGCATCATTGGGGCCATATGCTGTTGATAAAATGGCTGATATTGCGGATGCGGCCTCATGGGAGGCGGCATGTTCGCGTAGGGCACATCGTGGCGCCTCTGGGGAGGCTGCATGGGCATGGGATGTTGCCCATAGGGATGGTGATTTTGTTGCATCGTTTTAATCAAGTCGCGTTCAGGACCTTCTTCGCCAGGACATGATGTCAAACAGTGGGACGAAGCGCGTCTCTTTTCTCTCCGATCTGCGGTCTCCTAAACCAACGATCTCTGCTGCTCCATGATTCAGAGAGGGCGCAGAGACGACAGACAGTTGGAGTTGACGGTGATGCGATGCTGCCAGGGCTCCTGCGCCCAGGGGAAGATGAAGGAAGGCGAGGGAAAGCGCGGTCGGTCGAGGTCAATCGAGGCGACTGCTCCCAGACAGAACAGGGCGACACGGCCACAGCTGGCTCACCGGCAGGAAGCGAGCAGGAGTAGAGAGGTGAGGATGGAGATTCCTCGTGCGATGATCAAGCAAATTATGGGAGAAGAGGTCCAAGTTGGAATCTTTCTGTGATGCGCAGTTCACTGGCAATCAACTTCGGCGGATTTCGCAGTCGGCCGGTGGGCGCTAACCACGAACCACTGCCAGGCCGGCTATTCGCTATTCGCTATTCGCCCCCTTCTCCAATTCTCTCGCCTGGCCATTAGGTAAGCCTGCTGGGCCCCCTCAGGTGCCTCTGGTGCCTCTGGTGCCTCTGGTGCCCTTTCCAGCGAGACGGTGGCCGGGAGTCACCACCACTAATTACTGGCTGTGACTGGTGCCAGAGTCATGATCGTGGTGCAGTCCCCCGCCATGACTTGCCATCGCCATAGTCTTCCACCCTGCGCTGTCGTCGATTGTTTCAACCTCATTCAACTACCACCACCCCTTCACTGGGGGTGATTGTAGTCCCATTCAATTGCATCCGTTTATCACCCCCCCCTTCTATTGTCGTGCAGTCGTTCATCTTCCTTTGGCCGTCGAGGACTCTAGTCTGCTTCACTGCTGGCTTGAGGAGACAGTTCAGCAACAGCAGCGATGTCATCCAGCGCCACCTCCATTCCGCCCACAAGCAAACTCCCTCTGTCCTCGAACTCTTCCAGTTTCTCGCTCGCTCCCCCCGATAATTCCTTTTCCAAACGCTCTAACAGCTCCGGGAGTTCTGGCGCAGCCGTTGCAACGCGTCAGACTCCGCAGGCGCGTGGGAACCAACCTTTGAAGAAGCAGCACAAGCAACAGAGGAAGCCTCGTCTCGTTGATGAGGATGTCCTGCATGAGACTCAAGCTATGAGGTCCATCAACTCGCGCAAGGGTCAAACCTCGATCACCCACCTTATGAACTTTTCCCTGCCTCCCCGCCCTCAGCACCATTATCAGCATCACTTCAATCATCGACACCAGAGACGCAATCCTACTTGGGGGCTTGGTTCGGGCTATCATGCTATCGACAAAGCCCGCTATGTTCACGCCAACTATCGTTTCGTCGTCCGCCCTGACCGAGAATACCACGCTCAGACAGTCGACGCAGATGTCCATGTCAGTTGGGATGCCGTCTTGCAAGTGCTGGCTTCCGCCGAGACTCAAGATGCCAGCTGCCCAATCTGTCTATCCACTCCAGTCGCTCCACGCATGGCTAAGTGCGGTCACATCTTCTGTCTACCCTGCCTCATCCGCTATATGCATTCCACGGACGAGTCGAATCCCGTTCCCGAAAAGCGGCCGAGGTGGAAGAAATGCCCGATTTGCGAGGATAGCATTTACATATCTGATGCAAGACCCGTCAGGTGGATCCAGGGCAACGACGTCAGCATGCTGAGAGAAGGTGGTGACATCCTGCTCAGGCTGCTGAGGCGTGAGCCCGGTACAACGCTGGCGTTGCCCAGGGATACTGCTGAGGGCAGCGGCCGGTCTGAGGACATTCCCTGGTTTCATGTGGCTGGAATGATGGAATACGCTCGTTTTATGAAAGGTGGTGAAGAATATATGAAAGCTCAGTATGACCAGGAGATTGCGGACCTCGATACTCAAGAAAAGGAGGACGAATTGATGTTCGGTGATGATAACACTTGGACCCGGAAAGCCGTCCTGGCCATCGAAGATGCCAAACAGAAGCTGTCCGGCTTGGGCAATCCTCCTGTGGCAGCGCCAAACTCTCCCACAAAGCAACCAGAGATCCCGGAGTCGTGGGATTCGCCCGAACAGGAGGTTTCTGACCTGTCTTCAGCTGTCAAGTCATTGACTCTTGCTCAAAGCGCCTCTACGACGAAGCCTGCTTCAGTTCCCTCGAGACATGCTCACGGACCTCATCGACCGCCGTCGCACCCGTTCTATTTCTACCATGCATTACCCAACTTCTTCCTTTCACCACTAGACATTCGGATTCTGAAGGCTGCTTTTGGCGACTTTTCCGCATTTCCTTCAACCATCCTTCCACGGGTAGAGCACATATCTACAGGGCACATCATAGACGATGACCTTCGCAAAAGAGCCAAATACATGGCTCATTTGCCATATGGCTGCGAGGTGACATTCTTGGAATGTGACTGGACAGATGTCATCAGCCCAATTGTTCTAGAGCAGTTCCAGGATGACATCAGCAAGCGACGAAAGAGGAACCTGGAAAAAGAGGCAAGGGAAGAGAGAGATAGAATCCGAGCCGAAAAGGAAGAGGACGACAAGAGATGGGCTGCCGCCCGACGTCCGCGCAGGCCAAGTTCTGTGCCCAAGAGTTTTACTGAATCTGATTTCCAACCATTGGTGGACCGGGCAACTCATGCGAGCTCATCGCCAGGCGAGTCTGGTCTAGCTACAACACCGCCTTGGGGTAATGCCCGGGCTCAATCTGCGTTTGCGACGTTGGCCACACCAGGCACTAGTCCTGACGCGCCTCGAACCGTCTGGGGTACAACGGCGGTGGCTCCAACCTCCCCGCCATTGCTCGCGGCCCCTGAACCTCTGAGTGCACAAGCCGACGACGGCTGGCTCCAAGGGTGGGAGCAAGATTTACTTGACGAGGGCGACGCAGTGGCCATGGTTGAGGCGTCTTTGAACAATGGTGGCTCACGCTCTGGTGGTGGAGGCCCTTCCTCGAAAAAAGGAAAGAAGAAGAAAATCACGCTGATGTCCACGGGTAATCGACGTGGCGCTTAGCAATAGATTGGAATCTGAGATAAACTGTTGAATTTGTTCAGAATTGACATGTGTTAACGAGATCAATGAGATGAAAGAGAAAGGAGTGCCAGGCTGTGTGATTGTAGATAGCGGCGACCAACCTTGAGTTCGCCATGAAGTATATTTGGGCGGTTGAGCAGAGATACCAGGCTCGCTGGATTTGAGATGACGAAACAGTATTCTTCTTCCTTCATTGAAGTCTGCAGAGACAGGCAAGGCAATAGTTTGGATGAGTGGAGTGGTCGAGAAGGATCCATGTTGTGTTGGGGTTTCTTTCTCCAGCCCCGTATTCAATCTGGGAGGAAAGTCAGGGGTCTGTCGTGCCATACAGCAAATCCCATTGTGTCGAAAAGATTGATTTCCCGTCCTAGCATCAGTACATTTACTCTTTTTCATCGTTACATTCTTGCCCTTGGCCTTCTTTGATCCATAGGCTGCTATGGTTCTCTCAAGGTCCGCCCACCCACATCTTGAGTCAGTGCAACCTCACGCATCCGTAGAGACCGCATTCGTTTAATCCTTCTAGTCAACAGTCTATGTCCCGTCTAGGAAACATCTAGACATCGATAGCGTCCACGACGACGCCCTTGACCCAGTCGTATCCCATGACCCTGGCGACCTCCTGGGCAGTCTCGTGGCTCACCAGGGCACTGACGAGGTACAGGCTCGCGTCGATGCCGCTGACCGTGCCGCCGCTGGTGATGACACGCATGCCGCCCAGCTTCATGCTCTGGCGGCGCACCAGGTTCTCGTGTTTCAGGTTGCTCTCGCGCCGGGCCAGGGAGCCCTTGCGCGCGGTGCTGCCCTTGCGGTTCTTCTTGAACACGTAGGGGTTCTCGTCCAGGTTCTCGCCCAGGTCGAAGCGCGCGTTGTTGACCACGTAGCGCTCCTCCATGACGTCGGTGCGCTCGCCCATCTCGCGCGCCGCGGCGTCCTGGCACTCCTTCTCCAGCTTGATGTAGAAGTCCGGGTGTGTGGTGCCCGCGAGCCCCTGCAGGAGTCCCTGGCTGGCCAAGAAGAGCGCCGCCGTGTCCACGGCCAGCACGGTCCGCTCCCTCGCCGGGTCGGCGGTCTGGGCTTCGGCGAAGGCCTTGATGATCTGGGTAGGCTCGGCCTTGTCCTTGAGCACCTGCATGCATTTCTCCTTGCCGCCGGGGACGACGAGGACGTCGAACTCCCGGAGGCGCTTGTGCGCTTCCTTGAAGGAGATGTGGGCAGTCAAGGTGACGCCTTGGGCGGTCAGGACGTGTTCCTGCGCGGCGGCGAAGGTGACATCGAAGGCTTTGGTTTCTGCGGTGGCTCGCGTGTCAGCTTGGTCTGGTGTGGAAAGGCGGTCGCGTGATGCGGGGCCCGGGAAGGGGGAGAGTATCTACCTGGGTCGCTGGCGTTGTATTGTGCGTGAGTGAGAACTTCAAGCGGGCCCGCAAAGTCGAGTAGGTCCATGCCATCGTGCATGGTGAAGAGGACCTGGATGGGCTCGTTGGCCTCGGTGTCCTGAATCGCACTCATCTTGCCGGCTGTGGGTGGGTATGTGTTTGGGAGAGGAAATAGAGAAGGGAGATGTGCCTAAAGTAGCCAGAGGATGTTTTGTAGGTTGTTTGTTGGAGTGATTGAAGAATTTCGAAGGCCTTGTGTGGAGGTTGTGGTGGTGTGATGGCTGGGCTGCGGTGACTGAGTGAAGGGAAGGGCGAAGGAGGACGAAAGGGTTCGACAGGTGGCCTTCCCGGCGCAGGTGGCTCGGCGGTTCGTTTCTGCGGAGACCCCACGAATTCCATGAGCGCAGTGGCTAAAAACGTGGGGTATTGAGAGGCACTAAATGAGGGGCACCAGACCATGCCATGGCCACCAGGGCGCAGGCAAATCGTCGGGGATTGAATGGGAAGGTCGCAGTCTCTTCCTACCGCTCACCACCACCCTTCTGCCTCTCCTGTCACTATCAACAGCATTACAAGCCTACAACGGCCAAAGGTGGCACTGCCAGATGACCCAAGCGAGAACATTCACCGCCTCAGCCTGTGGGTTCTTGATACCTAGGTAGAAGCCTATCAAAGTCTCTCGCTCTTCCACGAACAGTTCCTCTTCCATGAACTCAAGGGGTTCAATGGACATCAGCTGCCTTTTCTCCCTTTCTCTTTGCCTACTCTCCAATAACGAAGCTGGAATCTATCATTTTGATCTGCAATGTGCTTCCCAGTTCAGGCAGGCTTGCATTGTGTCAGCTGCACGTTGACGAAGTTTGAAGATACGTGGAACATGCAATCACCAATCGACCTGAGCAGCACTTGCGCCTTTGCTTCCAGGATATCTTAGCCCTACTCAGAGAAACACGAAAGTCCAATCCGGGAGTGGTGCATCATGCACGGTCCATGACGCGTCTGAGGCTCCTTTGCAAACACCAAGAATCATGTGCTGCCAGATGCAACCCTTCTCATGAAGCCTAACACGTCGACGGAAAACGACAGCCCTTTGATGTCTGGCTCCTCTTCCCGTGTCAGCAACCAAGGTCTAGACCTTTGCATGCGCTGTTCGAGCAGGACATGATTCGTTTCTGCCCACGAACCTCGCTGCGAGCCCGACCTGATAGGAATGAGTGTCCAGAAGGCGGTGTAGAAGGTGGCGACAGGGACTGGTGATTGTGCCAGTTGGGACAGGCTGGGTAGCCTGATGGTGTGCACACTCCCTGTCTTCTTTATGCCCGATGATGTTTTGTTATGCATCTGTCGTTTGTCCATATCCGCGTGATCAATTGGGCTGTTTGAGCCGCAGCGGCCTCTATTCCCCTTGTCAAGAGCGGCCTTCTACAGGGCATGGTTGGGACAAAGAAGCGTCCCGGCGTTCACACTTGGTCTTCGATGGCTTCCCTGGTTCTGCCCACCTAAGAAGGGGGGCATGTTGAGCAGTATTTAAAGGCGTTCGAGGGCGCGCCTTGTCTTTTCTAACATCGCACTCTGCAGTTCACTGGCTTGTCAATTGTACTGTAATGTGAACAACAAACAGAATTTGTGCCGAAGCTTTATTGTGAAGCGAGGCCTTGATCGATATCAGTGGCCCTCCAGCCCCCAGGACCGTGCAATACCTTTATCGAGGTCAACCCTAAAAGGTGCAGACAAAAATGTCTTCCAGAACGGGCAAGCAATCTTATGACCAAAAAACCGCACAATGGAACTCGGATTTCGCAGACCACTCTGAGCCAAGCGTTCGACATTCACACAAATCGCACAGGAGCCAACAGAGAACCACTTCTGACCTCTGCAAGCAGCCAGAGGATGTTTGCCGGACTGCTGTGGGGAGTAAACAGCAAGATGTGGCAGACACGACGGAGAAGGAAAGGAGATTGCAACGCGAGCTGGAACAAGAAAGAGCACTCTCTGCAACGTTGCGAGCAGAGAATGAGAATTATTACAACGAAACTCGTCCCCATCTCCAGTTCCTCGAATGCCAAAATTGGAAAATGGCAGGAGAGCTTGCCAGATTGAAGGCCATCCCAAAAGGGAACACAACTGGCCATGTCGTACCCACGGAGGCGAGCACCGCGCTAGAAAAACAGGTCGATACGATGATAATGCAGTACGTGGTTCAACTCAGGCATGAAATCTGCGATCTTAAGCGCCAGACCAGTATATTGGCAAACGACAATAGGAATCTCGAGGAGAAGAAGAGGAAGCTGGAGCGACGATACAATGCATTGGCAGCCGAGAGGGGACGATATGCACAGTCGGTAAGTCCACATGTTATGCAAGATGGAGATGTCTGCGGTCAGCTAACTTGTCGGATGACATAGGAAGGGTCAACGCGACGATCTTCTCGGATGGGTCGAGGGACTTACTGAACGTCCTTCTTTCGCGCGCAAGCTGCGCTGAGGACTGCTCATGCAGTCAAAGGCCGTTTCTATTCGGGTTTCCTGGGCTAAAATGCTGAAGGGATTTCCACGACATGAATCGAGCCCACCAAGTGTTCCTGAGAGTCTTCGTCGGAATCGAATGTGGTCCGTTGCGCTTTCTGGGAGGCAGCAGGGTGTCAGAACCGAGCAGGTCTCGGATGCTTTGACTGGGCCCAACGGGATTTTCGAGATCAACCCCATCTGGCTGAGTACCTGGAGATTGATGGTGCAGAGAAGTTGCAGCAAATGCTCACGCCGTCTTCCGCGAGAACGTCGAACTCTATGAACGGGTTCGGAGGGTCGACGACACAGATTGCCTCGTGTGTTTGCAGCTAGAAATCGGTACCTAGTTAATCTACCTGTCTATTTCTTTGTGTCCAGGTGAAAACGAAATTGCCAACACTTCATGCTCCTCTCACCTATCACATCCTGACTTGGTACGCAAAAAGCCCATTGTCCGCGGAGGTGCTTCGACCCAGATGGATGAACAAGCTCAAGATCTTTCCATAGGATATCACCACTTAGTCAGCCATGGGATTCTTACGCAACAGTGAACTAGCTACCTAGGCATGCTTCCCTCGTCATCCGCCGTCATCTCGCTGCGGGCCACATTCAGGAATTTGGCCGCTTTGGGTTTCCCCAACTTGCTGGTGACTTTTCCGTTTACGCACCGAAAGTCTGCAAGTATAATACTTGCCGCAGAGGGTAAAGTTCAGGCACGCCGTACGCCCTTGGGGGTCCTAGATGTTGCCTCCATTGAGGGTTATAGGGTAGGCTCCAAATGGAACCTTGAACCCATGGGTTGCAACAGCGCGGCTGAGATACTGTGCCTAGGGGGCGGAATCTGAGGACTACGAGTTATCGTCCAAGCCGCGCTAGGCCCCCTCAGGTGATTAGGGAGCTTGTCAGCCATGCATTTTAATGAATGCGAGTGCACAGACAGTGGCGACCGTCCTGTCTTTCTGCTCACGCAGGCTTCGCTCCCGCTGGGCATTTTCAGTGGGTTAATACAAACTAGGATCACCCGGAAAGAGGCGACTTGGGGGCTAGGAATGGGTTGACAAGATATTAAAACACCCCATTCAAGCTCTTCCCACGGCAAGAATGAAGTTTGCGATTCCCCATCTCGATCTCGTTTTTGGAATCACACCACTCCGGCCAGGGGTATAGGATAAACTTTAAGCTCACCTATATACCTCTGTTGGGAATCCTTGCCTTGGACTTCCGGTCTTTCACAAACCACCTCTGTGGCCTCCTAGTATAGGATTTGCAGCCATCGACCGCGTAATAACCATCAAAAAGCCATGTCGGGCAACAAACTCATCGTCATCTTGGGAAGTGGACCTGGCATAGGAGCTTCGACGGGGGCGCTTTTCGCGTCCATGGGCTTCGACGTCGCATTGCTCTCTCGAAACGTTGAACGACTTGGTCAAGAAGCTGCTAGAGTACAAGCAGCAAATCCCCGTGTCAAGGTCAAAGCTTATCCCGTTGATGTTGGAGACCACAACGCCCTGGCATTAGCGCTGGGCAAAGTCGGTACAGAATTGGGACCGCCGGAAGTGGTATATTTCAACGCAGCAAGAGTCGCGCCCTCGAGGATCGGTGGGACCAGTCCGGACTTCCTGCTGGAGGACTTCAAGGTGAGAGCAGAGACACCCGTACAATATTTTAGAGGCGTCGCCTTTACCGAGACTTTGTTGGTTGTTGTTCGCTAACTGTTTTCGGCACACAGAGCATGAACCTTGGCCTTTTCGTAGCAGCGTCATGGGCGTTGCCACATTTGACCGCCGCGGCCGAGCAACCAGGGACCCATCCATCGTTCCTGTTCACCAACAGCGGCCTGTGGGATCGTCCGCTGGCAAACTTTGCATCACTCTCCATGCAGAAGGCCGCACAGTATAACCTGATGCTGAGCCTGAAGCAGATGGTGGAAGCGAGAGGGGTCCATGTCGCCGGCGTCAACATCGGCGGGCTCGTTCGAGAGGAAGACCCTGTCATCAACCCGAACAACATCGCGCGAGCTCTCTTCGATTTGTCCCAGGAGGACAAGCCCAACTGGCAGTGGGAGGTCAAAGTGGGAGACTGGGACGAGTTCCTGAAGCAGATGTCGGCGGCTCAGAAGGCTGCATGATCATTGTGTGCAGTATTTGTCTATGTCCATGTGGCGATGCTTGTAATCATATCATACCTTTGGCTGGATGTACTTCTGTTGCCTCACGCGGGTGTGCCAAGTACAAATAAAAATTCCCTAGAGATGGAGGTTTGATTCAAAGGATCGATGAATAATCCCAGGTAATGTATATTCGTTGGTAGGAAAGCCATTAAGCTACATTCTTCACCATTGAAAGACGCGTCCTTGTTACGTCATTTGAAACGAGCCTCAACACTCGGCACAGGCGTAGACGGACCATTGTTAATCCGATGATTTCGCCGAACAAGCACAATAATGATCGAGCTGAGCCTACGTGGCTGTGAGCGTGCGAGTGAAAAATTCACGGCAATCAAGGCAAGATGGTTGTCAATACTGCGCCGCGACGTGCTCGCATCATCCTTGGTGGTGCCTGCTGCCACCTAGCTGAGTCTCCCCAGCTCAATCGACGAAGGTCTGTTGACCTTGAACTCCGACACTGCCACGCCCGTTGGAAGATTACTGGTTAGATTCGGCAAGCCTTGTTGTCCATCAATCCATCGCCTCTGTCAAACGACACTCCAACGACGCGATGCACCTCATCGACTGTACCGACCTTACAAACCTGCGTCTAGTTACCCGATATGGTGACAATGTACCACGCTACGCGGCGCTATCTCATACCTGGTGTGCCGACGAAAGCGATGAGCCTACATTTCGAGATCTACTAGAGAACATCGGTAAGAGCAAGCCTGGCTATGGGAAAATCAGCTTTTGCGCACGACAAGCTCGAAGAGATGGCCTTGACTTTATATGAGTCGACACGTGCTGTATAGAAAGAACAAACATGGTTGATCTACAAGAAGCCATCAACTCAATGTTTGACTGGTATAAAAAGTCGGCAATGCATTATGTGTACCTGTCGGATGTGTCGACTACGTCTCCGGCCCGGGACGTCGGTGAGAGCAATATTGGGCCTCACTGGAGAGAAGCGTTTGGGTTAAGCCAATGGTTCACACGAAGCTGGACGTTGCAGAAGTTGATTGCTTCTGTGTCTGTTCAATTTTTCTCCGTCGAAGGCTCGCTGATCGGCAAGAAGGAGAGCTTAGAACAGCTGATCAGTGACATTACAGGCATCGACAAGCAAGCTCTTCGGGGAAGAGCCTTATCAGATTTCGACGTTGACACCCCGCTGGCGTGGGCCGCAAATCGTGTCACGAAGCGACCAGAAGACCAAGCATACTCGCTAGTCGGTATCTTTGGCGTGCGCATGACGCTGCATTATGGAAAAGGACAGGAATATACGTTTGCTAGTTTGCAGAGAAAGATTATCAAGTTGCGGAAGATCACTAAAGAAGCCGATGCGTCAGTCATTCTCTCAGAGGCCCCTGAAAACATGGGTCTACGCCTTCGACTCAAGGGGAACAATCGGACAGGTGGTGACATAGTTTCGTGCGAGAAGGATGATGTGGAACATCGCAGCGATGATACTTCTTCACCCGAACGCCAAAATTGGTCCGGTGTGGAAGTGCTCCTGCGTTACCTACTAACGCAAATTGCCCTCTACACCTCACCCTTCCACGCAACTTCTCGAATATTAAGCCCTTTGAGGTCGAAATGGACGTCTCACGCGGATTCTAGGTGGAGTGACTGTGTGTGAACCGAGTGGCCTAAGTAACCTAAGTGACCTGAGGAGGTCACTCACCTCAGTAACCTCAGCAACCTCCCTCCTCTCCTCCTCCTCCTCCGCCCCTCGGCCCCCGCCCCTCCGTCATTTAGAGTTTCACGGATCCGTGATGCGGGGAGAATGAAGCGCAGCCAATGAGAGCAACGTCTCTTGGACCCACATTTCCGAATACAATTGCAGTTCAACTCTTCAAAAGCATCGGTCAGGAGAGTGTGTGCTCTCTTACTCTGATGGCTGGGATCTCTAGCTCTCTGGAGGGATAAAGGACACAATTGTTGTTCTGGCACCGACTAAAACAAAACTCGAAATAGCTATATTGGATGGAAGGGACATACTTCCACGCATACCATAAGGCCGCTGTTCAAGAAGAATGCTGGGACAGAAACAAATATTTTTCCATAGATTGATCCAAGTCGAGGTGAGGAAGACGTGAATGGATAGGTACAATGTACTGAGGTCATGTTGCTTGAGCGAATGGACGAAAGTATGTACGTATCTGGTCCGTGCTGGTCGAAGCCTTAAGATCGATGTAGGAGAATTGATCCCTCCCCACACCCACCCCCCAAGACCCCTTATTTGCCCGGGGCGGGGTTGAAGCGAGCCCGAGGGGCCTCTGCGCCTTCCGGAATCTGCACCAACCCATGTTCTAATAAGACCGCCGTTCCTCGATCAAGAACGCGCAGTGATCATAACCTTCAAATTCCGTCCTGTGGCTGGAACTGCTTTTGAAACTTGTTCTGGACATTCGACTCGTTTGGTCGGCAATATCAGTTTGTAGCAAGATCAAGGGATCGCTGGCATCATTATGGATATACAGATCGCTCCAACTCCAGCGACATACCTACCTCAAGCCATGCGCGTGCCAGTGTTTGATCGCCATGTTCGGCGCAAGCAGTTTACAAGTTGCGACGCATGTCGCAGACTTCGACGTTCTTGCGACGCCTTCAATCGAGGCGCAACTCCACTGCAGCCACAAAACACGACAACCGACTTCCGGGGTTGTTCGGCGTGTGTAAAAGCGGGCAGACGATGCACGTTCGAATGGCTCAAGGATGTGCCAGAGACAACCCTTCCTCGAAGGCTTAAGCGACGAAATGTTCCGGCGTCGAGGGACAACGACAATACCCGGGAGACGAACCCCGTCAGAGAGCCGAGTAACAACGGCATGTACACATCCATTCCTCGCCCGACTCTAGATACCACGCCGACGGACGCGACGCTCTATCAAGAACTGCAGCAACCTGTGGACTGGGACGCCATCGCGTTTCAACAGGAAAACTACATGAACGACTTGTGGGCAGACACCTTTACACATAACTTGTGGTTCCATGATGTCCCTCAAGCCCAATCATGTAGCAAACCATGCACGAATACCCCCAGAAGCGGCAAAATGCCCTCCAATACCTCGCATGCCAATTTAGCTGCACTTCCTTCAAATTCTGGGGGGATGACGCTGTCATCTGCCACCCCGCCTCAATCCTACACCTTTGAGCCTGAAGTGATGCCAGCGCAGAGAACGACACAGCCTGACATTGACCTGGACTGGTTTGACCCAACCGATGAAGAATTGCCCCAGACCTTCAATCCTAGCGACTCGTTCAGCCAAGAAAACAGTTCAGACGCGTTTGGCGAGATACCGAAAACGACCTCGGCTTCACCAACACTGGACGATCACATCGTCCAAGTTACCAACAAGCGCCTGATATCAACGGAGTTGGTGCAGATTTACCATACCAGCATGGAGAGCTCTATGGTCTGTTTCCTTTCCGAGTACAACTGTCCCTACAGTAGTGGCAAAGTTTCGCTACTCTACTGTCGCAGAAATGGCAAGAACTTCTATCAATACAAGCCACCAACATATCTTCAACGCATTCATCAACTCGAACAAGCCTCAGAGCCTCTTCGCGGCAAAAAGCTGACGTCAGGACAAAAGATTGTGGCGGCAAAAGCTCTCCAGCTTGCAATCATGGCTTTCGCATGCCAATGGACCCATGCATCAGTCTGGCCTCCTCGATCGCCAAATGCGAGTTTCTCCGATGCCATGATCGACGAGATCGGAACCTCGTACGGATTCGAGCGCTTACTACAGCAGAGCCTTTGGCACGAGGCGCAAAGATACGTAGAGACTACTGCATATATTGACAGCTTCCGGTCGATCTTTGCACAGATTCTATTTTCCATGGTTCAGCAACCATCCTTTTTGAACGACCTCGAGAAGGAAGCACTGGAAAGTCCCGCCCCATCTCCTATTTCGGTAGCAATGAGGTTCGGCGATCCGGCGACCGAGTCAGATAGCCCTTTCTCTCGTCAGACGCCCAAAGTGAAACCTGAAGAGCGCATGTTTCGCCACAAATACCTAGCCCAGGCTCTGCGGCATCTTGCGCAGTGGAAGAAGCGTCTGTCAAGGTGGAAGAACAGTTCTGAACTCTCGGCGGCTGCTGAGACCAAAGATCCGGCACTCCAAAGGGCTGCTAAGGAAATGGATGGCTCATTTCATCTCCTCTGGTGGTTTGGTGTCATGTGCGACACCAGTGTGTCGGTGATCAACGACAAGCCCCTTGTCATCCCAGATCATGAGGTACACACCTACAAAGCGCCGCAGTCTGCCCGCATTGAAAATGCTCCGCCGCCTGAGATACAACCAGGGCAGCAGCGAGCCGATGAAAGAAGGAGCGACAGCCACGCCGCCTCGAAGCTTCACATCTGGGATGTGGACCTCATGCCAGCCCAACCTTTCCAGGCATTGATTTCAGATGCCGAGTCTGTCATCCGAGAGGCGTGTCCTTCCAAAGTGCTGATGTGGCGCAAACTCGGCAGTCTGAAGGCCATCATCGACCAGCCCGTCGACCAGGATCTGACCGAACGACACATCCGGTCCACGTTACAGGTCTATGAATTCTGGCGCAACACGTACGGAGACTTCATCCAGGAATGCATCCGCAACCACCACACGCTCTCGTTCCAGGTGCAGTCCTGGTACGTCATCCTTGGCTGCCACTTCCACCTGGCTTCGCTGTTCATCGCGGACTGCATCAAAGAAATCGACCACCGTCGCCAGTCCTCTACCAAGGGGCGGTTTCTGCGTGCCGCCTCGGCTCTCACGCTGGAAATCACAAAGACCGGGGTCAATGTCATCTCCGAGATAGCTGCCGTCTCTCTTTGAGCTGCGACCTTGTCCCAGCATGCCAAAAACAACAACCAGGTCCATCCCGCCCTCAGCCAGGCCGCGATGCTTCTCGAGCCCTGGACCGACATCCTCGGCGAAGCCTTTCAAAAGACCTTTGACGTCTGGCTCGACTGGTTGTCCTTTTGGGCGTCAGGCGCCGGCCCGGTCTACAGTAACAATGAACGGGAGTGGTTGGAAGGCAACACGGATCGGGCGGATATTATCAGGAAGTGCTCGAGTTGCATCGACGCAATGGAACTTTTGGGCCGGAAATCGGTCCGATGTTTTTTGTTCTCTCGAAAGATGAGATCGCAGCTGAGTGAGTTTGTTGGACTTGAACAACGGGACTAGTTTGTCGGACTACTCTCCTGCGAATATCATATCCAACAACCAGGGATCGATGTCTTGTCAGAGTCGGCGACTCTTTGGGCGTGTGAACATAGTGAGTATTCAAGCAACATAATTTCTGGAGAGGATATTCTGCTTGTCTAATGTCAAGATTGGATCGTTTGGTGCCGTCGTTTGAATGCTGTCCACGTGGTTAAGGGTGCTATGGCAAAAATCGGGACACGAGCTCTTGATGTCGTATTTAGTGTCTGTATATACTTCCTGGTGGAAACGAGCTATCTGAGGCAATCCCATATAATTGAAAAAGACCTTACATGCATAGTGAGGCAATCCTTGTCACCAAAATGCAGCCCAGCATCAAACCTTGAACTCGAAACCTTCGCCGCTCTCGATCGCTTTCAGACAATCCTTGGAGTATTGGTCGAGCCCCCCGATATACAAGAGCGGTTGAGTCTTGCCTCCGACGTTTCCCCTGTTCCACCAGGAATCCGTGTGGGCGAGGAGGGTCGGCTCGAGGTCACGGGCGATCAAGTCTGCCCATCTGGTCTCCGCCTCGGGGGTAGGCTCGACCCATTTGGCATGCCTTTTCTCCACCTCCGCGATCAGCGCGCAGACAAGGTCGGTTTGGGCCTCGATAAGTGTGGTGCCGTTGGTGAGCGCCGTCGGTGCTGTCGAACAGGGGGTAAAGTGTCAGCAAATTCAGGTCAATGATAAAACGGCCACACTTGGCGGGTAGCACTACGACTGCTACCACCAGTGTTCAGACGTACCTTGAGGGCTATAAATGAGAAAGCAATTCGGAAAATCACTGATGGTGATGCCCAAATAGGTGTGGATTTGATCTTTCCACAAATCTTTGATATTGACTCCACTTCGACTTTTGAGTCCCATGTGGAACATCCTACAAGAAAGTCTGGATCAGCGCTTCTGGACTCGACTCGGCGACGCAACAGTTGGAACAGATTTGTTGGGAATAAAACTCACGACCCGGTGTAGGTGTCGAATCCCGTGGCAAAGATGGCCACGTCGAACTCATGAGTGCTGCCGTCCTGCATGACGACTCCCTTTTCCGTGAAGGTCCGCAGCGGCACGGCCTTCATGTCGACGATATGGACATGGTCCTTGTTCAACATTTCGTAGTAGTCATGCTCCAGCGGACTGCGCCTGGTGCCGAAGTAGAACGGCATCTCATCCGGGGCCATGATGGCTTGTTTCGCGGGATCGGTCAACCTGGCGCGAGTCTTTTTCTTCCAGAAGTCGTAGACGGCCTTGCTCGCCTCGGGGCTGGTCAAAAGGTCGGTGTAGTTACACAGCAAGAAATTGAACGCTCCACGACTCCAGATCTCTTCAAAGTACGCCTGCCGTTCTTCGGGGGAGGCCTCGACGTACGACCTCCGTTGGTCACGACGGTACGGGAACCCGTTCAAGGAAGAGCGACACGCTTCAAACAACTGAGGATAGTAGCCCTTCCATTGCGCTTGTTCTTCCGCCGTAAGCTCTCGATTACGCATCGGCATCGCGTTGCTGGGCCGGCGGACAAAGACCGTGAGCTGTTCAGCCTGCTTGGCCACTTCCGACGTGATCTGAACCGCCGTTGCACCCGCTCCGAAGATGGCCACCTTCTTCCCCTTCAGATCCAAGTCCTCCGGATATGCGGTCGAATGGACGACAGTGCCCTTGTAGTTGTCGGCGAGGCCAGGGAAGTCTGGCAGATATTTCTTGTACAAAAGCCCGCTTGCCAGGATGAGGTATTTGCACTTCGCCGTCCGTCCGGTGTCACTTCGGACCGTCCATTCCCCTTCGTCGTCATTCCATGTTACTTCGACGACGGTGGTGTTGAAGAAGGTGTCCTTGCGGATGTTCAAGACCTTGTCGATGTGTGCGATGTACCGGAAGAGCTCGGGGCGATCTGGGAACCGTTGCGCAAAGTTCCAAGTTTTCCAGACCTCGGGAATGCTGAGCTGGTAGAACGGGGATTCCGAGTCGACCCTGGCGCCAGGGTATCGATTCCAATACCAGACGCCACCAAAGTCGCTCGCAGCCTCGAATATTTTGGCATTCAAGCCTTGCTTGCGCAGATTGTACAGCGCCGTGATACCACTGAAGCCGGCCCCGACAATCAGAGCATCGAGCCGAAGCATCTCAGATGCTGAACCCATATTTGCTTCTCGTAAGGTTTGGTTCAGTTTCGTCGTTCTCTGGGTGACAAGAACTAGTCGTTGACTTACTTTCCTCCCAAATATATCAGTATCTGGACAGCATTTTGCCCCGTCGAACCCTCTCCACCAGGATGCGTGTGGTGTGTGGTCTGAGCCCATGTTTGCCGCGGCAATTACTGGACCGTCGATGGTAGACGGAACCTGGTAGTGGATAGTATACGAAAGCGGATCCGTCCCAAGTTCCTGCGGGGTCGATATCCCTCCAGGCCCGAGGCTGGGCCTGCAAGGCTGCAATATGTTGGGGTGCAGGGAGTTGTAACTTTCAAGGAGTGTCTCAGCGGAAGGGGGCTCCCTTGATAGTTTGATGTCACGGCACCATGGCCATTGCTTGCACAAGATCACAAAAAGTATTGGTATTTTGTAGCATCTTCATCAACTACGCTTAGATCAATGGTTATCACATTCGATGAATAAGATCTATTAGTCTAATGACTAGACATCGTAATTTGTGACTTTACGATGGAAGAGAATGAGAATGGGGGAAAAGGGACTGCAATCTTTTGGGTCAATCCAATAGTGATCTCTTCTTCAAATTAGTGAGGTATTGGGCTGTCTCAGAGAAAGATTCCAGTACAGATTGTGCGTGAAGATTCAGAATTTTGAAGCAATGGATCCGCATGAATATATTACCAGGGGGAAATGTGCCATAAGTGTGTCTTAAGAGCCTTGCGTTCAAGCTCTAAACCGCTGTTTTTGGCCGATTGCCTCCGCCTCCTAACCAAATATATATGTGAACTATACATGTAGCGCAAGCCTTTGTGTAGGGCAACGAAATGGACAACTTCTTGGTTCATTTCGGTTCAGAGTTCTCCAGGTGATGTTCTGTGTTGTGGGCTGGGGTTTTGTGGTGGTGAGAAATTTTGGCGGCAATTCGGTTGGTCATGAACAAGTGGACGTCTCCTAGGAAAAGAGCTGCGATAGTGCTTAGGATTCCGAAGGGAAGCATGGCGTACCAGACCCATTTCAAGCTCGCAGCATATGCGAAGCGTTGTCCCAAAGCGGCCTGTTTCACGATGTTCGCGGTCACGCCCGGAACTTCCGTAATGTTTGTAGGCGCCGTAAGGTAGGTTTCGACAAAGGCGGTGGCTGATGACACCGGTAGACCGGCTGCGACTGCATATTGGGCAAGGTACTTCGGCAGATTTTTGGCCATCTTCGATTGGAGAATGTTCGTATTGATGGCCGTACCAACTGAACCTCCGACGGTGCGGACACTGATAGATAGGGAGACACAGGTGGCGATACTGTCATCCGGTGCCGCAGTCACGGCAGTAGTCAGGGAGCAGGCGACCATTGCCCCGATACCGAACCCGCTGATAGTACAGAACGCAATGCTCTGGACGGCGTTTCCAGGGTGAGCTGTTACTAACGCAGTCCCGAAGACGGTGGCCAGGAGTGCGCAGACGGCGAGAATTTCTCGCTGGCGCTCTTTATACACCGACAGAAGCATGTTGGGAATCACGGCCCCAGCAGTCACGCCAAAGATAATAATCATACCCTTAATTCCGGCGCTCACTGGGTCCGGGTCAAAGATATAGAGGTATATAACCGGAGAGTAGTTGAGGATCCCGTAGAAGTAGATACCGGAGATAAAGGTAACCAGGAAACTCATGGCGACCACACGTTGACCGGTGAAGAGGCGATGAGGTAGCATTGGAAAACTGGCGAACTTCCACTCCCAGATGCCGAATGCGGGAATCATTAGGATGCCGATGACGAGGGGGGCCAGCACTCGACCGCTCTTCCATGGACTAGTCACTCCACCAGCAGTGAGCCCGACAAGGCTGGTCGGTATGGTCAGCATTTGAGTCTCTGCGTAGTCATCAGCTTGGAATCATTGGCTTCACGTACAAAAGCGTCAATGCCCCAGTCGAAAGAAATCCTCCGATATAGTCGATCTGTTTCACGATTTCTTTTTTCGACATTTTGTCGCCACGGAGTTGCGACTGAGGCCAATAAGTGAGAGCAATCCCGACCACCGAGAGAGCATTCCAGATCCTGTTCAAAATCAGTTGGGTGAGCGACTGGACAAAGGACTCTGACGAGGAGAGGGTTGAGCTTACAGACAAATCCAAAAACCCCATCGCCAGGTGGCGTGGGTGCTCAACTCGGTGCAGTAGATAGGAAAGGGCGAGAATGGTAAGATGAGCAAGATAATAAGACCAATGTAGATGCCTCTCTTCCTGACCGGTACGAGCTCGGCAGTTCCAGCAAATGCAGTCAACTCGCAAATAGCAGCTCCTGTGCCAGAGAGGGCTTGCCCGACGATAGCCTGGCCGATCTTGTGAGAGGTCGCACAGACGATCAGCCCGATGCATAAAACGATTCCACCGGTGATTGAGATGGTTCGGCGTCCAAACACATCCTGCATGTAGCCGGAGAATGGAGCGATGGAGGCGAGGCAGAGCGCGTAGGCAGTCGAGAACCAGACTTGAATGTCGGATCCTCCAATATCTGCAATGATATAAGGCAGAGATCCAAGGCCAAGGTAGAGTGGCAACTGGGAACCTGTGCGGACCGGGGTGAACAACACGTCAGTTTCTTCTCGGATTGGAGGTCTCCAAGCAAGAACGTTCTTTCAGAGGACGTACCGACGTAGAGGGCAGAAAGGGAGAACGTGGCCAAGAGGTTCTTCATGGTCCAGTTAACCACTCCATCGGAGTTGTCACCCTTGACAGCGTCCTCGTCATGGTCGGGGGCGAATTCGATCGCTTCTGTGCTCCCAGGTTTGTCTGGTCCCACTTCGACCTTGACCCGTTCACTCATAGATGATTTTTCTTGGTCATGAGTGTCGACTTTTTCGTGCGAACCAGGCATCCTTCTTGTTTTGACTAGGGTGGAACGAACACAAAAGGTTTGATAGGGGTAAATTCTGGAGAGACCTGGGGTCCCCGGGAGGTTTCTCCCCGTACTTTATTGTTTGTCTTGTGCTGTATCAGGGGTAGCTCCACCAAGATGAAGAGTAGTCAACAGTGGATCCATGTCATCGGGACCTGGTATGAACGGGTCCGGGCTTGACAAATCCCAGAATAAGGCTCGAGAACCCGGAAGCGTACGCGAGTACGAACATTCACCGCTATATCATTAGACCTCTCTTGGTCTTCACAATGTTATTGGCTGGACTACAGACTTACATACAGTATCAAGAGCATTCGATAGTCTTAGATAGCTGATAGGTGGATTCAGTATAGGAAATTCTCAATGGACGGCTGGGCCTTCGTACAATGCATGCCCCCGTTCCTGCCTATCCGCTCCTCCTCGAATGAGGCCGTAAATTTCCCAGCTCAAAGTCTGCGAAGACCTAGCATTGGCCTTAGTCCCCTTTCAGGGAGAATTCTCTTTATACCAGCGTTTGTCTATTGCAACTGTAAGTAACGAGAGAGAGGAGTGGTATCATCATCAGCGTCATTTTCTGATCTAGTGATCTAATTTCCAATATCCTCTCGTGTCTTGGCTTTGATGATCGGATTAGAGACTCATTATGGCTCTTTTCCTGTTCTCAAAACACCGCTTTGAAACCTCTAGCCCGCTTGCAAAAAGATCATATCCGTGCGGTAACCCTGGATAGAGGTGGAATTCCACCTCAATGTTCTCCGCCATCAATCGACTTGCGTACACGAGACTTTCGGTGACGAAAATGTCCAAAGAGCCAACGTCGAGGTAGGTCGATGGGAGACCGGCCACACTCTTGGCTCGGGCAGGAGCCACATACTCCGACACGTCTGCTTGGGGATTTCCCGCTTTGTCCTTGCCGAGAACGGCGGCCCAACCAACTTCATTCTCCTCCCATGTGTAAAACACCCACGGTGCCATTTCTGGATTTGGGATTATGTTTCTATCATCGAGCATTGGGTAGATGAGGATCTGTTTGGCAAGCGGAGGTTGGAGGCCTTGGTCACGCGCCTTCAGCGCCACGCCGGCCGCCAGACCTCCACCTGCGCTCTCTCCCACAACTGCAATTCTGGAGACGTCGATGTTGAACTGCGCGGCATGGGTCCGCAGCCAGACGAGGCCTGCGTAGCAATCATCAACGAGTGTAGTGCCCCCGAATTCTGGCGCCCGTCGATACTCCACGCTGAAGAACGGGACCGACGTTTCCTCCACCTGCCGCGCGATGAACTTGGTAAACAGTTCCACGGTGCCCAAGATCATTCCTCCACCGTGGATATGGAGGACGCCCGCCGTCGCTTTCGAAGGGTTCGGAGCAACGACTGCCCTGACTCTCTTAACAAAGGCGTACACAGGAATCTGATGGCCATCCCCTGCTTGAGCATGGTAGAGGACACGTTCGACGTTGGGGTACTCTGGCCAAGCACTAATGATTTGTTCAATGGTGGCCTCATAGGTCCGTCGGCGTAGTTGCAGATCATGAAGATTCGCGTCTGCCCCTTGGAAGCTCTCCTTCAAGGGTTCGAACCATTGAGCAAACTCTGGCTGGTAACGGGATGTCAAGTCGGATGCCATTTTGCTTCATACTTCAGGACGATGTTTGGTTCTCGCTCTGGAGATGGCTGGGGAGCCCATGATGACCTCCCGCCGTGTTATGCTTTCCACATGGCGTATGCTCAGCTGGACGTGGATTACGGGTCGACAAGAAGAAGCCATTGCGGTGCCTTCTCCAAGGTAGACTCCGCAGGTCCGAGCACGTCTGAAGTCTCAATTAAGGTTGGTGGCGCACACGGATCCGGTTGTGCCCACTAAATTCAGGCTTAGCTATTGGTTGACCTGAGATCCACAGAGATTAACCGAGCGCCTCCCCCTCACCCAGGTGAAGCCGTACACACATGAGCTGTCCGTAATCATCTTTTCTGGAGGAGCCTGATACACAAGCTGGCAGTCATCATCCTAGCGAATCTATACGAGGACGTCTATTTCCAGTTTCTTCGCCTGTTTGATGCATGAAGATACGAGGTCCCTTTTCTGGACATTCTCGACATAATAGAGTGACGGGAAGTAGGCAGGTAACATTGTACCGTCGAAGACCAGACAGCCGGCTGCCGATCAATCATGGCCTCATCCGATTTCGTAGGCAGAGTGGTGCGTCTCGGATATTGATCCCCATCCATATCATGCTTTCGCTGACTCCAAGTCTCAGATCACCATCACCGGCGCCGCCAGCGGGATTGGACTCGCTACTGCCGCTTGCCTCGCCTCGCTCGGTGCAACACTGAGTCTCTCGGACATCAATGGACCAGCGCTTGATGCTGCCCTTGCAGAACTGCCGCCACCAGGTGACCCCAAACATAGCCACATGGCCAGCGTCGTCGACGTGCGGCACAGTGACTCGGTCAACGCGTGGATCGCCAAGACGGTCGAGACATTCGGCCGCCTCGACGGGGCCGCGAACATCGCGGGCTTTCTCCAAGGCGAGGTCCCTTTCGTGACCGAAACGGACGAAGGGTTCGCCCAGACGTTCGACGTCAACGTCAAGGGCGTATTCAACTGCATGCGCGCACAGGCGAGGATCATGAAGGACGCTCCGGGAGGCGGGGCGATCGTCAACACGGCGTCCGTAGGCGGCCTGATTGGGTTTGCTGGCCAGGCGTCATATGTGGCGAGCAAGCATGCCGTCATTGGACTGACCAAGACCCTGGCCCGTGAACATTCAAACATTCGCTCCAACGTCGTGGCGCCCGGCCTGGTGGCGACGCCCATGTTGAAGGGTCTGGAGTCCACACGTGGCGGTTCCATGCCGACTGCCCACACGTGTCTGGACCGCCAGGCAGAGCCCAAGGAGATAGCCGAGGTGGTGGCATTCCTACTAGGCCCAAAGGCGAGCTTCGTGACGGGCGCAACGTGGACGGTCGATGGCGGTTGGGTTGTTTAGATTAGATTGATCTGGAGAATGTAGGAATATGACAACTTCCATGGCAAGTGTTGTGCAATTTTCTTTCGGTCTTTCAGTCGGTCCAGACCGTCATGAAATGACTCTCGTTCAGTCCTTGGAATCTATCTTTTCTAAATGAAGCCACAACAATCATAGCTCCGTAAATGAGAAGAATTTGGGAATCGATCTTTTTAAGGAAGGGTGGATGCCAAAAAGTTTTAGGATTTCATAGTTTTCTCCCATGACTCTAGCCCCCTGGACTACCTTCGGTGGTCATGGTTACAGAGTGAGAAGAACTCTGCAGAGGTTCAAGTCGGATTTATCGCGCCAGCCATCCACCGTCCACAGGAACTCCAGCTCCTGTCACCCAGCTTGCGCCTTCTCCCGCAAGGAAGACCGCAACGCGCGAGACGTCCTCTACCCTACCCACCCGGCCCCACGGGAGTGCATCAGATCTAGATTTGGTAATTCAAGTCGTCAGCTTTGGAGACATCCATTGATATCGCAGTCCCACACAAGCCTATCCAGAACACAGGGGGTTAGGTCTGTATATAAACTCACAAAGCATTGACTACACTTTCCTTGCCACCTTCGGCATTCGCGTACATGCCTTCAAGAATGTGTGTGTCGGCGAAGCCTGGCAGGATGGCGTTAACGTGAATCCCGTCTTTTGCATATTCTAGCGCGGCCGTTCGCGTAATCTGGAGCACTCCCCCTTTGCTCGCGCAGTAGCTGGAAAAGAACGGGTAACCCGAGACCGACAGGATGGACCCTAGGTTGATGATCCAGCCACGGTGTACGTCGGACGTCGCGCCCGTGGCGGTGCGCGAGAACTCGGGCGAGGGCTCTTGCGAGAGGAACTGGGCCAAGGCGTATTTGCAGCCGAGCCAGACGCCGCGGGCATTGACAGCGTGGGTGGCGTCGAAGATGGCGAGGGGAGTCTCGTGGATTCTCCGTCGAACTCCACTGGGATTCAGATTTTTGTTGATCTCGGCACCGATTCCTGGATTGGGCTTCAGGATCGTGGCTTTGGCAAGAAAGAAGAGAGGGAGTGAAAAGCAGTCGAGTACCCGACTCTGCGAAGCAATCACTGTACTTACCGGCATTGTTCACCATGATATCCAAACGGCCATACTTCTCCACCGTAAACGCGACCGCATCTTTGACACTCTCCTCGTCTGTCACGTCGCATTTGACGTACTCGGCTCTCCGTAGTCCATTCTTCTCACTGGGCCACTTCACATTGAGGAGGTCAGCTGTCGGAGTTGTTAGGTCACTATCCTTGAGGATCTGCGCAATGTTGGGCTGCTGCTGTGGCTCAGGTTTTAGGTCCGCCGAGACCACATAGGCACCGGCCGCAGCATATGCCTCTGCAATAGCACGACCTAATCCAGACGATGCACCCGTTATAAGGGCGATCTTATTAGTGAGCGAACTGATGGAGCCGATGGGAGATGGTTGACCCATTTTCATGAAGTATGTTGAGCGGAAATGTAGAAAACACGACAAGAAACAAATATCTGGGGAGTATAAAGGGCGGAGAGCGACTTCACTTGACATTTCATAACAACACCGACAGGCCTATCCCATACCAAGACATCGAACGTCTCGCAGAATACCCCAACCTGTAGTTGTGCCCTTTTGCTTGCTCGTACAGGCGAACTCGGTTCCTGGCGGCATCAGTAAATGAGGGGAAACGGAACCGGCTATGCATGAACTCTTGAGGCTCTGGGTTTGCCAGAATGACATACGATGGACTAATATTTGGGGTAGAAAATGTTTCTAATTTCCTCGAATGAGGTCCTTCTCTGGTGGGGTTAGAAACCGAATGCTATGTGCTTTAAACATGTGTAAAAGCGAGTCTTTGGTCGGCTCTGGATACGACAGTCCGATGTTGGATGTGGTCTACAGTGGTCGATTCAGGGCAAAACGTGGAAAATGGAATTTTAATTCACGGTTGGCAAAGCGAATGGTCTGCATCTGAAAAGACCTCAAGGCGAATTTGCAATGAAAAAAATAATGTTCTATTGACGGCGTTGTGCCACCCCTGCTGTCAGCGACTCATTATTGAAGTGAGGGCAGATATGATTTCAAGAGGTGCACTCGCTTGTAATGCTCATCTACAATATCGATTCGCACGGTTCTACATCTTGGCGAGTCGACCTCGAAGTGGTCCAAGATCGATGGAAGGTTCCAATCTGCGTACAGCCCTGACTCTGGACTCCGTGACACTGTCGACCCGGATCCGCAAACAGTATCATTATAACCCAGTAGACGTGCATAAATATCGACTCTTTACAAATGGAGGTTGCGGTCGACCCGGTTCCGCCCGATATGGCTAACCGAGAATGCAGGAACATACTGCTCTGGTTTATCTCTCCCCGTCGCATCAGCGGGCCATGATCAACCTCGCTCAGTACTGATCTGCTAACGCATCCGCGGCATTCGTCATGGCGAAGATCGCATCTGAAGCGGCCGAAAAGCTCAAAGCTACGATCGACGCAATAACCTCAGACCCTCAAGGGCCACCTGGTGTGGTTTGCGCGGCGGTCAACAGGAATGGCCAGCGTATTTTCGAGCATGCATCTGGCAAAATGGGCGCTGGCATCGACAAACCCATGACAGCGGACAATGTCTTCTGGATTGCGAGCTGCACCAAGGTGATTACGGGCATTGCTTGCATGCAACTGGTCGAACAGGGCAAGTTGAGTCTTGACGACTCGGACCAGGTGGAGAAGCTTGCACCGGTGAGACCTTGAGCTGCATTTAGGGAGATTTGAGAGGAGCCCGGGGGTGTTGATATTCTTGATAGGAGTTAAAAGCCGTACAAGTCTTGGACAATGGCCGACTCGTGCCCAAGAAGAAAAGCATTACGTTGAGGATGTTGCTGACACACACTGGTATGTTCAAGAGCCGGAGTTCAAAGCTTGACAAATTACGGGGCATTGAAGACTGATATTCACAGCTGGGTTTGGCTATACGTTCTTTTCGCAGTCATTAAACGAATGGGCGGGCGCCATCGGCCTTGACGAGTTCTCCGGCTCGTATCACGACTATCTCTCCCAGCCACTTATTCACCAACCCGGCGAGAGGTGGGAGTACGGGATTAACATCGACTGGGCGGGCCAACTTGTCGAACGCGTCTCGGGTCTCAAGCTGAATGACTACTTTCACCAGCATATTTTCAAGCCCCTTGGTCTGAGCCATATCAGCATGTTCCCCACCGACGAGATGAAGCAAGCCCTCGCTTATATGAACGTTAAATCGGTCGATGGCGCGTACGGGTTGAATCGTGATGGACATCTCTACCGACGACCGTTGACGGCCTCGAGTAAGGAGGACATCAACAGCACCTTCCACGCCGGTGGTGCTGGGCTGTTTTCTACGCCGGGGGATTTTCTCGAGGTTGTCGCGACGCTATTAAACGATGGTCTTCATCCTGGCACAGGAAACCGGATCCTGAAAAAGGAGACCGTCGAGGCCATGTTCACGAACCAGATCCCAGACATGCCGAACTTTGCCAGACAGGTGAGAAGGACACTGGGGATCCATCTTGAACTCTCAAAATCTGATCATGCATGGTTCTCCATAGGGCATCAATTCGACGAAGCCATGGCTGGTCAATCCGATCCCTGAAATCTATCCCGAACCACCCGATGTCCCACAGGGCTGGGGGTTGACCTTCTTTCTGCACCTAAAAGACGGCATGTTGCATAGCGCGGGCACAGGCTGGTGGTCGGGTATGTTTTCGCGTCCTACCATTCCACAGGCATCTTGCGGAAGCCTCGCCTTGCACACACTGACGCCCGTCTCTCGTATCTAGGATTGCCAAACCTGTACTGGTGGGTCGACCGCAAACGAGTAAGTTCCACCCGCAGCAGAGACTGGAAGGGATGGAATGAGTATCACTAACCAAACCCGCGCGTTAAATCAGGGACTTGGTGGCATTGTCTTCTCGCAGATAATCCCCTCCGGTAAGCGGTCTCACCTTCGATTGCAAATATAAAGAATCTGGTGCATTGGCTGACATTATTTACGTTTCAGGCGATCTGAACATAGCCGGGGTTTGGGTGCAGTTCGAAGCCGCAATGCTGCAGAACCTAGAGTGATTTCTGCCAAAAGGTGAGAACATCTTCGACCAAGGATTCGCGGTATCTTCCCAGACTCGTGGTCGATCCAAGCGAGCTACAGGGAAGGGAGCTGGTGAGGATCTCACCACTCTCTTCGAGCAACGATACTTCCTCAGGTTCGTTCCAGGCGGCAAACTATCACCAATTGAACCCTCTCCGTCGAGTGGCGGAGCGAATCGTCCCCAAACTCGCAAGCTCGGATCGCATCCATTGATATTTGCAATAGAGTCTTGATTCCGTAGTCTGTACTCGAGGGACTCGTTATCTCCCTCCTGAACTTGAGACGACGAAGCCTTCGCCTGAAGCTTCTTTTCTAAAGGATGGGTGGTGACTCTGCGATGGGGGAGGTCTCTTGGGGAGGACGGTGGCTGTTACCATAGTCGATTTGTTTCTGGCCCTACACGCCTTTCAGTTCCTGACTACCTTACCTAGAGGTATAAATAGCGGTTGCCCCGACTTTGGGTAAATGGCTGGACGGGTGCTTCTTAGCCCCATACCCCTGCTCCCCATCCCCCAGGGTTAGGTACCTACAAGTAGGTAGCTAAGGGGGGTTACCGAACTAAACGGCACGTGGAGGATGGCGCCCTCGTGGCCCTCTACGGCGGGGCTCTATTTCGGCTAAATCACCTGCTTACTGGGAAAAAAGACCCCCCAACCACTGTTATCAGCCAATTGACAAGCCGTTGCTGAGGGGCAACTATCAGCTACGAGCAGACTAACTACTGTGGTGCTGGAACCTGCCTAGAGACCTACCCAGGTCCTTGTAGGCAGCTTCTGTACCTAGCTCAACGCTTGAGGACAACTAACAGCGCAGTCTCGACTACTCGGTACTGCGTGGTCAAAACCAACACCTGTCGAATCTCTCTCCTGTTTTTCGTCATCAGGAACTTGATCTGCTTTTTCCTTTCCCTTGTCGGGGGCTTTCCCATTGCTTTGTGGGTTTCTTTTTGCGCAATATTCTTCTTAGTTTTTCACTGCTTGCCCTTGTCTTCACCCTCTCCATACTCCGATATTTCGACCGACCACCGGCCGACCGAGACCATGCATGTCGCTTCCCTTCTCCTCCTCCCCCTGCTGGTCGCAGCAGACCAGGTGCCCTTGAAAGAAAAGGCCGCAGGCTGGTTCGATAAGGCCAAGTCCTTCATCCCCAGCGGCGGCGGCGGCGCAGCACCTGCGGTCTCGGTGCCTGTCCCTCCCAACCCAGTCGAGGCGGGCGCGGCCAAGGTCGCTGAGAACAAGGTCGAGAAGATCAATGTCCGCAACTGGCAGCGCAAATTGTCCCCCAAGCCGGACACCGAGGAGGAATGGATGATATATTTGACGGGAGGCAATAAGACGTGCTTTGGCAGATGTGGTCCTGTCGATACCGTGTGGAATGTATGTACACCACCACCCCTGCCCAACTCAAAGAACACTCTTGCGACTTTCATTGCGATTGGTAATTGACCTCTGTCCTCTCGCTGCGTCTAGGAATCCGTCCCCTTGTTGACCGCATTACCCCAACCGGCGGGCTCCCCTCCGCTCATCCTGGGTCTGCTCGACTGCGAAAAGGACGAGGTGCTGTGCACGGCGTGGGCGTCGGGCGTGCCTGTCATCTACCACTTCCTGCTGCCCAAGCAGTCGGAGCAGGGGGCGAAGACGCCGCTCCACATCATCCCGCTCAACGTCTCGACCATCACCGTCTCGGACATCACCAGCCTGCCTCGCGCCTCCAAGTCGCGGTACCTGGAATACCCCGAGTACACGGGCCTGCTGCACCCCATTGACGGGCTGCTCGCCAAGGTCGGCGTGCTCCAGCCCTTTGGGTACTTCATGTGGGCGCTGGGCACCATGCCCTCGTGGATGATGATGCTGGGCATCAGTTTCATCTCCCGCCAGATCATGAGCCGGAGGATGGGTGCTGGCCGCGGCATCCCTGCGGCCGGTGACGCCCAGCAGCCCGCCGCTCCCAGGGTTGCGCCGGCGGCTCCTGCCTCGCAGCCCAAGGCTGGCGGCGGTGGGAGTGCGCGCAAGAGGAAGTAAAGGACGGAAAAAGGGGGAGAGCGGTGACTATGGCGTGGCGGAAAGATTCTGAATGAACGAGAAGGATGAATGGATTTAATGTTGTGGACGTCCTATATCGAGTTGGGACATCATCGACATCATACCACCACCACCAGCTAAAAGTGCCATTTATTTGTCTCATGTTGTTGTCATCATCACCTTTCTTGAATCCAGCATGGACCTGGCTAGCCCGCTTGACACTGGATGTAGAATAGCCCTCCTAATATCCGGCACACCAAGAGCTCATATCGCAGCTGCGCTAAAATACTCATTTCACTTTCTTCAGGTCTGAATGAACTGGGCAATCACCTTGAACCTCGCACCTTGTGTCTTTTGTCTCGTCTGTCCCTCACCATCCCATCATGCTACCACCCTATGGTGCAGTGCTGGCTCCACTCTTCGCAGGTCCGTCGCGACCCTCGTTAACGTCACTCTCCCCTTCGTCGTCGTGCCTGAGCTCAACGCCCAGCTCCCTCTTCAGCAAGTCGCTCAGATTGCTCCCGTCCCGCAGGTAGATCCACTTGGCGCCGCTCTGGCCGTCGTCGCCGAGGTCGACGGTTGAGTCGGCCTTCTCTTGCTGCGAGTCGCCGGGCACGACCCAGTCGTAGCGCTTGGGGCCGGATACCGGGGAGGAGAGCCAGATCTGTTTGTTCGGCGGCTGTTTGTTGATCACGTATGTGCCGTGCTTCGGGTGGGTGATTGTGAGCACGCCGGCCTAGAGAGTAGGAGAATGGAGAGCAGTCCATTAGTTGTGTGCCCCAAGTCAAGGAGAGTTAGAAGCGAAAGTGTCAGGTTAAGGGCGGGCGCTGGTGAAAGGTATACGTGACAGTCACAGTCGTCGTATTGTTACGTACCGAGAATTCCGCCTCTATGCCCTCCGAGCTGCTCTCCGCAAGCTCTTCCATAGCCAGCACCAGGGTGTTTAGATACTGGTCAGCGATCTCGTGATACTCGGAATCCGAGATCTGGGCCGCGCCGGCTGGGGTGCCATGTGTCGGTTCAGTGTTGGGAGGGCTCGGGTCGCTGCTGTCTGGTTGCAGCCCCTTCAAAGGTCTAGTGAGGGTAGTGGAAAAAGGGGCTTTTTGACGGGAGACTGAGAGGAGAGAAGGCGAAGCAGGAATGGCCAGACGTTGTGAAGGAGGGGGACATGGTCGGCGAAGGAGGACGCTTGGTCGCGTGGAGCGGAGGAGAAGTCGGCTTGCTTTCATGATTGTAAGGGCGCTCAAAGTCTGACGCGGTTCCTTACAACAAAGAAGTCGTAGACAAGAACAATCTGCCGCGCCCACGCTTTGGAGAGGATCGTAAAAAGTTCGTGGTCAGGCTAAAGATCTCTATGAAGTGTCTGCCATTGAGTTGAGCTGGAAAGTCGAAGGTGCACAGCAGCGAATGACGAATGACGACAGGGTCAATCGGTTCGGCAGACTTCAAGCTCGGAGCTTCATGATTGGTGGAATGTTTCGGTTGCGGTGCTTCCACGAGACTGCCAAACATTGCCAGAAAATTCCTACAGAACCTGCACCTTGAACTGTAGTCTACTTTAAAATTCGAAGTATATCAAAGCATTGAAGTAACTAGTTGTACAGCTATCAAAGGGGCTCCAGATATCCTTTGGTAACCACTCAAACAAACCAAGGCTGGCTGGCTTGCTCAAATTTGCTGAGCTGAACTTGTCCAGTGTCGCACCTGACAGCACCGCGGTCACAAGACCGCATCCATAAATCCGTTATAGATCCTCAATCAACTTCCTCTTGTTCCAAGTCTTAGCATCCATCTGCCAAAAGCGCTGTAGCTCACGGACGACTGCTTGCCCCAGCGCTTCTTTAAAGCGGCTCAAAGCCAGAACATCACAACTCTCACCACTCATACCCGAGACTGATCACGAGATGTGTTGTGAATACATCGTTCATGGTATAGATACCAGCTCCACTCAGCTCTCGTTTCGTCTTGTAGAATTCCCAGCTCCCGTGACTCCGATAAGCTGCAGCTCTGCTCGATGGTGGCTTCACATATCCACACAGTACGATTCGGAGTAAGTGCGAGGAGAGGGTAGTATTCGCGGAGAGGTCATGAAATCAAGTGGATGCATTGCAATGGCTCGTGGCGAAGTAGTAGTTGAGTTTATCTCTTCGGGGTCGACGAGAGCAGCAATCTGCCTTCCACCACCCAGCGTGGTTGATAATTGCGGCGGCATTTTGCAGAGCTGGACGGGGGGAAGTGGCCGAGTTTATTCGTCGGACCTTGTGCAGATGTCTCTCCATAGCTCGCTGCAATGCGCCCTTATTTGCTCAGGTCCTGCGCTTTCGATTCGACGTAGAAGCCCGGGTCCGGGACTCGTTCCTGGTGTATCTCTTGTTTCGTCAGAGGTTCATCCACTTCCGACACCGCGACTAGCTCTTTGACTTTCATTATTTGGCCAGCGACTGAAGGCGTGACGGGATGAAACACAGTTGCCATCCGTTTGCGTAGGCCGAGTGCTTTGAGAACGTTTCCAGATTTCGCTGGGAGGCCAATGGCAGATCGGATCAAGGTAATGCGGAAGTAGGTCATGTTTGGTGGAAGATCGGGCGCTGCAGCTGGGTTCTGGAGGCCGCGGGTTAAAAAAAGAATTACACGTGTGATAGAAATCGTAGGTGATGGCAGTGTACAAGAAGAAGAGTCGTGAGCTGAGTTATAGGAGGCTGAGCTTTCTGGATGTATTGAAGTACGATTGTCAGGCTTGAACTTCAGTAGTAATACTGAGCAAGTAGGGAAGTTTCAAGATGAGAGCGCGAAAACGGAGTCGATCGGGGAGCCAGCCTCGCAGCCTTGTCTTGGCGGCAAAAGACGAGGACTCGACATCCACCCGACCTATGCCGCTTTTAAACACCACTCACCTCCCACTCACCTTCAACTCTCCTTCTCACCTTTACTCGCCTGTCACTTAGCCACTATTCGCCTAAGGCCTACCTCTTCCCTATTAGACAATGACTTCTACTCTAGCGCTAGACTACATTAGGGTACCGCCCCTAGTGGGGACCCTATTTTTTGGCCCTTCTATACTCGAAGATCTACATCGATTGGCTCTGGCGGGGGACGAGAAGGTCCGGGGGATGAACCATCCCTCTACAATAATGAGCATAGCTAACCTAGCGTTATATTTACAACGTTGAGGAGAACGTGAAGAGGCGGAAGGTCTAAGTCGACGGCTCTTTTGGGGAGAGAGAAGGTGCTGGGAGTAGGCCATCCGGATACCTTGGCGAGTGTCTACTGTCTGGCCTCCTTACTCGATGGAAAGAAAATGCCGCAGGAGGCTTTAGACCTCTACCAACGGGCACTCGGTGGCTCCCAGAAAGTGTTCAGAAGGAGTCTGCTCCCTTCCGCTCCATTCCTCTCTTTCTATGTCCCCTCGCACTCTCTTCTACTGTATGGGGATGTTAATATGCACGTGTAAGAACGCATAGGGGCCGATCTCTAGTTGCGACACTATCTACAGCACGCTAACCTAGCTACAGTACAAGGCGTATCGCCGCTAGACGCGCATAGATATTAGGAGGCTCTATAGGAACGTAGGAACAGTAACCAAGGAGGAACATGTTGGGTATCACTAGCACTGTATTCTCTCCGTGAAGCAAAAGCTTAATTAATCCGTGACTACCACTGAAGGACGTCTCTGCACAACAAATACACCAACCCCTTTTTCCTCTTCGATCGGGTCTGTGAAGGCCGCAGAGTCCAACTTAGGGAGTCTAATTGAGGAATTACGAATGCCTCAAGAAGTCCACAGCTCAATTGGATGTCCATCATCGCGATGCAGAGCCCTCACAACAGCTTCGCATACCTTGACGGCAGCGAGGCCATCTTCTCCCGAACAGACTGGCTCTTCTCGTCCCGCCACCAGCCGGGCAAGATGTTCCGTCTGTTGCTGGAAAGGGATGAGATCCATGGCCTCCACGGTCTCGCGGCTCATGGGAATGTTCCATCCAATCTCCAGGTCTCTCCGGTCCGCGTCTTCCTGTCGATATGTCCAGAGGTTCCCGTCCGGCACCGTTACGGTCCCCTGGCTGCCGAAGATACGATAGCAGTCCACCGCCGTCTCGGCCTGGGGGTAGAGTGGATTATCACCGGTTGCCGACTCCCACCCATACGGGCTGGGTACATTGTCGCTGATGACAAAGGTGCCTACGACGCCATTCGCAAATTGGAACATGATTGCCGCCCCTTCCTCCACTTGGTCGCCCTCGCTCACTCCCGCATGCTGCCGTTGAGTCACTGTGCTGGTGGCCCATACACGCGTGACCCTGGAGCCAACAAGGTAATGCATCACGTCAATGTCGTGCACAAAGTTTGTCCACACTGGCCCGCCCCCGGCGGTCCGGGACGCTCTCCATTGAGCTGCGGTGAAGTAGCCCTCGTTCTTCTTGCAAGTCCAGACACCCGTGATGGCGACAAGCCGACCCAACCTTCCGGACGAGATGGCCTGTTTGGCAGCCTTGATGGCAGCGTGAAACCGTCGGTGATGGCCCACTGCCACCTTGCACCCTTGGGCATTCGCCAGTGCAAGCAGTTGTTCTCCCGACGCCGACTCCGTGGCAAAGGGCTTCTCCACCAAGATGGCCTTGGGCTTGGCCGTCTTCAATATCTCGGTGGCGACTTGGACGTGCAGAGCCGATGGTACGCAGATGATGTACAGCTCGACAGCTAGCGGCTTCGTCGCGTGTGACGAAACAAGATCTGCCACTTTTGGATAATGGGCCACGTTCAAGCTGTCAGCCAGAGTTTTACCCGGCGGAAATGGATCAATGATGGCAACAAGCTGGCATAACGGCGATGCGAGGATGTGTTTCGCATGCAATGGAGCAATCGTTCCGCCTCCAACGAGTGCGACTCGAACTTTCGACGGACTGGGCATTTTCTTGTGTAAAGAGTCTTGTTTGTTTTATAAGCGAATATGAAGGTTGGATACGCAAGCGGCTCGCTCCCCCCCATCGAGATCTATTTAAAATCTCGCTTCTCTCAATTCCTTCCGCTTCTTCAATCGCTCTTGCGATGGAATCCTACACTCCCGCCTTGATTCTCTTCCTTGGGCCGGCCTATTAAACTGGTCACCGGGCTTTGTATGATAACCACCATCTTTGTCGCTCGGATGACCGTCTTTTCGGATACTGATATTACTGTGGGGATGCATGCGGTCGACCTTCGGTTAAGAAGCACTGATTAACGGCGATTGTACGCAGTAACAAACTATCATACAGGTGCTCTACCCTGCAGCTCTTGTGAAACATTGTCTGCAGATCCTGTGTGCATATACTCCAAGATTTGTCTCTTCCGGGTCCTGCGCTTCCATGGATTCGGTTTCCGTTACATCACGCGATCAGATGAGCATACTGGATCAATCCTATGCCTATGGAAGATCACCTCTCACGCCGGACTCCAAATCTAAAAGACTTTGCACGTACCTGTTCGGTGGCCGGATCTCTCATTCTCACTCACCAGCAATCAATTCGAGATTGTTCGCTGCCGCAGGCGTGCCATGGACCTACGAGCTTTGCGAGACAACAGACCCTCAACGCTTCGAGGACGTTTTGCATCAATCCGACTGTATCGGGGCGTCGGTCACGATGCCCAACAAGGTCGCGTTCATGGCTGCGTTGGATGACCTGACGGAGGAGGCCAGAGCCATCGGAGCCGTGAACACCGTCTTCATCCGGCTCGACGAGCAAGGACGACGTCGATACATTGGGACGAATACAGACTGTGTCGGCATTCGAGAGACGTTGCTGCATAATTCCCGCGCCATCTCCGACAGTGCATCTGACCGACCTGCCCTAGTCATCGGCGCTGGCGGGGCCGCTCGAAGCGCCCTTTTCGCCCTCTGGACGTGGTTCCAGCCCCGCGAGATCTATCTGACCAACCGGCTGAAATCGGAGGCTGCGGACCTTGTTGAAGGCATCCAGAAGTCCATCCCCGGCATCAAGGTGCGCCATGTCGACAGTGTGGCGGAAGCACAGCGACTACCGGCCCCGGAAATCGTGATTGGAACCGTCCCCGATGACGAGCCTCGCGAGGCCGGCGAGGTTTTGTCATGGCAAATCTGCAAGGCACTTCTGCGCCGCAGAGACGGCGACGGTGACAAAGGAGCCGTCCTGGACATGTGCTACCAACCGGCACGGACGAGACTATTGAGACTGGCGGAGGAGCGCGGCTGGGCTATCATGCTGGGGACTGAAGTCTTGGTCCGTGTGGGTGTTGCGCAACAGACTCTCTGGCTCGAACGGGCGCCTGCGTCGTGTCATGTCCGCCAAGTCCTGCGTTTCATGCAGCAGACGTCTCGGCTTTGAAAACGCATAGTTGGATATACCTGTCGCATCAAATACACGAATCCAAGCATCCCTTATCACAGGGAGATCCTGGGGAGAGTTGGACGAAGCCACGGGGTGCACGGTTTTTCGAGGGCATGGGTCAGTTGTGCGCTTGTTTGCGCCTTCTCTCTGCATCGGCTTCTGGATGTTTCATCGCTTCTTGAGGGGGGATGGGAGAGCAGAATAAGGAAAAGTCGTCCTGTCTCCTGGTTCGAGGAACCAGATTGCAGACACCAGGATACCACCTAGCACGTACTTTAACCGTGTACTTTATGGTATTAGACATCGCATTACAAGCAACGGATATTCGAAAACCAGCCTGATGGAGCCTCCGCTCTGCCAAAGATTCGGCGAGACTGCCAGCAGCAACGTTTCCCATTTTGCTGCTGCCGTACCGGTGTCCAGATTTGAGCACCGACCCCAAGGCCCCACCCCCCCTTTTTTCTTTTCCTCCTCGGCTCCCCGACCCCGGTCATTTTCTCCACGTTTGTGCCAGCGACGATGAAACACAGAGTCAAGTGAAGCTGGTCTTTGGACCTATTGCTCGTGGTGCGAGCGGAAATCCCCCGAAGATCCTCTAATGTACCTTCCGTGCGTGGGATCCCCGTTTTCGTAATTCCAGAATTCCGAGCCTTGAACGTATCCCGAACGGGGGTTCTGCCCGCCCAGACGGTCAGCCAATATAAAGGAGCAAAGGCGAACAACAAAGCGGCGCGTGGCGAAAGGGAATACTATAGGAGAGTCAAGTTTCTTGAGCCTTGCTTACCGCCCAGAGGACCCTGATCCATCTTCGTTTCAGAGGGAAAGAAAAGAAGAAAAAAACTAGGCTCCCCCATTGGCCATGTCTCTATCAGTCTTAGCACAGGTGTGTATTGCGTCTATATGGCCTGAAAATCACTTGATCGTTCAAAACAAAAGGAAAGACGAATAACATTTGGCATTCGATCTTTTATAAAAACACTACATCTATTCCTGGGAGTGCCGCTGATATGTACTATAGCCCATAACCCTGAAACTTTCCGGCAAGGTCATCAAGAATCGAATATATCGGACGCCTCTTAGCGAGTACGCGTCGACGTATGACGAGAAGGATATTGAGAAGACGGGCATCCCTAAGCCTCGATACGTGGAATTATACCAGGGTAAGTCTCAGCCAACGGCGAGCATACAGCCCCTCCCCAGTTTTTCCAAGCATATCCATGATCATTACCATCATCATCCCCCCTCAACAGAGAGATATGCCGGAGAAGAATCTCTCTGTGCCATTCACATTCTTCGGTCCCGGATACTAAAAGTCCTGTTTGTTCGATTGCGTCCACAGAGCTCGCCGACGGCGGTGCAGGCCTCATCTGCTTTGGCAACATCCCAATCGACCGCGACAACCTGGAAAATTACAACAATGCGGTCCTCGACCCGCGCAACCCCTGGGACCCCGTCGCGGCATTCGGCCCTGCCATCCGCGCCGCCCGGTCCCGCGGCGCCCTGTGTCTCCCCCAACTGCAATTCCCAGGCCGGCAGGTGCCCGAGTTTCTGAATCCGCGGCCCAAGTCGGCGTCCGATGTGCAGCTCGGCCCATGTCTGAACAAGACCTATGGCAAGCCTGTCGCTCTGACCAAGGCGGAGATCGCGGAGCTCGTCGCCCGCTATGTCTGGGCGGCCGACGTGCTGGCACAAGCTGGTGCCGATGGGATCATGGTCAGTCATTACTCACTTCTCTGTTTTATCCGAAAATCCAGAAGCAAGCCGTTGCTCTCTGTGACCAAAAGGATGCCTGATATAATTAATTCTGATCCTCTTGGACCCAGCTCCATGGTGCACATGGGTATATTCTGAACCAGTTTCTCTCGCCTTTGACCAACCGGAGGACAGACGAGGTAAGTGCGCGTGTTTGTTTGGCTCCTGAATCTAGACCCCAACATATCAAGGGAGCAAAAAGGCTAACCCTTGCTGCGTATGCATATACATAGTACGGAGGGAGCCTTGAAAACCGCGCCCGATTCATCCTAGAGATCGTCAATGCCATCAAAGCAAAGCTGCCGTCCGATCAATTCGTTATTGCTGTCAAATTCAACTGCCAGGACTGTGAGTATGCTCCTCAACATTTCCGAGGGTTTTCATCAACTCGTGCCGAGTTTCTTTTGAACATTGCTCGCACTCTTCTTCTCGGCCTCTCCCTGGGCTTCCAAATTCCTCTTTTAGGTCTGATGCGTCTTGTACACAGTCATCCAAGGCGGCCAATCCTTTGCCGAGCAATGTGTGGTGATTAAATGGCTCGAGGAGGCCGGGGTCGACTTCTTCGACATCTCGGGTGGTACGTATGCGTCGCCAGCCTGGCGTGGAAACATCATGACAGAGTTGGCCGAACGGCCCTCGCAAAAGGCCCGGGGTAGCTATTTCGTCGAATGGGCGCAAGAGATGAAGAAGGTTCTGTCGCGCGCCGTCATCGGCACTACGGGCGGCTGGCGCGATAGCCACCGCATGGCCGAGGCCGTAGAAAATGGTGACGTTGATATGATCGGGCTCGGCAGGACGTTGAGGGAAGACCCGTTCTTTGTCACCAAGGCCATCAAAGGTGAAATCAGGTTGAGCAAATTGTAGAGAGAATTACGCGGATACCGCAAACCCTTTGGTCAGTGGAATAGGTGAACCAACCCCTGTCTAGGGTAGTTATTAAACTCTGTTTCTCCCTGCAACTGAGCATGCCCATGAAATGCAATCAAGTATTTGGTCCCCGGTATTCATGTTTCTCATGCCATGCCGACAAAACCATGGCCGACCCAATCCCAAAGGACATCCGAGAAGCCTTCAGCAGACTCGTCGTCTCCATCGCCTCCAGGCAAGAAAGGGAGAGTGAGAAATGGATCCGAAGTAGAGAGAAATGGGTCGAAATGTTGCGCATTGGATTGAGAGCTCTGATCGTCGAGCCTCTGGCTTTCGAACCCGGCACTCGGCGCCGGTAGTGAATGAGAGGGCCCAATCTGGGCCACTCGGACCAAGGCATTCGCTCTGATCCGCAGGATCTTGAACAGATGCTGTCCGAGGATGGCCGCAATTCCGAAACGGTGAGACGGGGTGGTGCCGGCCCGCTCAAGTTGAAACGCGACTTGGGATAGAAGGGCGACAAGTTCGACTTCATTGCCGGATTGCTTACCACCGTACAGGAGCGGAAAGAGTCGTAGCGCCAGGACGGCCGAGTAGGAGATCATGGCCCACGTCGGGGCCAGCATGCAATAGATGGGTTCGCCGATCTCGAGCAGGTCATAAACCGCCAATTCGCAGCAATTTACCGCGGCTTCGAAGCAGTCGGCTTTGATTGCTGCCGCGTCCTGACCCCCATCGGCAAGACCATGAAGAGCGAACGACAAGGTCCACAGTCTCCCGTGCATATACACGAAGCGAAGGAAGGTGTTGGATACTTGTGGAGAGGGAGGCGACGCACGTACATCCGAGATCTCGAGCCACGTGCGACACCAAGGCTCCAAGGTGGAATCCAGAAGCTCTCTCACCCAGTGCGGAGAGGCGTGCTGACACCCTATCTGTCGTTTGAGTTCATTCTGGAGCGTCCCAAGGTGTCGACGCAGGAGGATAAACGCACATGTATACTTGTCCATGGGGTCCGCCAATGGGTGAAGGTGCCAGGTTTCAATTTTCCGGGTCAGTCCCGTCTCCGGGAATGCGCTCATGCGGCCGCGGGCGGCACTGTGCGCCCGCTCCCAGAGTAGAATTCGTAGCCAGGTTCGCTCTCGGTTGCGTGCCAGCCTTTCCGCATACGTCGTATCTGCATCTTGAGGACAGTCCCCTTGTTGTTGAAAGTGAGGGTGGTATCTGCCATCTGGCGCTTCAGCCGCCGGATAATGGTGCGACAAACCCTGATAATTCTTCTCTATTCCGGCGATGTGGTAAAGTTGTCCATGTGCGCGGGCCTCGCGATCCAGACCCAGTTCTGCGGCCACGCCAAAGGCGTAAATGGTGTACAGCCATGAACGTTCTTCGGCCATGGTGTTGGCAGGCACTGCAGAGAGCAGAGAAATATAATAGCCTTGTGCAATTTCAACGGACTTATATCCGTTTGCGTAGACTTGTTTCGACAAGTTTTCGCCATGAATACGTAGCCGTTTGGATATAGACCCAGAGCGATGATCGAACTGTGCTGAGATGGCCAAGATCCAGGTGAACAACAGGGCAGACCGAGATTGCACGAATTCTGGAGTGTGCAACAGAGGATCGAGGATGCCGTTGATGGGATGTAATCTCTCGAAGAACCTATGGAAATTGGTCAGTCAATCACTCAGCCCAACATCTGGGTACTGATGATCACTCCAAAGATACAAGCCACGTACAGAGGGAAGAGGTAATTAACTTCTTCCATAGAGACCAAACCCAACTCAACTGGGTCCAGGTCTGGTCCTGTATCCCGATGCTTGGCCGCATCAGAAGGTTTGAAATAGTCGGAGTACTTGCAAACGGCAGCACTTTGGGAGAACAGGGCGTCCAGACCATCTTCTAGAGTCTTCCGATTGAGCTTTAGACCCAGGGAAACATAACCGGGCCGCCTTAAGAGGTGGCGGGACATGGTTCGAGGCTCAGTCTCGCCAGAGGATGTTGCGATGAAATTGGATCCCGGGTCGGACGCAAGAGACGGAATGTTGTCATTTGATTGCTGGTCGTAGTCGTGAGCCTCTCCGCATGCATCAGCTACGAGGCCTAGAGGATCGCTGACCGATGCGTTCGTATCCAGGGGTGATGCATTTCCAGGTGGGCTCTGCGTAGTCCTCGAGGCCTCCAGGGAATGATGTTCGCGAGGACGTGTTGGGCTGACTGCAGGAATTCCGGACACCAGCGAGGTGATTCTCTCCTCGGGATCATGAAGGGGCGCGGCCACATCATTCTGCACCTCCGAGTGACTCTGAGTGCCCATTTTCGACAGCATGAGATGTAAGATTTCCTCTCTGCTTTCAGGAAGGTCTAGAAGTCCGAAGAGGTGCGCCTGGTCAGGCGGATCTGACGAGGTCGATGCCTTTGATTTCCTGAGTTCGCTCTGAATCTTGCGCAAAGCCTTCTCAACACCGTGATAGCGTCCCCGAGACCCTGGTTTTCGACCCGAAGGACGAGGAGTCGGCGCTCTGCACGGACGACGATGATGTTTGCATCTGTCGCATGGGTCCTGGGTGTCGGTCGAGCCCTCTGGCAGTGCCGACCTCGAACAGCGCATCTGTATCGAGCCAAGTCAGGTCTCAACTTTCAAGGTAGGAGCTAGGGCGTTTCACACCTTCAGGCTTCGGCATGCCTCGCACGCGGCGACCATATTGGGAGAGCACCTGGATCTGGGGGATTTGGTTGGGAATGCAGCTTACGCAGTCAGCTCGACATACGGCGCACGGTCAGATGTGATAATTGAGGCGTGGACACGGCGGCATAAGGGAAAACATTCAACGCTCATTCCATAGTTTCCGGTGGCGGCGAGCTCGGGGGTGGAGATGGAGAATGGAAAACGGTGAGTAAGATTGAACAAAAAGGAATGTGTATTCCTCACAATTGGTGCTCGGACCGTGTGATTCTGAGAGGCATGGTATATGGTTGAGACCCCGGAAGGTATACCTGGGAGGTCTGGGGTCTAGGCACCTTTGGGCGAACAAAGCAAGCCACACACTGCACGCATGGAGCCCCCTGGTAGAAGCTTTTCGGGCGTGACCCCAGTGCTGGCCGGGGGATTTGTGTTTATCCGTCGGGGGCCAATTTCCCCTTATAAGGGTCCCTGGGCGTGATCTAGCCTAGGGCCCATCAACACTGCTTGGAAATTGTTTCACATCGTTGGCTTCATCTTTACACATATCTACTACCCATGAGATAGACGAACTTGATCTACACTCCTCGACCACCATCTACCTCGATCGTGGTACCCGTGATGAACAAACTTTGGTCCGACCCCAAGAACCACGCTGCATTGGCAATGTCTTCTGGCTCTGTCACCCTCCCCATCGGCAACATCTCTTCCAGTTGGCGTAATTTCGCCTGTGCCTCTGTTCCATCCCCAATGCTCGCTTGGATCCTAGAGTGCGTTTGGAGGTCAGGGCTTGTTGGAAGCGCCAGGCAGAAAGAGTCGGGAGCTCACATGGACGTGTTTCCCACGGCGGGACAAATGCAGTTGAATCGAATGGTTGGAGCATACTCGAGCGCCATTGTTTTGGATGCGACCTTGTGACCTTCGTCAGTACTTCTAGCCACACCAACATGTCTTTTGTTATCAAACACTCACATTGACTCCGGCTTTTGAAGCGTTATAAAAGGCGAATCCCGGTCGAGGTCGGGTACAACCCGTGCTGGAGGTCACATTTCGTGAGTGGGCCCCCTTCGTCTGGATGTCTTCATCCCCTGGTGACAGAACGTACCTCGTGATATTAATGAAAACTCCGCTCCCCTGCTCAAGCATGAAGGGACAAATCACTTGGGCACTGAGGAATACAGGCTGCAGGTTGACCCTTGGTTACGCTTGACACAAGTCCTTTTGAGGCTGCCATACCTTGAGATTGATGTTGAAGATCTTATCGTATTGTTCAATGGGCTTGGTGTGGACGGGCTAGAGGAGATAAGTCAACCCGGTGTGATGAAAAATGAAAAATATGGCATTGGCTCCTCATACTGATGGGCTGTATGTGATGCCTGATCCAGAAAGTCAGACAGACGGCCACAGCTTCCCTTTCCCATGTCCACTCACCAGCGTTATTGACGACAACGTCAACTCTCCCAAAGGATTCTCTCCCCCAACGGAGGGCCTCTTCCCAGGTCTCGCGGCGAGTCACATCGCCACAGATGAAGTGAAGGCTGGGGTCTTTCTGGACCTTCTGCTCACCCTTGATTCTGTTCAGGTCAATGAAGATCACCTCGCAGCCCTCCTTACTGAATCGATCGACAATTGCTGCCCCGAAACCATCTGCGCCGCCTACGATCGTGGAAATCCCCACAATCAGCTTCTGTCTTCTTGGAGGGAAACTCTGTGTTACCGGTGACAATGACAACCCGTGAGCTGGAGGTGGTGTTGATAGAAGAAGCCTGATTTTCGCTTATCGACATGGTCGTCGTTTCCTTATCCGGGTGAAATGCACCCAAATCCCTGCAAGACCACAAATGACAGCAATACGATCGACGGCGGCGGCGTTTTAGACACCTTTATTGGTCAAAGAAGGGGTTTCCGGTGGGTTGATTTAGGACCCGGTGAAGCACCGCGAGGCTTCAACTTATCAAGACAGTATTGTTGAACCCGAGAGCGAATGATACAGCTAGGACAACTTCATCTTCTCTATCCCCTTTATCATCGTCATGGTGCCTGATACGGTGCGTGTTGCGATTGCCACCAATGCATTAGGAAAGTCACTCGCAGGTCACGACATCTATTCGAAACTCCTTGCTGCCCACACACATGGCTTTGACGGGGTCGAATTGGCGTTTGAATGTCTCGAGACTCATGCTTTCACGTCCCGGTTTGCCGAAAAGAACAGCCGCGAAGAGAAACTGCAGTTAGCAGCTAAGGACATAGAACACAAGGCATCGGCTCTGTCGATGAAAATCATTGCCTTGAATCCTTTCGGCGCATACGATGGACTGAGAGAGCAAGGAGACATTGAGTCACGCCTCAGGGAAGCGGACCTCTGGCTGCAACTTTGCGAGATCCTCAACGCTCCAATACTCCAAGTGCGGGCGCACATCCTTCATTTGCTTGCTGAGTACCTCAGTTGACTCCATGATCCAGATGTGCTCCTGCATTTACCCTTTGCAGAAACCCCTGATATCGGATCCCCATGAAATAGCGAAGAATATCCGGAGACTAGGTCTCCTGGCCAAGAAATACGACAAGATAGTTGCGTACGAGGCGACCGCGTGGGGCATCCATATTGACACCTGGCAGCAGACTCGAGACATCGTCGCCCTGGTCGGACTGCCCAATGTCCGTCTCTGTCTGGATACTTTCCATATCGCGGCCAAAGAAGCCGGAGATCCCTTCAACAAGGCTGCCCCACTCCAAGTAGACGGACGGAGCAGATTAGAGGCGAGTTTGGATGAGATGCGCCGTACCGTGACACCCAGCGACATTGGATATTTTCAGCTGAGCGACGCCACCACAGCCGATCCAGATCAGATCGGATATCCACAACGCGATCTTGATCAGCCGCCATTCATGACGCAATCGAGGAATTGTCGAATATTTCCCTGTGAGCCGCAGCACGGAGGCACGCTTCCTGTAGTGGAGGTGGCAAGGACAGTCTTCGACCTGGGATACCGAGGTTGGGTCTCCATGGAAGTATTCCACACAGACCTGTGGACACAAGATCGCTCGTGAGTGCCACAGCCCTTCAGAGGATCTCCCCCCGTCCGACTCGACTGACATTGAGCTCGATTGCCAAGAATACCTGATCAGTGGGCACGGCGTGGAATGGCTTCCTGGCGACAAGTCTCAGCTCAGTGCGGTCTGAAGGCTCCAGCTGAAGGTGAGCGTGCCAAATACTGTTGTCTGCAGGCCATGGTGAAGCTGACAGTAGTGTTGACGGTCAGCTTCATTAGGCGCGAAGCTGTGAGCTGAATTGATTGTGTGAAGAAGCTTTAGTGTTCGCGGACACGGTGTGCTAGAAAGGCGATTTGAGGAAGATGTCGTCTACATCATTACAGCTCTGGGCGAATGGAATTGCAGTGACTGTCGTCGTGGCGGAAGCGCAAATACTACGAACAGCACTCTAAATACAGAAAAGTGAGGCACGCCGATTACGGTACAATATCAACCCTGATCTCGACGAAATCCGCGAGGCCCGAAAGCATCTCTTGGTCTCCGTCCCATTATCTGCCCACCTCTTAGCCCTTATCGAACCTCAATGTATTGTGTCTGTTACCTATGAAACCTTCTATCGAGGCCTTGAGACGACGACGTCTGGACATCGGAAATCTGGACTTTAGGCACAGGACACCCAGTAAAAGGTGTGCTTCTTCTAGTATTAGCATCTTGTGTCTGCTGATCGATCACTGCAATCTGTGGGGGACGCTTGGGCGTCGCGTGTGCGCGTATGTCCTTTGGTGCGCCAATTGGGGTGGTGGGCTGAGGTTAGAGGGCACGCCCGGGCTCCCAGATTAACAGGCCGGAGACCAAGGCTGGCTTCCTTGGCCGCCCGGGCGTGAATTACTGTATACCTACAAAAGTCTGTTTGTCGTGGCAATGGAATTTGATATACTATGATTTTGTGAGACAGGCTGCGTCGCTTTCCTTCCCGAGCACAGAAACCTTGACGGCGTCGGACAAAAAATATGCACAGCATGGAGATGATGGTGGCTGATGTCCTTGTTTGCGGAGGCGGCATGTCAGGGTTGGCATGCGCTGCGTTCCTGGCGGAGGCCGGAGCAAAGGTTCTGGTGGTCGAGAAGCAGCCTCATCTTGGTGGCTCTTCAGCGTATTCTGCTGGCATGTTGTATGAGCCTCTCTGGATGTCCCCTTGTCCTCGAAGATCTGTTTGCTGACACCGCCCTAGCTGGGGTCCTCGAAGCTACGAAAGCCTGAGATCTTGGGTACCTGATGGGGATCCAGACCTCCAGCGTTCCTGGCTCTCTGACTATTTGCCGGCTGTTCAATGGATGAGGCAGATGGGCGTGCCCACCTTGGACCGGTTTGGACCTATCATGACAATAGGTCTGTGGCATGGTGGACGAGGGCCCGGGATTCCTGCTAATCGAGGTCAGGCATTGGATATCCCATCAAAATCTCATATCTTCTGGATCTGCACCAATCGCGGATCAAGAATAGTGGGACAGGGTCTGAAATTCTCACAAACACGCAGGTGGTGAAGTTGTCTCAAGAAGAAGACGGTGTTCCCGGTTCCCGGATCATCGGGGCCATTCTGCGGCGGTCGAACCCCCGATCCTCGTCGGCCGCATATGTTGAGGTGAGAGCCAAACGGGTGATTTTAGCCACCGGTGGATTCCAAGGATCGCCGGATCTGACATCCAAGTATCTCGGACCCGGAGCGGACAATATCTTTGTTCGCTCAAACAGCGGTTCGGTGGGGGATGGCCTGAACGTGGCATCGTCCGTTGGAGCGAGCACCAGTCGTGGTATGGGGACGTACTACGGACACTTGATGGCCGCTCCGCTCAGACGTGAAGACGTCGATCCGGGCGACTACCTTCCGCTGGCACAATACCGTAAGCCCCCAAGGGGGTACCTGCTCGTATCCATGGGCGCCTACTGATGTGGTGGAAAGAAAGCCGATATTGCATCCTTATCAACGAGTCTGGTCGACGATTCACCGACGAAACACTTGGAGATGAAATCGTCAATCAATATCTAGCAAGGCAAGAGAAGCGTCGAGGATTCCTTTTGTTCGAGTAAGTCAACCCGTTTCATCCACAACCAGCCCGGAACCGAATGATCATCTCACCGTCAGTGTTCTCTTAGTGAGCGAGCAAGACGGAAACATTGCGTCTCAGCCCTCTTTCCCAACGCGGGGGATGTTGATCGCCTGGAAAAGGCTCGGGCTCACGGATGCAATGTCGGTGGTGCATCCACATTGGAAGGGTTGATGAAGCTTCTCCAAGACTGGGGGGTGGACGGCATTCAGGCCCGACGCACGATTGAGCAATATCACCGCGCCGTGGTGCAAGCCGAATCCGATGTCGTTCTTGATGCGCCTGTTGGAAAGGGAGGGGCGCCTCCAGACTCTCTCCTTGATGGTGAAGGCGGGTTCTATGCCATGGAAGTTCAGCCATCGTGAGTCCTGAGTGATTTCACATCCCCCAGAAGAAACTAACAAGGTGCAGCATTACGTTTTCATATGGCGGAATAGCTATCGACAAGAACGGTCATGCGTTAACTGCCAGTAAGACACCGATCCCAGGCCTGCTTGTTGCTGGCGTAGATGCTGGTGGATTCAGTAATCTGGGTTACGCCGGCGGTCTGGCCCTGGCCTTTGTAACTGGATTCTGGGCCGCACGGACTGCTGCCCGTGAATTGGGATTGAAGGAGCTCAAGCTGCCTCCGCCAGCAGCTCAAGACAGAGATTTGATTACGAGTGCTCGTCTATAGAGATGGCCTGACCGGGGAATAAGCGAGACCAAGCCTGGGCCGGCGCCCGTTGCAAGAAAGTGACAGATCGTGAAGAGAGGTCGACAGATAGATAGAGCATCGTACAGAGTGGAAATAATACCGCGGAGCCACGAATGCCTTACTGACCGAATACCCGTGAATTCCACCTGACCTAGCCACCGTCTTTTAGCACAAAACTAGAATAAAACCCCCTCCGACCGGCATCTAGAAAAATGCACCGGGTGCCGAGCCTTACCAGTCCCCACACTGCACGCCAGTCTCAGTAGAGGCATCCGTATGCGCCAACGTTGGCTGGGGCTCCATGCATTGTGTGAAAATGCCGCTGCCCCGGAGATGGGGCCCCAGGTTGACACGAAGAGGCTATCGAACGCTTGGTATACATTTCCCCAGATCACCACACCTCCCCCCTCGCTATTCAAATCTGCCGGTGGCCCCGCTGTTTAAATCTGCAACGCCGACCAAGACTCGGCGGTGTGAGTGGCCAACGTTCTGGATGTCCAAGCGTGTTTGTAAGTGAATCCCTTACGATACATATAGATATACGAATCTACGCCATAGAGGTGTAAAGCGCCTTTGTCATTCCCCAGACTGCTTCCCCCGGCATCATACACTTGACATTGAGTATCCCAGAGTCCTTTATTGATTGCCTCGGCTGCGCGTCTTTGTTTCTAGAGAATGGATCCTGCAGCAGAGAAATCCTCCATTGCTCAAGAGGTCGAGGCCGTCGACCACGAAATCGGAGCACGCAAAGTGGGTGTTGCTACTCCTGCGGCCGACGACTTGGATGTTGGAGCCAGTATCGTGCAGGCTCAAGAAGATACCCAGTATACCGAGGAAGGTGAGGATATCCAAGGCTCCAGCCCCTGCGAAAAAGGATACTGTACTGAGTGCATTGGTCTCTCATTAGAAAAATCCGCGGTCTTGAGGAAGATCGACTGGCGCATCATTCCACTGGCAGCCTGGGCTTGTGGTCTTCAGTTTGTGGATAAGGTTGGTCTTGCTTCTCCTTTACACCTCAGAGCGACTGGCTAAGGTTTGCTCACTTTCTCCTGTCTCGCAGTCTGGACTGGGAGCAGCAGCAACATATGGTCTGCGTGAAGATCTCAACCTCAAGGGCCAAGAGTATTCATGGTGTGTTTCGGTGAGCAACATAAACCATACTTCGTCAATATTCAGGATTCCCGTTCTAAACACCGCCGAGGCCAGATCTTCTACTTTGGCTACCTGGCTGGCTCCTTCATCTCCGGACGCGGCCTCCAGTACTTCCATGCGGGAAAATTCATCGGCTGTGCATATTTTATCTGGGGCGGCACCCTGTTGGGGTGTGTTGGGGCGCAGAACTATGCAACGCTGCTAGGCCTCCGCTTTCTCCTAGGGTACAATGCAATCTCCCCATGTCCTTTCTATAGCCGGAAGCCTGCTGAAATCATCAATTATGCTAGAGTCCTTGAGTCGTCCTTGGTTCCTGGTCTGCTTCTCATGTGAGCCCTTCCTTTGCTGCTTTATTTGGTTGGAAGAGTTCACTTTACACTGACTCATTTGAACAGCACAACGATGTGGTATCGGCAACAAGAACAGTCCCTGCGATTTGGCTTGTGGACGGTGACCAACGGCATCCTTCCAGTTCCTTTTCTTGTCATCTACTGGGGTAGGGCTTTTGATTGGAATTTTGGTGCTAAATCGGTTCAGCGGCTGATGGAAACCCCTTCTCTAGGTCTTGGACATGTTGATTCGGGCCCTGTGGTGAGAAATCTTTAGGATCAAATTCTTCGTCACCGTTTCGATGCTGACATATCCTTTTCTATCACAAGGTGAGCTGGCGGCTAATTTTTCTGCTCTTGGGCTTGCTGAGTTGCATCACCGGCATTCTACTGGTAAGGAAACTCGGGGCACAATTTAAAGCATGCGTTCGCTAAATCGCATCACTCAGTTTTTTTTCATGCCAGACTCGCCCGTGTCGGTCAAATGGTTGACCGAGAGAGAAAAGGCCATCGCTATCAAGCGCCTAGTGGATGATCAACTTGGTGTCAAAAACAGTACGAACACCCCCATATCTTATAAACCCGCAAAATACAAGCAGATTAGGGAAGCTGACTCGGAGGTTACCAACCACTCTAGCCCATTTCAAATGGGAGCAATTGAAGGAGACTCTGCTCGACTACCGCTTCTGGATGATGGTCCTGCAAATGTTCTTTTCGCAGGCCGCGGGAAATGTCACCACGAACTTTCTGGGAATCATCATCAAGGTAACCAAGAAAGCCTCCCAGATAAGGAATGGAGCATCTCGGCTGACGTATGGCCCTTCTCCCTCGATTCAGGGATTTGGATACACTGCATTGAAAGCCCAGCTATATACGGCGCCGAACTTCGCGGTCCAGGTAAGCGAGAGCGACCACTGACACCCTGTCGGATGAAAACACCACCGATCTCCTCGTCTTCTTGTCTTTGTACTGACATACCGCGTTGTTGAGGCTGTAACCCAAATGATTGTCTCTACTCCTCCGACGCTGTTGCCCCGATTCCGCAATTTTAAGCAACCTTTGGTCGCCATCGCCAGCGTCATCGCCTTGATTGGCATGGTCATCCTCTATGTCACGCCGGCGGAGACACAGTACCAAGGGCGACGACTGGCCTCGGTGATCATCATCTCTTGCTCCGGAGCGAACTACACCGTCGTCATGGCCGTCATTGGCACAAACACTGCGGGGTTCACCAGGAAGCAGATCTCGACCTCGACAGCCTTCTTCCTCTATTGCGTGGTCAACATTATAACCCCCCAGACCTTCCTCGGTTCGGAGAGTCCTCGATATCACACGGGTCTTGCATTCATTCTAAGGTACGTTGATCGGATCAAGCATTCTCGCTTTTTCATCTGTCGTTGGAACGGTCGCTGAATCACAAGGAGAGTTTGAAACTGACTTGTTTTCGTCCTCTAGCTTCCTTTCTATCTATATTGCCTTGTCCTTCTCCACCTGGCTCATGATGAGACTTGTCAACCGCGCCCGTGACAAGAAGGCTCTGACGAACCCGGCCTACACAACTGGTGAAGCGAACCTGGATGAGATGTCCGGTCTCAGGTACGTGAACAACTCTCCTTATATTGGACGGCAGGCTGGCGATAGATGCTGAGCACTGACAAACTGCTTTGCTCAGAGACGAAACGGATTTGAGGAACAAGCATTTCCGTTACTCTGGCTGAAACAACAGAGAGAGGGAGAGAAGGAGAGTTCGTCCCCATGGCAAGATACCGGACTTTCCAGTCGACTTCCAGATTGTCACCGTAATACAATTGGTCATTAAAGGCTTAAACCGGCTGCTTGCTGAGAATAGGGTTGACGTCCATCAGCCTCGTGCTCCTTACCAAGAGGGCGCTTGAGTTTTTTGTGGGGACCGGTATGAATGCTCGCAGATGTGACGTCCTTTGCCAATCAGCAATTAACGAATTTCTACTTTGGTCATTCCTACTGCCAGTGCCTTGAAATCTGCCGCTTGGTTCACTCTTTTCCTCCCATTGTATGTTTCTAGAATAAGTCAAGGCCCCGTAAGGCGACTAGGTCTTCTCAACGAACTTCTGGCGGAATTGAATTAGACTTGAGAAGAAACAAACGGCCTTTGTACCTGGAGGTGTTCGTTTTCTTGTTTCTTGTTACCCTACCCGTCCTAGGGGGAGCCATTCTGGAAAATGACTTCCAGTGGTTAGGAAAGAAGACTGCATCTGTTACTGATGAAAACAGGGTCATACGACTCATATCTCATATGATAGTCTCTAGGCACATCTTATAAAAAGGAGACTGGTTGAGAGCATCCTTTACTCTTCAAATGTCATATCTTACCCTTCAATTGCCCACCGGCACTCTCTCCCCTCTCCTGCTCAACTCTCAACTGTCTTCTCAACAGCTTCCCCGTCGGGTTCCTTGGCAGTCTCTGTACAAATCTCACACCGCCCCGCAACCTCTTGTACCCAGCCACCTGATCCGCGACGAGCTTGCAGATCTCGTCGGCGAGGCGCGGATACGCGCTCACGGCTAATGCGGGATCTGCGACCACAAATGCCCGTGGGAGCTCGGTGGCCTCGGCGTCGGCCCAGGCGGCGACGACCCCGACGTCGTGGACGTGCGGGTGGCGGCCGATGATTTCTTCGAGCTCGCTCGGAGGGACTTGGAATCTGGAGAGTAGAGAGAGATTAGGTTGACATGACAATAAAGAATGCCTCAGTATTTTTTATATTTTTCCGAGTCATGAACACGGGTCATGAGCCGATGGAAAGTAGGAGGGCGGGCGGACCGGGGAGGGGAGGGAGCACAAGCTCTGTACGTACCCTTTATATTTGATCACATCCTTTATCCGGTCGACGATGATGAGATACCCATTCTTATCCAAATAGCCAACGTCGCCGGTCCGGTACCAGCCCGGCTCTAGGAAGCTCTCTTGGGTTGCCTTTTCGTTGTCCTTGTACCCCCTACATCCAATCATGGACAATTCGCCTCGTCAGCCGATTTGGTTTACCTCTCTCACTTGAAGGAGTGAATATGCTGAGATCGGGGAAGGGTTTCCACTATACATCATGATGGTGGGACAAGAGACACAAATCTCTCCCGGCGTGCCCGGCGCCACTTCTTGAAGGCTATCGTCGATGAATCGAATCGCCATGTTGGCCACCAGAGTCCCAGTTGCTACTAGCGGAGCATCCCGGTCCCGAACGCCGCTTTGGGTGATACATGAGGACGTCTCAGTACATCCGTACGCTATACCATGGTGTGTCAGCATTAAAGAAGTATGCACATGTAAAGAAAGCAATCAGTGGTCGCCTCTTTGTTCGTCCTGTTATTCTCTAGGCTTGGTTAGGATCTTACTTACTTTGACAGAGGCTGACGCCTGGAAACCTCTCGCGGAGTTTGGAGGCAACATGGGCCTAGGCGTAAGAGGCGAATTGTCAGCAATCGTCGTTCATAAATCTGAACTTCCGTTTTGTAGTATGTACTTGATGGGCCAATTTCGGCAGGTCAAACGCTGCCGAGGGGATAGATAGAGAGGAACAACCTTTAACACGGCACCAGCACAAGAAAAGTACTCCAGATCCGGATATTTGTACTTTGACACGATTGGAGATTCAGAGAGCGCTAGGGCGACTGTTGGAACCAGTCTAGCCAATGTGGCTCTCTTTGTATGCAGTAACTAGAAACAATAAGCATTCGTGTCGTGAGTGTCATATAGAAAGAAGTGTTAATCAGCTCAAGGGGGGTTGTTTTTCTCTCCAATTTCCACTTACCTGGCAGAATATTCCCATGTCAAATGCATGCATCAATTGAATGTAGCATCCTAGCCACGGCCCGAGCAGCGCGCAGACGTACATGCCGTAGATGTGAGAAACTAGGAAATTTGTGTGAGGCTCATTCACCGACAGAAGGGCAATATCATAACCAGACACTCAGCCACTATTACTTACGAGGCTGGGTGACCCATCAAGTCGGAAGGTTAGCTACGTTCACACCATATGCAAAGTAGGTGAACTCTCCATAAGTGCTTACCGGGAAGAACACCTCTCTCATGTCCCCTCTCCAATTGTTCCGGTCGTGGAGACGAAGCATCTCGCAGATGGCTGTCAGGTTATAGTGAGAGAGCATGACGGCCTTGGGAAGACCGGTGGTGCCGCTGGAAAGTACAATGGCAGCACACCGCTTATGTGCGTCTTGCCCATCGAGTACGTACGCTTCGGGGGAAATCCTGGCACCGGGGTCGAGAAGAAGCTCGTCTGGAAACTGTCACGTCACCAGTCGGGAGAGTCAGCGACAAAATGACAAAGTTAAAGGGGAGGGATTGAGGCGGGCAACTGAAGTAATCCGCAGGGAGCCGCATACCAGAGCGTGGCCAGGCACGCGGGACAGGAGGGTCAAGATCGTGATCTGAAACTGATCTTGCTTTACGGCGTCATCTACTTTCTTCTTGACGGCCGCGTCGACAATGATGATTTTGGGCTTCACGATCCCGATGGCGAATGCAATGTCTTTCGTCGTGTTTGAATGGTTGATCGTGCTGTTTTTGTGTGTCAAAATTCAGATGGCTCTCCTATATCACCAGAATTTACTCATTGATGCTAGGCAAAACTCACCTCACCGTGGCACCGGCGGCCCAAACTGCATGAGTGGCAAGGATATAGTCGACCTGTCCCTCTCAGCCACCCAAGCCACCGAAGATTCAGCAAGATGACCCCCCAACCAACACCGAGAGTCTTGAGAGAGGAGGTTTGGGGAACTCACACAGCTTCTGGAGATAATAGACACCACATCGCCGGGTTGAAGTCCATACGCCCTGCGCAAGGATTCTGCCAGCCGGAAAGCATCCTCGCGCACACCTCCATAAGTCAAACGCTTGTCGGACAAAGTGTCCTCGCAAATGACTTTGCCAGGGTCCGTATTACAGATATTTTCCAGCATGAGCTGGGTGATGGAGCGGTCGCGGCGGAAGTGTACCTTCAGGGGCGAAGTGATTGGGGCCATGATGAGAATTTCGACAAATCGGTATTCTAGCTGACCAAGAACACTTCAATTGACCCCCCCGATGCAATAAGTACTTGAATATGTCTTGGTGTCTCTATGCTTTCCCTATAATACGCCGGGCAACTGGCACTGGGAAGGCAGATGTAAGAGGCGGCCCTAAGTGATGGAATTAGAGATTTCCGGATCGGAAAAGGGGTTAATTCCACAGCCGGTAAAAGCGCGGTGAAAGGAGAAACTGTGAAAGGATAGGATCCGGAAGAGCATAGAGCAGATCAACCTGGCCTCTCACTGATTCTCGTGTATAATAATATCCCCTTGGATCAGGAAGAGGGATGCCGTCCTACATTTCTCTCTGATGGCCTAGCCATAAGTCCTTGGGCTATCTGGTCAGCTCGCCAGGTCTAGTATACGGAGTGTTCCCCCGTCAACTGCTAACAAGGATCTTTCAGAGGACTATGGCTAACTGGGGCGCAGTGACAGCCAAACGTTGTGAGTCTGGAACCAATGTATTTATACTGCGCTATATTTCGATCCAGCTCCCACATTGCATTGCTCATCTAGATGAATGAGCCCGCATCCAAGGTGGAGCCACAGGCATCTGACCACTCCAGTGAAAACAGCTCGTCAAAAAGCCCAGGACCACCGCTGTCAACGCCACCTTTTGCAGTGCCTTGGAAGAGCGGCGCATAATAGTCAAGCTCCAGCTCGCTCTTTGACCTGAATACCTGCAGCCACCCTCTGTCGACGATCTCTCCGAGGGCGTCTAGCGCCCTGCGCGCCGCCCCCAGTGTGGTGGAAAGGTTCTGGAGAAATTCAATCGCTCGCGTCAGGGAGGGCATGGCCACGTCGTCTCCGCTGCTCCAGTTCATATTGCTGCTAGTAAGAGTGACGTGCGGCACTAAATGGCAAATGCACTCCACCACGCATTCGACAGCGTTTAGGCCAAACGGAATAGGATTTGTTCTCGAGGCCATGTAGGCCAGAATAGCCTCGATGGTATCACTGGCAAGCTCAATACACACTCGAGATTCTCTAGTGTCGGTTGCAGTGGTGTGTTTCCATGATTGTCGGATCAAGAGGCGGAGCAGGTTGATTCTCTATAAACCACACTCGATTTCCGGATTCTTTCAGCCATCTGAACTTAACGAAAGAAGGATGAAGAGGATCTGCCTTCAGAGTCTCTAGGGAGGAATAAGCTTACCACGTATGTTACTAGTCTTGCCCGTACCTGCGCCTCAGGCTCGCAAGCCGCCAGATAGTTCGGGAGATGGGAGGTATTCCAGTGCAAACTTTCGTGGGTTTGTCTTTGGGAATGAAGGATCCTTGCGTCCAAGATTTCGATCTCTTCCTGTTTGTCACGCCCCGTTGATGTCGGCCGCACGGCGAAAAGAGAATCCCAAACCAACGCCCATAATCTAGCCCAGTCGATCTCGGTCTGGACATATCTGGACGATAGGGCTCTATCTGTCGTCCGGACGTGGGACTCGGTGTCACCATCATTGTCACCGTTCGTCGTCCTGATTGATGTCTCTGTTTCCGTCGTTTTTATGGAGTCGTCGACTCGGATCTCACTCTCTCGGATGAGGTACGGCCTCCAACATTTCTGGGCGATCCTGCGATCCAGGTAAAATAGGGTCCACCACAGCCGTCTCCGTGCATTAGTCGCTGCAATGGAACGACAGTCGTCCCATGTTGATTCATCGTTGAGAGACAAGACGAAAGCTAAGTGGACAGCCGTACTGATTGCATGAGATGCCGCGGTTAACTTCTCGGTATGGATCATGTACATGGCCTTCACCACATAATAACGCACAAGATCCAAGTCGGGTGTCAAAAGCTGGGTGGAATGATAACGGTCGCCCTCAGCAATATGTTCGGCCATTGAAACGTATTTCCATCCTGGTGAGATGGACGGTTGGTCTTCCCCATGACTGCAAGGGTCGAGATATGTGGCGACAGCGAGGACCAGGCACATGGACATGAGGAACGTCCGTGATGAGGGCCGCACAAGCAGGCAGAGACTGTTGCCGTCATGGACGAGATCATTCTCAATTTCCACCCAACGTTGCATGAACTCCCCTTCGTCAAGGCATGGAAAGAAAGGGTTCAAGTGCTCAAAATATAACCCAAGGAGAAATTTAAGCCGGATCAAGGAAGGACAATTCCGAAGATAGTGCTTTGTTACCAGTTGCTCGCTGCATTGCCCACCTACTTTAGCAGAGCGTGGGGCCTGTTGCAGAAGAGGAAAAGCGGGAAGCAATGTCTTCTTCAAAGCATTGATGTGAGAGCTCAACGAGGCGGGGCGGGAGTGCTCAGGAGGAGACCGGGCGAATATCTCAGTGTCCTGTGGTGCTTCAGCTTCGTCGGGCTGAGCAACGTAGCCTGCGTGCAAAGCCTTGTCCATTCGATCGACATGTTGCTCAAGACTCTCGAGACGATCTATCATTGAATCAGTGCTATGACTAATTTGCTCGTTGGAGATGATCTGAACGACCGGGGTCAACGGCGATCTTGCCATTAACATGGGACATGTTAGTGGGATTTTCGAGAGGTCTCCGACTATGCAGAAGGACTCACCTGTCTGTCGTAGAACAGGCACCAAGCCCAGGAGCTGGACATCCCTTGGGTTTCCGAATCCTAGCACGGGCAGGATATGTGCATGTTTTGTTTTGACGCCGGCAGTTAGCGCAAACAGTGCCTCCAGCACACTTCAACGGTGTGTCAGCACGTGTGCGTGGGCCGACCATCCACTTCGTTAGGAAGGTCAAGGAGATATATTCAGGTAGGTACCTTTGTCTTGCTCTGACGACATGGGATGCTAGATTGATGTGAGCCTACAACCAGAAAGACACGATCCACGTGGAAATGAGCATATACCAAGCCTTGCTGATATAATTTCCTCGAGTCCTGGGCTTTGGCAGTGCCGATTGTGGCCCGCCCCAAGCTACAAGAGCTCCTTGTTCCATTTTTCCAAGTAGGACATCCGATGATGGAAAGAAGGAGCACTGCTGCCTTGGAATGACATGGGGGAAACGACTGCGATTGCGATGTCGAAGTTCCCCTCCATCCCCCCCTTTTCGAGCGAGCCTCGGCAACCCCTCCATGACACCAGATCCCCGGAACCGCAGGCCAAATTTAAGCGCCGGACGCCTCACCACGCTTTGTATGTATGAACTCTGGAGCGACTGTTTGCCTGATATTGGCTGCTTGAACTCTGAGATAGCCGTTGGCTCCGTATTTCCGAATGCTTTCTCGGTTGCCCAATTCCGGGACAGACAGAGTGCATATTCTCGCTCTTCGAGTAATATGGTCGTCAAAAGCTGAAATAACACTATGCCACCAACGACGAACGTCTCTGAAATCTTATCTCGCTCCGATGGTATGTGACAGAAGGCGACTTCGAGGGGGTGTGCATCAAATCTCACCAACACAACAGTGACCGCACCATCGCTCCCGCCAGGTCAGGTCGCCTCCCATGGGCGACAGAGACAGCATTCGCGAGAATGGGTTGAAATCGGAGTCACTGATTGAAAAAATGCTACAAGTGCGACAGCTGCCACCTGAAATGAACGGTGGCAGTGATATCTTCACCAATGCAGGACCACTCTGGAATCCTCCAGGCGCCAGGGGCATATACGGTGGGATCTGCATTGCCCAGAGCCTCCAGGCCGCTCAGGCCACGGTGCCATCATCCTTCTTTGTACATTCCATTCATGGACAATTTGTTCGGGCAGGCAGGGCCGATGAACCAATCGTCTATCAGGTCTCGCGCGTCAGTGAGGGGAACTCTTTCATCACAAGAACGGTCAAGGCGGTTCAACAGGACAGGACAATCTTCACATCGATCATCAATTTCGCCCGAGACGGCACATCATCGCAACAGGCACAGATCCGGCACGCCGAGCTGAAGCCGAGAGACATACCAGAGCCGATATCCGAACAAGAATGCGCCTCCTCTGGCGGACCAGAAACGCCACCATACCGGACGAAAAAGGTAGGCATTCTCAACATCAACGCCCAAAACCCGCACGAGAAACGCATCCATCATTGGAGCAAAGCCAGCCAAAAGATATCCTCATCCCCCTCCGGCAGCAGCCGCGGAGTCCACACACATCTCGCGGCACTGGCATACATCTGCGACAACTACTTGATCGGCACCATTCCTCATGTGCACAGCATATGGGATTTTGTCAAGCCGCCGCTGACGGAATTTGAGGTCGGGACCCGGGACCTGGGGCAACACAAGCAGGAAGCCACGCAGCATTCCCTGATTCCCGGGTCGGACGAAGAGGCGAACGTCCAGAAAATGGGCCAGTCCACGCTCAACTCTCAGTATAAAGAAGGCCGGTCTCGGCCGCGTGTGAAAATGATGGTCACCTTGAGCCACACCATGTTCTTCCATGACCCGAAGGCCGTCCGCGCAGACGAATGGATGCTCATGGAGATAGCCAGTTATTGGGCCGGCGATGGCCGAGGCGTCGCAACGCAAAAGATCTGGTCGAGAGAAGGCACCATGCTGGCGAGCTGTGTACAGGAGGGCGTCGTTCGGCTCCTGGATCAGGAAAACGATCATGCTGCTGCTCTCGGAAATGCCCCAGCAAGCCGACTGTGATACGCGTGAAGAATTCTAGGTCATGTATGTGTTTTCAAGTCTTTTCACAAAACAATCTCTGAAGCTGGTTAAATCGTATTCTTCATCCCCGCTGGTAGGGTAGTAATCAAAGACACGGAAAAATTGGTGATTCATAATTTGCTCTAGGTTCCCTTCTCATGCACTAGGAATTAAAAGCTACAATTCCGATATGCCCAGGCGCCTATAACCGGCGGCATTTGCGGAGGATGTCTGGATGTGAAACTGGGTCTTTATAGTACCTGGCATCGCCTCCAAATGTGGACGACGAACAATCTCACGACACTGGGTGCCGGTGCTTAAATAAGAGTCTATTCACCTCCTTCGGTTCGCCTCAAGAAGAGACAGCGAAAGAGAGAGGAGCACAGAATATAGAAAAGAACTACCTTCGAATCCCACCCGGAGCACGCACGTCACATCACATCCAGATTCCTCACGGTGGGGGAAAAGCGTTCCCCGAGAAGAAAGCACGCACAAACAAACGGAATGTCCAGTCTCTCCGGCATCCGAGTCGTTGAGCTGGCCGGTCTCGCACCGGGACCATTTGCGGGGCTCTTGCTCTCCGACTATGGTGCCAGCGTCCTTCGCGTCGACCGGGTGACACCGCCGGCCACACCGAGTCCTGACGTCCTCGTCCGTGGTAAATCGTCCATCAAACTGGACCTGAAGTCCGCGGCCGGACGACGGGTGTTGCTCCGGCTACTCAGTGACGGCCGTGTGGACGTCCTGATCGACCCCTTCCGGCCGGGCGTGCTGGAGAAGCTGGGCCTGGATCCATACAACGTGTTGCTCAAGACGAACCCGCAGCTCATTGTGGCGCGGTTGACGGGGTTCCGCAGAGACGGCAAGTACGCGACCATGGCGGGCCACGACATCAACTACCTCGCCGTGTCTGGGGTGTTGGCGATGCTGGGTCCCACGGCTATCCACAACCACAACGACGACGACGACACCGTGCCTGAGGTGGCCAGGGGCGTCCGGCGAACACCACTTCCTCCCAGTCCGCCGGGGAACCTGCTGGCAGATTTTGCTGGTGGCGGCCACATGTGTGTGACGGGCATCCTGATGGCGTTGATCCACCGCAGCCGCACCGGCAAGGGCCAAATCGTCGAGGCGAATATGGTTGACGGCGTCTCGTACCTAGCGACGGCGCCGAGGCTGTCGCAGAAGATCCCGGGCCAGTGGGACCGACCGCGTGGAGAGAATCTCGTCGACGGCGGCTGTCCCTACTACAACGTCTACGAATGCAAGGAACCTGGCACGTACATGTCGGTGGCAGCGTTGGAGCCTCAGTTCTTCGCCGCTTTGTGTCGCGGGCTCCAACTACGGCTGGGCGACGACGGCGAGTCCAGCGCGTGGGGCGGGAGACGGGAGGACCGCCAGACGTGGCCACGACTGGAGGCAGTACTGAGGGAGACGTTCCAGAGCAGGACGCGTAAGGAGTGGGAAGATATCTTCGACGGGACCGATGCGTGCTGTCTCCCGGTGCTGTCACACCAGGAGTTGGAGGCGTCAGGATACCAACAGCGGGCGGCGGTCGCCTTGTCTCACAGTCCCGCAAGAGGGCCCGCGGGAGGGGGCTGGGAGATCAGAACACTGGCGCCTGGAGAAGGAGGAGAGGCTCTACTCCACGACTGGGCGGGCTGGAGACAGGGCCGAGATTATGAATTCGAGCACGGCGGTGGTGTCGTCCCTTGCAGCACCGCGAGACTGTGAGAACATCTCCCACCAAATCGATCGATGGTGACGTAGGTAGGTTTATTTAGGGGTCAAGAATTTTCGATCCGCAAGATCAGTATTTGGCACTCGTCAACTATCTTTGTGGCCGAAGAATTAATGCCCACTGAAAAAAAAGAGGGGGCGGGGGAGAGAGGGAGACAGGACGATTTCCTCCAGTGACTTCGCTATGGTTATATATTGGGCTTTACCTGTCGATTGGAATAATACAGAAGCACCAAGTCTTCAATCGATACCTCTACTGAAGGATCCCAGAACGGAGGCACCCGTTGCACGGCCTCCAGAACTTTTCGAAGCCCGACCATCCCGCGGGCTGCGTGCTCAGGAGGTACGTTCTTGCCCGCCACGTTAAGTGAGTTATTGAAAACTTCCAGTGACATGGGTCCTTGATATCCTGTTGCGAGGACCGCAGCAGCAACGAGCTCCACGGGCATGTAACCGCCTCTGGAAGTCTCGAATGGGAAAAGACGATGGCCTCGCGACCAAGGTAGCAATGCTGGGGTCTCAGGGTCCAGAGGTTCTCTGTAAAGGCGTCGTGGGTCGACCAGCTCGGCATCCCCCACCTGAAAGAAGAAGATCCTGTCACCAGGGACAGATGCCACGAGAGACGCAAGCGATAGACACAGTAGAGTCACCGACTCCTCGATGGCTCCGTACACGCGCCCATGCCCAGCCGGGTTGGGGGGGTCGGCCCATTCAACAGCCAAAACGTTGAAGGCATCGACCACCAGACCGACGTTCGGTCGGTTTGCCGCCCGGACTGCCTCCCAGGACGCTGACCAAGTGTTTCTCGTTGCCCATGAAAGGCCCTCGTAACCGATCCTCAACATCCGACCGCCGTCTGCGTGAGAAAACGCGGCGGCCATGTCCCCCATCTCGGCGAGGTCTTGGGCCACCATTTTCAAGTCCGAAGTCACCCCACTGTCAGAGCGAATGCTGGCACACATGAACACCAGATCAGTGTCAAACGCTCGCATAAAGGGAAATCGCTTCGCCACCAGGTCGAGGGTGGCTCGCCTTTCCACCGGGTCTTTGATCCCCTCGATCTTTCGAAGCGGTTGGGTGCAGGAGATCCGCATTCCCAACGATTTTACCAGCTCTCCAAGCTTGTGAGCGACTTGAAGATTCTCCGGGGTGGCCTCCCACAGCTTCTTCCCATCCAGCCCGTGCTCCTCCAAGTAAGCTGCCCAGCATTCGTCAAAGAGGTCGATCCAATGGTATCCAGCTTCGGCGGCCGCCTCGAGGCGAGGACCAAGCTTATGCTCTCTCCAGTTACCCAGAGACAGCGTTGCTATTCCCAATTCATTGTCAATCGTTCGAGGAGGCCAGGACTTTGGTCGCGGAATCGGTAGAGAGCCTTTCATGGTTGTCTTCAACGAGATTTGGCAAAATTAGCTGAGCGAAAATCTTCCTGTGTACGATTGTACGTTGGGGATTGACAAGGGGAAGGATGGAAAGCGCTGCCTCACTCACACATTCAACTTATTCGCCGAGCCGTGATGCTTGTCGGCCCATGTCTACGGTGGACCCCAAACCCCCTTCCCGGAGCTCAAATTAATAGGCCGTCACGATCCAATTCGTCACAGTGCCTATGCCTTTACCTCACAGTTACAAGGAGTTCCATTCCCCACCATCTTTTCTTCAGTTGAGATAGTAGTGGCGCTAACTAATGCCATGCCTATTTCTACCTATTGACTGGATAAGTCCTCAAGACGGCAACGCAGCTTGCTACAATCATCCAACGCTTTTTTCCAGGACAATCACGGAACTACACGCCGAGAGGCTGTAGGTGCGAATTTCCTTCTGTTTCAGCCCCGAAGTGGTGATTAAACTCTCCCATTGCTTGCGGGTCCTCTCCTTGCCAGCGAAGAGGATATTCATCGACATATCCTGCATCGCAGCCTGCCACGGCACGTTTGCATCGGGGAGGACAATCTCGTCAATCAGGATGATTGAATCGCTCGCCATCGCCTCGGAGAGACGAGATAGGATTGTGAGACACTCGGTATCGGGCCAATCATGCATGATCCGACGAAGATAATAAAACTTTGCATCTGGTCGGGGACGCGATGTTAGCCACTGGAATTGGGCTACAACTTTGCACTGGTAGGTGGCAAACATACCTCGAACAGTCTGCCTCTCGAAGAAATCTTGTCCAATCACTTTGACCCCGTCGATTGGGGGCAACTTGTCAATAGCCTGAGGGAGATCCTCTAGGACAAGACTTCCATGGAGATTTGGATGCTTATCGAGCAGTTGCTTACACTGGTGGCCGTGGCCACCTCCCACATCGACGAAGAAAGGTCTCTCGGATCCGGACGGAACGTCCAGGGCAGCTTGATTGAGCACATCGAGACCGTTGAGCCAGGCGGCGGACTGAATGGCGGTCATGATCTGCTGAAGGGCAAGGAAGTTCTTCGGGCGCTCAGACAGCCATTGAAAGGCCCCAAGGCTCGTCTTGTGCCCTTTCTGGAACGGTGTCTTTGTGTTCTCAATGATGTCTTGGTACTGTGTCTCAGCGAGGAATGACGGGAGGGCTTGGATCGCAGGACCGCAAGTGTCGAGGCTAACGGCAATTGAGTCATTCAGAAAGGGTTATAGTGGCCTCAAAGGGAAAAGAACTTACGCATGGGCGATACCAGCATCAGCGACGGGACTGGCCAGGAAATAGGTGAGGTTGTTGGGTCGATATTCACCTGAGCCCGGGTTGTCGAGGAAGCCGGCAGATGCCAGGTATCGGAGGATGCGTTCTACAGGATTCAGACCATTATCAGCTTGGCTAGGGTAATAGCCCACACCCTTTGAAGAATGACTTACCAACCAGATCCGGGGATGCCTTGGTTTCTGTAGCCAACTGAGACCCGCTGACCGAAGTCGAACCAGAATCGGTCAACTTCCGGAAGAGGCCAAGCTCCACTGCGACATAGGTTACCGAGAGAGAAATTTGCTGAAGTTGTAAGTCAGCAATCTCCTCTGAAAGTCTCAGCACCAATGCGCACGCACCGCATTGAATATCCTCATAATGACATCCATTGGTGATTCAAGTTCTCGTTGGAGACGCAGCAGTGTATCGAGGATGCGAGACTTCTCTGCCTCGCCGGCGCCCTTCGCCAGGGATTGTATTTGATCGACTATGGCTTCCATGATGGTGAGACAGAGCGTGTACAGAGTGAAATCAATACAGAATTCTACTTCGACTGGGATTTAGCACAGTTTATATACGATGCCCTTGGTATAATGTGATCTGGATGCAGCCAATCACATCTGCCGGAATTTCCGTCCTCCGGACTTTCCGGGCATGGAGCACGCTGATTCGCTCATTTGTAACAATGAGGATCCACAGTCCGGTCCAGGTCTTCAAGAAAATGTCAGCCTTGCAATCTTGGAGACCATCGTGACGTCGATCCTCTACCCTCTGCATGGTAGATCGACGAGCTCTTGCCTACGGAGAGACGAACATGGAACCAAGGCCAGATACTAAACGTGTGATGCGTCCGCGTCGCCCGCCTCGTCCGCCTCGTCCGCCTCGTCCTGTGTCGTGCCACTATTGCCGCTCCAAGAAGCTGCGATGCAGTCGCCAGTTCCCCTGCGATAACTGCGCCGTGAAAGGTCTAACCTGCCAGCTCTACGACCCAGCCAGAGGGCCGCCTCTTGGTGAAGAAACCCAACAGGAAATCCCCTCCGCGTTGATCCGTTTCAGCTCTGGCAATTCGTCCAGAATGCGGTGGTCGGCCAAAGAAGGTCTTAGCGCGACCAACAATGTCCAACTAGCTAGCTGGACGAAGGAGAACACCACTCCGGCACCAAATCTACAATCAGACACTGCTGCTGACGACGTCAAACTGCTCGAGTCGGGTATGATGGATCAAAGTTCGGCGGTAAGTGCTGCTTAACCATATCGAAGCTGTGGATCCCACTGTCCGCTGCCGCTTTTCACTCTTTGTCACATCCTGATTTGAGACTACCAAACCTGGGTTGCCATATGCTCACTGATCTCAGGCCCTTTTCTGCCCGGACAAGATTGTGTGCCGGACGTGTCCGGTTCGGCAGATCACAAGGACCACTTCTTATACATACCTGGATCCACCTACCCCCTCTTACACCGTTGAGCCCGTCAAATGCGTCTGGCTCCCACGGCGCGAAGAAGCCAAGGTCTTCGTGGACAAGTATCTCCGCGATATTACTTACATTCACCATGTCGTCCATGCTCCATCTCTACGAAAGCTGGCGGACGGCATTTACCACGAGCTGGATCAACGTCAGCCCATTCAGCCCGGCCGTGTGGCTTTGCTATTGAGCATCGTGGCCAGTGCAACGTTTATATGGACGACCCAGGACGACCACAATTTGTATCGCTCGGTGGACGATGCGAGAAACCAATCCGCCTCCTGGGTGATTGCAACCTTGGACATGCTCGACCACTCACGCAGGACTACCAATGGCTCTATCGAAGACGTTCAGGCACTGATACTTGTATCATTCCTAGTCTGCAACATGGAAGGCACGTCGCTCCGATATTTTGAGCTGGTGTCTAGAGCTATAACTACAGCGCGACAATTATATCTGCACCGGATTGACCACCCATCGCGTCGTCCACAAATCGATTCGATCCAAGCCGAGGTCGGACGAAGGGTCTGGTGGTATCTTGCCGCGCTGGACTGGTACGTCGTTGTTGGCGAGGGCGTAATGAGATCCTTTGCTGACTTGGGTAAAGGATTCTGAGCAGATTCCCGGGACCTCATGAAGGGATCTGCACCGTGCAGCCACGGCAGATGATGGTCAACAAGCCGCGCAACATCCCGGACGAACATGTGGTGGAGGGTCTTCCCCTCGTCGGATTGCACATAACACAACCCACATCAATGTCGTACTTTTTGCAGAGAGTACGACTTGGAGAGCTCTGTTACCAGGCCAGCAACCAATCCTCAACCGACAATTGGGAAATTGCCACTTCTGACGAGATCATGGAGGTCGACGCCCAGTTTGAGAAGTTCATCAGTGACTTCCCCCCCTTCTTCAACCTTGAAGACGACGGTGATTCAACGAGCGCCGACAGAGCCTCCAAAGACCCCGCAATCATTGTCCAGGCTTACATCCTCACTGGCATGGTGCAAGCGCGGCGCTGCAAGCTTCACCTCCCAAGCCTGTCGCGCAGCCCGGCCGAGCCGAGGCTGGCCCGATCACGGCAGATTTGTCTCGATGCCGCGCGAACGATCATCGCGGCCGAGCGACGCCTGGAGAAGGAAACCGCCATTCCCTTTGCGCTGAGCCGGTTCAGGTTCGGCGGGACGCTGTACTGCCTCTTCCTGGCCATCGTCACCCTGTTGTTGGACGTTTGTCTGAACAAGGCCGCCGCCGTTGATCATGAGGATCGACGCAGGTCGGAGCTGGCGCAGGCATTCCAGATCCTGGAGGAGGCCCAATCCCAGACGGCCATCGCCACGACCTTGCTCGAATCTCTCCAGAGGCTGGTCCACAAGTACAAGGTCTCATTGCCCGCAGTGGGCCAGGATGTTTCGATCAACAGGCCCGTAATGCCACCTGCTGACATGCCTTATGGGCTCGGAACTGGAAGGAGCAACACTGTCCCGGACCCGGATGTGTCGAACCCCGAATTCCCCTTCTTCGACGAAGTCTGGCAGACGTTTGAGGGTGGAATGCAGCTGGACGAGTTGGACCTGGAGAGCATATTTGCGGACATCAACAGTTTTATGTGAACCCCCGTGGTGCACGAAGCACGCAGAGAGCCCTTGTATCCGTGAAGAAAAATGGGTAGAATTTTCCATTAGAGTGAACATGGAGTTTTGCGCGGGAGAAAATCGGCCTGCTTTTCCCATCCATAAAAACGCTACCGTTTTGCGCTCGTCGCCTCGTCCGTTCGTTCGACATCCTTCTCAATCTTCGCCACGGTCAGCGCTATATACCTTCCCAGCCTTACGAGGGTGAACTGACACAGAGCGTTATTTCCTCATACCCTGAACATCGGCCGGACGCCCGCTTCTTAAACACGCCCATGATTGTATGTTTCTTCCCTACCAAGGCGGTCAGGACTTCCCGAGGGCCAACTGGAAGATGTCGCGTTGGTAGATGGCAGAAGGTTGCCCATATTTCGTCCGCCGCTTGGGGTTGGTCGCGGCTTTTGTCATGTTGGACTTCCAAGCCCATCCTTTGCGGATGCAGTGTGTCTCTGAGAGAAGGTCCGTCTCATCCTCCATGATGCCAAAGGTCAGAAGTCTCTTTTCTTCCCGCCGGTCTGTCGTTTTGGATTATGCCCTACCATGTCGAATCTTCTCCTCTCGTTCTCGGAGGGCGTGCTTCTGGGTCATTTGCCGGCGTTGATCACAATGGGTTCGACGGCTGGGCAAACAATTCCGGGCATCCACATTTCCGGTTCTATCCGTAGCCAGGTACCATGTACGCTTCTGCTCCGAGCTCGTGGCTCATAGCTCATGTACCTTCACTGGTGACTTGAGAGTGGTGTCCATGATGATCGTATGGGGTCGACAGAGGTACGGCAGCAGGGTCAAACGGCGGATGAAGTTGGCCATTCTGGAGCAGATATTGGTTATACCAGTTCGGATCTCCCAGCGGCATAGTATTGACGTCCCATTCCAAACCCGGGTCCAGGCTCGGGCTCGAATATGAATACTGTGGACAAGGGAGGTCGGCACCGGGCAGCATGCCCATGGGTTCGGGCGAGACGAACCACTCTGCATTCCCACTGATGCAGCCGTCGGGGTCGACGTGACCCTCCAGATTTGCAGGGAGTAGCGTCTCGAACGAGAACGACCGGAAATCCACATCCACATCCCAGGCCGAGTTTGGCTGCTGGTTCGATTGAAGGACCGGCGTCTCGGTATTGTCGCCCCAAGCACAGTCCTGGTTCATGTCCGAGTGGGTGGGTGACACAGATACCGACAGCTGCGAGGAGTTCGACTGTGACTGTGACTCTGACTCTGACCCTGTGGCCTGCCTTCGCCGCTTCGACCAGAGCCAGTCCGGCGGCTTCTTATCCACCGTCAGGAAAGCGCAGGGTTGATTCTTGCGCCGGCAGTTCAGACAGCTATCCTGCTCTCTCTTCGGCGTCAGCAGACACCGCGTCTTGCTCTTGCGGCAGCCCACGCAGGCGATCGAGGCACGGTAGTAGCCGAGTTTGGAACCTCGCGAGGCCGGCGGCTGGCGAGGGCGCGAGTACGACGGCATATTATGGTGAGGGTAATGACAAGCACGCGAGAGTCGTGATATTCGGCTTTGTTTAATCAGAGTGGTCTCGGGGATGTATGCCATGGAGAAGTTGGAGATCAGAACAAGTCCCCCCAGTATTCTTATCCAAATCCTTATCGCGCCATGGGACGGTGAGGTCCGCTCTGCTAACGGGGGGCACGGGACGGGGCTCACCCAAAGATGCAAGCTATCTCGCTCTTGGTATCCCAAGGGCTGTTTCGGCTAGAGACATGACTCCGTTCTGTGATACGATGTCCGCCGAATCCAACGTACTGCTGAACATGGAGTAGTTTTAGCTTTGGGTGGCGTTTTTGGGGTCGTAGCCTACAGACACGACAGGTTACCGGTTCAAATACATAGGTATAGATCTAATGGCGCAACGCATCCCACTTGTTATATTGCTGAACTAAGGCTGGACACACAAGAGCCATAGTCCCGGGATCAGTGGGGGACTGGTTGCTCCAAGCACCTAGATACTCTTGTATCCATACCGCCAGGTGCCTCTACGCAATACTCTTGTTGGGAACCACCGTCTCTTCCCCATCCACGCTGCCCGTCTCGCCGCCGACCCTCCCTCCCAGCCGCGCGGCATCCTCCTCGATATGCTTCGGCACGATGACCGTGTCCTCGTGGAAGTAGTTCGTGTCGCCGACGTAGAAGACGGTGACGGTGTACAGGAAGAGGATGCCCACGAAGTAGCACGCGAACTGAAAGGACAGCTGGGTGATGTAGGTCCCGCCGTTGCCGTCGATGATGAAGCTGAACATCATGCCTAGCGCGGTCGTGCCGCGGAAGCACGACGCCCGTCGCGCCAGCCGCTCCGGGTCGTTGGTCAGTGCGCAGATGACGTACTGCGTTGCGATTTGGTAGATGCTGCCGATAGGAATCAGCCGCGTTGTACCAGTCAGTGGATTCATCGAGATTGTTTGCGTGTAGGGTTTGACTGCGGGGTGGTGCTTACCTGTAGACACTCCCGTAGATGACATATATGACAAACGCGCCGGCGAAGGCGGGATCCGTCCAGTCGGTAGACGGCCCTGCTTCGTGCCGGTTCAGGTGATGTTCAGCGAGCCACGCCGCCTCTGCGGCACAAATGGCCAGTGTGATCGCGCTCATCACCGATATCCCGATCAGCGCCCGGGTCTTCCTGCGCCCGAATCGCGGATTGTCCAGGATGTAGGTCATGCCGAAGCTGGCGGGCAGCTGGATGAAGTTGAACATGACGTTGTTGAGCGAGCGGGTGCGGAGGTTGAAGTAGTAGCCGTTGAGCGAGCTCTGAAGGGCCAGGGCCATCTCGGCGACGAAGATGGCCGGGAGCAGCATCATGAACCGGAAATCCCTGATCATCTCGAGAATGCCACGCAGCTCGCCCTTCAAAGACGGCTGCTTGAAGATGGCAATCTTGGTGCCGTCGCTGCGCACCACCTTCGCGGGCCGCACGAGCAGTGTCAGGGCCAGCACCATAGCTAAGACCTGGATCACCACGAAGACGACGTATACTGGGGTGGGAGCACCGGCGTCTTGCCGCGCGCTGTGCATGTTGATGCCGAGGGCAACCAGGGCTGCGACCGTCGAACCACCTGCTGCACATGAGGATCTCCGTCAATGCATACATTTGGCAAGCTCACCTTCACACATGCACCATTGGATTGTCATGAACAGAGCCTTGTCCTTCTCTTCGGCGTACGAGTATGCAATTGCGCCGGCGGACGCCCACAGAAGCGCAGCCGATACTCCTTCAATGCCTCCACCCATGTATGCCAGCCACGAGTTTCCCGTTCGGTCGAAGTACCAGAGACCACCTGCAACCAGCGTGAGTAGCTAGAGAACAGGAACAAGGAACCAGGAGTAGTGTGAGGGATAATAACTCACCTGTGTATAGACTGTATCCAATCGACCCAAGAAAGACCGTATAATTTGGACCGATGAGATTCATCACCGAGCCGGCAAACCACCCGGTGATGAAGAAGACGCCGTACAAGATGGCATTGACGTTCGCAGCTACCGTTTGAGACGACGGTTTGCCTCCACCGGCTCCGAGACCTGTCAAGGCGAGATAGATGCCAGGGAGACAGAGGAGCATCAACCTGGTCGGGATGTCAGCACTCTATTTAAAATACCTCGACATTCGTGCCGCTGAGAAAAGAGGGAAGAGGCTTACCCAGCAATCAGATTCTGGATGAAAGGGTGGTTGAGGCGCAAGTCTGCTCTCTTGAGCTCCATCGTGAGGCTCGCTTGTAGCTTGTCAGATGATATGAAGGGGTACTTGAACCTGGTGTTTTATAATTTATCGCGATGACACAGTGACAAGCAGCAGGACCCCTCGCTGGGAGACATGAAGTAGGTTGCCCTTTTATACACCGACCAGGCGCCAGGTATTCAAGCAGCACGAGAACCGTGGAATGATGCTGGAGCACATCTCACCGTCGTATCATGGCCCGCGACCTCTATCAAGTCACAAGGCAACGGACCCATGCTGATCCTCTTCTCCATCTCGGCACTGTATCAGTCGCCCATGCGGAAAAGGGCCCAGGTGGAGTCCATGATGATGGCAGAGGAATGCGGTGGAGATGCAGCACCGACCACGAAGATCTGGAGAGGGAAAGAGAGAGTAGGTCTCTCCAGAAGAAGGACGGTTACACGGAGAGTGTCCGGGAATATGAACTGCTACAGGGCCAGCAGGGCGGCAAGGGCATCTACAGGGCGAAGAGGGGGACATGGCGTGTCGACACTAAATAAAGTGGACATCGGCACTGTATCTGTAGCCAACCATGGCGCATATACAACAAGAGGCGCCCCGACGACCTTGCATATTCTTGATGCCATTGCAGAATACCAAGAAAAGGACTTTGACATGGCTCAATGCACGCTGCAGAGGCTTGCTTCATTGGGAGAGAGATGGATTTACCAATATCTACTTGTAGTTGTCATCGCGGATCACCGTTGAGGAGGAGAATCTTCCTCAGTAAGTTAGGAGATCATAGTGGGCATCTCGTACGATGCGAGTTTGCCGATAGTATAAAGGACAGTGGGAAGGCTTCCATTTGTTACAAGGGCACGAATGCACTTATCCAAATCGCAGAATAAGACGAAACAACAATGAATCCCATCCGGTTCACCCTTCCACTCTTCCACGGATCATTTGTGGCATCGTCCAGAAATGCCTGTAGAGGTTACATGAGACGGCAGTGCCGTCAGAACACTCTTCAAGTGCGATCATTCGCCTCTCGCAACAGACTGTACTCTGCTTCGACCCTGACCGTCAACCAGCAGAGGTTATGGGACACTCTACACCACACGGCACAGTGGGGGGCGACGCCCGAAGGAGGTGTTCGACGACTGACGCTCACCCCAGAAGACAAGGCCGTCCGTGACTGGTTTGTCGACACGGTTCAGCAGTACGGGGCAACGGTCAAGATCGACGAGATGGGAAATCTCTTCGCCATCAGGCCGGGTCAAAACAACGACATTGCTCCCATCGGCATCGGATCACACCTAGACACCCAGCCCGCGGGAGGGCGGTACGACGGCATCCTAGGTGTGCAAGCCGGGGTCGAGATCCTGAAAGTCTTGCATGAAAACGACTACACCACATATGCCCCGATTGCAGTGATCGACTGGACGAACGAAGAGGGCGCTCGATTCAACACGGGCATGTTATCTAGTGCTGTCTGGGCAGGCAATGTGTCGCTCGAGGACGCGTACAACCACGTAGACTCCGATGGTTTGCGGTTTAAAGATGAGCTCGCGAAAATCGGATACCTTGGCCCCGTCAAGGCCACCCACACAGCAAACCCGCTCTCTGCTCATTTCGAATACCACATCGAACAAGGGCCCGTGCTGGAAGAAGACTCCAAGTCCGTCGGCGTTGTGACGGGGGTCCAGGGAATGACCTGGCTCATCGTGACGGTGAACGGGCGATGCCAGCACTGTGGCACCACGCCGATCGATCGACGCGCCGACGCCCTTCTCGCGGCAGCGCAGATGATCTCACGCATAAACACCGTGGCCTGGGAAAACCAGGGCGTGACCACCGTCGGGGTCATCAACTCGGAACCACAATCGCCCGGCACGATCCCTGGGACAGTCACTTTCAGCGTCGACATCGAACATCTCTCCAACGACACTCTGGACAAAATGGCCCAGATCGTCCGAGAATTGTGCGCATCTATTGCCGAGAGCAACAGCTGCACCGTCGACATCAAGCAAATTTGGAGGAGTGCCGGGGTGGAGTTTCACAAGGATTGCATCGACGCGGTGCGGTCGTCGGCGATTGAGCTCGTGGGCAAGGACGGGTACAGAGAGCTGCCGGCCGGGGCTGGCCACGACAGCGTCAATACTTCGTACATCTGCCCCACGTCGATGGTGTTTATTCCGTCAAAGAATGGGATATCGCACCACCCGAGTGAGTATTCAACGCCCGAGGACTGGTATGTCAAGGTCTCTGCCATCATATTACAGGGTTATCTCATGCTAACAACTGCTGTTTGACAGTGCATTGGGAACGCAGGTGTTGCTAAACGCCGTGCTGCGATACGACCAGAGTCTCAAAGCGCGTGGAAGGCCTGGCTCTTGACAGATGGACGTGTGTTCGGTGTCGGGAAGAATCTGGAATTGATTACAGCTGTCCAGGAGGCCATTTTAGAACAATGCCCGTGACTCACTTCGAGCTCTTGAAGCGTTGTGGAAGCCTGGTTTGTTTTCCGACCTTGGGTTCTTGTGATGTGGAGATGTTGCCATGAACAGGACAGCAACGAAGGGCGTAGCTGGACGGAATTGTGCGAGGCAAAGGTGTTGTGAAGTGATGCTTCAGGGTGGCAGACATTGGAGAACGAAGGGCAGAAAGCGACAGAGACTCGAAGTGAGACGTTGGTGTCGAGAAGCATCGTCATTGAACAAGGGAGGGAGAACTTCGGGCGGGTGGGCTTACTAGGCTGCAATGGGCGCCGATTTTGGGCGAGACATCTAACTCACCGCCTACCCGTAGCATCTATCGTGCTAGGCGGGTAAAATGTGACAAGAGGGCCTTCCATTCTGTTCGGAGCCTGTGTTCTAGGGGCTGTAGGCCCGCTTCTTCCCTCCTGGCCGATTCACGCGCCCCTAAACAAGGCCAGCTGTGACCGTACGGCAGGGCCGCTCGGCTGCCCTAGCACAGGATGGCTCTGCTTCTGTCCTAACTAGAGGCATGCCACAGCCAGAAGTGAACCTCACCTCCATGCAAAGCCGCCCACTACATTTCCAGCACAACTCTTTCGCAATATAGGCGCCTGACACACACACACACACACACACACACACACACACACAGCAGTCTTCTGGACTTCCCAGGGCGAACCCGACAATAGAACCTCGTCCAAGATATCTACACCTTTCGAAGCACCAGCAGCCTCCCGCCAACATTGGTCGTCGATCTCAACCCCACCACCTCCGACCGCAAGACCTCGATCCTGCTGGCACCAGCGGCAGCAGCCCTCAAGCGCTCGACCTCGGCGCTGAACCCGGCGCTCTCCCAGATGTCGTCGAGCACGGTGGCGACGATGCATCCTCCCGGTTTCACGACCCTGACAAACTCCTCGACCACCTGCGGTCCCACGTGCCCGCGCGTCAGGGTACCCACGCAGAGCACGGCGTCGAAGAAGTCGTCGGGCTTCGCGATCGGACGCGGCGCCGACAGGTCGGCCTGCTCCAGCGCGCCGTAGACGCCCGTCCCGCGCGCCACCGCCAGCATGCCCGGGCTGATGTCCAGGCCCGTGACGGTTTGGGCGCCGAACCGCGCGAGCTCGACGCCCACCAGCCCCGTCCCGCAGCCCGCGTCCAGGATCTGGAGGCCCCTCAGCCGGGCGGCCTCGCCTCGCCGGTCGCCGTCGAACGCATCCGCCAACGCCTGCGCGGCGAGCCTCGGGGCGGCGTACTCCTCCGCCTCGAGATCCTTGTCGTACTCCAATGCCCACTCGTTGTAGAGATCGCGTGCGTCGGCCGCGCTGGAGAGCGCATAGGCTCGTTTGAGGAATGGGTTGTCGCCCACCGGATGAGTGGTGGAGTCTGCCATGAATGTAGGTATGCACAAGAAGCGATGTACCAGATCTTTTCTCCTCCCTCGTCCGAGAAGTCTTGCTATATTCGGTCCCTTGGGAAAAAGCAAAACAACAGCAACGATTCTGGAGCGTTTGCTAGCCAGGTTATAGCAACGAGCGCTGCATTCCTCGGCCAGTTCAATGCAACACCTGTTGTTTCTGCGCGATCGCGGATTCCGGTCTGAGCTGAATGTTCTTGGACATTTTGTGACCTGTTGGCTTTATGGACAAATCCTGTCCGACATGTAGCGGAAACCTCCGACGATGATCGTTACTTTTCGGATTCTGCACCAACGACGCCTCTACGGACTTCGACAGTGACGGCATGCGCTGCGCTCGCGTTCCCAACTGAATGAAGGCGGATGTTGTCGCAAGGTTCGAAAGTTATATTTGTCTGGCAAGGTGCTACATCTGAGACGAAGATAAAATAAGAAAACTTTCAACTACGAAGAAACCGACCCTCCACTTAGGAACTTGAAAAACTGACCTCTCCATCCTCCCCTTATGCAAACCCTCCACCGGACGCAGTGAACGGCGGACTATCACTCCATCCCAATCTCCTGCAACCGCACCAATTCAGCATACCTCCCGCCTCTGCGCATCAGCTCTGCGTGATTCCCTCGCTCCACCACGCTCCCCCGCTCAAGAACGTAGATTACGTCCGCATGCTGGATCGTGCTGAGGCGGTGGGCGACGGCAATCGTGGTACGGCCCTTTGCGGCACGGTCGAGAGCCGCCTGGACGGTGGCCTCAGAGGACGAGTCCAGCGCGGAGGTGGCTTCGTCCAGGAGTCTTGAGAGCATCACGGGTCAGTGCGGCTCCGGGGGAAATCTCAAAAGGAGAGGTTTTGGGAGCGGGCGGGCGGGATGGAGCTCACGTACAGGATTTTAGGATTGCGCAGGAGCGCCTTGGCAATGGCGATGCGTTGCCTTTGGCCGCCAGACAGCAGACTGCCCTTTGTACCCACGGAGGTGTCGAACCCGTCGGGAAGCGAGAGCTAGGATCCGCGGTCAACTGGATTGCTCTTCAAGGCAGAGGGCAGCTTGTCGGTTGACTTACAATGTAATCATAGATGTTGGCGTCCTTGCACGCCTGGATAAGATCCTCCTCCGACGCGTCCTCCTTGTCGGCGAGGACATTGTCTCGGATGGTGCCCATGTGCAGTGTGGTCTCCTGGCTCACGAGCGCCAGCTGCCGCCGGTAATCCTGGACCTGGTAGGTCGAAATCTCGTTCCCGTCCACGTAGACCGCTCCGGCTGCGACATCGTAGAACCTCTCGAGCAGCGAGATGACGGTGCTCTTGCCACTGCCACTGCCTCCCACCAGCGCAATGAACTGTCCCGGCTCGGCGGTGATGCTGACGTTCTTGAGGACCAGCCGACTGGGGCGCGTCGGGTAGAAGAAGGACACGTCGCGCAGTTCAATCTGGCCCTTGAGTCCATGCCGTACGGGCGTTCCTGTGACCGACCAGGAATCAATACTCGGTGTTCGACCGAGGAGAGTCTTCACCCGAGCGGCAGCCGCCCTCGCGTTGCTCATATCCCCGGCGTACGAAAAGATGGCGCCAGCCGCTTGTGATCCCCAGATAACGGCGACGAAGCACACGAAGAACTGCTTCACCGAGTACTCGCCCTTTGCGATCAGGGTGCCTCCGTACCAGAAGGCCAGGCCGCTGGCAAAGAACATGAGGGATTGCGAAGTGGCGTAGAGCATGGAAGACAGGAGCAAAGATCGAAAGTCCTGCTTCAGCTGCTGCCCTAGCATTGCACTGTACTGCGAACAGACATCTCGTTCCATCCTCAGCGAAGCCACGGTACGGATTGCGGATGCAGCCTCACAGGCGAACCCCGCTGCTTCTGTTTGACGTCGAGTCCGTTTCTCCAAGTCCACCATGACCCAAGTCCGGAGGAAACCGCAGGCGAGCAGGAGTGGCATCGTCGAGGTGCACACAAGGGCGAGTTTCCAGCCAAAGGAACAGGATACGGCGATCGCTGCAATGATTGATACCACAAAGTTCAGGAGCGCCGCGAGTGTTGCTCCACTTATACCGGCTATCATGGTGGCCTCGGTGGAAAGCATGGATGCAAGTGCTCCAGAAGCGTTTTCCTTTACATCAAAGAAGGCCATATCTTGACGAAGAATGGCGCGGAAGGTCAAGTCTCTGGTATGCCGGATCAGCCGAGACGACGCCCAAGCAAAGGCCATGCCCTGAATCATGTACAGGACCAGGATGGTCAGTCCCAGCATGAGCAACATCCCGCACCAGAAATCAATGTCGTGACCACCTGTGCTAGCACTAGGATCTACCAGCGAGATGATTGAGTTCCCGAAGAGGATAGCGAGGATGGGATATCCTGCTCCCGTGCCCATCGAGACAACAAAACCGAGTGTCATCCATGACTGTTCGTTTTGGTTGAGAGACCATATGAACTTAACGAGTTCCCAGAGATGGTAATGTTTCTGGTTCTCGTGTTTTTGGCACGTTTCGTCTGTCGAAGTTTGCGTCGACAACCGGTTCGCCGCGTTCTGGTCCTCAGAATCGACAACGCCACTGCGAAGGATTTCCGTATCGGCAGACGGCTGAATCGAGTCAATTTGCTGAGCCTCCACCATCGAGTGGTAGTCTCCTCGGTTGCGCATCAGTTCTTCGTGGGTACCTTGCTCGACGAGTTTCCCTGCGTTGAGAACCACTATGTTGTCAGCGTGCTTGATAGTCGACAGTCGATGGGCAATCACAAGAGTGGTTCGATTTTTGGAGGCAGCGTCCAGCGCGGCTCTTACAAGGCTCTCGGCCTGCAGGTCCAGCGAGGCAGTAGCTTCATCCAGAAGAAGAATCTTGGGGTTCGACACGACAGCGCGTGCGATTGCAATTCGTTGTCTCTGGCCACCAGAAAGGAGCATTCCCCGTTCCCCAACGCGAGCCTGAAATCCGCCGGGCAAGTTGGAGATGAATTCATACGCATTTGCCGTTCTCGCAGCCTCTTCAATCAGACCGGTCACTTTCTCTCCTGCTGCCTACTCACGTCAAACCCGAGTCTAGTTAGCGATTTCCGAGATTAGAAGCGTTGGGGCGGGTCTGCTGAGCAGGGCTTACATGCTCAAGTTCTGTTCCACACAGTCCGAAGCGGATGTTCTCGTACACTGTGGTGTTGAACAGAATGGGCTCTTGACCAACAACGGCAATCTGGGCCCGAAGCCAATGTAGGTTTAGTTCCTGTATGGGGAGTCCATCGAGGCTAATCTCGCCGCCGACAGGACGATAGAAGCGTTCTATCAGGCCCACCAGAGTCGACTTGCCAGATCCCGACTTGCCCACAACAGCGGTGACCTTGCCGGACGGAATAGAGAAACTCAATTCATCGAGGACGACCTTGTCTGGGCGTGACGGGTAAACGTGTCGCACGTTCTTGAAGACGATCTCGCCTTCCACAGTCGAGGGTTTTTTGCCAGCTCCGGACATCGGATCCAGGGGCGATTCCCGGTCGATAGCCTGAAATATCTTCTGGCCAGCAGCTACCGCCGTCGCAAAGGCACCGAAATGTGGCGCCACGTGTCCGATGGACACTCCAGCCAGCATGGAAGAGAACACGACCGTGATGATCTTCGACACCGAAACGCTGCCATCATGTAGCAGGCGCGATCCTTCCCAGAAGGCGAGGCCGTACTGCAAGTTCATGATGGCCATCATCGCGGCGATCATAAAGGCCAAGAAAGCTTTGCTCTTGAAATCGAACCGCTTGACGTTATCCAGGTGCATGCCGAAGTGTTTGGCCAGCCAGTCCTGTGCACCAAAGGCAGTGGTGGTTCGAATGGAAGTAAAGGCTTCTTCAGCGATGGTGGCTCCGATGGCGTAAGCATCGTTTGCCTGCGCCTGGTACTGCTTGATTCCTTTGCCAGCACCCCCCATGATGAGAATGATCAGAACGGTCACCGATAGCATGATGAGTGTCAGCTTCCAAGATCTGATGAAACCCACCGCAAGGGCTGCGAAGAAAGTCGTAACTCCTGCGGCGGTAAGGCCCAATTTCTGAGATATACCATCCTGACATGTCTTAGTATTCTCTTCACAGACGGCAGACCGATTGAAAAAGCAATCACCTGAATCATGTTCATATCGCCGCTTATGCGGCTGGCCACTTCTCCGGCCCCGATACTGTCAAAGAACGCAATGTTCTGTCGCATAATGGATTGAAGGTATGCTTCACGCGTTCTCCGCGTAATTGCCTCACCAGCGAAGGAGAAACCTTGGATGGCAATGAAGACGGCAACGAAGGATCCGATTCCTGACGTGGAGGATTGTCAATAAGCAGGTGTACGAGTTCAGATTCCAAGGCCACGCACCCAGATATACGAAGTAAAGAGCAAGTCTCGAAAGCTGATGATTGAAGTCTGATGTAGCTGCTGATCCCGCTTGAAAACCTGTGAACCGTCCAGCCAAAGATCCTAGCACAAGCTATCATCATGTCAGCCTGGTAACTATTACCTAGACGCAGGTACAATGAAGCTCTCAAGTCTCCTTACCGTCATGAGGGGTTGCACGGCTCCCGACACGACGGCGGAGGAAGCAGACAGGGCCAGAATACAAATCTCCTGTCTGGAAGCATATCGAAACAACGTCCAATACGTCACCTTGACGTCCGGTACCTCTAGCTGGGAAGTGAGGATGCTATCGCGTATGCTGTGGTCTTGTATGTCGACGTTGTGCTCAGACTTTTCGGCCATGCCAGCCATCTCATCGAGGGGTAGGCCCGTTGGGCGTCGGGTCTGAGAAAAGAGCACGTCGGCTTGGTGAATAAGGAAATTGTGGACGTCGCCGAACAAAGCAGTGGCAACACTGATGAACTGAGCGAGGGTTGAAGCCTACGAGGGTCGATCGACTCAAGGAACGCAGAACGCCTGCCATTTTATGCGATCTCCAGCTCCAATACCAGCCCCGGCGTCGCACGATGCGCAGACGGTCTACCGGGGATTTGATTGAGCAAGGGTCCGATATACGAAGTGCAGCCATGGCTCATTGAATCAAAGGATCTCCCCTGGAATCTTCAGAGAGTTGAAAAGGTATAGTGATGGTGAACGGGCGATGCAGTTCGTTTTACCTCGTACTACAAGAAGATTGACAGGGCGGAAACCCAACTCGGGCCCCTTGTTCTCCCGCTCAGCCGCGTTGATCCATACTAGTTCTCGCTTGACACCATCAGATCCAATTACCTGCAACGATATTTACTTTTGGCCATCGTTAGCTCAATGTGCTGACAGGGGGGCTCGCCTCGTATTCCGGTCAATCGGATTCGTCGGTGAACGAACGACTCTCGTGCCTCGCCAGACTCCAGGCAACAAGAATTGTTGTTCCAACTTCAACTATCGAACGGGCCCAAGTTTGTGATTCTGCTGCGAGCAGATTATGGAGCTACTATCTTCTATGTCTTGATTATCCTCACTGATCTGGCCGTGCCAGCCCACGTCCGCTTCGAAAGCCAAGCTCTTTCGCATTAGTGGAGCAGTTTCAACGCACGCCGGTGGCATCTGCCATGGCGACGCCGGGAGTCTTGCAGTCTCTCGATGGATCCACAGACGGCGCCGTGCCTGCAGAAGAATCCGAGGCTAGACGAATACACAGGCGGCGGAGCCATCTGAAATCGAGACGGGGCTGCACTGCCTGCAGGAGGCGGAGAGTAAAGGTCGGTGCCGCAGCCTGAACACGTCCTGGGGTTATAGCTGACGAACCTCGTCTGCCGTCAGTGTGACGAAGAGCGTCCGCGATGCGGCAACTGCCAGCGCAGGGAGGAAGACTGCAGCCTCGAGAATCTGATCCCGGCATCGAGGACCAAAATACTGCGGCCCCAAGAACCATCCCTGGCCGCTGGTCCCCAGCACAGACTTCATTCGCATGTGAACATGCTGCAGATGAAGCTGCTGCACCATTTCAACACCGTGACAGCTGAGACGCTTGTGTTCGGCGTATCTATCTGGCGTGGCCATGTCATGGCTTTAGCACTGAAAGTAAGTTTCGTCTTGCCGGGAATGTTCACCCTCGGTTGACAAGCTCTGTTCCAGCATGAGTTTCTTATGCACGCTGTGCTCCTTATTGCGGCCAAACATCTGTGCTTTCTCAGCCCTGGTGATCCCTTATATCGGTCATCTTCAATCCTGCACCTCTCCGAAACGCTGCACCTCTTCCGACATGCTCTGACACACCAGGTCACGGCCTCGAATGTCGACGCCTTGATCGCAACATCGACACTCCTGGTGCACTATGCCTGGGCGACAGATGAGGGCGTGATCCAAGCGCAAGACACTTCCAGGGCAGCGATCTCTGATTTGAGGTTGAACCTGAACATGGATCCACTGTTCTCTTTATCCCAGGGCCTGCGAACGCTGTTTATGAAGGCCAACCATTTCATCGAAAGGGGGGAAAGCATATTTGCGACCTCAGCCCGGTATCGCCCTCGCGAGTCACTCGAGCAAGCCACCATTGGGCACCCCAAGCCGTCACAGGACTTGGAGATTCTCATTTCCGAGGCGTACTGCAAACACCGCGCAACATCGGGAAGGCCAGTCGTTGTTTATCCAAAGTCCCTCTTCCCGGGCTCGGTGGAGCGATTCTTTCTTGATCTCCGGACAGGCCACGAGGAGGCCCTCCCAAGACAGGAGGGCTCAGGTGATGATGGTGGTGGTGATGATGCTGAAGAGGATCTTGAATTGATCGGCTTCCTCGATGCGACCTCGCGATTGGTGCTTATCTTGGGCCTCTTTGGCCAGCAATCATCCTCCACTGGCACGCGATTTCCGATAGAGGCTGACCTGGCGCCCAATCCGACACAGGTCTCCAATGCAGTCGACGGAACTGGAGGTCGTCATTTCCCGCCGCTCTCGGACCTCGCACGTTATATCTTTGCCTTTCCGACACGCTCCACCGATACCTTCATCCGACTTGTCCAGCACCACCATCCACATGCCCTTCTCGTCTTGTCCCTGTTCTACCGCGCCGTCTCAATACTCCTTCCGCAGCAACAATGCTGGTGGAGCCAAAGGCGGGCTCGGGTCGTCGGATCGGCCATTGAATGCGCATTGCGAGCACAGGGTGATGCGCATTTGGATGCGATCTTGCAGGAGGGTAGGAAGGTACTTGATGGTGGCACTGCAGGAATTTCGAGTTGTCAGAATACCGAACACAACCCGCAGGACCTCTTGAGAGTGGACACGTGGGATGCAACGTGGAAGCGAACTCGATGTGTCTTGGAAAGGTTCGGCTGGAGGAAAGGACGTTGGTATTCTGAAGAGCTAGCTCTATCTTCGCGGAGCACGTAACCGCTGTACCGCCCTTGTTACGTTTTCACTTGAACGATGAGAGTTTCTGTATCATGTGCTGCTGTGCATCTCTGTGTATACTGCTCTTGATCAGTCACCATTTTGTGTCACCGACGTCAGATCTCTCTCGATGTTTCTCTCTTGTTCTTATCCACTAAGGATTATGCATCGCTGCAGCACTGCGGCCACATCCCATAAGACCTGTCACTTTGCGGTCGAAAGACGCCGATAAATTCCCCATGAGGCTGACGAATCGAGGACCGAGACAAAAGTGATAACTGATCAGATGCCCAAGAGATATTTCAGCTTCATGAGGAAGAGGCGAATTTTCCAGAAAACTGACCTTTTATGGACGCCACCCCACGGTCGCATTTCAAGCATTATCCAAGGTAAATACATTCCAAGTTCCGACCAGATTCACGAGAGACTCATTCTCCAGTTCGGGAGTCGCTGGAAAATTTGAAGCAGGTCAAATGGGAATGCTGGGACAGATGTACAGGTTTCGCGCCAGAGAGCCTCGACGTCGGAGCCTTTGCCCAGACTAGCAAAATGGGTACAAGCGACATAAACGGCATTGTTACGTAGTTTGTGTGCCTCGTCGGGAGTGTGGAGATAGACGGTCGGGATGGAATTCAAGAAGTCCTTCTGGTTCCAACGCCGGTTGCTTGTGTCCCTGAACTTCTCAATTGCCATTTCACCAAGCTTCTCGACGTCGTATTTGACCGAGATAGAGAAGACTTTGGCGTGTTGCTTGAGGCCCTCGAACTCGAAATCTGCATATTCCGCTCGGTAGAAGAATTCAATCATCCTTCTCACAATCTCAACGTCATCTTCTGCGAGGTCCACGGTTGGTTGTTCGGTTTCCTGCTCAGCACCCGGTCAGACATGAGAACTAGTTCCCTTTCGACGAAAGACAAGCACATACCGCCCATCGCTTGCTGCATGCTGTGTCGAAGAACGACGATTGAGAGCAGACAACAACCCTATGTACTTGAAATTTCTCATTCGCGCAGGTAATCGTCAGGTCTGTGAACGCGCCACTTAGGTACACCCTAGAAGTTTGTATCAGGTAGATTTGTGATACGGGTCAGCAGGACATACGATGGAAGCCAATCGGGAGGTTGAGCCATCATGATGGATTTGACTCTGGGATTGTGTAGTGTTCAAGGCAACGGTGAGAGTTGAAGAAGAAGGTTGCAGGTGTGCGGTGAGATGGATGTCTATTTTCATTGACTGGCCGCGCCTGACAGATCTGGATGCCTGATGTCACCTCACTTCACTTCCGGAGGGTATTCAAGGCCGAGCAATCGTTGTAGAAGGCTTTGGATATCGTGAAGTGAATGTTGCTGTTGCTGTCACCAGATTGGCAAATTGTCGGTGAAAGGGGGGATTATGTTCATCTCGTTCGGCCCAAAGACGGATTCGAGGAACGCGTCGCTGTGATCTGCAAAGCCAAGAGCGGGCACGGCAGAGAAAAAGTTGTCTGGCAGAAGCATCATTGATGAGTCGGGCACTGGCATTGAGTCGAAAACCGACTGAGGTGTATGGGAGGAAAGGTCGTCCGGGTTAGAACCAGCGGGCCGTTGTTGCTCTCGAGAGGAACTAGAGCCCGCCGCGTCTCGTGTATTCCTGTCACTGTAGGCAGTGTGGTCAAACTCTCCGAGCTCTGAATGCCTGGCGGCGTCGTCTGAAGTGGTATTTCGTGGCGACAAGCGTTCGTGTTGAGAAACGTGGTCGCATTCCCCTGCAAGCCTGTGTCCACTCATCGAATTGGAGCCCGTGACCCTGGACGCAGTGGGAAACCATAGGCCTCTGATCAACTCGCTATACCGCTGTGCGATATGGCGTTTGCCTAAAGCTGCCATCCGTAACGCTAAGGTGAACTTCCTCACCAAGGCTTTCACCTCTAGCTGTTCACTGCTAGAGGTGAGTGCGCCAAATATTTCTGCCTTGTAAAGGAAGACACCAGAGTAAATGCCGTACCTACGATGTAATCAGTTGCACTCAACTGTAGAAGTGCGAGCGGAAAGACAAAGTGAAGATATCGGGGGGTTGACTGACAAGTAATATCGAGTAGGCAGATATCTCAAACACATGGTAGAATCGCATTCCCCAATGATTTTCAACACCATTTTCGCGGCTCGGATAGCTTCAAACACGTAGCGACCGTCTGGAGAGGCCATGACTCCCCGAGGAAAGAGGTGGCGTCTTTTACTTCTCATCGATGATTGCTCCTCAGTGAGGCCTTTGTCCAAGCCGGAGGCCCTCGTAACGATGGCCTGAAAGGAGAATGCGTTGACATACAAACACAAATACTCATACATGAGAGAGAGCGTGCATCTGAGCTTGGGGCCCAATGGGAACTCGCTCCATGTAGAGTGCCACATCAGCAGAGCCTTCAACAAATCATCAAGATAGCGGCTGTAGTCGCCCGTCAAGGTCATTCCAAGAGTCCGTGCTCGTGAAGAGTACAGGATATCGTGCGAGTTGTGTAGAAGCTGCGTGAGTTCGATGGTGGCTTGAAGCACAGAGGCGTAGTCCTCGTCGTTGGAAGAAGGTAGGAGGCTAGGGAAGTCGTTCGCCGTGAATCGCGTGGACAGAGAAGGGCCTCTAGACCAGAACGACTGACCCATTCGGACGGATATCTGACGGTCTGCCAGGTAGACATCTGTTCTTCAGTTACCCAACCTAAGTTCTTCCAGAAGGTTGGCAATTAGTTTCATACAAATCCAAGCAAGACGCTTGCGGTCGATCTGATCTTTTGTTTGACCGACAAACTCTTCACGAAAAGAAGTCCTGTCAAGGCGGAGGAGATAGGCGTGTCTTACTGCTTGGCCCACCAGAGACCAGGCAGTGCCGTCTTCCGTGAAGGACCCTTTCGTTGAGCGTACGCTGGAAGGGTAGTCTAGCCGGACATCGGGGAGCCAGTCTGACAGCAATAAGAGGCCTTCGACCGAATTAACGTGGTGAGTGTGCGGTAAGGCGAGCAAGATATCAAGAAGCAATTCTTTCGTGTAGGTCCAACAGTGGTGGTGGACTTCATCCCACGCAGGATCGAATCTAGACGCAATAGTCATGATGACGGTCAGGAGAAATGGCTCGTTGGTTGCCACTTCGTTGATGTTATGCGCCAGTAGCACATATTTGGGCACGATTGGAAGAAAGGGATGGTATCTCTCAGCGTACCTGAGAGGGAATTAGGTTCAGAAATGTGTGAAGAATCATGTAACCTACAGGCTGATAAGTTCCTTAATATCCTCTGGCCTCAAAACCCCTTTTATGACAAGTTTGTAGGCGGCTATGCCTTCTTCAGTCGTGGGTTGTCTTTGCATTGGTGGCGTAGCTGTTGGATGGTTCTCTTGTACATTCATATTGGGAGAATATGCGTCATCATTCCCAAGGTCGTCGAGAGGTGAGGGAAAGCTGGAACATTGCTGTCCATCTTCGCCAGTCTCCTCGCAGCTGCGAGATCTTGCTCGAGTGAGGATTTGTAGTGCATCCGACGGGTTTCTTAGTTCCGCGTAGATAGGTTCTTCGTCTAGGTCACCCGAAACGTTTCCTTCGGCGGCTTCTCTATCGCCACGAGGTATAGCTGCTGTCTGTTCGCGCTGCTGGCCAGGACTGCCGACCACACTGTTGGAGGCGCCCTTCAGCAGACCTGTTCGTGACCGACGAGCCCTATACAGGCTGTAGTCACCGCCGCGCCGCGAGGAAGCAAGCGTACAATCATGGCCGACCCGAAAGCACTCAAGGCACGGTGGCTTGCCGACCTCGCCCACGCTGTTTCTAGACATTATCAGCATAATAGGAGCCACATGCGGAAACACGTACAGGTCGCATCGCGTTTTCCTTCCCCGACAGCGTTCACATGCGCGATAAATGCGCTTTCCAGTTCCGGTAGTCATGTTCATGCACCTGCAATAAAATCCACAGCTCTCATTATTTCATGGACCAGGGAATTCATGAAACACAGGCCTAGAGAGTTGGAGTAGCAAGTATCCGGCTGTAGTCGGCAGGATTACTCCTCGGCTATAGATGGCAATCCTTCCATTTGTTGTTCCCACCTGCAGGTTGCCAACCTTCATTTTTCGAGGGACCAATGAAAGGCTTGCTGCTCCCAAGAACATGCGGACTCAGGGGACAATAGTGGCTAAAAGATCAGGATGCAGGACAACCTTGTACCTTGTGCTGGTCGTCGAGATTCTGTTTTGGCGTCGTCAGCAGACTGCGATTTTAGCATTTCAAGTCGATTCAGCAGACTTCGAGGTGCCATTGGATTCACCTCGTTGCGTTGTTCGAGGTGACCATCCGGGCGGTGAGAATTATCACTAGAGGCTCGCTGGGTACGGGAACAGGCCTTTCCTTTTGCCATCCAGGAGCCATCCAGGAGTTTAACATGGGGTTGATAAGGCTTCCCACCCAATCTAATCCCTTGAGCACCCAGCCACAGGGCCGTCTAGTCTCCTTTTACTTGGGTTTGGGTGCCAGATTTGTACTCGTTCATCTCGGTGCCTTCTTTCTCCTCCCCAATAATGCAGTTGATCTCGTTGGCCCGCGGTCCCTGGTCCACGGCACCAAATATTCCGTTCATCTCTTCCAAGGTACGACCCTTCGTCTCTCTAATAAACACGAAGGCAAATGCGGCGTTACCCAAGCAAAAGACCCCGTACATGATGAAGGTTTTCCAGCCAAGATTGTGGATTGCCGCGGGCGTAATCTTGGAAATGACAAAATTGAAAAGCCATTGTGTTGCGGCTAATGAAAATCAGATATCTCAGTCTTTGGAGACTCGAAAGTGGTTCAACTCACCACCAAGTGCAACGCCATAAGCTCGAGTGCGGGTGGGAAAGATTTCTCCCACATATATCCATGGCCTGACGAGTGGGGATCAGTGGCTGCTTGCATAGGGGATTTTATGGAAGCCCATACCCTGGTCCCCACGACAAAGAATATCCTATCACATACAGATAGATCATCACGACCATGGCAATGGAAGCATGCGAGACGCCGTCGGCATGATTCGGTGGGTGAGTCGCCAGTATAGCCCCGAGGATGAACATCATGGCCGCCCTGGCTCCCAGTCAGCAAGTTGGTTCCTTACGCAAGAAGAGTAAACCGTGGCTCACATCCAAACCCCTCCAACTACGAGAGGCCATTTTCTCCCGATCTTGTCAGTGATCCACCAAAGGAAGAGCCCAGTCGCGAACACTTTGACAACACCATACACGCCCGTCGCAAACAGCGAAGAGTCCGTACCGGACAACCCCACGGTCTGGAAGATTTGTGGTGCAAAGTATCCGATGCTGTTCGTGCCCGTGAACTGTTGACAGAGCATGAGGAAGAAGATGATCATGAACCGCTTACGCATGTTCGGTTGCAGGCATTCTTTCCACGTCACCCCTTCGGACAACTCCTCTTCCTCAGCAATGGATGCCTTGATCTCTGCTAATTCGCTCATCACCTCCACGCCATCAGGAGAGTCACACCGGATGTGGGCAAGCGAAGCGACTGCCTCCTGGTCTCGGCGTTGTTTGGCTAGCCATCGTGGAGATTCTTTGAGGAACAGCATTCCCACCAGGAGAATTCCTCCTGGGACCAGCTGCACTCCCAACGGGATCCTCCACTGTTTGGAAGACTTCGGTATATTTTTGGCTACTCCATAGTCCAGCCAATATGACACTGTCGTGCCGAGGACCAGAAACTCCTGGAACAAGCCGGTGATGCGGCCTCTGACTCGTGCAGGTGAGTTCTCAGCCACGAAGACAGGGGTGATCGAGCTCATCCCCCCTACCCCGAGTCCCGCAATCACCCTGCCCGCATAGATGTAGCTCAGCTTGCGCGGTGAGCCCGTCTGCAAGGCCGCACCGAGGAGGAAGACAGCGGCAAAGCCCATGAGGGAGAAGCGACGTCCGAACTTCTCATTCAGAAAGGCGGCCACAAGCGCTCCAAAGAAACATCCCGCAATCAGCAGGGAGACGACATTGGAACTGATCTCTGCAGCCTTTGCGCTTGCGAAGCCCGAGGAGTTCGTGGGGAGCCCGAAATCTTCTTTGAAGCTGTCGAAAGCCAGCACACTCCCCATGACTCCGACATCGTAGCCTGTCAAATTTCAGTATCCAAATCGCAAAATCCGAGAAAGCACCCGAACAAACCGAACAAGAACGATCCCATATACGCCACTGTCGCGAGAAGGTAGACTCGCCGGCTTTTGAAGCTGAACCACATCTTGGGGTGAACGAGACAAAGGTGCTAATACTTCGGTAACAGAAACGGCCTCAGAGAATATTCGCAAAGAGTGTCCAGAACTGGAGGGGGAGCTCAAAGCCTGAGATTTCTTGTACTGAAACCAGCATCTTTATATCTCAGGAATCAACGGGGGCTCGTATTCTCTCCATGGGGCTCCGGAATCTGACCCAGACCACCAGAAATCAGTCTCTGGGGTCTCTGTCACCCCAGAAGCGTCTGATCCTGTATGCCATCTATAACCGACGGCTATGCTCCAAACGCTGACGGAGGCGTCCTTGTGTAGGCCAAGATTGTTCGCGAGAAAATCGCTTCTGACCTCATTTCAAGGTCCCGTCTATAGTCGACGGCATCTTACTCGGGCGAATTGCTGCAACAAGTCACCCCGTAACGCCCATGTTGGGGCTGTAAGTGTTGTCCATTGACTTTAACTCTTCTTTTTCTTACCGATCCCATCACTTACTCGTCATAGAGCTTACCCTGTGGTCCCCCACTTAAGGAGGAAGCACTGGAGCTCCATCGGCTGTAGATGGAAAACGCGACAGAAGATGGGCATTCTGCTGGAATAACACTCCTTTCTCCTGAAGGCTGAGGCCAAGATTCTGTGCCGAAGAGGGCTTCAAGAATATAAAAGCCATCGATCACGATGAGAAATGTTTACAATGTTCGCTAACTGCGTCGTCACATAACGATCGACTCCTTCACTCGAGAATATACGACATATCGTCTTGTACCAACACAGCTCTTGCATTCTCAACCATGCCAGGCGTTATCGCAAAGCCCGAATCTGGCTTCCAGAACATCATCGTGAAGAAGCTCCACCCAACCTTTGCGGCACAAATCAGTGGCGTGGACTTTTCACAATCTCTGTCGGACGAGACCTTCGATGAAGTCCTCCGTGCGGTGACCAAAGTGAGCAACCACTCTTCCTATGTTTTTTTTTTATTCGGAATCTGGTAAGCGCGCAATATTCGGCAATGGATTGCTGACGCATCTGGTCATCTAGTACGGGGTGGTTGTCTTCCGCAACACCAACCTGACTGACGAGACGCACCTAGCATTCGCCCGTCGGTTCGGAGAGCTCGACGATGTCAAACCGTACATCTCGGCCGGTCGCAAGAACAGACTGAGATATGACGAGCTTTTTGACGTTAGCAATGTGGAGGTAGACGGCACGATTCTCGACCCGGGGAGCCCAAGAGGCCAAGCGAACAAGGTAAGACCGCCCCAAGCACCGTGGGCCTCCAAACCCCCCTCAAGGGGCTCCTGCCTTCCTACACATGTCTAACCAGCCTCGTCTGAACCAACCAGGGCAACGATCTGTTCCACGTCGACTCGAGCTTCAACCCCCGGCGGGCCGGGTATTCGTTGTTGCTGGCCCACGAGCTCCCGCCGCCAGGGATGGGCGGACACACCGCCTTCGCGGACACCAGGACGGCCTACGACGATCTTCCCGAGGACTTGAAGGAAACACTGCACCAAAACAACTACGTGGCGGCGCACTCGACGCACCACTCCCGCAAGCTGGCGGCGCCGGACTTCTTCAGAGACCTGGATCCCCTCGACTACCCAATGGGTCGGCATTACCTGGTGCAGCAGCACGAGAGCTCCGGCCGCATGAACCTGTACATCGCATCGCACGTCCACCATCTGGAAGGGCTGGAGCCGGACGAATCCACAGAGTTGTTCGACCGGCTTTACAAGCACGCCACCCAGCCCGAGTACACGGTCGAGATCGAATGGCAGACGCCGGGGGACTTGGTCGTTTGGGACAATACGTGCACCATGCACCGGGCTGTGGGTGGACCGTTTCTCCGCAAATACCGTCGCGACATGAGGCGTGCCACCGTGCACGATTCCAGCTCCCAGGCGTGGGGGCTCAACGAGCATTCCGATGTCCGGGTTGGGATGCCATGAGCTTGGCGGAGGCCGGCCACGCTCAGATACTGGTCTAGAGGCGGGTCCTATACATATTGAGGACGTTTTAGGGATCATCCTGACTCCTCGGATAGTCATCAACCAAAGAGCCTTGCCGGCAGGGATATTGTCTATAGAGGCCGTATCAATAACTATCTTCCCCTCCCTTCACCGGGGTTTCCATTTCCTGTCAATTTTTCATCCTGTGAATCTTTCACCAATTAGCTATCGATGGGATAGTATCGCTTCATACCTCATCGGTGATCCCCTTTTTTGACTGTGGCCTTACGGTCGTTGAATGTGGAGTGGACCTAGATCCGCATCGCTGCGTTTAGCACTTACAAAGAAGTGCATGTATGGGACTCAATGCTACGGGTTCGTGTGAAGAGAAATTCCACTACTCCAACCAACTTCTCACGGTTCCCGCCTCGGTTTATTTTGGGAGTGGTTCATGTTATATGACTACAACGGTCAACACTGAATTAACCGACTTAAGTAAAGTCAACGAATAAGAAAGCAGTCTCGCACAGTGATAAGTATAATCTGGCGGGTAGCACGCTACATCGCAGGGAGACGATCTCCCCACGGCAGGCGATTGGATACATCGTAAAACCCCTGCTTTCGGCAACGCAATTCCTGCTTCGAAAAGCCGCGACTATTTCCGCGGACGCTGGGGGATTCAGTTAGCCATTGTTTGCCGGAGCGTCGGAGAAATGAAAAGCTGCTCTGTAATTGCTGGGATGAATAGTCTGCTCGGAGCAAGAGAGTCGCAGTGAAGCCTAGTGAATCGGCCTGGCACTCCGTCCTACCCGACCAGGACCTGCCAAACCGCTCCCAAGCGGGAATCATCATAGCACTTGTGATACCAAAATCCAAGAAGGATTTCCTTTGCTTCGGACGCGTCCTGGAGGCCGCGGCGAAGCTTCTCCCGCTTGAGTCTCTCGAGGGTCTCCCTAAGCGCGCTGTCACTGTCCGCGAGGGACCCTTCCTCTTTCACCACCACGAACGAATTGATATGCTTCAGGTACTGCACAGACACAGCGTGGATGAACAGGACAAAAAACCACATGTTCTCTTGCTCTTTGTGGACCGGGCTTTCCTCGAAAATTCGGATCGCCTTGAGAAGCCTTCGCTGCGTCGCGTTTGCGTTCAAGTCCCAATATCGAAGTCGAATCTGGGAGACGGAACCGATGTGGCTGATCAACAGCCACTGAAAGCGCAGGGCTAGTGCCACGGCGCCACTCAGCGCGTGATATCCGACGAACTTGGAGGCCAGGTTCTTCGACGACAACGCTTCTGCATGATCCACCGCGACGTTGTTCAGGAGCTTCGAAGTCTCAGTGCGGTAAAAGTGCAACCACCTCTTGATTTCATGCTCGACGTCGCGGTTCTCTGTGTTCCACGCGTAGTGTTTGGCGGCCCCGTCAACAAGAGTAATGTCCCTGATTCGTTCCACGATCGCCAAAAGCTTGACGTTAAATCGGAGTGAGATGTCGATGGAGGATGCTTGCGGCAAATTGTGGGCGAGAGCCGATGCGTACTCCTTCACGAGCCTGAACGCAGCGGCCGAGAAACATTGTTGCCATGGGCCAGGGTCGTGGTCTCCCTCCCTGGATCGAGTTCGATGGCCTTGAATCGCCGCCGTCCAGATGTCGCTTGTGCCGATCGATAAGTGGGAGATGCCACTAGCCCTCGCCATGTCGCTAAAGAGGTGATGCAGCGCATTTTGGTGCACGTCCGCGGCTGCGATATCTTCGACGTAAAACTCACAAGCCACTAGGAGCCGGATCAGAATCAGGCTACGGTAAGTTCGGAGCTGCTCTGTTGAGATATTGCGGAGGCTCGAGATGGCGACTAATTTGTGTTTGGCGGCGTAGGTGATGTAGGAATCATTCCTCTCTCCACTTCCACCAGCACAGATCGAGGCGCCCAGCGCGATGAGCGCATGAAGCAAAGCTTTGTTGGACAAGGAGAGTTGAATATCTGAGACCCAGCCATCCATGATGTCCCGAGAAACGAGTTTGCTAGCCGTGGCCGAGCCGCCTGAGAACAGACCAAAGGAGTGTGCAAGTTTGATCAGGTGTGAATCTCGAGGCGACAGAGGCAGGGCTGCTACATCGAAAGGATTGCTGCTGCCGAGCACTCGGCAAGCGAGAACATATGCGGCCTCGAAAAGATCGGTCGACTTGTCGTCTCCGGTGTTGTGTGTCCGTCTTTCGTGTTCTTGACGGATACTCCGGGGAGTAAAAACTTTCCATTTCTTGTCTGTACTGTTCAGGATAGAACCACCACTCCTCTTATCGGAAGCATTTGAGGTCGAGACTGTGCTCCATCTCGAGCTGAACGCGGCCGGGAGGGGGGCTTCTGATCGATCGCTAGAAACCGTCAATCCAAGGTTTTGGGACTTTCGCCGTCTATGCGAAACCAAAGCTGCGTGGGAAAGGGCTTCTTGCGATTGGCGTTCCGTCGCACGCCATGACTTCGTATCGTGATTGATGAATGTGATAGGGACTTTGGACTGCCTTGACGACGGCTGTTGGATAACTCGTGATGAAGATGGACTGCGAATTTCCTTGGTTTTTTCAGGCCCAGTGTCGCTCATCTCACATGCGCATGCGGCAGGGCCTCAAGTCTGTTTTCCTCATCCATAGACCTGGAGTGGCTGACGGCACAAAACCAAGTCCCAGGGAAAGATCGTACGGAGTCTCCAGGCTGTCGTAATTGATTCTGATGGGCTTTCAAAGCCTTAGGCGAGAATTTGACGTCCAATGACCACGTAAGGATAGTGCGTCTTGCTGATGAGAATACCTTGCCACGATGCTTGTTACCTTTGCAATAAAAAGCTTCACCGAGCAGCGCCAGTCGCTTTCACCCACTGCAAGCGCATTCAGCTCGGCCGGTCCAAGTAAGCCGAGGTCCAGTGGACGATGGAACAGGACCGCGTCGATGCCACTGATGGATTGTTTCGAGATGGAAGATAGGGTCTTACACCTTGCCGCAAGAGGAGAGTTCGAACGCGGAAATGATAGGCAGATTGTAGAAGTCCTCGTCTGGAGATAGGATTAGTCACATCTCCGTGGTCGAGAAGTCACACGATACTTCGATGGTGCGGCCACTTTGCGCGATTGCAGAGGTGTTCGGACCTGTTGATCTCGAGGCCGTAACATCGACCCCGTCGCCAGGACACGTACTCCCTCTGCACGGTCTCGGGTTCTCTGTCGGATGGTTCCCGAGAGCTTTCAGGCCCGAGGTGGCACCAGACTATTCAGGTGCCATGCCTGGGGTCGACGCCTGTGCGGTTCCTCCTATTTGAGGAGAAGATGAGGTGGTGAAGTAGCTGGAGGATAGCCAAATCATCTCCGAGACTCGTCCACGCCACTTATTTAAAAGGCTTAGTGCCCATCGGTTCTAGGCAGGTAGAATCCTCGGCGACCTTTTGTGAGAAACTCGCCGATCTAGCACAGGACACGAAGTCGGTCTAGTCGGTAAATTTCCACAAATCACGTCCATTGGGATATTTACCTTTGTTGGAAGTAGAGTTTGAGGCTGCCTGGAGTCGACGGGATCCGACGATATGGCCTTGAAGCACTTTCGTTGCAGACAAACTGGCTATGGACGTTCAATTCGTTGTTGCGGGGCTACACCGGAGTCCTTCTGTTTACGGCTGCAGCTGCAGGGAGCTTCACATGTACTCTGGACTAACGTAAGCATCTTCAGGCTTACGATGCGATGCTTGAGACGAATGTACCAAAAGCAAAAGCGAACAAGGTCAAAGTCAAAGTCAACAATGAATGAACAAGGATTACGAGGGTGATAACGACTCTTGTACAGTGCCAGTGCTAGTAGCTTCGATTGAAGCATGCAGGGTCCGCATTTGGCTGCCGACACGATTCGAAACACGGCGGTCAATGGAAGGATGAAGAGAGTTCGATTGTCTACCGCCTAGAACGACACAAGTTTCATATCTATTGCTGCACGATTATGTCAAAGCCAAACGAGCTCCACGTATCTCATCCCAAGCCCTAGTTCCACGTGCCTTTAGCTGCATCGTCCAGTTTTTCTTCGGTGGGGAAAGACGAACCCGGTCTGGAAAGCTGAGGGAAAGTTGAACGATAACAGGCTGTAGTGTCGTCTACAACCGAAGAACCTGGTCCATCAAGAGCCGGATAGACCTTTCGCGGGCTGGATGGCGACGGCAAATGGTCGCCCTATCCATCCAGAGACCCCTTTCGCTTCGTTCAGTGGAGGTGGCGTGTGTTGTTCGTTATCCTCAGTAATATCCCGGAACATTCCACCTGGTCTAGCTAATAGATCTCCTGGAGAGAGACCAACCAAACAAGTCTGGCCAGATCCGATCCTTCTGCTATGGCCCCGCCCAGCGTTTAGCTGAATCTTGAGCTCATCCACCATTGCTTTGTGGCCATTGACTACCGGTAGAGGTCAGTTGGGGCCTCCGATTCTCCGAAGGCTCCTCCCGAGATCATATTTCTAATCGGTTTGCTCTTCCTCGTTCGACCTTTTGTATCACGCCGATGCCCGAAACTGACTCACGACCACAGAGTTGATGTCGCTGCCTGGGACTATCTGTGTCTGTACTCTGGAGTATCGTCAAGTTGTGTCATGAAGACCCTGGCGCTGTCCTGATAGATCAATCTTTCGGCGACTCGTCACGCATTTCTCTTCAACAAGTCTGGAGGACATCGCAGAATACATGTTGTGATCATCTAAGCCAGCCTTTGGAACTTGGGCTGGTAGCTCCAGAAAGGGAAATTCTAGTTGGGCCGGACTCATTATGACCAACACACAGCATTCTTCACAATTGGAAGCTATGGAGAAAGAGCAGGATCTGATTTCAGCGGAAACCATGGAACATCGATTGTCGAGCAAAGATTCCAGCGCTTTCGACATCTCCATCGACGTCGCCGCGCAAGACCCGGCGGCGCGGCGCAAACACACGTGGAAGTCATACTTGTGGGACACGCTGGACAAAGACCCTGCCGAGCGGAGGTTTCTCTTCAAGCTCGACGCGGCGATGCTGAGTCTCGCTGGGTTTGGGTTCTTCCTCAAGTACCTCGACCAGCTCAACATCAGCAACGCCTTCGTCTCGGGCATGAAGGAAGACCTGGAGCTCTACGGCAATCAGTTGAATTACATGCAGACGCTGTGGACCGTCGGATACGTGATCGGCGCAATTCCATGTTCGGCTTGCTCTCGTCGCTGGTCGTGGAGAGACTGCTGACCATTCTCCAGCGAACCTCCTTCTGACGCGCGTCCGCGCGTCGGTGTACATCCCGTGCATCCAGATTGTCTGGTCGGCCTTGACAATGTGCATGGCAGCCTGCAACACCATCAAGCCCATCTATGCTCTGCGCTTCTTGATTGGCCTGGCAGAGAGCGGCTTCTACCCCGGCATTCAGTACCTGATTGGCTGTTGGTACCGACGAGACGAACTCGCCAAGCGGTCCTGCATCTTTCACGCGTGCGGTGCCCTGGCGGGAATGTTCAGTGGCTATCTTATGGCGGCGGTCTACCATTTGGAAGGGAAGGGAGGTCTCCGAGGATGGCAGTGGCTGTTCATCGTTGATGGTTGCCTCGCTGGTAAGCACATCGGATTGCCACTGAGGTAGACTACGTCTCCGTGACAACATTCCTGACCTTTGGCTTTTTAGTCCCCGTTGCAACTGCTGGTTACTTCTTCTACCCTGACGTCCCCGAGACCTGCCGGGCATTCTATCTCAGCAAAGAAGAGATCCAACTAGCTCAACACAGGATGGTGCTTGAAGGGCGTGCGGGTAGGGGACCGTTCACGTGGGCCAAGATCAAGAGAATCTTCACGTCCTGGCATATCTACGGAGTCGTCGCGATGTTCACCATTTTCGTCAACAACAACGCCATCCCGCAGCCTTTCTTCTCGCTGTTTCTCAAGGACTCGCAGCATCCCAAGTATACCATCACCCAGATCAACTCGATCCCTTCCGCAAGCGCCGCCGTCCAAGTCGTTACCACGCTGATGTACGCGTGGAGTTCCGACACCTTTTTGCGCGGGGCCAGGTGGCCGCCCATAATCTTTGCAAATGTCCTGAACATCGTCATCTACATCAGCCTCGCGGTCTGGGATATACCCATGGGCTGGAAATGGACGTGCTTTATTCTGGTAGGTGCGGGCGGCGGGCTCAGCGGGCTGTGCTACGCCTGGGCGCATGAGATCTGCACGTACGACAATGAAGAAAGAGCGTTTGTCACCGGCTCGATGAACGAGATCTCGGGCAGCGTGCAAGCCTGGCTTCCTCTACTGGTGTGGAAGCAGGTCGACAGCCCGAGATACCAGAAAGGATACATCACCTGCGCGGTGCTGAGCGCCGCGATGATCGCGAACGCTATGGTTCTTCGACACTTGCACAACAGAGAACTTCGAGAAAAGCACATTCAACCCGGGACGTGGAAGAGGTCGGACACCGGGTCAGATGTCCCTCGTCTAAAGAACGGATTGACTGCGTGAGCCGCAGCAGCCAGCACTGCGCTGTGGTATCGAGAGGATGATCACTGCTGACATGTCTAAGACAAAGATCCACATTGGATTTGGTCAGGACATAGCTCCCCCGGGCCCGCGAGACTCGCAAGAATGCAATGACCGACGGGGCGTCCAGATGAGAATGCTGCGTGCACCAGGCTTTTGGCTGTCTTCTACATGGAAACATCGAAGAGGAAACTTCAAAACCGAGGAATACCGCGCAAAGGTTGTTAAAGCAGACTATCAGGAACCTTCCTGATAGTTACCATAGCGCCCAATATTCGCGGAGCAATCGGCGAAAATCTTTCCGTCTTTTTGCTCAGAGCAAAGTATTCAGACACTATTCTTGAAACAGACGGTCTACGACGAGAATTTTCCGACCACGCGTGGGCGGAGAAAAGGAGGTAGAAGAGACCAACGAAGAGGAGAACTGAACATGCAAAGTCAATTGTACCAGAATCTATGCACAGTGATCGGATGACATGCCGGGATTCGAGATTCTCCCCATGGAGCGGGAATTGGAAACTCGCACTCAGTTGGCGAGGCCGACCACTCTGGTAACAATAGCCTCGAGGACAATGGACAGATTTAAAGATGCGCCGCCTCCAACTCTAAGCTTTTGTAGAGTGATATAGATATAAAAGGTCTTCCACGTATCTTTATAGATGTGAGACCAGCGGCGACATCTCATGAGTCTGGCTCTCTGCTTGCAAACATTCCGTAATTGCTCGGGCCACATATGCAACGTTCGATTCGTTCAGTCCAGCAATAGAAATACGAGAGTTGTCCGCCATGTAGATGTGATATTGCTCTGCTCAATAGGTTAGATGAAGTTTTGCCTGGCACGAGTAGACGGGGGTACTGACCTCTTAACTGGAGGACGACGCGGTATGGCAAACCAAGGAACCCGAACATCCCCGATTGTTGTAGGATGTGATCCCAGTTTCCCGGTGCACCTGATCATTCTTCAGCGTTCTGCAGATGTGAATATCTTGATAGACATACCATTCTCAACAAGGAGATTTTAAAGCGATGTTCTCATCGCCGCGATCCGATCGCTCATGGTCTTGAAATCTTCGAACCACATATTGCGGAGCAGCGAATCGCCCAGGATTTCCGCAGCAATCTTCGCACCATATGCCGGAGGATTCGATATCTCGGAACGCTGTAATCGCTCCAACATGGATTCACACTTATGTGCAACTTCCTCGGTGCTGGTCACAAAAAGTGTCGCTCCAACTCGTTCGCCTGCCGCGAGTGGTTAGCCGTGCGAAACTCGTTTGGTCCCGGTTTGAAGATTTACCATAGAATCCCATATTCTTTGCAAAGGAGACGGCTATTGCTGTTTCCAGGCCAAGGCCGTTCACAAAATGCCGGATAGAAAATGCGTCTTTGTCGAAATTTCCAGATCGGAATCCGAGATATGCGACGTCGAAAAGCGGGAAGAGCTGCCGTTCTTTGACCACCGCACCGATTTCTTTCCACTGGTCTTGTGTAGGGTCACAGCCCGTCGGATTATGGGCGCAGGCATGGAGTATGAGAATTGAGTTGGGTTCGGCCGGGCGTAATGCCTCCAGATACGACTCCATATCTAGTGTTCTTGTTTCATCACCGGAATCTCGACGCTCTCCTCCCTCTTGGCCCACGTGACCTCGCGCCGCTCTCGCTGTGACTGGCAAGGCCGCCAAGAAGATGTAATGACTGTTCACGCTAGTCCTCGGCCGAAGGCCTGTTACTAGCGTCGAGGCCCCTTCGTTAATTGCTCGAAGGTAGATAGTCAGACGGGTCCCAGGACCCTGTAGAATTCATCATGTTCCTCCGTTGAGTCACGTTGCTCAGGCCGGCTCGCGTCCAGCTCAACGTCGGCTTGGGGCCAGCTAGGCCTGCTCATCTTACTGACCACATCGGGGTAGTGGCCTAAAGGTCGTCCCTCCTCGAGACTATCAAGTTTTGACGAGGGCCCAAGGGAGGGTTCTAGGGGGTTCCTAGGAAGGCACCACGGCGCATTCCCTCCTTGACCCTACGAGGGTGAGTCGGTCTTCATGAGCGTGATGGCCCCGCACTATGTGTGTGTTGAACGCTAGGCGTATTGCATTGCCTGAGGCGTCAACGCCCTCGTCGCCTATAAAGTCAGCCTTGCTCAGCCTCACGGATCTGGTGGGGTCCGGTGAGATATCGCCCTATTCGCCCCCTGCTGTGATTTTAGCCCGTGGTAGAGCGAGGTGCCATGGTAGTCTCTGACGTGCCAAGCCGTGGTGTCCTCTTCCGCAAGAGACAGAATGCCGTATTACGCCACGAAGAAGTTGCCGCTGGTGTCTGGGTCCGCCGTACTGATGGTGGCGATTGCACAGACATACGTGTTTGCGCCTTTCTCGACGTGCGGGAATCTACTGATTATTAGCAATAACATCTTACCGAAGGATGCGTACTCACCGAGCATAGTTCATCGCACATCCAATGGAGCAAGGGACTGCCTCAGGTAGTGTGAAGCGGAATCCCTTCCTTTGGTCTGGCGACCATAGACTGTACTCGTTTCCGGCTACACCGCCATCCATACGCCGCAGAATTATGCGTGCCATATTTTCATCGAAATCATCCACTACCTGCTGAGGCATTCGACGCTTGATAATGTTCCAGACTGTGGAAGCCATGCTGGACTCTTCGAAATAGATCCTCGCACTCTCGACGTCAGTGTGCTTCCTGACTCGAAGATGGCTCCTGCTGAGGATGTTGGTATGGGGAGCCCTGAGGCCCAGCTGTCGCCCCGCCAATCCCCATGCTGCCGGGGTCATCTCGACGGACATCTCTCCTCTCTCTAACCGTCTTCTTGCACACATCAGTGATAGCATCGAGGATCTCCTTGTTTTTAACAGTGTTTGGCAGTCTGGCAAGCACCAAGTCGCCCGTGTCTTGGTCGTAGCACAGTGCTGCCTCCCCCCACTTGAGAATACATGGGAAGATGTCCCGACTTGCAATCTCAAACTTCCTGACGTCCTCGGGCTTCACCTTCGTGCCTTCCTTGCCTCGACGAGACTCAGCCAGCGGCGTTCCATGTCAGTTGTTTCTCCAATCTTCCTTAGCTTTGTCGTCCTCAGCGTAAAAGAATCCAGGAGTCGGCTTGATCTGATCACCCTCACGTAGCTTCAATCAATAGACCTTAATGTCAGGCCCAGACAGGCATGCTTTGGTTTGTTCAGGAGTCCAGTCGAGCCCGAGATCATGGATCTTGGATCGTTATGGAAGAGCTCTGGTGAAGCATTGTCAAGCACAGTTTTCGCCTTGGCTCAAAGGGGCTTTGTGACAGGGATATGGCGGATCGAGGACGATGTGATCCGTCAGTGGCCGAAAGATTTGTATCTCGCGGGGTTCAATGAGGATTTCAATTTTGAGTCGTCGAACAAATACAGTCGAGGGTTTTCTCACAGATGGCTTCCCTATGGGAGTTTTTGTGCGGCACTGGTTTGCTGCATTGGCTGTTGTCGCAGGCGGAGGTCCTCATTGAAGGTCCGCGGCCATTCATAGACATCAAAAAATGTCTGCAGCGCGCGTACTTCACGCACGCGTAAGGCAGCACAGACGGCACAGCATTCGCCATGCTGTGCAGGCAACATTCTGTTACCACCGCGTGAATATTCACAGTGCTGCAAATTGTCGACCCAAGGCTGCCTCTCGCGGGGTACCTGCTGTCTACACTTGAGCCAAAAGGCCAAAGTTTGGCCAGTGATCTTGTCATTGTCTTTTTATATATTGCCGATGAAGGTGTTACGGCACCATGCCCACTATAGGTGGATTCGTATCTAACAGATCATTTGCTGTTGGTGTAGGTCCGCCGTCCAAGCCCCGGTAAGTCTGGTGTCGCCGGTCCATCGCCACAATCAAGCCTCTGCCTCCAATCTTGCTGCGGGAAAAGAGAAAGTCCAGGAAAGCGGAGAGCCTTCACACCTTTGCTGAACGTTGCGTTTGATTTCGTCATGGCTGAGGCTAGACAACCGGCGGTTCTTATTGTCGATTGTTGTGGGAAGCAAAGGCCAAGAGCAGGCATTGATTGTATAGTGTCCGTTATCTTGTTTGTTTGTTTTTGATAATTTCAGAAGACAGGAGACAATGCTAGGACAGGAAGGTGAGGAAATTTGACCAACACTATTTCATGCTGGTATTCTGACAATAGCCCCGGCTTTGTTGTGACCGTACTGTCTGTCGTTGCAACACAACTTGTCCCGATTCTCGAGGGCTGTCGGGGAGCACGCTTGCTTCATGCAGACCGATAGATGAGTGTCGCAGTATTCTGAAACCAGTGTAGTTGCAACGTGGTTCGAAGGGTTCGATGTATCCGCAGCTGTCTCAGATCCACGATGAACAACAGAGACCTACACCCGATAAACGGTTAGAGCATCGATTTCTGCGCGACAAGGCCACAATATTTAACACCGGACGTAGGGCCTGCAGTCGATGTTCCGGGTTCTTCGCAACTGGTGCCATGGTGGAAGAGGACGTGTCGTGTATGTGAGTCGGAAGGAATAACACGTCTAGCAGGGAAAGAAGCTGACACTTGGTGCTGCAGATGAAGAGGAGAAATCTCAGGACCAGCGTGCGGCAAGGGCTGGCCCTAAATAGGCGGTCGCAGACAGTTTGGGGAATTTCCAAGCTGAGAGCCACTGAGCAAACAGGCAAATGACAGAGAGGCAACTGACGGTGCAAGTCAAGGATATGCAAGCAACAGGAAGGAATCATTCAAACTGCTTCTCTTGCAGCTCGGCAGGGTAACCATTTTCAGCGGCGTCCAGGAGCTGCTGCTGTCTCAAGCTTGACGTCAATACGACTTGCCATCCCCGCAGCTCCTCCATTCAAGACTGCAAGACCATATCCACAAAACGAGCATGTACGGCTTGGATCCATCCAATCTGTTTGTGTCTGGCTACGTACACACAAGTCCTGGGCCCGGCCAAAGCCTGCAGAGCTGACAAGTCGGAGAATTCAGGGGGCGCGGGCGCGACTTCCAACTCTACTACAGCCTCGGACCAGTCTCACAGTAAACATTGTCCACCAGTCTAGCCGGCCCAAAGAATTTTCTCTCGTACTTCACAACTATTCATGTCCACGGACTGTGCATCTCAATGCCCTAATATGAAAAAAGACTGATATTTGCGATCCAATGGAATCTTCTCTACCGGTACATACTCTCGTTACATTCCTGGTTATTACAGGTCGTGAAAATTCCAAAGGCAATTGCCTATTCGACAATAGTACGGATCCATTTCGAATTAGCCTGGCCCAGACCTTGTGGATCCCTCTGATACATGCCTATAACCTGCTCCGAGTGTGCCAGCGGGTACGGGATAGGAGGGCTGTTAAGAATTACTTAGCTGACTGCCGCGAGGCTAGCTCGTGACAGCGACCAAAATAGGGATAACCTTCCCAAACGAGCAAATTCCTCGGCTTCAAATGCCATAACCGCCTTTTTGCCAAGTGTTTGATTTGACGTGCGAGGGCGAACACCTCAGCTAGGGGCCGAGCAATACTAAAGACGTGGTATGGCCACGGAGTACTGATTATCCTTGAAGGCGCTGTCCTTGGGATCACCTGTTAACACAGGATTTGATATCCATCATCCGAACGGTGAGACCCAAGTCGGCGAATGATAGGATCGCTCGAATATTGGCTTTGTCTCAGATATTCAGCCTCAAGAGCCGCATATAGATGGATGTCGGTGAGCCAAGGAAGGAGAGGCTCTTGTACCTTCAAGATGGACTCGGGAGTGACAAAAATATGCGCTCACGCAGGTTCTCTCTGTCTCTTCTCGCAAAATATCGCTTACGTTTGGCTATCATGTCTCATCAAACATCCTCGTACGAACCTTTCCGCCATACGCGGGACGCAGCGGACGACGACTATGCCGAGAAACTCCTCAACCCTACCGACGACTCACCCTAGGACACCCGCCGCTTGTCAAATGCGGGCAACACGAAGTACTTAGATGCTGCTCCATCTCAAAAGACCTGCTGTACGGCAGCTGCGTTCTTACCTACGCATATTCCTGCGCGTCTTCAGTTTTCTCATTGTTGTCTCGATCCTCAGCATTAAGGCCTACACCGTGTACAAGTGGCTGGCGACCAGGAACGATGTGCACCTTGACACAACAAGGAGGATAAGGATCAAGTCCTGGGCACAGCTTGATGTGTGGCCTACCTAGACCATGCTCGGCGCCGGCATCCTGGGAACTTTGATTCATCTCTGCGCGTTATTGACTCTGACGCCGTGCGTAAGTCGTTGTCTCCCCCTTTGGCAGTATCTCTGACCCCGTCCTCCACAACGACCGGCCAAAAATCAATTAATAGTTGGCATCAGCGAGCTAACATGTAACTCCATAATTCCGTGGTCCCCGCGAAGGACGTCTGCACAGCGTCCTCGTGTATCTCAGCTCGTTCCTCCTGATCGCAGCGTTTCTTGGCGCGGCAATATACTTAAAAGTCGTGAATACCATGAAGAGCGGCAAGGAAGACCACTGGATCTGTGGAGTTGGACTTGTCATCGGTCCAAAGCGAAGACCGGTGGAAAGGCGATCGGCTGGACTAGCTGGTGCATACAACAAGTAAGTGGGCTCACCGTCTCCTCCGTTTCGTTCAGTACCATTTCCTTGCCGACGTTGATATCTAACGGGTCTTGCTTCGACAGAAATACACCTTCTCCGCAAGCATTGCGGTCTTGGTTTTGGAGATCTTCAGCGTTTGGGTATTCATTGGCTTACAACGGGGATTCTCTGTCGCGAGGAAATCCTCTATTGGTAGCTTTGGCAAGTGGAAAGGTTATGCTACATTGAATAGGCGGCGATGAAGTTGGTGACCATATACGACTCGACCAAGATGCGTCTGATACAAGAGTGGAGGAAGGTTCGGAGATATGTCTGCATGAGAAGAAGAAGAAATTATGTGTATAGGACGCATCAGACTAGAATGGCTGCTGGTTTGGGCGCAGACAATAGCCGGCTCGAATGAGGAAGCAGAGGGCAGGGAGGGACGTGATTATTCCAGTATTTAAGATCCGCAGGCAAGGATATTGGACCCCTTTTTGAATATTACAGCTTTCTTAGCCGTGTAGGATCTGTGCTTTATCTATTTGAGCGCAGCAGTGTGGGCGGCGTGCACCCTCTTCCCAAATAACAATCACTTATTTATTCCGTAGGCGGCCCTCTCTGTTACAGACCAGTAGCAACGAAGCCTTTCGACTGCCCACCGATACCTCCAATTCTCCTTCAGAAACCGAAATTTCCCGAGACTGTTGACGATTCCGACCCTACTTCCCCTGACTGGCAAATCTGTGATAATAGTTTTGACCACGGCCATCAGACCATCTTGAGTGGCAGAGAACCTCTAAATCAGGTTGGTATTACCACGGACGATGACAGTGTGGGTTGGCCCTTTAGCCCTTTGGTTATCAAGACCTAGAGCCGTATGTGACTATCAAAGGAGCCGGAATTGGCGCCTCTCTTAATCACGCCCTTCCAAATCCCCGAGCTACGATCCCTAACATCTCCGACACTATCTTCCAGGACTCTAGCGCAGCCTGCGACGTCGATGCGCCCCTTCACCTCGTCCACAGCTCTTCCGCCTCAATCTACTGCTCCTACATCAAAAGTCCGAGAAGGTGCGTCCGGGTGAAGAGGCGAGTTCGCCGCGGCTCAGAAGCGCCAGATCGAGTATTACAACTAAAGGCACACGCCGAAGACATTTAAGAGAGGCAATCTTGTGAAATTGTCAACGCGGAATCTAAGGCTTAAAGACAAGAAGTTGCAGCCCCGATTGATTGGCCCATTCCGAATTACAGAGGTGATCGGTTCGCGGGCATATTGATTGGCACTCCCGGAGCAGTATTCGAGGCTATAGGACGTATTCCCGATCCAGCCGCTTGAGGAGTACCACCCCAGAGGACAGCAGGTGCTACCGTTGCCAGAACTCGAGGATGTCGAGGACGAGTACGAGGGCGAAGAGATCCGAGATAAACGGATGATCAAAGGAAAGGTCCATTGCTTGATCAAGTGGACAGGATGGCTTTCGGAATACAGCCATTGGGTTCTGGAAGATGATATTTATGCACCGAAGCTGGTGCAGAGATTCGAAAAGTAGAGAAAGAGGAAACTTACAGCCTAGACAACGGCTTACGAGGACGAAAGCCCTACAAGGAGAGATAGTTGTAACACCCAACACCCCAGGACTACTTCAATGGCTATGGAAGGCGGCATAAGGCTGTCCTGAGCGCAGGAGAGACGCAGCAGGGTCTCGGCGGTCGACGTAGAGGCCATAAGCATACGAGGTGTACGAGTCCAGACTCACAGCGTAGCCGACGAGCTTTGGCGACCCCGAGCACCACCGAGAGAATGAGCGAGGAGGACGGCGAGCATAAAGAGACGCTCGAAAACCTCAGATGGACAGACAGGATTCAGTCCACAACCATTCCATCCCCTACCTTATGTTCCGTACATCGTTGTGTGATCCTTCTCAACCGCCTAACCGTGATATCCCTACCTTCTGTGGTGCCGTTGTTACAGCAGCCACAAGTAGACATTAGAAGACAGGATATCTCGACCTTAACATCCGTCATCGCGAAATTGAAATTCGTTTGCTCCCGGCGCAAATTGATCGATATACCCGAGTTAGATATATATATATGACGGAAATGCGCAGGCAATCATTCGTACAGGCGGTCTTTTCGAACGTTCGCAACCTTTGAAACTCCAGCCACGCCAAGGGATCCGATAGCGAGACTACCAATATCAGCGGCGCCCTCAACATCCCCAAGCCGCACCTTCAGATTCTTGAGCAGCTTCGCCCGATCGGATGCAGCCATGAAAGTTCCATTGGTGGGTAATGCCATATATGGATTGTTTCTTGTCGCCAAACTCGAGATATTCAGCATCACATCCGGAGCTTGTGTAAGGAAACAGCGAACAATAGGGCGAACCAAGCTCGCGACAATCATAACAATAGAAGCAAGGGCTAATGCAACAACCCAGCCGTCGTGACATTGGATGACTTCTGTTTTTGTGCTTTTCGTACCCTTGACGGTAGTAGAGTTTGCCAAAACTGTGTCTGTGGAAGCATTGTTGTTTCCCAAGTAGGTCGTTTGCGGATTTATGCCTCCTGAGACTGCGTATATACCATTTATGCACGTCCAGTAAGCGTTCATCAGCTGGTTCAGCCGCACCGCGAGGAGTTCTTTGGGGGAAGGCTGGACATAGTCGCTGTTAAACAGTGATATCCCGGCAGGATTACTCGAATCAATAAGATATGTCTGCACCAGCGTCGATGTCGACGGATGCGCTGTGATGGATGTAACAAATGCGGAGGCGAAGAGGTATAAGTTCCCGTAGTTGGCATAAGAGTTCAGATCCAATTGGGTAAAGGCAGCTGGCGGATGCTGCAGGCGAGACCGGCGTGCCTTAGAGGCAGCACAAGTAGACATTGTAGGACACAATATCTCTACCTCAACATATGTCGTTGTGATAGTGCAATCAAATTCGCCACCCCCTCCCCCAGGCCAAAATACCACATAGGTGAAGTTGAGCGGCTTAAGGCTTTCCACATCTGTTTGTGCTTGTTGGATGCGTTGAGTGGAATTGTCGTACCACCACATATATGCCCCGTCACCAGTCACAGAGTTATTGACAGGGAGATTGGTTTTCCACGTGCCATTAACGACGGGGCAGTCCAGGCGAAAGTATGCCGTTTCGATGTTTGTGGCGTAGTTGATAAAGTCAGTCGAGTCCACGCCAGCAATTGGAATTCCAACAATGGAAGAGTAAGTGCTCTGCTCTCCATCAAGAGTTATGAACCATCCATCGTCATCTATAGTCGAAGAATTTTCGTAGTGTTCGATCATAGGTATTTTGACATTGCCCCAAGTATCGCGTGGAGACGACTTTGTTGACTCCGGCGAGATGATGGAGGCCACGAAGAGAGTATTGACGATCGCATAATATGAAACTCGATCCGAATCATCGAACTGGTCGAAAGTGCCACCATAGACCATATATGTGAACTCGGATGGCTGACTAGAGATGTTGCTACCAATGGTCATTTGTCTGAACGAGGCCTGACCACCGACCGGTGACAGCGACCAAATGGCGATCAGAGCCACGCCTAGGAAGCTGGCGATGCGTAATTTGAGTTGCGAAGTTACCGTGCTTGTCAGAGACGTGCTCCCAGCTAGCAAATCTAAAATACCAACACGCTCTCCCTTTTCCAGGCGCCAGACAAGGATGGCGTGCGCTGCTCGGCCTAGGATACATGCAAAAAGGATAGGGAAAACACTCGGACCCTCGGAAGACGTTAGCTAGGAAGAATGTGTCACTCTGATCTTGGGCCATACATATTTGGTGGCGCTCAGCAGTGTGTTGGCTGTGTGTTTGTGGAGTGCAGTTGGAGCTTGGTCGTAAAGCTTTACTACCAGACCAAAAGCCAAGAAGGCAACTGAAAATGCGAGTAATAGACTATCTACAACAAGATCTGTTAGGACAGAGCCGATAGAGGACTTGATGGTCTTCGGTGAAGTTGGCCAGCCTTTGGGGACGTGTGCGGTCTGCTGAAGAAGAGGTGCGCTTGCAGGTATTTGCTGGATAGCGGGCCCTGGAAGAACTTCTGCTGCGATGGGAGCTTGCTGCTTCCCTTCGCTGTCTGCCATTGTGCAACTGCGCAATTATCGCAATAGGGTATGCCAGAAACTGTGAAGGGTCGAGTGCAAGGCATACCTCCAAGGCACTTATCAACTTTAAGTGAGGACTATGCAGAGCACAAGGCGTTTCCGTCAGGCTGAAATGGCCCCTATCTATCAGAATCATGGTATTGCTTTCCCCTGCAGCCTCGGGGCTGTGTCTCAGTTAAGCGCTTGATCTAGAGTCCCGCCGTTTCACTGGTTGGGGTCGGAAAACCAAGCATGGAATAGGTTAAGCGTTAGCATCACTCGGTCGGAGCTCATTCCAAGTGTGTGGACAAAGCGAACTCGAGTATAGCTGACATAAACCGCAACGGTTCTTCCGTCCGGCTGGTCGCAGGTCAGTGAGATGATGGCGAAGTTTGACCCAGACTAACCCAATTTAGAGAAGGAAACTTTAGTGACCATAAAATCGATTGCCAAGCTATGGGTACTTGGCCGAGGAGATAAATTAGCAACTACAGGCGGGTGCTGTGAACAAGGCCCCCTGGCCCAGATGTGGGCGCGATTGATCCGTTCCTCAGGCCGAATTTGTGACTGGCAGTGTGCCTGACAGGAACGCCAACAGATGTAATGACTGTTCGCGCTATTCTTCGGCCGAAGGCCTGTTACTAGCGTCGAGACCCCTTTGTTAATTACTCGAACGTATATAGTCAGACGGGCCCCAGGACCCCGTAGAATTCATCATGTTCCTCCATTGAGTCACAAATTACACCATGCTCAGTCATGTGCAGGAGCGTATCAGGTTGAAGCGGCGAGGCTCAGGGCCATGCTCAGGTCCAAAGATGGAAATGGAAAGTACTCGTGTCGAGATTCCGACGTCGAATTACCTGTTTCAGGATGGTAGTATCGATAAGTGCGGACTTGAAAGCCAAGGGAAGAAAACACCAAATGATGATTCGACCATGTAGGATCTGGAACCAAAACTTGGCCATTCAGAGAACTGTGGTTTCTGATGAATGCAGCTGCTAAATGCAAGCTGCCTGTCCCGGAGAGGCTCTGAGAAGTGGCTATCTACGGACAGAATCAGCACAATGTACGTGAAAACAACGCAGAAACATACCCTATGCCGCACCGCAGCGAAGGCTTTTGTCCCCAGGACGAGTTCGGCGACCGATGTTCTGAACTCGGGGCAACCCAAGGATTGGCAAATACTCATGGTCCAGATTTGGGCTTGTCAGCCTTCGTCTGGCCCGGCGGACAGCAGGTAGAACCCAAGGAGAGCCTTTCTCGTCGCGATAGCTTCCTTACCCAAGATTGACTTTCACTGGGGACGGATCATCGTGGTACCTGGCGGTCAATCCAAAGATGGCGTCTCTAGGAATGTGTGGCGCTGACTCGAAGAAAGACATGTTTCGTGAAAGTTTGCCGACAGAGAGCGGAAGGTGTCTCGACATGCGAGTATCTGGAATCGAGATTTTGCTGGTTTCTTTGATGGGCTTCCAGAAGGAAGCCAGAAGAAGTGACGAGCCCCTTAATAATAAGACCATAATGGAAATCTAAAACACCACACGCATGGTATTGACCGCGGAGCAGAACTCCCTCCGAAAGCATCAATCATAGATTTCCTCGAAATGATCACGGGAGAGGCTCCGACTAATTGAACCCGGCCTTGGTTCCCGGTCATGCAACAACAAGGCCGCCTCGGATGCAGTGGCCGAAGTCCGATGGATTGACACGGAGAGCGACGGCAATCAGGATGAGAACAACCATCCAAGACCTGGAAAGTCCAGCCCGGAAAGTTTGTTCTTCAGCTTGCCACAATGAAGGATTGGCATTACTCACCGTCGTAAACCGGACTTCTTGTCATTCTCCTTGCCCTATTCTCGCCGTCGTCAATATACAGTGTCCTAGTTGCATTGGCACCCTTTGAGGCGTTCCAATGTGACGCTGTCTCCTGGTGCGCATCGACTAAGCATGACGTCGCTCGTGAATTGAGACTTTGATGATCTATCCAAGAAACTTCCTGGCATTTTGAACCCTGAACTCCTGGTGATTACTTCGTTGCGGCGCGTTCACGCAAGGAATTTCCTCGCTGCTATGTCATTTTCCGTCGCTAGTCACGAGTTTTGTACTGTATGTTCAAGCCGTGCCGGTCGTTCTGATTTGATCATCAGAACGTAAAGCGAACAGATCTCAGTGCAAGATGCAATACGGCAGAACGCCGCAAAAAGCGACCGAGTCTCCGGTCCGTCCCATTCATCTTACATAAATAGGCTTTGAAACCCGCGAATTAGCAGCCATATACTTATAAATCTCATATGAAAGTAGTATTCTGGCCTTAAAAGGCATCGTCAATATATGACCAAGGGTAACATGCCCGGGGCCGCGGCAAATTCTTGATTTTGATATTAGGGTTAACGCTTGCTCCCGACTGTGGGCAACCTTTTAGTGCTCCAGGAACTGCGTCCCGAAGAAAAGCCAGTCTCGTCCGCACTAAAACTTGCAGCTCTTGAGATCATGCAAGTGGTCTCTCATCGGTGAGCCCCTTTGAACTAAATCGGTAGAAATTGTCGACGAGTTTGGATCCCATAAACCTGATGGTTCCTACTTCAGGGAGCGAAGTACCTCTGCATACAGGATGTCGGACTCTCTGCTGGCTGTCCTCGCAGTGTATCTGGAGTTCTGAGACAGGACCCGCGTGATGCCGTCAACGTCGTCGGGGAGTCGGCAGTGTGGGAGCGTATCCGTCATGTTTTTATCGTGCACGTCCTCGATGTGCTTCTCTGTCCCTTTATCGGTGGCTGAAGACCACGCGCCGCCCTGTTCTGGGATCCACGACTCTCGGCGAACGGCAGCCTGTGTCTGTCCAGCGATCGAACTCGCATCAATGATTTCCAGGGTCATTGATCTGTCCATCGAGTTTCGCTGGACGAGGTCTACCAGCTTGGACAGGATGTTTAACTCGAGCTTCAACTTGACGCTGTAGACGAAACCTTTGATACTTTCCTGGTAAAGCTGCAGGCGCTTGTATTGCAACATGACCAGCGCCGTCTAAAGAAATGTCAGCCCTAGACATACTCTGGACTGTTTGATGGCTTACGTCCATGCAAATGATCATGACATTGATGGTGAGGAGTTGCCAAATCGTGCTCCGGGTGTTTTCTTTGGATATGACTTTGAGCAGAGATATCGTCTTCCACACATACAGCCCGGAGATGATCAGTTCTTGGAGAGTGATGATGGTCATTTGTATATGCTCCATGTAGAAGTAGGCTTGAGCAAATGCTGGATCGGGCGAATATGCGTGGCCCCAGTCCAGGGCCACGGTGGTGCCTTCGATGAGCACGCTGTTGACGATTATCATCCACTTTACCGCCCTCAGAATGCTGACATTATCGAGTATCAGCCCCAGGCGCGAGTAGAGGACAAGGGATTGGCATGTAATCATGCACAACCACCCTGTGTCGAGGAGAAGCCCGCTAAGCCAGAAGTCACAGATGTTGAAATAACTCAGCGTGATGCCCAGCGTGTAGGAGATGACGCCATAGTTGCAGATGCTCAAGCTCCAGAAATATAGGCCTGTCTTTCTCTTGAAGGTGGTCAGAATCAGAAGTACCATCTCCAGTGAGTTATAGAAGGCGAGCCCAATCGATAGGGTGACGATAACGGAAGTGGCTGTGTAGCGGCCATCGAAAGGCCTTTTCCTTACGGCGTTCTGGTAGTAGTTGTCGGAGGACATGTCCAGAGGCAGCGATGTGCTATCTCGGAAGCATGGTGGCTCGCACCTTTGATCGTTGCTGTCAGTCGGCGCCTGCACGACAACGTCGTCTGAAGAAAGACATTCGCTGTGCTTGTGCCAATTTGTGTGTTTGGGCAAGAGGAAGCGACGAAAGATGGCACCGCCAGCGAGATGCAGTCTGCAGTCCCAGCGGGGCGAAGAAACTGGGTCCGTCTCCGCTCCCGAGCCCCTCCCCCACGTTTCGCCACCTCCATTCAATTGGGACCCGGGGCAGCCAAGGAGAGCGGAGGTTTGCACTCGATAACAGTCCCTCCAGGGGCCAAGTGCCAACAGCGTTCACGATATCACACTCATCCAATCTTCGTCACTGGGAGAGCAGGTCTACCGTACCCGGCAACTTACGTCAATTACAGACCCGAGGAGAACCCATCCTGGGAACCGGGTCAAGTTGCATCGTCTCATCCACGTTCTGACCGTGCCAGATGGTAGGCAGGGGGAAGTAGCCCTTTGTCCCACACTGGCCTGCGATCCATCCTTCGAGATCTGGACTGAAATTGCTTCTTCGTGTCGGCTGTTCATCGGCCTCCATGCGGGCAGAAGGACCGGGTACGCATCCGAGTAGTGAAGATGGCCGACCACAGGCGACTGGATTCCGGCAAAGAGGCTTAGTGTGATGCGCGGATTGGTTCTGACCACGCTTCTGACATCCAGTAATGGATTAGGGCTGTGTGACGGTTGTCGCCGTTCGAGAGATCGGATGGCATCCCGACGACGCTAGACCCCGGATTCGCCAAATCGGTCGGCCTTTGGGACCACCAATCAATCCAGGATGATTGCCGTCCTCCGCATCCGCTCCCGCAGGCCAGAGACTATAATATGGTATTGCAGCCTACCCCGGGATGGAGAACTCTGACCCCCATCATCGGAAAACTGCTGTTTGACTACGAACCACCCAATCTTCGTGCCAACATGAACAAAGAAGGGATTGACGACAAGTCTGTAGGTGCTCAAGAGAATGAGTATCAATCCTACAGCGTCGACGAAAACGGGCGCCGCCTTTCTGTGACCGGGCGACGGGTCTCCGTCGTTGACGATGTCTTTGGAGAGATTGTCCAAGGGGGACCAAATTATCGCAATGTTCGTTGCTTCGCAGAATAATATGTGGCACAAGCTGACAGCCTTTCCTAGGTCGGTTGGATGGGAACGGCCGTTCTCATGATGAAAACCCAGATCGGTCTCGGCGTCCTCTCCATTCCAGCGGTCTTTGACGTCCTCGGCATGGTCCCCGGCGTCATATGTCTAATCGTGATTGCGGTAATCACCACGTGGTCGGACTACATGGTCGGTGTGTTCAAGCTTCGACACCGGGGCGTCTACAGCCTCGACGATGTCGGCCAATTGTTGTTTGGCCGCATCGGACGCGAGGTATTTGGTGTGGCATTCGTCCTTTGTGAGTGTATATCCTACCTTGCGAGTCTCGTTCTTCCTGCTGATATTGTCCAGACTGGATTTTCGTCGCTGGCGCCGGCATGCTCGGCATCTCAATTGGCCTGAATGCAGTCTCAACACACGGAGCATGTACGGCCGTTTTTGTGGCCGTCGCTGCGATTATCGGATTCTGCCTCTCCAGCATCCAGACACTTAGCAAGATATCGTGGCTCGCTTGGGTAGGAGTGGCATGTATCTTGACTGCAAGTACGTTATTCGTGAGAGTTCCGTCTTGAAGATGCTGACCCTTTTTATAGTTTTCACCGTCACTGTCGCTGTTGGCGTACAAGATCGCCCTGCCGATGCACCTAAAGGAGGTGTCTTTGTCTCGGATTACAAGGTCACGAACGACCCGTCATTCACCGACGCAATCTCGGCTTGCTCTTCCCTGGTTTTCGCGTACGCCGGCACGCCTGCTTTCTTCTCGATCGTTTCCGAAATGCGAGATCCTCGACAGTATACACGCTCTCTCCTGATCTGCCAGAGCGTAGTCACAGCGACATACATTACAATCGGGGTGGTGGTCTATTACTACGCCGGTTCGTATGTGGCTTCTCCTGCGCTTGGATCAGCCGGTGCCCTACTCAAAAAGATTGCCTATGGTTTTGCTCTTCCGGGGCTGATTGTGACCACGACCCTCGTCATCCATTTGCCCGCGAAGTATATCTTCGTGCGGCTCTTGCGTGGCACACACCACCTCACCGAGGGGACTCCGAGACACTGGATCACCTGGCTGAGCTGCACGGCCGGGAATGCGATTGTCGCCTATGTGATTGCGAGTGCCATCCCCGTCTTCGGTGGCCTCGTGTCCCTTATTGGGGCCTTGCTTGGCACTCTCATGTCGTTCCAGCCGATGGGCTGTATGTGGCTGTACGATAACTGGGGTAGATTCAAGGCCGAGCGAACCACCAAACTGACGCTGATGGTATGCTGGAGCTGTTTTGTGGTCATATCGGGAACTTTCCTGATGATCGGGGGCACCTACGGGTCCGTCGTTGGCATCATTGATTCGTACAAGGCCTCTGGTGGCTCATCTGCATGGTCCTGCGCGGACAACTCGAACTCGGTGTGAGTTTCATCGATGGCGGAGGGCTTGAGTGGGGGATATGTTGAAGGCACATTCGTTTGTCCGTGGGTCTGACTGCCCTGGCAGAAGCTGATCGACTGTGGGATTCCCATAGTTTTCACGCTAGCCATAAGCTCATCCAAACCATCTCTTTTATTTCCAATGTGTTGTGCCGACGCATAACAGAGTGTTGCTCAGTGCAGAAACACGGGTAGTTGTTCACTCCTTAATATCGCCGAAGCAGATGAAGTAGCGAGCAGGGCAATCCAAAGCTCGTGCCGGCATTACTGATCATCAAGGCACACCTAAAGGGTCTCGAAATGCGCTTCCAGAGTTAGGTTGGGACTATTGAGGCAACGCCAGCTACATTCGCTGAGTCTCCAGGTGTGTAAGCCATGCTATTCAACATCAATGGAAAAAGTTTAGATCAGTCGCTGTCTTACTACTTGTGTTCGTATGTTGTTGTGTGGAGATACAGCTGTTACGACCTGCTTATCTAGGCTCATTGTGAAGTCTGGAGCCCAGGCGACAAGGTGTTGTGACTAGAATACCACATCTGAGATGAATTTCCCTCGATCCCGTGCAAAAAGGAATCTCGGCGACTCACACCGAGTTCACTTTCTCGTGGTGACTGAAGAGTTTCTGTGCCCCCGTCGCATCTGGCTCCCTATCATTCAGCAGACGATCTTCCTTTCCCTTCGACTCTTCTTCACTATACACAACTTGCGCAGTGGAGTGGTCAACTTCGTCACCAAACAGATCTGCAACTTCCTCAAGGTGCATTCCTCGCGTGTTTGGGAACCAGAAGAAGATCAACGTTGCAAAGGCCATGCCCGGGAGGATGAGAACAAGGTAGAATTTCCAGCCGATAGTTGAAAAGGCTGTCGGTGCAACTTGGAGCCAGACAATGTTGATCAAATTCACGCCGGCAATACCGAAGCTGATTCCCTTGGCTCGAAGATGAGTTGGAAACAGCTCTCCCAGGTAGACAAATTGACCGCTGTCCAAGGTTGATTCGAAAATGATAATGTAGACCTACGAGCCCGTCAGAGGATGTGTCAGAACAAGTGGAGTCTCTTGAGACCGTGTAGGCAAGGGCGGGCTTCAGAGGTTTTGAACCAACTTACGTAGAACATTGCAACGGCCGCCCGTAAGGCAGACTTGTTAGGGTGGGCCAGGGATTCAGGTGAGGTTGCGTATGTGGCGACAAGAGCCGCTTCGACAGAGAGACACACGAGAGACCCAGTGATGCCGCCTGCGAAAAGGACGGGACGGGGCATAGTGTCCACTACGTAAAGTGATAGCATGCCACCACCAAAGGCCAGGGTCAGCCACCCACACTGGTACAAAAGTTGCTTCGTGACACTAAATCCCAAGCTTTTGTAAATGGTTGGGCCATAGTTGTTGATCAGGATTGGACCGCAAAACTGGATCGACACGGTGGTGATGAATGCCAAGATGCATCTTTTGCGATAGCTTGGCTTCGTGAATAGAGCCCAGTAGGAGCTGTCGAGGCGGTCCTCGGTCTCGGCTTGCGCTTTGATCTGGAGGAGTTCTTGGTCGGCTTCGTCAGGGGCGTGGAGCTTCTGGAGAATGAGGCTCGCTTCGTCGTCCCTGCCTTGGATGACCAACCATCGAGGGCTTTCTGGCAACCAATACAGGCAGGGCAGGAGAATCGCAACGGGGAGACACTGAAGTAACGTCGGCCCCCGCCATTGCCAATTGTTGGTAGCTGGCAGATGCCAGAACCCAAAGCCAACCCAAGCCGCCAGACAGTATCCCAAAAGCAGTGACGCGCCGTGAACTGCGACAAGGGACCCGCGGTTATGCGCGGGGACAACCTCATTCATCCAGACTGGAATGGCAGAGACCAGCGCGTAGGAACCCCATCCTGCCCAGAACCGACAAGCAATGAACATGGCGAGGTTGACGCTTCCGGCAAGCAAACCTCCCATGATCAACACAAGGGCACTAGGGATTGCGATTCCTGCACGCCGACCCCAGCGGTCTGCGGAGAATGCGACCGTGAAAGTCCCCAGAAACCCTCCAGCTTGGTAGAGGGAATTCATCAGTCCGATGATGTCGTTCTCGTTGGAGCGAGAGCTCAGGTTGAAGTACGTGTAGAAAGAGGGCTGTGCTAACGTTGTCGATATCACACTGGCTGAATAACCGTATCCCAGAGACCCCAGGGCCATGACCACGATTATGAACGCATTGATCGGTTTGAACTGGCGTTGAGAAGGATGACCCATTGTTCCGGGTTCGAAGGGGAAGCTGTCTCGGTCGGAAGATCAGGGAGACTCTGTGGTGATGCTGTCGAGGTTGAGACTATAGGGAAAGGACTCTTCAGTATTAATACCGCATCGAAACCGGAAATTTTGCAGGAATTGCGCGGTTGATGAGAGGACGGGTCAACCGGTCCAAAGGCTCGGGAATCAAGGGGACACGAAGAGCTCAAAAGCCATGCATCGTGGCCTCGACTCAGCCCTTCCGGAAGCTGTAAGACCAGAATTGCCGATGGTCAAAGCCTGAACAGGGTACCAATTCCATGAGAGGAAGAAGCAAACCGGGACCTTAGAGCGATGAACATCGGCGGTGCAGCGGCTAACGGGGCCAACCCGAGCTTTCTTGCAACGAGAAAGTGTCTTGAGTTTCACAATCACAGAATCACATCTCCAGACTTGGGGCCCCGGACCGCGGGGAGCGAGAGAAGTCCATCAGGTAGACTTGCCCAAGCCTATTCTCTCTTCTCTCGAAATCCCGTGTCGTGGGAAAATTGTGGATCTCAAAACGCGAATATTGCTTGAATGATGTTCTCGATATGGTATTGTTTTCGACTACAGGAGAGAAAATCTCTTCACTGAAAGCGACAAGAGTCACGGCTGGTAGTAGATCAGCATTCCTGCCTTTATGACCTAACAACATGGGAAGTTTACGATGCTACCGACAAATGATTGATGACTTGAATAGAAAAAGGAGGATTTTTGAAATTCGTGCCTCGAACATAACACGTTGACCGTTTGCTAGTCAATTTCAGGATACATTTATTCGCCATGCTTCTAATCCTGCTTCCGCACCAATCAAATTGGGGGTCAGAGACGCAGCATATCGGCAATTGCCCCAGTAAATACCTGGTTGTCTTTGGTCCTTCAAGTTCAGCCTCGGGAAATGCTGTCGAGCGTTCAATTCCACGTATGACTTGATCAGTGATCCGGAAAGAAAAAGTGGCCCTGTTCACATGCAGATCCAAGTTCATTTTGTCTCTTGGGCCGGCGGGCCGGCGGGGTATTCGGGCAAAAGATGCAGACCCACTTGCTGTACCATTAGTTTAGCACACTTTAAAATGAATACCGAGTATGGGGACTGCAGCCGGTGCATTCTCGGAGGTTGCTGGATCAAGCTCGGTCTCAAGGAGAAGGGTATTGAGGAGGCGGGAATGTGTTGGAGGTGCAAGAGAAGAAGTACCATGCCCTCAGGCGAGTCAGCTTCTCGAGGCTAGTTTCAGGATTGTCGAAGGTAGCAGTAGAGGCTAAAATGGATAGAAACACTGTCTTGTTGAAATCACAACTATTCCCAAGCATGAAACCTCATGCAAAAGGCAGGGATATAATGTCATTGTCAACCCACGTACCACCAGATGTACTGTTCTGTGCATCTGGCCCACCCAGCCACGTATCTGGGAAGACTAGGTCCGAAAAACCAGCTGGTGTATGGGTATACAAGAAGGGATTGTGCTCTGCGGTAGGTTGCTCGTCCAGGTTTGGAGATGCCAGGTTTGTGGACTTTGGCCCTTCACTACCCGAAGGTTGAATTGGTGCGTCACCTTCAGTGTTCTGGCCTCGATTCTGTTCCCATCCTTGACACTGGTCATATCCAGCCAGTGACATCTTTTCTGGGACAGTCGATAGAGTTTTCCCATGGACCACAGCTGGCCCCCTTTTTGTTGTTGGATGCTGTACAGGATTAAGCCGGGACTCGACATAGCTCAAGAAATTAACTGCCCACTCTGCAGAAAGGTGGCCGTCAACAAGTTCCCGAAGGGCCTGTCTGCATTCTTCCAGCCTCTGGCGTCCTTCATAGCGCACCATGGGGTCCTCACTTTTCATGTCGGTAATATGGCTGACGCTTATTGGAAAGAGGCAGCTTATCACAGTGGGGGGCATCTCCTTCATCACGTCTGCAGCATAGGCATCCATGATGATTTTGTTCACCTGCAAGGCAGCTTCTCGGACTATGGCCCGTGGTGTACCTTCGGCGAGTGGAGATTTATTCGGTTCGTCGGGTACATGTCCGTTAGATGGAAGTGTCCTCTGTCGATGTATCAAGACGAAGCCTGTGTGATACAAAATGGAAAGCAGTGCACGGTGCACGAATAGTGCCCGCTCGTGTGTATCCGATCGTGAAGGCATCGGGCCGGGGTGTAGGACCTCCGAAGGCGCGTTCTCCAGCCATTGTCGAAAGTCATCTTCGATATCTCTCAACTCGCGCGGTTCAATATGAGTTTTCCGTTGTTTAGGAATAGGATGAAAGTACAAAATATCAATGTTTCCGGTTGATGTCTCGTGATAAGCCTTGAGCAGCACCCTGGTGATGATTCTGCAGATGCTAGCTGTTTGTATACAGATCGATGCCTGTTGTCTCTGAAAATATAGAGATTTTGCCCTCATATTGTGGTGGTCGGGCCTTGGATGGACATTTATTTCGAAGTCGTCCAGAGTCAGAGGTGCCACTCGAAAATCTGAGTCTCGGATCCGCGGAACTCGGTTCGTTGCCATCGAGGCACACGTGTCTCTGATGGTGCAACTCCACCAAAGGCGCCGTCTTAATGCACGAGCCTTTGGCTTCAGATATTGGTTGTTGATATCCTGGTGCAATCCAATGGCTCTGGCAAGAGACAGGGCGATTCCCAGCCAATGCCAGCCATCTTTGTATTGCGGTGGTCCTTCCCACCAAAGTGACAAAAGAATGAGGGTCTGGATGTTGCACATGGGGTCCTTCTCATAATCTAGATCATACAACAACTCCAAAAGAGTCAATTAAACACTTCATTGGACAAAACGCAGCCTCACTCACCCGAGTTCTCAGGTAAAATGTCATTCGGGCAGCTTTCCTGGTCAAGAAGCCTCGCCTCCTCAGTAACTTGATGTCGACCCAGGATGCTCCCGCAAACATTACCGCTTGGAGGACGGGGAGACTAAACAGCTGATCTGAGTTGCCGTAAAGGGCTTTGTCCAACGTGTCTAGATCAAGGAATGGGTAACACGGATGGATGTAGTCGATATAGCTCTCAATTAATGCGTCCCGAAGCTCTGCATCCGGAAGAGAACAAGCGCCTTTCTGATGGAGATAATTCAAGTCCGCCCTCGAAAGGCAGGAGGGGGCAGGTTTCACAAACCGTGCTACTGGGGAATCAGCTGATGACGGTTCTGAAGCAGGCCACGTCCGATCCAATGTCGAAGATGCAGATGAATTCGGAGAACACGGAGGAGGAACGCTGTTCAGTGCAGCCTCATACCAATCGATCTCGTCCTCGCTATCCTGAGCAGACTTGCTATCAAGGCCAGCGGATGTTTGTTTTATGATGGTGGGACCAGAATCTGGACTGGTTTGATCCACGTTGTTAGTAGATGGAAGGTTTTGCCGCGATTGATTGTGATATGGTCCGATGTCAGCTGTATCGATTGCTGATAAGGCTGGAATCTCACTCGAGTCTTCCGCTGAAAGTCCATTCTGACGTTTCGTGAGACTGGTTTGGTTTTTGGCGCGACGCTGCCTCGGTAATAGAATGCACTGGACGTCTTCGAAGACACAATTCGTGCACGGCTGACTGCCTCTAGCATCACACCTGATCTTTCGTGCTCGGCAAAGAGTGCACGCTGCTCGTGCACGTGGGGGGCAGAGAATGCCGTTCCGCCTTTGGCTGGGTGGGTGGAAGCTGCGAACCGGAGGCTCCACGACCCCGGGCATCATGGTAAAATCACGATTGGGGCGAGGACTCGATTTGAGATTGTAGTCGTAATGCGAGTGAGAAGATTGGTGAACCACTGGGATCGAGTCGAGGTTGCGGTGAGGATGCGGAAGGGGGGAGAGTTGTGGGCACCAGTGGCGGGTGATGGGAGTCTCGTTATTTAAGAGAGTCAATGCTGTTGCGGGGTCTCCAGATCGTGGCAAGCTGGATGGGTCGGGGTTGTGGAGTACCGAGTTTCATTTGCCTATCTTGCTTACGACCGAACCAGGCCCAGAATTGTCAACCGTCTGGATAATGGAGGTGGAATCAGGTGTGGTATTTTTTTCTCTGTGCCAGATATAAGAAGACGGTGGATACTTCCTTGATAACACCAACCACAGGTGGGGAAGTAACCAAGTACTTGTCTCGTAGTGCGGTTGAGGCAACTATCAGTTTCCTTGACCCTATTCCCGAGGCAGAGGCTACTCGTGTGTTTGGACTTCAACGGAATCGATATCAGGTCTCTGTGGTCTGGCAGAGGAGGTGATACCATCCGGGGAAAGCTAGAGACTCTTTTTGGCAAAGCTTTCAAGGGGTGGACAACTAAAAAGGCCTTTGAACTCGCTAAGACTTCAATAGATGCGAGTAGCCATCCATCTTACCTTATGAACTGAAACGATACAACACACTTCTGCTGAAGTCAACTACACTCAGTGGCTTGCAAGATGTATCCCCCACTGTAGATAGGATAGTGACGACGTTGAGACTGCTCAATGAAATATTTGCTATTTGGAGCCAACACAATGATGATCATAGTAATTGTCTTTAGTGTGAGGTACAATCGATTACATTCATACAGTGACGTTCATAGCCTGCTCGAAGGTCGATTTGAAGCCGGGTGGGCCTCTTAGAATACACACCAGCCTCTCGGCACACTTCCGCTAAATGTAGATGTTCGACTATACGGGATGGACAATCGGGAAATGGTGGATTGGCCTGGAGCTAGGGTCACCATTCTAATTACGGTGGAAGATCAGACGCAACGAGGCCACGTTCCTTGAGCAGAAGCCAGTTCGGCGAAAGTTCAATCGCCAACGTCTCTCGAATGGCATCTTTGAATTGTTTTCGTCCCACCCACAATGTATTGGACGCTGTCCTGAAATGCCGCGGATGAAGAAGCCCGGGCCGTCGGAATTGCCTAAATTATCGTTCGGCCCGTAACAACTACGGTAAGTATTAAGTAAGCCCTCTCACGGAACTAACTAGAGTCCGTCGACGAAGAGGCGCCTTTCGAATTTGATTGATAGGCAATGGGAAATTTCATTTGATCTTGTGAGTAGCATTTCCCATGGTTGCTACTGTGATATAAATGCTTCGAGCTGTCACCCCCGGTGCAGCAACTGCTGAACAGGAAGCCGCATTTGACGAATTTACCTCCCCGTACTCACGTTTTGCCGAAGTATCAACATGGCACCAAACTTTGGCGAACTTTCAGAACAAGCTGCCCTCGGCAGAAAGCTCAGTGGCGAATTTCTGGGAGAAAAATTCTTTCAGGATGTGCTCAGTAACATGGTACGTGACCTCAGAAGCGACATTTCCCACAAGCCTGAGGCTCAACAGCTTCTCGCAGATCATAAAGTATGTCTCACGGCTAACACAGGAGCGGCACAGAAGGACGACATTTTCACAAAAACGAGCATGGAATACATTTGGGAGACATGTTTCGCTGCATACGCAAGGCCAGGCTTGGAATGGAAGGAGCGGTCCCTGATGAATATCGCTATGTTAATAGCCCTGGGCCGGGGACCTGAACTTCGCATCCATATCCGTGCTGCCGTGAACAATGGGTTTTCCGAGGAGAAAATCTGTGAGGCTATCCGCCATGCAATGATCTACTGTGGTGTTCCTGCTGGTCGAGATGCTATGCTGATAGCCAGCGAGGTTATTGGTGAATTAAAGTCATCCGGAGAGTATCCTAAGAAAGCATGAGGCTTGGAGATATCTAGCGCAATTATGTCCTGCACCAGCGAGATATCATCATCACAGAGGGCGCCACAGGCATCTTCATAGAAATTCAGAACAGGTCGTCATTCCTGCACGCATATAATGTACCAGCTGTAGTTGTGGAACTTCCCCAGTTTTCCATTGTGGTAGCGGGAAAGGAAAGGCAATCTAAAATGACGACTGTTGAACGCTCAGGTCCTCACCAAGTTCAGGGATGAATCTGCCGTGTTTCCATTCCCATTGATGTGCTGTGCCCTCTTGGGCCGTGTAACCCGATTGTCGGTCCGAGGAATCTGTACCTTCAGGAGAAGGCTGGGCTGCGCGCTGTAAATTCCAGCGTCTATAAAGTCTCTTAACCCCGTGACATGACACCACTTAGAGACTGAGCTCTGAGGCATTCGTATCCACATATTTCACATCACTGCATTGAAGATTTCACCATGTCGTATGAATACAAGGGGCCTGTCGATGTCGGCGCCGCTTTCGACGAGAGCCGGGTCAAAGGCAAGACAGCTATCGTTACTGGAGGTAAATAACTCGTTTCAAGGCTTCCTGATCAGCAAGATTATTAAGACTTCTCGCAGGCGCCAACGGAATAGGTGAAGCCTATGTCCGACACCTCGTCAAGGCAGGGTAAGTATCACGTTGATCCGATGCTAGCAATGTGGGCCTTGACGGTGATCAGAGCATTCGTTACAGTTGCGGACATGGACGAACCTCGTGGGAAAGCCCTTGAGGAGGAGCTGTGAAGATCACCCCGTTTACAGTCAACACAAAGACTTACCTCTTCCAGCTCAATCAAGTTCTTCAAATGCAACGTTTATCATTGGTCGGACCAGCTGGCCGTGTTTCGATCAACACTATCGGCATCTCCCACGGGTCGGATTGATATAGTCATCGCCAACGCAGGTATCAGCGGCGGTGACTCTGTTCATTTCAATGACCGTACGTGAAGTATCCAGGCCCAAATGAGCTGATCGAGAGTTCTGCGCTAAAAGTACCCTCCCAGTCAGCCTCGATGAGCCGGAAGAGCCAAAGTTGAATGTCCTCGCCGTGAACCTCGTTGGCGCACTGTATACAATCAAACTTGCCTTGTTTTACTTCCGCAAGCAGGGTTTGAATGGTCAAGGGCAGGACCAGAATCTGATCCTCCAAGGAAGTGTCGCAGGCTACATCGATTTTCCTGGTGCACCACAGTACACTGCCTCAAAATACGGCCTTCGAGGTATCATGAAGTCGTTGAGGTGGTCAGAGGTTCAATTTGGCACTCGAACCAACTATATAGCGCCATGGTAAAAGGCCATACTGCACCCTATGGTAATGTACGACTGATCGATGACAGGTTCGTGAAAACATCCATCCTGAGCCCAACTGCAAAGAAATGGCTCGAGTCTTCTGGAACCGAGTTTGCAGATGTTGAGGACGCGGCACGCTGTGTCATGAGGATCTTATCGGACCAGAGTATCAATGGTGAGAGTACCTGGAGCGCTCAAAAGTGACGTAGGCTCACACACTATGTCCATTGTCTCAGGTCGCGCATTCAGTATCATGCCACGAAGCATGGCCCCCCACAGCTTCCTCGACATAGATATAGACGACTACAAAGAGGGGACATTGCTGAACGACATGAACAAAATCGCTGTTAATACAAACCACCGCGCTAGTGTAAGTCTGCCCAAGATTCGAGATCACAGGAGCCAATACCATCTTCTTAGATCGACCCTAGCCAACAAAAAACAAACACTCAGTGGTAAAGAACAATTCAAAATTTGTTCTTTCAGACGTTAGCACATCTGGAACATTTCACTTCGGGCAGATAACTCTCCAAGTCGAAAAGGCTGCATTGACCTATAAGCAGACCAACTTTCCGCCATAGGCATCGAGAGAGCCATGGAGTCCAATAGTTATTCATACTGCAATAGCATTCACAAAACATTAGCGTCTATTACGAGCTTTCTCATTAGGTTCAGCTCGAGCCGTGCTTCACGTACATTCTTCTAGTCAGTTGCCTCTCAGAGCCAATCAAGATAAGGAAGCAAAGCCAAGGAAAAAAGCAGTGCAAATGTTTCCCTGTCTAGAGCATATTCTAGAGGTTGGTTACTACGCACTCCAAGATTCCCATCTACAGAAACCTGTAACATCTCCACCTGGTTCCGAGATACGTTCGAGGCCGCTTTATCATTCCCGTCATTGAAGATCTTTGAAATGTATCGTTAAAAGCAACAACATGAAGCGCCAATCTCTTGCGGCTGCTCAATCTCAAGGGCGAGATTCCGAGGACCGTGGATTCTATGTTTCTGCGACGAAACTTACTTGCCGCGGCCCGTTCGGTTTCCGATGCGCCATACGCATAAGGGCGACCCGCTCGTAGCTCTGAGGTATGTTTTCATGGTCTGGCTAAGTGTGGTATGACTCCAGGCTGTGGCGAGATGTTTCCATCTGATCCTCCTCTTGGGGACAGATATGAAGAACAAATATGGGACGCTGGAGAGAAATGAATAAAACGTCACCCTCAAACTGCTCTTTGAAGACAAATGCCTCTCAGACTTGTTTCAAGTCGATTATCTTGTTTAGAAACAATAGCAAATCATTGACAGAGAGAATTTCAATCCTGAAATCTGTTGCCTTTTCAGCACGGTATTAAGATGGGCGACACCGGCCGAATACCTATCCATGAAGAGTCAGCCTCACGCAAGGCCAACCTAATTCTACGTCCCACGCCAGCTTTCACTCCACGTAGAAAACTCAAGGTCATAACGGTCGGGTGTGGTTTCTCCGCCCTGATATTCGCACACAAGCTACAACACCAATTTCCCGAGTTCCAGCAGCTAGTATCGCATAAGATTTTCGAGGCAAGGGATGACATTGGCGGCACTTGGTTGGTGAACCGATACCCTGGGGTACAATGCGACGTGCCCGCTCATGTATATGTACGCCGCTTCTCTCATCTTCGATGCCACGCAGAGTTGACTGTGATGACAGGCTTTCCCTTTCGATCCGAAACCTGACTGGAGTCATTTCTATGCTACGGGACAGGATATCTACGCCTATATGAAACAGACTGCTGAGAAATGGAACCTACTTCGAGATGTGCACCTCAATCACAAGGTTACGGAAGCTATCTGGCGCGAAGATCTCGGACAATGGAAGGTGACAGTTGAAAATGGTGGACGCACGATCACAGAATATGCCGACTTTCTAGTATCAGGTCAAGGTGTATTGAAGTAGGTGTCAAGGATGAATCCCTGTCTCTGGCATTTTCTGACATTGATAGTAAGTGGCGATGGCCGGACATCAAAGGCCTGGATACCTTCAAAGGCCACAAATGTCATTCGGCTGCTTGGGACGAAAACTACGACTATTCCAACAAGAGGATCGCCGTCATTGGAAATGGATCTTCGGGTGTCCAAATTGTGCCTGCACTTGCTCGTCTACCTGGGACGACCGTTTTCAGCTTTCAGAGGAGTCCCAACTACGTTTATACTCATCTCTCACCGGCAAATTTGCTCGGTCGTGAAGATGACAGCCAAAACCCTCCCTTCACTGAAGAGGACAAGGCTCGATTCTGCGAGGACAAGGAGTTCCACCGAAACTATCGTCGGAAGATCATTCATGGAATCAACTCATCTTTTAAAATGGTTGGTGGACAGTGATTCTACTTCTTTCAGGATAGCTAATACGGAAGAAACAGTTCTCCAAGGGCTCGGCAGAAAACGCAGCGGTGACAGAAGCGGCCCGTAGGCAAATGGCAGAAGCCCTCCACCACGACCCTGAATTGTGCGCAAAGCTGATCCCAGAATGGGGTCTGGGTTGTCGCCGAATCACTCCTGGAGAGGGCTATCTGGAGTCATTTACGAAGCCCAACGTCGAGCTGGTGACAAGCGCGGTGGTGGAGGCAACTGAAGACTCGGTCATCACAGCAGACGGCCGAGAGTTCAAGGTCGACGTGATCGCCTGCGCCACTGGATTCGACGTCTCGTTGAAGCCCTCGTGGAGCATGTTCGGACGGAACGGCGTCGATCTCAACAAGGAGTGGTCGGTCGACCCGGAGTCCTACCTTTCAGTCGCTGCGCGCGACATGCCTAACTACTTCATATTCCTCGGGCCCAACGCCGTCATCGCCCACGGCTCACTGCTCGAATCGATCAACTGGACCGCCGATTATATCCTAAAGTGGCTACGCAAGGTTGCCACCGAAAACATCAAGTCGATTACTCCAAAGGCTGCAGTCGTGGATGAACTAATCCAATATGGAGACGAAGTCCACAAGACCCTCATTTGGTCTGATAGTTGCACGAGTTGGTTCAAGCGAAATGTGCCTGACGGTCGGATCACCGCGGCATTTGCAGGGAGTGCCTTGTTGTTCCGCAGACTGATCAGCGAGATACGTGCGGAGGATTTCGACATCGAATACTGGACTGGCAATCGCTGGTCATTCATGGGCACTGGCTTCACAGAGTACGAACTGAACCCAGAGAATGATCTAGCTTGGTACATAGAACATTAGATACTAGATTGATTTTCCCACGGTCCTCCCTTTAAGCACTGAGGTTGAATGTGAATAGGGCACTCTTGCCTCGTGCGCTCTTGGTTTACTCGATAGTATATCACGAGCCTATCATGGACCAGCAGGATCTTGGAGGTTGAGAATGGTAAACCTATGAAAGAAGAGACTAGCCAAAATAGCATAGGAAAGCCAGAGCGCCAAGGTGCGTCATCGAATTCGTAAACCAGCTTAACGCCGCCAATCTTGTTTCGAGGCCTCGGAGGGCTTCCTGCAGCGCTTGAGGGCTTATTAATTACTCATACGGTCCTAATCAGATCCTCCCTAGCACCAGTGAGATGATCATTTTGAACTCCTGTGGGAATTCAAGCTTGCTGGTGGATGCGAAACTGGACCCCGCTCTTTTCAAAGGCTTTAACTACGGAAGATGGAATACCTCAAGCTCCACCGTTCTCGACTTCCGTCTCGACGTTGAAATCCCGAGGTGTTATATTCAACCGCGCTTGCAGTCCCGGCTTGTTTGTGAGTACATCTATCCGATGCCCTGTGAAGGCGTTTGTGGGTCCTTGATAAAAGGTTCGAGGCCCAACGCCTTGCGTGGGCCCATCTTAGTGCCTCCTCGCGTCAGGTGAAATATCCGGCTCAAATACGTGATTCCTGACTTGGGCCGATCGGGCCGGCTGGCACAGAGCATGACATTGGTTCAAAATTGCTGTTGCCCGGGTTCGGATGCGCTACAAGGCCTGGTATGCTACTTTTCCGCGAATACACCCGAAGACTATTGAACAATTTCGTTAAAGGGCCACACATGTCTGGTTCCCATGAATAGAATAGGATTTCAACGTCAACGGGTCAAGCGCTTATGACCTCTATTCTGCAGGAATATTCTTCGATTTAACTTGTATCCTCGGCACAAATTCATCATGGTGGCAGATATTGGATTCATCGGTATGAGTGCTCTCGGCGGATGCCATCAAACCAGAATGCACTAACATACACAGGTATTGGCAACATGGGATTTCACATGGCTGGAAATGTTCGCAAGAAGATGGAGCACTCTGCAACGCTCCACATCTTTGATGTGAATAGTGCCGCATGTCAACATTTCGCGGATAAATTTGGTGATTTTGGTCCCGTAATGATTGCGAAGTCTTCGAAAGAGGTGGCGAACAATTCTCAAACAGTCATTTCAATGGTGCCTATGGATCAGCATTGTCGAGCAGTTTATCTGGATGAAGAAACCGGGGTCATCGCCGCTCGTGCCGATCAAAATCGATTAATCCTAGAGTGCAGCACTATCAGTATTGCAACGGCTCAAGAGATAGGTAAGGCAGTCATGGAAGCCGGCAGGGGGAGGTATATCGATACGCCGGTCTCTGGCGGTGTCGGCGGCGCGGAGGCTGGCACTCTGTCATTCTTTTGCGGGTATCCGAATGCGGCAGACAGAGATACGCTCACCCAACGCGTTAAAGACGCGGTAGGTTGGATGAGCACGGCTGAACGGATCAATTTCTGCGGCATTCTCGGAGCAGGACTGGTGAGCAAGATTGCCAACAACTACATGGGGCTCTGCAACCTTGCCGCGGCCGCCCAGGGCATGGCTTTTGGGATACGCCACGGAATGGACAAGGAGATCCTGTATAGATGTATCAAAGGATCGAGCGGCGACTCTTGGATCTTCGATTTCTCGCAACCGGTGCCGGGAGTCACTGCGCGGAGTGCCTCGAGTAATGGCTTCCGACCTGGATTTACATCTCGCTTGTGTGTTAAAGACATTTCCCTGGCGATCAAAGCCGCACAGGCAGTCGGAATCGACGCAACGATGGGAGAAACAGCCCTTAAAGAGTATATGAGGGCTGATCAGGATCCAAGGACCACCGTGAGTTCTCGCATTACCCTACAAATCATGGTTTCTAATAAGCCGTTTCCTTCGTCTAGGGTCTCGATTGTTCGTCCATCTGGCTACACATCAATGACGAAATGGATGCTTTCAACAAATCGAAATGAGATATCCTCGCTTTCGTCTCAACTGTGGCTGTTCGTGCGTCATCAACCACCAAAGGACGTCAAGCGTTGGCGAGTCTAAAATGTCAATCATGCACAGTTTATGCATCTGCTCTTGAAGGACTCAATAACATCATCACCGAGCTACGTGAGGTTTTCTTCGCGAGGAAAGATTCTATCCTATGAAACAGGCTCTAATGGCAGAAAATAATTGTATGGTTGCGTCTGGTGCCTGTCTTAAGCTGGATTTCCGGTGAAAGGGCGACACCACCTGGATTTCTGACACCCAAGGCTGTAGATGTTCGGGTTCGGCGAGGGTGTCGCCTCATAGTGCTTGAGACCAAAAATCGAGTTGGAGAAGTAAGGGCTCAAGGAGAATTGCGAAAAGTTGTTACTAACTCATGAGCTCGAGGTTTAGTCCTCAGAGGAAAGTGCTGAGTTGAGAACTTCAAATCTATCATCTATATTCCACCAATTTTTTAATCTGAGGGTGATGTGTCCGAAATTAGGCTCTCAAACTGCCCTGTCCAATATCACTTCTTTGCGGCGTAGACTTCATCCGTGACCGGATCGTACCATTCCAACCCGCCGAAGGAGATGGCTTCGTGGGACATGAAGCTCCCGTCGTCCGCCCCGTGCCAGTGGATGCCATTGGGAGGGCACCAGATGATGTCGCCAACCGATATTTTTCTGGGCTTCTCGCCTTGGTCACAGACCCAGCCCGAGCCGGCAGTGACTTTGAGCAGCTGTCCTCCCTCGTGTTTGTGCCAGTGGGTTCGTGCGCAGGGCTGGAAGTTGACGTGGACCATGGTAATATCCTTGCGCATCAGGACCGGATCGAGGTAGACTTGTCCCCCGGCGAAGACGCCCATCTGTTTATTGCCGTTGATCGAGTCCACGCCTGCCCGTCCATTGGTCACAAATGCCGATGTGGGAGGTTTCTCGTTGGTATCTCTCGTCTTGGTCTCGACAGGCATGGCGAAAGTGGGAAGGAGAATTTATGAGTTCTGTCCAAGAGACTTTCGTATGTTCAATATCGTCGACAGGAATGTCGTCCAAAGTCAACGGTATAGGACTGCTGGCTATGCTATGTGTGAATGAAGGAAATTCTCTCTAGCGGTGCCTGTCTAAGCTATTAATGGGATGGCAGAGGGAGGGTGCCGGCGGCAGTCTCAAAATGCCGTCAATCTGGACCGCGGCTATATACGTGGGAGATTACGGAACTGGTTTTCCAGCCTAGACTCTCCACTATGAGTCCAGGGCCATCGAACAGCGTATCATCGTATATGACCTCTTCACGCCTAGTCAATCGCAACGTCAAGAGTGGAAAGTTCCGGAAGTTGATCCATTGCACGTACAGCCGAGCTTTTGGGCGCTCTGTGAGCCCCTTTTTGCCACGGGCCGAACAGCCATTGCCCACCCAGGATACTTGGTTTTACCATCTCCGCATTTTGGAGTAGTCGTGAGGTTTGTGGAATATGATTTCTATCGCTATACAGACCGGACGACCATTTTAGTCGCAACGCAAGATTAATAGTAAAACCTGCCCAAAACAAATCATTTGTATTCGTCGAAGATCATTATACCATCTTTCGACGAGTGTGATCTTCAAAGAAGGTCTTATCAATCATGACAACCGCGAATTTACCAAAGACAATGCTAGCATGGCAGAAGCATCTTCCCAGCACGACGCCCGTGAGTTGACCAAAGCTGCCACTCTTTTTCCAACTCAAAAAGCCCGACGTGGACCCGCTGAGCATAAGAATAGGTTCGAATTGAAGTCTCAGTCCCAATCCCAGAAGGGGACGAGATCCTTGTCAAGGTTCTCGCCGCTGGATGCAAGTTTATACCTATCTAGTCTCCATTAGCTTGTGCTGAGGTCAACAACATAGTGTGTCACAGCGACTACTCAATGCGAGAGATGACGACTCTTCCACCAGAGTTCCCGGACAAGAAGAACAAATTCACCTTTGTGAGTGGGACTATCAGCGGCCTGTGTTTCTGTCGGGATTCCGTTCCATATTCTTACGACCTCTCCTAGGGCCATGAGGGTTGTGGAAAGATTGTTGCTCTAGGGCCGCACGCCAAAAAGTTCAAGATTGGCGATGTCGTGGCCATCATGTGTGTTCCTGGCTGTGGTAAATCAACATGTCACGAGTGCTCTCATGGAGTTCCTCAGATCTGCTTGCAAGGCCCGCGATACGGCGGAGGAGAAGATGGCTTCAACGCCGCCTACACCAAAGTCCGGGAGACTGCAGCAGTCAAGGTCCCTGCAGGTGTCAGTATGGCTGCTGCTGCCGTAGCCACCGATGCATGCATGACTTCCTACCATGCAGTCGTGGGTCGATCGGCTGTAAAGAAGGAGGATACAGTTTTAATCTTCGGGCTCGGTGGGCTGGGTTTCAACGCTCTCCAAGTTGTCACCCACATCGGTGCACGCGCTATCGTTGTGGACCAGCGACAGGCTGTGCTGGATGAGGCGTTGAAAGTGGGCGTCAAGCCTGAAGACGTCGTCCCCGCCGACACAACCGACGTTGCTGGATGGGTCAAAGACAAAAAGTTAGTGATCGATAAGGTCATTGACTTTGTTGCAGTGCCTGAAACATTCAAAGCAGGCGTGCTCAGCGGTAAGATTTGATCTCCGGCTGCAAACCCCTTTCCTTGTTGAGCTGACTGCCAGGAATCTTAGTCCGCCTCTCTGGAACGATAGTCCTGGTGGGACTGCTGAGCCCGGAGCTACCATTAGCATCTCCAATAGTGGTCCGAAGGCAACTCAATATCCTGGGTAGCTATGGAGGCACCATACAGGACGTGGAAGCGTGCCTTGACCTGATCCAAAAAAACGTGATTGTCCCTCAAGTTGTCACTGGGAGTCTGAAAGATTTTCCCGCTCTGCTGGAGGATCTCCACCATGGCAAGATCAAGGGAAGAGTTGTAATGATTCCAGAAGAGCTTTAGAGCCAGTGGTATCGATGGAAACACTTATGAAAACACGTTTGCTCAGAGTTTACAGTGTATCCTCCCTCCTCCTCCCTCCCCCCCACCCCCAACACACTACCATTTTCCTTCTTCAGCTGTATTGGATTAATTGTGATCCTAGGGTTGAACGACTGTAGACCGGAAGTGGATCTCCGATCAGACGTCACCTATGTATGCTCATGGTGTTATTGTTTAAACTGCAGTGGTTTACTACGTTATAGCTACCTCAAATCATCTGCTGCAAACTCAATCATTGTTTATTTCAGCCTCAATAAGTTATTGTAGCTAGGCTAGACTGCTGGCGGCATATGCTCCAGAGACACAGTTATAACCATCATTCCAAAGCTTGTGTAAAGTCCTGCAAGAACAGCCAGCGAGCTTTGTTGTCGGAGTCTTTGGCCTTCCAGTTCTTAAGGTCTCCATGTGGGTACCAGTCAATTCCAACCCGTGAGTCCAACAAGGTTGCATCGTGGGCAATGATGACGAAAACATTGTCCGCAGCGTCGAACTCCTGCATCAGCTCACACGAACGGTCTGCTTGTTGTTTGTTGTGTGGAACTTCATCGTGAAGGTGGTAGAAAGGGTCAGCTCCCTTCTTGCGCGGGTGAATCGACTCAAAGATATGGCCGGGGCAAGCCGAAGCGTATTTAGCGACGTAGGGAGACGGCGTGATGTCCTTGGGAATGGGAAGGTATTCAGTTGGTCTGAACTCTCCACCATGATGGGCAGTATCAGCTCCCATCAGGACAAACGTATCTTCAGGGTCTCCATCTTGAGTTGATGTCACACGGGCGAGACCAACTACGTGCCCAATAGCATGGCCAGGTGCATCAAGGACGTAGAAGGACCCATCTCCGAAATAGTCGATACCTCTGTAGTTGCCGATTTCAAGTGTAGGCCTCTTGTCGAAGTCGATTTCTTCGTACTCCCGACCCGCAAAATCGCTCTCAAGAAGAGACGACTCGCTATTATTAGGGTAAGCCGGAAGAAAAGCATCCTTTACTCCCGCCCCTGCGATTAACTTGGTGCTGTAAGGGAAGGTGGAAACGTCGCCAGTGTGGTCGAAATGCCAGTGGCTCCAGATGACCGCCTCGATCGAGCCGCCTGCGACATCAACCCCATTTTCTTGTAAAATCTCGGCCACATTCTTTTGAATCTCCATTGCCCAGCCAGGCCCCGAGATGAGCTTCAGAACAGCTGGAGGGTGACTTTGCCAATCTTTTCTCAATCCCAGATCAAATAGGACTTTGCGGCTAGATTTTTGCTGCTCTACCAAGAAGCTGAACGCTGGGGCGTTGAGGTGCTCATGTCCAGGGATGGCTGGGTGCATGAACAGGCCAACTGGTGCCTGAATCCTGGAAGTGGTATCAATGATTGAAACTTTTGCAGAAGCACCGTTGGGAATCTTTAGCATAGGGGCAGCCTTGGCCGGGTGAAGCGTGGACGCCATTACTGCGGTTGTTCTGTTTGAGATCCTCGAATGGAGCTGGAGCTGGGCTAATCAGATTGGTCAAAAGCTGATCGAAGGTGCAGGTGTGATCTGAAAGAAGAGAAGACAGTCAGATACTCAGACGCATAAATCATCAGGCCGGCTGAAGCGCCAATGATATACGTCATCCAAATTGTTTGGCACGAGGTTTGGTGAATGATGCTGTCGTTCATCAGTCAAGTGAGCCGGCCGAGCAGTTCATCCACGGCCCGGGGTATGGCGCGGCCGGGGGAAACCCCACGGGCCACCCCAGCGTAGCACTCTTGCTTTCCAAGACATGGATCAGTTCAACCTTCTTGTCCCGACCACTAGAGAGGCGAACGGTCGCGCTGCCAGTCCGGTCTACAAGTTCAGGGGTCAGCAGCCTCGAACTGCATGTTTGGTGGCGTAGATAGATGGGGCAGTATTGCCAATGCCAGATTAGGTTAGATCCTTTAATACTCGGTGCTCGGACCTCACTCGGACGAGCTGGGGCCGAGCACAGGGCGGCATCACGCTCGTCCCAATTCGGGGTGAGATGGGAGCAAGTTCAACGAGGCCCTCTGACTTGGGACTCTGAGATCCAATCCGCTCAGCAGCGCCCTACACGATCTTGTCAAAATGTTTCCTGCTGTCTCGCGTCCATCCCAGCCCAAACATCTCACGGGGCTTTATTGAAGCTGTATGCACTGATGCATCTGGACTGTAGATAGTCCCAGACACGATCTGCGGTCCCACGAATTCTGATCCTTTCCCTCGAAGCCGGATGCTACCGCAACCATGTCTAGCAGAGTCAGCGCAAACGGCTCGGTGGGCATGCCGCGGATCCAGGATGTCCTTCGCACGCCCGAAGATCTCGAAAAGATCACCAGTTTAAAGGCAGAAATCAATCGCAAAAAGGGGGACGTGGACGCCAGATTAAGAGAAGGACTACAGGACCATTTGGACACTACCCAGAACGGCATGTCCACTCTATCCGAAGGGCAGAAACTTGTGGGGCAGATTAAAGAAGAGATGAAGAGCATTTATGACCTCTGCGAGCAGGCTCAGGCCATCCGCAAGAACTTCCCGCAATTGGACTATCTCGCAAGAGTCCATCGCAATTTCGAAGCCACCCGAGCGATGCAGGCAGGTCTGGATAGCTTCGAAAGAGATTGTTCTTACGTCCAGGGACTCCTGGAGGGAGACGACAACGATTTGTACAAACAGCCCAATCTCCTGGAAGCCTACATGCGCTTGACGCGACTGCGCGACTTTCGAGATGAAGCGTTGGATCAGATCCGGCGAGCAAGAGACTCAAGTTTGGAACAGACACTGCTTGACTGGTTTCAACAGCTGGACAACGTCGTTGAGCTTTTCGATGAGCATATTGGTTTCATTTGCATGAATCTCATCGACCTAGTTCAACGAGCTGATGACACCAGCATCATCGTGAGGTTAGCCATCGTGCTTGCTTCGGAGGAGAAGAACGACGATCGGGTTAGGGCGCTCCAAGATGCCCAGAAAGACCACCAAGATCTTGTGAGCAAATTTACATCTTTCAACATCGGCCCAAAGGCGATCCGTGGATACAAAGAGAAGTTCCTGCAGGCCATCGAAAATGTTGCAGAAGGCAAATTTCAACAGACGCGGCAGGAGTTTCAGGAAGACCCCTCCAAACTTAAGAGCCAGACAAGGTGGTTCTTTGAAGACATTAACGCTGTCAAGCAGGGGATGCAAAATCTCTTCCCGAGAAAGTGGAAGATTTTCAACACCTATGTGGATATCTACCACAAGCAAATGCGCGATTTTCTCATATCTTTTGTGGATGCCGAAGATCTTCGTCCTCCGCAGATGCTGGGGATTGTCCACTTCATCGATGATTATTACAAGAGAATGAACAAGCTGGGCGTCCCACAGGCTCAAATGAAACCACATGTCCTTGATTCTCGTGAAGGCGACCTCATCCGAGACTACAGAAACATCATCACTAAAGCTCTCAACTCTTGGATCGATAGAATGTACGTGACCGACAGGAAGAACTTCTTGTCCAAAGCGCCAGATGCCATCGAACAGGATCCAGACGGGCATTTCAGAACCAAAACAATGGGCGATATGTGGCGCATGCTGCATGAGCAAGCCGTTGCAGCCGGCGACTCCGAGCGTGAAGACGTCGTCGAAGGCGTTATGAGCGCCATGTTCGGTGCTCTGAAATCTAGGCAGCAGCAGTGGGAGAGGCTGGTCGATGAAGAGCTGGAGCGATACAAGAATCCAACAACGGAACAACTTGAAACCTTGCAACAACTCCAAGACTGGCTTCTCGCGATTGCGAATGATCAAATTGCCTGCGTGGATGATGCTGCCGGAGATGTGCTAGATGATCCCACGGTCCAGAAGGGATACTTGACGCGATTCAGAGAAGATTTCGTCAAACTGCCCACTCCACCCTCCGCGAAATTCATGTCTACGAATGGAACCACGGAACTGGATGCCCTCCGAGATGGTTACGTAGACTTGGCCACTCACTGCATCAACCGATTTGTTCAACTAATATTCCGAGTCGACTTCCGTACCATCTTGACAGAGCTATTCATCCCAGGAAAGTGGTATGAGCAATCCGCGATGCAGAGGATGACTACCACGTACGACGACTACATCGGAGACTACAGTGCCGTACTCCATCCCTCGCTAATCGACATTCTGATTGAGGAGCTATCAGACGCCCTGCTGGTGAGCTATCTCACCTCAATACGCACCAATCGAGGCGTGAAGTTTAGGCGGGGCGAACCATTCGCTGCAAGATTTAGGGACGATGTCCTCGCCGCATTTGCCTTCTTCGAGAAGTACCCTGAGACCTTCAACGAAACCATCAAACCCAAGTGGAAAGCCGTGAACTATACTGTACAACTGCTGGAAACTGACAAGAATGACGTTGTACGGGTGTATGAGCAGTTCAAGCGCGAGTTCTGGGACCTCCAATTGAGTTGGGTGGAAGGGGTCTTGAAGACTCGTGACGATTGGGATCGTGGCATGATCACAGCAGTCAAGCGAGCAGCGGCAAGCACGTATGCAGAACGCGGCATGGACACAGTCATGGGTAAAGTCAAGTGATCCACGTATCGACGGAATCCAAGCTTCTGCCTTTGACTCCCCTAAATGAAGGATCCCGCCACTTGCAACCTCAGTTGAAGATGTGCCATGAGACGAGCCCTCGAGCCTAGAATTGATTTTCAATAATATCTCAATCCAACAGCTCTATCTGGCTTCAGTTGCTCTATGGCTCTCTTGAAAGCTCAAATCTGGTTGTCATCCTACAGTGCTGAGCCGGCTTTGCGAAAATGTGGACATAACATGCCATTAAAGAAACTCGGAACGCTGGGGGCATGACCTCCAACGCAAGAATGTTGACAGTGCCGGACACAGATCGACAGTGTCAGCGAAACCGTGTTGCGGGATCTCCTTGTGGCAGCGCAGTCACGTCCAGACGAGCAGCTGTTGTTCTGGTGGATCGAAAGGAGAGACGTGTACTTCCTTTATGGTCGCCCATACCACGTGTATTAAATGTCGAATTCTCACTCGCTCCTCCCCTCGACTGCCCAGCTGTCTGGCTTGTCCTTTTCTTTGAGCTTCTTGCAATGTGTTGCCGCTCCAAGCCCGCCAGCACAAGTCAAATCGTCGGCATTTTCTCAGAGCTGGCTTGGCTGGCTCGGCGGAACTCTGGGCATCTTGGTATCCCTCTCTCGCCGGCTCCTTTTCCAATCAGTGCAAGGCATGTTCTTTGGAGTGTCGATACTCCCTGTAGCGCAGACCTCCTTGATATCATGTCTGAAGTTGCATGGGTATGATATGGTTCTGCACATGGCGGCAGGTACGAATGCAATTCGTTCGATGCAGGAGGTTGAGGCGGTTCCCCTCGGGGTACAGTTCACTGACGTACGCCGCTGAGGCGCAAGCATGAGAATGCTTCGCCTTATAAAGCAAGCATGTCGCGAGTCCCGGATCTGATCAGATTATCGTGGTCGGGCGACTAAGTTGCGACTTTGAAGCTCTCAATACAGCTCAGCTTGAACCGCAATCATGGTGTTCCAGGCCTTGAAGGAGTCATGGACGCTGTTCACTCCTACAGAGAAGAGGAATATCGCCATCTACGTCGTCGGAATAATGTTGTACAAATTTGGACTTGAGGCTTTCAACGGCTCAATCGTTGCCCTTGCCACAAACAAATATGACTACGAAGCCTGGCTCACCGACAGCACTCCCAAGACCTTCGAGCGTGTTGGTTTACTAACCGGCCTAAATCAAGCCTTCCAATGTGTCGGCTCCATCCTGATTGCGCCTCTCATCAAACGTTGGCCGACCAAACTGGTCCTCTCCGCGGCTATATTGGTTTTCAGCGTCATGACGGCCATTCTTCTCATCGTGGATGCTAGTACCGGGGGGCGCTTCAAGCCTGACAATTGGGTGGACAGCCACGACGAAGACGATTTTGGGTACTATGGTACCTACAATGCGAACGGCATCATCCCCATCTATTGCGTCAGCGGCATTGCCTACGGAATGGTTGAGTTGATCCGTCGTGTCATTCCACGAGACATCGTTGGAGGCAACGTCCAGAAACTTCGACGCATGGACTCGCTCGTCCACATCTTCTATGAAATCTCTGGCACTGCCGGCGCCTTCTGCACGGCTTTGGCTTTGATCCCTTCTTTTGGCAACAACTATTCCTTTATCATCACTCCCATTTTCTTCGCTGCCGCTTCAATCGTATGGTTCTTCATTTCCAACCTCAACTACAAGAAGCCCTTGAAGGCGGGTAGCAACTACCTCCTGGCGGTCGGCATGGGCTTCTGGCTCTTCTTCGAATCGATCTGGACCGGTTTCAAGATTATTTTCAGCTCCCGCAAATTCATCTGGCTCTTGCCAGGCTACTCTTTTGCCTTGTATGGCCACCGATATCTCGAAAACGGTATTGCGCCTGCTGTGGCTCGACGATATCTCGGAAACTCTGCCTGGTCTCAGATCATGGGTGAGTGCTGAACCCCAGCCCTTCCTCCTTTGCCTTCGGAGCCTCCTGCTCTACCTCCTACCAGGCATGTATCTTCGTCTACCCGCAATATATTTCACTACATCACATATGTTAACGTTTAAAAGTGGGAGGTAGTAACTTTGGCGAGCTTCTTGGTGCCGGATTTGTCTTTCTCTTCACCAACCTCGTGCAGACACCAATGCCATGGCTCCGACTTGATGCCCTGATGCTTCTTATCGTATGGTATCTCCCTTACTGGTACCCGAAGAGGGGTGATGTTAACGAAGCTTGGCGGGTTGCTGGCACCTTCATTCCCATTTCATTTGGTTGGGCTGCCGGTGATGTGTCCCTCGCCGCTTACATCCAGGCCTCGCTCGCCCGCTTGGAGGCCGAGAACAAAGAGGTTTCGGCCTTGGGCGCTGTCATGGCCTTCCTCTATTCGACATACATCGTCATTTATGCCATATGCTCTCCTCTTCTAGGTCGATACATTGATCATGTATATGCGGAGACAGGCGGTTCTGACGGCGGAAACATCCACGGCGCTATTAGGAACGTGGGCGGTGTGCAATTCACTGTGCTGATGGCTATTGTGCTCGCCTCAACATTCATTCCGAAAGGCGCCCTGTCCTTCAATCCCAAGATGCTCAATGATGAGGTCCTTGATCAAGACATTGATCATGGTGCTGATGATGGGTTTGTGGACGAAAAGAAACGCAAGGCTAGCATTATGCATCTAAAGGTGCAGGAGCAGGCGGAGGGAAGACGCCAGAGTGTCACAAGAGTGTCAGCTGATATTAACGATACTTTTTCGCCGGATATGAAGGACATCAAGGAGGAGGATGGGGGGCTGATGAAGTCCTAGCTGTCTTCACTTCCGCTGACTATACAGCGGGTGAAAGTGATACGCCATGCGCAACGGATGATGCGCACACAGTCATCAGATCCTGATCTTTCTTCGCCTGATCATGAGCATCGGTGCTGTTATGCTTTTTTCACACTTGAGAGACTATAATTACTCATTGCAGCAATGCGAACTCTCAACATCAGCTCATGCACAGGAGGGGTTGCTGTTGGCGGGAACACCACACTGTCTCTACAGAGGATATCAGCAGTCATTCGTCTGATTATATATTCCGCGCACCACAGTTCTCAGCAAACAATATTGTACATGAAACGTCTCTTCGAGCATATATTGCAACGCAGCATCAGGCTGTGCTTCTGATCGTTGCAAGTTTTCCCTCGTTTCTGACTCTTCGCTTTCCATGGCTGTTATACAGACTTGTTAGCTGCTTTATTACTAGTGACCAAAATGACCCAAGCCATTGTTCCGTTATTTGGTAGCATATGATGTCCACGTGCGACAGTCCGGTGATGCCTGTACCTTCTTCTGGCCCTTGATTGCATTTTTGATTTGATATATCTGGGCAAAGTCGGTCAGACGTGTTCTACCTCGTAGGTCTGCATTCCCATCCCCGGAATCAAAGGAAGAAGAATAGTTGGTGCACTACGATCGAAGTAAAACGCGTGAGATGATGGTCTGATAGAATTGGTCTGGCCTTGACTTGCGATTGCTTCTCTGTGATGCTTATCGACGCCGGGCTTTTCGTGCGGGCTTTCTCCATGGCGTCGATGTTCACAAACACAGCTGCTTCAGCGCAGGTGAAGGGATGAATGAACTCGATAGAAATCCCGGACACCTCGGATCATAGTCCACCTTTCACCTATCACTACGGCACACTGTAAATCTCATGAACGGAGCCAGCAAGCTTGCTCAACTATGGTGAGTTGTCGAGGCTTGAGCAAGGCTGTGCCAAGACTCGACACTCGCCAAGATTTCATGCCTCATTCGGACTAGTCCACTGCACAATCCCAATTTTCGCTGCGCTTTTTGGCAATTGAAGACTTGGGACTTCCTCGCCGACTAGCAGCAAACCTCTCGTCTCTCTCAACAACCTCTTCAATACCGCAAGTCAAGATGTCGAACCGTCCTACTGTCGGCATCGTCGGCGGCGATGGCTCCAGCACTGGAGAGACCCATCCCTTGCCAGCCGTCTTCAGCTCTCCCATCCGTCCTGATATTGTCCAGTATGATCCCCGGACGCAACACCCTTGCTCAATTCCCACCACAATGGAAAGCTAACAGCTAGATCAGGACCGTCCACACTGGAATGGCCAAGAACAAGAGACAACCATATGCCGTGAGCGAGAAGGCAGGCGAGCAGACATCAGCAGAGTCATGGGGCACAGGTGCGTTGGGACCAATCTAATGTCGGCTGTAAAAGAGATGAATGGGGGGGGGAACTGACACGGGAGAAAACTTACAGGCCGCGCTGTCGCACGTATCCCTCGTGTCTCTGGCGGTGGTACACACAGAGCAGGCCAGGCTGCGTTCGGTAACCAATGTCGATCCGGCCGCATGTTCGCGCCCACGAAGGTCTGGAGAAAGTGGCATCAGAAGATCAACTTGGGACAGAAGTATGTGATAACAACACAATCGCTATTGCTGCTGCTGCTGCTGCTGCTACTGCTTGGGACAGTGTTTCTAACGGTGCATTCTTTTTTTACAGGCGCTTCGCCACAGCATCTGCCATTGCTGCCAGCTCCGTCCCGGCCCTCCTCCTGGCCCGAGGCCACCGCATCTCGACCGTCCCCGAAGTGCCCCTCGTCATCTCCAGCAAGATCTTTGAGGGTGCCGCCCTGGTCAAGACATCCGCCGCCGCGGCCCTCCTCAAGGCCGTCGGCGCCGGCCCGGACATCGTCAAGGTGCAGAAGTCCCGCAAGCTGCGCGCCGGCAAGGGCAAGATGCGAAACCGCCGCCACCGCATGCGCCGCGGTCCCCTCGTGGTGTACAACCCCGAGGTCGACGGCAAGGAGCTGGTGCGCGCGTTCCGCAACATCCCCGGCGTCGAGACCTCGTCCGTCTTCGCGCTGAACCTGCTCCAGCTCGCGCCCGGGGGCCACCTGGGCCGCTTCATCATCTGGACCTCGGGCGCCTTCGCGGCCCTGGACACCATCTACGGCTCGACGAGCGAACCCTCGACGCTGAAGAAGGACTTTTTGCTGCCCGCCAACGTCGTCGCCAACGCCGACATCACCCGCCTCATCAACAGCTCCGAGATCCAGTCCGTGCTCCGCGAGCCCAAGGGCTACGCGACCACCAAGCGCACCGGCGTGCAGAAGAAGAACCCGCTCCGCAACAGACAGGTGCTGCTGCGCCTCAACCCCTACGCTGCGCAGTACTCCAAGGACAAGCTTGGGCAGAAGGGCGTGGAGCACGGCAAGCCCGAGCGCGTCGACGAGAAATTCCAAGAGGTCTTGCACGAGAACTAGAAACATCGTTTTGGTTTTGAATTGGCGAGGGGATTCGGGAATGCCTATGGGGGTTGGTTCGAAGCAAGACCACGCTTTCAGAGTAGACGAGTCCGCGGGGAACTGGGGTTTGAACACCGAATGAGCCTTTGCCGTATGGATCGAGCAGATAATTCAGCGAGGGTCTACGATCAATCTCCCTTCGAATGAGTGTTTCCCTTGTTCAGGCAGACATGACAGTGAGAGAATCGGAAAACATGAAACTTCCCCCCCTCCCAGTTGACCATTGTCTCTTTTGGTTCTTGCAGGTTGTTGACTCGCCATCGTCTCGCCCAAAAGGCGAACAGTGGAGGGTGCCGTGGCTCATGCACTGTAGCCGTCAGTGGCACACGGAGTCCCTCGCACTCGTTGCTCGCAGCCTCGACAAGAGGACGACCGCGCTCACTGCGATAGGACCAGACCAACCGAGAGGGACTCGTCCCACCTCCTTTGGACAGTCCTTTGCACAACTGGTTAAGCCTGCTCACACGGCTGGGAAGCAGACTCAGAGACGACGCGTCCAGCTGAGCCGTTCCCTGGCTAGGAGGCTTGCGTCGTTTCCAACTCATCCATTTCCAGACACACCACACTCGCTCGCATTGTCGCCTTCCCTGCCCTTCCTACATAGATTCCGTTCTGTCCCATCAGCTCCACTTCCAAGGTGATGGTTTCCAGGCAACTCTCACCGAGCCTCTCATGAGTCTGCGGTCCACTACAACCCAGCTCGCATCAGATGCAACGACAAGATCTGCAAGGGGCGATTGACTGTAATAGGACGGAGTCATTCAAGTAACGGATCATCATTCACCAAACATGCGGCTTCCATCACATGGAGCCAGGTTCTTCTGTGCCGCCTGCTCTAAGCGAGTGGGCCACACGGGCGAGAGTGAGGCGTCAGGCTGCGCCATAATTGCTTGGTCCGCAGAACTTTTCCTCCTGAGAGATATGTCCCAGTACGGGACCTCCTCATAATCTAGCTAGAGGGGTATACCCACTTTGACATCCAGATTTTCCCATTTTCCAGCCGTCTTCTCGTTATAGCAAGCAGGAATCCATGGATGGGGCAGTGGAAGCGGCTAGGTGCCGAGTTTTCCACGCGCCTAGGCTGAGAGTATGAGAGAGTAAGGGAAGATCGATCTTTGAGGGCCCGGCTCTCACGACGATCCGTATGTTAACTGCAACATCGCGAATGTGAGGCGAGTCTATTTGTCCAATAGACTGATGAGGCCAATATTTGTCAAGCCCCCTATAGCAACAGATCTGTGTCCGGAACTTGCCGTAGGGCAGCCCACGCTTAACAGGTATTCCGGGTGCTGTGACAAGCAATCATTGGAGAGGGGAGGGCGATCCATCAGAGTGTGGCTTTGGGATTCGACCTGGGAAAAGGTTTCCAGGGCCAATAATAGTTAACAGAGATTGTGGGAAAGATTCCACATGGACGGCCTAGCCCGCCCACGTCTCCGCAGATCCAGGCAGACTTATCACAACCTCCCAGCTTTCCAGGCAGGATTCGGGCCACGTCTGGTAGGGACAGACGGGCCGGGGGCAATCATCGATAGACACGAAACCTGTGTCAAGGAGGGCCTGTTCGACGCGATTGATGCCGGTCGCAAGACGATGTACGGAGTACCAGTATGTCCTCGGCATCTGCGGAAATGATAGTGGGCAAAGATAACAGACGGACAATATTCCCTGTTCAATCTACTGTGCCCGTTGTAGATCACTGCAAGGGCTCCCAACCCAAGCGCTGCCAGGAAGAGCTCGGTACCTAGAACCACGTTGTGCAACACACAGCCGCCCCGCTCCCACTCATCCTCACGACCAGCTATTTGGAGTAGCTGGCAAGATGGGCGTCGCTTGGATCTTTGGAGCTCGCTAGCAGTAGACTGGCCGCGCCAACCTGCTTTTTGCGTGAGACTGGGCTTTTGAAATGCAGTGGGGCTGAAATCCCGAAGAAAGCAGGGAGAAAACGGATTCCAAGGAGTAAAGGAAGAAGGGGATGCGGGCGAAATGAGCATCAACTTGGTACTCCCAGAGATTAGAGGGGGCATGGTGCGTGCGGTGGATCTTGGTAGCAAAGTTTCTCCGCAGACCTTGCCCACTGATCTCCCTTCAACGGTAACCGCGCGATAGGTTTGGAGGATATTTTGGTAGTTCTGACCAGCCATTTGCCTACTTTTCGAATAACAGCACCCGGGATTTGCAGACTCGGAGGAGGAAACGTTGTCATCAGGTCTCGTCTCGGCGACCGAGCGTGTCAAAGCAATATTGCCGCAATATACCTCGTACTTGTACCCTTGGGTCATAGCTTCGGAAGGATGGTTGCGAATCGGCCAGCTTCAAATCTTCTCACGTGGCCAAACATAAGTCGGGAGGGAAAAGTTTTCCGCAGGAGTCCATCCTGAGGCCCTCTTGTAAAGTTGGAGCGTCGAGCTAGGAGGAGGCTCGGTCAGGTGGCCGGGGAAGGTCATGCTGCGGAGATTCATTGACAGAACCGCAGCCGACGCGCTGGCCAACATCACTGTCAATCGTCAACAAGAGGGGTCAACACCAGAGAAACGCCTGCAAAAGAGATTCCCAAACCAAAGGCCGTGAGTAGTTAGTAGCGTAGGCATCTACATCTCGGGGAGACACGACGGAGAGACGTAGCTGAATGCTTTCCCCAACAGATGTCGTATGGGTAGACCTTGTCAACGTGTATTGATGCGGTTCAGGTCCATAATGGAGGTGACATTTCAAGCCAGGAGCCTGGATAGCACTACGTCGAAGAATGTCAAAAGAAATGAAGGGAGCGAGTACATCTGGGGGTGACTTGATGCCGCTGTTCTCTGGACAGAATTGATGCTTGGGACCAAAGGTCTTGCTGTGCAGCCGCCCAACTGCAAAGCCCTCCAAGTGACTGCGCTGAGACGCACCTGCCAGATTAATACCAGGGTCATGACGTCACCTGCGCAAATTCACTCACGCCATCCCATCCCATCCCTTCTTACACATGCCTTGCGTCGGCGGCGATGTCGAAGCAGCTGCAGCCACGCAGAGGAACCTCGCCAGATTGTCCAGAATCCAGGCTTACGAGATGATATCAGGAAGGAGGAATAAGCAGCCTATGGCATGCATTGCGCCAAGGTGAGAGAGGTGAGTCCGCTTCAGTTTAAACTTCCAGGCGAGAGGCCGCAGTAACTTCATCCGAAGAATGTGACAGGTCATCTTCGCAAGCGGCAAATCAAATGTACAGCATCCCTCCAGCCACATGTTGGTGAGGGACCTAGTTGACTGTCTAGGGGGCGGACATGATGCTTTTCCTAGCACTGACCCATGGTGACCCAAAACAGTTGCGGAGCTCTACCTGAATCCAGCCAACCCGTCGCTCGACTACTCCAGCTGCCAAAGGACCCCTAAGACACGCTAGAGGGACACAAGCCTCCTGCACTTCGAGCCATTTGGCTTCACCTTCAGGTGATTGACAATCCATGCTGCCTCTCATGCCGGTACTTCTTGGGGGGGGAGCCTAATCAACCCAAGGGCGGTGTGATCGTCAAACCGCCGGTCTCCAGAATTCCATGGTAGCTTTTGATGCACCCGTCTCCTGCGCCAGTCGGGCTTTTTAGGTGAGTGACTGTTTGCGGCTGGCAACTACGTTGGGGCGCTAACGCACGAGAATGGCTCAGATATGTTGCGGTGTGCCAAAGCACTGGGGAATTAGTCTTCTGGCAAGGGATACCCGTCCAAACTCGGCTCAAGAGATGTCTGCGGGAGCAAGGGATACGCGCCGATTGAATCGCCACTGCACATTACCTACCACCTGTTTAGCGTTCAGACGTTTGGTCTTGATTGTCTCAAAAGGAGGGTCCATTCTGGAGTGTCTCCGCAAAAACAACGCTCGTCGCCTGCGACCATTTTGGTTTCGCACTTTGCGGCCCTTCCCTTTACGGTCGCTTGGCCATCCGAAAAGAGCTTGTGGATGTCGATTCCCCTCCAAAAAGGAACACTTGCAGCCATTGTGGTGTGTGAATATCCCTCTCAACCCGCTGTCAGTTTCCCCTTGAACCTTTGTGCTAATCCAGAGGCTTGACCCCTATACCCGTCGGTCATTTCTCAAGCAGCATGGATTCAACTGCACTCACGGCTTGCACTGCTCACTACTAGGCACCTGGATGGTTTCCCACAGGCGATCCCTGATACGAGTAACTTCAGAAAGCCAATTGATCCTTCGAACGGAGGAAGGAGTTCCGGTCGGGGTCTGGAGAGCCTTACCAGGAGGTAACATCATGAGCGGATCGAAAACTAGTGGTAGCTCTCATTCGCCGGGCAGCCTTGATCACCGTTGTTAGGATGTCACAACCACACAATGGGTGCACCAGGTGCAAAGCTCCGACAAAAGGACCCCTAGATCTTCGCACCCAGCTATGATCTCAACTTTGTACGCATAAAGCCAGGCTCCTCTGCAGGACGAGATGTTTCGCCGCCATCTCTCATGGCTATGCCTATGCGTGAGCTCAGTAGAAGGACTTCGCATGATTAAAGCCACACCCATGAAAATTGACAAGGGTTTGGTGCCCAGAGTGCCAAGTTACGAGAGGCCACGAGGCCTACCAGCGCTCGGGCCAGGTAAGTTTGGGGGGCCTCTTCCTAGGCCCTTGGCTTGCTCGAGTTAAGTCCAAATAGGCAGATTCCCGGGTGTGCCATGGTCCAGAGGGGCCCGCGGACCGGGACTGGCGATCCGGGGTTGGGACGGCCCTTGCTGGCCCATGCTCCTCCGGAACCAATACCTCTGTGGTTAAAGGGAAGGGAAGGGTAACACTAAGCATGAGCAGCATGGAAAATGGGGAAGATTGGCATTTCTACCTGCTTGTCTGCTCCGGGCGTGGGCGAAACTCATTTGACCCTGATGGCAAACTAAACATGACGGGTACAGAAATGGCTGGTTAATCCATCCGCTCCCTCCTCCCAGGTCGCATTCCACCGAGCGAATTCGGAAGACCCAGTTGCTCGATGCAGCAAGTCCAAGAGGCAAAAAAGGACTTCGAACTCCTGCCTTTTGCATAGCGGCATGCACAAACCCCCCTTTGACTCAGCAGCACCGAGTATCTCCGGCAAAGAGGCAGCTTCTAGTGTGGGAGGCCCATGCAGGTTCCAGAGAAGGGCACCCGTGGCGTTGCAGGGACAAGATGCTGCGATTGCCACCAGGAGTCCAGGACACCTGGGGGCAGCCCACAACAAGCCTGAGAGGCCGGGGAAGCCCGTTCTCGCTGCACCAACAGGGCGCCATACCTAAAAGGCCCAATTAGGATGGTGCTTGCACGATAACGCTGGGTGGGTTAAATTTCGCTCCTATTTGTTGTGCACCCCTTTGCTGCCAACAGATCGCCCGTCCGGCTTGCTGCATGAGCTGCCGCCTGAGATGGATATGGGTTCGTCACCGGGAAGCGGCTTGCGCTGTAAGACTGACAGGGACGCATCATGCTAACGACATACCTGGCCCGGAAGTTGGCTCCCAGCACCACTCATCTTTCATCTCAGAACTGGTCTTTGCCAGGGTCAGATTTGGTAAGAACCATGTCCTTTATCCGACAACTCGCGAATTAGAATCTATCGCCTAGCCGGTTGCTGCTCGTCAACCGTGGCCTCCACTGCTGTCCGGTTATTCTTTCCACGCCCACCGGATCGAGAGGGACTCTCATCGACCGATTACGTATCTTACATGTGCTCAACATTGATATTCGTCTCAGCAACCAGCACGTAAAACAACCGTCTTATGATAGTCGTTCGGCTGTGCCGAGCATGTGCTCTCCAGGGGATACGAGGAATGAACCCTCAATTGAGCGTGGAGCATATGCCTACATGTCACATTTGCCACAGACGCTGTCGACTCCGGTCTTGCAACTGGCCAGGTTTCTCCTGACAGCAATGCAAGGGGATGCAGGGTGTGTGTCAAGCCGGGACAAACGGAACGACAAGAGCTGAAATGAAGCCAGAGACAAGTGAAAAGGTGATGCTCAACGCCTTCCAGACGCGCCCCAGCTTGGACGCTCGCTTAATGGCTCTAGATGATTGGGCCTCTGGTTGCCACGGGCATTTCCTCGCCGCAAAAAAAAAAGCTGTGGTCAAAGCTGTCACGTTTCTTATAGGCCCGGACGAGAGAACTACGAGGCTTGAAATTCGAGCCACGGCAGGGAGAGCTGGGTTCAGTGAGCAATGGGCTCGTGTTCGCCAGACGCGCAATGCCGCTAACAAGTCCCAAGCGTCAACTCATTACGTCGACGGTTCCAGTCCAGCCCCTCAAGTATCGGGGCATGCTGCCGGCGCCCCCGCTCTGCCATGGCGTGTCGCATCGAAGACTGCGAGTGGAGGAGTAGCCTCCAATTTGTACCGCTCTGATGCTAGCATTGTTAGGACTAGTCTGGTCGCCGAGTTGTCGCGCCTCCTCGCTGGTCCGTCTGGCAGAGTTGAACAGACCGCTATGGACGGGCAAAACATGACGGCAAGCTCCGGACTAGAAAAGATTGGCAGTTCATCCATTTGCCAGCCATGACCCCCGTACTGTTGAAGGCATCAAAAGGGAGAGATGCACAGCGCCAAGGGCGGGTGGGTGTTCCAGACTATTGGACTTCGCAGTCCCGGGATTGCAGACTGACAGCTGGATGCATGGGTTTCTCCTTGAGGCCACACACAGGGCAACTCCATTGGACCAAAAGTGTCAACCACCATGTCAACTCTCGCCAGGCTGTGGGGCTCCCATGGCCCTTTCAGCTCGTCAGTGCAACCCATAGGAAGCTGCCAAGTTCGCGGAGAGGAATGTGCACGCCTCATCCTGCCGTGTGTCTCTTGACCACGGCAGGACCGAGCGTCCCAGCCCCCAGCCCTTCGCAGTGCCAGCGTCGAAGGGGATCTTGATTTCAATTAGTCTTGTTATGTGATTCAGAGATTGGGTTCCAATTAGCCGCGTAGTCGGAATGTGTTTGTGAGATTCCAGACATTGGCTGCGCGAGATAAGCGATCGTATAGTAGTACGGGGTACATGGTTTGGGAGGAGCAGGCAGCAAGCGGTACCCAGATTCGATTCCTTCTCAGGTCTTAGCCTTCAGGCACGGCTCGTTCGCCTGGTAAGATTGGTATTTTGTTGGATGGAATGCTTGTGCGGCTATTGCTTCTGGTCGGTACCCCGTTTTGAAAGGGGAGGGGGTGTGGTTAGGCGAAATGGGCTGGAAGGGAATCCTAGTGCTTGGTCGGCTGGGGTTTGGTTGGACGGAGAGGACCCCATGGCTCCAGCCAGCAGCATGCCAAGTCCACACCTCTTGCTGGAGGAGAGTGAAGGGCGACTGGATGGCCCGTTTACCCAGCCGCGGCGGGGATGCCATCCTGAAGCATGGTATAGAAAGTACTATGTGATGTCCTGTGACGGAGGGAGGGCTGTGGCAGGACGCTACAAAGGAGGAATCAGATGACTGGAGGTCGCGGTATGTGGTCATGCCTGAGGGAAATCTAGAACGCGAGGGTCAGTCGCTAGTCTGCTCGTATTAATAGCAGACGAATTTGCAGAAGCAGAAGAGGTGAGGCAGGAGACCAAAGGGGGCTACGGCGACACCCCGTAAGGTTGCTACCTATCCTTGGCCTGGAACCTTGGGGGGTGTGTGTGTGTGCGCATGGCGAGTTGTGAACTGGTTTCGGATTGCTTCGCCAATCGATTCTGTAATGCGGTTAGCTGGAAGAGGAGGATGGTTGATTCGTATCGTATCCCTCTCTCGCAGGTGGTGCGGCCGATCCGATTTGTTGAGCGGCCCATCAAGGATGCATCATTGTTCGGGGAGCACCCATGGGCTGGCTGCCCTCACGCCCTGCATCATGGTTGTCTTTTTTTTGTTTCTGTTCCTTTTCTTTCTTTTCGCTGTGATGCGCGGTCTGGGAGCGGTATGCTCCGTGTTGGAAAGGGAAATGCGTCAAGTGTCAAAGTGTGAAGCGTGTCAAGCGTGTCATAGAGTTACTGAGTCATATTGACTGTCGAGGTTGAGGCGTTTCTGGGAGATGGGTGGTGGTCAAGGATGGACATTGGATGTTGATGCAGGCACTGGGGGAGCGCCCATCTGAATCTGAGGTAGAAGTGAAGCCCAAGTCAGGATAGTTTCTGGGGGGGCAGGAGTGGAGGGGCGTGGTGATCCCCGGGCCTATCATCTCACCTGTCCAGCCTGTCCCGCCTGTCCCGCCTGTGTCGCAGTGACAGCTCGTCCAGCTTGTCACCTCCCTCCACCTCGTCCTGCTCATCCTGCTCTCAGTTCAACTTCAACCTGCTCTTGCTGCTGGCTGTTACATGGGTTAGCGGGCTGCCAGAAAGAATGCCTATTGTGCCCATCCATCCATGACTCCATGACTCCATGACTACATGGCTCTACGCCTCCAACTGTTCTGGTTCGTTTCCCCTTCCACACCTCACCCAATCCATACCCTGGTCATCCCCAGTGATCCTGTCACTTGCTGCCCTCGGGCTCTCTCTTTCCCTCTCTCTTCTCGTCTACGCTTCTTTTGGATTGGAAACCCTGGACAAACCAGCTGGCCACCTGCTGAGCCCAAAAAACCTTCTCCACAAATCCCAATGGCCCTTCCCAATCCCCGTCCAGGTCAAGTGCCAGTGGCGCGCCAACAAATTTCTGACCCTAACCATGAACTGGGTTACTCCGTCGTCTGCAACCCCCTCTCGCCCTCCCTCCCTTGCTTGCCTCGCCGTATGACAGCTCTCGCCAGCTTGCCTTCTCTTCCTTGCTTGCGTGCCCTGGCTTCCCTTGCTCCCCTTGCTCCCCTTGCTTCCACATGGACCGTGCACCGACACACAGACACACACAGACACACACAGACTACCTCGCATTCCGACCTGCCTGTTGCTAGCCTTGATCGACTCTTGGTCACTCCACCCATTTCCCATCTCACCCTCTTTTTTTTTTCCCTTAAAACTCTGTTTCTCCCTTCCAACTGCCTCCTGAGCTTTGTGGAATCTCCACTCCCAAACCCGCCCAAACCCAAACCCTGATCAACCCTCCCTTGGTGTTTAACTCCCCCCCGGCCTCCAGTCCCTCCCTCCTCCACTGTCCAGGATTGCCTGCCTCCCCCCGGCCCATCCTCAGTCCACCTGCAATCCCGTCACCATTTAGCGCTCATTATCCCCTGCAAGCGATCGGCAAGGGTCAGATGGCATGCGTTTTCTGTGGTTTGTAGCCTCCAGGTTACACAGATGCGAGCGGCCCACGAGGCCGCCATCCCCCCCCCCAATTGACTCCCTAACTGTCCGATCCCAGAGGCCTAGGTCTACCCATCCAGCCCGTCACCTTTGTGCTGTCCGCCCTCCACAGAAAACCACAAATCAGCGCAATTCTCTCCACGACGGTTGACGGCAAGGTCCAGCTTTTGCTTTTTCGCCTCCCGTAAATCTCATCTGATCTGAACACCCCGTTCTTTTGGACCGGGGCGGCGCTACCCAGTATCTGCTTAGGTAGATAAACCAACCCCTCTTCCACGCTTACACCGCACGCGACAGAGTTTCTCGCTGACTTTGCATGTGTGTGCTCTTCAGGCTTCTTCTCCACTTCCTCTTGTTCCATCTCTGCTCTAAGGGCCAAAAAAAAGCTCTTGAATGTACTGAAGGCCCCCCAAGTTACGCACCCACACTCAACGGGTCCCTTGTACACCAGGCTATCTTCAACCTGTCAACGGCTTTCTTTCATTCGGGTTTCGGTTTGCTACCAGCTTGCTCTTTGCAGTAAATCACGCTGAGCTTCCATTATCGCTTCACCAGCGCACAGTTACTTCGTAAACCCGTCGGGACACCGGGTCGAGAGATCACCTGCCCATATGGTACAGACCAGCGCTGTTGGGGTGGCACAATATCTGCATCAACGGCCAACTGCCCTTCATTCCCATCTATCGCCTGCTGTGTAACTCGCGGCGACCGTTTTAGTGGCCTTCTTGCCATGAGGCACGTCTTGAGAATTTATTGGTGCTCGGCTCTGAAGGACAACAGCACATCCGGCAAACATCTAGCTTGCTAGGACCACTTTCTGGCAGTTGCCGTCGAGGTTTTGAAGGACAACAAAGACTATTCCCATCAGCACTTGTCCCAAGGGTATCTCGTCGTCTCCCAAGCCAGACTCGGAAGATTCACCGCTCGACGGACCGCTCTCGGCCAAGTCAGGGAGACCAGCGTGCCCGGGCGTAGGGGCCGTTCCTGGTCAACGAAACCGCTCACAGCAACCAAAAAGCGGGCAAATGGCAACGGGCGTTGTGCTACCTCTGGAATCCCGAGTGCAAGAGTGGCACGATACTGAACCAAACGCACCACGCCGTCAACCCCCACCGGACTCATCAGGACGGCTGCCGCGCCCAATGGCTCAGCCGCCGACGGGAGGCCCCCTTTCACAACAACAAAGTCTACCATCCTTCAGTTCACTCCTAGCCGGAGCCCACAATCCTAATCAATTTGGCCAGTCCCGTCGGGAAGAGGTGAGAAGGGAACAAGCATTGCCTAGCAGTATTTCGGTGGGCAAACATGCCCCTCAACCAAACACCTTTATAACGTCCGATGTGCATACGTCCACACCTGCCTTCGCCACTTCCCGTTCCTCACATGTCCAGTCTGATACCTTGAATCGTCACTCTTGGTCCTATCCAGCCACGGGTCGTTCAGACATCCAATCGGCCCCACCTGGTTCTCGTGGAACAAATGCAATAGTTGGCCACGCATCTGGTCGGGCGTCTGTGGACGAAGAAATCATCGACGGGCCAGGTAGCTACCACACCAATGAGGACGGTGCCATTTGTTCCAAGAACTCGGATGGCAATGGCGCCAATTCCACGTGGGACTCCGCTCAAGGTGGCAAACAGAAAAAGCGCGCCGCCTCGCTGTCGTGCGACCATTGCCGGGAGAAGAAGATGAGGTGTGACTTTAAATTTCCCAAGTGTACAGTGTGCAAGAATCTCGACCGTGACTGCGCGTTCGGGTCAGCGTAAGCAATTCCGTGTTCTCTATCCTCTCCCGTGCTGACTTTCTGCGTAGGCCACGTGCTTCGATACGACAGTCGGCTTATGCGATGTCAATGCCTTCAGCTCCAAGGTTCTCCAGCAGCATCCACCAGATCCGAGACAGTCATCCCCCGCGAAGAGGGTCAACGACTTCCATAGATATGGCCTCTCAAGAGCATGCCTATTCACAGTCCATGCCCAGGGCTTCAATGCCGCTGGACAACATGCTGTGTCCCGCCTCCAATAACCAGATGAACCACGAGGATGGGGGAGACAATCAATCACGGGCTGAGAGAGCTCGTGTTTCTCCATCTCCTCGCCCTAGATCACAAGGCCAATTGCCCGTGAGTTTGGGTGCAGAATCGGTTGGTGCGTCCGTCTCCTCGCCTTTCGTCATCTACAACTTCTCTTGGGACACGGACCCCCCTATCACCTGAGCCGCAGCTTAACCCTCGACTGCGCGGATAAGTATTTCGAGCACGTTAAGGGCGTAACATATTACATTCTCCCAAAAGGCCATTTCCGACACTGGATCCGCAACTGCCAGACCAAGTCACAGGCCGACAAGATGTTGCTGTATGCCATTCTAGCGACGGGAACCGTCTTTGCGCCATCGCACGCACAATCGAAACACCACCAGGACGTGTTCCTCGAGATTGTCAACAAAGCCGTCATCAAGAACGGCGAAATGTTCAGCTTGCAGCTGATTCAGGCCAAGCTGATCCTGGCTCTCTTCGCTTTCTCTCAAGGCGAATACAACCGGGCAAGTGATCATTGTGGTTCTGCTACGCGGATCGCGTCTGGTTTGAGATACGACACTGAGGAGGGAGTCCCGACGATCGAAGATCAGGGTCCATTGGATTTCGACTTGTCTCGTGACATGTTGGTCGAATGCCGGCGTCGGACGGTCTGGGCGGCCTACCTGATGGACAGATTGAGTTGTTGCTGGTCTGCGTCCGTTACTACTGTCAACCGTTCTGACTGCCACCTCCGCTTACCATGTGCTGAGGCGGCCTACGAAGCAGGACACGTCACACTGACCCCGTTCGTTCTTGGATCGCCCAACAACAACAAAGAGAGCCAACCTAGCTCCCCTCGCGAATCATCAGAAGTCGGCTCTTTTGGTTATTTGGTGGAGATCGCGGCCATCTTCAGTGAGGTGATGAGCGCTGCCGGCAGGGGTAGAACTCAGCCTCCGACGAAAAATCGCTCGACGCCGGACGCCTTCCGCCAGGATGTCCTGGGCCGGCTCGAGACTTGGGACCACCTTATGAAGAGACACGTCCGCCAAGACCGAGATGGACGAGAGAAAGCCAGTGCCTTCCACATTCTCTATCACTACACGGCCATAGTCCTAGATCGGTACGTTCACTACTTGGAGATGGACCAGCAGCGGATTGGTGCCCGTGCAAGGCGAGCACATGAACACGCCCCCCAGCTGTTAGCATTGGTACAGAGAATACGCGAGCAGAGCAACACCAAGCACGACCCCTGGCTTCGTTTTGTGATGTTGAACCCCTTCAGTGGCTTCGCCATAACAGCCGCGTTGGATGTCATCACTGCGGCCGGGCTGGTGTCGAGTTTGATGGGCCACGAGAGCCCGGTCATGTCCTTGATTGCGAGCGTAATTCCGGTCCTGGAGAGTCTAAAGGATCACTGGCACAGTGGTCGTCAGCAGCACCAGATTTTCGACCAGAGGTTGAGAGCTCTTCTGGGGGTATCCAGCAAGGCCTCCGAATTCAACGGAGCATATTTCTTTGGGCACCCGCTGCAAAGTAGCATTGACTTGGACCAAGACATTACGTACGGGCTTCCCCGGCACAGGTATTTTGAGGCAATGGGGTGGGACGAGACTCTCCATGAGGGGGAGTTCCAACGACTGGACTAGGCAAGGCTCAACGATACAGAGCACACGAGGATTGAGACGGCCGCTTTCAATGTGATGAAAAATATGAGATCATGAAGCACGGGTATAGGATAAGGCTGGATAATATGTACAGAGGAAGGTATCAGCAACACCCATTTGGCAATGATGGCATTCGGCGCTATGATATACCCAATGAACTTGACGGTACACAGGACCAACCATTGTCGGATATCAAAGGCAAGAGCAAAACGTTCCAGGGAGGTTTCTTTTTGTTGATGGTGTTTCGCTTTAGTTATAGGTCCGCGAACTGTCTATGTACCGGGGAAGGGCCTTATCTAATTAGTAACTGGTTTCCGTACATTTGAGGAGCTGGGGATAATACCATTGCAATGGCCCTTCAGAATGTAACCACCTCGATACCGGGCCACAAGGCCACACAACCTTGCGGAGATGACACGATGGGTGGATAGAACGGTGCGGATCATCATCCCAGCCACGACCGTTTCGAGCTGCTGGGCCACGAGGCTTGACAGGCACAGGCCGAGGTTCCGAATGACGCACAGGTGGCGCAGCACACATAACGGCCCGGAAGCCCCGATTCAGGACGGTCAGCGGCACGTGGTTTGCTAGCTTTGCATGCAAAGGACTTAGCGCTTAGCACCAACAGCAAAGTGGCAACTTAGCCGCGCACCCCACATCCGGGGCACGTGCACCCTTCTCGGCAGACTTGCTCTTTCTGGAGCTTCTGGCAGGCGGGAGTTTTGTATCTTTCAGCCTCACTCGACCGTTTGCTACAAGGCTACACAACTACCTCGTTTCTGTAATGACTGTGGGCTTCTCACCACGCTGATCACATCGCTTAACCACTTTGAGCATGGGTCCAACAGCTGCCACAGCTTCGCAGGAGAATCGCTAGCTTCTGCGGCTATGCGGTGTTGTCCACGGCGGAAGAAATATATAAGCATCCGTCTGTCGTGAGCGTCTGACCGGTGAGGAGAAATCTACCGCCATGGAGCGTCCCTCCGTGCGAGCCTGCCCGTACGAGGTCTGTGGATCTTGCGAGCTAAACGAACCGGCAAATTCTGTTGTCTCCCGCTTCCTTCTGCACTTGTTACTCATACAGGTGGGTTTGGTGCAGGCTGCCATCCAGGCGGCCGCTGGACCTTGTGTGCCTATGAGGGGAGCGAACCTCTCCACCTGAAGTGGTTTCCCCAAGGACTAAAGGGGTACGAGCGACCGACTGTCAGCCTCGAGTCCACATGGGCAAGACCTCGAGGCCTTATAGACCCACGGCCAGTGCCTGGGGTAAGCCAAGCAGGCCATCACTATTTAAACGTTTCTGTCACACATATCTTCATTCCTCCTTCTCCCCCAAGATGTCTTCGCTGCACCCTCTCGCCCAGCTTCATATGGCACTCCCTAACCAGTCGGATCCCAATGTCTCCTCCAGCTCGATCCATCTTCCCCTTACCGTCCTCGACACCTTGGTGCCTGGTTCCTCTCACCTCGCGTCTTTCCTGCTTGGCTTCGGCCTCGATGTCTCCTTGTTTGTATCGTGGGGTGCTCTCCTGACCACAGTCTGGGCCGCGCTCCATTTCGGCCTGGTACCTGCGTATCAAATTGCCGTCAAAGCACTCAGCTCGTCGGTGATCGTGGAAGAATATGATCCCATCTACAATCATGTCCTCAATTGGGCCAGCGCCCAAAAGTATCTGCAAGATATCCGCTCCCTCCGGGCCCACACCGCAGGACAATACTACGACGACCTGGAAGATCATGACGAGGATGACGGCCTGCAGATGCGGTTTCGGGAGAGCCTGTCCGAGGACACGATCTTTAACTTCAACAACTGGTCTGCCCGCGCCCCGCCCACTTTTCGACCTCATTCTTCGTCAGGCTGGTTCTTCCACAATCACCGGTTGTTCAAATTGTACCGAAGTCGCGATCGCGTTGCCAGCGACTTCACTGGTGCCGTGTACGAGAGGGAACGGCTTGAAATCTCGGTTATCTGGTTGTCTCCCAAGCCAATCAAGAACATGATTCAGGAGGCCCGAGAATTCCACCTGATCCGTCGCACGTCCACAACCACAATCAAGCGCCCTACCCCCAAGTCTCAGCGATCGGGCCGTGGGCAAGCTTGGACCACTATCGCGAACAGGCCCAGCAGATCCATGGCCACGGTCGTGCTGGACAACGACCAGAAGGCGGCCATCCTGAAAGACTTCAACGACTTCCTGCACCCACGGACGGCGCGGTGGTACAGCAATCGCGGCATCCCCTATCGTCGAGGTTACCTCTTCCACGGTCCGCCAGGAACTGGCAAGACCTCGTTGTCTTTTGCCCTTGCGGGGGTGTTTGGGCTGGACATATATTGTCTCGCGCTGTCCGAGGCCACCTTGACCGAAGAAGACCTGATCTTGCTCTTCAACAGTCTCCCAAAGCGGTGCATTCTGCTACTTGAGGACATAGACAGCGCCGGCCTAGGTAGAGCGCCCGGCGCGAGGGGCATAGAAAAGCAAGAGACGACGAAGCCGCTGCCATCGAGTAAAGATACCCAACCACCGACGAAGCCTGCTGGAGGGAGAGGCGACAAAGACGGCTCCGCTGGAGGTGCGGGCAAGGCATCAGATCAGCCCCACTCGTTCGGGAAAGACCCGACGTTCAAGAACACGCTCACCTTCGCGGGCCTCCTGAACGCCATCGACGGCGTGGCGAGCCAGGAGGGCCGAGTCCTCATCATGACGACCAACCACCTGGAGAGACTGGACGAGGCCCTGACCCGGCCGGGGCGGATCGATCTGACCATCGAGTTCGACCTGGCCACCAAGCAGCAGATCAAGGATCTCTTTCTGCGCATGTACTGCGTCGACTCGGCCGAGATGAGAAGGCAGCCGACGAAGATCAGCCACATACTGCCGAACCAGGGAGAGCCCGATTGGTCCAGCGCGAACGCGTTCAAGGACGGCGACGGCGTTCACGCCGAGTATCGAAACGCGCCAGAGCCATGGCTTGGACTGTCGAGGGAGGCTCCCGACGGCGGCGCCTCGGTCGTCGACCTGGCGGAGCGGTTCGCCGCCGCTCTCCCCGAGCGGACGCTGTCGCCGGCGGAGATCCAGGGGTTTCTCCTGGTGCGGAAGAAGTGCCCCGCGCAGGCTGTGGTGGACGTGGTCGAATGGCGGGATGAGCAGCTGCAGAAGAAGACCGAGGCAAACGCGGCAAAGGAGGCGGCGGCCAAAGCCACGGGACTTGACGACGAGGGGAACACGAAGTCGAGCGAAGGGGTCAAGATGGCGAGCTCGTCCTCACGCAAGCAAGACGCAACATCTGACCTTCAGCACAAGGGAGTGGGGGGGATGCAGAACGCGCCGGTCAGGGAGCTAACAGGCCAGCAGGACGGCCAAGACGCCATGGATCCAACGTCGTCACGCCCAGGTGAGCCAGACGCCGAATCCGCGACGATCGCACCTCGAGATCAGACCGACGACAAAGACGACGAGGACGGGACCATGACGGACGGCGGAGACCTCTGCGGCGGTGCAGCATACGACCCTGACCCAGACACTGCCGACGATGACAGCACCGACGGCGGCGCCCACAACCGCGACCGCGACCGCGACTACAGCCTCTCCCCGCGTCCCTCGCGACCCTGGTTCCCGCACGCACGCACGGGTGCCGGACGAGGCGGCCGCGGTCGCCTTGTAGACGGCGACGACGACGCTGATGGCGATGGCGATTGCGATTGCGATTCCGACTCCGAGTCGGAGCTGTGACGATGACCGTGATGACTGCGCTTCTTAGGACTCGGTGAGAGGCTATTTCCTTGCGTCCGGGTCGGAGGTCGGTAGATTGATGCGTGTCGTCTCTTATGTGGTAATGGTGGTGGTGGTGGTGGTGGTGTGGTCGATGCAGAGCTTGATATTGATGTTGGACATGGTCTCGGGAAGAGGGGGAAAAGATAGTATCCAAAATATACCAAGTACATACATACGTACATACATACATACGTACATGCGTCGAAAGACATATAAATGGCGGGCACATATACGAGATGTAGCGGGAGAGCCCAAATACACCATGATCAGATGAGTGGTAGACGCTTGAGATTTGGACAGAGGGCACTTCCCAGTTCCAAGGCGTCGTCCCTTTCATGAAAGCAAATTGGACATTCAGAGGGATTCATGGCGTGGGTGAAAATGTCATATGCTTTGGCCATGGGGTCTTTTTGTTGTTCATACCATCCACCCCTGGGTGTTCTCTATGGAAAGGACTCCAGCAGCAAATCTCGACCGGCTTGGCCATGAGGTACATACAAGACCGACGGCTCCTCCCGAATGTCTGGCCACTTAAGGTACACAGCTCATTCAATGTATCCCACGCGCCATCACACGCCCACACTGAAAGTAAAACAGCGGTCTTAGCATCACCAAGAAACAGAATAAAAGGACATAACCACACATTAACACATGCCAAAAGCCAGTCGTCGACTGAATGCAAAGTCCAAGATGACATCTGGGCCTGGTTTGTCATCCACAAATAGGATCTGCTGAGATCCAAGAGAGCAGCTCCATAGAAGTCGTAGTTGCGACCCCTTCGGAGTAGCGCAACAGCTACTGATCTTGTCCACAGGACATCAGCGCAAGCGCCGGAGAGGTTGACGTCGCCATGCTGTCGTCGTCGACGAAGGACGGCAGGAGTATGGCAGTCCAAACCAGGCGACCAGTGACGGCATAATACGACGGGATGAAGCTCGGTGCCTTTGGGACGGCGACAATGTTTTACCTCACGGTATAGGTGAGACCTCTTTGAGATCATATCTCAAACATATGAGCTAGACGACACGCTCATGGGTTCTTTTCGGCAAGATATGCCTGGAAATGGGAATTCCGCTGTTCACAGCTCCTGCAGCGCAAACACATTTTGATCGCCGACAGAAGAGCATGGGCTGCCTACGTCGACAGCATTCTCGAGCTGAAGGTCAGCTTTCTCATTCTCATCCTTTGCACTCTCGCTTTCCCAGATTTCAATTTCGACGTCACCATCAGCGTCGGCGCGTGCAGAGTGGACGGGGGTAAAAGGATAGCCAGGGGCTCCAGCCTTGTCGACTGGTGCGTCTCCCAGTAAATTCGGCGTTGCAGAGCCAAGTATCTCAGCAAGGCTTGGTGCATTTAAGTCTTCGATGGCCTTCGCAGTTGACGACAGCGAAGTGCTGGCCATAGAGGGTTGGAAGGTAAAGTCATGGTGCTGCTTAGTCTCCTCGCCTTCCACATCAGTTTCTGCCTCCTCGTCATCGTCTTGCACAAGAACCACACTGGTGGCATCAAGGCCTTCAGCATAGAATTCTGCGGGATTGAGATCTGCAAGCGGGCTTCTTGCTCCATCGTCGTTCATCTTGACTTCTTTCCCCTTGGCCTTTTCGGTGGCCGCGGCGGCATTGGCAGCAGCAGTCATAGACCGAGTCACAGGTGCCGTTACCTCGTTGGGATCAATGTTCTCCTTGCCTCTGTCGGCAGAGGACGACTTCTTGTGCAGACTCTTGCTCTCATCATCACTGATGTCCAGACCCGTCGCACTCTGGGTCATGGTCCATTCGTTCATACGGTAGTCTTGGGCTTCCTCTGTCTCCTCGTATATGTCGAAGAACCATGACTTGGGCTTGCTGGTTTCGATGGTGCCCTTTTGGAACCTGCGGGATTGAACACGGGATTTCTTTGTGCCATTCAAGGCGGCGGACAGGGACAGAGATGGGGACTGGGTGGCACTGGAAAAGGGAGGTGGGTTGAAACGTTTTCGTGGCTGAAGAAGACCAGAGCGTTTACGTGTTGGCGAGCGGCCTGCTGCAGGTGCCGACGCAGGTGTAGTAGATGGTTTGACAAATGTATCAAGGCGTGGTGTAGAGGCAGCAGTGGTACCAAGACGAGGTTTGGTTGTCGGGAGAGTGGTTACGTTCAACGAGTAGCGATGTGTCTTTGCCAGAGATACATCCTCATCGAAAGTCGACCTCTTGCGTTTGTGCAGTGAGTCCAAAATGCTTGGATCAATGTTCTCGCTGTCTGAACCTCCTTCGACCTCGGGGGAGACGGCTCGTCGCTTCAGTGATGTTGGAGCAGAGTTCGGTGTGATAGCTGGCAGGAAACATTTGTCAATTGAGTCTATATTGAAGAGACACAGGCTGCAGCAAAGACTCGACGTGAATGAGGATGTCTCTTACCATTTTGCCGGTTCTTCACGCTTTGCAAGCTTCTCAGCTTGGATTCATTCAAGATGCCAAATGGCTGGCGAGCGGGCGTAGTGATTGGAGCCAGAGTAGCCATTCTGACCGAGTTGGCAGATGACGAATGGTGGGCAGGAATCGAGACGACGTGGGTTGATTTCAGTGCTTGCCTCCTCAGTATTGTCTAGTTGACTGAGTGAATGCCCAATGCCAATGCGTGGTGGTCCTCAATTGACGACTCTGGCAATGTCAGCCGTGTTTGTCTTGGTGCAGATGTATCACGCATCAGGATTCACCCAGAGAGCTGTGAGAGGAAGGAACGTTGGGCAGCAGGAGAGCGGACGCAGAGGGTATATGGCAGTTGAGGGAGCTTACCAGGCGCTATGACCAAGCTGGCGCAGTCAAGGGAGCCGTTCTGGACGCGGGGTGTGGTCGAACGCGAGCTCCTGGATGAAGAGCGAGGAGATAGGCAAGTTGACAGGTGCAGCAGGGTTAGGCTTGGGAGCTACTGCAGGTCGGCGAGTAGATGAAGCTGATCACGACGCGTCCTCAGGCAGCGATTGGGTTGCTGGGGAGCGACCGAGGGCGGATAGTGAAGTGCAGATTGTGCAGAGACAGGGAAGTGGGAAGTGGGAAGAGGGAGGGATGAGGATGGCGGATGGCGGATGATGTTGGCAAGGGACGCGTCAAGTGGAGTCTGTGTGAGAAGACACGCGACGGGCGGGCGACGGGGAGGTCAGTGAAGAGGACCAGCAATTTCCGAGGTGAATATACATTGCACACGAAGCGATCCGAGTTCTTATTCACGGTCCAGACGATATAGGATGAGGATGCTGATCCTGTTGCTAGAGGGACTCTGTTCCCATCGTTAACTCACTGCGCTGATGGTAACCACCATGTTGGGTGTTGGTTCACTCTCACTTCGCCCTGATCATGAGGTTGTACCAGAGAACGCGCCTCCCATTGGCCTGGGCCATCGACCGGCTTGGCGGCCCGGAGAGCGACCTCGATGGTTTCACTTTCTCACTGCAGCTGGCCTGTCGCCTGCAAACAACAGCACCACCTCCAATCGACAGCAGGAAGGAGGAGGCCGATGGAGGCAATCATGGCGTCGCCAGCAGCCCTCGTCGCTGATACACCATTGTCGGCCATTTGCACGGCCAGCCTCACCACTCCCACGTTCTTGATGAAGACATGCCTGATACTTGAGGGTCGAGACGCACGTGTCTCACCTCACCATCAACGCGCGAAGATATAACCGCCGTGTCCTCTCTGGCTTTCTACTCGAATTAACTCAGCTTCAAACCATCTCTGAGACGAACACTGCTACCACTCCTTCCTCGTCATGCAGCCATTGAGGACATGGGCACGAGGCCGGTGCAAACAAGAGCTGAACTGCATGCACGTCACCACCGGCCACGGGTCGCGTATGGTCGTAATTCAAAGCACGAACTCGCTTCTGCAGCTGCGGAATCTCGCGGGTGTCCATTGCCCAATCTACATCTATGGTTCTACCACCTTTGCCATTCCCTGGTCTGAACCGCCTCAGCGGTCTGGCCCCAACGCGACAACCGCACTACAGTTTTGCCCTGGGCTCCGACATGTCAACCAGGTTCTCGTCCTTGGCGAACTGATAGTAATAGTTCAGACTCTCTGGGTTCAGTAGCGTGCCAGAAGGCTTGATGACCTTGCCCGAGACGATCTGTTTCACGGGCAATTCGACCTTCTTCAAGTTGACCGTCGTCTAGAAAATCCATCATGTCAACCACTCGTCACTGATATCCTAGATGCAGGGGACTTACCGGAATTTCTTTTGTCTCAAAAACATATTTGGGCACATGCCTGGGGCTGGTTGCTTTTCGGATGGCCTCCTTGACTTCTCTGACGAGCTGTGGCGTGAACTGATGACCCGGTTTCATCAGCAAGAACAACACCACCCTCTCATCTTGGTCTTGCGGTCTCCTCTGCCCGACGCAGATGCTGTCGCTGATCTGGTCCGTGAACTTGGCTTCGATGATGCTGTATATCTCGGCTGACCCAAACCGGACGCCGCTGGGGTTCAACACGCCGTCAGCCCGACCCAGGAACATGACTTGCTTCGTGACCGGATGGATCATGATGAAATCGCCATGTGTCCACACGTTGTCAAATCGTGCAAAATAGCTGTCGAAGTAGCGCTTCGGGCCATTCTCCCCCAAAAAGGTGATGGGCATTGTTGGGAAGGCTTGATACGCGACCAATTCGCCGGGCACGCCATCTTCGACTTCGACACCCTTGCCGCCCTCGATGGTCTGATCGAACACCTTGACCGGTACTCCGAGAGAAAGACACTGACAACCACCAACATAGAGTGGCAGGATGGGATTGCCTGTCCCAAAGCATGCTGCGAGGTCAGTTCCACCCGAGATGTTGTCCAATTGCACCGAAGGCGGGAACCCTTCGTCATAGACCCATTCGAACAACTGATCCGACAAGACCATCCCGGTGCTGCTGATCACCTTGAGGTTGCTCAGATCTGCCACCTTTTTGGGTATGACACCGCCGGTCTGCAGTGTCTGCAGGTACCTCGGACTGATGCCCAGATGCGTCACCTTCTCCTGCGCGACCAACTTGAGCAGATTTGTCAGGTTGGGCACAAAGGGACTGCCGTCGTACATGATCATTTGACATCCCGTGATCAAAGCCTGCACGCTGGCCAGATACATGATCCATCCCGTCGTCGTGTATTGGAGTTGTCTCGAGCTCGCGTTGATGCACCTGTGCAGCCTATACTCCTTGTGGCCCGAGACAATGACCCCGCCAATCGCGTGTACTATGCATTTCGGCTGCCCTGTCGTGCCCGAGGAATACACCACCAGGAAAGGGTCCGCGAAGGCCGTGTCCTCAAACTCCAGCTTGTCAGACTTGGCGGCGGAGATGAAATCTGCCCACGTCCTGGCTCTCGGCACGCTCGACACATCAGCCGGCGAATGCTGGAAGCGAGCTTGCGAAATGATGCCTTGAAACTCGTCCACGGCTTGCATCCCGGCCATGATGTCCTTCATCTTGGGCCGCAGATCGATCTTCTTGCCGTTGTACACGGCCCAGTCGTCCATGAACAGATATCGAGGCTTGATCTGGGTGAGTCGGTCCAGGATACCCTTGACGCCCATATCCGTCGAACTGCTGCTGAAGAGCGCTCCGAGCGTCGTCGCGGCGAGGAAGACGGTCAGCGTGTCGAGGCAGGTACTGGCCACCAGCGCGATCCGATCTCCCTTCTTCACCCCGTGCGCCCTCATCGCCTGACTTAACCTGCCCACTCTCTGCCGCAGCTCCTTCCAGGTGACATGCTTGATAGGCTCCAAGAAAGCGCCCTCGCGCACCTCGGTGCAAGCAATCTTGTCGTCCGCCTTTGCGGCGTCGATGACGGGCCGCCCGTTCGCGTCGCCGGAGAAGAGGATGTTCTGTGCAAAGTTCATGCGCACGCCGGTGAACCAGCGCGGGATGGAGTCCATCCGGGCGGACTCGTCGACGACGGGGTCGGGGACGGTGCCGGAGTAGACGATGGGGAAGTATTCGAAGACGTGGCGCCAGAAGGCCGATCGCTGGGTGACGGAGTAGTTGTACAGGGCGTCGTAGTTCTGCGCGGAGGTAGAAAGAGTGGCGAGTCAGCTTGGTCCATACGCATTCTCGCAGAAATCCAGAAATGCTCCTGTCCCTCGCTCCGAGAACTACGTGGATCCAGCACAGTCATGGATGGAAAGACACCCGTTCCCACGATGCAAATCCACTTCTCCATCCCCATCCATCCAGACAGACAGACAGACCGTATCCCAAAGCTCCATCCGTAGAAGCAAACACATATATGTAGGTAAACACTTTAAGATTACGGGATTCAAACATACCTCGAATCTGCGCCCGGTGGCCCTCTCCAGGCTCACCTTGAACTTCCACATGTCGGTGCTCTCGGGGTCCGGATGCTCCCACAGTTTCCGGGGGATGGGATGCTGCGGCTGCTGTCCCTGCGCCATGTTTGTTGCCTCGGGTTCTTCACTGGCTGGGAGTTTCCCTCGAGCTAGCTCCTCGTCCTCGTCGTCGCTCTCCTACTTGTCCTTTTTTTCACCTGCTGCTGCTGCTCCTGCTCCTCCTATCCGTGGAGGTCCAGTGGAAACTCGCTCAAAGAGTCCCTCGTGAGTGCCCCGATGAGTTTGTTCAGGTCGAGATGCAAGAAAGCGCCGTCGTATATATATACCTAGGTATACAACGTCGCCAATAGCGTCGCCCGATCGCGGGTTAATCCTTTCGTCACCGCCGTAATACTCCCCGTCCGGACAGACTGAGCTAGGTACGTCCTAGGTAGTTGTAGCAGGAATTAAATGCGGCGGAGATGTCAACGTCGGGCCAAAAAAAAAAAAAAATAAACGCCCCCAGAAAAGGTTCTTGGAGTGCCCAACCCAGCTAATACTGTAGCAATACTTTGCTGCACGTGGCGAATCGGGGGGGATGGACAAAAAGTGGGATTGTGTCTCACGCAAAATATCTAAACGTAGGTACATATAGGCTATAGTATGTGGTGTAATCGGGATATATATGTGTGTGAGTGAGCGATGGGGAAACTGGCGCGTGGGAACGGCAAGGCGGCATTGAAGGAGCATGTTCTCCCTCCACACGCATCTCGACTCACTTACATCCACATCCACACCGGCCCCCGTCACACAACTCCGAGCCCGGGAGCCCGGAGGAAAGCGATTCTGGAGCACACATCTAACCATTAACTCCTAGTTGGACCGTCAATCCGGTGGACTGGCTCCTCGCCCGCAGGTGTCAATCGCTACTAGCTACTAGCTCATTTGGACCAGCCACGCAGAGCCTCGGTACAAGTCCCGTCCAGGGACGAAGGGACAGGGAAATGTGGGGGAAAGCGACGACAACGTCCCGCATCATGGCGGCTCCTACCCGCGATTTGTTCGTGACCTGGGCGTCCAACAGCGACTCTGTATGTCCCTGATTAGAATCAACCCGTCTATCTCTGACAAATGTGTGCGCTGTTGCAGCAGTCCCGAGGTCCAGACAGAAAAGCATATTCGCGTGGACAGGTGCTAGCGAATGGGGAAGCACTTCTCGCCGAATAATCGGCGGAAATATACAGGGCGCGGGCGATGGTCCAGGAGGATTGGCGGAACAAGCCAAAGCCTCCCGGGAGCAAGAAGATTCGCTTCCGAACCCATATGGACGACGACAAGACGGGTACCCCATGCTTCGGCTCCCGTCCTCATTCGGATCCGGCCAGTCAGTTCAGCAAAGTTGAGGGGGTTCCGTCCACGAGAATCAGATGCTGTGCTTGACCTACGGCGAACATGGGGTGCTCTGGTATAAGAATGGACGATTGTTGGTCCCGTTTCTATCCACATATCGGTAGGCTTGCCACCATCATTCGCCATTTCACCTGCCAATGCCCGAGTAAGAATATCCCCGACGCACTGATTCTCCATCAGACCTGCCAAAGCATTCTTGATGCCCCTTTCCCACGTTGTTTCTTTGGTCTCCGCCTTCTCAGCTATCTGAGCATCTTCCTTGATGTCACACACCCTGGTCCTAAGGGCTCCAATCACGCCGCTGTGGTCTGTTTGGTGTGGGATCGAATAGCTTCGATGACCCGTGAGGGTTCATCGTAATTGGTGCTGGTGCTGATTTGGCACCTGGATTTGCAGTGTAGCGGAATCGGATGCGCTGGGATTGGATCTGCTGAACTGGGACCCGAGATCGGGCTCGCATGATTTGATGGCTGCGGTGAGTTGTGATCACCACTGAGAGTAGACCGTTTGGCCCATTTCCTCAGGGTGGCCAACGTGACCGGAAGCGCGACAGACGAGCTCTTCCGGCCTCTGCTCCTCCTGGACCTTTTCTTGTCTGCGTAGACCCTTTCCTCGCGGCCAACCAAAGCATTCAGAGACGCCATGTTCGCTCTTCTCCTCTCGACGATAGGATCCTCGACCAAGGTGAGACTGGACCGGGACGATGCTGATGCAGATACAACATGGGTCCGCTGCGTGTCGTCTATCTCAGCTGCTAGCTTCTCGATGATTTTTCGATCGCCCCGCTTGCTGCAACACCTGGCTGAGATCAATCCCGCCATTGCGGAGAGCAAGGCGAACCCGACGATGCTGCCGAAGACAAGAAAGAAAATCCAATAGCTGTTTTCTTCGGCCTCCCTGGGTGCGAGGGCGATGCCCTTTTCCTCCGAAATGAAGGCGGTCCGATGAAAAGGTATGACTGGCATAGCGATGGGTAATTGTCAGGCCGGCCGATGGGTGAAAGGGCTGAGATAGGTATCGAGTGGTAGGATTTCAGGGATCGGGCAAAAGGGGACGCAAGCGAGTGCAATCAACGCTGGTGCTCTAAGCTGGAGAGCAATGCGTAGATGAGCTCCCCAGATGCAGCAACAAATCACATAAGAGATATGACAAGCGACGCTATGCAACAGTAACGGTACAAAGCGATGAAACAATAGCCCGATGAGAAGAGGTAACGAGGAGAACGCTCAGAGAGGCTCCGACTTTGAAGGCCATGCACAGGACTTGATTGTGCTTGCCGAACTGTACGAGTCCATCGGCCTTGACCTTCCTCAACTTCTTTCCTGCTTTCTCAATTGTCCAATTTTATGCCGAAACTGGAACCCGGGCTCTTTTTGTGGTATGTACACTGCGGCTCAAATCATCGATGGCCACTTTCCGGTATGTTTTGGTCGGAAAAGTTTTTCACGTCTTTCAATATGTAGTCTTGATAGAAGCGAAGACAAAGATATGTTGCTTTTTATTCCAACGAAGCAGCGTCCCGCACGCCTGGGTCCAAAGAGCTATTTCTTCTTCTTCTCTGGCTTGGGTCGTCTCTCATTTCGACACCGGGTCCGATAGGATGAGATGATCGATGGCGCGGCCATACCTGCGAAGAACAAGGTTAAGTTTTGAACAACATGGCGAAGTTCATGGGGGATTCGCTCAATGGCTTACATTTGTTGAACTCCACCCTAACCGGAAAGCAAACTCGTGGGCCAGAAGCTCACCGAAACCCAGCATCATACCGTTGACGAAGGGCAGGACGAGGTTTATCGCGGCTCCTCTCAGGATCGACCATATCGTTGGCGGCTGATATATTACAACTGGCTGGGTGCCATTATTATCTGACGATTGAGGCGGTGAGGAAGACGGGGGTGATAGCGATGAATATGGCTCAGAGTCAGAGGGAATGGTCAATTGAGACCCTGATAGATCTTGAGGAGGTGAAGGCGACTGGTCCTGGCGAGAGGCCATGACGGAAAATGTGACGGTTCGTTGTAGATGGGGGATTGGATGGCAAAGAGATGTGGAAGAGCAGTCAAGAATGCCGCAGTCGGGTATTCATTCTTCCTCAAAGGAGCGACATGAATTGAAAAGGGTTGAGATACGTGTGAATTGCCCCCTCTTCGGAGCTCGACAAGGGGAGCTGAAATTCGATGTACGGATTTCTACCAGCTTCAAGGCAATGAGTGGAAGCTTTCGGTAGAATTGCTGTCGCCTCAAAGATGTTTCCAGGCACGAGATTCACGCCCCAACAAATCACGTCCTGGCAAGGCTGCTTAAGTAATAATGAGCTGCACCAGCTGGCTCAGAGTCGCCCAATTAGGAGCCTGCAAGCAGGTGCTGGCTCGCCAGCTTCTCGGCGAAAGACTTGCCTGAGGGCTTTGGGGGCCGAGGGGCGTCTTGGGGGGGGCAACTAGTCGTAAGGTAGGCGACTTCTGGTGTGACGTACTTTCTCAGCTGCCTCGCAAGGCCGCCGTTGGTTCATTTGCATCTGTTCTACAATTCACCGGTGAATCCTTTCAGTGTCACTCTTCGACTGTCTCGCTTGAGACAATACCAAGATATCGACAACTTCTCGCCACAGTTACCTTCTTTGCTATTTTCTATTTTGACATTTACCTCTCCTCTTGTCTCGAATCGTCCCTTCTGACCTCCAAAAGTCCTCACCACCATGGCGAATCCCGATCCTGCAGAACAGAACGCCTTGATCGCACAGTTCACTGCGATCGTGGGGACATCTTCCCGACAAGTGAGAGACCCGACGTGTGTCACCTCTGAGTCCAATTGCTAACTGCTCACACAGGCTCACCAGTTCCTTGCCGCAAACGACTGGGAACTTGAAGCTGCTGTGTCGAATTACTACGCCGCCCAAGAAGATCACACCGAGGACAATGCCGACGAATCAGACTATGTCGATGAAGAGGATCCAGACTCCTCGCATCAAGCTCAATCCCAACCTCCACATCCTACATTTGGCGCGGGTCGGAGATTAGGGGAGGGCTCTTCAGATTCCCAACCCGTGCCTGATGCCCCTGCCTCCTCTTCGAGCTCCTCTCAGCGCAACAACAACCCATCTACGCAAAAGAAGTTCGCTACTCTCGGCGACTTCTCTTCAGGTGGTGCGAACGGCGACGACTCAGATGATGATGACAAACAAGATCTGTTTGCTGGAGGCGAGAAGTCAGGCCTGGCGGTGCAGAATCCGGACGACCTGAGAAAGAGAATCCTGGAAAAGGCTCAGAAGCGTGGTCCTCCACCAAAAGAGGCTGCACCCAAGAAATCATTCTTTACCGGTTCAGCGCGCACACTGGGAGGCGATGATGCACCGTCACGTGAGATCCCCGCTGCGCGTCAACCTCGTGGCAGAGCCGAGCGAGTCGAACGTGTGCTGCATTTCTGGCAGGATGGCTTCAGTATAGACGATGGAGACTTGTACAGATTTGATGACCCCAGGAATGCTGAGATTCTCAACTCCATCCGGCAGGGACGGGCACCGCTGAACATCATGAATGTCCAGCCTGGTCAGGAAGTGGATGTGGAAATCAAGCAACACGAAGAGAAATACGTCAAGCCTAAGAAGAAGTACAGGCCATTCGAAGGATCCGGTCAACGTCTGGGCAGCCCCACCCCTGGAGTTCCTTCGATGCCTGGAAGCTTCACCTCCGAGACTACGGCGCCGGCACCTGCACCTGCCTCTGCAGCTCCTCCGACGAGCGAAGTGGATGAGTCGAAGCCAACCGTCACACTGAGAATCAGTTTAGGCTCAGGTACGAGACTGACCTCGCGCTTCAACACGACCCAGACTATTGGAGACGTATATGACTTCGTTCGACGAGCCGAATCGGGCGGCAGGGACTTTGTTCTGCAAACCACCTTCCCAACAACAGATCTCACGGACAAGTCCAAAGTGCTCGGGGATATGGCAGAGTTCAAGAGAGGAGGTGCTGTTGTTCAGCGATACATCTAAATCAGCGCGAGCATTGCATCACGTCGGAGTTGAGACTGGACACGAGCTTTGGGAACGGCCCTCAGCAGAAACTGCAAATTTGGGAGCTGCCAGCAGTCTGCTCCAGGATGAGAGTATGAACATGAGCATGGCAGCAACCATGATAAAAAGCTTCCTTGTGATTGAGATATTAGAAATAGAAAACACCGCATCAAAGCAACCTCTTCTTGCCACCCTCAAAGGTCGATCTCCCATGTACGTGAGCCACTCTGCCTTCGCTAGCTGCTTTGGTGCGGAGGATTGACAAACTCGGCGCACCTGCCCTCGCATGATCCACTTGTAACTTTTTATGGTCCATTCGCATCTGAAAGCTGTGACATGATATTCCCACGCGCGACACTTCCTGCAGCACACCGTGACCAGCATGTCGATATCCATGGGGTTGAGGTGGTCGGGTCGCGGGATTCGTGGGGCCCAAAGGAAGGTGGTTGTCGGGTCAAGAAATGGACGAAATGTACGATGCTACTGCTGCGAGTTGTCAATTGACGTGATACTAATCGCGACAGTTTTCCCATTACACCTTGAATTCTAGGTCAATACGAAGACCGGATACCTGTTCAACTCGATTGAACTCGTCACAGCAGGTTCGATCGCTTTCTCTCTTTGGCTGGGGCTCTAGCAAGCCCTCCGGCGAAGTTGAACACCCTTCCTCCCAATCGACTCCTCCTTCACCAGCATCAGAGTCCACTGCGCAAGCTTCAGCGCTCCCGTCGCAACCGACAATTGAATCAACACGGACAGTCAAGGCCTCGCACTCCACCTCGGACGCTGCTGACCCGTCAATTGCGAACGTAGTCGAATCAGACGCTCTGCAAAAGGTGGAAAAGTCAGTTCTGCAGTCTCAAGAAAGTACATCCGCAGTAGGCGCGGCAGCCGGTGACACACCGGACCTAGCCAGTGTCCCAGAAGGCTTAGGATACTTGAAAGATGTCTGTGGCCTAGATTTTGGCACGGGTCCGACTGCTCTCATGCAGTTCTGTCTGGAGCATATCCATGTCACTGGCGGATTGTCCTGGACGGCGTCGATATTAGCCCTTGTGCTGCTCATCCGAGGTTCAATCCTTCCTTTTGCAATCTCGGCGTCAGACATGACTGCCAAATTCCAAGAAATCAGCCCCATGATAAGACAAATACAAGCAAGGAGTCAAGAGGCTTTGGCAAACCATGATCGCACGGCGGTTTTGGAGGCACAGATGCAAATGAGAGAGCTCAGGAAAGACGCCAAACTCTCTTTCACCAAGATGTTCCGGCCGATATTATTTCAGATCCCGCTCGGTTATGGAGCATGGAATCTTCTGAGGAGCTGCTCGCAGTTACCCGTGCCAGCTTTCGAGGCCGAACACTTCCTGTGGCTAAGTAACATTGCCGTGACTGATCCAATCTATATCTTGCCTATAACTACCGCAGCACTTACATGGGTCAACCTAGCTACCACTCAAAGATCCCAGGGTGGGCAGTCTCAGCTCCCCGGTATGGGAGTGGTGCGAAACATTATTCCTCTCATCACGGGTGGCTTCCTTGCATTCCAACCAGCCTCCGTTCAGATCTATTTCTTGATCAACAGCTTTTTCACCCAGCTACAAGTTACCGCGCTGCAGAGCGCGTCTTTCAGACGTCTTCTGAAGTTGACCCCGCTGCCGCACCAGAGATCCGCGTCAGATACCACCACTCCATATTCACGGATGAACGTCCAGCCGACCGTGATCACTACTACTGCTCGAACCACCACTGCTGCGCCTGAGCCAACTCCTACAGCAGATCGCAGTCTCATCGACAAGGGGGTTGATTCGGTGAAATCCATGGGGAAGAAGGCGTGGCAGAACGTTTCCGGTTCCTCCAAAGAACAGATGGAAAAGAAAATGAAAGAAAAGCAATTGGAAAAGCAAAAGGATGCTGCAGCAAGGTACGAGGCCCAGCGAAGGCAGGACCTAGAGATCCAGCGATCATACCGGAACGCCGTCGCGAGCGGGCAAGTCCCTAACCCGGGTTCAGCGTCAACTCCAAAAGGAAGGGGCGAGAAGTGAGAACAGCGTTGTTTTGACGAATAGATTGCCGGGGATATTACAAGATCAACCACACTTGTGGTTCCATCTAGAAAAAGCGCGGTTTTCGTCTGCAAGCGATGGCCGCCAGCCTCGGGTTGTATCGTTTATTCTGCCACTACACGCTCAAGGGTCGGTCTTCACGAACAGCGAGAACACCAAAAGACGTCAAAAGAAATCTTGGAGCGATAAAGCGACATGTCAGATGGATGTACAGGAAACCAAGGGCAGGCGCACTCGATTCCCCAATATTCACTTTTGACATGTGTATTAGAACTCTCACCGATGGGCACACCGGGCTTTGCAGGCTGCAAGGTGTCCAGATTTTATGGCTGCCCCTTGTAGGTTGATGCCCGGGTGTATGTATAACTCAACCTACGACTCTCAAGTGCAAAGGATTGTTGGAAAAGAAGCCACATGAAAATCGGTCTGAAAGACATATTCTTGTACAACGTTCGTGTCGCATAGCGAGGGATATAGGGAGTACTTGAATCCAAACAAAAGCCTCATCTCTCCTCCAAAGCCCCCTTGCATGCTCAGCCTCGTCCGCATGATTCGTCCTCAACCTGCAGCCTCTATTTCCGACAAGACTTGGTATGTATAAGCAAGTCAGTCACACCCCCTCCACAGGTTTCGTCATTACGGCTTTCCGATTTTTGGTGGATTCTCTGTTTTTGCCTTGTCCTTTTTCTGCTGCCTCTCGCGCTCTCAATGCCCGTTGGCAACGCCATTGCCGTTCTTGTCGTCACTACCCTGCTCGCGGTAGTACGGCCTGGGCACGTTGTCGTAGTAGGGGACGACGATCCAGTTCTTGTCGTCGGTCTTGCCGACCATGCTCTTGGTGACCTCGGTGACGGGGTCGCGCGAGACGATGCAGTTGAGCAGGCCGGGCCGGTCCTGGGCGGTGAGGGCGCGGACGCCGGCGCGGACCTCGTCGAGCGACGCCTGCGCGATGGCGCCCTGGCAGTTGAAGCCCTGGGCGACGAGGTCGTAGCGGCAGCTGGGGGACAGGCTGGAGACGGCGCGCGTGGGGTCGGCGTCGGCGTACAGCAGGTCCTGGCCCGCGACGGACATGCCCCAGAAGAAGTTGTTGAAGACGACGGTGACGATGCGGAGGTGGTGGCGCGCGTACGTGTCCAGCTCCTGGATGTGGAAGCCCGCGCTGCCGTCGCCGTGCAGGTTGACCACCAGCCGGTCCGGGCATGCCAGCGCCGCGCCCATCGAGTACCCCCAGCCGTTGCCCAGGAAGCCCAGGTAGCCCGTCGCCACCAGCGCGGTGGCCGGGCGCGCGCGCTCCAGGTGCTCCATCGCCCACACGCCGGCCTCGCCGCCGTCCATGATGACGATGGCGTCCGCCGGCAGCGACTCCATGATGGCCTGCATCGCGAAGTACGGGTGCAGGCGCCCGTCGGGCCGCACGACCGCGTCCGCGGCGTACTGCGTCTTCATGGTCTTGACGGCGTGGATCGCCTCGAGCCAGGCCTCGTGCTTGTTCTGGCCCAGCGGGTTGCTGCCGCTGCCGCTGTCGTGCTGCACCTTGTCCAGCACCGCGGCGATGAACTTGGTCGCGTCCGCCACGATCCCCAGGTCCACCGCGTGCGACCTGCCGATCTCGCCGCCGTCCAGGTCGACCTGGACCAGCTTGCAGCCCGAGTTGGGCACGATGGCGCCCGACCGCCCGCCCAGCAGGAACCCCGTGCGCGCGCCCAGCAGCAGCACAAAGTCGGCCTGCTGGCCCTGGGCGAAGCGCACCCGGGCCAGCGCACCCGAGTTGCCGCCCCGGAGCGGGTGGTCGAAGGGGATCGCAGGGCTGTACTTCTGCGAGTAGAAGACGGGCGTGTTGGTCGCCTCGGCCAGCCGCAGCAGGGGGCTGGTCTTGGGGGCGTTGCGGTCCGTGGTGCGCGCGGCGCCCGTGCCCACCACGATGGCTGGCCGGCTGGCCGCCTTCCAGAGCGCGAGCAGCTCGTCGACCGCGGCCGGGTCCGGGGCTGGCGACACCGCCGTCGGGCGCATGACCGAGCCGTAGGACAGCGCGTTCATGCGCGGCGGGTGGAACAGGATGTCGATGGGGAAGTCGACCACCACGGGGCCTGGAATGCCCGACATGGCCGTCTTGAACGCGTAGCTGACGATGCGCGGGATCTCCTCCACCGTCGTCACCCGGTGCGCGAACTTGGTCAGCGGCTTGGCCAGGACCACCTGGTCGTGGAACCCCTGCAGGGAGTTCGTCTCGGCCTCGCGCAGCGGCGGCGACGATGTCACCATGAAGATGGGCGAGCGGTCCGCAAACGCGGTGGCGAGACCTGGGAGAGAGTTGGCGAACCTGCATCAAGACCCACGGGTCTCATATCAGTATGCTTTCCTTAATTTCAAGTGTCGTCGTCCATGTATATATGGAATATGGGCTCCGGGGAAGGGCGGAGGGCATCCATGTCCGGGACCACGCATATCAAACATACCCGCTGTTGGCAGTCACGAAGCAGCATCCCACTTTGCCCGAGAGTTTGGCATATCCCTCGGCCGCCTGGACGGCGGTGGTCTCGTGCCGGCTGTCGATGAGTCTGATGCCGGCCAGTTGACAGCCGATCAAGAAGGCGTCGAGATGGCCGCCGTGCAGACCAAACGAGACCTCGACGCCCAGCTGCGCCAGGCTCTGCGCCACCAGGTCACCACCGAGGAAGTCTCGCTTCTCCGGGATCTTCCATTTCAACTGCTGGTCGGCCATAGCTGGCGAAGTTTGTGTATCGATATGTAAGGTGGTCTAGAGGTTTGAGGGTCACCTTCTGCGAGGACAGGCCGTGCAGGCCTTGGGGGATGGGAAAAGGATTATAGAACCACTGCAACCTGCTATTTTGTTTACCTTGGGACTGGGTACTTGCCAGGACCTACCTCTCCCCTGTTCTTATATATTTTATGCACCGAGAATAATTCCTTAACCACGGGATGTGTCTGAAACTCAACGCCTCTCGAGTCTCATCCGATGCGAATTGGCGTCCCCAGACGACTCGAGTCAAGCCCGTTGACCACGAGTCCCAGTTCCTCTCCACAGGTGCCGCAAATCCTTCTGCGGGGTTCTGGGATGCGACTGCGATGGCCTGACTCGTCCAAAACTGACTGTAGGGTTTGCCTGTGCTGGTGGTGTGCACGCCCAGCCCTTCCGAGGTTGCGTCTCGGGACGAAGATCTCAATGCGGGGAGGGAGGGAGGATGGTGTCGTCCTCGATCTGGGGTGGCAGCTGTACAGTCACCAAAGTCCCACTAATCTTCGCTAAGGCGCCACAGGGGAGGAGACTCGGCAGGAAGACGGTTTCTTGATAAGTTTGTCGGGCTGGTAGATTCTGGGGAAGTGGAGACTGTTCATGTTAATTGAGGTAACGCGATAGACACTCTCGTCCGTGGCACGGAGAGATAGATCAGAGACACTTGGTATCAGAGGACTCGTGACTGACGACCAGAGCAATCATGGCGCCGCCCATCATTCTCTTCACCTACGACATTTCTGTCTTCGGCAGGAAGATGGACTGGTACTTTGCCCTGAGCGGCCTGAAGTACTTCCACTGCATCGTCCTCAACCGTCTCCCGCGTCCTGTCCTCGAAAAGCTCGGGATCCAGTACCGACGCATCCCCATCCTCGCCATCGGAAGAGACATATACTGCGACACGCGCCTCATCATCGACAAGCTCGAAGAACTATTCCCCGCGTCGAGGATAGGCGGGAAGAGCCCCTTTGAGAAGGGGCTGGGCCATCTGTTCGAGAACTGGCTCATCGACGGAGGCCCGTTCTGGCGGACCGCCGGCCTGATCCCCCCGACGGCCGAGGTCGTGCACGACAAGGCGTGGCTGCAGGACCGGGCCAACATGTCCGGGCGGACCTTTGACCTGGAGACGCTGAAACAGGGCCGCCCCGAGGCCCTGGCCCACGCGCGCATGTACTTCCACCTGATGGAGAACGAGCTGCTGGCCGACGGGCGGGACTACCTCCTCGACACCCCGGGGCCCACCCTCGCCGACATCCACGGCATCTGGACGTTCGACTGGACGCTCCAGGAGAGGATGCACATGTTCGAGTACCTCGAGAAGGACGTTGTCAGCGCGACGCTGTTTCCCAAGACGTTTGCCTACGTCGACCGCTTCCGCAAGGCCATGGCGGACAAGCAGGAGCAGAATGGCGCGCCGGCGGAGTTGTCGATCGAGGAGACCATCGACCGCATTCTCACTTCGGACTTCTTCGAGCCAGAGGGCGTCGTCGACCCGCTCGACCCGCTGAAACTGAAGAAGGGCCAAACGGTCGAGATTTTCCCCATCGAGTCTGGATTCACGCATCACGACAAGGGCGAGTTGGTCTCGATAGGCGTCAAGGAAGTGGTCATTTCGAGTAAACCAAACGTGGGCGAAGGGCGGCTCAGGTTGCATTTTCCTAGAGTGAACTTCAGGATCCAGCCGTTGGCAGAGTCGAGATTATAGCGAATGAGCCGTGCTCATGATTAGGGATAATTTGGATCGATGATCGAATAGACAGCCGTGGGTGCGTTGTCTCAACTTGGCAGCTGATAAGAGACTGCTGTCATCCCGACATATATCAGCATCTTCAGACGGATGCAGATCCACGCGAGGGCCTCGACATGTTGGGACGCATATCCATTGCATGCTACTGGCACGATGGTTTTACATAGATCCGCCACATTCACGTCTGTTGGTACAATCGGATTGCCTCGCAGAGACGTGCAAAGCCGCTGTCAAAAGCAACCTACCATGCGGTGTAACCTCCATCAATAACGAGCTGGGAGAAAGGAGTCAGTGGGTGAATTCGTTACGGGCCACACTCTACGACTCACATTCGAGCCAGTCATAAAAGAGCTCGCATCGCTTAGACAAAACAAAGCTGCCCCTCTGTATTCCGCGGGTGTCGATATGCGTCCCAGCTTCGAGTCGATGTTAGTAACAGGTGGTATCAGCGAGCGCGATCTTACCATATTCTCTTTCTCCCAAAGCTCCTTCAACTGGGGGTCATCCTCAAAGTTCTTCCGAACCATCGGGGTCATGATATTTCCTGCCATGCCAAAAGCGTTAGGTGGGAAAGAAAAGCGCGATACCCCTGAAATACGCACCGGGACACAAAGCATTGACGCGGATAGGCTTCCCATTGACGATTTTTCCCCATTCCATCGCCAGAGACCGGGCCAGCTGGCAGACAGCGGCCTTGCTAGAATTGTAAACCGACGAGTTGAAACCTTTGTTGGCGACCATCCCGCTCATGGAGGCGACAAGTAAGATAGAGCCACTGCAGTTGTATTTGATCATTTGTCGCGCGCAGCTGACGGCCGAGCAGTAGACTCCTTTGTAGTTGATGTTCATCATCTCCTCGATCTTCTCCGGCGTGTAGTCGAGCGCCGGTGTCACATTCTGCACTCCGGCGGCAGCAATCAAGCCATCCAGTCGATTATGGTGCGTGGCGATTTCCTCGATCACCCGGTCTAGATTGCCAGCCTCGCGGACGTCCACCTTGTCGTATTTCAAGGAGCCTCCATACTTGGGACCCAGGCGTTCCTGAACAGTGAAGAATTCCTTGTCGGGTTCCGGTAGCCGGTCGAGACAGTATACTAGGCACCCGACCAATGTCAACCGCGAGTCTCCAACTCAGGGCGTGTACTGACCTTGTCCTCCAGCTTCGATCAGGGCTTCCGACAAGGCCAAACCAAGTCCCCGCGCCCCGCCCGTGACCACGAACACTTTACCTTCCAGATCAAACTCTCGAAAGCGAAAGGGGGTGCGCTCGGGATCTGGTAGTTTCTCTTTGATTGAAGGAGCCTCGGCGCCGCCCTCTTTAGCCGCTTGTTTGGGCGATGAAGTACCAGAGCTGGTGCCCGCATAAGCAAATCGACTTCGTGAGAACTCTCGGTATTGTTGACAGGCAGATGGCGCTAGGGCTCGTCGAGATTTGCTATAGAATCTTGAAGTTGAACCTGCACCAGATGTAAAGCTGCGACACGCCATTGGGCTGGCTCTAGACGAAATTAACGGCATCGTGGAAAGTAATGGCACTGAAGGCTTTCACGGCGAGACGGAAACAACAACAAAGTTGAAATGCCGAATTGTGGTGTGGTGTGCCGAAACAAGTATTTGTTATGCCCTGAACGAGGATCGCCGAAACGGCATGCCGAATAGTCAAAGCATCTATCATCTTACAGGTTTTTGTAGACGAAGTGACGTTAGAGGGCAACGAGGGGCGGGGTTGACACGCAACATACCCACAGAAGTCGTGGCAATGATACAGAAGGCTGTTCTTCCGCTGGGTCGCGAAGAATTGCTGCTCGACTCAAACATTATACAATCGAACAACATCCGTGGCCATTGAGAAAAAGAATTGGAAGTGCTTCTGACGTGTTTTTATAACCATTGATATCATTCCCCAGTTTTGCTAGGTGATCTGTCGCGGCAGGACCAGCCGGGGTTCCTTCCGAAGCGCCTATCGGGTGGTTTCGTTGTTCGCCTGGCGATATCTGAATGGACCATCAGAGATCTTTTGGGTCGAGGATGAGCTCATGGCCTCTGGAGTGGCACTGATGTGGATGTGCTGATAAGCTGCTCAGATAGCGCTTCGGCTGGTCCACTCATCAGGCAATTGTTGGACCGTTGCGGTGTTGCTGCAGGGTGCTCTGGGACCGTTGAGGCTCTATCGCACGTTACGGGGACGAGTGTTCTTGGGTCAGGACCTTGGTCACCCGAATACAATAACCTGCTCCGAGAGCTGTTAGGATATGCCACCACCCATGCAGTTCCAGGGCAAAGGCAAGAGGGATCCCCAGCTGCTTTCTGGTCTCCCGTAGAGCGCCGCAATAAGCTGCGTCAATCACCCACACGACGAACCCCATGAGGAAGCACAAGCCGCCAACCCGGAATTGCTTGGTCCAATACCGCTTTTGCTCGCCTTTGAACCTGGTCCGGATCAGATACAATACTCTCGGCCAGATCGCGGTGACCAGGGCGATGAAGGTTGTGTTATGCAGCCACAGCTGATGGAGTGCGTAATGGTAGGCGCTGATGACCCCGAGAACAGCGGTCAGGCTCGAACCGAAGGCCAATTTGGCGGGTTTCGACCAGCCCAGGGTGTACAACTCGTAGACGAGGGCGGCGCACACCCAGAACATGGACAGGTCGTCGCAGACCTGCGTCTCGTATTTCAGGGTGAGATGGAAGACCAGAGAGAAAACCCCGACAAAGAACAGAGCGAGGTTAGAGGGCTGGGTGAGCAAGCTCTCTCCAGGGAGCAGCGTTCGAAATGCCCAGTACACTGCAAGGCGAATAGTTAGCTGATGCTGGTACGATGGGACTCTCCATCTAGGCGGCGCACCGTATGCCAGATTCGTGAAGCTGTTGACGAATTCGCCGATGTAGAGAGTGACGGCGTAGTCTTCTTCACAAAAGCTGTGCGCCACGTCAGTCAGTCCACCATGAAGCCACCCACCATCGACACTTCTCGAGAGACTCACTTGGCAACAGAAGTAGGAGGCCCCCAGTAGCCCAAGTGCGCCTTGTGATCGCCTGCGAAATTGCGTTCTAGGCCCATGATGCGATGGATGCTGATGTCTCCAAAGAGCTTTCGCCAAGAAGAAAAGCGGTCAAGGTGTCAAAAGTCTACAAGGAACAAGCAATGCGTCAGGCAGCACAATGTCTTACCCACAAACGCCACATATACAGAGAAAGATAGACGATTACGCCATGTGAAGGAAAAAGATGGATTTTATAAAGAGTTGCTCCCTCCGGCTGCCGGCACCAACCAACAATGGAGAAGATGCTTAGGCGACCCGATATTAATACGCACCGCCACGCCTTTTCAGCCGTACCTCGTATCTCGCAAGCTGTGCCGTTTCACTTTCTGACCGTCTGTCAGGCAACAACATCCATTATGCTTCATCGTGTTATGTTGGTACGACCCTGCTTAGGGCCATAGAACCATCTTCAGGACACTGATACGTGGAATACCTGACGCTCCTTCACCGCTCGCTATGAACAGGCTCTCTGCTCCCTGTTGGGACTACTTGAGCATGACCCGCAAACCCTTCGAATCTACAGCGGGAAATGGAGAAAAGTAGTCGTGTTCAATCTCAATATCCTTCCTCGTCGTCTCAAACAGTTCGGCATCAAACTCATAAAAGAAACTTGCAATGGTCAGATAGAGATTCATGATTGCAAGTTCCTTGCCGATGCAGCTCCTCCCACCACGTCCAAAAGGAACAAAGTACTTCTCGAGCCTTTTCAGTTCCTCGCCAGTCACCAGCCACCGTTCGGGTTTGAATGACAATGGTTCGGGATACACTTGCTCAAAGGTATGGTTGCTTCGAATCGCCATGCTGATGACTGTCCCAGGAGGTAGCTCATACGAGCTGTACGTATACGCCTGTCGAGGATTCACTCTCGCGAGTCGGCCCGAAACGCTGCATGCAATCCGCAATCCTTCATTGATCACTGCAGTAAGGTAAGGCAGACGTTGCAGCGTGCTGTAATCGGTCAAAGGGTCTCCTTTCCCCTTGGATGCTTCAACCGCTCCAGCCAACTCTGCCTTAAGGCGGCGAAGTTTGTCCGGGTTGGCGAGAACATGGAATGTAATGGTCTCCAGAGTATTTCCGGTGGTCTCACTCCCGGCGCCGACTAATGTGCGGGCTTCTTGCGTGATTCTGTCCACAGTCTTGTCGCTCTCTGGAATGGCGTCCGAGTTAATGATGCCATCAAGCACGGATTTGTCGCTTCGTTTCTCTGCATGCAGAGCATCCGCCGCCTGTCGCGCCAAATCCTGAACGGGGTCAGTTCCCAGCCAAGAACAACTCGGATACAACCATACTGTCTGGAAGTCAAAAGCCATCACTCCTCCTTCCGTCGAGGTAGCTGCGACAAGCCATCTCGGCATCCGCATAAATATAGGAATGATGATTGGAATATGACGGTGCCATGCGGCAATGTGAGAGATGACACGCGCCTGGCGATTGTAGTCATCGGCGAAGTCAATTGAATCAAGGAGATTGAAGGCTTTCGGCATGCAACTGTGTACTGTCAGGGTGATGTTTCTGGACCAAACCTCCAGTCTCGGCAAGAACTCACTAATTGGTGACAGAGTCGGCAGCAAGGCAGCGAAAGGCATTGGAAAGATTGACGGGCTTTCCCTCATCACGCATACTCTTCAGACGCTGGCAAAGCTGGGACACCTTTTCCCGCGAAGATGATTCCAGGTTTGAGATGGCTGAGGTTGCAAAGAATCGACTCATCGCCTTTCGCCTGGCACGATGGAGGTCGACATTGGAGGTGCCAAAGCCAGCATCCTTCGACGCGATGAAAGCATAGTACCAGGGATCTTTATCCAGGCGGCTAGTCACATTGTAGAATTCGTCGAAAAAGTCCGGGTCATGAATATGGACCTCGTTGGGGCCTATCCGTACAATGGGTCCTGCGAACTAGTTGGTGACCGCCGCAAAACCTCTGTATAACGGCATACCATATTGTTTATGGAGTTCTTCAATCTTGAATACAAACTTTCCACCCTGGATACAATCATAATAGAAGTCATAAAAGCGAGAGATCGCTGCAGCTTTCGGCCCAGGTATCTTGGAGAGGGGATGGAAGAACAAGCGATAGATAACGAGTATTGCAAGGCCGCCCAAGCTTGCCAATACCAATAGACCAGCGAGACTCGAGTACGAGATGACAGCCATACCTGGGCCGTGGATTATCCGTCCTCAGGGCGCACTTCTGATGGCATATCAAGTACGGAGGATGAAGGACAGCAGAATATCCTTGTGCAAAGGGTTGAAATTGCTTCACATGCGGGTGCAGCCTGTGCGGACGGAGTGGTTCACGGTTTGGGCGATAGCGTGCACTTCTGGAGACGCTCCGGTTCCCCATTCTCGAGACAGAAGGACACAGGAAGCGAACTGCCTATCTTGGGAGTTCAGGCCGGGATGCAGGGTTGGTGTGCAGACTTTCGCTTAAGGACAGGGGCCTGCGGTCAAGGCATGATGGAGGGCCGCAGAATTCGAGAGTCTGCGAGCAGGTGGTTAGCTGCATCTCACCAAACAGAGGCACCAAAAGGGGAACGATGTGCCTGCAAGAGTGATGGCCAGCAGGATGCTTGGGATGTGCTTCTCCAAGAAGATAAGAGAACGTGCCGAACCGCGGAAGAGCGTTCAAGACGCCAAATCTGTCTTCTCATCTGCAATCGACAATGGGCATGGGGCTCTCTCGGAGAGGGCTCTACTGAGTGGTACACCAGGCACATCGAATCCACAGGTAAGGTACCTGGCATGGTGTTCTCGGAGGCCCAAGTCCCGATCTCAATTCGAGAGTAGTTGAGGTGGTTGGTGGTTGGTGGTGGAGGTGAGTGAACGCTGCACCCATCGACGGTGGTGGCCGCACAAGCATCCACGCCTGCGCCCACCAACCACGATTGCACCAAGCACCACACCACTCTCACTCTCACCACTCTCACTACATCGCCCCGCTGTTCACCAGCTTGGAAATCAAAGTCACTGGCAATGGCACAATACTCTAGGTGCTGCATATTCCGCATAAGGGCGGGTCTTCTTAGAGGTACCCAGTACTTCCTGCGCTCCCGTCATCCTTGCCGAACAAGCCTCTCCCTCTCGCCCACTCTGCAGCGAGATGCATCTTTCTTCCTTAGGAAGTTGGACGGTGGTCCACTCATAGCTGGGAGGCTATCTTTTCCGGAATTACAACTCGCAAATATGTGGGACGACAGCCATGTGCAATGTGCGCACCGCGAACTCCCGCAGCAACGGCGCTCCTCAATATCAGCATCCGTTACTTCCTGCAGACGAACCGATTCGATTCGATCATCTAGCGCCACAAACGCAACGCTCTAGAAGGACAATCGACACAAGAGCCATTCTGCCACGCGAGTTCCCCACTAAGTGGAGGGTTGAACAACCCGGGGCAGTGTGCCTGTCCTTCACAACAACACCCACAGGGACGCCCTTAACGGCGAACGTTGGGGCAGCGACTATGGCTGATCAGTGCTTACGAGCCATCGCGTCAAGCTGCTCGCCCATCACCTTCAGGTGTGTGAACAGGTTTTCTATTCGCCCGTCCGTCGACGCTGCTTATCCGTCACCCAATTTTTGGTGGAGCCGGCATGTCTGAGACTGCAAAGGGCGCAGAAAGCCGCTCAGGATCTGGGACCTGCTGGCCCGCATTTATGTGCAGGCTGAGATACCTGGCCCCAGTCTGATAATCTCTTCTGTCGCGCTTTCCTTCCCTCTAGATCTCTTGATCGTTGCATACGAGGCGCCAGCAACATGAACCGCGCTCTTCTGGAGCCTGGAACCACGGCCGTTTGAGAAATAGTCTTCATGGCGGCCGGCGGTGACACCGATTCTGCTTATGCTGAAAGCATAGGCGCCTATTCCGAGAATACTTCTGCGTCTTCGAGCGTATTTGACTTTCAGTACGAGAATGGCCGCCGGTACCATTCCTACAAGGCCGGGCAGTATTTTGCTCCCAATGACGAGCAAGAGCAGGAAAGACTCGACCTTCTTCACCACGTTCAGTCCATGGTTCTCGGCGGAGAGCTCTACAAAGCACCGATCAAGACGCCCCAACGCATTCTCGACATAGGCACCGGCACTGGAATTTGGTTCGTCTAGCCTATCGGCCCACAAATCCATTGTTCTCCAGCTGATTCCTCGCCCAGGGCAATCCAGATGGCCGACAATTTCCCCATGGCAGAGGTTGTCGCCACGGATTCATCCCCGATTCAGCCGACTTGGATCCCGCCCAATCTGGAATTTCTCATAGACGACTGCGAATCAGAGTGGACGTTCCAGCGCGGGTTTGATTTTATTCGTCTTGGACATATGGTAGGTCGATGTTCAACCCATTGGTGTTTCCGAGCTTGGTCAAATCATGGAGCAAGCAAACATTCAACGGCACCATCATCTGGACCTAACTGATGTGAGACTACAGGGCGGCAGTATAGCGGACTGGGAAAAGCTATTTCAGCAGTGCATAGAACACCTCAGACCAGGGGGATGGGTCGAAATCATCGATTTTGAAGGTGAGGAGGCGAATGCGGTGCCAAGCAGAACGACCCTATTGACCTAGAGGTACAGCATGGGGCAGCACGGACGATAATAGTCTTCCTGAACATTCATTCTGGCATACGGTATGATTTCAAGCATCGATCTTGGGAGCAGCGACCGAGGCTGACTCTCCATGTCAGTGGCAAACCGAACTCAGCAACGCGGCAGAGAAATTCGGCCGCACAATGAACATAAGCCCACAAATCAAGGGTCTGGTGGACCGAGCAGGGTTTCAAGATGTGGTCCACGAAGTTCACAAGGTAAGATGGCAACTGCTTTTGTAGAGAGACCTAATGCAGTTGTCCAGGTTCCACTGTCCCCATGGCCCAAAGAGCCCCGTCGAAAGAATTTGGGTGTAAATATGAACATGATAATGACCGAAGCAATGCAAGCTTACAGTCTGGCACTGTTCACCAGAGTACTGTGCTGGGAGCCTGCAGAAGTCGAGGTCCTCCTGGCTGGGGCAAGAAGAGATCTGAACAACCCTGATTACCATTTGTATACTCGATTGCATGTTGTTTACGGGAGGAAGCCGCCACGACCAGCGCCGGCGCCTTGAGAGATATCAAAAGTTCTGGGATGGGCAAAAAGGCAATGTCTGTTTACAGGAATCAACGGTGGCTGGTGGGATCTCCGTTGCAGTTTTGGAGAGACAGCCACGTGGAGGAAGGAGCCTTGGGTAATGGGATCTCTCTGGGATATTGCGCGGGAAATGCTTTGTGCTCTGGGTGTTGTTCGTCTTGCAAGGGAAGAAAGATGGCGTTACGAACGGGTGGTAATAGTGCAGCAGTTTGTAGCGGTGCAAAGAATAGGGTGTGATTGAATAGCCCCGTCCCCGCCAATAAAGCACATATGCGGTGCATCCTTTTCCCTTCTGTTTGGTTTTGATTGATCAGCAAACCCAGCATTGTCTGTCCTCCACCTCCGACCCCCTCGCTATACCCGTTGACCGTCACCTCCAATTCCCCACCAAGCAACACAAGCATTCGTTCTGTATCTTGTCCAGGCTCAACGCCGGCCGAATTGTGCAACGACTCGCTGTGCTCGGTAGATGATGCTAAAGTCCGGCCCCGGCCAAGAAACCGCCCAGAGTCCCAGACACGTTGCTGACTGATGAAATATTCACTTATCCGCTGAATATAGGTACCTGATAAGATGATCCCGGCGTTAAGGGGGTGTCTGTCATACACGCGGGCCTTGGCTTTTGCGTATGATCGTTGGCCAGCCTGTTAGTTGCGTATCCAGCGTGCAAGTGTCGGAACGTTCCTCCTGGTTACTAATTGCCTGGCCTGACTGTGTCTTTCTTTCAAAGGGACCGATGGTGGGTGGAGCAGAGCTGGAGGGCTAAAAGGCAAGAGGATGCACAGGTGAGTCGGTATTTAAGGGACACTCGATACTCCATGCTCGAATGTGTTCCAATTCTTTTCCCCCTGAGCTTGAACTGTGTGGTCTACATACATATGCTTTGTCAGTTGACTTGTGGAATAGAGCGACGACGCGGGATCTATTCTGTCTACACCTCGATACCTATACCAACCCAGGGCTGAACTCTCTCAGCATTAAACGTCAAGGGGGAAAAGGAGAAGCATCTTGTCGCAGCCCAAACAAAGCCCGTGACTACCTACCATGGCATCCCAAGACCACGACCACCAAACGGCCCAGCTCCCGCCGCGGACAAAGTCCATCCTGGTCCTGGGCGCCGGCGAACTAGGCCTGGCCATCCTGGACGCCATCCTCGCGCACCGCAGCTTCTCGCCCGCCACCTCGCGCCTGACCCTGCTGGTCCGGCCGCGCAGCCTGCACCACCCGACGCCGGCACAGCAGGCGCAGCAGGCCGTCCTGCGCTCGCGCGGGCTCGCGGCCATCGTCGCGGCCGACATCGAGGCGTCTTCGCAGGCCCAGCTGGCCGCGCTGTTCGCGCCCTTCACCGCCGTGATCCACGCCGGCGGCATGGCCCTGCCCCCTGGCACCGTCACCAAGGTCACCCGCGCGGTGCTCGCGGCGGGTGTGCCCTACTACGTCCCCTGGCAGCACGGGGTCGACTACGACGTCATCGGCCGCGCGGGCGGGCAGGGCATGTTCAGCGAGCAGATTGGCGTGCGGGAGCTGCTGAGGGCGCAGCGGAGTGAGAGTCCAACGACAGGGACGAAAACGAAGACGGACTGGGTGATTCTCAGCTGCGGCATCTTTATGAGTTTCTTGTTCGAGGACTTCTGGGGCGTGGTTAGGAGGGTACCATCTCCCTCTCCATCTGCACCTGCACCTGCACCGGGGATCGAAAACAACACAAACGCGAGCGGTCAAGATACAGCAGCAGCAGCAGCAGCAGCAGCAGCAGGACAGGGAAAGACCCAGATCCAAATCACGGCGCTCAACTCGTGGGACGACCTGATCACCGCCACCACGGCCGAGGACATTGGCAAATGCACGGCCGCGCTGCTCTTTACGCCTGACTCTCCCGTGAACACCCCCGTCTACATTGCGGGGGACACGCTGACGTACGGCGCGTTCGCGGACACGATCGAGCGCATCGTCGCCCCGGCGGGCATGGAGGTCATCCGCCAGGTGTGGCCGCTCAGCCAGCTCAGGGCCGAGAGCGAGGCCGACCCGGCGGACATGATCAAGCGGTACCGCGTGGTCTTCGCCGAGGGGAGGGGGCTGAGTTGGCCCAAGGAGCGGACGTGGAGTGAAAGCCAGGGCATCGCGATGGTTGGGGTGGACGAATACGCCCGCGGGTTTTTTGGCGCGGACGGCGGCCGGGGGTCGACAGCGGCATCATAGCTGACGACGACGAGATCACCTGGCGTTCGACAGGGCGCGGTACCGGTGGCGACGATGGGCTGAGATCGCGCCTATGTGATAACAATGAGAGGTTCACGTTTGTGTAGATATAGACAATGAATGCATGGGGCGTCGGACAGCGCTGTAATGTTCTTTCTCCGACAACCTACAGCTTTGTGAACACCGCGCGCGATGTATGCAAATGCTCGTCGACGACGATGTTTACGGGGTAGAAGAGAGGAACGCGTCTGTTGTAAAAACAATCATTTTGATTGTGTCATTGTGACACCTCGTGTCACGTCCTGTCTAAAAAGACAGGCGGGCTATCCACGCCGAAAAAAAAAGACCACCACCACCACCACCCACACCCACCCCTCTTCCACCCCCTCCTCCCTGCCGGAGCGCCCTCACTCGCGCAGGTTCTCGACGCCGCCGCGCCGCCGAACCACCCGATCGACGACCGCCTCCTCCGGGCGAGTGACGACGACGGTCGACCCCGAGAACTGCCGAGGGCGCGTTCTCGGGCGACAGATCGTGTTGCTGCTGCTCGGAGTCGGGGTCGCGAACGGGTTCCGGCCCACCTTGTCCTCGTCGAACGCGCTCATCTGCGCCCGGATCCAGTCGTTGTGGTCTTGTCGGAACCAGCGGGCCCGCTGCTCCAGGCGGTCCGCCCGCTGGCGCTCCAGACGACGGGTCCTCAGCCAGTATCCCACGGCGCCGCCGATGGCGACGAGGAACAGCCCCAGCGGGGGCGCCACGATCGCGGCAATCTTCTGGGCGTGGCTCAGCGACTTGCGCTGGCCGGCCCCCGGCCCGGATGCTGCCGTGGTAAGAGGCGTTGGCACAGGAGACGTGGTCACTCCAAGGTTGCTTGTGGTTGAACTTGCAGAGGTGTAGCTGTTGCCGGTAGGTATTGCGCTTGGAGACGCGGGCAAAGGAGAGACCGTGATCGTGGTAAGAGGGACGATCGGAGGAGAGACCGACGACGAGGAGGTCGAAAGCGCACCAGTCGTGGCATTGCTGCTCTGCAGAGTCGAGGTTGTACTGACATTGGTGACTGTAAGAGTGACGGTTTCAATTGGAGGAGCCAACACCGTAGGCATCGCAGCGCTTGGTAAGACGAAGGTGGACAGGGTCAAAGGTAAGCCAGCTGGAGTCAGGAAAGGTGGAGGCGCGGCAGTTGCCAGAGTCAAAGACTTGGTGGGCAGATTGGCGAAGAAGTCATCGCTGCTGCTGGTTTGGGCTGAGGTGTTCACTGTGGCGAAGATGCCAACACCATGGAATGGTGGAGGCTCTGCGGTCTGAATGGCGAAGCCACACAAGACTGCCACGAAAAGTGCCGTGATCAAGGTTGAGGTTCTCATGGTTGCTGGTCAAGAAGAGGTCTATAAGTGAATTTGAGCTGAGGTGCCTATGACAAAGCTGTTAACTCCTATCCTGATGTGAAGATGAAAGAGACTCACTGTTTGGACCTGTTGTCTTCTGAGAGGGCTGGACACCACGCAAACTCTTCCCTATCTTTAGGAACTCGCTCGTAGGCAGAACGGTTGATGTCCTGGTATGTGTACAAGTGACAGTGTCGAGTCGAGTTGAGTAGAGGTTGAGAGTTTGGTAAGAGTTTGGTCTGAGAAATCTGAGCCTGAGCTATGGCACAGGTCAGTAACTTCATACATCGACGACAAAACACAGGAATGAGCTTATTCAGTAATGTCCTCTCAGCAGGCAATCTCTGAAAGGCATGACAGCGATCGCTTGACTGGGGCAAAACCGTTGAGAAGGCCAGACACGTACCAGGTTGACTGTAGCCTTGTTGTCAGAGCAGCCAGGGACTGTCGCTGTCGCTCAAGTGATGACGAGGTTCTTTGAATGAAGTTCAGGTGATGAATGGCGAGATGAGAGATGATGAAGAAGACGGAAAGGTGAGTGATGGTAGAGAATTCAAAGAAGGTCAAAACTCGACTCCAGGCAGAGGGCGCGGCAGAAAAGTCGTGCTAACGTGGGCGACGGGCAGAAAACTCCGTCGACGACGACAGTGAATATCTCTCGGCGCCGAGACGCCGAGGAGATGATGTCGTCGTCGACGGGGGTGGAGGGCGCGGAGCGCGTTATTTATATACCATGATTCTGTGAGTGAACAGGACGGAGGAGGAAGATTTTCTATCCAGGAGATCAAAGAGCAGATATTTAAAGACGCTAAGACCGTGGACGCCAAGCGGCAATCGCCAGTGAGGAACATCACCGTTGTCTTCACGCAACTAGAATACATACTATGAAGCTGTTAGCATCAGGATGGAGGATATGGAAGGTTGTCCGACTCACAGGGATGAACAGGTATGGGACTTGTCGCTCATACTCTTCCCAAGCCTTGCCGTACTTCTTCCGGCATTTTTGGATGTCTCGCGTGGCCCGGTGGATAATCATGGCCGTGAAGAAGAGAGGATAAAACCACGGGAAGGGTGATTTGTAGCCTGTCACGGCTCCCCAAGAAAGGGCGAAGAAGAGATCGCAAGTGTAATGGATCTTCCTCGCGTAGCCATCTGCCAAAGCATTAGTCAAGCAAGCAACGTGCACCGCAGACCACTTACACCAGCCGTCCGCAAGAATCGTTCCTCCATCCTCTGATCGGATGACCTTGGGGTTCTCAACCGTCTGCCAGGGTAGCTGTGGAAATGCTTTCCGGGTAATGGCACCACCCGATTCCTTTGTCCGGAAGCGGTTCTTCTGGCTGTTTGTGGTATCCCAAACCCAGTAGACAAACAGGTAGGCCACATACAAAGCAGCAAGCGCATATTTGTTCCACACATAGGTGCTTGGAGCGTGGTTGGCCAGGAAGATGGTGCAATGGCAGTAGGTCAGGGGCACGCCGGCCATGTTCCAGAAGATCAGCATAAAGCCCCATTTTTCGTAATACATATCCCAGGTTGGGACAATGAGTTCTTCGCCTTTGCTGCACGCATTTGCGTATAGAAAGTGCGCCATGACCAAGAATCCGACCTCGCCCGAGACGTGTCCGTAAAGCTCATATTGCCGTGCAGCCGTTCCCAACGAGAGGAGGAAAAGGATGTACCAAGGCATGCGAACCTCAAAAAACATCTTGAAGTCGAGAGTCCCAAACATGCGGGGATTCAGTTCCGCACCCATGAAGAAATCGTACATCAAGTACCCCGTCATCCGGTGCTGCTTGCCGCGATAAATGGCTGAAGCGTATGCGATGATTGCCACAGCGAAGGCGGAAATGATCGCCACGGACATCAGGGGCCCAAACTCGTCAATGATGGTGTAGAGCTTGAAGAGGCCAGAAAAATGAAGACCCAGGGCGACAATGATGGTGGCCCACCAAGACCACATTCCACTGCAGTAGTAATCCAATCTGCGTCCGTTCTCATGAGGCAAGGGTTTGCCCTTGGTCCAGATGCCCGGCATCAAGCAATAACAGGCGCTCTCGAAGATGCAGAAGACCCAGTATATGACCCAGGCTTTTGTTGACGGCCATGCACCATAGTACGCCATGCGGAAGAGCCCATAGAAGAACTCTTTTAGAGACTCGCCCTCTCTCGGAGTAGGAAACTTGCCATCGTAGTATGTTGCACCGATCCACATGTAGTACATCAACAACGGGAAGCCGACCATCATCGCAGTCACGCCCAATGACCCTCCAAATTCGAGATGCCCGGATGCATCGACCCTGGGGTCCATTCCAGGGCGCCATCCGTCCACCAGTCGTTCAGCAGAGACCTTCTCTTGACTTTCTGTCTTGGTGATGTGCCCATTCGCCGTCGGCTTGATGTGCCCATTGGCATGTCCATTGGCATGTCCATTCATTGCTTCCGGTTCCACACTCTTGACGCGTCGCGTTGCAGCGGCCACCGTGTCATCGTCGTCCTGAAGCCGGGAAGAGACTTGCGCGCCATGATCGTCGACAACGGCAAGGGATTTACGCGGTCGAGGCTTCCCGTACGTGCCAGGGGTTTCGACATAATCCGGACGCACTGTTTTTCTGCGGTGAATTAGTACCTGCGCACCGCACACGATTTCTGGTTTGGGGTCCCATACCGGGGCGTTTTACCCGCCTGCGTGCGGGTGACTGTCATGCTGAAAGGAGCGTGCGCATAAGAATAAACTACAAGAATGAGCGACTATACGCGACAAAAGAAGGGGCAGCCCTCGGAAAGTGAGCGGCGGAGGTGATGGGACGGTGGTACGAGGCGGAATGAGAGGATTTTTGGGCATTGGAATTCCGACTCGGCGCACATCAACAATTTTCCCCTTCCGTCCACCAGTCCACCACGTGCAACCCAACTGATGTACGAGTATTATGACCAAAATGCTACTATTTTTATTGTGGATGGCCAGTCCCTTCGCCAATCTCGCGCCCCAAAGTCTAACGACCTGGGGATGAATTCTATTGAGATGCTCTGTTGATGGAGTTTGATACGCGGCGTGCACGTCGACTTCGCGGTTGGATACATCAGACCAACCTCAGGGGCACTTCGGATGCCGAGCAATCAACTGATATCCATTCCTATGACTGTTTGCAGCGGCATTGATCGATTGATTGCAGCTATATACCGGGACTAACTGTGTTGTATCTCTTCATATCCACATATACGAAGAGAATCGCTTGAAAAAGGATCACCAACAAAGACTTTCGAAAAGATCCAAAACATGCCTGTGCCTGCTTGCCATGCCGAAGGTGGGCGTATATGTTGTAGTAGATAGATTTCAAGATGGGTTCGTTCGTCACATTTGTCCCTTTTCGCTTATGCTCACATCGCCAGCCAACTCAGCATTGGCCTGCGCCCAAATTCCAGCCATCCATTACAAATGCACGCTTTACAAGAACAGTCCGCTCACCGCAACAGCGGCACAGATCACCACGCTCAACACGGTGCCCGGGAGTTGGCTCTGAGGAGCCGCGGCGCCCGTGAAGGGCGTCACATTGATGGGGGCGACCGGAGTGGAGGACGCCGAGGCACCAGACGAAGGAGACGGTGCGAGCCATCCGCTGTTACTTCCTGCTGAGGTCGATGCCGCCGCAACGGAGGTAAGGGTTCCAGCCGGCTGCGAGTTGGTCCAGGATGGGGAGGCGGAAGCAGCAGCGACTGAAGTCTCAGCCGTGCCGGACGGGTGCAAGGACGCTGCGGCAGCTCCAGTGGGCCGGACGGGCACGACAGTCTGAGTCATGACATCGGTGGCCGTGGGGACGGGGACTGTCAAAGTCACCGTCGTCAGAGTCGGAGCGCACACGGAGCAGACGGTCACAGTGGTGTGGAATCCCCGCGGGCATCCATTGGCTTGAGTAGGCCATACGAACGGCCCAGTCGTCGTGGCTGCTGCCACCGGAACCGAGGTGGTCCAGTGGAACGGATGCTTGGTGAAGCCATTGGGCCCGATGTCAGTGTATTCGGTAGTCCACACGGTAACTGTGTACTCGCCAGCTGCGCTAGAGGTTGTGCTGGTCGTTGGCGCCCAGTCTTCCCAGTTTCCAGGATCGTTTGTGGTCGAGGCTTTTGTCGTCACACCAGCAACGGGGCTACTAGAGGTGGAAGTCCAGTCTCCCCACTGCCAGCCACTCGTATAGGCTGCAGATGAGCTAGAGGTCGTTGCAGGGCTGACATAGAGCGAGGAAGTGGTCGAGGAGCTGTGGCCGAATGGATGGCTATACGAACTGGTGGTTCCAGCCGGTGGTGTTGCACTTGAGCTGCTCGATGTCGTTCCGCCAACGGGGCCAAGAGGAATGCTAGAAGTTGTCGTGGTGCTGCTCGACGAGGTCGTTCCGCCAATAGGGCCAAGAGGGAGGCTAGTAGTCGTCGTGGTGCTGCTCGACGAGGTCGTCCCGCCAATAGGTCCAAGAGGGATGCTTGAAGTCGTTGTGATGCTGCTCGACGTAGTCGTTCCACCAATGGGGCCAAGAGGGTGGCTGTAAGTGGTCGTGGTCGTGGTCGTAGTCGTGGATTCAGAGCTTGTCGTTGGAAGAGGAGCTTCTGAAGTGGTGCTTGACGTAGTCGGAGACGAGGTCGAGGGCGAGCTCGAAGTAGGAGCAGCCGGTGTGGTAGTCGGTGGAGGCGGAGTCGTTGTTGTGGTCGTTGTAGTTGTAGTGGTTGTAGTGGTTGTGGTAGGTGTTGTGGTAGGAATTGGCGAGCTCGTGGTTGTTGTCGTCGTCGTTGTGGTCGTTGTGGTGGTAGTTGTAGTGGTTGTGGTAGTTGTCGAGCTCGTGGTTGTTGTTGTGGTTGTTGTCGATGAGGTGGTAGTCGTCGTCGGCGGCGCGCAAGAGAGCTCTCCAAAGATGTCCTTGATGTTGGCAGCGTAGCTCTTACCGTTGAGCTGGTTGTTGTCCGAGTAGGTGGCCTCCCAGATCATCACACCTCCGAAGAGGGATTGATAGGTGCTTGAGCAGGCATATTCCTCAATCAGAGCCTGCGCTTGGTCCAGGTCGAGGTAGTGGTTGGGGTTAGCGGCCGTCTTTGACGCCGGCAGACCCAAGAACATCTTGATGTTCTGGTTCATTGAGTTGTCTTTGAGCCACTGCGCCCAGCCAAAGGTGATGTCGGTGGCGGTGTTGAGAGAACCCGAGCTGAACAACGACGCTGCTGAGCATTGATCGGTGTTGTAGTATTGGACGAACCTGGTTTGTGTTAGCACTGCATCACTGTTCGGGGGTTGAGCGGAGGAGGTCCGTACACATAGTCAATCACTGAATTCTTGATCGCGTCGTCAAGGTGAGCATCTGGTACCACACACTGTGGTGCGGACGAGATATAGAAGGTCTTGGAGCTTTGCGTTGCGAACTTGACTCGCAGCTCATTGACCAGGTCGGCGTAGCCGAAATCACCTCCCGACTCGATATCCAAGTCGAAGCCGTCCACAACGGTATTCAGGCCAAACGGTCGGGGATATTGCACCAAGGTAGGATCCTGAAGAGGGCCGAATGAACCCCAGAGGAAGTCGGCAAAGGCTTTGGCGGAGTCCGATGAGGCGATGAAGTTCCCAGAAGCTTCACCCCCAATCGAGGCAAAGATCTTTTTGCCTATAGCCTGGCAGACAGCAATATCCTCTGCAATCTGGTCGCATGTCGTGTAGACATTGGTTTGGGTCCCGTCGGGCGCCTTCCAGGTGACAGAGCCGCAAGCATTGCCATAATTTGTTCCCGGGCCGCCAGTTTGATCCGGGAAGACATTGACGAAACCAATGGGAATGATGTCCATGGTAGTATCCGCGCAGAAGTCGGCCAAGCGTTTCTGGTTGGGTCCTTGTCCCTGTACACAATCAGCACCGAAGCAGAATAATACCCCCTTTCATATTCTTCTCACCCAGTAGACAGCCAGGCTTGGTTGAGAGAAGGCCCTCTTCACGGCAGTAGAGCGACCTCCGAAAATGGGTGATGCCATTGTAGTCGACATGAACGCCGCCGTGGCCAGCAAGCTGGCGGCGAACATGTTGGAATGCATGGTGTAGGCGTTATACCTGCAGTAGGAGAAAAAGAGCGAATTTGGAAAAGGAAAGGCAAAAAATCACGCAGCGAAGGAGTGTATGGGCTGAAGAGGCCCGCAAAGGAAGGACTGGACGCAAGCAAAAGCCTGCAAAACGCAAAGATCAACACCGTAATGAATGGAAGCGTAGAGGAGAGAGAGAGAAGAGGAAAATCAATAAATCGCAAAGTCAAAATGCGACCCATATGTATGTACGAGGTCCCAGACGAAGCGGCTGTACCATTCCCTCTGCGACGAGGCGCCCTTGGAAGGGATGCCCAAAGGTCTCTCCACCCATCAACCTGGAACACCCTTACCGTTGGGTCTATACCGAAATTGGGCTGACGGCTATACTACGGTAGAAGAGGCCTCGGTGCCATTATGGAGCCGGAAACGATCGAAGCGCTTTTGTGGTGACATTCCTGAAGGATGAAGCAGGTTCGAATGGCAGCCCTATGCATGATCGAGGGGAAATCAGGAGGATGATGTTGCATTCGGGTGGCTTGAGGAGGAAGGGGGCGCGAGTTTGAGGGCAGCAGCGCTTCACGATCGGATGGCGTAAGCGGCGAAAGCCTCGCAGATGATGGCGCTGAGAAAGCGACTTTTGCAGACGGGTGTTTGTGGGATGGACTTCAAATCTCCTGGCCAGGCTTTTGATGTTGAAGTGGAACGCGAGGTAGTGACTAGCCTGGAATGCGATTGGCCAGGAGCGCGACTCCACGTGCCAAGGTTCGCGCCAGGAGTGATGATGTTTCCCAATGCGGACTAGGCTGTCCCCTTCAGGGGCAACCGGCAAAATGGACAGCGACCATTTGGGTCCATATCCCCTGTAACATGTCCAGACTCTGAGCCTCAGACACTACCGTCCGATCACCATCTCGGTCTCCCGGAGCACAGGAGATCTGTGGCTGCACTTTGCCCTACAGCCACAGTTGCGCCATGTACGGAGGACAGAGCCCAGCATCTAGAGCCCGCAGACAGCTGCCATCGTGCCCTTTTAAGCACCGGATCTCTGTACAGCTTCGACCTGGTCACAAGATCGTCAAGCCCACAAGTGCCAACGAAACTAAAGCAAACAATGAAATTGTGTCCCCAAGTCTTGGCATTGCGAGCACGATCTAAAATTGGCTCCCCAGGAAGAGTGACGAGGAGCAGGCACCAGAATAAAATTGCCCTTCGGACTCGGAAGTCATTCCCTGGGCATATCGAAGACTCACATGTTTCTTTGGGGCCGAGTCAAGCGAGATCATTAGTAAGATGTCAGATATCACTACCTCGTCCTGTCTCGCGCGAATACGCACTGACAATCCTTTTACAAGATCATCATGTAACGTCCAGTCGTCCCTCAGGTCGTGTCATCCACTGGCGGTTCATTTATATACTGAACGGCGAAGAGCGACGTTGCTAGAGCAGTTGGATTTCTGTTTGGTGGAAATTGAAGTGGCGATCCTTCAACCTAGTAACAGTCACCGTGAACGACCTGTATAAATCTACTTGGGTCACACTGACGGGATGGTGGACAACCGGCAAAGATTGCGCTACACTCGTAACCGGGTCCTGATCCCACCAGAACGTCACAAAATGTCCATCAAGTCCTCCATCTTGTCTAATTTGAGGAGATGTAGTCGCGGATCGGAGGTGGAGCTGTTGATCACCACGATCAAATGACTGACAGGAACAGATCCTCTGATCAACATAACGTGGGCGTCGATCCGACCAGCACCTGTGACTAATCGTGTTTGAAAACAGAGAGTCCACAGCTGTTACCCATACAACGCTCCGCCATGCTTCTCTTTCTACAAGTACTTAATGTCGCCTCGTAGAGAGGATGGGCCCTGTTATGGAAGTTCGTCTTCCTCATGCGAGACAGTGTTCCTGTTGGAGAGGTACTCATTGGTTATTCACCATAGGACGATGCGTACTCTGAGCCTCGCACTCCTTCCTACATCCTGTGGGTCTACTTGGACTCCATTTGGGCCCTCAGAGATGTGGTACCTGGCCAACATGTCACCTTTCCGTCGCTCAGGTCGTCGTCAGAGAACCAAATGATCAAGTGAGCCAATCGTGGCGCACGAGTAACATGCAGTAGGAAACCATCAAATTAACAATCAAGAGCAGTCAGTGTCCCGGGTGACGATGTCAGATCTTTCAATATGCTTGCTTTTGGCTTGAACTTTGAATTGCCGTTTCTGTGGAAACGATGATGTATGTACGAGTATATGTACAAAGTGCAGATCAGGCAAAGTGAGTTTTGAGCCGTCCTCCAAATCACTGTACACCTTGATCAAATGTTAGGTGTCAAGAGCCAGGGCCGAGCAATCCAACACGAGCTGACGGACCAAGGATTCTTCTTCAAGAAGACTCCGAGCTGGCAGTCTGCTTCTCCGGAAGGACAGTCTCATGAGCGACCTCCTCACTGCTAGTCTCGCTGCTCACCTCCTTGATAGGGCCGGTAAACTTCTTGCGAGCTCGCAGGACGTAATTGGCAGTAGCACAAATCATGACGAATCCGAATACGGGAGAGGCGTAATTCATGTTCGGTCCTGTGACTGGAAGATAAGGCGGGAACGGCAAGAAGATGATGAGGAAAATGCAGAATGCGACCGCAAGGACGTTGACCAGAAGACCGAACTTGCCCAAGGTCCAAGGTCCGAAATTGATAGGATTGGAGACGTTGTATCGCCGGATAGCAAACATGACGGTCGGGATCGCATAGGAGAAGTAAAAGCCCAGTGTTGTCAGAGAGATCAGGGCATTGAAAGCGGTGGTCGACCCGATGTTGATAAGGGAGAGCAGGGATACGGAGACGAAAATCGCGAGGACGGCATTCGTTGGACATTTGTTCCAAGGAGTGATGTGTGAGAAGAAGCCGGAGAACGGAAGACCATGGTCTCTCGCAAATGCCCAGATAAGGCGGGAGACTGATGCTGTGCACCCAAAGAGGTTCATGGTGAAAACAATAATGACTCCGGTCATCATCGCGGTCGCCGCCTTCTGATTGTTGGTGGCTTGCAGAAAAACCGCGATTATAGGGTACCCGGTAGGGGTCGCAAAAACCGCATCTGTATCAGTGATGGCGTAAAGAATGGTGATGATGTATGCAAAGCCAGCCAATCCGTTGATTGTGACTGACCAAATCATCGCGCGAGGAATGTTGAGAGGCGCATTGTACGCTTCCTCGCTCATGTGGACGACCGCATCCACACCCGCAAGTGCGAAGGCCGGTGTGAGGAACCCAATACAAAAGCTGACACCATCACTGCTCCAGCCGCCGGCGTTGATGAATGTGCCCCAGACGTCCTTGTCGCTGGCCTTCGTGCTAGTGGCGAGAATGGCGATAAAGACGATGAAGAAGAATAGCACGTGAAGAAAACCTCCCAAGGTCTCCCAGAGCGGCAGAAATTTCTTGCCGTAAGTGTTTCCCAGAGCGGCAATTCCAGCAAACCCAATCATCATAAGTGTTGCGTGCCACCGTTTCGCTTCGTAGCCGGAATAGTTGAGGATTGCAACTCCTTGAATCATGGTCGCGATCAAGTAACAGACGGATGCCACAGCTGCGACCCATCCAGTGATGGTAACCCAGCCTTGCACGTAGCTGATGATTGCTCGCCATCTGGCAGGCGAATGCTCAGCACTCCAGTGATACTGGGCTCCGGCAATTGGCGAGCTAGATCACTAGTCAGACAGTTTTCTTCCAGAGTGAGCAATCCGAAGCCATACATAGACGCCATCTCAGCAAAGGAGCCTGCGATGCATAGAGTTCCCAGCACCGACACGATAAACCCGTATACAACAGAGGCAGGACCACCATTGCTGTAAGCACCAGCAAATAGAGCGCTCGTGGCTTCCCACGTACACAGGGTGCACGCAGACATACCCAGCAACGCCCAAAAGTTCCATTCCCGCTACAGCAAGAAGTCAGCGACAGGCAAAAAGGCATATTTTGTGGTGTCCACCCCACCTTCAACACCTGCTTCTTTCCTGCTGCCTCCAAAGCAGCGGCATCTGAAGCGAACACGGTCATTTGGACGATAACTCGCGACTATGGAAGGGAAAAACGTGCAGAAAATAAGTGAAACAGACGCGAAATGAAAGAAACGCTTGCGAAGGAGGAAAATGAAAGCCCTTGGGCGCGGGTGTCGCGGTACTTGAGTCTTCCTTGTTCTCCTATCGGGAGCATGCAGTGGCTTTTGCACATGGTGCTTCGTAGCGAAACGAGTATTTGTTTTCGTACGCTAGCTTGGCGAGGCAGGCGCGAGAGATGTGAAAGAGCCAGGGCACGAAGTTAGCCTGATTTCCTTTCCCATGTCGTCTGTGCTGGCAAACGGGCACATGCGTGACTTTGCAGGAGTTCACGCATGATGGACCCATGTTTAGCATGGGGTTCTCCACAGAGTTCGGAGCAATAGCAGCAAGAGACAAGTCAGGCCTGCACAGGCCTGCACCTCGAAATCCTGTCCGACGGTCTGTCTTGGAGGTTGGTGGATGTCAAATGACGAGCTTAGGCCCAACAGACCTACTCTACGAGCCGAAGAATGACACCGCAAGCTGACACGAGAGATGCGAGACTGACCAGGGAAAAGACATTATCTCGAGGCTGTCCAGGGGGAAGTCCTCGGCCAATGTGGTGCATAAGGTGAGTCGCGGATCAGCGCGGCGCATTGCCGGTAGGTAGTAGTCCCTGCTGCCAAAGCGCCACTATCAACGGAAGCGGCCCATGCTGGGGAACGACGTTTCCGGGTGATTTCAAGCCTTACGGGGGGTCGTGCCCGTGTTAGTCGCTTGAGCTTATCTGAGGGTAAGTGAGCCCCCTGCGATGAACCTCCTCGAGAAGATACCGGTAGAGTACCGATCAAGGAGCGAAGATTGTGAACACTAGGGTTTCGACAGAGGCAACTTGTCAATATTGATTGCATGAGCATCGGAGACTGCAGCATTGTCGATGGCGTGCAGGCTTGCTGGTGTGAAGACATGCAGGTTTTAGTCGGTAGCTCGTATGTTAACCGTTGGTTGCTTTATCCAGGAACCAGGGTTTGAAGTCCAGGGTGGGATGAGAACGCATCAACTCCTCAACCCTCCTTCCTGGCTCACTAAGCTAAGAGAGTGCATGCAGCGGGCCTAACACACAACCTAGCGGCCAGACGAGGAACGATCACCGTCAGTGCTGCATGAGTATCAGTTCGTTGCAGCGCATTTCCAATGAAATGTCCCACCTGAAATGCGTCGGGGCAGAGAAGCGAGGGCAGCTAGACGAACATCCCTCCCTTGTTCTGCGGGAGATTCTCACCGCTTTTGCAGTTTTCTAGACTCGAAAGGCTTCCCTTCGCCTGCTCGCGGCCCATGGGAGCAACGTGGCAAAGGAACAAAGCGAATGCGCCTGGAGACCAGCCCGCTCCGAACCCAAAAGAGTCTTGCCGAGCCCAGGGTCAAAAGGTGATATTTGGGCGAGAAACATTGGCTTGAACGAAAAGGGTCACAAGTAAGATGACCAGGGGCTTGTCACGTCGCCACAAAACACATTATCTGGGTAAAGGGGACTTAGTTACCGGCTAGAAAATCCCAATCACAACCTCGTGATGAAACCCTGTGCTTGCACCTAGCCACGGACATGGAATGCCAACGACCTGGCTCGCTGGGTACTAAGATATGTCGATCTTCTCACCTTTTGGTAGGTGGCTGGCATTACTGGCTTGCTGGAGACCGCACGAGTATCGATTCCTCCATGCTTGCATCGACTTGAACGTCGAGAACGTAAAGATATGGATCATAAAGAAACAGACATGTAGCCCTCTGGTTAGAAGTCAATGGCAGAGGAGGATAGTGTGCGAACAGGAGCGACACCGGAATGGAAAAACTGTGGCTCCGAATCGCAGGAAAATCACCGCCCTGAGTCTTCACCGCCTACGCTTTTTGACATGGCAGAATATCCCAAAATTTTGTGGCTGCGGTGAACTTCCCAGACTTGAAAATGAAAGCCTTGACCGCGACAATATTCAACTGTATCTTCCCAATTCTACAGTGGAGGTTTACAACATGGCGCCACCTCTACACGATCTCGCCGAAATTTTCAATGACCTCGGAGATCTAGAGCAAGGCTTTGCTCGGATTGAGCTGGATTCATGTAAGAAGCCACTCCGATCGAGCCCATCCCGCTCGCTGACTTTGACCGAGTGCGAAGAAAAGAATTCCTCTCACGGCCTCTCTATTCAAAGAGAAAAGCCCTATTTGAGCGAATCCCAGATTTCTGGCCAACCGTGTTTCGTTCAGGACCTGAGCAGATCCGACAATTCTTCTCTCCAGACGACCTTCCGCTTCTTGCCTCCATCGATGCTTTCTCCGTCGACCGGTATCAGATTCAGTCGGAATCCGAAGGGGATCCTCGCAGTATTCGATTCACCTTCCACTTTGCTCCCAATGAGTTCATAGAGGACACCACCTTGATCAAGGAATTCGAATATCGTAACACCGGAAATGGATCTGGTGACCTCATCTCGAAGCCGGTTCCGATCAAATGGAAAGGAAAGAAGAAGGATCCAACTCGCGGTCTTCTCGATGCCGCCGTTGATCTTTACAATGCAGAGGAGGCGCTAAAGCTCAAGAACGGAGACAAGGTGATTGATGTCGTGGACCGGGAGGCACTGTGGCAGCATGAGAAGCTCCGGGAAAAGTTGGTCCAGCTTGAGGAGGAAGAAGACGACGTTCACGGCCCAAGTTTCTTTTCTTGGTTTGGTTTCAGGGGCGTGGTCGATGCCGAGAAATTAAAAAGATTGGCTGAAAAGGGACTAGATGAGTCCACGGATGAGGAGGATGAAAGCGAAGATGATGAGATTGAAGGCATGTTGGATGTTGAGATCTTCCCAGGCGGCGACGAGATAGCCGCCGCCCTGGCAGAGGATCTCTGGCCTGATGCCATGGACTATTTCCTGTCGGCTGCCCAAGAAGGCGAGTTCGATGATGACGATGACGACGATGACGACGATGACGACGATGAGGATGATGACGATGGTGACGATGACGACGCTCCGGAATTGGTGGAGGCAGAGGAGGATGACCACAGACCGCACAAGAAGCCGCGCAATGGTTGAAATGTTAGTCCCGGTCGTCTGGATATGGCTGGGATATCGTCGTCCACAGAAGAAGCTTGTTAAGAGGCTTCTGCTTCTCTTCGGGTTTCCACGGATGGGCTCAGCGGCTTCCCTCAAACGCCGTCTGTTTGGTCGGGGTCTGGTCGGGGTCGTCTTCAGGCGTTCAGGATTCCTGATTTCCCTCCAACGCTGTGGTCCTTAGCAAGAACCAACCGCGTAGCATTCAGGTATGCTCATCGGTTCTGGAGATGTCCAACCGAAAGTTAGGGCCGCCTTTGCTCTCAAATGACAATTACTAGAATCAACAATATCACCAAAACCACAATCAGAACGCCAATGCAGCAACTGCTCACGCTATCTTCATTCCGTCTAATCACCTCGCCCACTTTCTTCACTCCGACGCTCAACTTCCCACCCACCCGGTCTGCCAGCGTGTCCACCTCGTCTAGCAAGGCACCTTGTTCCTCTAGCTCGCGGCCCATGTCTTCTGCCTGGCCACGCAAGACGCCGACACTTTGGAAAACGCCGTCAAGTTGTTCGTCTTGTTCGCGCATCATCATCTCTTGCTGCTGAGTCTCGAAGGCCCCGTAGGGGTCGTCGTCGTCTTCGTCATCGTGATCATCTTCAAAGGACGAGGGATTTGGTAGTCTCCCGTTAGGTCCTCTTGTGGTGCTGCTGCCTCCGCCGGGCGCAGTAGTGGTCGATGTAGGGTATACTCCTCCGGCGACGTGTGTATCTGTAGTGACGCCTTCCAATTCCCTCCTCATCCCATCCACCTCGTCAGCCACATCTTGCACAAACTGCCTCCTTCGTTGTACCTCCGCGACATCTAGGCCGAAGCGGTACGGATCAGACTCCACGGCCTTGACGCTGTCCAACAGATCCGCGAGATCTGCTGTTAGTGTTTCGAGGTTGGAACGCAGCTCTGAGCGCGACTGCTGCAATTCTGGAGAGGTGGCAGACGTCGACAGCGTACGGATGCGGAGGTAGCTGGAGAATAGGTGCCGTGTACTTTGGAGCGTGGACTGCACGTCGGTCTGCACTTCAAGGAAGGGGTCGGAGGAAGGAGGGTTCGCCATTTTGAGAAGCCGGCCTGGGGTTCGAGGGTAAATGAGAGTGGGCGCAAACGCGCCTATATCAAGGATTTATTGTCCGGTCATTATAGGGATTAAAACGAATTGACAACAGTCGTGCCCGAGGCCTCGAGATGACGGGTTGAAGTGTCTTGAATGGTATTGGCGGAAACGGGGCCGAGGCCGCTCTTTTGTACGAAGTATAGTTCTCCACGACAAACGGAAGATTATTCTTGAACCACCTCTACTCTCGCACGCCTCGAAACAGCAAAGGATTCTAGGCTAGGAAATACAGTCGTGTATTGAGATGCAATAATAGTACATGATTCGATTATTTTGTGTAAATGCGCAGCATGGAGCCGGCGAAGCTCGGTAAGTCCGTCATAATGAACATCACTCCATCTTATGAGCCTCAGAACTGGTCCCGTTGCTGGTATACCATGTGCTTAGTCTGTAGCACTCTTGCCAGAGACTGTCGTCTGTCCCTACTCATGAAGCTGATCATACATGATCAAGGCCCTCCTTGACTTGTCTCCCACCTTTTCTCGAATGCTTTGCACTGTGCTTTCCACCACACTGGTCAAGCTACTCAATTCAGCTTGCAACTGCTTCCCCAAATCCGAATTCTTGACAGATTCGATCTTCAGCGCCCATTCCATCGAATTCTGTATCGGCAACAGCTCCACCAGAGCGTAGTTCTGCTCTATCTCTGTCTGTTGCTCGAGCTGGGAATGTAGTGCCTTGCTTTCCAGGTGAAGCAGCTTAGTAGCATAGTTGACGACTTTTCCCTCCTCGTCCTGGCCACCATGAGCGTCTACCGCCTTCGCAGCAGCCAGCTCCAGCAGCACCGCCAGAACGACTGGGTCTTTCCTCGCATCCACCTCGCCCTTGGTCAACTTGCCACCTCCGTGCACTTCATCTTCCAGCATTCGTGCAACATATTCGGCTCGCCGCGAAGCCGCCTCAAGTTCACCGCCCTGGAAATTTGCCGAGACCGCACGGTTATGAAAACCTAGCATCAACTCCCGGGCCACTCCCTTTCGCGACAGCTTGACGCCTGTTTCCGCCGGCTTCTCCGCGCAGCGTAAAATAATGCGTTCTTTGCCCACTTCGCAGGCTTTGCGTGTGATTTTCTCGTAAAAACTTGAGGGGAGATTGATCTTTGCCATGACCAATCCATGAAGGAACGGGGGCAGGTTGTTCCAATCAGTGTCGTTGTGGTTTCCCTCAAGAAGCTTTACTAATTTGAGTATGCTTTTGTGTACATTGGGCTTGTCATAAAAATGCATTGGCTCCAGCTTGATCTCTTCATCGTCATCCATTGTTACCGTGACTCCTGGTTCGTTGGTGAGGGTCGGATGCCGCGAGGCCTTGTAAATCAGATCCCGATGGTGGTTTTCCAGCGCAGCTGGCATGAAGACTTTTTGGCGCCATGTCAAGAGGAGATCGTCGAACTCGGGATTGGACGTGGGATTGAAAGCCGGTATTACTTTGTAGTTGTAAGCACAGACGATTGAGCTGTAGGATATCTCATCAATGTGATCGTACCTTTTGGTCTTGACCCTGTGGTGCTGAATGACCGAGCCGACTTTGCCCAGCTTGAACTGGGTATATTTCGTCGGCAACTCCTACAAATGTAGAGGAAGCTTTGACCGGGCTGCGCCATGGAGAATTACTGTGCCCCCTCGAGGCGCGTGGTTAGACCGAGCTGCTGTGAGAACTCTTGTTTGTCTTGCTGAAAATGGCAGTTTCTGTCTGCGCTACCATTGAATCTCCAAAAGGTGATTTTCTGCAAGTCCCAAGTCCAAGTCGCTCCACCTTCCTCTTCCTGATCCATGAAAAGTGTCCGCGATTGAGCTGCGATGTCTTTTTGCAACTGACCATGCCATTCACTGTGTATTCCTTATAACCTGCTCTCGAACATGTCGAAGACGGTTGCTTCACGTATGTCGGCATGCTGCTGGCGATCCATATTTCCAGAGCTTCGACCACAACATTTTCGGCGCACACTAGTCACGCTGCAACGCGGGCCCGTTGAGAAGCTCGATGTACCCTCCGATCTACCGCCGCGATACCACTCTCAAATACCGGAAAGATACAGACCTGATAGAGGTGGGTAGTGATAAGCAATTCACTGAGAAGCTAGGTGCGCTGACGACTTTGTTAGGAAAACGAGAGATAGTAATACATCGATCGCCCCGATCTGAAACCGAGACCTGCAAAGATCCCATTGCGATCGTGGACAGCCGACAATTGGCTCTATTGGATCCCACAGGAGCGCGGGCAAAGCTGTTTGACAAGACCAACAAGGACCGCGCAAAGGTTGGAGATATTCTGCTTGCAACCTTCACCTCGGGCGAGCCCGTCTCGGGGGTGATTCTGTCAATCAAAGGCTCGGGGCCTCACACGTCAGTCCTGTTGCGCAACCAGTTGACAGGTATCGGAATGGAAATGCAGATCAAGGTGCACAGTCCACTGGTGCAGAGCATGGAAATAGCACAGAGAGCGCCGAAGAGAAAGAGGAGGGCGAGAATCTACTATCTGAGGAAACCGGAGCACGACATAGGAAGTGTGCAGAAAGTGGTCGACCAGTATCTAAGGCAGCGAGCCATGCTAACCGGTGGGAGACCATCAAGTCAATTGGGACGTTCGAGACCGAAGAAAGGGAAGAGATGATATGTTGGGATTTGTGTATTCAAAGTGAATTCTCGGGGACCATGAGGCAACACCCTTCACGTTGGCCTCAGATCGGCTTCAATCTTGTAAGACAACCGTGAATGTTTTCTCCTGTTCAAATTGACTTGGATGAGATTGTACCAAAAGACTCAGGCACATGCAAAAATTCTTGTTTCCTGCCTCACTCGCAGCTCAGTTTTCTCTGACTGGTCCTTGGAATCCCCTATCGCAATTCACTGCGAGAGTCTCTCAATTCTTACGGCGCAAGTCAACAGTGATCTCTCGTCTTCACTGCCACCGAATCCCAGCTCTCCCGTCTATAAATACCTCCTCACTACCATCCGGTCGCTCGATCGACTCTTCTCTCACAATCTTCTCTCATCCCTCATCTCTTGTGCTTCCACCAACAAGCCATGATCGGGATGAAGCGCCAACTTCCCCCAACAGCAATGTCCATTCCCTCCACTCTGATATCTGAAGTTCCGCCGCCGCCGTCTCATGATGAACTCCTCCAGAAGCTTCGTGATCTGAATTTGGCCGTCAAACCAGATATTGACCACAGAACTGCCAAGAGGCTCACGCAACTGATTGACCGCATCAATTCTGACGAGGACCTCAAACAGTATCTGAATGATGCCTTTGCCAGCAACAAGTCTTCTGAATCATCCAACGGTGGCGATGATCCGGTTACGGTCGCTCCAAGTGAGTGTGATCCCTCAGCAGCTTCAAGCTGCCCTTACGTTCAGACCTCTCAACGCTAAATTGCATGACAGTTCCTATCGACCCGGCTTTGAACTCAGTCGAAAGCCCTTCGGACAACGACTCTGGCAATAAATTTGCACATGAGGTTTTCGAGGACCAAATGTCAGACGGCGATTCGAGGTAAGCCACGAGCTGGTGAGGAGGCAGATGAGGGATCAGTGAACTAATTCAGGCTTTCTGGTCGCTTTTGCAGTCGATTCCGCGGCAAGCCTGTCACGGTCATGGTCAGAGGCACGGAGTACTTTGTGCATGAGCGAATTTTCGAATCCATGTTCCCCCATGAAGTTGCCCCGGAAGCAGGTGGCATTTTCGAGCTCGACGACCTTCCGAAAGATCTATTCGAAGCAGTACTTGAGGGTGAATACGGCACGGGCATTGGTATCCGTGAGTGGCTTGATGACATCTGTCTGGAAACGCTTGAAGACTTTGCGCTCAAGTACGGGAACATGCCCCTGCTTGCCACCGTCTATCAGATTTTGCCAATTGATCTTGGTCAGAAGGAGACCCTCGCTCGAATTGCCGAAATTTACTGCTGGCATCAAGGAGCCCCTGTAGCATTCAGAGGTTTCTTCCGGGATTGGTTGAGACAGGAGCTCCCGCAACGACTTAGGGATGGATCGTCTTGGGATCTCATCTCGTTGATTGCAAACGAGTTTCGGAATGCTGGAGATGGCATGGAAGATGTGTCTATGGTACTTCACGGACTGTGGACTGCAAACACGACTACGGCGAAGCCCTGTGGAGCTGGGGTCGTTTCTCAAGACAACATCAAGAACAACTCGGACAACTGCCACGGCAGTCGATCGGCAAATAGCGCAAACGACGTGGAATGGTGCACTCTCGTTGGGGATCTGGCGCCCAACAACGGGTGGGTGAATGATGTGGATGCCGGTGTCAAACCATCAAGCAGTTGGAAGATTCCATCTGCCGACCATTCTGCGTCAGATCCTTTTCCGGCTCAGTTGGACCCTGTTCAACCACCTGCTCCGCCGGTCCAATATATCTGGGGCCATACAACATCGCGCCATCTGAACACACCCAGTTTCATGCCCGAACCGCCTCCAGCTCCGGCCTGCCGTTCCAGCTCTGCCGCAGCACCCCTCAACGATGCCGTCCCTCCACCGAAAACATCCGCCCTCGCGCGTTGTCTGCACCTTTGGTTGGGCAAACAACATGGCGAACTAGGTCGGCCCAGGGCGTTTACCGCTGAAGAAGTCGCTGCCGGCTTTATTTGCACGGTATCGGAGGCGAGATTGCTCCTTTCGGAACTTGTTGGCGCTGGGCTGGTTGTGAATTACGAGTGCCTGTACCATGTCGAGCCTCCGAAAGCGGCCTGCACTTCCAGCTGGTATTATTGAAACAGGGCCCCAGTTGATTTGGATGGATCTGGCCACACACTCTCGGAGCACGCACTTTTCACGACGTGCGAAAGCAATTCGGCCTCAACATGCCCAGTACTTTCCAACATACATGCTGATGAACAGCAGCTCTCTCCACCACCGAGTTTGTGGCACATGTCACACGAAGCTGGAATGCAAGGGCATATTGACGAAAAAAGCACACGCCTCCACTAGAAGGGCAAAAAAAAATCCGGAAAAAAGACAAATCTCACCAAAAACAGAAAGAGTATCCAAGACATCGAGCACGTTTCGTTTTTCTTTTCTACGGTTGAATCTCTTCGAAGTCAGAGGGCGCGAGTTGGCGGCGCTCATCAAAACGGAGCATGGAATCAAGACGGAGGTGAAGCAGAAAGTCACATAGCTAGATAGATCGTCAACTTTGAAGGTCCGAGCTTGGGCTGGCTGGCTGGCTGACGAAACAATTCAAGTGGTATGGAGAACATGATGAGCAACCTTTTTTTCCTTTCTTTCTTTCTTTCTATCGTTATCAAATTCATGTCATTCCCACTAGCATGATTATTTTGTTTTCCCTTGCATTCGTATGGTTGTAGTTGCTGGACCCTCCCGAAACGAGCTCGGCCTGCCTATCCACTCTCTAGATGTCCCCAACCCACGCATTCATGTGAATCTGAATACGTGTGGACGTTTCATGACACGGGGTAACTCTGGTCCACTTCGTCCGTCGACGCGATAGAGTGGCACGGGGTTGGCTCAGAGCAGGAGCAACGTATAATCCTCATCGACCTGCACATGGATGTTCTCGAGCGTTATCTTTCCACCCACCACCGCAGGTCCTTTGATCGTCACCTGTATTACATTGAGTCAAGAAATCAGCACTGGTGATTCTGGAATTGAGATGGACAGCTAGACCATAACGCTTCCCTAGAGTTAAAGGAAGAGGTGTGAAGGAGGAATGCTGGATGCAGCAAATACAGGCATTGAAACATACCGTTGCTCCTCGTGGAGTGCGCGACCCCATGACAGGCTCCTCCCCGGCTAAATTGACCTCCACGCTGCTAAGCGGCGCGCCGACGCAGCATACTTTATCGCCTTTATCACGATAATCAAAGATGTTGGTCTGCGCAATCGCGCCCGCCACAGACGGACTCGTGAGGGCGTATCCAATCCGGCATTTCAAGTGCGTGCGAATACTGTGCAGTGTCGACGACGACAAGCGGCCTGATGCCGGGGTCGTGACTGATTGAGGAATGAGAAGGACACGGAGATGCGAGAGGGTGTCGGACGCGTTCGTCTGCTTTGTTGGGAGATTCCCCTGCTGCAGAGTGCGTGTAGTCATGTACTTCGACAATCCACCAGGAAGGGTTGTGTTTGGGTGGGATAAGTATGCTTGCACGGTCGCGGGAGAGGCGAGCACAACTGTCGGAGAGGTCTGGGAGGTGGCATGAGCGAGATCGATATTATCTCCCGAAACGGAATTGAGTGACAGCGTTGCATTGGAATAGAGGGCGGCAAAGATCCAGCAAAGAGTGTAGCTGTCTGTTAGAGGTGTGGTTGGGAGCAACGAGTCGCTCGGGCTAAGCTTTTGAGCGCGTGGAAGGGTAGCGAGAAGTGCAGCGGTGCCGGATATCAGGTTCTGAAAGAGGGGCCGGTCAGCATACCAGGATGATCAATTGACAGATGAGGCTTGGCCGGGAAAGGCGGAGGGCCAAGGTGAGAGGGAAGAAAGGAAGCTCACTTCTGAGGTGTATTTGACCAGGTCAAATCCTCCACTAGCAGTCGGGCAAAAAATCAACACGGGTGGGACCTGAGAATCCTTGTCCAAAGGCAAAACCTCCGAGTTGGAGGGTCTCTGGTTCTTCTGTACAAGTTCCTGCCACGAGCTAACCGCAAACCCTTCGGGGGAACCTTCTGTCCATTCCATATGCTTGTTCTCCGATCGGGTGACCCAAATGATGTTCTTGATGCTTTTGGCTGTCGACGACAGAGTCTCAAGGTCCAATGTGCCAGCTTCGGCAATCAAATGGTCGGCTGACACCTTGGAGAGAAGCGAGTTGAGCTTGTCAGGCGGCAGGCCGTATGGGAGAAGAATTGTCGAGAAGCCATAGAACGAACCAGCTAATTGGGGACGGTAAGAAACTCGACAAGGGACCCAAGGGGCTGCAGATATTATTCAACATACCAAAAATGGAAGACAACAATTCCACGGAATTTGAGAGGCAGACTGCCACAGACTGGCCATTGTTTCGCTTCACGTACTGGCCGATGACATTGATTCCGAGCGTCAAGTCTTCCAGATTATGCTCGATGACCTTTTCCAGGCCGAGGACTGTCAAGACTTTGCCTCTTTGGCCCGTCGGGTTGCCCTCTTCATTGACCGCGCCACGGACTGCCGTCCTCCAGACATCCCGTAGATCTCCAGGCCGGCCGGAACTCCACTTTGGTGTTCCTGGGTCTTTGACACCCAGACCGGAGCGGAGAGGATAGCCATGTGGAATGTCGATGGCGCGGTAGACGGCCGACTCACCTGATTGACGAATGGGTGCAACCTGTGCTTGTCTTGCGAGCAGATATGGGTGAGTATCTGGGTCACGACCTGTAAGCACCGGGTAGATGAGGAACACTGCCAGAGCGAGCGCGAGAATAGTCGTCCAAATGTTCCATGACGAGAAGAATTCGGCGATGATGGCGTCGATGCGCTCTGCTAAGCCGGCCTCCGACATGATGGATCGACTTCAATGATGGATAACTCGAGTTGTCGTTGATGGACGTCGGGAATATGTCGAATGTTCGAGTCGAAGTTGCTCCGAATCGGCCTGGGATTCTTGGCTCGACTCCACTTGCTGCTTTAATCCCGTTTGAGAGCCTTGTTCAGCCTTATCGAGCCTTGCCACCCCACGGGCAGTGTTGGACCAGGTCTTCCACTCTATTCTTCCCGTATTTAGGGGCATATACTTTGGACAGGAATTCTCCCTACAATAATCGAACTTCAGCATTAGTATTTACGCATACAGCCTGCCAATCTATCATCCACAAACTTTTACCTTCGCTTTCGTGGCTCGGACATAGCAGTTTGCTCAGATAAGTGCATCCCTCCCCCCCGCCTGTTCTGTCTTGTACTTCTCGAACTGCTTGATGAACTCGTCTTTGAAGTCCTTGACGTTGTTGAGGACTAGTTTGATATGGGTCTTTTCCAATCTGCTCTTGCCTTGGGCGCGGGCCAATCCTAGCGCGCTGGTTACAATGTTTCGTATCTGGCGACCGTCGAAGCCCATCTTGACCACATCTTCGAGTAGCCATTCCTTGATGTCATCCCAATCTTTGACGAGACCTTTCTTGGCCAGTGGTCCCAAGAAACCCCCAAAGATTCCCATTGTCTGGTCCTCATTCAGACTGACGTATTTGAAAGCGACGTGGATGCGGGATTGGACGGCGACGTCAAATTTGGCGATTTGGTTTGTCGTAAGCATGAGAATTCCTGTAGACTTCATCAGTCTTCCATAATTCCTAACAGGCATCACATACCCTGATAGTACTCGAGCACACGAAGAAAGACTGCAGCAGCCGGTCAATACAAGCTCTCCACAGCCGGCGCATCTTCTTACCCGATACTAATGCGTTCCTTTCTGTGTTAGCAGCGACACCCTGTCCTCTACTCTCCAAAAACACGTCGGCCTCATCGCTGCACCACCCAAGTCAGTCTCATGGTAGACGCTGAGTGAAGACAGATGAATAGGAGCTCACATGAGAAGGATAGATTGCCACGAGGTAGCCAAGTCGAAGATCTTCTTCAGGTTGGACTCAACATTCTTTGCTTTTGTGCCCACGTCTGCAACGCTAATAGCAAATAGAGGCTTCCTAGCTGCCAGCGCTACCGTCTCGGCAGTGGAAGTCTTGCCAACACCGGGCGGCCCTGTGAAATATCAATATCTGGTCGTGCGCACGGTTACTCTGGGCTTGATTTACCATAAAGGAGAATCACCAATCCTTTCCCCTTTCTAGCGATGATGTCGTCGACTTCGAGGCGGTTGTCCTCAGATAAGTCGCTCTTCCCGTGGCCCTCCACCAAATCTAAAATCATCTTTTTGGTTTTTCCGTCGTCAGCGAGCTTGAGTCTTGTAGACCAAGCATCATCAGGGTCTTTGTCGGGGATCTTTGCTAGGAGGGAGACCTGTAGCTGAGCCCACTGCTTGTCCCCTAAGATGTATCCGAGCACGCGAGGAGGGCAAAGCATATACTGTTCATCCTCCCATTTGCCTCTTTGATATGCTTCTTCATCGTACTTGGTTCGGAAGATCTCATTTAAAAGATCGTTCTCCCGGCAGTCATTGCAATTGCACTGAGGACTATCATCGTCTGGCCAGAGAGCTCCAACACGTGCAACGGACGGACCGAACACGAAATATGATTCGAAGTCAACCATGACTCGACTGCTCACCTAAAGACAAAGCTTGAGCAATCTCCTGTTAGATGCTTAATGAAACTTACGTTTGCAGATTTAGGATGTGGAGCATGCTTTTGCGAACGTGAAATTCGCCTGCGCCTTAGATACTCCAGTTCCGCGTCAAGGAATGGTCGAGGGTCATCATCCTGAGTCAGGATTGAGCACATAGATCTCTGTCCGCGGGGAGGTACCTACCGAATCATCGTCTGCTTGAACTCCAGAGAACCCTTTCTTGACAAGCAGGGCATCTCCTCTGTAATCGAACAGCCGAGACCCTTGTGTGGCCGTGCAGAAGCTGCGAAACTTGATGCCCTGCTGGATCAGATTGTCCCTCACATTCCCCTGTTGCTCATGGAGCTCAAAAGGGTAATATGGCAAGGAGGTAATCGGCTTGGTCCCATCGAAATATTCAAACTCTAGCCTCAAAGAGCTTCTCTTGAACATGCTTCCATTCCAATCGTAGGTCCAAGCCAGCAGAGTCCATGTGGCCTGCTCGCGGGGTACAGAGTCTCGAAAATACGGCCATGCCCCCATGTTATCTTGGACCACAAAGACTTGATCTTGGCCTTGGAATGGTCTGCCATAGACTAAGGCGCCAGGGGGGAAGACCGTCCAAAGATTGTCGAACGTGACACAGTTTTGCTGTCTATGTGAATCTCGGGTTTTGAAATACTTATCCAGCTTTGCATCACCCGATGAGTTGGTGATCGTGTCAAGCAGAAGTTTCAAATCCGATCGAGCTTGCCTGTCGGCGTCGTTCCCAGACTCTTTCTTGGTGGCCTGTTCTAGCTTGTCCCAGTTGAGGACCAAGGCTTCGTAAGGTGAGTCGATGGTGCTTGGTGAGCCGCGGAATGTGTGGTATGGGTAATGGCTAAGAAGTCCTTTCAATAGTTCCCACAGGTTTTGGTCGACAATGTCAATCTCTCCATCATCATCTTCGCTATCTCCAACAATTTTCCGTAGAGTGAATGCATACGAGGTGTCTGTAGTCTCAGAAGCGTTGGTGGACTGATCTTCCGCAGGGAAGTCTCTGCGTTCGTGCGTTGCGGAGTCGGTCCTATTGATAACAATTCTCGCGCGAGACTTGGGACCTGCTCCTGTCTCCTCTTGCGATGGATTTGTATCGCTATTGCCAACTGGGTCTTTGGAGCCCGTGTCTTTGTCTCCAACTCCATTCATAGAAATGGCCTGTCTAGGTTAGCCCAGCCCGGAGAATTTCATTTCTGGTAAAGACGTTACTTTTGATGATGTTGTGTCACCCACATTTTCACCGGTTCTCCCAGCCGAAGCCTTACGCAACAAAACAGTTTCCTCTTGCAATTCACAATAGCGCTTCTCTAGAGAGACGAATTTTGCCTCCAAGGCTGCAAATTTGTCCTCCAGACTCGATTGAGGCTGAAGACTAGGAGCCGTATCCTGAGTCATCTTTCCCGCGCTCAGCGTATGCGCGCTCTTGAAACTCGGTTTGTGACTGAGCCATCCACCACCAGGAAATTGTGCTGCATATTTAACAGTTGTGTCCGCAAGTTGCCGGGGGCGTCAGGTAGAATCCCCACCTCCTTTACATCCTTGTCTAGGATAGTTGTTGACTTTCTGGCAGCTCCGTCTCGGACGATCTCCAGGGCCGAAACGCTGCGCCCCTCCAGCTCCTCAAGCATATCTCTGGGGCTAGGTCTGCGACAACAGAGCGTTCGGAATGGGTTGGCTGCAGGAGGAATTGCGACTGGGCAGTGGGCATTTCGTCCAGTTGAATGGTTGATTGGCTCGAGAGGGAGGCTGTTGGTTTGAGCTATTACCTGATGTCCGCCTAGTTATGTACAGCCGAACTGTTAGGCAACCTGACGGCGGCTAGGGGCCGAGCCAACTCCCATTTCGCGAGAAACCTGGCTAACAAACGACCAAGCCACCATTGCACTCCTCTCGATCACACTTTCAGCACTGTAGAGCACCTCTCCGTCAGTCTTGGGCTGCATGAGCTGGCCAGCGCCTTTCGATCTCCGCAATGTGGCCTAGGTGTCAGCCCGAGACTCAGACCCTAACCATGAGCCTCAATGGCCCCTGCTGTCCGCGCGGCAGGTGGCATTGTCAGGCCACTAGACAAGTCTAAAGGAAGCAGCATGCTCTTGAGGCCCAGAAGACGTCCTCTGGGCTTGGTTGACTCGCGAGTGCGGATTTTCGAACCTGTCAGGGTCTGACTGTTGCCATGACGTGTCAAGCTACAATCTCGTCTTCCAGCAGCAAGCGCTTCTCTGAAAAGGATCTGTGAGTATGAGTGTTGCAGCGCATATCCACTTGTCGGCTCACGACGCCATCTTTTCCCTAGGGAGACAATCAAGGCCTCAGAGATTAAGCAAACCAGATTCAAGGAGCTAGTTGTAGCGAACAAGGCGTACTCGGGAGCCGAGAAGAATGCTGTCAAAATTACCTCAGTGACGGAGTTCTATGCGTTCTGGGAAAGCACCGTCGAAGCCAGGAAAGATTTCGATGACAGGCATGAAAGGGGCTGTGGTCTATGGTCGAGGAACTACCAAAAGTCAGCGTCTGTGGTCCGCAGCTTCGTGAAAGACTTCTCCCCGATCCTGGATGTTGTGAGGGATTTCGCTGCACCATATGGAGGAGTTGCTATCGGGACGATTTCTGTTCTCTTCGCAGTGGGACCACCTGCTTCTGCTATTGCAAGAATGAGCTAATGCCAGTATCAGGTCGCTGCCAGCAAGAACGAGATGGAAATGTCGTTAGCATCAGCCATTAATGAGATTACCGATCGGCTACCTGGGTTAAATTTGTACAAACACATATACAACGACAACCACGAGCTCGACACAAAGCTTCAAGGTCGAATAGTGTCCGCTTACGAGATATTCATCGAGTTCTGTATCGAGGCAACGCAGTATTATAAACGCAAGGGACTTCGGCGGTGGCTGAGCGCCCTGGGTTCGCCAAGTGATCTTCGCGACAAGATTACAGAGACACAGAAGGTGATACAGGAGATACGACGGATATGCGATGAGCTGGTCGACAAGAACATCCACCTGATCAAACAACTAAATTTGGAGCAGAAAGCAACCATTCTGAGTCAGTACTCCGCATATTCAACGATAAAGACACTAACGATGATGCATAGGACTGGAAGAGGAGGTAGACCAGCTGCTGAAAGCCCAAGACAATCACGTACTCACCGAAATCCAACACTCTCTGGGCCTCTCCAGCTTTTCAGGCGAGAACCATCGCAAACAACTCGAACAATATCGCAGGGCTTTGTACAATGATGATCACCTTAATGCTCCCTACTTTGAGCAGATGCAGGGCAGACGGCTCGAAGCGTTCCGCGCCTGCAACGAGTATCAGTCCTGGAGCAATTCCAAACACCCCTGCCTCTTGATCCTGTCGGGCCACAACGACAACAGCATACGTTACTTGGATCACTGTTGGGTCTCTCCTGTGGCCATGACTTTGATCGCAGATCTCAGCAACGGGGACAACGATCGCATTCATGGGTGCTACGTATTTTCTTCGAGGGGCGAGTCGCTCTGCCACGCCTTCTCAGTGGTCCTCTTGCAACTGTTCAGCAAGCGGAGCACGGTCCTACGAAACAAAAGCCAATGTGATGAGCTTCGCGCAGAGTTGAACAATCTACGTCAATTCCACATTGCAGAGGGAAAGCCCGCGAGTAATAATGAGACCAAGAAACTCTCCACGTTCGAACGCGTCGCGCTTCGGGCAATCGACTTCTTCAGCGAGTCGGATCAGGTGCACATCATCCTCGACAGGGCTGACCGCTGTTGTGACTTGTTCAAAGGGGTGGACCACCGGAAGGCGCTGTTCAAGCTCCTGGTGAAGCTGGTGGAAGCGGCACGGTGTAATCTCAAAGTCCTGGCGGTCGTCAACGGTGACCAGTGGAACATCGAGACCAGAAGAGATGAGCTAGGACAAAGGATGGACGGCAGGGTCATATTGCACACTGCTGTGCAAGGCATGCGCGATTAGCACATGGATAGCTGACTTGAAATCCTGATACGTGTCATGAAGCTACACTGCAAGGAATGGAAGGGGTAATATTTTGAAAATCTGAATGGCGTAAGGTCGACTTGTTGTACAGTGACACTTTTCTGATGGATATATAGCTTCATGAACTGAAATTATGACAAATCAAAACACTACAACCAACGACTACGCTGCCATCGGTTCAGCCACTCTCTGTCATTAGATATATTGATATCTGCTAGCAACCCGGCATCACCGAGTAACATACGACAAACACCGAACCCTGACAGCCTAAGCTACCTGTTGAGCCAGATATTGCCGTGTCTCTTTGATGGCATCGTAGCTATACAACCACTGCAGGAAAGGCGGACTCGGGAAAGGCGCATGCATGTTTGCTGGCGGGCGAGGCTGCGCCCTCCTCTCCTCTTCCGGTCGCGCCAACTCGGCCTGGTCAATCTTGAGCTGCTTGGCCAAGAAGGCATTGCGCGCCGGGGCGTCGTCGCCGTTCAGAAACACCACCCCGTCGTGACTCGCAGCCTGGATGCGCTCGACGCGCGGCTTGCGGAGCGCCTCGTACGCCCTTGTGGCGTCCGCGATCGGCCGCCCGTTTTCCCACGCCCAGCCGACGCATTCACCCAGGACGGCGCCGTCCTCGATCGCGCAAGAGCCGCCCGATCCGGCGTGAGGGAGCATGGCGTGCCATGCGTCCCCGAGAAGGACCACTCCGCCCTTCTCGCTCCGGCAGGTGCTCAGGGGAGGGAGCTCGGCCACCCTCCACTGGACGCAAGGTCCGATGTTGGCCAACAGGTCTCGTATCGTCGGGCAGGCGTCCCCAAACTCGGCGGCGACTTGCGCCGGATCGGCCTTGATCCCCCAGTAGCCGTAGGGAACATTGCAACCATCGCCAATGCACACGACAACATCATACGGCCTGTGCGGGGGTAAGGGCCAAGACAGTATGTATTTTCCTGGCATGAACCATCCTTGGCTGGTGCCCTGCGTCAACAGCCAGATCAGATTCGGGTTCGATGCCATGGCGTCTTTGTCGACCGTGCATCGGTAGGCTTTTTCGTCCGAGGGTATGAGCTCGACGGAGGCCGTTGCAGGGATGGAGCCGCGGACCGCGGAGCGCAGCCCATCTGCTCCCACGACGAGGTCGGCCGAAAGGGAGCGTCCGTCCTTGAGGTGCACCGTGTTGGTGTCAACGTCGACACTGGTGACTTCTGCATCGAACAGGATCTTGGTGCCGTAACCCTGAGCGCCTTTGGCGAGGAGCTGTTGGTAATCCGCGCGGTGGATGCTCCACTTCGCCGTGCCCCAGAGGACGCTGCTGTGGTTTCCTTCATTGTGGAAGATGGCGCCCAGGGTCTCATTGTTCGCGCCATCCCGAAGATCGATATATCTGTTTTCGGTGACGCAGGGCCTAAACTGCTCCTCGAGTCCGTAGTCCTTGATCACCCTGACTGCATGGGAATCGATGCTGATGCTGGCGCCGAACTCGTTCAGCTCTGGTTTACCTTCAAGAACTGTCACGTCCAGTCCTCTACGTGACAGAGCAATAGCAGCCGACAGACCGCCAATGCCGGCGCCCACTACCAACACTGAATAGGGTTTTGGAGGACGGTCAATGCTTCCCATTGTGGTGACTGATCAGTAGGAGAGAAAGTCTAGAAGCATACTCCGATCAAGGGAGACAGCTTTGAGAAGAAAGGCCTCCCTTTTAAAGTGAGAGTGAGCCCACCTGCTTACCTGAACATACGACCGTGAAGACTCCCGCTGCCCGCAGGATGTAGACATCGTTATGCCGGTCAGCTAAGGCCGCCTCCATCTTTGCGGACTTCATTGAGGCAAAAATGCTATTTCTCCGAAGAGGCTGTCATAATATCGGACGCCTTAGGGAAGCGGGATCTGAGCGTAGAGAAAGAAAAAAGGTTCTCATGGGGTTGGCTATACGAGGTCCATCGTATGGAGCCAATTGAAGTTGAGTGATAGGCGGCAAAGTTCTCGATCCCTATAAAGATGTTTCCCAGAGAAAGTACCAAACCCAGTATTACAAGGCCTAGATACGAGGAAGTAAGCGAAAGACCATGGCCAAGAATCAGAGTTGGTGTTTTTACGCACTTGGCAGGTCAATAATATTATCTCTGATTGCTTCCCGTTCTCTAGGACGATTCGGTCAGCGTCTGAGATGATCGGTCAACATCCCCAATTTCATACTTTTAGAATCAGTCGATTTGGTGCGACATTGAGTCTTTCACAGGAGTTGGGTTCGGACAGTCCCAACATCTAACTAAGTCTTCGTCTTCGAATCTGCCTACCAGAAACGCCCATGCCCAACATGATGATGCGAGCGCCCCTCATAGTCTGCTCTGTGGTTGGTAGAACTTCCGACTCCTTTCAATGGCCTCCACGGCCTCGCTCTCGATTCTCGATAGAAGCACCTGGCACGTGGGAATGTCGTGAATCAATCCAATGACTTGGCCAGCAGTCCAGACGCCGAAGTCCTTGTCTCCGTTGATGAAGACCTCTCGCCCACGCTTCCCAGACACGAATGGGGCCACCTCTTCAAATTTCCCCGTTGTGCTGCTCTTCTCGATCGCGACAGCCTCCTGGGCAACTTTGTTCTTGAATAGTCTGGAAGTGTTCTTCCATCTTCTCAACACAAGCTCGGTGTCATGTTCCGAGGCATCCACAATGGCCTGCTTGATGTTCACATGGATTGGCGCTTCGACAGTGCACATGAATCGGGTGCCCATGTTGATGCCTTCGGCACCCAGGGCCAGGGCGGCAGCCAATCCCTGGCCATCCGCAAAGCCGCCAGAGGCAATAAACGGTGCTCCGAGTGATTGTCTTGCTCTTGACAGCAGGATGAAATTGGTAATATCTGATTCACCCACATGGCCAGCACACTCGAAGCCGTCAATCGATAGGAAGTCCACACCCAGCTTCACAGCCGACTGAGCGTGTCTGATGGTAGTACATTTGTGGAGGATAATGATGCCGGCGCCTTTCAGCAGCTTAATGACCGGGCCAGGCGAGTTGCCTGCTGTCTCCACCACCTTGATTCCCTCATCGATGCAGACTTGGGCGTACTCGCCGTAGGGCGGAGCGTTCATCGTGGGCAGAAGAGTGATGTTGACGGCGAAGGGGTTCTTGGTCATGGTCCTGCATTTCCGGATCTCCTTGCGCAGGTCCTCAGGGGTAGGTTGGGTAAGAGCTGTGAGCTAGGGTCTGATTAGTGCCATTGACAATTGTCGAAGCGTGCCAGAGAGACTCACGATACCAAGACCGCCTGCGTTGGATACAGCAGATGCTAATTCGGCATATCCCACCCATTGCATTCCACCTTGTACGACGGGAACTGTTCGATTGTGAGCAAGCTTCCCGTGCAGAGTGGGCTCTAGAATGTACCCTTGATGCCGAGTCGGCGCGTAAGTTCGGTGTTGAAAACCATTGTGGTTATGGTCTTGGATTCGCACGTGAAGGAGTCAGCGGTAATGGAGGACTTGAGGGTCTAGTCAAACTCGTGCGCAATACAACAGCCGAACAGAACAGGAGAAAAACAAGGGGGAACTAGAGAGCGAATATAAGCCAGAACACCTTGCCTTCCTTCAAATACCAGATCGTAAATGACCCGAGGTGGTTGCGATCACAAATGCGATGGGCGCAGGAGACGCATGCAGAGTTGTGGGGGACTCGACCACAGCCGGGGACCGAGGCAATTAAGCTCCCAGGACTCTTAAGGCCGTGACAGCACGGACTCGACATTTGCCGATGGATCACCTCAGCATAAGGAATGCCAATGCCATCTATCAGCATCCCGAGGGGCAATCAACTCCACAGCCTTGCGTGTTTGCACCCTCAACTGTTCGAAGTTGCATCCTGATTGATGCTCCCGTGGAAGGGAACAAGGGAGAAACCCGGAGCCGCAGTCGGTGCCTCGGACCGCAACATTGTTTATCCGATCCGAACCAGTCGCAGCTATTTACCATCTTCTCGTCGACGATGTTGAAAGCAATGAACCAAGAGGTAGCGACCTTAGCGGTCATGTATTGTCCCAGCCTGCATCTTCTCCGTATAGGGCAGAAGAAACAACAGCCGTGAATGTTACGCTTGGACTAACACAACAACAAATGCGCAGTGATTAAAATGGGAAAGACTTTACCAACCCCAAGTTGCGCCTAGGTGCCTAATGAAGCTCCATTCAACCACGTTTCTACCAGGATATGAACACATGAACCCGTGCAGACACTATATCATGCTGCGGTATTGATCTGACACAACTCAGAAGTCCTCGCGAGGTCTTCGGCCGTAAGGCTTGGACGACGACGATTGGGCTAACTGCCAGCCTCGCCTGAGCCTCGCGGAATGTTCTGTAAAGGGAATAGTCTGCCTTGGTATTCTCGTCATGACACTGTATGTTTTCCACCTCAAAATCAAACCACAGCCATCTCCCTTGGTGAGTATCCATACAATGTCATTCTAGAGGCCCTGAGGCTAGATAGACATCTGCCGATACAAACTGTCATTGTCCTCCGAGTCAGGTTCGTACAGGCTTGCACAGGCTCCAGCGATCGGACTGAAACTCGTATTTTGGTTTGGCTAAACACTTTCTATGATTCATGATTTTGATGGCCCATCTTGATTCGACAACTTTCCCATACGACAATTGCGCTAGATCGAAAACAACTCTGTTGCGCGAAATGCCTGCTTGGCCTATGCGCAAACACTATTGTGGTATCCCTTGCCTTGTTTACATGGGGGTACGGGGTACGTCGTCGCAGGGGATACCATGGATCAAGTTAAATACTCTCTTGGGGGCACTTCACTCCTCCTAGAGTTGCCGGTTTCTATACTGCCATTTCCCCTTCTCCAATCTGCCCTTAACAGAGCTGCGAGACAGGATTTTCTTCGAAAAATAGGGATACCTTCTTATTTATAGACTTTGTTGCTGAATCTCTCCAGCGAACGTTCATAATGTCCGTCAACCCAGCTCACGTCAATCCGCTCGACTGCAACGAAGTATCTGAACAATGCCCCGTCAAAGCCTCGATTTATGGGTACTATCCCATTCTAGCATCCAACGCCTTTTTCAGTGCCCTGTTTGGCCTTTGCTTCATTGTCAACTTCGGCCTCGGCTGGCGCTATAGGACCTGGTCCTACATGCTTGCAATGTGCCTTGCATGTGTGTCTAGCTGCATCGGCTATGTTGGCCGATGTCTCATGCACCGAAATCCCTTCGACTCTGTCGGCTTCGAGATTCAGATCTGTTGCCTCACATTTGCCCCCGCTTTCAACGCTGCCGCGATATATCTGATTCTGAAGCACCTGGTCTTGCAGCTCGGCAGAGAATTATCAAGGATCAGACCGAAATACTACACATGGGGTTTCATTACAGCCGATTTTCTTGCCCTGACGCTACAAGCAGCCGGTGGAGGGATTGCAGGATCCGCCGGAGACGACGAGAGTTTCCGAAATGTCGGAGACAGACTCATGATTACTGGCATCTCCTGGCAGGTCTTGACTCTCTTGATATTTGGAGCGACCACTACCGACTACTCGATTCGACGTTTGAAATCTCAGCCGCTTCCCGATCCCGCGCGCTCTCTAATTCACGATGTGAAGTTCCAGGTCTTTGTTGTGGCCCAGTTAATCGCTTACCTCGCCATCTTAATTCGATGTGTCTATCGAGTTGCCGAGATGGCTAATGGCTGGCGCAACCCAATCATGCAGAACCAAGGTCTCTTTATCGGGCTTGACAGTGTGTTAGTACTGCCCCTACCCCCAAACTTTGACAAGGCTCTGATGAGCGATCCAGCCAGGTCGGTTCTGCCACAATCATTCAGACATTTCTACACCCTGGATATTTCTTCCCAGCCCTCGCAAGCTATAGTAACCGGAAAGGGGCTCGAAAGACAGATAATGTCCCGGAGGAATCGAGCAGTAGTGAACTTCGGGTGGAGAAAGCCATGGTGTAAACTGTCCCATGTTCGGTTCGATAGGGGTTGAATCGGTCGATAGGCTACGTTCGCAAACCACAGAGTATCGCAGCGGCAGAGAATCTATCTCCAAGCTAGCATCAGGCATTAATACACAACCTATTATTTGGTGGTCCTTCGGGGGCAACGCCAGGGGCACGACAGCCTTGCGACATGCGCAATGTTGCTCGACCCACAATTTCTTGGCTCGTCGTCATTCAGACTCCGACTTGCCGACTCCCGCAACTGTGGTTCTTCACTTCACCATGTGGTGAGTTACACAACACCATCCGTCCACCTTCGTTTTAGCCCTGTTCAATGCGCTGTAGAGGTCACTCTTCTGTCCCGTGCCTAAGTCGCTTATAAGCCTATCTGCAATGTACGGTATGAGCCATGGGTGCGTCAGAGTCGAAATTGGTATTCAAGCAAGGCATCTTCAGACTCTCAGAGGAGCGAAACATTGCAGCCAATGACCCATATTGGACAAATGTGAGCGACATTATACTAGTTGTGAAGTAGCGCGCTGACAATCGCAGTTCTGGGAGCTACCTGAATCCGCCGAGGATGTCTTCAGCCTCTTCTCCCATACCGATATACGCAGGACCCGAGATTCTGCGCTCGAGAACCTCGAAACCCTGATCCTAGCCGTTACATCGCGCCTGATCGTGTTGAAGAACCACCCCTCGTTCCCAGATCCTGATCTTGCCCCGGAAAGGGACGCTCTTAATTGTATACGAGTCCTGACCCGACTCCTGCCATACGTGTATGAGGTAGATGACTTGGCAGAATGGGAAGAGAAGTTTTTCTGGGGCTTGAGGCGGCGCCGGACGAGAAGGTCACAGGTCTCAGGCGAAGTGCTGTTCGACGACAATCAGATCGAGGGAAACACTCCTACAGACAATCGTGAGCAGGAATTCGAGGATGTGAAACCACTCGCGGAAGAACTTATAGATACTTTGACCGATCTCCTCTTCTATGCCGGTTTCACGATCCCTGACCTACCGCAGGCAAAGAGCAAGGTTACCTACGCAATCTGGCAGAGTGGTGTGGGCTGCAAATCCTCCATACCCACCAACAAAGAACTCGAGAGCAATCGATGCGAGGTCCTCAGGCTTCTTCTGACCCTATCGAGCAAGGCGATGTACACGCATTCCAATCTTCTTCCTGTTCAAGGCGTCCGAGCGATCACATACCTAGCCACCTGTCCAGACAAGCAGATTGTTCTCTCCGTTCTGTGTTCTTTGATCAATACCACGATCAAATCCAATCTCGGCTCATGGCGTCTTCCCTACGACCATGTGGTTCGCAAGGACTCCAAGCAAACCCTTGTCGTCTACAGCTTGCAACTCCTCCTCGTCCTTCTGCTGTATCCGGTCCCAGAGAGCGGAAATGGTCCTTCTCCGAAGAACTTCTACCGCCATTATCTCGGTCGACTACATAGACCGGAGGATTTTCAGTTTCTCGCCGATGGTATGACTCGAGTTTTAAGCCAACCAATGCAGGCTACGACCTCCTACCTACCTGGAAGCCAGAAGTCGGTCAAGTGGGCTCCAGAAATGATTATGCTCTTCTGGGAAGTACTCCAGTGCAACAAAAGATTCCGGGCTTTTATCATAGAGTCCAATCGTGCGCACGATTTCGTCATTCTCATGCTGTTCTATGCTATCGAATACAAGACCGACGCGTCCAAGCAAGGTATTGTGAGAATGTGCGTTTTCGTTCTCCAAACCATGAGCGTCGAGTCAACCTTTGGGAACAATCTCAACAAAAAGTTTGAAGCACAGGATACGTTGCCTCCATCCATTCGTTTGGCAAATTTCAAAGGCACCTATGCGGATTTCCTGATCACGTCGATTCACACACTCATTACAGGGAGCAAGGGCAAACTCGAAGCAATTTATCCTGCCTTGCTAGCCATCATTAATAATATGGCAGCATACGTGCAACATCTGTCTTTGGCAGCAAGCACCCGATTGGTGCAGCTACTCGTGTCAATGTCCACACCAAGCTTCCTTCTTGCGAATGAGAGCAACCATGTCCTACTCCGGGCACTACTGGAATCTATCACTACCATAATAGAGCACCAGTATGCGTCCAATGCCAATCTGATATATGCTGTCTGGCGGTCAAGGAAACGTATCGAGGGCTTGAGACAGTTTACGCTGGAAGGAGGTCAAGCAGAAATTGAACGAGCTGCTCAACGTCGCAAGGAGAGCGCTCTGGGCGACAACACACATGGTGTATCCAGATCATCTACCATGGAAAACCTGTCTTCGCCGGTACCTCGCAGTGGAATGTCGCCAAACCCAGAAAGTGCAGTGGACGGAACGTTCGCCATAGGAGATTCGGACGACTCGGACAATGAAGAGCCACCGACTCCTTCTCAGTCAACACACTCCATGCAGACCTCTCGGACACCTTCAATAGCCTCGTCATCCATACCTGAAGACCACGTTCCCGTCCAGCTTTCGGGCATGTCAGAAAAGGCCAGGGGTAAGATGCCTGCGAACGCCCCAACATTCTCCCGACAAAACAGCACAACCAGCCTTTCGGGTACTTCGACATATGTCGCAGGCCGTGGCTCGTTCACGGCCACTACAGAATGGCTAGAGAGCTGGCTACCCGAACTGCCGCTTCACACTCTACTTACTGTAATCAAAGTTCTCTCGACGCATCCGTTGGCATCACCACGAGTTAGCAATGCGGGAGCGACTCATGGCGATACCACAAACCCTCCCTCGGTCGCTTCCTCGCGTCGCTCATCCCTTACTGGAGGCGACGAGCCCGCGACGATAAACTCCCCCACTGCAAGTCCAACCGACTTCCGCTCTCAGATTCCCTCCACAGCCACGCACCCCGCTATCGCCGCGATCCTTGCTTCCCCATCCCCCATTCGAGTACACCTTTTCGAGTGGTCGCCGCTCTCCCTCGGCTGGTACATGTCCGTCCTTTGGTCACTGATATTCACCGCGGAAATGACCATCTCACCGACCTCCAGCACAGCAGCTACGTTGACGGGAAGTGGAGTGATGGCTGGGCCGGTTGGCGTTTGGAACGGGACAAACGTGAAGTTATTCCAGGTTGCGACCGAGGGCAGAAGAGAAGGCCCAAGCTTAAGCCAGCCAAGAGGAGCGGTGGACGCTGTGGGCAGTCGGATTGTGCAAGGGGTTCAGGGGTTGAACCTCGGCGGTCTGGTCTCTAGAGTGGGAAGTGGAGTGAGAAGTGTCAGTGCGACCAATATTACTGACGGTGCTGCACCAGGCAGAGGCACCACAAGAGAAGTCTGATCTCGCTGAGCATTTGCAACATCTGGGACTTGAGAGTGGTCGGTCAGGGTAGACCAGGCGCTGGTGCTGCGGTATGAAGCGTTGAGAGATGAAGAGCAAGACATGCAGTTCACGACGATGGCGTTTTAGAAAGTCCCCTTTTCTCAGGCATGGGCGTCCCTCCTTGTTTTAAATCTTTCTCTATTTCCCCGGTTTGGCGAATGTTCTCGGGGGTTGTGGACGAGCGAGCCCTTTTCAGACACCGGCGATTACTAGGTAGGTATGAATCAAGTACGGCGTCTGGCGTGCGTGGGTGGTTTGTTAGAGGCCGAGCCCTCATCCTCGATTTATAGTCGACATGAAGGACATGAAAATGCTTTTCCCTTTTGGCTCGAGAGAAACGTGGAGCGGGAAGAGGGATGAACAATCGGGAGACCATTTCATGTCTCTCTATCGTCACCTCAGGAAAGCCTGATCCGTACTGCTGTACATCGAAGCCTGAAGTCCTGTCTGCAAACCGCGACTCTTGGCTTGTGATTTCATTCCAAATTTGTACAATGCAGAGGAATACGTTCCCTGATATGAGTAAGCTCTCCATCTCTAAATGGGAAACACAGTCGCTCTGTGAAGAAAACGCCACTTGTGGAAGGTGGAATGTTGGATAACCTGAACGCTACATAACCAAAGCTGCGCCCGCTCAACCTCAGAAGACGCCGAAGGAATCGCTCTTGGGTAATTTTCTACCCTTGTCATATAACCATTTATAGTTCAGCCCTGGAACGACCTGCGAGGCTCTTGTGGGGGACGGTGACTTCGGCTCTAGGCTCTCTCGTCTTGGTCTTCTCTCACGCATACTCTGTGATCGACTGAGGCCTCCATTACTACCACTGATCGGTCCAAATGAAGAACGAGTGCTCATGCCAAAGTCACTGTCTGGGATTTGCGACGACTGGTTCTGGCTTACAGCTTTGTGGAATAGTGGGCTCGCAGTAGGAGAAGGGGAAAATGGTGAACCCGAGGCTGTGCGCCGGAGGGATTGTGACGGCGTGGGCGAGAAGCCGAGAGTGTAGCGGGACGTAGACAGAGGGGACGAGGAGTAGTTTGCTGAAATACTGCGACGGTCGATCGAAGCAGAACCATAACCCAGTTGAGAGCTCGTTGTGGGACTGCCGCTAAAGGAGCCAGAGAGGCGTCGGTAGCGCGGAGGAGTGATGTAGCTGGCCGGTGAGCCGGCTGGGCTTTGGCTTGGGTGGACGGACGGACGGAGGCCTAAGAGAGACCGTTGGGAGGGTGTCAAAGGGATATCTGTGATTTGGTCCTTCTTGGATATGTAGGGCATGATGGGTCGGAGGAGAAGGATTATATTCAGGCAGAAGAGAAGGCGGATGATGAAAAGGGCAGTCTGCGAAATTTGAGCGGGGTCCGTGATGCCGCTGGATTTGAGTAGAGGAGGAACACTGGTTGCAAGTCAATCATTGACACTTGAAACCCCCAATTTAAACATACCTGCTGTAGTATACATCACTGAAGATGAATGTGGCAAGCAGCGCAGCGGCATTGGTCACCGCACCCTTAACACTTCTGTCTGTAAGTGCTGTAGCGGCATTCCTCCTCAGAATCTCTGTTGTCAACGGGTGTCTGAACTTTCCTGGTGTAGACGGAGGAGTAGGAAGCTCTGCAGGTTTGGGCGAAGGATTCGACAGAGAAAGGCTGAGACTCTGCGCTCTTCCCGAGACATTGCTGGGGGCACTTGTAACGGCTGTTGTGACCTGTGACACGGGTTTTTGTGCATTCTGAAGGGCGGGATTGTAGCTAGACCTCGAAGAAGAGGGAGAGGGAACCAGAGACGTCGCGGTCGTTGACATGATGCGCAAATCCGCTGGGTTGGGGGATCAGCAGAGTTCTAGTCAGGTTCTTGGAGTTGTCTCACTTACCAAAAGGAAGACGGGAACAGACGACTCACCTGTCGAAGTGTCAGCTTAACATTATTGTTGTGTCTTGTCGTGTCGTGTCGTGCTCTTTTGTGAAGCGTGGTCGTCGAGGGAGTTGAAGTGCACGCTTCACTTTCATTGTTGACTCTTTCCGCACTCGGATCGGCTAAGTTGCTACAAACGGCACGACCAATTACTCGCCTCCTTGAGCATCTCTGTAGATATTCCAGGGTGTCCAAGGACAAAGGTCTCGAGTAGTGTCTCTGGCGCACAAGCAGTACGACGGGCTCTCAAAAATATATATGAGCGGAGGCTTCATTTTAGAGAAAGTGAGCATGCCGACATGATTGTATTCTCTCTGCTAGCTCACTCTAGAAGGGCAGAGGGCTGGTTGGAGACGACATCTTGTTGACGATAGGCCCAGCCAACCCGCAACATGCGGCCAACGCTCTATGTTGTGCTCATTTCCAGGCCTATGGAAGGAGTAAGCGGGCAAACTGCAAGGCGGACCGGGGATTTGGGGAGGTAACATGATCTTAAGTGGCTGTGCAGACCTCAGCCTGGTTTGTTGTCAGTCTTGGCTTGGCACTATCTGCATCTTGCACAAAGACGATCTGGTGTCAACATATCCTGCTTCCCATACAATGTCCCTATGTGAGTTCTGACACAGAATGGGAGAGACCACTAGATCTTGGGCACCACGCCCATCAACTGGTGACAAGAGAGCAGCTATTGACGATATAGATCCGGATTCAACAACTTCCAAGAAACGCCGCTCTCAGCCTGATCAATATCGTGATGTGGCGGAGACACTGTTTGACTTGAATCATTTGAACTGGGATTCTTGGAACGAGATATCAGACAGTGCCGGAGAGGGATCGCAGGTCCATACAGCGGCATTGCTGCATTTAGACACATCTACCTGGACTCTACCAAACACTCCAGCGATTTTCGACGATATTGATCCAGGTTTCCTCGAGCAAGAAGACCCTTCCACATCAGAAGCACTGAGTATCTGTCCCAGTCTTGATGCTACCCCGGGAAGTTGTCTCAAAACTACCTTTCCGGTGACGGGTGAAGCATTGCTTGAATCTACGCAGTTGGAGGAGTCAATCCCAAAGCCTTACAGCACCTGTTTAGGCAACGATGACAATCATTCAAGTCAGCCAATACCTCTCTTATTGCAGTGGCGATTCTCACGTCAAGTTCAGGCTCGCCCGGATCGTCGGTGGATCTTGAGAAGCCAAGATACGACGTTTGCTTTGGAGTTGTAAGACGATCCCATTACATTGTGTCCTGAGTCTAATTTTTATCACAGATTGTGGAGGATATTATATCTTCATTCGTCCCTGAACAGAAAAACTGTACAATGCCTGTGCACTTGAAGCAGTATGGGAACATTTTCAAGCTCTATCTCGAAGACTCGAACAAGTATGTCGGTCTCCTCGAGCTGCCGTGCCTTCGAGATTTCCTCCAAGAGCTTGCTATTGAAATACGACCAAATCTGGAAGTACATTCTGTTGGAGCAGGCACCAACAAAACAGTCAAATCACGCAAAGCTAAGAGCTATGTCGTCAACCGCCAATACTCTGTGCGCATCACTGTCTACGGATACAGGTCTGAGAAGGACGAAATCGGTCACTTTCTCTCGGTTGGCCGCACGTACCTTCAACACCCTCGGATTGGTGAATGTGAGCCAGGTACAGAATACTGTAACCCTCACTATCTTGTTCGTCCTGGAGCCCGGTTGCCACCACTGGAGGAATTGACGATATCCCCTGAGAGCCCTGTCAGCAAAGGCCCCGAAATGCTGAACGAGACCGACAAAAGCAAGATCATGAGGGTATTCGACACCGCTGCTGATTTCTCGGTCCCTGAAGAGCTTGTTCCCAGTCCTCGGCTACGGACCACCTTGAAAAAGTATGTAGGAGCTACCCTCCGCAGCCAGATTCTATTATTCTAATGAGCCTGCAGCCACCAACTTGTCGCGCTCTCTACGATGGTCTGGAAAGAGTCTGGTATCGTCAAGAATGCGCCAATACCATCGATTTGGGAGTTAGTCGCGAAACCCGACAAGCCAGCACTGTCAGTCTTCAATGCCTTTACAGCAACAAATCGTGCCCCATTGTCTGACACATGCGCATTAGATATCGTCACATAATTACCGGGCAGAGCCAAGATTCTCCAGCTGCTGTGCTAGGTGGCTGTCTGGCCGATGTAGGTCCTCTCGACTTCATTTCAAATGCCGGACTGACAATCCATCAAGGAAATGGGCCTAGGGAAAACCCTGAGCGTTCTAGCTTTGATCTGCTCATCCCTTGATAAGCACAATGATAGAAAGGTCCAAATGCAAAGAGTACCTCGGGCGACGCTGATTGTAACACCGAAATCCAGTACATTCATGTTCCTTCCATCATCTCAGCAATTCGTGGCTAATGAATATTTCAGCAATTCCTGGTTGGCTTCAACAGATCGATATGTATGTCACCCTGACAGAATGACTGACACTCGCTAAACCGATCTGACCAAACTTCAGGCATGTTCACCCGGGTCAACTGCGCTTTGCAGTATTTCATGGGTCAGGTCGCCAGCGTTTGTCTTCCATGCTCGAAGAACTGGACGTAATCTTGACGACTTATGAAACACTGCGGTCTGACTGGAGTGTACAAGGACCACTCTATTCAACAAAATGGACCAGGGTTGTTCTGGACGAAGGTTGGCTTGATGTCACTGTCATTTGTGAGAAGCCTGTTACTCACAGATCGATAGCACATCATATTCGAAATCGCTCTTCGCTGATATATAAAGCCGCTTGCGCCATCCACGCCGAGCGGCGATGGTGCTTAACCGGAACACCCATCCAAAATTCTCTGGACGATTTTGGGGCCCTTCTGAGCTTTATTCGGGTGCCACCTTTCGGGGACAAATCCAAATTTGATTTCTGGATAACAAAACCTCTCAGCGACAGAAAAGGCAATCTGAAAAGGCTTCAAGATCTCATCCGAGCTACGTGTATTCGACGGACGAAGAAAATGCTCGGAGAGTCTTGTGAGCTTCCCCAACGCATTGAAAGAATCTCTGAAGTTCAACTACATCAACATGACCAGCAGTTGTACAACTTCTTCAAGGACAGATGTGCGAAGATTGCCAAGGGTGGAACGAGGATGGAGTCCGAGTCGCCCAAAGAGAAGTTGTGCAAGGAGGATAATGTGCTCTCTTTGATCAACTTCCTTCGCCTGATCTGCGACCATGGAGCAGCACTCCTACCTCGATCTGCCTTGCAGGCCTGGGAGGCGGGAGACAATCGATCGGTCGACTGGAGCATGCTTCGGAGTACGAGGAAGATGTGTTATATCTGCAATTCAGACATTGAAGTGGTTGATGGCGGTACATTTGACTTCTTCGAAGCCACTTGTGGGCACTCGATGTGTGCAAATTGTGCTTTGGAAAATGAGGATGGCGAAGACAGCATCAGTAGTAGGTGTCCGAAATGCGCGTTGACGTCCAGTCACGGTGATCATCTCAGCTACTCTGTCCCGACTCAAGCATCCGTACGGCCCTCGGCGAAGGTGGAAGCCCTCCTGAAGAATTTGCGTGCGGAACAGAACTATGAGGTGCTTGAGATGTCCTCCCGGCCCACCAAAAGGTACCGAATCTCCCTTCCATCATGGGGTTTTGCTCATTGCTGTCTAGCGTTGTATTCAGTTTCTGGACAAAAATGCTGGATATGATCCAGCAAGCCCTTCGCGATGCGGGGTTCGGCTTCACAAGGATTGATGGAAAGTCAAGTCTCGAAGACAGGAGCAGATCCATCAGTCGATTCAACAAAGACCCAACCTGCACGGTACTCCTCGCGAGTATTGGTGCTGTTGCGGAAGGGTGAGCTGCGACGGAAAACATTCATGCAGAACTTTAGAGGAAGCTGACATTGGGTGATTTCGCTAGGGTTGATCTCACTGCTGCGAGTTATGTGCATCTGGTTGAACCGCATTGGAATCCCATGGTTGAAGCTCAGGCCGTGGATCGAGTGCACAGAATAGGACAGGACCGAAATGTCGTGATAACCAGATATATCGTCCCGAAATCTGTTGAGACGGTGAGTGAGAAAATGTGCATTTGATCGGGGCGCGTATGCTAACTGATCGCAGTATATTCAATGGGTCCAGAAAGAGAAACTGAAAATCATTGACCAGTCAATTGACTTCGAGAATCAGTCTCAAATTGCCATAGAAGCCCATCGCTGGGAGGTCAGTCATACTAATTCGCTTCAACGGGAATATTCTGACATCAAAGACAGGAACTCATATCCTCCTTTTCTGCTTGATTAGGAAGTCCACAGCGAAGCTCAACATCACTTGGAAATATCTATATCTCGTTGCTCCTGTCACAGCTTTTCGACCTTGGGTTTTCTGACCCAGAAATATATCTCTTGGCTCGTATTGCAGTGACCTTCCGCAGGTGAAGGCCGCAGAGCACTATTCAAGAATCAAGATCCAGCTCTGCCACAGCTTTCCCAGCTTTCCCAGCTTTCCCAGCTTTCCCAGCTTTTTCCCGGTGCTCTCTGCTTTGGGCAACAAGCCCGTCCCAAGAGATCCCAAGCCACTTTGAGATATTCATTGCACCTCTTTCCTCGCTGATCTTCCGTTTTGCTTGTCTATGTGATGCTTCAGGATTTGCTCCACAGTATAGAAGATACTTCATCATGTCTGCACCAGCAGCAGTTGCGTTCCGAGCTGCATATCGCAGAGGGGTGAAACTTCCACCTGACGTCGCATCTACATCGTAGCCGTGGTCGATCAAGAATTTCGCGAGATTAACGGAACACGTTGTACGACTGATTGTTCGCAGACAATCTTCACGGAAGTTCCGAATTTTGCCCCAATCAATCTTCTCCCAAAAGGCAAGCAGCTTGGCTTCTTTGTGAGGAATGCCAGCAGTAGCTCTCAGCAGAGATTCTCCCTGCCGGCCAAAATAATAGCGACTAAAATGGGACGCAGATCCGGATAGAGTGGTCACGCGCATCTGCTTTTCCCATTCTTCGTATACCTCCTCTGATTCCGAGGTTATCACCGCCTTGAACACAGATGAGTCGTACTCAAGACGCAAAAAATGCCGCGGCAACAGGTGCCTAAAAACCTCCATATTTGTGGCCTCGATGGAGCATTTCAGTCCTTCTACGAGGCGAGCCTCGGTCTCGGTCGGTCGTACGAAAATTTCGGTCATAGCCCATGATCCAACCGAAGCCGCATGGTTGCACAGCTTACCATAATCCAGATAATATCGCAAATGCTTAATTTCAGTCTCGAGACTCCGCACTGCGTCCACATTGTCTGCTGTTATTAGGTCGAATAGAAGAGCCTTGAGCTCGTCCGCCTCTGCGCCCACATATTCGGCTTGTCCTTTGGACTTCTCTGCACTGTGATACCGCTCCAAATGAGCGTCTCGCATTTTGCGTGACAGAAACCCACCTGTTGCAAACTCGCAGGCTTGGTGGCTACACTTCCAAGGGCGATCATGTCGCTTCACGTGAGTTCTCAGTGAGGATAGCGATTCGAAGCCTCGTCTGTAGGCTGGGCAATTCAAGAGCCCGCATTTGAAGGGGCGTAGACCGTAGTGTCTTCGAATGACTTCACAGTGACAGTTCTGATGCCCGGTCTGTTGACAGGAAAAATTCCTCATTTGGTTACGGACACATACCGAGAGGTCTGATATTGTCAAAGGGTCAAAGTCTATCCAGTCCGAACCTAAGACATTCAGTCAGTTGATATCGTTAAACACACATTTCCGATGGCGGACTTGTTCTATTACCTTGGTTCACATCAAGATCCCGCTCCAAGTAGAGCTGACGGAAGTGGATTGCTTTGCACAACATCTTGTACAATTCTGGGGACTTCGATTCTAGGGTCCTCAAAGTCGGCTGGTCGCTTTCCTCGCCTTCGCTTGTGTATGTTTCCGAGCTTCTTTCCCTTACAAGCACTTCGAGGACATGGATAAGGCTGTCAGGCGGCTCTTTCTGCTTGTTCAAATCAAAGTAGCACTGGACCAGCTCAAGCCACATCGCCGCAGCAAAATTTTGAAGTCGATATGAACCAGAGAGAATGTTGTCCGCTATTTCCTGGTCTGTCAAGTCGGCCTCATGGTGCTTCTGACAAAGGTAGGAGACACAACACGTCGCCAGGCTCAAGGTCGCATCTTGTAGCCCAATAAAGCCGTCGATCTTGGGACTGAAGAAGTATCTATCGCCGTTCAGTCTTATATGTTTCTCACTGATGCCACTTGCTGCAGAGAGTCTGGACTTACTCTTTCACCGTGAAATGAACGAATTGAACATATTCGTCAACTTCTTCCACGATGGGCCCACAGATCTTGGGTAAATCGAGGCTAGCAATGACCTTACCATCACCATCAACACCAGAACGATTGACGACCAGGGCTTGTTCAATCTCGGGAACCGTGAGAGGCGTCGGTGAACAGCCAATCCAACCAAGGATTGTCCGCACCTTCTCCTTGAGTGGAGGGTGAAGGCAATTTATACGGCTGAGGATCCTGGCATACCTTTCCCGGTTTGTTAGGCATGTTTCTTCCCAAGAGCGAGTCCTTGATCTTACGCTGCGTTCAAGTTTTCCGGAAGAACTGTCAACTCGTCCTTGATCTGGCTCACATCGTCCAAATAAGCCAGGCTTCTTAGGACTATTTCTGCGTAAAGGAACATGCCTTCAACAGCGTCAGTCATAATGTATTTTGAGCCGTGATGGATGTACCTTTGGCCTTGGCCGCGAGGGGTGCCAATAGAAGCTCAATCTCGACCTGCGCTTCAGGCAGAAAGCTGCAATAAGAGAACCACTCCTGACAGCGTTGGCTCACGAACTTCTGGATGCTCTCAGTGTTTTCCCTGTCCACCCGGACAAACGGACTGTCTTTCATCAGACGTCCGATATCCACTTCGGCTCTGCTGCTGATAAGGAGCCTAGTTTCGTGACAAGCCTCCGAAATGTTAAGGAGTTCTTTCAACAGTCGACAGCCCTCTCGCTCGTCGATTTCGTCCAAGCCATCGACAACGACATATGTCGGTCCAGCATAGCCTAGGAGCTTTTTCAATAAACCATTCGCAACATTGACGCTACCCTTCAGCTCCTCGTGGTTAGATTGACATACCACTTCTTCAAGATCGTCCTGGCCCGCGGACAGCTGAAATGTCAACGAGTGCAGGATGGAAAGTGCGGAAAGGGTACTTCGGAGTGTGTCGCTCAGAAATGCATAAATGGTTCTTGTCCCTTGTATATTCTTGGTCTCGTGGACAACGGTGCTGGCGAGAAACGTCTTGCCTATCCTCACAGTTTTATCAGCTTCCAGAGGGAAGATCTTCACATGAATCAAATGAGGCACCCACCGGCACCAGGGATGCCTTGCAACCACAGAGTGCGTGTTGTTGCGTTCGCCTTATCCAACCATTTGCCAAACGTGGCATCTGCAAGCAGCCATTGTCCCGTCCCTTCACAGGTACGGCCATGTAAAGTATCCAACCTCTTCTCATATGTCTGCGGAGCTATGTCAGCTTTGATCGCCCGGTACTCCTGTCGACGAAGAGATTTTTCTGTTCGTTCATGGTGATCCCGAGTTTGCAGGTATGTATCGTGAGCCTCTTGGATGTGTTCCAGCGACACCTCGCGACGTAAAAGCCTGGCATGGCGCTCGATCTGCATCTTCACCACGTTGATTTCACGTTGCTGCTTCGTCCACAGGGCATCGAACACAAACTTCCAGCCTGCTCAAAATTGTTATTGATGGCGTATGAATCATGGGAACGGGCTGAAAACACTTACGCGTCTTGCGGAAGAATTTCAGTGTGATGAGGTAGACGTCTAATATGTCTCGGAAGAAGAGGACCAAGACATCCTTGATCAAGTCATTGCTTTCGAAGAGGTTTCTGGCAGCTTGAAACTCTGGCAAAAGCAGGTTGACTTCTGCGAGAGTATCGAGGATGGCGTCAAAGGACTTCTTCACATTATCTGCCCACTGCAGGAGGAACTTGATTGGGCCCCAGATGAGACAGAGCACGTCCTGTTTCGTCTGGATAAAGACCTCTATCACACCGGCATAGCTTCGAAGCGTCTCTAGGAACGGCTGGATTTTGGTCAGATTCCTGAGTCGACCTGAATTCGCCTGCTCTTTCTGCAGCTTATCGGTGAAATCGTACACGTCGTCGACTGTCTTCACGGTGAGGATTTGATCAACCAACTCTTTGTCGCCGAGGCTAGCTTTGAAATCTCGGGCTGCGTTATCGAAACTCGCCTGGATCGGGTTATACGGAGCGGTCATTGTGGATTTCTGACTTCTTCCACCCCGCTGAGCGCGAGGCTGTCGTGTCTGTTGAGGGCCAGGCTAATGCTCACGCTATCATACTCAGTCGAAGGGAGAAGGAGAAGAAAAGCAGATAATTGCCCTTAGAATTCAGTGTAAGGCTGGCTTGGTTGTCTGCCTTGTGAGCCTTCGCACCATTGGCTCACGGGGCGAAACGTGGCGGCGGTTGGGGCGTAGCACTCAGACAGTCGGTTAGGCTGAATGCGCCTTGCTGCCCAACCCATCACCGCCTTGTGTGCCCCAAAGACGTTGCTCCTGCAGAGAGCTAGCCGAAAGGAAGCAAGAACAGGGCTTCGGAAACTTCTGTCCTCGGCGAATTGCAGCCTCTGTCTTCGAAGAATGGGTTTTGTTGGCAGAACAGCCAGTGACCAGCTAGCGCCCACTCATACTCCACCATTGAGCCCGCTTTATACAGCTCCGTTCAGCCTTGCAACGGTCGAACTCAGAATGATTGAATGGCTAGTCAGGTGGGCAGACTCAAGACGGGCCAGCATATTTTCACGGCAGAAGAGAACTCATCAGAGTGGCCCAAATTGATAGGGAACATGCGTTATCAGCTTACGGCAGTCGCCTATTCTGACCATGATCGAGATCACGAAGACTTTGCCTGCTTAATGACTGATCTTCCTTCCTCGACCGAAGCCCTGGCCGCGTTGGCAAGGAGGGACGAGTCACCCTGGTAGAGAATGTACTCAAAGCCCAGGCTCAAATTGCGCTCCATTTGCTCCTTGGAGCCGGTGTAAATACCAACAGGCTTGCCAACCTTCTTCCCTGCGGCGACGATCCGTTTCAGGGCGTCGAGAAAGCGATCTTCTTTCCCGTCACCACCTGGCAGACCCAGCGAACATCGCAGATCGAAAGGCCCCACGAATGCGCCACTAACACCTTCCGTCGCCAGTATGGCATCGGCGTTCTCAACCCCTGTTGCAGACTCGATCATAGGCATGACTGCCAGTCCTGGGGCAGTGTTGTTGAAGTACTGACCCGCCGAACGGTCGGATGCCGGGTCCGCGAAGGGCGCATAGGCTGGCCCATAGCTTCGCTGGCCGAGGGGCGGATAGCGAGCTCTTTGGACGATTAGACGGGCCTCCTCGACCGTGTTGACCATGGGGATGACGATGCCGGCGGCGCCGCTGTCGAGGCCCCATTTGATCCATTCTACCCCGTGGGACGGCACCCGGACGAGAGGCAGGCAGGTGCCCTTGGACGCCGAGCCCAGCGTGTGGACAACATGGGTGGCTTCCAGAGCTGAGGTGGGGACATGTTCCATGTCGATGATGACGCAGTCATATCCCGAGGCGCCAACAATGGCGGCTGACAGTGTCGAGGTCAGCGTGACGAAGGTGCCCAAAAAGGGGCCTCGGGTTCTCAGGGCTTCAACAAACGGGGCCATTTTGGTTTCAGATATCGAAGACAACTGTCAATCGTGACTCTGGGTGCGGCTTTGCGAGGGGTGCGGCATCGTCGCGACAGACCAACTATACATGTACTTCCCTCGAGCACGGACATTGACTGTAGCAGGCTCAACCTCAAGGGGTTACCCGTGCTACAACAATACCTCGCACCTCGGCTCTCCGCATACATACCCCAGTGAGGACAGCGCGGGGAGTGGGGCAGGGACACCGAGCCTTGTTAGTACCACAGCCTTGTCGGTGCAATCGGTGCAGCAATCAGTATTGCGATAGAGGTCTGTCTGCATGTTCAGCAGATGTCAGAAACTGGTCTAATTGGGATGTGTGTACTATCTCCTAGATAACAGCTCCGAATCCTCTACTCGAACTCCGAAGCCTATCCTCAATCCATTGCTCGAGCCTTACTTTGGGATCTGGCCGGTGATGTTCCAATGCACCCTGCTGATACCTTGGTTGCCCATCAGCCAAACAGTATCCAGATTTGGACCGGTGAATTGTAGATTCTGCACGGAATGGTTCGTCTGCACCCTGAGTAAGAGTTGGCCCATGTCGTCGATCACGTCGATACCGTGACCCGTAGCCGTGAGGACCAGCCCTTCGCGGCTAACCTTGAGGCCGTCCGGTATGTAGTCCTGCGCGAGGTAGAAGGAACGCTTATTGCTGATTTTCGTGCCGTTGTTGGCCACGTCAAAGGCGTAGATTGATCTTTTGCCCGTCGTGTTGTAGTGTTTTGTTCCAGGCCCTACTGCTGGGTCGATGCTTCCTGTCAATGCTCCTGTCTCAGTGATGTACAGAGTATTACCGTCGGGCGAGAAGGCGATCCCGTTGGGTTGTTCTATGGTATCGTCAATCAGGAATAATGCACCTGTTGTGGGGTTGAAGCGATAGCTGGCAGTAGGTAGCTGAGGAGCTGTGTCCACGCGGCCGTTGAACCAAGGGTAGTCGGGATCGGTAAAGAAGAGGTCGCCTGACGTTGGGTGGACGGTGACGTCGTCCATATTGTTGAAGTAAAACCCAAAGTAGTTGTTCAAAAGTACGGTAGACTTGTTCGTGGTGGGATCCACGGTGTGGAGCGCGATACGCTGCTCCGTCCCATTGAGATTGTCAAAGCCACCACTGGATGCCCAGATGATCTGCCCGTTGTGGTAGATTCCCCCGTTCGGCGCGAATATCGGGGGATCCGTCACATACTCCTGGAGGGTCAATGGCTCCTGGCTGAGGTCGACCACAAGTTGCGGCAGATATTCGTACATCGTGCTCACGGGCGCTGCGACAGGCGGCAGCTGCGACATGAACAACTTGTTCAGACTTGGCACGTAGACAGGAGCTTCGTGCACTGAATCGCCGACGTGGAACACGAATTCGTACGTCGGCTGCGGGCCCAGGTATTGCAATCCACGTTCTCGGTCGAACACCACGAAGGAGGCGTTCTGGAGTAGCTCGAAAGACGGAGCATTTGGCACTGTAGTATTGCGGAAGTCATAGTCGGCAGCTAGTGACGTTATTGAGCGGTTGAAATGATAGGGAAGCACGGCAGCCTTTAGCGTCAGTCAGGTGTGTGTCCGAGAATATGCAGAGAAACGACGCTCACGTATTTGTTCACACAAACCACAGAGCCGCCGAAGCCACAGTCCTCAACAATGGGTTGTGTCACACCTGGTGGTTGGGTTTGAGCCGACGCTCTTGCTACGAGAAGCGAGCCTAGGACAACAAGAACCTTCATCTTGTACATGAGCTTCAAGAGGTGCAGATGTCAGAAATGGCCGTGCCGTAAGTGAACATCGCAATCAGCGTTCTCGCATTCTAACCAACATGGCTGAATATATCACCCAAAGGCCATTTATGTCTCCAAGTTTCGTCTGGATCGGGTTTCTCCTAGTGGTACGACACGTCCCATCCCCACGGGGTGTCGCCGGTAGCCTACCTCTCCATGAATTGATATTGGCATCATCCAAGGCTTGCCTGAAAAGTGTCAAGCATCAAGTTTCCAAAACCTCATGTGCAGGTATTTTTCATGCTGTGGCTCTCAGCTCTCCGCAACTCCAACAGGACGTCGGCAAATGCTCAATGTTTGGGGAAGTTGGGGAACTGCACTGCGAATCTGGGTCACATAAGCAAGGAACAGGTATAGTCCAACTCTCATTCCACGTCGATCATCTTGGCATGCTCAAAGATTCATTCACCGTACATCTTTCTTGGAGTAGGAGTCCATCGGCTAGTCATGAGACAGACTGAGAACAGTGAAGCTGGTGGAAATCCCCGCCTCCCATAATCCAGACGGCCGAGAGGAGTAACGACGTGTCAGCTTAACCCCTTGGCGGGCCAGAAATCTCGTAGGAGTAAATTTTTCACTGACACGAATTCCTGGAGCGCATAGCATAGGGACGCAGATGTTGGCCCAGCTATGGGAAGAAAAAGACCACATATGCTGCAAGTACGACTGTCACCTAGCGCTGGGGGATAGCGATAAAGTGGCTAGCCTTGTTCAGCCTTGTCACCAACTTGTACACTTCTGAAGCTTGATATGACACACTTACCTCTTGATCTCCAAGTCCGATGACTCTATCTGCTCTCAGGTAGCCTTTGGCCTGGCGGTTGCGAGATTTGTCCGCAAAATTCGTTGGTGAGGCATCAAGCGGACGCCAGCACCGAAGAGAGATAGCAGGTCTCTTGTAGACATGAATATTCGATTCCATTCAGACCCCGTGTAGCGAACCGGCGGTCAAGGGAGCATGCTCGATAGGTTTCAAGGAAATATGTCCGTCTTTGCCTTGCTACTAAGCTGCACAAATGTATGAGGCTCACCGCCTGGGTCTCTCACACATCCTACACTCTGCTCTGCTGTCAACTGCCCTTGAGTCTTTCGGTGATTCTGGTATTGACAAGAAATGGCAGTGGTCGTTAGCTGGAAGATTTAGGAATAAATAGTTATGTGATCGTTGATTTGGCACGAGACGCGGACCCAATCTCCGCCGGAACACTTGAAAAATTCATGAATTACTGGTCTGAAGGGGGTTGCATCCTTGGACATGGCGCATTTCTCACTATCGTCACTGCTTGGTAAATACTCATCCGCTATGTGCGCAGAAATGAATGAGTGCGGAGCGAGAGGTAGAATCCATGCATATTTGCTTCACCGTTGAAGGTGTGCAAGTTCTCGCTACGGCGGGGCATACAGGCTGCGCAGGAAGATTCTCTTGGCCTCTACCGAGTACAAGTAGCTCCTTTGCGACTCGCATTACCTCCTTCCAATAGACGTTCCTGTTGAGAGTCACTCAGCTTCATGACGCCCCCCTTCAGCTCTGCCGGCTACCATCGTCGACTCACCGACTTGAAGTTCAAGCCCGCCAAGCTGGGGTCAGGGGGTGAGGGAAACCTCAAACACTTTGTGGCAGTCAAGCCTTCTTGGCCGCTCCCGTGCTGGACCCCTGGAACCGTCTTCAAACCACGTTCAGTGGCTGTCAACAGTCACCCAGACGCCGGTTATCCCTCGACTCTGCATCAGTGGACTCTTGGTGGCCTGCGCAGTTTTTGGTACTCCGGAGACCTTGGACCCATCCTGCCCAATGAGGCTGCCAATATTCATCTCGTTTCCGTCGCTCGCATATCCGAAAGCGCTGACCCCTGATACAAGCAAACGCTTTGCCTGGCGACAAATCCTGTGCTGTCGTCTACAAGATAACTTGGCCGCAGCCTTGTGTTAGAGATCCTCCTGCACGAAGGGCTGGGCACCGGTTTATCCACAATGTCACCGCTGAAAATATCCAAGCCGGCTGCCACGACCAACAGTTGAGCAAGCACAAGCCCACTTGTTGATTTCATCACGTAACGATTGGCAGGGGCCTTCCGATCCTTTGCTTTCAGGCTTTCTCCTTTCGTGATTGTGCCCAGAATGCTTTCATTCTCAGGAGAATGTTATATAGGTATGTCCTCATGTCTTGAAATCACGTTATCTTCCCTCCAGACTTTAAAAGCACACATACCCAATTTCGTTCCTTTGCCCTGTGTCAAATACAGCCGAACATTCGTCAATCAGGTGCTGGTCGCCTCTGGGTCTTCATTGCGATATAATCTGTACATCGTGTGAGCCCTTTGCATTTGTTGCGCTATCATCCTTCTTGTTGTTCAGTTGTGTCCTTTTGCTTTGAGCGAAGCCCGTTGTTATAGGTGAGGGACATCCGGCATGTCAGAAAGGTCATGTCCCATTAGCGGGCATAGGGGAGGGCCAAGCTCGTCATGCCCGGCTGGTGCCCAACGAGTTGGTCCACGAGGCTGCGCTTTCGCAGCTTATCAAATGTCCACACAGTCACATTACACACCTCAAGGAGTAGGTGATCAAAGCAGAACCCCAGTTCAGACACTCGCTAATGTCTACAGGTTCCCGCAGACGGCCAATCAATAGAGCACCTCGTCGCTCAGGAAAGAAAAACCATCACAGAATTGCTCATTCCTGAAGCACCGTCGGCAAGCGCCACAAATGGTCTCACCAATGCTGACCATCTGAATCCCCCAGATCTTGATGTTCTCGCTTCAGCTCTGGGTGCTCCTGCCCGGCAAGTCCTCAGGCGTGCACAAGAATTGGGCCCTCTGACCGGATGGAGGGACGGTTACCTAACAAGCACGCACGGTTTCTGCCCTCCAGACCCCTCGGCGGCACCTGCTGCACTCTCAATGTCACCTGGAAGAATATGGTCTGATCTCTGCGAGAGAATGCCGGCAGTGGTAGCGCGGGGCAAAATGCGCGAATCCATCCTGGCCCTACCTCTCGTCTATGGCACAGAAGACGTCATACCGGATCAAGCCCTCTGGGCTGCAGTGGTTTGCCTGGGTATACTTGCCAGCGTTTACCGGTATGAAGAACGCAACGATGGCCACGAGGGAATCAGCATAACTGCGCCGCCGGGAACCTTTCGGAACTTGTCGGGAGAAGCAGATGACGAAGAAGAGGAGACGAAAGGGATTCCTAGGAATATTGCTATCCCTCTTCGCCAGATATGTACAAGGATGGGGAGAGTTTTACCCCATTTGACCCAGTATGATGTCTCCGTATACAACTACAAGCTTCGAGATCCCACCAGCATCAACCCATATGTCGCAAGATGCGAAAATATGGACCTACGGTGGCCCGTCTTCAACGATCGCGGTGAGGCAATGTTCCTCCTGTGCATGGCCGAGACGCACGGATGCTTCACTCAAGGAGTCGAGGTGATTACAAGATGTCAAGAGCGAGTCATGGTGAAGGATAAAGAAGGCCTGCTTCGAGAGCTAATCAAATTGAAAACGATAGTGGACAGGTTCGTCCACGTCTTCCAGAAGATCAGCGTCAATCCAAACTCGGGCGAAAATTTTGCGAATCCAGTCGAGGTAATTCGCCCTTCCTTTAATTCAAGGCTAGTACTGACTATGTTCTAGTGGGGTCAGAGATATGCAAAATTCAGCGCTCCTCTTTCTAAACGTGTTCCTGCATTGTCCGGACTTGCTTTGCCAGTATTCCTATTGATGGATGCGTTTATTGGGAGAAGAAAGTACGACAGCTTCCTCGGGAGAGAAGCCCTCCATCTTAGAGCTTGGCTGCCAATGAACATTCGAGCATTCATTGCCGCTATCGAGTATCATTATCAGATCCCCGCCTTCGTGAAAGAGTCTGGCGACCCACGCCTGATGGGTGTGATGGAGGGCATTCTTGAGGCGTATCTGTCGGAGCGCGGCTGGTTCGGAACACACCGCTGTCAGTCGCCCTGTTCCAAAAATGCAACTGCTGGCTAACTCATTTTGATACAGATAAAGTCTATGGCTTCCTGGAAGTCGTCGCCAAAACTGGTCGGAGTGAGACGAACGGGAATGCTGGGTCATCCGACAACATAGGAAGGCCATGGGAAGAGGTGCACAAAACTCTTTCTGAATCAATGAGAGAACGTTTAGAACCGTTCCGAGGTAAAGTCACCCTGCAACCCCACGAGCTGCGAGGGTCGTTCGAAGAATGCAGATTCAAAGCAAGAATTCTATCCCGTTCCTTCGTGGATACGGATCATCTGCGGTCCACGGCCATGGTAACTTTCGGTCTCGAAGGCACTGGCATTACCTTCCAACCCGGAGACCGACTTGCCATTATGCCAGTCAATAGCTGGGCGGAAGTAGGGAAGATCACTGCCGCTCTAGGTCTGGACGAGCTCCTCCACAAATCAGTCCCAGTTTCACAAAGTCCAGACTGGAATCGCTTTGCTCGGCATCTGAAATCCGTTAATCGAATTGACGGCGAACCCTCTCTAACGGTGCAAGACATTCTACGACGAGGACACTTGGCGCCTTTGACAAAGGAGACGGTTATGGCCTTCCACATGGCACTTCGAGCCTCATCATCAAGCGTGCTAAAAGTTCTGGGATCCGAGATGTGGCCAGTCGAGGGCTCCATAGGAGACTTACTTCAACTCGCCATCGCAGAAGTTTCCTCGACGATATGGGACCGAGCATTTAATCTGTCCGATCTTTCGTGGCTTCCGAAATTAATCCCCGTTGAGGTACCGCGAACTTACAGCATCTCTAATTACTCAAATGAACTGCTTCCGAGCACTGTTGACCTGACTGTTGCCCGCACTGAGTCCCAGTTGGCATCTATACTGCAGTCCACCAATCCCTACAACCGGCGCCATGGAGTTAGCAGTGGATGCCTTAACCCGGACCCTTCTTCCTCCGGAGAGATGTTCGATGACGAAGAATACCTTATTGGAATCTCTAGACCCATCAATTTCCAGCTCCCTGTTACCATGACTGGCCCTATCGCAATGTTTGCAGGAGGCTCGGGAATTGCACCTTTCAGAGGCTTCTGGCAAGCAAGAGCTCAAACCAGTGTTGGAAGGAACATCCTCTTCCTTGGGGTACAGTCGCGGGAGCGATTCTCTTACGAGCATGAACTTCGAGAATATGTACAAAACGGCCAGATCGAACTTCACACTGCGTTCTCGAGGGACAGAAATGGTCTTATCTACGATCCAGTGTCTCGAGATCTTGTCGAGAAGCAGATGAGTCCTCGGTATCTCGACGCGACAATAATAGAACAGGGGCGAACGGTCTGCGATCTTGTCATCTCAAAGAGTCAAGGTGGGCTTGGAGGCCATCTGTATATCTGTGGCTCCGTGTCGATGTACGAAACGATCATATCGGGAATTCGCCAGGCCATCTACCAAAACTGGGCGTCAACCAAAGAGTCGGCCGACAGCTTGCTGGTCAAAGCATTTGCCGAAAGACGCTTCATGCTGGACATTTTCATGACGCCGCGTCCAATCAGTTATGCCACTCCACGTATTCCTCTGTCCAGATTGGCACTGAATACTGGCCACCGTAAAGGGTCTAGGATGTACATTGGTGTCCATGGTGGTGTTTACGATGTCACTGACTTCCTTCCAATTCATCCCGGAGGCACCTTGATTGCTCAAGCAAGTGCTGGACTGGATGCCTCAAAGACCTTTGACGACGTGGCTCACACCACAAATCCAGAGGTCATGAGTCTGCTATCAAAATACTTCGTCGGTCACCTTGCAGCGAAACCGGACTTCCGGTCGATCGAAATCAGCGGCATCTACGATCTCTGGTATCAATACCTACGCAGTTGCGTGGAAGCTCTTACCACGTTACACTTCGAGGTGGACTACATCCAGCAGGATGCGCGGACTTGGTTTCAAGGCGACCTCTTCAATATGGGTGGTGTGAGGAAATTCTATCAGTTTCAGTCAAGGCTGATGCAGAATGGATTTTCAACCTTGTTTGGGGCCAAGCTTCAGGAGCTGCATCTTAAGCTCACATTCGCGCTGGTCAATTCTGGGGCATCAGAAACCCGAGTGCCGGATGTCATTGGTGTCATCACCAGAGCGCAAGCCTCTGCTGCCGCTGCTACCGCCGCCAACGAAATCGCGCAGATCGGCTCATTTGTCTGCAATAACCACCAGGCCCAGCTCCAAGAGAACGGGATCTTACAGTACGCCCGTGCAGTGACTGAGTTGGACGTCCACTTTCTGGAAGAAATCCGTGAAGATGTTTGCATGGGTATGGACGCCTTCGATGTCATCGAGTGCATCGAGTCTGGTACCGACAAACACAGACTGGTCAGTCTTAGCACATATCTGCTCTCGGTCCTGGAGCGTGTTGCTGAACGTCTCGGCACCTTTTACTCGAGGCTCTCCAGAGAATCCATCTATCGCCCGGAAATGGAGAAGAACCCCGCAAGGACGCGATGGAATGTGCTGAAAAGGAAGATACATGATGGATCGTTTTTCATCCTTGCTCAAGCTTCAGCATTCAGCAACACCAACCATGCGGCAAAACCATTCCGCTCAACACGGTATGCGGATCAGGATATCGTATTTGGTCAAGTTGTCTCTCAAGCCAAGCAGGCAATTGACGCCGACAGGCCACGTGTGGGAAGGGGGTCAGGACGGGAAGCCAAAACAGCCTCCACTCGTCCCGCACGTCTGGCCGATTCGCATACTGCCAGGGCCGCCCATGGCGTTGACACCCCATCGTCTTACGAGATACATGAGTCACGCAATGCTCTTCAATCGATCTCTTCCTTTATGGACTCGAACATGCAGTCTATCAAGCGCTTGAGTCAATTACCTTCAGACCTGAGTTTTGCAAACATCGTGGCCGCTTATGGCACCGGTGGTAGAAAGATACCATCAGTGCCGTCCTTGAAGGAAACGGATGAAGGGTCTCCAGGGCCAGCAGAACATCGACGTGGAGATTCACAGTCGTCCTATATCAGCAACTGGCCTCTTGCTGTGCCTACGAGGTCTGGATCAAGAAGTTTGAACAATTCCCAAGCAGGCGACAAACCGCGATTGGTGAGAAGGCCGACAAACGGGTCCATTTCCAGTGTTAGCGGACTCCCACACAATCCGGCGCCCAGTGCCCAAAGCCATGCATCATTCATAGGGAAGCCAGTCCTCCGAGCACCGGACGCTACCCCGAATGCTGCAAAGCCTTTCCCCAGGCCGTTGCCGCCAAACTTGACAACTCGAAGTCGGTCTCAATCTAGGAGCAGAAGCGATTCCGAGAATGGTTCGAGTTATGATCGATCAACGGACACTTCTACCAGGACCATGGAAGCGCCTGTTGCAACCCTGCATTCACAGCTCATGCGACGCCAGGTATCTAGCACTTCAGTCCAGAACAAGAGTGTGGCCGAAGTTGAGTCCACAGCTAGCAGTTCCCAGGCTCAACATCCGTTGTGGCAAACCTCTGAAACAAATCCTATGCCAGCTATTCACAAAGGAGCTCCACACATGAGGAACGAAATACTCCTCAAGCAGATGCAACAGCAGAATGATATCATCATGAAAGCTCAAGAAAAGGGCACGCTTGCCGTCCGAGGCGTGAGCCCCACTTCCAGTGGTCTGCGAATCCTGAAATTGGCCTCAGCACCAGAAATGATAACAAGGCAAGCAAGAAGAGAGGGATCTGGCATTCCTGATCTATCTCCAGGAGATACAATGGGCAACTTCAGAGCGCCACCCCAGCTGCTCAACGTACGATAAGAAGCCTGGTAGTGGAAAGACATCGGGATACAAAACAAGAATAGATCTGGGTAGGAAAATTCTAGTTTCTTTTTCCTTTTAATGTGTTCTAGGATTGGCCACGAAGATAAAATTTTGCGATAGATGAAATCTGGTCTTTCTTCAGCCTTGCAGTACGCTCAGCCTTGTCGCTCCAGTAGATGCACCAACCAAGAGTCTTGGCATTGATGTCGGAGTTCAATTCAGCCTCGTTGTTTCTCCCCACCCAATGTTGGACAAAGCTGGAACTTGACTCTCCTTTTTCTCTTTCCTACCAGTGAAGAAAGTATGCGGATGGAGCCATGCCTCCACTCCCAATAGCGCCCGTCACTGCGTGGAAGCCTCGAATAATATGCTACTTTCAAACCTACCATCACAGCGACCAATATATTTCCCTTTTACCACTTCTCACCAACACCTCTGGAATTACGCATGTGATATTAGCAGCGATCCACGTCAACTGGGACCCTCAAAACCTGACGCTCAATGATGACCCGCCCGACCACGAGAAGTACATCCAGCTCTGGGACGAAGTCCTTGTCCTCCAAGACTCCGGGATCAAGGTCCTGGGGATGCTGGGTGGTGCCGCTCGGGGTTCCTTTGCGAGGCTGGATTACTCTGAATCGAGGACCGACGTGCCCACCGCAAGGTTTGAAAGCTACTACATTCCGCTACGTGATATGATCAGGCGGTACAATCTCGACGGACTAGATCTCGACGTCGAAGAAGAAATGTCCCTTCCTGGGATAGTGCATCTGATCGATCGACTCAGAGCTGACTTTGGGCCGGAATTCATCATCACGCTCGCTCCTGTGGCCACTGCCCTCATGGCTGGCCGGCCGCACCTGTCTGGGTTTGACTACCGAATGCTCGAGGCCATGCGTGGGTCGAGTATCGCCTGGTACAATACGCAATTTTACAACGGATGGGGAGGGTTGCATAATACGGCCGCCTATGATGAGATCATGCGCAACGGCTGGCCCGCGGAGAAGGTTGTGGCGGGCATGTTGACGAACCCCAAACACGGTGAGAGCGGGTACGTGCCGCTGGAATTATCGGCGGCGGTATTGAGCCTGTTGGTGGAGAGGTACCCGGGGTTTGGAGGTGTGATGGGGTGGGAATACTGGGATGCGCTGCCCCAAGAAGGCGAGAACTGTTGGATGTGGGCTTACTGTATGGCCTTGTGTATGGGGATGAAGAAGGTGCGGGATGCGGCCTTGGTGGTACAGTTGGGACGAGGCTTGGCCGGGATCTCTGTCAATCGGTGACAATGATGGTCAAGGAGGAGGATGACATGGATCTTTGCTCGAGTGCTACATGTTTTTGAGGCAAGCCCGCGCAAAGGTTGGGAGCAGAGAAGGCGTAATTGCACTGGCTATTGGGATCCGACTCCAGCAGCATGATGGACACTCGAAACAATTATCTCCAGGTTTGCCTTCGATTTCGCATTCCCTGCGAAGATAGACCGTTGAACGCACCCTTAGCGGGAAATGTCGAACCGATGTATACTCCTTTGACAGTGGCCAGGGACATTCGCGGTCCAACTCGTCGCGGAGCTTCAGTGGTGCCAGGAGCCACGATGATAAGGCTCTCACCCCTAAGCATTTTTTGTCAGACAGCCATTTTTAGATGGTTGATCGACGTCAGACCACACGACGTTTCAGCTCCTTGGCTTTGCTTGCGTCATTGAGGGGGGAATGAACTCGACGTGCATCCGCGCTTTGCCTGTGTCTCTGCTACAGCCAACTTTTTGGCAACGATGTGAGCCATGCCCAACTACTCGCTGCTTAGGCAGTGAGTACAGTTTCTTCGAACATCAACATGCCTTCGCCAGCAGAGATCATAGCTGGGACAAGCTCGTCGATAGCAAGGCTCGCTGCCTACGCCTTCTTGAGATGGGTATGAGTTCCCAGAGTATCAGCTACACAACACAGAAATCTCAGCTGACCTTGTCCTCAGATCCCTGGTCACCATTTCCCCCCGATTATCCTGTCTGCAGTGGCCATCTATCTGGCCTTCGTGTTCAGCCAGTCTGAATCCTTCGGTTCGAGCAGCCCTACCATACATGATGCACCATCCGATGGCCATGACCAAACGAAAGAACAAGACCGGATCAATGAAGACCAGGAAGAACCCGTCTTGTATGAAGAGGAGAAGTCATTGTTTAAGACCTTGCTGTTTGGAATACCCGATTGGCGTCAGAGAAGATGGAGCTACATAACAATTGGTGTGAACGTCTTACTAGCATTGTTCACGGTTGATTTGGTCTTTCGAGGACCTCTTCTTCATCCGGCCAAGGATTTGAGTTTCACCCGTGTTGGCTATGTCGACTCAACATCTGCGAAAGTCTTGATTCGAGAACCTGATCCGGCCCAGCTTCCAATGTATGTCTACCTGTCACCGGCGGATAAAACTAGCTGGACTACTACGGACACGATCTACTACCTGGGACCGAATACCGATTATACCCATGCACTGAGCTTCGATGGTCTTCAGCCTTCGAAGAAATATATCTACTCCTTGTCTAATGACCAATCTGGTACCTTTGTTACAGCTCCGTCACCATACTCGGAGGCCGCCAATACCTTGACGTTTCTCACTTCTTCCTGCATAAAGGCCAATTTTCCGTACAGACCAACGGCTCATTCTCTGGCAATCCATGGCTTTGAATACTTGTCCAAACTCGTCCGTTCGCTGCCATCGCCAGCCGCATTCATGCTATTCCTCGGAGACTTCATCTACGTCGACGTGCCTCTCCGTTTATCCTCCTCACTTGCACATTATCGTTCGGAATACCGACGCGTCTACGCTTCTCCGTCGTGGTTGTTACCCGGCCTTGACACTCTACCCTGGATCCATACACTTGACGACCACGAGATCGCCAATGACTGGTCGGGCGGAAACGATACAGATCCGTTCCCGGCCGCTTCAGATCCCTTCATCCATTATCACGTCTCAGTGAACCCACCAGTTCCACCAGGCTCTCCGAGCGGGTCAGAAACCAACACCACGTACTTTGAATTCACCAATGGACCCGCCTCGTTCTTCATGCTTGATACTCGACGATACCGTACTGACCCCGAACCACAATCAACCAGCACGTCCTTCCCAAGCCGGGAGAAACCCCTATACGGCTCGTCTCTAGAATCCCCCAACCCACCGGCCGCCTCCGAGACGCACTCAATGCTCGGTGTGCAACAACTTGACTCCCTTCTCGCATACCTCTCTGAGCCCGAGCCTGCGCACGTCCACTGGAAAATCATAGCCACCAGTGTTCCGTTCACAAAGAATTGGAGATTCGGCACTTCCGACACCTGGGGCGGATTTCTAAGGGAGCGCTCAATAATATTGCAGGCCATGCATGATGCAGAACGCGAACTAGGCGTTAGAGTGGTCATTCTTTCTGGAGATCGACACGAATTTGCTGCCATAAGATACCCACCGCCAGTCCTCTCCCAGGAGCAAGACCAAGGTCTGGTAGGAGAGACAATCGATACGTCCGACACAGGTACAAGTGAACCGATCCCCAAACCTGTCGTCTACGACACAAGCCCGGCTGCTGGCCCACACGAATTCTCAGTCGGGCCGCTTTCAATGTTCTATCTCCCCTTTCGGACGTTTCGACAGGTTGACGACCAAGATGTCGCCATCAAGTACATTCCCGACGGAAACAGCAAGACTGGGTTAATCGAGATCCGTAATCTGGTGGGTGATGCAGGCAGTCAAGGGCAACGGAGCTTGCTGAAGTATACGTTGTATGTGGATGGAGAGGTGAAATGGGAATACACGCTGACGAGTCCGAGTGCGGGCTCGGCATTGGCTATGGGAGGACGTGGGCGGGAAAGGAGGAGGACTCGAAACGGTGTGGGCGATGGCGTGAGAGGATGGGCGCAGAGATTGGGACTGCGCGGTAGTACGGGGCGAGGACGGTCCTTATGGGACTGAGTGCCTGCCGTGATACGAAATACTGAGCGCCATTGCCATCGCAACAGGTGGGATCAAAAGGGGGGGATGGGAGGGAATCAACGGCGAGGGAGAGTAGAGAGCCCTACAAGGAAGAGGACATTTGGGATACGAATCGATGGACTTCTTCACCGATACATCCGCCATTCCTTGACTGTCTAGTTCTCTGTTACGACAATTACGAGGAATTTTCACGAATTGGATTCTGCCGGGCACATACTAATTAATATGGGATCTGAACACTCGGAAAATGGACAGTTCATGGCTTTTCTACCTAACATAACCGAAGTTGCCTTAGGTATCCACCTAGATAGATACGTATACCTTATCAATGCATGGTTACCGATATGAAACTGCATACATTTGTTACTTTGACGAACACTTCGTACCTCAAGCGAGAAGTATATACATGATAATGCGCGAGAGTATCTTGGACGTCCCTAGATCCGTACGTATCCTATGACTACCTAGATTACTCGAGAACGAAAAACCTAATCGCCATTGACGGGTTGATCGTAGAGGGGGAGCGAAGGCCTCTTTGACCTGAGCTTCAACTGAGCCTTTGGCTGAGCATCACTGAGCGCTTCGTGAACGCTCCCTGAGTATCACACCGAGAGTGGCTAATCAGGCTCCTCGTAATCGGCCAGTAAACCTGCCTCTCAACTGTGCCATCTGTTTCAGACGGGCCCCAGGGGACCTGGCAAATCGCCTGCCCTTACGCTGCTGCCTGAACCTCGCAACCTGGGGCTCCGAGTTGGGCTCCCACGTAGAGAAGAGGTAAATGAGAGATCCTATTCTGATCCCCCTTACTTCCACCTTTGTTCCCCCCCATATTGTAAATTCACTCATCAAGTCTGAGCTACTAGGGGGCCTAGAGCCCTCCCAAAAGGTCCTTTTTCAATGAGAAACTAGCAAGCTACAACCTACTCCTGCACATTCCACACGGATGACAAAGTGCCACAAAGGAGATTTCAAGCCTATCAATGACGCCGCAAGCTCAGTGGGGACACGGATCGCCATCGCAGCATGCGGGCTTTCGGTCTACTCTATTCGCAGATGCCGCTTGGGGCGCCGTTCACAATGCATTGAAGGAGGGTAGAGTTGCGGCTGAATACTTTTTTTGAAGAGAAGGAAGCCGTATAACAACGATTGCCCAGTCCAGGCGGCAAGGGTCCAACTAAAATATGTCTGATTGATGCTATGACCTGCTTGGATGGCTCGATGACGGTCCGAATACTCTCTTTGGCTCGTTGAGTGCCTATTCTCCCCGGGATCTCTGGTCTGTGACCCAATCTGACAGCCTTAATGACTTAAGAAGGACTCATTCAGGTCCTTATAATCCTTCTGGGTCCGATGGGAGGTCTCCATCACTGTCACTTTCATCCGTGAAGCAGCTCATTTCCCATCGCAGTCGGTCTTCATGCAACAGCCGGTACAAACCGTCTCGTTCGTCAAGATACATTTGGTTTTCTCAAAGTCGAAGACAGTACCGTTTGGGCAGCTCTGCATGATAGGGCCGAAGGTGGTGCACATGTAGAACTTTGTGCAATTGTAGGGGAAGGGCATCATTTCACCCAGCTCACAGGTGCCTGTCGGTCGAGGGGGGAAGTCGCACACCGCCGATGACGAGGACGAAGAGGCGACGGGGGTTGCTGCTGGAACAGGTTGCTCGACCATGGTCAGTGGGTTCGAGTCGAGAGCTTTTTGAAGGGCCTCGCCAAATCGGGAAGGATTGGCTATCGCAGATGATGAGGTGAACAACACCAGGACAAGTGGAAGTGGTACGGTAAGCTTGAAGAATTGCATCTTTTCTCGACGAGGTTGAGGTCGAAGCTCTAAAGCTGCTGTGAAGGACTTTGGAAAGCACACGAGAGAGAAGAGGGTGGGGGTTCTCGAGCAATAGGCAGGGTCAATTCTAGTAGCACGTTAAAAATTCAAGATGCTCGACACCTACAGAAGTCCCGCCTGTTCCTTTCTTTCTCTCCCTTTATAGCTGCGGCTCATCTCGAGAGCTCTGACGAAAATGCTAGCTCAAGGCGAGGAACTCGATCACGAACCAATGTTTGCCCTGTGCGATGTGCGATATGCGATAAGCGACCACCTAGGCGAATTGTTATCAACAAAATCAGAGGTTATTGAAAATTTGCTTTCCTTGGAAGCGATAAGGAAGCTCTCCCACTCAGCTGAAAAAGTAAATAGTTGGGCGCCGGTTTCGTCGGTCTGGTAGAGTAAGTACAGAGCGGAAAGCTCTCAGGAAAGGAATAGCGAATCGATAGCTGAAGTGCCTGGAGCTTGGAGCTTGGCGTGTGCAAGCCCCTTGGAGCTCCTGCCAATAGGGCCTAGAGTTGAAGCATCCCTGGGGGGCATCCCTGGGGCCCTGGGGAGGTGCTCCCGAAAAGCAAATGCTTAGCGAGCCCGGAAGAACAAAGCCGAGGGAGGCGACGCTGCGGAGGGCACCGATCTCTCCGTCGTACGATAGCGGCCACCCCCGTTCGTGTTTCCAGGGCACATCTATCCGATGTGTGGGGTGTGGGCCACAGGCCTGGGGGATGCAAGGCCAGAATCATCACAACGAAGTGTGACAGCTTGATTGAAGGAGGTACTGGAATATTAGTAGTCGTAAGAAGGAATCTGAAAAATCTCTAAAGGAAGAGAGATTTCTGTGTGATGAGATCGTGCTTTTTTTTTGCCATCGTTCTCTGTTCTGGGCGTAGGTCAAAATTGTGCATATCCTGTTATCAAGGCCTGGATGATCTTGGGCGGACAAAATGGGATCTCTCTATGTTCCATTTCGTCCCAGCCTCCACCAGCATCCTAACAATGCCTCATGGCCATTTGAGACTGCCACATGTATTGCGGTCTCCCCATTACTGAGTTTTGCCTGGGCATTTAAGTCGACTTTTCAGCTTAAGATATCTTCCACAACTGCTGAAACACTGATAAATGATGTATAGAAAAGTGGTTGAGCTAAGTCTTCTGTTTGCAACCATGGGTCCAAACCCCGCCGGGGGAGTTTGTGAGTGTTCCAAAGCCTCAGCCATGACAGCAAAGCGTCGTCCTCTCGCATTAAAAGCTTTAATGTTAGGTGATAGCAAGGAAATTCAACCACATTTGGGATACCTCGCAAGTGCTGCCACCAATGCTCTGCCGCAAAGCGTGATAAGTGATGCTGCCTGATAAGGTCTTCCGTGAGTGGTCCGTTCCTAAATAAGTAATGCAGATATTGTAAACAGCTTTCTGCAATTATAGAGCGACAGCGTCGGGGTTGGAAGTATTGATTGAGGGTACAACGGCCAGAACGGAGAAACTCTTCAACAGAAAAGTAGGCAAGCTGGATCTGTATTTTATCAGCAGTTCTGCTACGGAGCGGGGATTTGGTTTTGCTATGGACCACATGTATCCCGGGTAAATACTTCTGTCAGTTTCTGCTCCCTGAGCACCCCGAGCACTCCCTTACATAGTAAACACTGGGAAGCCTGATCCGGTCCCTAGATAGCGATTGACTTCACCCGCCTCTCCGCCATGCCGTACCAGAAACGGTTCTGTAGTCGATCAGTTTGCTGTTTCCATCGAGCTCACCTTTGTGTGGTCAGTTGCCGAGCACGATTCATGGTCAATACCTGCGATTGACGGCCATTTTCAGATAGTGCACACTCTTTGTTCAAGCTGAGCCGGTCTCCACAATGCAATGTAGATAATCTATCTACATTCATTTTCTTGTTGTATCTGAGGAGGGAAGCCGGCAGCTTGAAAACCTCTTCAGTTCAGGCCCTACCGTACCGTGACTAGATGTTCGTACTTAACCTCGCCAGGCCACATCCAACAGGCGGAAGGCGGGTTCGGCGGAGTCAACCGGATTAGCCTAGTTGGCAAGGCTGACGCAATTCACGTGTTCGACGTAAGCCTAGCCTAAACTTTTACTTAATTATCTTTATCGCTAAACTAATATATAAATATAGTCTTCTCCGATATCGCTGAGTATAAAGCGACTATAGACTTTAATAAGCTATTCTATATTATAAAACGGGCGATTTACCCCTTACGTTAAAGAGAAGAGATATATAATATTCCTCAAGTCTGTGTCGCGGCGCAAAGGGTGCCGTTTCGCGACGACGTCCATAGCCGCTTTTGCGATCCCTCTGCACCGACCCACTGTGCCGTTACTGCCGGACATCGAGAAGTGGCCAGACTGCTGCTCGAATGCGACCCGACGATCAAAGAACTTGCGCAAAATGATCGTTGCCGAGCTATTCACATTGCAGCCGAACGGGGCCATATCCAGATTGTCCTTATGTTGCTCGATCACAATGCCTCGACTTTGTTCTCGGGCCGCTTTGGAACTGCACTACACTATGCCGCAAGGGAAGGCAATGCGGGCGTATGTGAGCTGTTGATCGAGTTCGACCAGAAAGTCAAGATTCCCACGCTTCATCGTCTCTTTGGGGGTGACCGAGGAGACTCGAGCCAAAGATTTCAATGACAACATCCCCCTTGCCGTCGCTGTCAATGCCGGACACGTCAAAGTCGTGGAGACAATCTTGCGGACAGCGCAGGTATCACCCAAGGTTCGAAATGAGTACAAAGAACTGCTTTTCCACAATGCTGTGGCTGCTGGAGATATCGACATGGTAAATGTCTTCCTTGAGAGCGGCGCTTCGGCTGAATGGAAAGGCAAGGACAATGAGCGAGCTCTGCATGTAGCTGCCAGAGCCGGGAATGCTCCAGTCGTTCGTCTTTTGCTCAAGCATGGTGCTGCGCCCAAAGTCAAAGACTCAGGTCTTTGTACTCCCTTGGAAATTGCGAGAGGCCCAGAAGTGATTATGTTGCTCCGTGAAGCAGAGAGTCAAGTGTCAAAGGGCAAGGGAAAGCCACAGCCAAAAACAGTGCTCCCACCACCTCCGGCGTACTCGTCGTCGGCAAAATGAGAGTGTTTTTCTCAATGTGTGTGAGTTGTCGTATCACGTCGACTTGACTGGACTTCAATTCCACGATGCTGCTAGAGAGAAGTGTGTTTCAGAGTCCACATATAATCTCGCAGCATCAACAAAGGAACGATCTCGGCACTGGGTGCCGTGTGTTGACGTCCCAGCCGTTCTGCGAGGTAGCAGACTGTCCCTTTACAAGTTGCACAACTCCAGTCAACATACAACCCTCGAAACACAAACACCTGCTTTGAACTTGGGCAACTGGAATGGGAGTCAGCAGCAAGTTAAAAAGTCAGTGTTATCCGCGTTGTGAGCTCGGTCATGTCGTCTCAAGAGCAAAGTACGAGATCGAATTCCTGTGCGGCGGCCGGCTACATGAGATGAGCTCAAACGTGAAGCCTTAGAGTCGAGATGATCTGATCGTGGCAGTTTGGCTACCCTTGTTAGGGTCAGGGTATACATCTCTGCAAGCTGTGTCACAAGACAGACGCCGAACGTGCTGCCCGATCGAATCATGAGAAACAAACCCAGCCAGTGCTCATGTTGGTTGAACATAGTCGTCTATGAACTGCTGGAGGGCCCTCCTCCGCCTGACAGGAAATTTGCGGCTGAAATCAGATTCCAAAACGACTATCGAAAGCTTCTGCAAATTTAGCACGTTGAAGATGACAAAGGAGGCAATGATGGTATTTGGACAAGACATTCACCATCGTGACTTGGACACTTTAACAGTGTGAGAAGATGTGCTTAATTCGCTTCTCCTGTAAACCCTAGCACAGCATTTGCCCCAGACGTATCCATGTCATTTGATCTTGAGAGGACGAACCTCTGCTGGTCAACTAGGCTTTTTCTTCTTCCCACATTCACCATTCGAGTCAATATTGGACCAGTTCAAGTAGATACCCATCGGGATCCTCGACAAAGCTGACAGCTTTGACGGACTCGCGTAAAGCAGGGCTGCAAATACGGCCATCGAAGGCCGCACCCAAGGCCTTCGCCACCAACTCCTCGCCTATAGTAACACCGGGCTTCTTGACCACGGAAATGTTATATTCTTTGATCCGGGACATGCATGCAGTCAAGTCAGGAACAGCGAAACACAGCTTTGCGAGGCCGAGATCAGGGTGCCTGGCAGGGCTGGTAAGGTATTGCTTTGGGTGCTGACCGGCGAGTCTTAGTAAAAGGATTTCCCAAGAGTTTCTCTGCATACCTTGGAACACACCAGCTCTAGAACCCCTTCCCGCGAGAGCACCTTGTCGGGTCCATTGCCATCGGGATACCCCAGGAGCACAATTGTTAGGTCGTCAAAAGACAAGTCTACAAGCTTCTTCATGCCCAAACCAACCTCATAAAAGAGCAGAGATTTCTCTAGGTCTGAGACGCGAATACTGACATGATTGAATCTCCATCCTGTAGGAGGCGCGACTGCAGGCGATTCTGCCATGACCGTTCCAGAGATCTTGGATTGGTATTCGTTCCGCCTGGAGTCAAGGTTCTTCAACCTGGGAATGAACCAGGAGTTCCTTTTTGCTCGATCCTGGAGCGATGATCCTCACGATCGGTGGAGATGAACCCTGCTCAGGGCCAAAAGTACAAGGGGTTTATCTGGGTCAGAATAATCTTCGTAATCTTTTCCGCCACAGCCCAAACAGTCGGGGTCAAGGCCGGACGTGGCCACATTACTGTTCAAAGTCTGACTGTCTGGAGACGAACCCGCCCCCGTTGGCATCCCCTCATCTCACCTCCGGGCCCAGTCTTCTTCCCCAGCAACCTTTTGAAATCAGAGGCCTACCCCAGCTCCTCAAGAAAGGTCGGACCGTGTGGACGCCGTTGGTGGGAGGGCAGAATATTAGTTTTCAGGGGAAGCCTCATAGATTCGTAGGTCGGCGTCATTGATACCCGACTGTCAATCAAAGTATCCGCACAAGGCTTCGTCATGGCATGAGCATATGCTGCAATTCCAGTGGTGAGGGTCAAAGATTCGGGCGCCTCTATAGGCTGCAGGCCAGGATGCCTCCCCCGCCAATCCGTCTAGGCATGGGTGCGGGTGCGGGGGGTCTGGGGAGGCCTATTGGCGAGATCGTCACTCCCTGTTCCCGGCTAGCCAGAGGCTGCAGTCTTTCTCGCCATCGATTCTTCCTGTCGGATTGCATCACATTTTCCATTCATTTCCATCGACAGTGCCTGGCGGTTCACCGAGCCAACTCGCCAGGTCTTGCAACCTCTGATTCATTGATCACTCACTTCTAACACAAAATTTCCAATCTACAACATCCCACCATGACGCCCCAACCTTCAGGCAAGACCAAGCGCGGCTCCGCAACAGAGAGCGACCTGAAATCCGAAAAGAGAAAAGTCCGCAACCGTATCTCCCAACAGGCGTTCCGTGCCCGCCAAAGTCTGAAGGTCCAAGAGCTAGAAGAGCGTCTACAAGATATGACGAGGCCAGACGCCGCCCGAATGGCAGAGCTACAAGACCAGAATACCGCCCTACGGGATCAGTTACTAGAATGCCACAAAAAGTTGACAAGCTTCGAAGTCTCGATTCAAGATCTCAAAAGACAAACTGCCCAAGTCCTTGGTATCGCCAACACCGGTGAGCAAGTAAGTCTCTATCCTTGCTTCGTTTTCGTTCTATAAGCCATCCTAATACCTATAAGAAATCAAAAGACAGACGCTACAAACAGCGGGAAAGCGAGGGCGATTCAAGTCCAGGTGACCTATCGACAGTCCCTGAGGTTCTTGGTGGTGACATGATAGCGAGTCCGCCTCGGGCTGGAAGCGAGTACTTGGGTTCAGATCGATCGATGACACACGCAGAGGCAGAGTTGGTGGACAAAAATGCTTTGCCATCGCCAACAACGACCTTCGATAGTCGCAACTGGGTGAGCGCGGTGGACGAGTCCAATAAGAACATCAGCCAGAATCTTTTTACAACTGCTACCTCTCCACCATCGGCACCTGTACCAGCAGAGAGTTTTCAAGTCCAAACGACTAATTGGGACAAGTTGCCAACTCATCCGCCTCTCTATGGGATGTCCGTTGATCCTCCTGACTCCAGTCTCAAGGCTTATCACAATATCATGGATAGTCTTGCTTTCGTCGCAGACGGACCACACCCGCAGCCTCTACTATCGAATTCGCTTTTTTCAGATCACATCAATGCTCTGGAGTATTGCTGTCGTCAGGACACAGTCGGCCCCAACGGCTCAATAGTCGTGGACCCTTAGTAAGTTGAATCGATCGCCATACCCCTTCGGGTGCTAACTGAGTATCATTAGCATGGCCAAGGCAGTACACTTTTTACTATCTTCGTTCGTGAAGGTTTCTTGGTCAACTATGACTGCTTGGCACACTTATACAAAAGCTCTCACTCCGCTAAGCGACATTATGCTCTGGCGATTAACCAAAAGTCGAAAAGCATACCTCAATATTCCTCCCTCGTACCGACCGACGAAACTCCAAATTTCAACTCGTTACCCAAGCATTATTGACTGGGCACCGTGGCCGTCCCTCCGCGACAGACTGATAACTCTCCACTCCGCGAATCCGCGTCTAGACGAGCTTATCTGCGAGATCGGTAACGCCTATGTTGTCCAGACTGATCTATCGGAGCTGGTTGCCTTACCTCAGTCCGTTTATGGGTACATTGGAGTTTGGGATCTCGTTCGAGCAATCAATCCAAATCCTCAGCATCTTTCCAATGGAAGATCTGCATTTGAGACGTCCGAAACCTTTTCGAACCCGCAGAAAGGATGGCTGGAGGGATTCAGCACCTTCCAGGACGCTCTCAACCATATTGACCTGGACGATGACGAGAATGCCAGCCTTCCAGCCCTCAATGCCCAAGCTCTTTTCTCGTCCAGGTCTCTAGCTATTCAGGCGTTCAAGCTGCTTGGCATGGATCAGGGCGCCTCTTCTTTCTGCCTTGCGCCCTCCTTTTTCTTAAGGCATCCTGAATTGTACGATAATCAGGTCAATCTTATGGCCTGTGGAGTTGCCCTGAAACCAGATACCGAGGAGTTATTTCCAGCTCCGGGAGAGCTTGATGCCGATGTGATGAGTAGATACAAGTCGTTGTCGAAGTATGCTCTCAGTGTCGCAAATGCGCCAACCCTGACTCGAGCAAATGATTGTATGCATCAGAGTTGTTGACAGTTTATTTTTACTAGCGTTGAATGAATAATGATATGCTTATTCTCACATCTTCCTGCTCTGTTCGAGTTTGGTTTCAAAGTGATGGCGTATGGGCAGTGGCATTGACACAGAGGCCATGCAACTGTACGCCTCTAAGCCCAACCCTAGAATTCGGTACGAGTATCAGCCAGCAGAGTCTGTACCTGGCTGCTCTATCTCTTGCCTTTCGAAAACAAAAGGTGGGATGGACTCGTCAATTGATATTTTCATTCCGTACTTCCTTACCAAATGGACATGATGATCGCTCACAGAGATCAGAATTTTCGTTCTATCAGTGCCTAGACCTTCACTTCAGTGGGATTCTTCTGTGGAAACTGATCATCCAAGTATTTCAAGTTCAGTGCTCTCCCCAGGTTGGCGTTGATAGTCAGACCGAGCCATTCTTTCAATTCGGGTGAGAAGCTCTGCTTTGTTTGCTCGTCGAACTTCTCGCTCCAATTGACTTGCTGCCGCAAAAATGGTACAGTATAGTATCCAAACAGCAAGGCACGATCCTCGTTTGAAATATTCTCGCCGCTCGTGTGCCATACCCTGCCGTCCATAATCAATATCGACCCGGCCTTTGCCACGAATGGCTTGAGCATTTGTTTTGCATTGCGTGGGATCTGGTCCTCGTATTCCCATTTGTTGCTCCCTGGAATATACAGTGTTGCACCATTCTCAAAGTATACGTCGGTCAAACACCAGATGACATTGAGAGCCCAGACCTCCTTCCAGGGATCTGGCACGACCAGGGACATGTCAGAATGAAGGCCCATCGATTTCGATCCAGGTCGGGCAACATTTGCCGTGAAGTTTGAGATGAGAAACTCCTTCCCAAGAACAGACTGGACCATTTCGATGGCTGTCGGATGCTGGATAAGCTCCAGAAAGATCTTGTCCAGTTGCATCAGGTAGAACACGCGGATATTGTTTGCGTTTGGATCGAGAAACTCCAGCCGTGTAGGATCCCCTTGTTTCTCACTTGCCTCTTTGGCTTTCCAGAGGCGTGACAAGACATTTTGAGTCTCTTCTTTGTTCAATATATCTGGTATGACGCACCAACCCTCGTCTTTTAGGTGTTGCTTCGCAGATGTCGTGTCAAAGTTCTTCGTCGAATAGGAATCCATTGGCCAAAGCAGTGAATCAGGCTTCACGTCAATTTATCAAGAGATTATGTCGTTCGGATAGTTGAGGTTTGCAGGTATCTAAGAGGTCTCTTATCTATAATCGCAAACTGCTCTGGCATGCTCATATATATCGACCATTCGCACTGTTTTGATCAGTGAGGCGTCAGAAGAGCTACAGTCAGCCGAATCTGACATCTGAAACTGGCACTTGTAAAGTTACAACACAACGATCTCTGTGCTCATGAGAGATTCCCCCGCCTAGACAGCCCAATCCAGAACCTCCACTTACCTAGGTAGGGATTTTGCCTCCTCAAGGAGAGCAGGGTACAAGGAAACCTCGGTTGAGAGACTGCGAAATCGCTCGGTGCCTACGCTGCAAACAAGACGCGCATGACAGCAAACACTAGTGGCTTGTGAGATCTCTTGGTTCTATCGTCATGCCACCTTTTGTTCAACATAACACTGCATTACAAGTTGAGGTCGGAGTCGGTGCCCTGGAGCCTGAGTCAGCTCAACAAACCCAGCTGGCACTGTGAGCGAGTACTAGGTACTGTGTCTGGTTAGGTGGCTCTCATTTCAACTTGGATGAAGCAATTTGCTTTCCTTTCCCTAGTGACAATTGCCAGAGAAGTTGCTGACGACGAATATGAGATAGCAACTCGAAAATTATTCAAATATTCTATCACATAGAAGGGAAGTTCTGGAGAATAGCTGCATATCTCTGGAGAGCAGATTCTGGGATTGATGAAGCAGTACTTCGAAATCTGAAGAATGGATATATACAGAGCTGTGAGGGCATTGAATCGCTGAGTTTCAGAACGCACTGATCTTGACCGTTATTTGATCGGATAGCACCTCAATCATAGGGAACATTCTCGCAGCTCAAACCTGTTCACTTGAGTCGTGAATCTCTTCCCGATGTTCCTCACCCACTTTGTCATGGCCATACTCTCCTTCCCCAGGCTTTGTAAGCGCGAGTACAGCACCCGCGTCCTCCTTGCCTCCTCTGTAGATTTGTCTGGGAATGTGGTCTGTGAACAATGGGTCGTAGTCTTTGATGATGACGCAGGCTACATCGACGTCGTTAGCACAAGCCTTGTGAAGGGCATACGCACTTACCAAACAGTCCGATCACGCCAATGGCGACGGCAGCGTAATACACATACGAATAAGCAGCCGCATAAGCTGTGGCTGTAGCAGATCCAACTGCGGCCAAGATCTCGTTGGTCATTCCTGGGACTGCTTCCAGTGCAGCGGTTGTCCCTACACCGAGTGCAGTGAACAGGTCTGTCAGAGAAGACTTGGGCAATCCCGCGTTGAGAGCAGCTGGCACAACATATTCTTGAAGCTTCTTGGGTGCTTCATTGGACAGAATGGTCACGAACACAGCTGTAAAGATACACCCCACTCCTGTGCGTCCGAGGAAGATGATGGAGAAACAGGTACCAAGATCAGCATCATTGGAATCCAGTTGCACTAGTAGTCCGGTCATGACCTCGAGAATCCCAGCAGGGAATGTAGCCAAGAAAGAGAATGCTGCCGACTGACTGAAGTTGGATGAATTGCATGATGCTAGAGCGCCTGTGCACGAAGTCAGCTATGCTCAAAACTCCTGCAGTAGGTTCCACCTACCCAGGAAAGCCACAGACACGGCCATCATCACGATAAGTTGAATTCTCACATGCTTGATGATTGAGACGAACGGCCCGAGGATGACGATACCACCCCAGATTCCGAAGGCTATTGTCGTCTGATGGTTGTTAGCGGCATCTCAAGCTCGACGAAAGTACTTACAGATGCCCAGGCCTGCTTCTGCCAACTTGTAATAGTGGACGCATAGATGGCACTGTACGTCCCCACCCAGTCAGCAAAAGAAACCGGTGGAACTTTTGATTCACAGAAACCACATACGATACTTGTGATGGCCATAGAATGGCTGTGGCAAGGTAGACTGTGCCTGATACAGCGCTGATAATGAACAGCGGAGTGAATCCACGCAGATCCTTGAATAGATGCATGGGAATCAGCGGGTTAGGTGTATGCGAGAAAACCTCCCAAAATCCAAACAGGACCAGGATAATACCGCCCGAGATCACAAGGCCAAGGATACGAGGCGAGGACCAGGAGACAGGATTGCCACCTTTACTTTGTTAGCTGAGATGCTTTGAGGTTCCGAACAACACTTACCCCATGAGATGCCAAGCAAGAACAGAACAAGTCCAGCCACAAGGAGAAACATACCGACCCAGTCGATACGCTTAATCTCTTGCATACGAGTACGCTCGTTTCCATGCAATTGTCGAAAGCTTGGTGGATGGTAGAACAACACCATGAGGATAAGAGCAATACCCTGGATGATCAGGTAAATATAGTAAATCCACCTTTTCGATTGTCAGTTGAGTCAGGCAAACAACCAGTAGTCTCACTCACCTCCAAGAGGCTGTATGCGTCAACATCAATGCCAGGTAGGCTCCAAACCCGGTGGGTATCACATTGGGTACGACGACTAGGACAACTGCCAGGAACTTGTATTTGTTTGGGCACACTTCTCCTGTTGTGAGGCCGTAGCATGTACTAGGAATGGTTATGACTGGTTCACATGGGCAAGATAGCTGGAATACTCACTGCACACCAGCACCAAGCCCAAGCAGAACATTGGCACCAACAAGTGTATTCATGGTTTTGGCCGTACCTGCAATGACGCCTGTCCAGATATTAGACTTAATTCCTGCTACCACCTGCAAGGTTTTGGACTTACCTCCGACGAAGCCAGCGCCAGTTGCTGCTATGAGGAACCATCGTCGTCCAAACTTGTCCGAGATTCTGCCAAACAGAATGAGAGAGACAGCAGATGCAACAGTCCAGATGATCGAGAACAAGCTTGAGGTAGAACTAGGACCAATGTCGGCATTGATAACACTGATAACAGCAGCAGCAGGAGAGAATCCCCAGTAGCTGGCACTGTGTAGAATGTCAGCCAGCTGAAAGTAGAAGTCTTGCTGTACGCACACCGTGGACAAACTGATAGATACCAGTGCACCGATCAAAGAAGGGCTCATGAAGTAACCACTCCTGACTTTACTCGCGTCAGTACTCAGAGCCTCTGAGTATTTGAAGTCATCAAGTTCTCCAGCATCTGCGTGCTCACGCTCGAGCTGCTGGAGTCTTGAGATTTGTGGCTCCGCCATTGTTGATGAGACACTTGTTGATCGGATTCCGAATGCCCTAGCAAAAGATTCAAGAGGTCGACGGACTGGGATGTATATATATGTAAGGCTCGGGCTACGGTAGCTCTAGCTTCACAATATCAAAGAAGACCCTGGTCCCCCACAACTCTCACAGATCAAGGGTTACCAACTTGATATACTCCTGCTGGGGCATTCGGATCCGATGTAAAGGTTCAGTCTGGGGTTTGTTTATGGGGCCCCGTTTGGGGAGTACCCCGTAGTACCGCCCGCCATGATTGTCCCAAAATCAGGTGGATTAGTGTGTTAAATCTTACAAACTCAGAATGTCACTTACCATTTTCTGACCCGTGCGTCCGAGCTGATGTACCTACTAAAATACCGGCTAAAACCTTGGATTGCCCTTTGATCATGGCTCCATACACCAATCTAGTTTCCACCTTGGGCATGAAGAACGCCTAGTCTGCTGAGCATTGACAAAGTTCAATAGTCAGAGTGGCACTCAAAATCATAGACATGATGACAGTTGAAACAATCAAGCTGTGTACGGTGAATGTCACGAGTTCATGGAATGCTTTCAGACTCATTGTTAGGAATCCTCAATCCACTGATTTGAGATAGGAGAGTGGCCTACCACCCTAGCATCAGGTGGAGCTCGCGTGTGAGAGATACAGATGAAGTAGAACTTGTCAAAGTTTTATGGGTGCTCATGCTTCCTGTTGGCACTCGACATAGTATTGCATAGCCTGATATGTCTTATTTGTAGGCCATTGCATTCAAAGGTTGTGTTCTTCCAACCATCGCATGTCAACATCGAAAGCATCTTGGAAAGAAGGTGTAAAGTTTGCGGTACTCTGTAGATTGGCTAAAACTTCGAACTCTGTGAGTGTGATGTCTTCTGGGTTGAGGATTTTGTGATCAAGGCGACAATTTCTTTCAACTGGTGTTTGCCATGGAGCCCTGTCGCTAGTGGAAGACTCAAGAGATGTATTGTGACGAGACTCATCCTGGTCAACAGATCCAGTAGTTAAATAAAAAGATTGGTCGCTTGGGCACTGTTCCGGGCCTATCGACGTCTCTGGAGGGGTAAGGACTGGAATTTCAGACTGATATTTCGCGTTAGAAGTTTTGTCCTTGGGTGACTCAGAACTCGAAGGGCTCGAGCACTTATATTGAGACTGGTGTGTTGCTGTACCAAGCACCGAGATGACAAAGGCTGCAGATGAGTGCTCCTCGACCAATTCTTCCAGAGCTTGGACACATATTGTAAGCTGGGAGGTATGGCCTCTTTCATGGACGATACCAGTCGAGTCCCTATCATGCATATGGACATTGATGACCGAGAGGAGACAAGTAATGCCAGTGTAGGGTAAATTACGCATCAAGTTATGGGCGCGAAAGTTTTGGTATATATCGGTGATTTTGTTTGCGGCGTCACCAAGTCTGGTTCTCGAAATCTGTCGGAATTTAGCTGGCATGTTAGTTCTGCAATCCAATATCACTGGCCGGTGCATGTTGATCGTGATAGTCAGGAAGATTGCAGCAACGAGGCCACGGTGAAGGTCCACGATTTTGTCGTTATCGGTAAACCCAGAAGAAGTCGAGCAAAATAAATGTTTGTTCTCTTGTATGGTTTCACGATACCACTTATTCAACTGGTGATCAAATTGAATTAGATCGTATCTTTTTCGTTGGATTGCGTCCATTCTTTGCGAATGGCCATTCTCTTGAAAGGTTTGGTGAAGCAACTGGTCCATTTTGCTCGCTCTTGTGAACAATTGAGTCAGGGTAATGAACAACTTGGCCAAAATTGTCCGATCAGCTGTTTCCCGCTGAGGGGTATATTTGTCAAGCACCTTTACTAATTTCCTCGCTGAAGCCGAATCATTGGTATCGAAATCTGTAACTTTGAGGTTTGGAAGATCAAAGTCTAGGAGATTGAGTCTGGGTGGGCAGCATAGGTCGAGGGCTACCAGTTGATCTCGAATGAGGCAAGACCACCAGATCCGCTTCCAGAGTCGTGTCTCGCTTCTCTCACAGAGCTTTGATGTGTTATGAAGACCGATTCCTTTTGCAATCGAGATTGCAACATCAAGCCAGTACCCAGCATCTTTGGCACCACCTAGATTGCCATACCAGCAAGTCATCAACAACACTGCTTGTAATGTTGTGATCTGATCGGTCTCGTAGTCAAAGTCGTAGAGCAGTTTGAGTTTGTTGAAGTAAGTCTGCTGTGCCTCTTTTCTGGTTGTATAACCAGCAGTTCGGAGGTGTACAATGTCGACATGACTAATGCCAGCAAACATGATGGCCTGGAATACGAACAGACTGATTGAATGGCTGTGGTTTTCTTGAACTGTGGTGAGAATATCTACAAACTCGAGTATTGGAAGAAACGGATCCACAAATCGTGCGTAGGATGTCAACAGTTCGTTTCGGAGGCGTACACCTGGCACAGTAAAAACCCCTTTTCCTCGAAGATATTGAAAGTCTTCTGCGTGAATTCTGGCTGGTACTGGTTGCATATACGGAGGTAAAATATTCCGGTCATCAGATATTCGTGGCGGCGTGCGTGTCGGTTCCACGGTAAGAATGGCTGGTTTCTCATCGCATCCTCTCTGGCTGAGGCTGGTCCATTGTAGAGAGTCTGTTCATTCCTTAGTCAAAGTTTGCGCAGCTACAGACAAGAGACATACCAGTCACACAATTCTTGCCTGGGATAAGATCACATTGTGACTGAGGCGACTCCGAGCTTTTGCTGCTCGGGACATAAACTTGAGCATGGGATGAGTTGCTTGGTTCTTTGGCGTCGTCAAACATCGAGAACGGTGGCAGCTCTTTTCCTCCATCATACGAGTCGTACAGATCGATATGAGGAGAAATCCCGTCTGTCTCCTTTTTGCGTCGTCGGCCCTCTGTGGTGACAACACAATTTAGTCGATCCAGCCTGCAATTTGTACAAGGTGTGCCATTGGCAATAGCATCGCATCTGACTTTACGAGAGCGACAAGAGCGACAAGCCTTTTTGGCCCGATGTCTCTTCGTCAGACGGGGAGGACCCGAGGTCGATGTTGGTGATGGCGAATCAATCTGGATGCCCATCTGCAAGTGGTTGTAATGCTGTTCACAAATACGATGCTGTTGGTGGTGAGTTCTCGACAACTATAATGATAGTCCAATGATTTGTATATACGCAATGAAGAAAGTGTTGTGAGCCTAGGCTGACACTGGTGGATGTACGCAAGTCCTGGATCATATTAGCATCGATATACTTCTCTCCTATTTATCGAAATGAATCTCACATGTAAAGGAACAGCTACAGCCGTGTATGTATTGTGGTTTACTGGTTCCCGTCACAGCTTCAAAATCACAAGGCTTTTGGAGAATACTCCCAATTCAGCACAACAAGCTAATCAGCTAGCAAAATATTGAGAAGCCACAACCTGCTCCGCTTCAAATCCTAATACTATCTGTAATGCAAATCTTGAAGGCGAACCAGTCTCGCAAAGACCATGACTGGAGTAGTCCGATGTGCTAAGCTACGCGTCACGTCTGTGGTTGTGATCTGCCATGCACCGAGGCAGGTTTTGGCTTGTCAGCTTTTCCACAGTCACGGTAGTCCTCCTCTCGTTGTGCCTAGATTGGTCCGTGCCCAGATACGTCAATCGTCTCCCGCATCAGTTTTCCGTTATCCTCGAGAGAATGAAGTTGCCTAATGCAGAGTTTCGACCAGCAGCTATGCCAGCCAAATAATTTTGTAAACAATATCTTAGTAACGTCTATCAAGGAATATAAGCATCAAAAGGTGAGCGGGTTGGTAGTTTGCCCACTATGATTGACATTGGCGCAACACTTGCGACTCGAGATCGACGATGTCTAGCCACGAGATGAAATGGCAACAGCCTCCGAAGCGAGAGCTGCTTGGGGGTGATTTGGTAGCACAGTCTTTGAAGCAACTGGGTGCTGAGGTTTGTTTCGGACTTCATGGTGGACATTTGGATGCATTTTTGATCGGCTGCGAGCTTGTCGGCATCAAAATCATTGACACTCGACACGAAACAACTGCCGTTCAAGCAGCAGAAGGATATGCAAAACTCTCTGGCAAAGTTGGTTTCTGTTTTGTGACGGCAAACAGTGGGTACGGGAATACCTTGATACTCCCCTTCGATGCTCTTGTGGCCATGCTGATACTGTTTGGACCTCGACAGCTTCGGTAATGCTCTGCCCGGACTGGCGACAGCATTTGCGGATCGATCGCCTATCTTTGTCATCACTTCTTCAGCACCACTGAGGGACGCAGAGACAAATGCCCTTCAGGGGTTTCATGACCAGGTGGTCCTGGCGAAGCCTGTCAGCAAGTTTGCGCATCGAATTACCAGTGAGTGGAGTTGATTCTTCTGGTGAATGAGGAACTGATACTTCGATGCTCAAGATGTCGAAGAAATCCCGCGCATCATCAGCTATGCATATCGTACTGCAATTGGCGGCATTCCTGGTCCCGTTGTCATCGACTTCCCTATCGACATCCTCTTCCATCCGCCCCGTTTGAATGCTCTTGCATACGGCTCTATCGCATGTGCCCCAGCCGTCTCTCCTTATCCAGATCCCGCTGCTCTGGATGAGCTCCTCAATCTGTGGAAATCAGCCTCCCGCCCGGCCATCATTGTTGGTACTGGAGCGGCTCGAACAACTGCAAGAAATTCCAAGTCCAGTGCGCTCCTGGACCTCGCCAAAGCAGCCAACACGCCAATCTTCTACTCTCAAAAGTATGTTCCTACACTTCCAGCAGATTCACCTTTCCGAGGGGGCTACGCGGGACTTCTTGCGCAACTTCCAGCGTTACAGAAACAACAGCCAGATCTCATAATCCTCCTTGGTGCACGAACCGGATTCTTGCTCGGAGGCCGCACCGGGGCAATCATTCCCAATTCTGGCGCCAAGATCGTTCAAGTCGATATTGATGCGGCTGAAATTGGCAAAACCCTTGCGATTGATTTGGGCATTGTGTCGGATGCCGGAAAGTTCATCAACGCTTTTCTCGACAAGCTCAGTACAAACAACCCCATCAAATCTCATGATGCGTGGTTCCAAGACCTTCAAACCCTCAAATCACAGAAATCTCCATACGAAGACGAGGCCAACAAACTTCCAGATGGCCGCTTACATCCATATTTCACCATGAAAACTATCTATGAGTCTCTGCCAGCGGGCTCGATTGTCATTATTGACGGTGGTGAAGCAGGTGTATGGGCAATGGAACTTCTTGATCACGCTCGTCCTTCAGGCGGAATGGTCGCCACAGGCTACCTAGGCTTCCTAGGCAATGGCTGGGGATACAGCATAGGTGCCGCTCTAGCAGCAACAGACCGTCTCGTCGTCAATGTCCATGGTGATGGATCTGCTGGTTTCCACATCCAGGAGCTCGATACCTTTGCACGTCACAATCTCAACGTGCTGACAGTCGTCATGAACAACTATTTCTGGGGAATGAGTATTGCTGGCCAGGATTTGATCTACGAAGATGAAGATCCTGCGCGCGTGGCAAGTAAGCTATCCCAGAATTGTCGATTTGATGTGGTTGCACAAGGCTTTGGGTGCAAAGGGGCCATGGCTCAGAAGAGTTTGGATGAAGTACGAGATGTGGTAAAGGATCTTACAGCAACCAAGGGGCCTGGATTGTTGAATGTGATCATTTCAAGGAACCCGGTCACACAGGTCACGCTAGGAATGGTTGGAAAGACTCAGGACAAGAACTGGATCGTGGTGCCATATTATGATAATGTGCCCAGACCGTACTTCAAGGATAGCGAGGTGAATGGGCACTAAGGTGCCTCTAAGAATATCGGATTGAAGTCATAGATTTCCACTGCAAGATAGTATTCGAAATATTATATCTCTGGGTCAGCAGCACCAATCAATTTTATATGTATCCTTTACTGCGTGCTCAAGATCGCGGTTCCAGATTGCCAGGAGATCTGAGATTGTATTGTGAGAGCGCAAATTCGATTCAATCTTTATTCTTATTTATACTATCCGTAGATCTCTACTCTACTAGATTGGGAAAGTTGCCATTGCTGTCGAGAGTTCTTCAATGTGACTGTGCGTGACCTTCGCTGTCGTTTCTTCTGGCAAATGACCAGAATCCAGACCGCCATTGGCGGTGCTCTCTTTCTTTCCTGGACGTGGACCAGAGTTAATTGTGGGTGGTATTTCCACTGTATCCAAGTAGTCTGTTGTTTTTTCGTCTTTCTCTTGTGCCGTGGTCAGACCATTTCCAAGCCACGTCAACATGTTGTTCTGGGTTTCAGGCATTCGAACAAACAAAAAGTCCTCGAATCTTGGACTCTGTAGAGCTGTCTGAGCATGAACAGAGGACCCGGGCCAGAGTCCAACAATACGACCCTCCTCGTCATTTCGCTTGAACCAAGACTTGCACTGATAAACGGCGTGAGCAGGGAAAGAAGACGAAATTCAAGTCTGGAAGAGTAGTCTCACCTTATACGTGAAGATGGTCTTCGCAAAGTACCTATCGACGTGTTCCGAAAATGCTTTGTTTGCCTCTTCACTGGAAAAGAAGTCAGTTCATAGTTCTGAGACGTGTAATTGGGAGGACTTACGTGACTTCCATCGAAGCGATGTATTCTCTCTGTAGCTTCTTGACACATTTGATGATATATTCGACCGTGTATTCGAGCATGGCAATAAAAGATCCAGCGCCAGGTCCACCGTTGGGACCAAGGAAGAAGAACAGGTTGGGCATCTTCGGAGAGCATAGTGAGAGATACGCTTCTGGATACGGGGTCCAAGCCTCTTCCAAGGTGATGCCACCTCGACCAACAAATGGCGTCGAGGCCGAATTGAACGAGCTGTTCAGAGCATTAGCGCCTTCTTTCAAAGTGACGTTGAGTGAAATTGCTCACTAATCAAATCCTGTTGCGTAGATAATGGCGTCGACTTCATGAAACTTGCCGTCCTCGTCCAAAAGTCCAGTCTCAGTAACCTTGGAGATGCCAGTGCCGATGAACTCCACATTGTCTTCCACCAGAGCTTCGAGATACCCGGGCCCGGGGGTCAATCTACGGCATCCTGGAGGATAGTCGGGCCGTAGAGACTCGTAGATCCACGGCTTTTTCTTGAGTTTTTCCTTCATCGATTCATCGCTCATCTTCCAGAAAACGTTTTGGATTTCGGTGCCTCGGAACGTCACCAGTTGACTTTTGTTCATACCCCCTTCGATCTTGTGTCGATACTCTTGATATTGCTTGGGGTTTTCTCGATAGAACTTTCGCTGCTCCTCCGGAATATCAACTTGGACCTCGTCAGTATCAAGCTCTAGGCACATTGTAGAATATCATACCTTCTTGAGTCTCACCTCCTTCTTCGGCTCCGTAGCCCACTGGTGAGATCCATGTCTTGCCCTTCATGAAATGGATGACTTGTTTGGCTTTGGGCTGGATTTGCGGGAGAATCTGGATGCCACTAGACCCTGCTCCGATCAGAGCAACCCGTTTATCGGTCCAATCGAAACTCGTATCCCAACGGGCTGAGTGCATATATGGTCCCTTGAAGTCGTGAAGGCCGGGAATGTCTGGCCATTTCCAGGTGTTGAGCAGACCGGTTCCCTTGAGCAGGACATCTGCTGTGTCTACAACGATCTGACTACCATCAGTCTGGGTGTCCTGACAGGGACATCCCTCTTACCTCGCTTGTATCCAGATTCTTCAATTCAATTCGCCACTGTTGGTTCTTCTCGTCCCATTCAGCTCGTTGAAAGTAATGTCGAAAGCGAACATATTTTTCAACATCATATTTCCAGGCAATGTCTTTCAAGTAATTCTGGATCTCCCCTCCTGTGGCATAAAATCGGGACCACTCTGGGTTGCTTGCAAATGTGAATTGGTAGACATGTGAAGGGATGTCTGGAACGGTAGGCTGTTAGCAAGCTACTGCCTAGTTTCTCCCCCAAATCCATATCAGTGAGTCCTACCACATGCTATTCCAGGATATCTACAGCAAATGTCAGTCTTCACGAGTCTACTTCCTTCGTGCGCGAGTTTACTCGCCTGTTCTCGTACCATGTTCCTCCAATATCGTCATTCTTTTCGTAAACAACAAAGTCAAGGTTGTCAATGTACTGTGGAAACCGAATGGCACTGAGAATGCCCGAGTACCCAGCTCCAATGCAGACAACTTTGATCTTCCGGTTGGCATCAATTGGATGATCGTAGAGAGGGATAGTATTTGGATCCATGGCTTCTGCTGCAGCCCGTGACTAGGCAAAAAGATGAGTATGAGTCAAGAAGGTTTTCCTTAGGCTTGTACATCCAGCTTGTGTTTTGAGTTATCTACTTGGAACCCCACGGAGAATAGATGACAAGTGACATGGATTCACATGTGTCACGAGATACCTATAGATTGGTATTGGAGGCTAAAGCTAAGTTGCCTTCATCATTTTCTTCGTCAGCTAGAGCTGACTCTCACCCATGGATCCTAACACGCTCTTCTGCGATCTCCAGAGATAAACTAAGTACCTGGTCTTGTGGGGTCCCCGCATGACAATGGTCCGCAATCTCCGCTTGTACACCTCCACCCCTTATTCTGCCCCGTAGGTATAGATGTTCGTCAGCAATTGTTGACTAAGAAAGCTTCAAGAAGATCATCGCGGGAATTGTTCCAAATACGAACTTCAGCTTGGATATATCGCTGACAGGTCGGTTCCGAACTACGTACGTTTAGCTACTTACCTGCTTACGGGAGTCTCTTCTGAAAGTTTGTCTTTCGAAGCTTGTTGTGTTTCGCTGGCAATTACACTACCCTTCAATCTAAGTCTGTGGTTTCTGGAGACAGATCGACAATGGGCTCTTCAAGCTTTGCAAACAAAGTGGTGTTCGTGACGGGAGGTAGCTCTGGCCTGGGGGCAGAGACATGTGAGCTGTTCATACAAGCTGGGGCGACACTATTCATCACAGATCTTGCGGAGCGTGATATCCTCAAGCGAGTGGGAACAGAGAAAGCAACATTTCAAAAATGCGACGTTTCAAACCCTGAGGACTGCGAAAACGCGGTCAAGGCGTGCATAGAGCGCTTTGGACGGCTCGATGTTTTATTCCACAATGGGGCACGACTTGGTGCTTGCGCAACCGTTGTCGACCATGATATTACGCTGTTTCAGCAGGTTGTCAACACCAACCTATGTTGACTGTTCTATCTAGCCCGGGTCGTCATACCTCAGATGCGCAAACAAGGCAAAGGAACCATTGTGAGTACAGCCAGCACTGCCGGGCTCGCGGGAGATTACGGTCTCTGCTCCTACAGTGCGGCGAAGGCAGGACTGGTAAACTTGACGCGAACTATGGCTCTGGATCATGCACAGGAAAACATCCGCGTCAATTGCGTGTGCCCAGGATATATGGTCACACCAATGACAGTTCCATTCCGCGAAAACGAAGTCATGCACGAAGCGCTTCTTGAAAGTATTCCCATGCACCGAGGCTCTGATCCGAAGGAGGTAGCCCGGGCAGTGCTGTTCCTGGCGTCGGAGGATTCCTCTTATATCACCGGACAAGGTAATTTTTCCATTCGTTTTATCCGTTGACCAAGAAAGAAGCTGACTTAGGATGTTCCCACACAGCTATTGCAGCTGACGGTGGTTGGACTGCCTCCACTGGCGGACCAAACTTTTTGAAATACATGGGATCTGGGGTAAGTGCATCGTTGGCTGTGCAATGATCAAAGTTTGGGTTGCTAATTCAACAACCGAAGGTGCAGACCAAGTAATCAAACTCGGTCCTCAATTAAAACTACGGAAATGTTAGGATGCCAGGGCTTACATCGGTGACCTTGTCAAAGTTCAAGGTGTGGCCTTATCTCCGACGAGGGTTTTACCAGGAAACTGGACCGAGACTGTAAATAGTACATCAAAGAGATCATGACGAGGCCACAGCCATGATGGCGACTTGTGAAGTGATTTGAGCTGGTCTCCACTGTTTCGCTTTATTTGCTTCTATTCGAGTGCTGAGGATGTTCCATCCTGAAGAATCACGAATCCATTTCGCATCATCTCTAGAGTTGAAGCAATTCAAGGATTCAACACGACGATGGAGCTAACAATACCCTACTTAACACTATAGGGAAACTCCTTAAGATAGTAATTGTGAGGGTTTGGAAAGAGTTCTACAACTAGCTAGCTAACCTAGTAACAAGGAGGATAAATCTGAGGAGAGAGGAGGAAGGAATGGCTGTCCTTCCTTTCTCCTTATATCCTCCAACGCACCGTAAGGAGGTAACTAGTGTCCTCACCTCCTTACTCCTCCTTCCTTACGTACTTGTTCTAGCTCCTTGCCTTCCCTTGCGTACTTGTTCCAACTCCTTACCTTCCTTTGCGTACGGTGTCTCAGCTGTCAGGATTCTGTAGCCCTTACACCGTGTACGTCTTGACCAATCAGGAGGCATCATTTCGCCTGTACATTGTACAGGCGAACACACCCAATCAGAAAGTATGGTTTCCTGGCGTTGGTCTTGGGGCGGGTTCGCCAGAACCGAACCTTCTCCTGGGTTCAACCCATCACATTTAAGTCTCTATATATAGGGCTAGAGCTATCTATACTAGGTGTTATTGCTTCTATTAACCTGCCTATCCACCGCTCCCCTTACAGACACTCCCTAAAAGCTATCATCTAGTAGCTGGCCCGCTACCTACGTCACTATATCTATCGGTGGCCCTAAAGAGTCCCTCATAACTAAGTATAGGTTTTTCGTATGAGACTACCTAGGTACGTACATTGACGGGTAGGTGGTGTATGTGATGTCCACGGTACGCAAGCGGAGTTGGAGTCCTCCGCATCTACATCCACAACAGGTACATGGTACAGAGACGTGTCTTCATGAAAGGAAGGGAGAGTGTGGTAGAAGAGGGGAAGTCCCTAAAAATCGGATACTCGTGATATAGCCTACCTACCTGCCTTCCTCCCTCCCTCCCGACGTATGCACAGTCCGTGCGGCCCTTGCGGTCCAAGTCCTCTTGTTCCTTTTTCCTCGCGCCGGGGATAAAATGGACCTCATATACGGAAACCCGGCGACATAGATATATACAACAACTTTTCCGAAGACTTTGCGCGGCATAGGACCTGGTCCTTTCTCTTTCATTCACATATTCGCCCCTCACTATAACACCGTCCCGAACCATGACTTCGTCAAAGACAAAAAGAGATGGAGGCAGCCCATTGACCGCCCACCGGCCCCCAAAACTCATTTCTTCATCCACAGCTCGTTTCTGTCGACGTGGTTTGGTTCAGGGACTCTTGCCGAATCTCCGATCAAAATCCCTCAGGACAGCCATAACGTTCGCAGCGTCAATCTCCAACGCCGGCCTTCCCGCCATGCCCGGGTTGCTAGGTTCGCTGGCATGTAGCTTAGGCATCCACTCGCCAATGTCGCCCGCAGCGCGCTCGTAGGCGGGGTGTCGCGACAGGGTGGTGTAGGCGTCTGCGCAGGTTAGTGTTACACCTGCCTTTGGCACATTTGTGGAGCTTTGCTGTGCCAGGGTCTCGTAGGAGGGAATAACTGCGGCTTGGGACCGGGTCGTGCGGTTTCTTCTGGGAAGAGGCACCACATTATTCTCGGTACTCGACCGGCAGCAAGACCCGCCGGGAATTTGGGCGCCGCAGCATCCTGAGGAGGGTGTGGTCGCGAGCTGTGACTGAGCACGAGAGGCCGCAAGAGATTTGCAGAAAAGAGTACTATTCGGATCGGCGCGACATTGGGCACATGTTCCTGGCCCCGATGCCCCACACCCCGAAGGTGGAGGAAGCACTGACGGGACAGACATGGACACATCGCCTTCGGACGGGGGTGGTGTAAATTGGTCGAGTTGCCTTGATGATGTGTGCGTCGGAATGATTGCTGCCGCTGACCTGCTGCTGGCCGCGGTCTGCGCTCGTTCCTGTTCAGCTGCGACCTCTGCGCAGATACACGGTGTGCCATCTGAGCAGAAGCCGCACGGATCGGCCACCGCGGAAGTAGGAGAGTGATTGTCCAAGCGAGGGCGTTCTGGGATGGCGTTTGAGGCGTACACTGCCGTAAAATCAATTTCTAAAGTCTCCCTGCTCTCGATTTTGATTCTCTTTTCACCGCCATCTCTCTGTGATGGGGAGAGTGGACGTTTCTCGTGATGATTTGTGTCGCGGGCCTCTGCTGCGTCGCCGCCCATTGCTGCGAAGGCGTCGTCTATACATTGACAGCGGGTCTCTAGTGTGCAATTTCCACATCCGACTGAGGTGTCATTTGCTGCATTGTCGTTTGAACTGGGAGCCTTGTCCCGAGTAGATGTGCTTGGAGGTGATTCCGAAGTTGTAGATCTGGCAGCAGCCAGCTCGTTTTCTAGTCTCCTACATCGATCCACCCAGTGTGCCAGGTCGGTTTGATAGTGTTCAATCTCTTTTTCAAGTTTGTCCACAGTCGCCCGGAGGATATCTTGTTCATGTTCATGCTCTTCCTCGATCTGCTTCAATTGTTCTTCGAGTTCACCTACCCGTGCGGCGCGTCTCTCTCGGAAGGCTCTCTGCGCGGCACGATTCTGCGCCTTGCGTTTAGTGGGAGGTGTGTCTGTCGCTGGTTTCCGTCCTGGCTTGGGACGAGGAGGGACGACCCATTCCCTGCTGGTGAGAGACATTGGTGCTGAGGTGGATGAAGATGGCGGGGAAGCGGCTGGTGGGGTTTGGGCTGGTTTCATGCATAGCGATGGTGGTCGTGCTATTGCAACTTTGACGTCGACAGAAGTTGTGTTCGCTGCTGTTGCAGCTGTTGCCGCTGCCTTCGGGGACGCGGCGCTGGAAGCCATGTTTCATGGATAGAGGACAATCCGCCTTGTACCGAGGGTAATGGTCGGAGCTGATTGTGGGACGTCGTCTGCAATCCAATTAACTGCTGACACCGTGGAGGACGCAGTGGCCCCTGTTTGCCGCCAGCATCTGCTTGAATGGCGATATAAGTGTGGTTGCCTCCTCGAAACCGCGGTACGGCGGACAGATGGTTCGACAAGGCGCATGCAAGAAAACAAGTCGGGAAGAGTCGAGGTTGGGATTGGGATCAAATTTTATCAGATTAGATGCGACCGATAATCGGCCTTGGCACGTGCGGGGCTCAGCTATCAGATCGGGAATGATCAGGCCACACCGATGGGAAAGAGTCGTCACCTAGATAGCGAGATAGGTAGGTATAGTACAGCAGCCAGTCTTTGTACATTCAAGTAGGTATGGAAAAGTACCCCCAGATATCGTGACGGAGAAGAGTATGGGTATCTCATACAACGCCTGAAACGCCGTGCTACATGCCCCGGTCCCCAACCTTCATCCACCATTAGATTTACATTCGCGTCCCCTCCGTGACAATGTTTGAGCATCAGCTTGACCCCTCATCAAAACTTACCACCGTGCAAACCAGCTTCTGCTGCTGCAAACTCGCTGCCGCCTTGCAGTCCTCCCACAAATGCGGTTCCCCAGACACCAACCAATCCCCACAAGCCAACCCGCCAGCCGCGGTACAGGCCTTCAATCCCCTGTCCTTTCCTCTTCCGCCTTGGGGCTTTCCCCATTAACGCGGCAGTTTTGTCCTTTCGTGTCTCCGAGTAACCCTCTTCCCGTGCGATACTCCAGAAGGTCGGTAGGATCCCTCGGTAAGATTGCGGTACTGGAACAATGGTCGTGATGGCTTTGCGTTTGGAGGATGAAGAAGGCGGTGCATACGCTGGGGATGTCCAGGTAGCTATCTGTGCTCGACGGAGGACAGTCTCCAATGGGAACTTGATCGATAGATCCAATGCCGATCCCACAAATGTTGCGACACTCCAGGTGGCGGGGTTCATGACGGGATCCAGCCCGAGATAAGACTTTAGGAATACCGGGGTGCTTGTAGAGATCAATGTTGGCAGAGTTGAGCTGAAGAAAGTGACAGGGATGAGGTGGCCGGGTATGAGGTATGGAGTTGGCAGTGTCCGTAGAGTCCCGAGTAGTGTCCGCGGCTCTTGACTGGAAGGCGTGAGGATGAGTCTAGTACGGGCGGCATCAATTGGTGCAAGGACAAGGGCAGACATCGCCGCCGCCGCCGTGCTGATCATGATGGTGGCTACCGGGGCGGTAGAGGTGAGAATAGAGATGTCGGGAATTGCTCCCGATGCCGGCGTATTGAGTATGTCACTCTCTGCCACTCCAAGGACAGCTGCCAGAAAGCTTCTGAAGAATGTCTCAAGAGTCCGTGTCAGGATGTTGTACACAAATGTAGAATTAGTCGCCCGCCACATAGCCAAAGCTCCGCCACTCGACGACAGAGATGACAGTGCATCAATAAGAGAATGAGGATTCTTGAGGTGTAATTGCACATCGGCTTGTTGATGGCGATCAGGAACTCGTGAGGATGCCGTCTCCCGAGGTGGCCTTCCGCGCCGACCACGAGCTGGCGACCGACGGGATGTCGTTTGCTCAAATGGCGCGGTCGACGTGAAATAATTGGGTTCGTCATCTGATGAATGTTCGTAGCCATAGTCGTCATGCTCGTTCGCGTCTTCCTCTTCTGCTTCACCATATGTATATCTCCTTTGCGGCTTTTTGTCTTCCTCCTCCTCATCTTGTGCAACGCGTGCCTGCAGAATCAGCTTTGCAACCTCGAATGGCTGCGCAAGCACGACATTTGCATATTTCCATAACGCGCTATCAATTACTGATTTGAGTGATCCCGGTAGAGACGGCGAGGTATCAGAGATGTACTCGGAATAGTCGATGTCGGGAAACGCGAAACTAGTTCCTGGAGAGTTGGTTTTCGAGGTACCCGAGGAAGTGTTGGGCAGTGTATCAGTACCAATAGATGGAGGGACGTAATATGGCCGGAGAGGATTTGGGACGTATCTCGAGTCCTGCATGGCGAGATACTCTGAAAGTGACACTGCTTACTGGCGTGCAGCTGTTTCAATGTTGTCACAGTGCACATAAGGTGATCGAAATGCAAGTTCAATTAATGCAAATGTCGCCGACGTAATTTACCCCGAAAAATGTACGGTGCAGCAAGACATGGGCCAAGTGCAGCTGAGCGTCATTTGAAACTATCATTTCTCCCATTGGAAGGCTGAGGCGACAACCCATGCACCACAGGCCAAAGAATCACAAGAGGCGTTCAGGTCTGAAGTACTAAGAGCAAACATCGGCTCCATCTGTCTTCAGCCGCGTCAAAGATTACAGACTAATTTGATGCTGCGGTTTGTGGTTCTAGCACCATCCTAACGTATATTCAGATACTGCTCACGATTGTTGAGTCGGAGCGTAAGAGATTCATCTCCGGACAACCCACATCCCTCCCTGGTGTTTCCAGACTGTGATCTGTAGCCTGATCCATCTCCATACCGGCGCTCTCCACGTCTTTCTCTTGAGATGTGTCGTCGTCGCGGCTCGCTTCACCTCTGCCTGGATCTGGGACCAAGGCAATGTCAACAGCGAAAGTACTCCGGGCACGTATCTGCGCTCCCCATAGCCAGAAGCATATTGGCACTGGGATGAGGAGCGTAGCAAAACATGCCAGCAGTGTGTTCGCCCACCCCACACCGAGATTGTGGAACATCTGTTTTGCGAACATCGGAAAGCCCGCGGCGAGAGCTGAACGTGAAATGGTCGCTATTGCAAAGGCGGACGCAGAACTGCGGAGCGTCAGTAAGGCTTGCGCGAAACAACATTACAAGTACTTGCTTGGTCCTATATATGTCGAGGATAAAATTGAAGCCTAAAAGTGTTCGTTACCATCGATCAATGTTGACCGCTCCCGAGGCCAACTCCTCCCCAACGGGTAAAACGATCTGTGAAGATGGAGTTCAACTTACACCCGATAAATATGGTATGAAGCCCATAGCCAGTCGCAACTCCACTGGCAGCTGGTATGCTCCAATGCACCTGTCTAGGGTACGCAGCGGTCCAGGCAAACCAGAATAAGCCCGCAGTGAAGGCCACGGCGCCTGTGATGCAGATAGGCATACGCCACTCAGGAACCATAATACCATCATTTGCCCTTGCCCAGTGGGTGTAATATCTCTCTTGAGCCATATGCACGACTGCAGACAGTGCCAGACCTCCAATGACACCAAAGAACGGCAGCCCCCCAGTACCACGATTCATATGGTATCCTTCGACGAAAACAATCTCGTAGGACACCAAGAACGTGTAGATCAGAGCATAAACAAACGCCACGTATATGCAGATGAAGAGCAGGATCGGCTCCTTGCACACCATGATAAAGGGCCTCTGGAGTAGATATTTGAGTGTTTGGCCCAATGTTTCATGCCGTTCTTCGATTTTGGCATGAATCGCCCAATCCCCGGTGTCGACACGCAGCTGTACCGCTTTCTGCTTCAGAAGGTACGGAGCGTAGGATTCGGAGGCGAAGAGCATCAAACCAAAGAAGACTGCCGAACCCACGAACACAGTCCACCATGCGCACCAGCGCCAGCCTAGTGATTGATTGTCTACAGTAAATCCAGCTAATGGCGAGGCGAGCATTGGTGCGCCGAACACAGAAGTCAGGAACGCGATAGATGCATAGCCCCGACGAGCGCCTTTCCAGAAGTCTGCATAAGATGAGAGCGGCAGCATGAGGGCGCATGCTCCCATGACGCCTTGGAAGAAGCGACACAACGCTAGTGTCTGGAAGTCTTTTGCAGTCGCGGAGCCGGCCCCGAAGCAAATGAAACCGAACGACGAGATGATCATGGGAATCTTTCGCCCATAAATGTCTGACAGCGGGGCCCAGACAAAGGGACCTTCATGATCATGGTAGAGTCAGCTTAGTCGCAGGCAAGGAGGTGGATTTTTGTTCAACTGCCTTGGTGGGCGGAACGCTGTATGTATTTCGAACTTCTAATGCAGCACCCGCTGCTACGGGAAGCAAGCTCATTTGGTGTGTCGCGACGGGAGACAGGCAGCAACCCTGGACTCACCTGTAGTATATCCTAATAGAAACAGCGTTGAAGTGCAAAGTGTTGCGACCTCATCGGAGACGTGAAAATGAAGAGATAGCTCAGACACAGCTGGAGAGAGAATACCCGATGCTAGGGAGGAAGTGAAGCAAGCAAAGCCATAGAAGAAAGCAGTGACGATCCTAACTTCAGTTAACAGGCTCTTGTCAGGGCGGATCAAGGGTCAGATATCCCATACTTTTTGTGCGTTGGCCAGTTATACGGTAAATCTGGGTCGTCGACGCCATCGAAGTCCACAAGGAATGTCTTTCCAGCGTTGGCTTGCCGCGTCGTGATTCCTGGCGTTCGAGGGGGTCTTTCGGAGAACGCATTCCGGGCATCATTCTGATCCTGGATGGCTGTTCGATTCATGGAAAACATATGAGATGAGATGCTCTCTTGAGAATGACCACGACGCAGTATCGATGAAGTGTCAGGAAAGCAGGCTCTTCGGGAGAAAAGGGCAATTTCACAGCCTGCCTTACCTACAAAGAGATAGAAAAAGTAGCAGAGCCGAATGTTGTCGGATTAATCACCTATCTTCACCCGTCTTTCCGTATCTCGGCAGTCAAGATCATGACCTTGCACCTTGACTGATAAAATCCGCATAAGGCCATGTAGATCTATCGAAAGGTGAAGGCTCGGGGGCAACTTGCTTAAACAGAGCCGAGGTGATAGGTGACGGCAATAGTCTTCAGCAAGCGTTTGATCTGAAGTAAGGAAGAATAATCTGCCTCTGTATGTGAATCATAGTGCGTAATACACAAGGCGACGGCACCCCCGGGCGGGCGGCGAGTAAGCAACACGCGCGAGATGTATTAATCATCGACGAGGTTAGGTATACTCTCCTATAATAGGGTACAAGGACGCATTAAGCGTCAGCGTTCCTGTAAATCTCATCAAGGAGTTCTCTCGGAGAACTTAGTTGCCAGGCTTCGGCCATGACGGCGGCGAAGATGTGATTGTTCTGACGATATAGGCGGAGAGAGAGTTCACCGTCTTGAAAAGCTCCGCCGAATGACAGCAAACACGTAGTTAGCTATGATGATTGATGAGATTAACAAGCTAATACATCGACAGTCTATGCTCTGCACCGAGGACCTCGTATAGTATGAGCGAGTTTTTGGCAGTGTGGGTTTGTACAAGGCTTTGTCCACTCCAGGGACTCAGCCTTACCGACGGAGGTGGATGGATGTCACCCCTTTTCCCCAGCGGCGGACGGCCCCCAGGTATTTCCCCTCCAAACGCCGGCGTCGTATTTGAAACAACATGGGCTTTGCTATTTACTCGCCTCTTGCGAACTTCTGAGTCTATTTTTTTGGGCCCGCATGATGTTGTCGCTTCGCAGATTTGTCCGACTTTATCTGGATGGCCTATCCCACATGCTCTCTACGAGCAAAATCTTGATCCCTCTACGGCGTCTATCTTGCGTTTATTGAGCTATTCGGCAAACCCACGCATTCCTTGTACAGGGCTTCGGTCCGGTGTTTCATTGCAGAGCCTTCCGCGGTCCACTGCATGGTACCCTAGTATAACGAGATCCGAGATCGTGATATCTTGACCTTGCTGCCGCCGCCACAAGACTCTTTGCTAAGCCGGAGAAGGCATTTAATTGAAAAGGACCGATAGTGGAAGACTACGGCGCCAGGATCTCACTACCTGTTCCAACCCTCTGAACCACTGCTCAATTTACAGCTTAGAGGCAACATGGAAAGGGCATGCTCCACCGTGGCTTCATACCGGAGCACTTTTCAATTTCGAAGGTACTGTAGGAGTTAGGATGGAGTTCACAACGGGGTCCTCCTTCTCATCTAGACGCTTTGCCAGAGGAAAGCCACGTCAAAGAACAAAGCTATATGGAAGTCACAATGCCAGCCTCGCATCGAGATTCGACAGTTCTCTTCCTTGTTTCATTATTTCGATTCAATCAGAGCCGGACTCGAGCCAAATTTTCCTAACCTAGTCGCTCTTTCTTTCGAGGCTCGTGTTTCCGATGTTGTTCCTGCCCTTGGCGTGTCTGGCGATCGTTGGCTTCGCATCTCCCATTCTAGCTCAATCAGTCTTCGCTCATGTCATAGTAAGTTGATGTCTTCGGACGCCTATTGCACGTTTTCTGATAATGTCTAGGTGGGGAACACATATAGCTACACCCAAGCTAACTGGGCAAGCGATATTGCAGCTGCTGCCGCCGCTGGTATTGACGGATTCGCGCTCAATATCGGGTATGTCGATACGATTAATCCAAATGGATTGGTCCAGACTCAGCTCGACAGTGCATATCAGGCCGCCGACGCTGCTGGCTTTCAAATGTTCTTGTCATTTGACTACCTAGCTCAGGGAGCCTGGGACCAAAATGCGGTGATAACAACAGTCAATGGTTACAGCTCGCATTCGAGTCAGTTTCAGTGGCAGGGCAAGCCTCTGGTCTCAACTTTTGAGGGTGCGGATAACGCAGGCGACTGGGCCTATATCAAATCCCAAACCAATTGTTTCTTCGTCCCGGACTTCTCAAGCCAAGGTGCAGCTGGCGCCGCCAGGAAACCCAATGTCGATGGCCTTCTTTCGTAAGTCTATAAATTCCTCGATCAGCACTCTGGCATAGCTCTAAAGTGCCTGCTAACTCCAATGCAGGTGGGACGCATGGCCAAACGGTGCAAACGACATGACAGACAATGATGACATGGCGTATGTTACAGCACTGAATGGTCGGCCCTACATGATGCCAGTCTCTCCCTGGTTCTACACAAATCTCCCGTTGTGGTCAAAGAATTGGCTCTGGCGGGGAGATGACCTATGGCACGATCGCTGGGACCAAGTTCTCAACGTTCAGCCAGCTTTGGTCGAGATCCTGACATGTAAGTGAAGCAAACAACTTCAACTTTGAGGACCATTCCTGATGGTTGGACAAGGGAATGACTGGGGAGAATCTCACTATATCGGCCCAATGCCACCCACCGATTCCGCCATTCCAGACGGAGCCGGGCCATACGTCGAGAACAACCCGCACGACGCCTGGTTGAAAGATTTGCCTCACTATATCGCAGCGTACAAAAATACGAGTCGGCCGGACGAGAACCATGTTACCTTCTGGTACCGCCTCAATCCCGCGTCGGGGACAGCGTGTAGCGCCGGAACATCTTGTAACACTCCTACACAAGGCCAGGTAGCCCTAAATCCGCAGGAGTGTGACACAGACGCAGTTTTCTTCACTGCGTTTGTGCCAAATGCCGCCATAGCAACAGTCAACGTGACAATTGGTGGCTTGACGCAGACAGTTTCGGCGACCACGCCTGGTATCTTCCACTCCAGCGTGCCGTTTAACGGTATGACCGGAGATGTCACAGTGGCTGTTACCGCTAGCGATGGCACCGAGCTTGGTCCCGTCAATGGTGCATCCATCACAGCAGACTGTGTTGGCGGAAACATCAACTGGAATGCATGGGTTGGAGGTTCGTAGGCGAATTGGAATGAGTCGTGCGGGCGCGGTATTAGCTTCTTGTATGTATTTTTGTGGGCTTGCCCAAGATTCTCAATGGCCTTGTGCTGGATACCATGCCATCTGTTGACTCTGTTTTCCGTAATGTAGAATCTGCATTCAGAGCATGCTAGCCAAAGATACCAACGAGGTAGACGCCATAAATTGTCCTTGTTGCACTGAAGTTGTTGCGAGGCTGTACAGCACAAGGCTCGGGGCGGGTTTACTTCGGCCGAGAGCTTAAACGATTTGCGTCACGCCCAATCAACTTTTGACTTGAAGTCTGCGTTTGTGTTTCTCTTTTGCGTTCTTGTTGAGCAGCGGCGAACTCTTCGAGCCATCATCCACGAGTCCTTGGGGAGAAGAATGTCTGGATGGAACGGTGTGCGGAGTCTCATAGGACGAAATACCCGTCGATGCGGTCGAACTGACCAGGCGCGACAATTTCAATCCGGCGCAACTCGAATTCTCAATCGGAACCTCAGTCTGCACACTGCAACGGTATCGTTGTGCCGGCAACATCAACATGAACTCAGGATCAAGAAAGACCTAATCAGGGCCCATATACGCTCTCTTGAACTGGGCAGGAGGAGGTTTTCCACGACCCAAGTGACGAGGCATGGACATCTGGATCCGCCTAAGCCGGGAGAAGAGTAAGGCTCAACCTGTGCTCTGAGAAGGCATGGAGGATGCTGATGGATAACTACAGGCTCAAAGTCACGTTCGTCGACAAGGAAGGAGATGAGCACACGTTTGAGGTTGCGGAGGGTGACAACCTGCTGGATATTGCGCAGGCCAATGACCTGGAGATGGAAGGTGTGTTTTGACAACATTCTCCCAAACCATTCATAAACCTTTTCTCGCTGACGATTTCTATCAAGGCGCCTGTGGCGGCTCATGCGCATGTTCTACCTGCCACGTTATAGTCGAATCCGAGGAAATGTACGATAAGATCCCAGAGGCCACCGACGACGAGAACGACATGTTAGACCTCGCATTCGGCTTGACGGAAACATCGAGGCTAGGCTGCCAGGTAAAGATGTCTAAGGAGTTAGACGGGTTAGTGGTGAAACTGCCACAGATGACACGGAACATGCAAGCTTCGGATTTCGAGAAGCGCAGTTGATGATAAACTGAGGGTCGGGCATTAGACATGTACTATCACAAACCGCTCTCCATTGCTCCTCGCTTGGGTGGGCGTTATACCCAGAAAGTCCTTTACAATCACGATGCCCTCCGGTCATTGTGCTGTCGTGCTCTGCGCATTCTTTTTCCCAGCGATCAGGTCCAAGAATCCCTGCTTGCTCATCTCGTTGACCTTCTCCTCGCGGTTGGCCATCCCTATGGTTCCCTTCTTCCGTTCCTCCTTGGCCACCTGTTCGGCTTTAACCTGAGCCGCCCGAACTGCGTTGAAGAGCTTGACCACGCCCCGCTGGGCGATTTTCCGCAATTTCTTTTCCTCCTCAGCCACTTCGCCCGCTTGTCCCGAGCTCAGACCCAGAACGTCCTTTACTCTTCCTCTTTCTAACTCTTCCTTGCGGTCTGACCTCAATTTGGCTTTGGCTTTTTTCTCCAAGCGGTCATTTGCGAGGGAGACGCTGGTTTCCGCGGCTTCTTTACTTCTCGACAGGACAGGATCTTTGCGAGCTGATTGGGATAGCTTCGTCGATAGGATTTTTGAGATTGAGGTAGAAAATGCTTCCGGGTCGTTTCGCTTGCTTATGTGTTTTCTTCTGTCTGCCTCATTGAGGTCTTCTTCTGTACTGTCCTCATCCGATGTCGCGGCTTCCTCAGAGTTCGTATCTTCGTCTTCTTCTTCGTCTTTGTCTTCCATTTGTACGTCGGGTTCGTCCTCCGCTACAGCCGGGGGAGGCTTCTTCCTTTGAGGCTTGGGCGTATTCGGGGGGCGCTGTTCTTCGTCGCTCTCGTCCAAATTAACGGGAGCGAACCCTTGCTCTTCCTGCTCGTCCTCGTCGCTCGAGCTGTGGTACTCCAACTGTTTGCGGAAACGCTTCTTCGGTCGCTCGGTCTTTCCACGCATTCCATCTTCGACTTTACGTTTCTTTTGCGATAGAGGGGCCATCTTGGACACGGTTCGCTGGGTAGGTCAGTATGGCTAAGGAGAACAGCGTCCGCTGCTACTATTCGAGGGTTGGCCAAGATTTATTCTGGAAATTCTTCAAAATCGCCGGCAAAACTGCGGAAGTAACTTGACTCCCACTTTGATGTCCATTCTTCCCCACACTGGCGTCGAGACCACCAACTTCGTGCCACCGTTACTCCCTTCGATCTCGCCGCCCTTCCAAGTCGGACCGCCTTGAATATCATAGAACCACTCGCAAACACCCTTCTAGATCTGCAAGATGGTTCTCTCAGATCTGGGACGGCGCATCAATGCGGCCGTGTCGAACCTCAACCGCGAACCCAACCTCGATGAGAAAGCCTTCGATGCCATGATCAAGGAGATATGTTCGGCCCTCCTATCGGCTGATGTCAATGTGCGGCTTGTAAAGAATCTGCGAAAGTCGATACAGAGCGCCGTCAATTTCAAGGACCTTCCGCCCAACACGACCTCCAATGGCAAGAAGCGAATGATCCAACAAGCGGTCTTCGAGCACCTTGTTCAACTCGTCGATCCTCATGCCGAACCATATAAACCCAAGAAAGGCAGGTCGAATGTGATCATGATGGTCGGTCTTCAAGGCGCCGGAAAGACGACAACCTGCACGAAGCTGGCAAGATACTATGCAGCCCGGGGTTTCAAGGCCTGTCTGGTTTGCGCAGATACCTTCCGAGCAGGAGCCTATGACCAGCTGAAGCAGAATGCTACAAAAGCAAAGATACCATATTATGGGTCACTTACACAAACAGATCCCGCAGTGGTAGCTGCTGAGGGTGTCGGGAGATTTAAAAAGGAGAAATTCGAGGTTATCATCGTTGACACATCGGGGAGACACAAGCAGGAAGCAGACTTGTTCCAGGAAATGATTTTTGTACAAAATGCCATCAAACCGGATCAGACAATCATGGTACTAGATGGCACGATTGGCCAAGCCGCCGAGGCACAGTCGGCCGCCTTTAAAGCTACAGCTGACTTTGGTGCTCTTATCATCACCAAAACAGACGGTGGCGCAGCAGGAGGAGGCGCCATTGCTGCTGCAGCTGCAACGCGCACCCCTATTATCTTCCTCGGCACAGGTGAACATCTGGCAGATCTGGAAAGATTCGATGCAAGATCATTCATTTCCAAGCTACTTGGATATGGAGACATGAGTGGTCTGATCGAGCAAATTCAAACACTCACAAGGGAGTCGGCGGGGATGAAGGAGACCCAAAAACATTTGGCAGAAGGTATCTTCACGATCCGTGATATGAAAGAACAAATCACGAATATCATGAAGATGGGCCCCCTCTCCAAGATCGGCAGCATGATACCTGGTATGAGCGGCCTCATGCAAGGCATGTCCGACGAGGACGGAACCGAAAAGCTGAAACGGATGGTGTACATTTTTGACAGCATGACGGCCAAAGAACTGGACTCTGACGGGAAAATTCTGATATCACAGCCCTCTCGAATGGTCAGAATCGCTTGTGGCTCAGGCACCAGTGTCAGGGATGTCGAAGAACTTCTTACGCAGCATAAAGTGATGGCTAGCGTTGCCAAGAACATGGGTCAACAGAAGAAGAACATGGCCAAAGCCAACAGTATGTTGCAAGGTGGCAACCGACAACAGCAGCTCGCAGCAATGCAGAAACGGATGCAAAGTATGGGTGGTGGCCGGGGCGGCATGCCAGGTGGTGACCTCGGCAAGATGATGCAGATGATGCAAAACATGGGCATGGGAGCTGGTGGTGGTGGAGGAGGCGGAGGAATGGATGCTCTCATGCAGCAGATGGGGGGAATGTTTGGCGGTGGCCGGGGCCGAGGGAGATGAACGGGCTTTGGATGCCTCGAGACTTCTCCCAACTACGCTACGTGAAGCATATTCAATTTCTGGTCTCAGATGATCCGACCGAGGATGCATGGTACGGAGCCGACGGCCCTCCGGTGAGAAGGCCAAGGTGGGAGGATCTCGAAAAGGCGTTTTATGCCTCAAATTCTCCTGACAAGGGTCTTGAACAAGCTTCGGTCGGTCGATGACTGGAATCAAGCGCGAAGAGGACTGATATCTTTGTGGGCTGTCACTAACGGCGGCGCGGCGAATGAGACATGTAGTCTCACCACCCGACGAAGGAACTGTCGGTCCTGGACATCTACAGAAGCGCGCAAACCTGGGGCACTCTTGGCAATGAAAGACCCAGCGTGGCTATCCACGTCTTCTTTTCGACGAGTGGCGAAGAGATATTAATGACTGAATGTCGCAGCAGCCCGCCAAAGCAACGAGCCAGCGAGCACAGTGGACAGCGGCGAGGGCTGCGCCAATTGTGAGGTCACTTCTGCACTTTGCAGAAAGGGAGTTGGCATATAATACAGCAGTCTCTAGTGCCAGCTTCCCTCCATTGACCTCTGGGATGAAATGAAGCTATCAGAGTGTCGCGTTGAATTGGCGTGTCACGGATGATATGGTCAGTCTGAAGAGATTGACTTGGCGTTCATTGCTCCCAAGGAGTTGACTATAGGCTTTCAACTTCCTAGGGAAGGTATCCTTGATAGCACTTCTGTCCCATACCTATTGACGCATTTTACCCTGCCGAGGCCTGTCCTCCCCTTCCCCAGTCGCAGCCTCGCCATGCACCGGATGGAGTCCGCCCCTCCGCCAATCGGAAGCCCGGATCATTTTCGCCGCAAAAATCCCGCTCCGATCAACGTCGCGAATTTCTTTTCGCCGCAAGCCATTTGCCCGTATGCGCCTCCATTTCCTCTGCATTTGCATCCAGACCTCCCGCTCAGGCAACGACTGTTCCTCCCTGACCGCATCCACTCCTTCCACAGTCCACCACCTCCTTCACGATGGCGTTCCCAGGCGCATTCGGCGGCCCAGGCATGAGCGGCGGAGCAGCAGGAGGAAACGCAGGCATGAGCGAGCAGGAACAGCAGATGGTGAAGATGGTAAGAAGCACGAACCCTCGACAAGAATTTCGGATGGCACAGGACGTGGAGCATCCTGGGACTATCGCCATGAATTGGCGCAAGAAGATGTGATCGCTAATTGAACGGTATATGGACAGATGCAAAAAGGCATGGAGTCCTGCGTCGCAAAATCAGCTCTAGCTGGTGGAATGGGCTTCGTTCTCGGCGGCGCTTTTGGCCTATTCATGTCGAGTGTAAGCCCGCATTCTCCTCTTCTTCACAACTGCCCTTCCCCCGCATTCAGCCTGTGGACATTCCGACTTTCATCGACAAGGTTGCATCGAGAAATCACATTGAACTGACTGGACCCGCATTAGATGGCATACGACACTCCTCTATCCCCGCAAGGCCAACAAATCACCTCACTTCCTGTCCGCGAACAACTCCGGAGAGGCCTCAAAGACATGGGCTCGAAATCATATTCGTCTGCCAAGAACTTTGCGCTAATTGGTGCACTCTACAGCGGCACGGAGTGCTGCATAGAGGGTTTCCGAGCGAAGAGCGATCTAATGAACAGCGTCTCGGCTGGATGTATCACGGGCGGCATATTGGCGCACAAGGCAGGTCCGCAGGCTGCAGCGCTTGGGTGTGCCGGCTTCGCGGCGTTCAGCGCGGCGATCGATGCATATATGCGGATGCCGGAGAGCGACTGATCGAGGGTGAGGATAGACAATGTTTCTGCTGATTTGAAAGAGAAGGATGTATCAGAATCGAGGAAGAGTTGGGTTTCTTGCAATGCATGCATTCACAGGCGTTGGAATCGGTCATGAAATGTACAGCATGTACACCGCGGCTTCCCGTTGCGATATGACGCTGGGATCTGTATAGAGGGTCACAGGGGAGAGCGTTCAGCGAAGCATTTGCAAGGCGTCAAGCGGGATTTGTTACAACAAGAGGAAAGTCAACGAAGGACGCGTCTTCCATCTTGACAGAGGATTGCAACTGCCAGGAAATGTCCGTATATTTGCGGCTGGCTGGGATAGACGTTTGGAGCAGCAATATGGCGCTACTGGAACTGATGTATTGTCCCCGGCTACTGATGGGGACGAAGACTGGCGGCGGTACGATAGATTTCTCTCCGCTTTGTATAAGTTATCAGAATATTAACAGTCGTCTCGACGTGTTGCATATGCATATAAATATTCAGGTCACTGAGGCGATCAGCATGATGGACTTCCTTTGCAGATTCCAATAGAGCAGTCCAGTAAAGGGACAAAAGGTAAGTTTGATGGAATATATAGTTATGTGTTCAAGCTTTCGTGGAACTGAAGCGATTCTCGCTGAAGAGGTGAATTCTCCCCATCTTCCATCACGCTTGATCAACGCTTCGCCCATCCAGTTGACAGAATATATCCATCAATGGCCACAAAGACCCGCCGTAGTCCGGCCGTTCTTTAACTACTGCGGGGCATTGGTGTTTCTCGAAGCCCACTTACCTTCCAGTATACTCGGTACCTGTATCTTACATCATCTGCCATCATTTTGCATTTCGACAAATGGAGACGGTTGATTCAGGCACGCAGATACTACGTGGATGTAGACTCGGAGTTCTTCTGCCAATCTTTATCAAAATCCTTCAGAGCACATGGTGGCCCAGCAGACGGATATTCGAGACATGGCGGTCAGCGAATGTCATGCTCAAGGTTCCAGATTTAATTGATAATCATCGCTCAAGGAAGTCTGCTGTGCTTCAAATGCGTGTCCAGCTAATGGACGGTGCGAACCATCAAGGATGTTCATTTCCCCGGGACCAATCTGGCACGAACCACAACAACTCTCATTATGCTTCATGCAGCTTGAGTCGCTTCTAAACGTTCTCTTTGTCAAACTCGACCTTATCGACCACACAGACGGCCTTTCCTTTCATCTTTCCAGAATGAGCCAGTTCGACCATCTTCGGTACTTCCTCAAGTCCGTAAAAGATGTTGGTTTCGACCTTAATTCCATGTTTCCCTGCATCGTTTAGCATTTGCTGGCTATACTCTTGGCCGGCAATCAATGTCCCCTTGATGCGAATGTCTCGGAAGATCAATTCTTGGAAGGCTACGCAGACCCTGCCGAGAAGTCAGCTTTTGTGTCCGGTTCCAAAAAAAACCATGCTCACCGGTCGGGCTGCGCAGTCTGCACCATGGTCCCGTGCATCCTTGTAATGGCACAGGCCATGTCGGCCGAGGTCTCGTGCTCTGACACGTTGATCGAAGCATGGACACCCAAGCCATCTGTGAGCTTCTGCACCTGCTCCACAACCTTCTCTTTTCCTTCTCGCGCGTCGAAAATGTGCTTTGCACCGGCCTTCTTACACAACTCGAGCCCTTCATCTCTCGCATCAACCGCGACGACATTGATCCCCTTGGCCATGGCAAATTGTATGCCCAGGTGGCCCAACCCGCCACCGGCACCCACAATGCCTAACCACCCTCCTTCTGGGACCTCGGCCACGATAATGGCGCGATATATCGTACACCCGGCACAAGCGAGCGGTGCTGCACTGGCAAAGCTCACATTGTCCGGAATGTGACAACTCGTCCGGTTGTCCACAACGTGATACTCACTGAAAGCCCCGTCGACGAAAACACCGATGTGTCCCTCGATATGCTGACAATATTGATGCCAGTCATTCGGACCCTGACAGTTGAAGCACTTCTCGCAGGGGTTACGGGGGAGACCAGACATGACACGATCGCCCTTTTTGAAATTGGTGACTTCATCGCCGACGGCAACGACGATGCCTGTCCCTTCGTGCGACGCCGTACAGGGCAGCTTTGTCGGAAATTTGCCAGCGACTACCATACTGTCGGTGTGGCATAATGATGCAACCACTGTCTTGAGCAGGATTTCGTGCGGTTTGAGGCTTGTGGGAGTGGGCACTTTATGGATCGTGTAAGGTTTGTTGAACTATTGTCACCCACCGTCGTTGCGGATCAGCTTTTTGCTCTAGAGGCTGATGGATTGATGTCGATATAGCCGCGTTTCGAACTTACCTCTACCACTTGCACTGCGAGCATTTCTTTGGGGACTCCCTCAATCGCCATCTTGTGAGATCAATCCTCGCTTTTCTTCAGGTCGCCGTCCGGTAAAAAAGAAAACAAGGAGCTATGAAGGGATATCAAGAGAGCTGCCGTGTATCCAGGGGGGACAAATCTGCCTGAGGGTCAATTTAATGGATTCAATGCCAGTGGTCGAGTTACAGAGTCCTGCGCATAACCGAGGGGCAGTTGCGGTATCGGTGATTGGCTCCCCTCACCGTCGATGGCGGGCACGGCGGGCCGCCACGTTTTCCCCGAATGGGCGCATTACATAAGCCCCCGGAGGTAGAATCCACTAGGCTGAATGCGGCAGATCTAACCTCGATCTTTTACAAACAATTCAATAACAAACCTTTGTCTCGAAATAATAGCTACTTCTTCTTCCTTCTCCTTGGATGGATATCTGCATCGCTGAAAAGGATGGTTCCACGGAACTCTGACGGTGGCTATCTGCCATACCTCTCATGGGATGGCCAAAACATTGCTAACGATCCTCTGTGTCCGGAATGAAATTAGAGAACGAGCCGTAGAGTCCTCGTTCAGCATTATCACGAAGCCCTTTATGGAGCCCATGAGCTAAATACGTCTTTCATTGATGGCCTGGACCAACTTATTTCCTTTGTTCACTGCAACTGAGGGTTTGATGCGTTCAGATCCCAACTTAACTGCAATGTCGCCTGGAAGCCCGACATTTTTCCCTATCGTTTTAGGGTTAAAGCACTTATTTTCCACTTTCAGCCTGAAAGGTCACCACGCTTGCTCACTGTTCTGATCCGATTCTCACAACATGCCTGTACAGGGTAAGCGCTTGGATGGCGGTCCATTTGAGACGCTCGACTTCGGTGAACTTGACGATTTCGTAATCGGATACAAGCCGAGAGTATGGGAGGAGCGACAAGTTCCTGGGGATTTTGATCCGATATGGTACGCTGACCGGCACGGGAGAGGAGCCTTTGGGCGAGAGGCAGAAGACGAGGCCTTCCTGCGACGGCGGCTCTACTTCGAGGAAAATGTGAAGGATGATGTAGAATGGGGCCCTGTAAGACTGCTTGGAAGAGGGGGATACGGCATCGTCGGCCTATGGCAGAAACGAGACAACAAGAACCAGACCATCGACGAAGTCGTCTTGAAGCAGACCGCTTACAACAGCAACGAAACCAGGGTGAGCGCGATTGAGCTCGATCCCCGGGCTTATCCCAGGCACCTGATAGAAGCCGCCATCCACAAAGACATCAATACTCAGCATCCCGGTGTCTCACCACATTTGCGCCAATACAAGTTTATTTATGAAGACCGCATCCACCAGCAGGGCCGTTATCGATTCTATTTGGAGTATTGTCCACACGGAAGCCTTTATCAACTTGGGCGCCTTTACCGGTGCTGGGATACCTATCTCCCCGAGGTTTTCGTCTGGCATGTCTTCTATTCCCTGGCAAAGGCGTGCGAAGCCCTCCGGGATTCTCCCCCGGCCGACAGCAGAGCTATCAAAGAGGAGTACTTCGAGCTCGGGCTGGAAAATGTATTCTGCCTCCACCTGGATTTGAAACCGGAAAATGTGCTCCTCGGTTATCCGCACGAGGGTCAGGAGTACCCGTCTGCTCTACTAAACGACTACGGTATATCCATGTATACGATTTGTTCGGACAAGTTTCCAGGCATAAACCCTGGTGAGATGTGGTGGCGCGGCACCCATTCCCACAGGCCCACGGTAAGCAAGCGTTCGCCCGATCCCACTCTCACTCTCCCAAGGCGTTGCGGGTGGCCAATTTGAAGCCTGGAAGCGGCTGACAAGGAAACGACGCAGGAACAATGCCATTTTGGTGTGAACTGGGAGATCCCACCGGAGGGCGGGTGGATCAGGAACCAGGATACCATAAAACGGAATGTCGACTGGCACGGGGCCGCAGATAAACGTGAAGAAGACAACGATGGTAAACCAGACGAGAATGGTAACGATAAACCTCCCGGTGACGTGATCTTCGATCACACAATGAATGTAAGTTGGTCCCTTCCTGCCCCAACCGGCCCCAATCCCGGCGATACTGCCCTTGCACGGACCCCTGTCACTACCCCAGCTGTGTGGGAGGAAGAATCATAGAAGAGAAGCCTGCTGACATACCCACCTGGTTTACCCCGTGGTATAGATCTACGGCGTGGGCCACACAGTGTTCGACCTCGTGACACTCCGAAGCAGCACGAAACACCTGGTCAAGATCCGGGCCAAGTCGCTCAAGCGGTTCCAGCAGAACGGCAACCACCAGATCTCGCACGTCTCCACCAAGAAACCGGGCGTCTACAGCAGCCGGCTCCGCCACCTGATCCACCGCTGCCTGGACCCGGACCCGGCCAACCGGCCCTCGCAGCTGGAGCTGATGGACCAGACGCGCCGGGGGTTCCGGCTGGCGGTCAAGCGTGCGAAAAGGGCCGGCGCCTTCCCGGTCAAGGTGTACTGCCGCGACCACGAGATCAACGACATGCCCCTCGGGGACGCCGGCTTCAAGCCCTCGCGCAAGGAGTTCCGCAACCTGATCGAGAGCGAGTTCGTCGACCCGGACGCGCCCCGGCTCAGACTGCCCGCCGCCAAGTACGGCGGGTTCCCGCACGGCTGGTCCAACCCGAGCTGGAAGAGGATGTACAACCAGCGCAACCCGCACGATCGCTGGTTCAACGGGCTTCAAGGCGGCCGGGTTCCCCCGCCGCCCCCGCCGCCGCCTTCGTCTTCGTCCTCGTCTTCGTCGTCTTCGGACGGAGGTGACGACGACGACAATAACAACAAGGGCCCTCCCGTCAAGGCCGCCGACAATGTCAAGCCGAAATCAGCGCAGGCTCGGCCAGGTGGGAAAAGAGTCCGTTTCGCCGTTCAGAACGGAAACTTGGCCCTTGCCTAGTGGCGTTGAAGGGGTCAGGGCTGTGGGAAAGGGAACGGGAAAGGCCGTTCTTAGGCCGAGCCTGCTTGGGCAGGGCGTATGCATTGCTTGTGAGATGGGAAAAAGAGATGCACTGCGTCGAGGGCGTTGTGCAAAACATGACCCGGAGAGCGGTGATGGTGGTTTGATTTACTTCAAGCTTCAGCTGTTTTGATTCGAACCAGCCGTTATGAAAAATTGAGTAGATTTGGTCGGTGGTGTTCCTATCGGCGAAAGCGATACGTAGATAGTTGATTGTGTGGTTGGTATTCGTTTCTATCTGAGCTGTCGCTTCTGGCTTCTGTACTCGAACATCGTATCCTTTCATTCCACACCCTGGGGAGATATATGGATGCCAACCAGGGAATTAATTCTAAGAAGCAAAAGTCTTGAAAAATCCAAACCAAACAATACGCTCCATCGCTGATGCCCTGCGTGTGGATATGAATAAGAGACATCCAGCAAAGTATCCTTTGCATTGTTCAGGCCTCAAATCCGCCCTGGGTCATGATGAGGGACACCATCGCTATGCATGTGCGCAAACAACTCTTTTGTGAAGTCGGATCCTGTTTCATGCCAAATCATACACTTTCTTCTCCATTTTGTTGTTCATTTTCCTGTTCAAGCCCGCCTCGAGCCGTCGGAAGGAAACTCATCGGACACGATCAACCTTGTATTGACGTTCATGCTGCCAAGTTCGTTGAGCAAGAGCTTGAACGCATACGGCAGAGTCATTCTGACCACGTTCGAGCCCGGTTCGCCTGCTTTGCTGCACCGCTGACACCATCGTGCAAAGGCCATGAAGCCACAGTTTTCGCAGACGTCCACCTGATGCTGATCGCTCGACAACATCAGCCGCTCGCGGAGCAACTGTGACGCGCCGTATGCGATGAGACAGTCGCGCTCCATTTCTCCCAGTCGCAGACCTCCATCTCGTGAACGCCCTTCGGTAGGTTGACGCGTCAGAATGGCCCGAGGGCCGCGAGAACGACTGTGCATCTTGTCTTGCACCATATGTTTGAGTTTCTGATAGTAGATTGGCCCAGTGAAGACGTAGGCAGGAAGAGGTTCACCAGTGATTCCAGAGGTGAGATAATCCTTGCCATCATAACTGTAACCCGCCTCAATCAGAGCCCGGGACATGTCTTCGAGCTTGCTCCCACCAAACGCGGTACCGTACTCGAATTTGCCCTTGAGGATACCAGCTTTGCCAGAAACGAGCTCCAACATTTTGCCAACCGTCATTCGCGAGGGGAAACCGTGAGGGTTCATGATAATGTCTGGCGTGATGCCAAGATCTGAGAATGGCATGTCGACTTGCTCGGCGATAATTCCAACGACACCTTTCTGCCCGTGTCTGGAAGAGAACTTGTCGCCGACTTCTGGGACCCTCGTCTGCCGTGTCTGAATCTTGATAATTTGATGACCACCTTCGGCTTCGGTCACCATAACTTTGTCAATGTAACTGGGGTCCGGAAGACGATATTTCTGTGGTTGTGGATCCATCCCAAACGTGCGAGGACTATCAGATCCATTCTCTGACAGGCCCGAAGAGTTGGCGTTCCTAGGTATGAACTTGTTGACGTAGATCTCTCCGCTACTGACTTTCTCACCGACAGACGCGACCCCATCTGAATCAAGTAGAGCATGACCTTTGGCGATTGTACCGTCGGCATTCTTAGAAGGAGGGTAAACCATATCAGTCGTCTCATTCGGGTAATTCTTGATCGTGACAGGATACTTGCGAAGAACCTGGCAGCGGCCAAATCCCCGGTCAACCGATGCTTTGTTGAGGACGAGGGCATCCTCGATATCGTAACCGCTATACGACATGACAGCCACCGTCGCGTTCTGACCCGCAGGGAGTTTGTCGTACTTAACCAATTCGATGGTCCTTGTCTTCACCAGGGGTTTCTGAGGGTAGACCATGAGATAAAGCAAGGTATCAATCCTTAAGAACTGATTGTTGGCAATGAAACCAATAGCTTGTTTGCCCATGGCGCATTGATAAGTGTTGCGGGGCGATTGGTTGTGATGAGGATATGGAATCAGCCCTGCAACCGCCCCGAGAATTGTGAAAGGTTCAATTTCCAAGTGAGTGGTCGTTGCGTTTATGTCGGATTCATACATAGCGATATTGCTATCATTTTCTTCGTTAACGTCCAGGTACTCAACGAGGCCGCGTGCCAGAAAGTCGTCAAAGTCCATTGAGCCCTGACGGAGTGATTTCAGGTACCGTTTGGTGACCTTAGATTTTTTATCCTCAACAATAATCAAAGGCCGGCATATCCGACCTTCATCCGTTGCTACTTGAATTGTGTTGTGGTGATGGTTGATGAAGATTGATACGAACTCGGAGATTCGTCCCGATCTTCGCAGACGGCGAAACGAAGATAGGAAATGTGAAGGCTGTCGGGTAGCGGCCACAGGAGTGCCGTTCAACAGTACGAGGTAAGACCCCGGGGCGTAGAGCTCTGATCCGCCCACGGTGACTATATCTTCAGCGCCCAGCATAAAGATTAGCCGTTTGATCGGTGCCTCTTCGTCGTCTGTCGTGATGTGTGTCATTAAAGCTAAGTTCTTGACCAGACCACAGGCTTCACCTTCAGGCGTATCGGCGGGACAGAGCATGCCAAATGATGATGGTTGGAGCGCCCTAGGGCCGCTGACTTTGCGGGTCTTCTCAAATTGACTCGATATTCGGGTCATCATGCCGAGGGAGGCGATGAAGCTCAATCGACTGAGCAGGTGGGTGACACCAGCTCTGTCCATGCGAAACCGCTTCAAGTTCCAGTTGCCCGTGGCGATTGCTCTGTTCATGCCTTGAGTGATATGGTTTGATGCTCCCATCATGATCCTGACAGGGTCTACCAAGGCGGTCTTATTTTGCTTCCTCAATTCTTTGTCGATCTTCAGCTTGACGTCGTAATTGAATTTTTTGAACAAGTCCTCAAAGAGTAGAGAAAGTAATTGCCCCGCCAACTCCAGCCGCTTGTTACCAACGTAATCTCGGTCATCGACTAGGGCCGGATTTCGCTTCGCCATCAGGGCACGGCGTGCCATATGGGCTACATAGAGGGCCTTGGGTCTGAAGTTGAGATCTTCTATTGGAACATGAGCAATGAACACGGCACTGATGGCTTCGACAGCTTCCTGGACAAAATTTCTGCGAGCTTGCCCAAAAGGGGTCGACTTTGCAGTAATCTTGAGACGTGCTCCGATGTATTCGAGGGCCTGTTGTTGCGTATGGATGTGATTCTTGATCGTTTCTTCAAAGTTGATTGAGAAGTCTTCTCGAAGAGTAGAGTTGAGGCCGGCAACGATATTCATCATGTCCAGATCTGAGGAAACACCCATTGCTTTCAACAAGATGCAAATGGGTATGTCCTCCTTGAGAATATTGTGCTTCATGTACAAAAGGTCTTTCCTGAGCACAATATAGCTCTTCGACTTTCTCGCGTGGGTGGAGCTAGTAACCGAGGCAGTGATCAGGTCTTTCTTTGGATCGGCCTCGACAATGATTCGGTTTTTGCTGAGCTGCTCCTGGACCAGGATGACCTTCTCAGTACCGTTGACAATGAAATAGCCACCAGGGTCCAGGGGACATTCATCCATTGCGCACATCTCGGCCTCCGACTTGTTGGCAAGAACGCATTTGTTACTTCGCAACATCACTGGCAAGCGTCCGATGGGCACACCTCTGGTACGATATGCATCCTTTGTCTTCGTGAATCGAACATCGACCAGAATTGGAGCTGCGTATGTAAGATCTCGCAAGCGACATTCATTGGGGGTGACGCTCGATTCCTTAAACTCTTTTCTGTGGAACTTCTCCATCTCGTCAGCTCTGCAGGGTTTTCCAATGTAGATGTCTTCATATTTGATGTAGAATTTCGGATCAATGTCACTTGTAATGATCGGCTCAGCATTGATGATCTTTCTCAACTCGACATCGACGAAGTGATTGAAGGAGTCCACATGTTGCTTGACCAGCCCCTTCACCTTCAAGAACGCAGGGAGCAGGTTCCATTTGTCTCGAGCAGTATCGATAGGATCTGTCAGGGACTTGTCGTAGTAGAAGGGCTCTAGCGCCGCATCGAAGCTGTCTGCATGCTGATGAGGTTTGCGGGATTGCCTTCCAGTCTTAGGATTTTCTTTCACGGCAGACTCGTCCGTAGGAGGCCCCTCTTTGGCAGGTGCTTTGCGCACTGCTGAAGTCTATTCCTGTTAGATTGTCTCCTTCCCGGGTAGAAGCAGGCACAATTTACCTTCGGGACAGTCTTTCTAGCGGCCTGTGAAGGCGCACCGCCGGCGCCATCGGTCTTTCTCTTGGCCGGCATCTCTCGTCAAAGGGACGCAAAAGAGGAGGGGGACGGGTCGAAAAGCAAACCTTGCATGACTTGGTGCTGCGGCGAGAGGTCCTACAGTAGAATGCAGACGTTTTGGCAGAGGCAATATTGCAAGGCTCAAACGAATCATGCGTCGAGGTGGGCAACTTTTTTCGCAGCCAAATTCTGCCGCAAGTCAGATGACTAAGCGAGGCCAGGGCGGTGAAGGGAGGGGTCAGGCACCAGGCTCCAAGGCTCAGTGTGGAAAGTGCGCCGAGTGCCCGCCTTCAGAGTCAATTTCCCACACAATCAGCACCAGCGGCTCTTCCATTGGATCAACGGCCATGTTATACCACAGCTCCAACACCGCACAAAGCCTCAGGTAAGCTTCCCGTCCTCTGCTTTGCATCCATGGGATGACCCTGTCAGTCTGAAACACGCAATCGCCCGAGATTCCGACGTTGGCCAGAGGACGGATGCGAATGCCCAACAAGGAGAATGATTTGCCCTGGGGGACGGCCTCGCTCTCGGGCGTCGCAGCAGCAAGTGTGGGGTTCTTTCTGCTCAATGGCCTCTTTTTCATACTTTTTCATGCAGGGGATCATTTGTACACCTGGCCAGCGGGTCCGTGGCGTGCTTCCCGTTCATGGTCTTATCCCTCAATCAGATTCGATCCCGGTTCAGCACTTGCGTCAAGCCTAACGAAGCTCTAGCTCGCATTTTCCTCGAGCGTGCACGACACTTGGGCCACTTGCACTACGGCTAATTGGGCATGCCGCCGGAGTGCATTCAACAATATTGCGTTAAGGAGTGCTTTGCAATGTCAAGCAGGCGCCTCATGAGCCCACCTGGTAGTCGCTTACAGAATCGGTGGCCTCTCAGCTGTTTTCATGCTTGTCGCTTGTGGTCCTATAGAGCACAACCACAATAAGTGCAAGCATTAGCTCGGGCAGGAAACATCATTCCGTCTCGCCGCCCTGGGACGTTGCTGGTGTATGCTTCTCGGAAGCAGGCTCACTATTCCATTCTCTCCTTGTATGGACGGGACCAGGATTCCTGGACTTGGTGATGCTTCTAAAAGATCACAGCATGCCTGTACCAAACTAGAGGTACAGATGTTAAAGCACTGGTGCGTTTGGCGTCGGGCCGACTCCTAAATCAAAACGTCTAAATGTTGGGTTCTCACGAGCTGTCTGCACACAAGTCATGTGTCTGGAAATGGCCTTCACTGTCAGGACACTACAATGGTGGAAGATGACATGGCGCTACTCTCTGAATGTCTCATGGCAGGGGCCAGGCTGTGGGGTGCGAAGTGACTCTCCAGAGGTCAAACAAGAGGCAGACTTGGATTATTGCGCCATGCCGATCAGGAGGACAGTCGAAACTTAACCGATATACGAGAACAAAGAAATGCTCGAATGCTGGATCTTCGAGCAGATCCAAGAACCTCCCCAAGAGCATCCCACACAGCGCTCCAGAGGCCTTCACAATCCTCGACCAGTGGATTTCATTTCTGGTGTCACTGTCTCTGAAGCAGAGGCCCACGAGGAGGGCTCATCGGGCTTTTGCTGCTCGGTGGGGGACCCTGATTTCTCCCGCTTGACCGCCATTTTGCCTGGATAGACCATGGCTGATGGGATTGGGGAACCAAACAGCGCCTCCCGGGTCCAAGTGCCTTTCCCCACACAAATATCTTGTCTGACGAGCAAAGCGTGGACGCATCAACGTGAGCGAAGGCTTGAGCCACCGTGCCCACGCTGTGATGCGCAACCAAGAATTGACCCTATTGGCGCAGCCGGGAGTTGCGTCGCCATTCTGACGAGGGAAAGAGGAAGAATTCTCACTCGCTCTGTGGCCACCATTGCCTATCCTGCAGCAGCCAGTTCCATCCTGAGTGGGTGGCTCTGGCTCTTTCAGACTGCCCGCGAAGTCTGATGGGGAAAGACGTTTCTCCTTGCAGGCTTTGACCTGGTCACAGTTCGTCACTCTCTCGCTTCTGGTCCCTTGCTCGTGGCTGCCGAGGGGCGACTGCTCACCAAGAGCCCACCCCGAGAGTTGTGCAAAATGCCCACCTTTAGGCATCGGGATTTTTGGGATATGCTTCAGGGGACCTGCCTGTAAACGAACAGACTGACCATCCAAGCTGCAGCAACCTGCAGACTGGCAACTCTATCTAATAATTCAATATCCCTTACCGGTGATTTCCAAGGGGGGACCATAGGGAGATTCGGGCTGAAGACTTGGGGAGGAGCCCAGACAAGAAAACGACAACTAGGACACCGGAGTTGGTACCACCCAGAGGCCCTCAACAACAGGAACAGCGACCGACCTCGAACCTCGACCGTCGACCTGGCCGTGCTGGTCTTTGGCCATCGACTCTTTACCCTGGTCGACGAGGGATTAGTCCCAGGGCTAACCAGAGGAAAAGCACCAGTAGTGGCAGAGGCAAGTCCCTAGCCAGAATACCCACGCTGCAGCCAGGTTAAGCTAACAACCTCGTCTAGGCCGCTACCCATCGAGCGCCAGTACCCACGCTGGGCTCTGGCGCTTGCCTAAATGCGCACCACCAAAAAGCCCCCCAAGAGTCGAATCCAACCTCCACTGCTACTCTAGCACTCTCCAGATTCGATCCCGTTTCTGAGGTGCCTTTCCTCCTACTTCACCTCTTTGCACGCCTGTAACAATATTCTTTCCTTTCCTTGCCCTCTGCGTTTCCTATCACTGTCTTTATAGCATATCTCGACTGTCGTGTTGCCCCTCGGCGCGCACGCAGCGTTGGCTGCATCCATTTTCTCACTCCCTTTTTGTCATCCTGGGGACCACGCGCACGCCCTGCGGGGATTGCTCACAGTTCTCGTTTCCCTATTATACTGAATACAGCGTCTTGTGGGCGGTGCAGACAGGATTAAAGTGTTGAGTATCGGCCTTGTTCCATCCAAGGTATGTACGCATTTCACAAGCCTCGAGCAAACGCGTACCGACCTGTCATTCAAGTCGGTTCAGCGAGTCAACCCCCGATTCGAGCCCTACCCCTCGACGGTCTAGCCTACCGAATCATCTGAGTCTGGACGGTTGATGTGACAGGTTTGCTAACAGCTGTTTTCATGGTGTAGTCCTCGAACATGGCTTTTTCCAACACACTTAGTGGGCGGATGGAGGAACTGCGCTTCCCCAGCCTGCGGTCCCCAGACGCCGAGAGTCCATACAGTTCGAATGGCTCCTCTACACGAGAGCAAAATCCATTCTTCTCAAACATGCACTCTTCGTCCAACGACGCCCGCGCGAGCCTCCAACGTCGCTTCACAACAGACTCAAGTAAGATGCCTGTGGCCAGACCATTTGGTCAGCAATATGCGTCCATGAACACGGCTGCGGTATGTCACATATTTCTGTACAACGCTTATTGTGGTGTCAAGCTGTGGTCCTTGGGGAGGAAACAATAGGGTATTGTGGAGCTAGCTGGTTGTGAAGTGAATACTGGTCTCAGATCTACTAAACACCGCGGGCAACCACAACCCTAGCTGGTTTATGATTTCTCTCCCTACCGCGTACATTACCAACAGCTTATCCCCATCTCTTTGTCTTTCACGCAAACCTCTGGTTATCACCATGGCTGACCCGGATCCACAACAGGCGAAGAACAAACAAATGTACGAAGACATCCAGAACGCGAAGCGCAAGGCGGAGGAGCAGTTGCGGCTTTTGGAGCTCCAGGAACGGAGCCTTCAGATGGGAGCCTCTACTCAGGACCTTGAGCGGATCTCCACTCGACTGAATCGGATCAGTCTCAACGGCCCTGTTAGCGAACCCACCACTCCCCCAGAGTACGCCGAAAGTGGTTTCAGCAATCGGTTCTCGCGCTCTAGCAGACTGTCTATGAACAGTATCATTTCACCTCCGAGTCTCAGCAAGCGAATCTCCCAATCTAGCTCTCAAGTTACCTCGCCTCCCCCAAATCGTCTTTCAGGCAACGGCATGTACAGCCAATCTCAGAAACCATCTGCAAAATCAGTGCCAGGCTCTCGAAGAGGGTCTGATGAAGACGAATACTACCCAGAGGATTTGCCCACCACTCGAGCTGCTGCTTCGTAAGTTGACTGCGTGCTTCAAGTCACCCTTACCTCAACTTTGCCATTGTTCTCCCACAATAGCCTTCCAAAAGCATATGAATGAGGCTTCACTATTCAAATCGCTTCATGTTAGCTCTTGGCGATAGTCACGTTACTTGGAGTTCTCAACGCGTCGCCCATCGCCCCTGTGCACCTCACTTCCCTTCGTCACTAGGCAAAGACAGCAAACATCTAACTTCTTTGACCTCTAGGTTGAATCGCTTTTCTATGCCAGTCAACAGCAGTCGTCATCCGCAACGTCTCAGTGTGAGTGGTGCTGGTGGCGGTTCATTTGGTCTTGCAAACACCACCAGCTTTCTCTTTGACGAGGATGATGATAAACTCAACCCGCTTGACTTGACATCCCCCATTGCAAAAGCCTTCGCGCAGCTTGAGGGCGACGACACCTTTCCGACTTTGACCAGTGACGGTCTCAAGGTATGTTATTCACCTTGTCGTCCTTCAAACCTCAGCTCACTCTTCGTCAAAGCTTTCTGCCAACTCTGCTGCTTTGGATCTCGCAAACTCCAAGACGCCAGATCTTGACTGGACTCTCGGATCGCGCTACAGACCAGCCCATCAGAGCATGCCTCACACAGACTCTTCCATGTACAGACCTGTTCTTACCAACCTCAACATCAGCAGCCCACCTGCGGATCGTCCTGCAGATTTGACGCGTCGCAAGTCTCAGCGCCATTCTATGGGAGTCACTTTTGAAGATACTGCGCCTCTGCCTGCAAATCTGACCGTCTCTCGGCCCACGTCCCTCCAGACCTCTTATTCAACCAACGACGTCCCAACAGTTAAGAAATCTTTGACTTTGGACACAGCTCCTACGCCTCCCAAGACGCAAGCTGAGCAGCAGTTCCACAACCACAACGTCAGTTTGGGACGAATTCCTGCGAACGCAGTAAACAATCGTCAGAGTCGAGAAGTCACCAACGGATCTGTCAAGCTAGAAGACAAAGCCATGCCGTCTGCGGGCCCGCTGTCCAGCTTGCACGCCAGTGCAGCGCCGTTCAGCACGTCTTTCACCAGCACCTCAGATTCCAACGCGATGGCTTTGGCCAGTCCAACCTCGACATATCCACCCCCACAACCTTACATGTACAATATGCAAACTTTCAACGTCAACCAGATGAATCCCCAGACCCCCGCTGCCGGACCCATTCAGCCCTTTGGCCAGAATCAAGGGATCTATGGCATCAACAATACGTATTCTGGCCCACAGCGTTCAGGCACTGGTCGCCGCAACCATGGTGATGAAGCTCGATTCAACAATGTCCCACTTGAGTCATATCGAGGAAATCTGTACGAGCTCTGCAAAGACCAACATGGCTGTCGCTACCTCCAACGCAAGCTTGAAGACGGCAACGAGGAGCATATCCAGGCCATTTTCGTGGAAACCTGTCCTCATATCATCGAGCTGATGACCGACCCCTTCGGCAACTACCTCTGCCAGAAGTTATTCGAGCATTGCAACGAGGAGCAGCGAACTACCCTAATCAATACTGCCGCTCCGGCCCTCGCGACCATTGCTCTTAATCAACACGGGACCCGTGCCCTTCAGAAGATGATCGAGTTCGTTCATACCCCATCCCAAGTCGACACTATCATTCAAGCATTGTCTCCCCGTGTCGTCGAGCTGGTTCAGGATTTGAACGGCAACCACGTTGTCCAGAAATGCCTCACTCGTCTAGGAGCGGAACGTTCTCAATTTATCTACGATGCAGTTGGCAACTTCTGTGTGATTGTGGGCACTCATCGTCACGGATGCTGTGTGCTCCAGCGCTGTATCGACCATGCCCAGGGCTTTCAGCGGGCTCAGCTCATTGCCAGGATCACTCACTGTGCCTTCGACCTGGTCCAGGATCCATTTGGCAACTATGTTGTTCAGTATATTCTCGACCTGGATGAAGCTGCGTTTACCAAGCCACTGTGTGAAAATTTCTATGGTCGGGTTCCAGCCTTGTCAAAGCAGAAGTTTAGCTCCAACGTCATTGAGAAGTGCTTGCGCACTGCCGACACCGACACCAAGAGAGCCATGATCGAGGAGATGCTGATGGGAAATGAGCTCGAGAAGATGCTCCGGGACTCCTTTGCCAACTACGTGGTCCAGACTGCCATGGAGTACGCGGATCCTGCCACCAAGATGCGCCTCGTTGACTCCATTCGTCCCATTCTTCCCCTCATCAAGCAAACTCCTCATGGACGACGAATTGCCAGCAAGATTCTCGGTAACGATGTTGCAGGCCGTGGGAATGCGCCCGCCAACGACAACATCCTCGCAAGTTTCAACAGTGGCCGCGCAAACAGCCGCCGCAATGTCCAGATTGTCGGAGGCGGCTTCAACGGGATTCGCACTTCCGACGCCTATGGCTCTGCCGATATTCCGAACAATGTCACTCCCAATGGAAACACTTACGGCTTGATGGATTCAACTGTCAACATGTACAACGCGCACAATTACGGCAATGATCTCGGGCCGAATGGTTATGCTGGCTTCATCAACGGCTCAGTTGGCGGCTCCAACAATGTCATTTGATGATTTGGCTCCGGCACCGAGGCTCTCGACACGCTTACGAGTCACGAAATGATGAAAATTTGAAGATTCCTTTCTGCATCCGCATTCATAGATCTGCGACCTGCGTCGCCTCGTCTTCATGCGTGCTTTCTTACGACTGTACCAATCCACACAACCAAAAAAAGCGTTCGAATTCTTAACGACAAACATTCCACGGCCCTTACACTGTATTATGCTCAAAAAGGCTATTCATCGGTCCAGCATCAGTCTGGCAGGAGATCAAAGACTCATGCCGAGTTTTGGAAAGAACCTAGAGCTCTTGCATGAATGATGGCTTGGTTAACCTTTTCTCCTCTATCCCACAGGTGTTGAAATCGAGTGGGCTAGGAGACATTTCTTTTTATCTGTGTTTTTGGAAACAACTTTATGGGAAAAACCACCAAAAAAATTGCATGTTTCATTCAATCATGGTACCGACACGTTCGCCTTGTACTCACGAGCATTGACTGGAAGCTGGCGAAATGTTCTTCACTGGACAGAAACGGTATTGCTACCTTTGAAAAGCAATGGATGCCTGACTGTAGTGCCGTGGAGGAATGGTCATGTACTCAACAAACCAAAGGTCTCATTTTGGCTATGTCTCCCTCAAGGGGACACTCAGGGCCTGTACCATCAAGCAGAGACTAGACTCAATAGCTAGAAGAAATTGTATCTTAGACAAAATCCTGATCGTGGTCAGAATGAGGAGCGCTCTAACAGGGCGTTGCATAGCAGTCCACCGTCACCATGCTAGGTCTTTTTCAACACACTGTAGCAGTGAAAGGTACGCGTGGCTAGCAGCAGCTTCGTGAAGGCGGACAAACATAAGTATAGGGGCGTTGAAGGTTATGAGCTGTCTCGATAACGCTTTGGCGGCGGCTACAGTGGTTGTCACTCCTTGACTCTCCCGACGTGCGGGGAAACGCGTCCAGGATCACGACGCGTGAATTCAAACCAGAATCCAACGCTCTGAGACTCGGCACACCACCGTACCATAGTTAGCGACGAAGATGGTGGCTTCATTACCACCTGAACTACTGTATCTGATTCTGCAGAAATGTCCCTGCCGGAGGGTGCAAATCGAGGAACTTGCAACATACTACAATGTGAGACGAAGCCCCCCTATATATATATTCATTCGGAAAGGAGGACATCATTCGTGAGGGTCACCTGCTAACTGGAACACCCACGCAGGATATCTTCCCTAGTCCTCCGGTCCTCGTTGCCTACGGTCTCGAGAGCACGAGCAAGACAACGGTCATCGTCGAAGTGCTGAGATCGAGAGAAATCCAACATGGAGTCATCAAGAGCAGGGAGTGTCTGTCCCAAAGGCACCTGCTGTCCAAGATTTTTGCGGCCTGCGTCGGTGCCTTTGGACAGGAGAGCGACACCGAACACTTTGACCGGACGGACAGCATCAACGCGCTCCTGGGGAATCTGCGCAGGCTGTTTGAGCGGGTGGGCCGGAAGGAGTTCGTGGCCGTCATTGACGATGCGGATGCGTTGAAGCAACCCGGACCAACGCTGCTCCCCGCGCTCGCTCGGCTAGGAGATCTGGTAATTATGTGCAAGAATGCTGGGATGAGCGAGGCCACCTGCTAATGCGTGCGACAAGATCCCAGGTCTGTCCATCATATTGACCTCGAGCTCTCCTAGACCTCTCAACCTGCACAAAGCCGGTGTGCCGTGTGTACACTTCCCGCCCTACACGCGCTCTGAAGCGATCTCGATCATCGTGTCTCAAACGACACCTTCACTTTCGGACTCGTTGGCTGGAGTCTCTGGAGGGTTCGACCAGACCGCGCTGTCGAAGCTGTATGCTCAGTTTGTGGTTACAGTCTACGACAGCTTGATATCCTCGACATCATCAACATCCGTAGAAACCTTCCGTCTGGCCTGTGAGAGGCTGTGGCCGCGATTCATCGAGCCGATGGCGTCAGGTCAAGAGCCGCCGGGACGAGCGAAATCGTGGGACTTTGCAAGACTGCTGGTGCAAAATCGTGGTCTGTTTCGATCAGAGGGGGAGGAAGCTTTACAGAACACGTTCCCAAGAAAACCACTCCCAGATGACCTTGAAGCTGGATCGTCTCTACGTCAAGATTTGTACAGAGTTGGCCCTTCAGGGGCGGACAATATAATAGCAGGTGCATCTACCACGCCGTCAAAACATGCCGCTTCAGAGTCCAGCCAACCTGCACTGTCGAGGCAAACAACCTCAAAACCAGCGCAGTCAGAATCATCAATAAACCGTCCGTCACTCCTCAAGCATTTTCCAACGCTCGTCCTCCTCTCGGCCTACCTTGCAAGCCACACGCTCCCAAAACATGACATCCTGCTCTTCTCCCGCCTAAGCGCCACGTCGAGCTCGATCAGCAGGAAAATCCGCAGACTGAGACAGACGCCGACGAAGAGGAAAACGGCGTCCACCCCCAGTGGCACGCCAACGAAGGACGCCGCAACGCCTACGAAATCGCGCACCAAGTCCATATTTGCCGCGGGGGCTAATTCGGGCATTCCACGACCGTTCACACTCGAGCGGCTTGTTGCGATTCTTCGGGCAGTCCACCCGCAGGGCGTCCCCAATCGGCCGGGTCGCGGCGTGAGTGATCGGATATACCGTGAGCTTGGAGAGCTGGAGAGACTCCGCCTTGTTGTACGATCGTCTGGATCCGGCGCTGCGACTGGGGCTGGAGGAACGGGTGACGACGCGGGAGATGAGAAATGGCGGGTCAATGTAGGTAGAGAATGGGTGGTGAATATGGGACACATGTGGGGAATGGGCGTCAGCGAGTACGAGATAGACCCAGACTCGTAGTGCCCCCAATGCCAAAATGCGCAGGGAATCTCGAAGCTGACAAGCCAACACCTTCATGTTCGTCCCTCTACGCAACTCTGTATGAGTAGCAGCAAGGAATTCCTTTTCCATCCCACCATCTTGCGCTTTGCACAAGGCATTTCTTTGCTACGCATCGTCTTCACCCTGCTTGTCGAGTCAAGTCGGTCCTCAACGGAAATCCAAACGAGGTTCATTCCTGGTCGTCTCCCGCGGCCCTGCCCTGCGGAGTCCACTCAGTGATCTCCTTGCCACTCGAGATAAAGATGCTCTTTGGCCCGTCTCTGACGCGGACGATGGCGGCACACTCGACGGGGGAGTCGAAGCGGTGGTTGTTGAGCGGGCTCTGGAGCAGGCGGCCCGTTGCGGCGGACCACAGGGCGGCGCGGTGGTTCTTGTGGTCGTCAGTCGAGGTGCGGAGGACAACGTTCAGCTCTGGGTCGTACGCGAAGCTCATGCCGTACCAGCGGTGCTGGTGGGTGGCGGGGACGTGGAAGCTGAGCACGGCGGGACTGGCCTGGAAGGAGTTGGACCGCGGCAGGTGGCACAGCAGGGTCGGGGCGGGCGCGAAGCGCAGGTCGTAGATCTTCATGCTGCGCAGGCCGCTGAGGAGGATGCGGTTGCCGTCCGGCAGCGCCGCGAGGCCGGTGATGGCGTCCGAGTGCTGGAGCCGTGTCGCGGTCGTGCGCCCGCCCTTGGTCGGGGGCGGCGGCGCCCGGATGTCGCTCAGCAGCAACTTGCCCGAGCGCGTGCCGCCCATGACGACGTTGTGGTCTTTGAAGGTCGCCTTCATCAGCTCGTTGGTGCCCAGCGGGAACTCTCGGAGCGGGTAGCTTGCGTGCGACAGGTCCATGAGGTACAGGCCGCGCTCCGTCGCCAGCGCCGCCGTGTATTCGCCCGGCTGGGCTGCGAGGTCCCGTACCGTGCGCACAAACGACGCCTGGTGGATCAAGTCGTGTCTGTCCTCAAAGGGTCCGGAACGGCAGACTCCCACCTTGACCACCGACTCCGTAGGCGACTGATAAGAAACGCAGTACTCGGACCACACGACCAGACCGGCCCCGACCGAGAGGATATCCTGGGTTCTATGCGCCCCGCCAATGTCCTCAGCATTGCTGGACCTGTACAGTGCGCCTTTTTCATAGTCTCGAGGCAGAGGCCAGTCTGGGGGTTCTCGAAGATTTTGCTCCGCCACATCAACGGACGATCCCAGGTGGAAAGCGCGCATGTGCGTTTGAAAATTCACACGGTCCCACGACCTCAAGATGCAATCTGCAAATAAGGTGCCCGAAGTTCGCTCGATGGAAAACGATCCAGACACCAAACAGCCTTCATACTGACGGCCCGGCCTCGACGTCGAGCGTCCCAGGGGCAAGAGGTCGCTGAAGACGCTTTTCCCCGTGAGAGCCCCCGCGTAGTATTCCGAAACGAGCGCCCCAGCACTCTTTCGTAAATGGCCCAGTCGTCTGTCAAAGACCAGCAGAGGATGTTGCAAGAGCTTCGACCGCGTCACCGTTTCGGCCATCTTCAACTGGTGTAGCAATTCATCCCGCCGCTGGGCTTTCTTGATCACCTTCTCGGCCTTGACCGCTTGACGGCTGTACTTCGATCCTGACGGTGCAATGTGGTTTGGCTGGATTTTGAAATAGCGGTTCTTTTCGGCATCGAAATAATAGCCGGGAAGTTCAGCAGGCATCGTGAGGCAGTGTGGAGATGCTGAAATTTTCAGCCTCAAATGCCGGTTTTCACGATCATTTGGAACGGCGATGGTGGAAGGCGGGATTCAGTCACCACGATCCAGATGCTGAGAATATCCCTGACGGTGATTTGGGGACGCACTAGCCAGCAAAGATAGTATTTCGCACAGAGACATAGGAGAGCGAGAAAGCAGCAAGAGAGCCGGCGAAGGTCGATTTGCGAGAACACGGATCATGTTGTAATAGACTGTCCTGGGCCGTGTCGCCAGATGCCCGAAGTGGAAAGGCGCAGCCTCACAAGGCTTCAAGGTTAGGGAGTGACAATGGTGATTTTGACGCCTCTATCTCTGAGTCAAGGCGCCTTGCGTCTTGGATACCGTACCAAGAACTAATTGATTCTTGATTAATGTGGAACACAATTGGTATTCCTTGCCGAAGAAGCCGCTTGACTCAAAATCGAGAGTGGCCGCCGCGTCTTAGCCGTTACACCCGTTGTGAGCCCGCCTGAGCCCTCCAGTGCCATTCTCTAACCTGATACGAGCGTCCAGTGCGTTGACCTCTAGCCTTATCACCGCCAAACCCATCCCCTGCAAGGACATGCCTCTTCCAAATCCACTACTGTCTCCTCATTCATCGCTCACACTCGCAAATTTTTCGCTCATCTGCTGCAACAATCGGTCATACTTCCCACTTACTTCCTCCTGATCATCCGGCAACTCGAACTTCATGCTCCTCAACCCATGTTGGATCTCTGACGTTGCCTCCCTCACCTTCGCCCAGCTCAACCCACTACTCACGGCCTTCTGTGCCTCATCATGGAATTGCATAAACGCCTTCATCATGTATTCCGTCTTCCAGAGTGGACAGAATTGATCGTAGTCACTGTATCCGTTTTGTTGAAGGAAGTCGTCTTTGAGCATGGCCGCGACGTCGAGAATAATCTTGTCCGAGTCGCCCAAGGCCGATTTACCCACAAGTTGCACCACTTGATCGAGGTCTTCGGAATTTGTGAGGAGTTCTTTGATACGGTCCCGTAGACGAGGGAACTCAGGGTGATCTTTGGCGTAGAACTTGTCCAGGATATTGGTGTATTTGCTGTATGACAGGGAGGTGTTGACGCTGGGGAAGTGCTTTCTCTGTGCGAGTTTCTTGTCAAGTCCCCAAAAGACTTGGACGATACCCAAGGTCGCAGACGTGACCGGATCAGAGAAATCGCCACCAGGAGGTGAGACGGCACCGACGATGGAGATGCTACCGTTGCGTTCAGGAGAGCCCAGAGCGATGGCTGCACCTGCTCGTTCATAGAACGAGGCTAGCTTGGCAGACAGATAGGCTGGGAAACCCTGGTCCGCAGGCATTTCTCCAAGTCGGCCAGAAATCTCACGTAGAGCTTCAGCCCATCGAGACGATGAGTCCGCCATCATCGCCACCGCCTTGCCCTGATCGCGGAAATATTCAGCCACTGTAATTCCAGTGTAGATGGAGGCTTCTCTCGCAGCAACGGGCATGTTGGAAGTGTTGGCGATCAGGCACGTTCTCTTCATAATGGGCTCCTTTCGGCCCTCGATGGTGATGGAGAGCTCTGGGAAGTCCATCAACACCTCTGCCATTTCGTTCCCACGCTCTCCACAACTGGATCTGTCTCAGTAGATGTCTCTATCGAGTGGACAAAGGTGACTTACCCGACATAGACGATGATATCGCTGTTGGAGAATTTGGAGACGGACTGGGAAATGACAGTTTTGCCGCAGCCGAAAGCACCAGGAATGCACACAGTACCACCCTGGACCGAGGGAAATAGGGCGTCCAGGACTCGTTGGCCGACGATGAAGGGCGAATCGGCTTGTAGACGTTCGTTGACAGGTCGGGGAACACGGACGGGCCATGTTTGCATCATCGGGTACTCCTTGGTCTCGCCATTGAACTCGACCGTAAGCAGAGGCTCGTCAACGGTGTAATCACCCTTGGGGGCAATCTTCTTGATTGTGCCTCTGGCTCGTGGGGGTAGGAGGATTCTATGTTCGTTGACCAGACTGTTCTCAACCACCTTCCCCCAGACGTCACCACCGCTGATGTGATCTCCCACCTTCATGGTGGGCGTGAAAGGCCATTTTTTCTTTCTGTCCAAGGAAGGAACGGCAATGCCACGAGGGATGTAGATGCTGTTTGTATTGCCAGCAATGGTCTTCAGTGGTCTCTGGATTCCGTCGTAGATTGTTTCCATGAGTCCAGGGCCGAGCTCGACGGATAAAGGTTTGCCAGTCCGCAGGACAGGGTCTCCAACGGTGACGCCAGCTAGAACACAATCAGTGGAAGGCACCAAAGTTGTCAGGACGAATCTAACATACCAGTCTCCTCGTAGACTTGAATTGTAGCCCTGTCAGCCTCTATGCGAATGACTTCGCCCACCAGTTCATCGTGGCCGACCTTGCAGAGCTCGTACATGGCAACACCGATCATGTTCTCGGCGACGATGACCGGACCAGAGACGGAAAAGACGCTTCCATTCTGGTGGTCGTCGCCGATACCACTCTCTTTCGAAGCAGGCATCCTTCTGTATGTGCGAGCAGTTGTGTGCAGAGTCTGGAGTGGTTGTGGAAAGGCAAAGACGGAGGAGCTGTTGTCGGAGCTGGGACCGGCAAGCTCTCCCTCGTCTAGATCGTCTTCGATAAGATCGGGGAGGCCAAGCTGGAGGTGAAGGTACTTAAGGTCCGAGAGGGAAGCAAGGTCGTCGATACTCTTGCCAGTTATAAATTCAATCACCGACTTTTTATGTTTGAGGCGAGGGCGACCAAATCCAAGCATATGAAATCATCTTTTGCGGGAAGCTGTCTAGGTGCGCTTTTGGATTTCGGGGAGGTGGGTAGGCTGCTGCGGATAAGTCGCTGGCACACCTGGTGAGTTACGCTTCAAAGTTTCGCCGACGCTGGGAGCACAGTGAAGATGCGCTCTCGAAAGCATTCCTAAGTGCGAAGGAAGATAACCTGTCTACTTGGAACTTGTATATGTCTACTACACTTCAATAGCCTGCCTACACAGCCGAAGATGTCTGTGATTGACTCTCGCACAGGGCCCTGATACCTGATCCCTTGCTTTGGAATCTGACCCAATGCCCTGTTAATTTGGCCGAGGCTTCCCCTGCAGCTGCCAGCTGCCAGCTCCCAGCGCCAACCAATGGTCCAACCCCACCCATAGAAGCATCTGCCAGCCTTGAGCGCTGGCTGCAAACGCCTGCAACATCAACCTCGCGGAGTTGCCACATGGCAAGATATAAGGCATCAATGATGACCATTGGGTAACGTCAAGAGGCAAGAGGGCCCAATTGTACACTCAGGACGGGGTACGAAGCTTCCCAGAAGTGAGCGACAAGCTAGCCTGCGAAGAGGCGCCTTATCTTGGTCCATAATGTTGTCAGGCTCCAACTTTACAGCAAGGACGGGGGACGTGGGATGGTCTGAAACCGGCCTGGCAAGTGCACATAATAATACGAGTAGTTGGTGCCGGAGTGGTTGGCCACCATGGCCGGTTTTAACAACCAAGTGACCAAGGGAGAGTAGATCAGGTGGTTCGAGGTTGTCTAGGTCCGGTGGGCTATTTGGTGCCTGTGAAGAGAGCCTAGAAACGCTGGGCATGTCCTCCCTGCACAAGAGGGTCGATTACTTATATTAGTCCCGCTGGGCCTGGAGGTGCCGGTTACAGTTTAGTTGGAGATACGCTTGCTGCGGGCACACTACTGGCTCCGACATCAACCCGTCCCCATCTCGTCATCTACTCCCTCTTGAGTTGAGACCACGAGTATTCCCACTCACCACGACTCCTCTAACATCCGCCTCGATAATTCCTGATCCTTATATCTCTCCACGACGCCATCCCTCTTCATCCGTCTGCAGATTTGTCGCCCGATACCCGAGATCCATCTTGGTCAAGCAAATCTATTGACCTCCAGTTTCCCCCTCTGACTTGACGTCTTGGGCCAACTCCCCCAGCATCAACCACCGCAGTCGTGACCTTTCTATTCCGCCGCGAGGGTTTTGGCTGTGCCGTTGAATGATTTAGCTTCTAGTCTCCTCCAGACTTTGACAGCGCCGCTCACCATCCATACTTGCACGGACGGGGATTTGGATACAACTGCTTGACTCCGTTCCCTCACCGAAGGGGTCTTCGCAGTGATATTGGCGGCTTTGCCGCCACCACGAGCTGGCACACCACCCTTCTTCGAACCATAACCTAATCACTACCGACGACCCATCCACCTCGACTCCCCCTGGCCACTCTTCCTACACAGATTCTACTTCCCCATCCCCAAATACAAGTACAATTGTCAACTCGCCCAACTCAACTGCAAACCCGCTTTCGACCGACTCAGAAAACCTCACGGCAAGCCAACTACCTATAGAGCAGGTACAGGCTTCTCAGGAGCTGGGGAGACGAAGGAGAAGGCGGTCATCGTTTGAAAGATCCGCCGAAGCCGATAACAACCTAGGTGGACCTAGTCACACATTGGGAGAAGCGGTTCAAGAGCCTCGATCCGAAGGCGAACATAGGCCGAAGCGCAGGCGAACCGACAAGTCCAATATGAGAGTCGATGAAGACTCGGAGCAAGTATTTTCCAACGGTCATTCTGCAAGTTCCAATGGTTCTACCCCAAGGAAGCCTCTGCACGGGGCCTTGAACGGACATGTAAATGGATCCAGCCCCTCATACACAAATGGCACCTCCAAGAAGCTGGCTCCCGTTCGGTCGCCCACGTATCGAGGGCATAACAGGGAAGAGGTCGTCAGAATTCTCATCCAGGGGCTGCTCGATATGGGATATTCAGACGCTGCCAATGTCTTGTCAAGTGAGAGTGGGTACGAGCTGGAAAGCCCTTCGGTTGCTGCCTTTCGAAACGCCATTTTGGAAGGTATATGGTCCGAGGCAGAAGCAATACTGCTAGGATCACATCAGCACGAGCGTGGTGGACCGCTACTGGATGACGACCAATATGGGGACGGGCTCGTACTTGCGGAAGGCGCTGATAGAGGCCAGATGCTGTTCTGGATCCGGCAGCAGAAGTTTCTCGAGTTACTCGATCGACGCGACCTTGGTATGGCTCTCATGGTCCTCAGACAAGAACTGACGCCCCTGGGACACGACATCCACCAACTACATGCTCTCTCAACCCTACTCATGTGTCCGCCCGAGGATCTAAGAACCAAGACACACTGGCCGGGCACAGTAGAGGAGTCCAGAAAGATGCTGCTACAAGACCTATCTCGGTCAATCGCACCGTCTGTCATGATTCGAGACCACAGGTTAGCGGAATTATTTGACCATATAAAGCAGAGCCAGATCAACCAGTGTCTCTATCACAACACCGCAGAACCTCCATCGTTGTACTCGGACCATATCTGTGACCGTGAGGATTTCCCGTCGCGGACGTTTCTTCAACTTGAGGATCACACTGGCGAGGTCTGGCACGTGCAATTCTCTCATGATGGCACGAAATTGGCTACTGCAAGTCAGGACCAAACCGTCAACATCTACGAAACTGTGACTTTCAAAAGGCTTCACACCCTCTCTCATCATTCGGCTGAGGTGACGTATGTGTCTTGGAGCCCAGATGACACCAAAATCATCACTTGTTCCAAGGATTGCAAGGCCCGCGTCTACGATGTCGAAACGGGAAGACTGGAGGTGACGCTCGAGCACCAAAGCGTGGATCAAAACTACGGCATCACCGCTGCGGCATGGACTCCCGACTCTCAGGGCTTTGTCACTTCGAGTCACGACCGCAACTCGCAGTTATGTTATTGGAATCTCCGAAGTCCGAAGCGCGAGAAACCCGAGCACGTATGGCCCAGGGGGTTCCGTGTACAAGATGTGGCCATCACCGAGGACGGGAATTGGCTGGTTGCTCTCGACAATCAAGACATCATCCGCATTTTCGACATGCACACGTATCGGGAAGAGCCACCCATTAAAGTAACGGGCAAGATGACAAGCCTTACTCTAAGTCGGGATGGCAGGACAGTACTGGTCAATTTCGCCGTTGGGGAAGTTCATATGATCGACTTAGTCACGAGAGAGACCGTTCGCAAGTTCCGCGGGCAGAAACAAGGCGAGTTTGTGATCCGAAGCTGCTTTGGAGGAGCCGCAGAGAATTTTGTGGTTAGCGGCTCAGAAGGTGAATTTTTCTGCCAACCGTGTCACAGATATGCTAATTTGGGGAACAGATGGCTTGATCTATGTGTGGCACAAGGAGAACGAATCGCTGATCGAGAAACTGTCGGGCCATGGCCGGGGTCAGGGTGGTAAGGAATGCGTGACCACGGTGGACTGGCACCCGAGAGATGCGGGCATGTTTGCGTCTGGGGGCGACGACCGTAAAGTGCGAATGTGAGTTCTGTCGGCGCTCCTTGGAATGGTCTGCCGGTGCTAATGCCATACAGATGGACAAACTTGCGTTCGCCGGTCGAGGGCCTCCCTAGCAGCCTGAACAGGTCCCTTGCTCGCCACGACTCAGAGCGGACCAGCGCCCTGAGATCGACCCTATAACGCCCGGCATATCAAGTCTTTGAACGGAGTTGGCGGCATTTGACAGAGGACCACACGGATCTATGTTTACGGTAACGAGGGACGAATTGCACAGATATAGAGAGTCTGGATACAGCATTATTGCATTTGGAGGTGTCTGACAGTGTGGTTTGAGTTTGACCCGAAACAAGAGCACGTCTGCGGCTGACAGGCACAGGCTCAGGCATCGGGACTTTCTGGTAGGGATTCTCATTGCCGGGAGCATCGAGGTTTCCAACAGAGAACAGGCCGGATGCTTGGGCGGGAGTCAACTGGCACGTTGAGATTCAGCGATCGCTGGCATGTCTGATCGAAGTCTGCTTAGATCTAGCTACCTCGCCCTATCTTTACAAGGACCTAAAGCCCACTACTTTGCTCAATACTATGGATGAAAAATACAGGCCCATTTGTTGTCTGCTTGAGGGAGCATTAGGTGCTTACCAGTAGAAGAGAGTGCTAAGAGATGAGTGGCTCGGGAGGTGGTGGTGTAGTGAATATGTGTATGTCAGTCACGAGGCAGCGGGCCTTCAGGCTCTTCTGATCTCATCTCAGATCCCTCAGCTCGTGATTTCAGCCCCCCCTGAGGATATAGCAAGTCCACGGGGATAGCAACACGGATACCTCCCAAGAATCGCTCTTCGAGAAAGTTCTTGGGAAGGGCATTTCGTCTCGCATTCGCCATCATAGTGTGGAAGAGTTTGAATGGTGCCTGGCCAGATTGCCGCCACGCTGACAACGATTGGTGCTGTTAATTGCAGGCCTCTGGGAAGTTGTCGCGTCATACATACAAGTACACAGCACAATAACAGCGAGGGGACCAACCGCCTCTCCGCCTCTCCGCCTGCCGGGGGCTTCCAAAGGTGTTGGATTGAAGGGTGCCTGCTGAATGTCGCCTGCAACGCGCAACCTTCCGTTTCTATTTGGCCGCCAAGAACCGAGTCGTCGGGCAGGTGCGAGCCCAGCTAGCAGTAGTGAGGCAGGAGTCGCGCCCACAGCGAAGGCAGCGCTCGCGGCCACCGTGACCGCAGCCCCCAAAGTCGCAGGCGCAGGCGCAGACGCAGGTGCATCACCACTGACGCTTTCGTCCCAAGATTTGGCCAACATCCACAACATCGATATCACTCCCCATCCTACTCACCCTCGCCCTCCGCGCAAGTCCCTCGACCTCGCTCTACAGACCTCTGCCAGAACCAGCATCGAATCCACCCGCTCCGATTTACTTCAAGATCCTCTTCCGCTGACCTTTGCCCCAACCATGGCGGCAACACCGGGGGGCTATTCGTAAGTTCCACGCCGCAGAGGTCAACAACTTCATGAAGCCGTGGCCCCTCTGACCATTTCTACAGAATTAACGTAAACGACCCGACCCTCATTTCCCTCGTCAACAAACTACAAGATGTCTTCACAACCGTCGGGGTATGTCGTCCACCAATGCCATGATACTACAGTCGCCAGCTGTGCTGTTCGCCCAATCTGACCGTCTCTTTCCCAGGTCCAAAATCCCATCGATTTACCTCAGATTGTCGTTGTGGGTTCGCAATCCAGCGGCAAAAGCTCTGTTCTTGAGAACATAGTGGGAAGAGACTTGTAAGCACATTCTCCCGACTTCTTGTGCCGCGCCCTTCCAATCACCCACTGACGCCTGTTCCAGTCTGCCTCGAGGGTCCGGAATCGTGACCCGCCGACCTCTCGTCCTACAATTGATCAACAGACCGGCCCCGGCCAAACTACAGACAAATGGCGTCACCGAGGAAGAGATGAAGAAGACTACCGACAGTCAAGCCAATGTGGATGAATGGGGAGAGTTTCTTCATCTACCGGGTCAGAAATTCCATGACTTCAATAAAATCCGGGATGAAATTGTCAAGGAAACAGAGGCGAAGGCAGGCCGAAATGTCGGCATCTCACCACAGCCCATCAACTTGCGGATATACTCGCCTAACGTTCTCACTCTCACATTGGTCGACTTGCCTGGCTTGACAAAGGTGCCCGTGGGTGATCAGCCACGAGATATCGAGAAACAGATCAAGGAGATGGTTCTCAAGCAAATCCAAAAGCCCAATGCCATCATCCTGGCAGTCACGGCTGCGAACGTTGATTTGGCCAATTCAGACGGTCTCAAACTCGCTCGGGAAGTCGACCCCGAAGGTCAGAGAACGATCGGTGTCCTGACAAAGATCGATCTCATGGACGCGGGCACGGACGTGGTCGATATCCTTGCTGGCCGAATCATCCCACTCAGGCTGGGCTACGTCCCTGTCGTCAATCGAGGCCAACGTGATATTGAGAACAAGAAGCGGATAGATTTGGCCTTGAAAGCGGAAAAGGAATTCTTCGAAAACCATCCTTCTTACCGAAACAAAGCTTCATACTGCGGCACTCCGTATTTGGCCCGGAAACTCAACCTGATTCTCATGATGCACATCAAACAGACGCTGCCAGACATCAAGACCCGCATTGCGAGCTCCCTGCAGAAGTACAGCCAAGAATTGGAGCAGCTGGGTGCCGGCGACCTACTTGGGAACAACAGCTCAAATATCATCCTCAACATCATTACCGAATTTGCCAACGAATACCGGACTGTGCTAGACGGAAATAGTGCCGAACTGTCGAGCAACGAACTCTCGGGTGGTGCTAGAATTTCTTTTGTTTACCACGAGCTGTACTCGAATGGTATCAAGGCTATCGACCCGTTCGACCAGGTCAAAGATATCGATATTCGAACGATACTATACAATTCGTCTGGTTCCTCCCCGGCTCTCTTCGTCGGCACCACGGCTTTTGAACTCATTGTGAAGCAACAAATTCGACGGTTAGAGGAACCGTCATTGAAATGCGTTTCGCTGGTTTATGACGAACTGGTCCGCATTTTGAGTCAACTGCTGCAGAAACAATTGTTCCGAAGATATCCTCAACTCAAAGAGAAATTCCACGGCGTCGTCATATCCTTCTTCCGGAAATCAATGGAGCCGACGAACAAGCTGGTCAAAGACCTGGTTGCAATGGAAGCTTGCTACATCAACACGGGCCACCCCGATTTTCTCAATGGCCACCGTGCGATGGCCATTGTGAACGACCGGCATAACGCCAACAAGCCGACTCAAGTCGACCCCAAAACGGGTAAGCCTTTGCCGCCACAGGTGCCGCCGCGGGCAGCATCACCCAGCTTGCCTACGGACGGCTCGGACCAAAACTCCGGTTTCTTTGGGTCTTTCTTCGCCAGTAAGAATAAGAAGAAGATGGCTGCCATGGAACCGCCCCCGGCGACACTCAAAGCTAGCGGAACACTATCCGAGCGTGAGAACCAGGAAGTGGAGGTCATCAAGCTGTTGATCAATAGTTACTTCAACATTGTTCGAAGGACAATGATCGACATGGTACCGAAAGCGATTATGCTCACCCTCGTGCAGTAAGTGTCACTGGATTCAGGCATCGATTTCAAGCGCTGACCAATGAATAGGTTCACCAAAGACGAAATGCAACGAGAATTGCTTGAGCAACTCTACCGAGCGCAGGAACTCGACGACCTTCTTAAGGAGAGCGACTACACTATCAGACGACGCAAGGAGTGTCTCCAAATGGTGGAAAGTCTGAGCAAAGCCAGCGAGATTGTCAGCCAAGTGCAGTAGAATGGCCAGTGATAGCAGGCATCTCACGCAGCATTCCTGTCTCCGACAGAAGAGCAAACCGAAGATTGTCTCTCTGATGTGTGATTGGAAATGAGGCCGCATACAGAGCCGCGTAGAATGCTGGAGGAGAGACTGCCCTAATGGCATACCACGCAGACGCAACGGCAGGACGGGTGGCAGCCGGACAACCCGGTCCTTTGACCCGTGTTTTACAGCAATCCGCTTCAGCAGTTATGATACCACAATCTCACCGGACCCCTTTCCTGGAGCGATTTGGATTTGGCACCGAAGTTTAGATTAGAATGCGACTTGACGCGGAACCCTCTACGAAACCGACATCAGTGACGGCACCGACGGTGGCGGGTGTCGGTAGGAACAGATGAGACAAAGAGCAATTAATGGGAACGGCTGGCAAGCGAGGCAGATTGGAGTCCATGTAGGTCTCGCCAGCTAGGCGTTCTAGGATACAGATGGACTGCCTACGGCAAGAATGACATTCATTCGATTTCTATCTCTCAATTGAACAATTGGTCGCCGGACTAAAAGCGACGCATTTCGGGCCACAGCCTTGTGCTCCGCTGGTGGACGATCTGCGTCATCGCTTGGCGAGGCAAGGCTGGGGTCCCCTCAAGATTTCCGGTCCACGCTCACAAACACCCTTTACCTCGTAGCTTGTACAAAATGTGAAAGATGAACCGTCAGGAGTGAGAGCGTTGCCTCAACCAATTGATGTCACATAGCCAAAGGAGTCGCGTGAAACACCATTTCTGCACACCAGATCAATGGTGGTCCAAATTCAATCGCTCCCACCTCAATACCAATGCCCTGGGTCGGTGAATGCCGGACCAGCTCTTGAACTCATTCTCCGACGTCTCAATCCCCCTACCTGATACAGAGATTGATCTCTACCATTACGCACGCCACCGGTGTCATGACTGGACGATATATTCCCCCCGCTCTCCGCGCGAGAGGTGGTCAGGAACTTGACAAGGCCCAAGACAGCGAGCAAGGCTCTGGCTCCACGCCCTCGGGCCCGCGCGGAGGGAACAGTCGACCCCTGGCTACCAGATCGGACGCTCTTCCGGACGGAGATCTCTGTTCTTTGAAGGAAATTGAACGCCATTTCTGGCCAGACCCGGGACAAGAAACCTCGGAGGCTAAACAGAAGACGTTGCACGATTCGGCTGCGACGCCCGGAGAGCTAAGTTACGTGCTGCTGTTCAAGGACGCGAACCCGCGGTGGCAGGACGATGGGATCATCTTTACGAAGTCGAGTCTGGAGCTGTTGCCGGCTGAGCTTGCAGATACGGCCAAGCAGCAGGGTGCTACGGATGGAACTGCGGCTGAACATCGCAACACTGGTTCAACCTCCAATGGCAGCGGTCACATGAAGAACGGTGGCGACGAGGCAGTTGGACAAGAGCATGGAGGAGTCAAACAGGACGACAAGTTGGCGTCTGCTCCCCCCACCCAGGCCGACGACTCACAGCATCTAGGGGAAGGACAACGCCAACGCCCCGTCGCAGTCTTCAGCCAACTCCGCCGCTCTTCCACCGATTCGTCCCGCCACTTCAACTTCGCGGGCTACTACCGCATCGTCCACCTGAGTTTCCTCCCACCCCACTCCGCCGAACTGGTGCGCATGCTGGAGCAGAAGTGGAGCTCGAAGAACCCGCGCACGGGCCAGGTCAGGCAGAGACAGAGAGACGCGAGTGCGTGGCAGGAGTCCCTGAAGATGCGGTGGGCGGTGGTCAAGTTTGAGAGGGACGAGGAGGCGATGCAGAGTCTGGGGCCGGTGAAGGTCGAGAGGCTGGAAGATGACGATGACGAGGGGGTTCGAGGTGGTGGGGAAAAGAGCGGCAGGAGGATGAGTGGGCGGGAGAGGAAGGGGGTGAATGAGTTGTTGCGGGAGCTGAGGATGGGGTGACGAGGCGAAGAAAGAGGAGAATGCCGGAGAGCAAGGAGCAGAGAGAGAGAGAGAGAGAGAGAGAGAGAGAGAGAGAGAGAGAGAGAGAGAGAGAGAGAGAGAGAGAGAGAGAGAGAGAGACGCTTGACAGCGGCGCAGAGGAGTGAGAGCGCCGGCATGCATGAACTTCTCAGGAAGCAATTCCGAACAACCCGCCTGCTCGTGCGTGTGCAACTGCGAGCATGGCAGCCCGCCTGGCCGGCCAGCCAGCCAGTCAGGATTAATTACGGGAGAATGGGAATGCGAGCTCGATGGGATTCTAGCCAGGGACATCGATCAATCAGCGTGGAAAAGGGCCTGGAACGAACAACGGCGTTGGGCGATGGTGGTTTGTCTACGAAGTACTGTACTTTTCCCGCACTTGTACCACGGGCACTCCCAACGATTTCAATCCGGTATGCTTGGTATACTTGGTATACTTGGTATGCTATGTGCTTGCATGTAAGCCCTTCTTCGTCCCCCATTTCATGACGCCTTTACGCATGTTGCTGGCGAGGATTCCTCCATCCAAATCAAAGCCCCAGGGAAGCAAGAGTTAAGGATATCAAACATGGTTGAGTCTACATATCTACAGTACCTACTCCTGAATACCCACGCATCCTTTCTCGCGGAAACCCAGCCCAATGGCCTATCGATCTCCCTCCGTATCAGTAGTGCTATCTATCCTGCTCTGTCCCCGTCCCCGCCCCCGCCCCCGTTTCCATTCCGCTCTACTTGGACAAGTATGATTCCATCTCCTTCTATTTCCACTTCCACTTCCACTTCCACCTTATTCTCTTCTGTTTCTTCTTCGCCTTCTCTCTTCCTCTTCCTCTTCCTCTTCCCCGTCCACATATGCCAGGTTCACGGTTCACCACGCATCAAGGATCTAGGTTCATATCCAGACCCTACTTGGTATACCATTCCGCCATACCCCGGGGTCCCCGAATCCCTCGCCATTCGCCATCAGGTCAAGGACTTCGTACCAAAGCAAACAAAGCGTCGAAAGCGCCGGGTGGGGCTGGAAGGGCTGGGAACGTTCTCCGGATTGGAAACGGACATGTGAGGATTCCCTGGAGTGGCCGGGGCAAAGCGTGGGCAAGGAGAGGCTGTGGAAACCCTGGTGAGCTGTGGACCACGGTGTGGAACGTGGGACGCAGTGCACGGACCACCGTCCATCGTACAGAGTCCTCGTAAGGACCATGTGAGTGTCACTGCAAAAACCTAATGTAGAGTGACATCATTCCATCATCACCCGCACGTGGGAAGATGGGGACATGGCGCGATGGTAGGATGGTGAGATGGTGAGATGGTGAGATGGTGGGATGAAATGCATCCCCAGCTTCGTGTTCACCGTGAGACTGTTACCAAGATGAGCACCGCAAACCATTCAATGTCCAAATAGATTGCTATATCATTCTGTCTGAAAGATAGCCGCAGAGCCTGTTCCGCAAGCCCTGCCGGCGACGTTGTACATACAACAATACACTGTTGTCCGTATGCAAGAGTCGCGAAGATGTCAACAAGATAAAAGATGCCGGTGACCCTCGTAGTCCACCGTGGGGTATCAATGCAAATGAGTGAAAGCAGATGAAAAGGTTCCTTCCCAGCCGTTGGATGCAAAATCCCTTCAACACCCTGCCATGGGTTACCGTTGCCCATGACTGGATCAGCCCTGCATGCAACCCTCTGAAAATATGCCGTGAAATTGCGCCGTCAATATGTCCTCTGTAATGTTTCCTGTCCCTTTGATCCGATTAACTCTTCCACATGTTGCCGCTACCAGGTCTCATTTCTCCTCGAATCCTCAATCGCAACAATGATGGCTCTCAGACTCCGAAAATGCGCTTCTCGACAGGGAGGGTTGCCTCGTATTCAGCAACTTCTCTCCGGAGTGCCAAACGATGAGCTTGCGGAAACCGGTCAACGTAAGACTGCGGGATGCTCTGTTGCGTCATGTCCTCAACCCAGCCCCATTTCTTGAAGGTCGTGTACATTTTGCTGAGCTTGTTGACATCCACATTGCCAAACAATTGAAACTGGGCCTTGCCGACATTCAAAACCTTGAACTTGGGATTGTTCTCGCCGAGCTTCTCAAGGTTGTATTCCACAAACAATGCAAGGCCGATGAAGCACCGCGCCTTCTGGCACTTGTACAAGTCGGAGCTCATGGCCAAAAGTTTGCAGAGCTTGACCTCTTCGGGATGCAAACCTGCACAGTCGCCAATGTCTTGAAGCTCTCGGATGTCCTTCAGTTCTTCTGCCGTGAACTCGCACGGAGACAGATGGATTTCCGGTCCATTCTCCGGCAGAATTGCGTCTTTGAAGGCCTCGTAGTTGATTTTGTCTTCGGAGCGTCTGTTGAGAGTGTCTTTGATGTTTCGGCAGAGTGTCTCGCTTGGACCCCTCGGCTTGTCCGAATTGCGGTTTCTGGTGTTCTTCGACTTGGTATCCGAACTTCGCCGTGTCGGCTTGAGTTTGCTGTCCGAGACCACCTTTTGCTTCTTGACGCTCTTGATGGACTCAACCTCCTCTGCCTCCTTGGCTGCGACAGTCTTTACCTCGACAGTACGGGGTTCTTCGTCTTCTTCGTCCGCATATCTGCGCTTCACTCCTCTGGTTCGACTGAGCGGTTCTTCGGCAAGCTTCAACGTAGCAACTGCGATATCCACCTTCTTTTCTTGAGGAGAGGCAACTGCAGTGGGACGAGGAGGTGGTCGCTCGCTGGCTTTAGCGGGCCTTGGTTTGACGCCAAGTTTAGCTAGAACACTAGACCTGGAGACACGTTGAAGAGACGAGTCTTCGGGGATCCACTCCATACAAGATGCGTTGCCGCCGTAAAGATACTTCCTGATGTCCATCAGAACCGAGTCCATGTCGTCAATCGGGTATTTTTTCAGAAGTCCCGCAAACGCCAACCGCTTAATGCCATTCCATGGCCCTGGTGAGCAGGACGTGGGGTCCAATACCGTGTCAGCTCCAAGTCCAGGCTCATACCAGCTAATGCGGTACTCGAGGAGGCGGTCCACTCTCCTGGCAAGCTCATCTCCACGAACCCAGCGTTGCTCTTCGGGGATAGGCCGGTCATCAAGATGATAGAGGAAATCGGAACACTTGTTACGGAACAGTGCGAATCGCTTAAGAATGAGGTCGTAATCTCGACATGACAAGTGAATCGCCTCAGCATAATCGCTGTCCGAGAGGTCGGTGGGTGGAAGGATCGGCTGTGGGACCAAAACAGGTTCGGAATCAAAGAGGCCTTGGACGGGAAGCGACGAGGATTGAGAAGAGCTTCGCGACAACGTGGGAGTTGGTGGGAGAACTTCCGACTTGTCAACCACAAGCACAGGGTCGTCGCTCTTGTGTCCTGGAGAAGCAATGGCGTTGAAGTCGTGCTCTGGTGGGTCGGGAGGTGTGATCAACGGGTTCTGGTTGAGTGCGGCCATGTTGGTCCTGAATGTAGAAGGTAGGCTGGCTCTCTCCTTGGACGGGACGACGACTTCAGAAGCCATGTTCGTCTGGTCGGACGGGGATGAGTCGAGGAGAATTTCGGGCTCTGGGTCCCCACGCATGTGTGATGTCTGATCCACCTCTTTCTGATTAACAGATTGCGGCCGGGGAACGATGGGACTGAGCGGGGGAGAGGGGATTGATATTTTATGCTGCGCCGTCGCGAGATCGGAGGTCCTCGTGGTAAAGGTCCTCGTCGTTGCAAGGGTTCGTTCGCGGATCCCAAAGTTGGGAATGTTTTGAGTTTGTAGTTCCGTCGGTTCGATCGCTGCGCTCTGGAGGTGAGTCAAAGGGTAGAGGCGCAACAATGTCCTGGACTCAGAGGGGTGGCTCAAGGTTGGTAAAAACGTGTGCTGATAAATGGCGAACAGTAAGATACTTGTAGTCAAACAGATGGTTCCCGGCGGCAGCAACCAACTCAATAGAGCGATGAATGATATAGGGTCAGTATGTGAGTACAATGGATGTTTGTGACTATTGAATGGGTCAATGGAGAGATTCAATGGGGAAGGACAATTGGGAAAGAACAATGGGTGATGGTAAAATGGTATGAATAGCAGGTGCGGCAGCGAGTGAAGGCGGCGGCGGCGCGGCAGGCAGAAAACATGGCAGTGTAGAGTAATCCGAGCACCGGGCCATTGATAGGATGAATCAGGATATGCGTCATTCTCAGGTGGTACTACGGGAGGCAAAAAGCAGTGAAGGTCAGGCAAACAGATTGAACAATCAAGTGTTTGGTTCACCACCGAGACCTTGTGATTTGGTGAGCATGGCCTGGCGAGTGGTGGCGGGAATGCGGGATCAGGCGGTGGTTTACTTCTTAGTCAAGCAGAAGCGGGAGTCAGGCAGTCAGAAGTTGGCGGATGAAGAGGGGGGCGACGCATAAAAAAGCATCAGGAGCCGCGCCCGAGTCCAGACAAGGTTCCAGGCAGAGAAGGAAGACCATGGTTCGCATTGGAAGCAACAAGAAGGAAGATCCAGCAGTCAGGTGGCAGAGTGGCAGAGTGGCAGAGGTCACCAAGGTGTGGCAGTGGAAAGAGGAGGAAGAGAGGAAGAGAGAATAAACGCAGAGAATACGTGTGTGGCGGACAGAGGCAGAAGTTTCCTCCTTGGCACGGCGGCGACGGCGTTAGCGGTGCCAGTTGAGTCAGACGACGACCAGACAGCGGGCCGTGATTGGCGGGATCTCGATCGAAACTGCTGGATCGCACAGGCCCAACGCACTAGTCCCAGTACGGCGATTGCAGCTCGTGACTGGGACTCGGTGGGCACGGCAAGTTCCGGAACAACACTATATCCGATGACCCGGCCAGGCTCCTATAAACTGGTCACATCCCCCCCTCCAGTTTCCAGCATGGAGGAGGAGAGGAGGAGAGGAGGGTGGCTTGGATATTTCTTGTGGCATTTGGGGATTATTTGTTTGTTACTTGTACGGACGTCATTGTTTATTTGTTTTGCATGACGCTGGCACACTGGCCACAGAGTACACGGATATTATGGTTGAGCCTAGGCAAATTCCGACAACCTACCTACGTACCTATGGAACCAAAACACGCTCACAGCGCCCTCTCCACCAAACACCCTGCCGTCCAAAGGGCGTTCCATTCACGTGGCTACTTGGCACCTTGCTTCCCTCCCCATAACCTTTTGTGAACCTCGCACTCACACGGTGTAATATTTCTCCTCGGGACCATGACAGATACGGCATTCCTTGACTGAATTGGTAATTTGGACCAACCTGGCACCCCCTCCGACCGCATCGTTTCCCCTCCTCCGCATTTGTCCTGGATTATGCATCTCTATATAAACTGACAAGAGCCCTGGAAGCCGTTCCAGGAAGTTGTGTAAGTTTCGTTCACCCCATTGAGTGCACTAACTTCAAGTTCCCCGTTCCCCCGTTTCTGCCACTACCAACATCCTTCTACCATGGCTTCCCCGCCCATTCATTACCTCTTACCAATCTTTCCTGGATTCCAACTTCTCGACCTTGCTGGTCCACTGGATATCTTGAACTTGCTGTCGACCCAACTTGATCCGGACACATGTCCACTTTCTTTGACTTTCATCGCTGAGACACTGGACCCGGTACCGGTCAAGCCCATCCCCACGCAATCCGCCGACTGGACATTCGACCTTCCAAACGCGTTCCCGAAAACGAACGGCAGAGTCAACCTCAGCTTCAATGAGTACCTACAACCCGACACCACATATGCAGACTATCTGGAAGCCCTCAGCTCTGGCAAATCAGGAGCCCATGTCGACATCCTCTTTATTCCTGGCGGCGTTGGTACGAGACTGAAGCGCGTTCAGCCAGATGGCAGCAAGACATCTAACATCCAGAGCCTACTCGACTTTGTGCCAAAAGTGGTCCCCTATGTAACCACCGCCATATTGACAGTTTGTACCGGATCCGACGCACTTGCGCAGACTGGTCTGCTCAACGCACGCCGTGCGACTACCAACATGTCTCGGTGGGCAGAGGTAACAGCACGGAGTCCCACCGTATCGTGGGTAAATTATGCTCGGTGGGTCCGGAGCCTCCCATCTGAAGCGCAAGGCGACAAGAGTGCCCCCATCGAGATTTGGACTTCGGCCGGGATAAGTGCAGGGATGGATCTGACTTTGGCATTCGTCATGCAATACTATGGTGGCCAAGATGTGGCAAGAGGCCTGGCCAAGGCTTTGGAGTATGACTGGCGCGAGATCGCAGAGGGCGCGATAGATCCGTTGTATGAGAAATATTACGCGGTTTGAAACTGATTCTTCAATCAACCGCCTGGATGTGGCAACAACAGCTTGTCAGCGACTGGTTATCTTGAACAAGTGAATGGACCGCCACTTATGGGATTCTGAGGGGTTGGCCATTCAGCAAAATCAGAGACGCCATTCAGCGTCAAAGGGGCTTTTGCACGGCTGTTTACTTTCCACTCGACAGACAAGAGGTAATTTTACCAGACCGAAACGATTGCAAACAAATCTGAAGACCTGTTATCTCCTCATGGACCAAGGCTGACACTATCCTCTATCGGGCGGGCCCAGCAAGGACATGACAGCCATGGTGAGTTTATCCGTCCCTTTTCGCTGGTTCAACCGAGAACCATCACATCTGCGAAGGCGGTTTCACAATTTCCAGAGGGGAATGCTCTGGGCAATGGACCAAACGCGCGCTACAGTGGCAGCCACCCGCTCCACCACTGAACACACCCCCAAAGATATCACCCTCGAGGACTCTACTAATCACCCAAGAGCGAGGCGAAGCTAGTTTACTTGCTCTCATCACTGCTATGACCTATGTACCCTTCCTCAGACTGGGACCGCCGCAGACGATCGTCGTTCTCTGGACGAAAACAAGACACCGAAAAGGGCATTGACGACTGTCCTAGTCCATGATTGTCTCAAGGCAGCCAGGAGGGAAGAAAACGTTAATTATATTGTCGACGTGGATTTCGTGAAAGGCTGCGATGTCATCTCCAGCTCGATTGCTTTCCAATCCACCACCCGAATCCTCAATTCTCAGAAACGTCTTCGTTTCAACGTACATATACCTGTTCTCCAGTTTTGCACAAGCTGCTTCCCCTGTCGTGGCTATTTGACGCCATTTCTCACGACTTGTCTTGGGACTACACACCGTTCCTGCTTCGATTCGCTGTGGAGAGCTCTTTCGCTCTGCCTTTATTGTACAGAGGTTGTTCTTCGAGATCCTACCAACCCTTGGTGCCACCATACCGATATTGTGCCATCTTTGTTGATTCTTCGTCTGATTCTATCTACAACTCATTGGAAATGTGTTATCTGTGCGGCACTCCCAAGTATAATCTTGCCCATTTGGGCATCACGGACCCGGAGCCTCCCTATACCATCAACATCTATGTTGACGAGGTCAAACAATTGCATCGCCGCGGCGTAAATAGTGTAAACAAGGATCAATATCCCAAGGAGGGGTTCAGAGTATATGGAGGCAGCAGCAGCAGGTCAGCTCTCGCGATTCTTGGTGCCCCTGACACGAGACGAAAACGCCACGCCCATCCTATGGCTGGGTGCCCATCAGCAAGAAAGAGGCCCACCAACCTCACTCGACGACAAACCGATCACAAATTGTATCGCATCCGTAACAGGCGACAAGCTGCTCTGGACATCCCCAACGATACTAGAAAAGACACAGTCTTGGAAGAGGATGTATCAGAGAGGCGGGTGCCTCTCTTCCGTCACGACGGTGACTTGTACCACGTAACCTCCCGAAATAACGGTAACGACTTCGATAACGATGAAAACGACAGCAGCAGCGACAATGTCGATGACAACGGCGACCACGAAGCTAACGATAAAGGCGTTTCTAAAAAGACGATCGCAATGGCGAACTACGAGATCGACGATGAAGATGAGAGTATGTGGCAGCAGAGCCTGCGCTGGCCCGCCCCCCCTAGACCTACTGGTGGCCTTTACGATGGGAAAGACCACGGGATTGCAAATAAAGAGCGCGTGAAGGCTACATATCTCCGTTCAGGAGTGCGTCAACCTCATCAGAGAGGACGACTTTACGAGGAGAGTCAGGCGATCATTCCCATTGCACCATTTTCTCGTGCGATTATAGCAAGACGATGAAAACGAAGACCACCGCGACGACGACGACGACGATGACGACGAAATTGTCCATTACCATACTAGTAACCTGGAACCTAGCGACTCGAGAGGATTAACGGCAATGACCATCGCTTTTCGACCACAGGGGGAGATATACGGTATTATCGGCGAAGATCGCTCGGAATTACATGCTTGTGCTTTTCTCTGTTCCCTTAGAATTTCGGCGCGAGTACACCCAACGCAACAGAAGGGAATAATAGCTTCAATCGAGCGATAAACATGCAGCCTTCTCATGGTATCATCTCTACTGTCGACTTTGAAAGAAATCGGGATGGGCCAGCATCGGGCATGCAATAGGCTTAGCCTATGTCGGTGGCCGGGGGGGGGGGGGAGAGGGCGCCCTTCATTGGGACACCCAGGTGCCTGTGGAGGTGCCTTGGGGCGCCTGCAAGCCCCTCCCAATGACGTCGGAAGAAATCAAGAGAAATGGGAAAAGGACCTTGTGGCATCGCGTGTTTACTTTCCCCGGTTGGCGCTGGTGGCGCCTGCTCGAAGGTCGTCAGAGCCCAAACCAAGGCAGTGACCCCGCAGTGACACAATGCAAGCAGCATCGAGCAATCAGCTGCTGGGTGTAGCAGAACATATGAAATAAATATCGGTGCCTGGTCTTGCACGCTCTTCTCACTTCCTCCCTGCTCTTCCACTTCCATATTTGTTTGTCCCTCCTGAGACCCTAGCGACTTCACATCCGTCCTCGTCCCGGCGCAATTGAGATCTCCAAAATGATCCAAACCCTCCTCTTACAGCTCTTCCTAGCTTGCCTCACCTTGGCAGCTCCCCTGCCCGACAACGGCGATGGTAGCTTACACGCCATGAACAAGGACATGATCGGCTATGGCACAGGCGGTGGCATTGTCGGGCTAATTGTTTTGGTTCTTGATGTCTTGGTCTTCAGTAGGTCGCCTCGACTCAATATTGCTACAAGTGGATTGGCTAACCGCGAAACCCAACAACAGTCGAGGTCTTGAAATCCAACCGACCACCTACTCACAAGCTCCTCTGGTGTCTGATTGTCTTCCTCTTCCCGATTCTGGGAATGCTCATCTACTTCCTCTTCTCCAACCGCGAAGCCCACAAGACTGGTGGCGCTTACGAGCCTTTGCCTTAAGAGCAGGTCTCAACGAGGCCACTCCTTCAGCTTGAGACACAACGGTCAACGGTAAACCGATGCTGCTCTATGAGGAGGATTGGGAAATTCTGATTGCAGGATCTCTGACTCAGGGAGGGTATCAGCAGAGGCTCGATGAGTTTCTGTGGTTTTGCGCGGCAGGGTAACGAGGTTGGACGATCATCGCAAAGAGTGTAGACAGAGGAGGGACGATCCTAGGGTTCCAAACCAGTGGGCTATGATACATGAGACGAGGACCATGAAGCTATAATGATAATGAAGGCCACTCTTTGATCATTCTCTGTCGGAGGTCTAGCCTACACATCAGCTACAACTTCTACGTGTTAAGAGTCTCACGTCAATGCAGTTTTTAGTTGTATGCTGGGTGTTTTGTACTTTGCATGCAAACATTGGGCACTAGTGCTTTAAATGATAGGAATGAGCATAATCCGATTCTCTTGGTCCCTTTCAAGTTGCACGAGCTGTGACGTGGAGATACATCTTCCGTTGAACGTGAATCTGGTGGCATTTGGTCTCCATGGTGTTGACCGGGTTGACAATACCAAAATCAAAGCGGCGGAAGAGCTGTGATAAGAGGAACGACAAACCCATCAGCCTCAAGATTCCCAGTGAAAACTCGCGGATTGAAGAGACCAGGCAGAGCCAATCGCCCGCGGGAATACTTACCTCGACAAACACCTTGTTCAACTCCATCAGGGCGATCCCCTTGCCGAGACAGGTGAACCTGCCCGCCGCGAACGACAGCTCCCAGACGCGCTCGTACGCCCTGGCCGTGTCCGGGTCGGCCTCGAGCCAGCGCTCGGGCCGGAAGACGGCGGCGTCGGCGCCAAACAGGTCCCTCCTGCGCATCATGGCGTGCTGGCTCAGCCCGACCTGCGTGCCGGGCGGGATGCGCACGCCGCCGACCACCACCTCCTCGTCGCGCGGCGACAGCTTGGTCTGCATCCCGTTCAGCGGCTGCCACAGCCGCAGCCCTTCCTTGATGCACGCCTGCAGGTACGGCAGGCTCTGGGTCGCCTCGGCGTGGGTGACCACGGGGAACGAGATTTGGCCGCCGCCGATGGCGCCGTCGATCTCGCCGCGCAGTTTCGCGTACACGGCCGGGTTGGTCAGGATGTACATGAACGTCATGCGGATGGTGGTGGCGGTTGAATCCTATTTCGCCCTCCCCCTCCGCCTCCCGCTCGAGGGGATGGGGTTTGTTGTTAGGATATCTGTGCATTTTTAAATTTCATAGAGGGGGGGGGGGGGGGGGGCAAGAATGGAGTTAAAGCTCGCTCGAAAGGGTAAGCCGGAGAAGCCGTACCGAGCCTGCGAGGATCTGCAGGAGAGACTCGGACTCTGCCTCCAGCTGGGTCAGGCCGTGTCTGATGAACGAGTTGAGCATGTCCCTCTCATTCTTGGCCTCCGAGTTCGGGTTGAACCGATCCGCGACGATCTTCTGCGCGATGCCGATGATGGCCCCGAGCCCTGCCTTGTCCTCCGGCTTGGGCCCCGCGAGGGCTTGCATCAGCGAGCTCGATAGGATCGAGTGGATGAGCGGCAGGTTCGTGCCCAGTTCCATGACCGGGAAAAACGCCGTGCTGGACTTGTTGTAGTCGTAGAGATCTTTGTTCTCGATCAGGAAGCCAAACGGATGGCCGAATGCTGGTTTTGTTCCGTCTCCAGTCAGTTCCTCGATCCCAAAACTTCGGGGAGATATCGATACTGAGGGATCTCACCGATATGTGTGAGGCTGTCGAGGGTGAAGTACTGCGCAAACACGGCAAAGTCGATCGGGGCGCGTTTCTCGACCCCTTCTCGCTGGATCAGATTGACCAGGTCGAGGACCCGGTCGTCGATCTTGTCTTCGAGGTTGGGCACTTCCTTTCCCGTATACTGGGTGAAGAACGGTCAGCTCATGACTTTCTGCCGGCAGTGCCCAAAGATGTACTCCCGGCATCATCTTCGCCCTCAGCTCTGCGTGGCGTCTCTCGTCCTGCTCGGACAGGAGGTTGTTGATCCGCGGGTCAATCTTCATGCCTTTATACCAATGACCTCTCCTGAACGGGGAGCGGGGAGCTGTTATGACCCGAACGAACTCGGGATCGCTAGGAGCAGTCAGAAAGAATGATCCATACGATGCTGGTGCCGAAGAAAGGCGTGGCGTACTCGGTCATTATCATGTTGGGGCCTATCCTCGCGGGAGATCCTGGTCTTGAGTTCAGCACCTGAGGGGAAGACGAAGTGTCCCTTGTTTCACGCCGTACCGTACTTCTGTAAAACCTCTTCCATGGTGAGATATAGGTCTCCTTTCGAGGTGACGTTGAAGATCCATAGCTGAGAGAAGCAAGCAAGCCAGGGCCCAGGAATGTGGCGAAGCTTGCGATAGGAGACGACTGTGCTGCAAACGAACCAGGCGACAGCAACTACCCCAAGTAATGCCAGGCCCAGTTGGGTCTGTCGAGCTTCAAGAACGGACAACATGATGGATGAAAGAGAAAGCTTGAGTGACACGGGCGCGTTGCTTCAAGCAACAGTCAGAATCACGAAGCTCCCATTGAGCAGCGTGCCATTTTCCTTCGGCTGAAACGCCTGTCTTTGTAACTCGCCTGAAGAGTGAGAGATCGTGCATGACAGAAGGACAGAAGGACAGCGTGGGGATGGAGAACAAGCCGAAGCAGGACGGAGGGATCGAGAGACCTCAGTGGCCCCCTCGATAGCCATGGGTGATGAGCCATTGGCATCGACCGTGGTGTTCGCCTATCCAAACCCTTGTCGAGAAACGGAGGTACATACGAGAACAACACGACACCCCTGCGCAGGGCCAATTTCGAAGGAAATCCCCCGCCTATCTGTGCGAGCACACAAGAGACAAGGGCGCAGCTGCATTATTCACGCATTAGGCCGATGCATCTCGAACAACCGTCGACACATGTCAAATGGATGTTTGTCTAGGGCTTAAAGCTGTCCACGTTGACTAGGGCCATCGACTCCCCGACGGCAGTCCTGCTCGTGCTGCGAAGCCATGTTTTTCTAGCGGCGCCCTTCTTTGCCTCTTTTGGCCCTGCGATTCCTGTGCAAGCGGCCGTGCGTCACTCTGTTTGGGCCTGTATGCGAACCGGGCGAACAGCCAAGGACACGCGGGCGGTCGCGGCAGCTGGGTTCCGACGCGGGCTGTGAGGAACTAGAGAATGGGTAAAAGAGCTGGATCGCTCGTCCAATTGGCGATCCGACCGTTTGTTCGCACTCCTGCATATTCCTTGACAGGTGGTGTGTTGTTGGAGGCAGAGAAAACGAGCCATGGAGGGGGAATTTCCCTTGTGTCGTTCTCTCGCCCTTCGATCGCCTTGTGTTCTGGCCATCCCTTCTCCGCTTCCCTTGAATGGCTGTTGAGGCGCTCTGCTGGTTCAGAATGTGAGGATCTGCTCCATTTCACCGGCACCCCCTCCCAAGCTCGGTGGTGCACAAAGCTCTCCTTGCTCCCAAAATGTCAGTCTCTGGCAGTGACAGTGCCTTGGAGGCAATCAGTGATCACATGGTAGGCAATGACCTTGGAGAATTCCTTGCCAAGGTTCGTTCGCGATTGACCGGGCCAGGATGACGGCACCCATCCGGCGCTGGACGAGACAGACTCCGGCTACTGGGACCAAGAATCTACGACGCAGTCGGTGACAGCAAGCATCTACGAGTATGAGAGGCTCTATAATCGAACCTACCACTCTTTCCACAGAGGCAAATACTTGATGCCGAATGACGAGCGGGAGCAGGACAGAATCGACATCACCTACCATGCCGCCCGTCTGTCGATGAGGGACAATTTGTTCTTTGCCCCCGTTCTCAACCCACGGGGGATTCTCGACATAGGAACTGGAACGGGCACATGGGCGCTGGAGGCCGCTGAAACACATCCCGAGGCAAACGTCGTTGGCACTGATCTGAGTCCGATCCAGCCGAACTACGTGACAACCAATTTGACCTTCGAGATTGCAGACGCCGACGAAGAGTGGGCATTCCCCCACAGATTCGATCTGGTTCACAGCAGAATCATGAATGACTTCACCTTGAGGAGTTGGCCTCATTTCTTCGAGCAGGCGTTTCAATACCTCAATCCCGGAGGCTGGGTGGAATGCCAGGAATTTGACTACAATCGTCGAAGCGACGACAACACTATCCCCGCAAACAGCCGGCTCAGCTTCTGGGAACGCGAATGGACGAGAGGGATGGAGATGATCGGTATGGGCGGATTCTGCAAACCCGAGCTCGTCATGGAGCAGATGCGGAACGCAGGCTTTGTCAATGTCACCTGCCGTAAGTTCAAAATCCCCATAGGTCCTTGGCCCAGGGATCCTCAACTCCGACAAGCTGGGATGTTCGGCCTCGTCAATATCCTCGACGGCATTCAGGGACTGAGTCTGAAGATATTTACGGAGCTTTTGGGGTACTCGCTCGACGAACTCGAGAACCTATTGGCAGACTGCCGTCGAGAGGCGAGAGACCGCGCTGTCCACAGCTACTGGCCGTTGTAAGTGACCTGGAACTTTGTCCTTTGGCTGTTTCTCCTGTCCACTGACAATATCCTAGATTTGTTATACTTGGGCAGAAACCTGTCGAGGCAGAAGCTCCCGCGTAGGCCCACGTTCTGGACGCTCAACTGTTCGGTGCTGCAACAGTGGACATCAGGATGTGCAGAGGGCAAAGGCGGGGCAACTGCGAGGCCACCCAAAAGTTCGTCATTGTATCGCATTCAGGCCGGTTGTGGCTAGTAGGGTCTGGTCGATATTGGAATCGCTCAGAGGTGGCTGGCTGGAAAATAGGTGGCAACAGTGTGGTTTCAAAATCGAGCTGGAATGGATGTTCTGCTTCTGGAGACCGAATGGCGTTGTGTGAGGCCGGCTGTGTAACCCAACGAGAGCATTCAAGCATGGTAGACTCATCTTCTGTACGGTGGTGGCTGCGGTGACATTGGTGACTGGCGGCAAGCATTGTCTTCATCTGGCACCTCACTGGTCAATGCTTAATTCATATTTGGTCTACCTGAACTTCTCGTCCTTTGCAGCTGGCAGCTCTCCCCCGGTGCCCTGCTAAAACAGACTCAAATGCAACTCTGCGTCATTGGTGGAGAATCCTTCAGAGGAACTCCCCCGTGTGCTTGACCGAAAACGATGGACGGGGGGAGGCAGCAAAGATGTCTTCGCTTTTGTTCGTCTCTCGCCAGGCCATGAGAAAGTTGACTTGCCTCCTACCAGCCAGGACTTCTCGTGTCCAGAGTGAGCTCGATTTGGTCGCATTGATGTGAGTGGGCGCCTCGACGGACTTTGACGCCTCGCTTCTCCGCCATGACATCTGCACTCCGGCTTGCTCTGACTGCGCTTGCGGCATTATGTACCTTGCCTGGCGCACAAGCCCAAGGTCAAGTATCAATAGCGACGAACGGAACGGGGCCATTGTCCCAATACAAATCTGTAAGACCTCCTGGTGTCTCACTCAGCTTCAACTAACGACAGAGGCAGAGACCCGACATTTACGCACCGTTCCTGAACATCTCTCTATTCGACGAAGATGCGGTAACCCCTGGATATATTTTCCTGGGCCCATACCAGACATTTCAAGAGGCTATCTACATCTACGACAACAGAGGGGTCAGTGCTGCATTCCACAAATCCAAGAGGGAGAAAAACTGATTTGTGCCAGAACTTGGTGTATTCGGGATATGGCGCGACAGGCGGTGGCCCTAGCCACAATTTCCACCTTTGCTCAATCAATGGGACAGACAACCTCTGCTACATCACCGGTGGTCAGAATGTCGGTTACGTTCGAGGCTACGCGGTAGTCCTGGACGACACTTTCACGGCCAAAACCTCGATCCATTCGCAAGCAGGGGTGGCCAATTTTGACGAGCATGAATTCAACGTCCTCCCCGACGGCTCCTCTCTTTTCACACTCTACAACCCCGAGCACTATGACCTGTCAGCTTACAACATCACGTCAGGGCAGGGCTGGATCATGAACAACTTCTTCCAACGTATCGAGATTGGGACCAGTCGATTGCTCTTTGAATGGTCTGCCTTGGACCACGTCCTGCCCAACGAAACATTCGTGCTGCCAGACACGACCGAGGTTTCGGGAGATGGGTTTGGACCGACGAGCCCCTGGGACTATTTCCATATCAACAGCGTCGATCAGAATGCAGACGGGGACTACTTGGTCTCTTCACGCCACACTTGTACCGTCTACAAGGTGTCCGGACAAGATGGCCACATCATTTGGCGACTAGGCGGTATAGCCTCCGACTTCAGCTTCCCCGCGGGCCTCAATTTCAGTTTTCAGCATGATGCGAGATTCCGCGAAGAGAACGAGACCACCACCATAATCTCGTTGTTCGACAATGCGTCGAACGGTTACAACCAGACCTCCCGCTACTCTTCCGGTCTGGTTTTGAAGCTCGATCATACCACGAACTCGGTCACGCTTCTCAAAAGGTTCATTGCGCCATATCAATTCCTCTCCCAATCGCAAGGTAATGTGCAGGTCCTTGGCAGTGATCAAGATTGGTCGACTTCCAACGTTTTCATGGGATGGGGTAAGAATGCTTATATCTCCGAGTACGCGCCTGACGGGCGCATGGTCCAGCAAGGACACTTCGCGACAGAAGGGTCAATGCACTATCGCGCTTTCAAGTACAACTTTACCTCCAATCCCACCGATGCGCCAGCTCTGTACACATATGCACACAATACCAGTGCGCCGACATCGTACTGGATGAGCTGGAATGGCGCCACGAAGGTCGCGCAGTGGCGCATTTACTCGAGTACCTCGCGCAACGGGCCTTGGAATGTTGTCGGCACTGTCCATAAAAGTGGATTTGAAACCATGTTCACTGCGCCCAAATACCATCCTTGGAGTTTGGTCGAAAGCCTTGATGTGAACGGCAACCCATTAAGGAACAGCACGAGGCCGATCAAGACATTCGTCCCCAGCGCACAACTCGCAGCAAAGTGCAATGGCTCAGGATGCCCAACGGCTAGCACTTATAGTAATGGATCGCGCAGCTCAAGCCCGTCGGGCTCTTCGCCGACCAGTTCCAGCGCGGGTGCCTCGACACAAAAACGAAGTGGTGTGGATGGCAAGCTGGGCTTTGCCGCCATGTTTGGCTTCGGGGCATTGATGGTGTAGACCTTCTTCCGTATCGAGTATTCATAGAACCGATCGCTACTCGGTAGAGCTCCTAGATCAAAGTATCTGTATCCAACCAACTTGGATGAAAACTATCACGCAAACAAAATGCCACATGATGAGGCGCGATACGGGCTTTTCCCTTTTGACGCAAATTCGCACAATAGACCCATTTCAGTATCTTGAGCGATACGAGCCCAAGGGCTGGTAGAAACAGACTGGTGACCAGGCCCTGTCGGATTGGATGCGATCCTCGCGCGTCGCCGAGATGTGGGACGCTTGCGACCTGGTTTCGGCCGTTAAAGTGGTGGCGCGGGCCCGAGGGCGACGATTTGGCCACTGCACACACCACTTGGTCTCGGGCGGTACCTTGTGAGCTGCCGCAGCTGGGAAGGGTGACATACACAACATGCATGGGCCCGAACTTTGTATTCCCAGGGCTAGGAACTAACAATTTTCGCTTCGTCATGAGGCTGTCGGGCCCAATGGCCTGTAGTATGCACCACGTTGCTTTTCATCTCTGGTGTCATGCATTGAGCAGTGAAACAACAGTAAGTCTCAACTATAAGATGTAGGAGAGGCCAGGCAGCAGTGACAAACCTTTCCGGCACAACACCGTCTACGCGACTGGTAAGAGCAGGAAGAATACCTGGGCTCGTTCAGACGGAACACATCAAGCTTCTTTACATCGATATCATTCCATTAGCATTTTGGTTAAGCGCCCATACCGACGCAGAACAACACCATCTGTCATATCAAGCCCGGTCAAGGAATCTGCACACCGATGCCATTCAGTCTCGCCATCATTGGTGCAGGCCCCGCGGGCCTCACGCTTGCCCGCCTCCTCCAGGTTGCCTCTGTCGACATCTCCATCACCATATTCGAAAAGGACGCCAGTCCCACGTCTCGATTCTTCCAGGGCGGCTCACTCGACTTACACACAGACACGGGGCTCGCTGCTCTCAAAAAAGCCGGGCTATGGGAAGAAGCGCTCAAACACCTCCGTTATGAAGGTGAGGAACTCTTCATCGCCGACAAGAACGACACGGTCATCATCCACCTCAAGGATCAGCCCAAACTCAAAAGCAGAGAGTCGCATTTGGACTATGAGAGACCGGAGATAGATCGAGAGGTCCTGAAGGATATGCTACTAGAGAGTGTTGGCGGGGAGTGCGTGAAGTGGGGAAAGACACTGCAGTCGATTGAACCTGAGGCCGGTATCCTGACCTTTCGCGACGGGACGAGCGCCGGGCCATTTGATTTGGTTGTCGGCGCAGATGGAGCGTGGTCGAAGGTACGACACGTCTTGACAGACGTGAGGCCGCACTATGCGGGTATCTGTGGCTTTGAAAGCCGCATCTCGCAGCCAAATGAGCAACACCCGAAGCTGTCGAAGATGGTTGGCAACGGCAGTTACTTTTCATACTCCGACGGAAAGTCTCTAACAGCGCAGAGGATGGGCGATAAGTCAATCAAGATCGGCACCTGGGTAAAAAAGGAAGACGACGAGAACTGGGCAACGGATATGCTGGCTGCTTATGGTGACAACGAGGAGAAATTGAAGGACAAGATTCTGGAAAACTACCAAGACTGGACACGCCAACAGAAGGAACTGCTCCGTGTTAGCACCACATTCCGTGCTTCGCCGCTCTACGAGTTGCCCGTTGGACATACCTGGGAACACAAGAAGGGGTATACCCTGATTGGAGACGCTGCAAGCCTGATGACGCCGTTTGCTGGCGAAGGGGTGAACAAGGCGATGAAAGATTCGCTGGAGCTGGCTGAAGCCCTCGAGAAAGCCTTGAAGGAGCAGAGCAACGTGGATGAAGCAGTACGCCAGTACGAAGAGAACATGTTCCCGCGGGCAAAGAGAATTCAAAGAAAGACGATGACGAACAAGCAGGGCATGTTCAGCACGGAAGGACCTGTGAAGTTTCTGGTCGGCATGATTGATGGGGCTGCTGAGGAAATGGGCAAGGATCTCACCAAGGGATGGTTAGCTTGGGTCCCGTTCAAGACGATAATGTACACCTATGTGGTATCTGTACAGACTTTTGGAGCTTGGAAAAGGAGGGCGGGAGATTGGTTTCGGAGGGAATGAGGATGGAACGACACAACATATATGGTCCGCCTCGCAGGTCAAGGACAGCGTCTTTTCGCCACTACAGATACCCAGCTCGGTTAATTTCAGGATGTATATAGCTTTCGAAAGACCTTAGACTATACTTAGATGATGGTCATGTGGAGTATGGTGTATGTGCTCACTACTTGATAGCCGTGATAGCATCCGGATTGCGTATTCCGGTCGTCTGCCCCGCCGTACCAGAGAGCCAGTAATACTCGTGATGTGATTGGTGGGCACCATGCTGTCGTCAATGAAAGCTGCAACCCGCGAAACTTCAAGAGCTTCTTGCCAACGCCACCACATTCATCTCAACCACATTGCCTTTCGAGTTTTAGAGCTGGGACCTGCTCGACGGGTCGTGACAGAATGCGGTCTCAGCTTCTCCGCGCCGCGGGGCGCTCAAGACCTTCGCTGACCTCAACCACGAGACAAGCGACGACCAGGACGTTCACCTCCTCGGCCAGACGAAACGCCGAAGTCGAACTCACCATCGACGGCAAGAAAGTGTCGATAGAGGCTGGCTCGGCCTTGATCCAAGCTTGTGAAAAGGCGGGCGTGACAATTCCGCGATATTGCTACCATGAGTACGTCCTCGTTGGCTCGGTACAGCACACTACGGCTGTTTTGTGTTAACTCTTGATGACTAGAAAACTGCTCATTGCCGGAAACTGTCGTATGTGCCTGGTCGAAGTCGAACGAGTCCCTAAACCTGTTGCATCCTGCGCATGGCCTGTCCAACCGGGCATGGTTGTCAAGACCGATTCACCAATGACCCACAAAGCAAGAGAAGGTATCATGGAGTTCCTGCTGGCCAACCACCCTCTAGATTGCCCTATCTGCGACCAGGGTGGCCAATGCGATTTACAAGATCAGTCGATGAGATACGGTGCCGATCGGGGCCGTTTCCACGAGGTTACCGGCAAGCGTGCAGTCGAGGACAAGAACATTGGACCTTTGATCAAGACTTCGATGAACAGATGCATCCACTGCACGAGGTGTATTCGGTTTGCCAATGAGATTGCCGGTGCACCGGAGCTGGGATCTACCGGGAGAGGAAATAGCCTGGAAATCGGCACGTATCTGGAAAGGAATCTTGACTCGGAACTCTCGGCCAACGTGGCTGACCTGTGTCCCGTTGGTGCTCTCCTCCCCAAGCCGGGGGCTTTCAGCTATCGACCTTGGGAACTTACCAAATTTGAGTCGATTGACGTTCTGAATGCCCTGGGCTCAAACATCCGAGTGGACGCCAGAGGTTTGGAAGTCAAGAGAATCCTGCCCAGACTGAACGACGATGTCAACGAAGAGTGGATCGATGACAAGACACGCTTTGCTCTTGATGGCCTGAAGACGCAGAGATTGACGACCCCGCTGATTCGAAGGGATGATAAATTCCTTCCAGCCACATGGGAGCAAGCTCTAACGGAGATCGGCAACGCATATATGCGGATTAAGCCTGGCGAAAACGAATTCAAAGCCATCGCTGGCCACTTGATTGAGACAGAATCTTTGGTCGCGATGAAAGATCTGGCAAATAAACTGAACTCGGAGAACCTTGCTCTTGACCAGCCAGGAGGCGGCTCACCAATTGCCCACGGTGTCGACATCCGAGGAAACTACCTCTTCAATTCCAAGATCTGGGGTATTGAAGAAGCCACCAGCATGCTGATCATCGGAAGCAATCCTCGTTGGGAGGCGGCTGTGCTTAACGCCCGCATTCGCAAACAATGGCTGCGTTCACCACTAGATATCGGATACATTGGTGAACCCTTCGAGAGCACATTCGAATTCGAGCATTTGGGCACCGACGCTGCAGCGGTCAAGAAGGTTCTTTCCGGTGACTTTGGAAAGAAATTGGCCGAAGCTAAGAGACCTATGATCATAGTAGGCAGCGCCGTCGCCGAGCACCCGGATGCAGCAGCGATTTTCGAGGCAGTGGGTTCCTTCGTAGACAAGCACCAAGCCAACTTTAACACCCCCTCATGGCAAGGCTACAATGTCCTCCAGCGAGCGGCTTCAAGAGCAGGAGCTTATGAGGTCGGCTTTACCGTTCCATCTCAGAAAGTTGCAGAGACAAAGCCCAAGATGGTCTGGTTGTTGGGCGCAGACGAGATCTCCGAGGATGACATTCCTAAGGACGCCTTTGTGGTTTACCAGGGTCACCACGGCGAGACTGGTGCACAGCTGGCGGACGTCATTCTTCCTGGTTGTGCATACACCGAGAAATCCGGCACTTATGTCAACACTGAGGGCCGTGTACAAATCACCCGCTCTGCAGTTACTATTCCTGGAGCGGCACGGACGGACTGGAAGATCATTCGAGCAGCTTCCGAATTCCTGGGCGCCCCGTTACCCTATGACGATTTGGAGGTGCTGAGAGATCGTCTTGAAGAGATTTCGCCGGCGCTCAGAAGATACGATACTCTCGAGCCACAGACTTTGACAGGCTTAAGTAAGGTGCAACTTGTGGATGCGAACAAGGGTTCAAAAGCCACGGGACAAAAGCTGGAGTTGCCCATCAAAGATTTCTACCAGACTGATGTGATATCGAGAAGGTATGTCACATCACGCTCATCCACACCCCTATCTCTATCTTATTTACGTCTGAAGATACTAACGATGTTCTAGCTCGCCGACAATGGCTCGCTGCAGTGCGGCAAAGGAGACTGGTAACCCTGAGACCAATTTCATGGCCCCAGGTGAGCCACACGCGCAGATTTCGTACGGTTAAACATAAACTTGATACACGGCCCCTGATATTACCTTTGGAGGGAAAGTCCATGGTGACTACCTGGGCATTTTGAGAAGTGGTTTGGCGACAAGATCGACGAGCGATGCCAGGAAGACGAATGTGGGCGAACTACATGGCAGAGGAGAGAAAGACAGTCTGTGAGTGGCTCCGACGACGAAGACAGATTTCGCACAGAAAGCTGGCTTCAAAAGGAGCTTGAAAATCCTTCGCGAGCAGACATGAAGCCAGAGGTTGATTCTACTAACAACCTGACTTCACGATATGGCTTCTGTTCAAGGACTGTATAGGCATTGAAAATGGCGTTGTTGATTCTGACCAAGAATCATTCGATATGTACATATCAGAAGGAGATTAAATCAATACTAAGATTTCTCGAGCAACCGCCTTTGAGCGTGGAAGAGCGAACAGTCTCCTCGCAGAAGTCATTTCATAATCTGAGCCGCGCAACAATGTGCTTAGGGTTGTTCGCGGAGACCTTCTTTACCGAGCGAATTCATGTGCCGCAGGACCAAAAGGGATCATTCCACGACCACATCCTTGCTCGTGTCCAATTCCTCAAACCTTCTCAAATCCATTTCCCCTTCTAGGAGCGGCTTGACATACGGGTCAAAGGTCTTCCAGTAGGGGTTTTCCAAGTGATACTTCTGGCTGCTTTCCTTTTCGTACCTCTCGACAATGGTGAAATCTCGCTCGTCGTGGACAGACTGCATGACGAACCATGACAGAGTTTCCTTGTCTTTGGAGTATACCCGGGAAGCTTCGATGAGCTTGTTCTTGAGCTTTTGGATTATGGCTGGGTCGGAGGATTTAGCACGAAGGTGGACGGTGATCGTGTAGACCATTTTTTGCCAGCGAAGCTCAAGGAGGAAGCCTAGATATTGTGTACAAGGTCTTTGAGGTAGTAGCAGCGCAGATACTCAAAGACAGAGGAGAATCTCTATGGAGGGAGCTTTTTCATACCTCGACGTCGTCAATACTTTCCTCATTTCAACCAACCCCGCGCCTGACTGATTGCCTGATTGAGAGTGCATGAAGTCAGGGCAGGGTGGATGGGATAGGCGGGCAAGGATCTGTGTGGCTTCACTCCAAACACTTTCCCTCGCATCAACTTGCCTCTTGAGTGGCTCTGAGATGCTCGTACGTGTCTATCGAGGCAATGTTGAATCCCTGGCTTCGCTTTGATAGAGTTTGAGCGGCTTCGCCAGCCGGAAGCAACAGAAAGGAAGGTGGTCGTATGGACGACGCACGTGGGAAGCGAAGATGCGGATCTCGACCTATCAAGCAAAAAGTGTCGCCTATGACGCTCGCGCATGCAACTTTCTCACGTACTTTCTCTCGACTTCTCCGCCCTGGCGATTTTCCCATGGCTCCCTCCCCACACCATCGATGCTCATTCCCAAGTCAATTGTCGAGTCGCTCGAACGTTGTAGTAGATGACTACGGCTAGGTGGCAGGATGCGCTGTTGCAAGGCCTGAAATCGCGCCATGAAGTTCGCAAAGTACGTCCCTGGCCTGTACCGCAAGCACTCTTTCCTTAACCCGGAAAACTAACCGTGGGCAGGGAATTGGAGGAAGAAGCTGTGCCGGAATGGAAAGCCAAATACTTGAATTACAAGGCAGGTTGCTCTCGGCGCGGACACGTACGTTCGCTCAATGCTGACTGCTTGCAGCTGGGAAAGAAGAAGATCAAAGCCATCTCGAAGGCACTCAAGAACCTGCAGAAAACTCCCGGCACTGAACCTCGTTCTGCCACTCTTGACGCTTTCTCCGACCAACGCACCCCGTTCACGCACTATGACTTCAACCTTCACCGGCCTCCCACTGCAAGGTCGACCCAATCATTGCCGGAGATAGAAGAGGTCGCCCCAGACGAAGATGAAGAGCCGGGATACAGACCCCCGATACCTCAGCGCGAAAGCCATACCCTGTTCGCAGCGTCTCCGCCCATATACATTCCCGGGGCCCACGAGGAGAATGCAGAGACACCGCCAGAGAGTACGCCGCTCTATCCTGGTCAGTCGACGCGGGTGATGAACTATGGCTCCATTGTAGGCACACCTCCAGATGAGACACCAGGCATGATGGCTGCTCTTGAACTCCCAGACCCCGCATTGACGCCTGCGCGGTCGCGTCCGGCTGCAGAGATGGAACCGAAATCCCAGAACACGACCCTGCGACTTCCTCCGCCAGCCCAAGTGCCACCTGCGCCGGACCCGTATCATGTTGGTCAGACACATCACCCGCCCCTCGCTAGACACAGCTTTGCGGGAAGCCTGGCAAAGGCCATGTTCAAAGGCCGACAGGCCGTTAAAAGTCAGTCCATCCCCGGACCACCGTCTAGGATGAACTCCCTGTCGGCGTCGCAAAGATTCCGCAAGATGTTCGCTCCTCGCGATCTAACCGAGGCCACCGTGAACGACATGCAGCTCTCGGCGTATCAAGAGCTCGATGAGAAGCAGGCCGACTTCTTCACATTCTTGGACAAGGAACTGATGAAGATCGAGGAGTTCTACAAGACAAAGGAAGACGAGGCCACCGAACGTCTACAGGTGCTTCGGGCGCAACTCCACGAGATGAGAGATAGAAGGATAGCGGAAATCTTGACCGCGAAGCGTTTACCGGGTGGCGCCCAACAGCCGCATCTAGACGATATACGACAGAAATCTGCCGGTGCTCTCAAGGAGAATGTCAAGCCCAATGGAAGTGGCAGCCACCTACTTCCGAAACCAATAGGAGATGTCATGGGACGCCGCTCTACAATTGGTAAAACCAGTCAAGCCATGGCACAAATGAGTTCCCCTCCCGGGCCCCAAGCACAAAAGAGGATCAACGAGGCAAAGAAAGATTACGTGCGCCGCGACCACGGTAGCGAAATCAAGTATCCGGTCGCGAAGAAAAGGCTGAAGCTCGCGTTGCAGGAATTCTACCGTGGACTGGAATTGCTCAAATCTTATGCCCTCTTGAACAAAACGGGCTTCCGTAAGATCAACAAAAAGTACGACAAGGCGGTCCAAGCAAGGCCTCCTCTGCGATATATGACCGAAAAGGTCAACAACGCCTATTTCGTCACGAGCGACGTCGTTGACAATCACCTGATCGCTATCGAAGATCTATACGCTCGGTACTTTGAGCGCGGGAACCACAAGGTCGCCGTTAAGAAACTGCGATCCAAGGTCGGCACGGGAGATCAATCGGCAGTGGCTTTCCGCAATGGCCTTTATGTGGCAGCCGGCTGCTGTTTTGGAGTGGCCGGTCTTGTCGACGCCGCGTTTCGACTGAATGTTCCGAGGATGAAGGTGCAGACGAGTTACCTCCTGCAGTTGTATGCTGGATACTTTCTCATTGTTATTCTATTCTTGATGTTTGTTCTGGACTGCAGGATGTGGAACAAAAACCACATCAACTACGTCTTCATTTTCGAGTACGACACCAGACACGTGCTGGACTGGCGACAACTGGCGGAATTGCCCTGCTTTTTCCTCTTCCTGAATGGTCTATTCATCTACCTCAACTTCCGGCAGAACTCTTATGACTGGTTCTACATCTATTGGCCGCTGATCCTAGTCATCCTGACCGTGGTCATCATCTTCTTACCCTTTCCCATTTTATATCCACACGCAAGGAAATGGTGGGCCGTCACAAACCTGAGGCTTGCCTGCGCACCATTCTACCCAGTCGAGTTCCGAGACTTCTACCTGGGCGATATGTACTGTTCACAAACCTACGCCATGGGGCAGATAGAACTCTTTTTCTGTCTCTACGTCAACGATTGGAACAACCCTCCACAATGCAACTCCAATCACTCACGCTTACTGGGTTTCTTCGCCGCTCTTCCTGCGGTTTGGCGAGCACTGCAATGTCTGCGTCGTTACTATGACTCCCGGAACTGGTTCCCTCATCTCGCCAATTGTCTCAAATACTGCGGCAACATCGCTTATTACGCTACGCTGTCCATCTACCGGATCGACATGACTCACACAAATTGGGCCATCTTTGTCACATTCGCGCTCGTGAATGGAGTATATTGCTCCTTCTGGGATGTGTTCATGGACTGGAGCTTGGGCGATTTTTTCGTTCAGAAGTACCCTTTTCTCCGGGAGCGGCTCGCCTACAAGCAAGTCTGGATCTATTACTGTGCGATAGTGGCAGATGTATTGCTTCGACAGCAGTGGGTGTTTTATGCGATCTTTACATCCGACGTACAGCATTCCGCGTTTATGTCCTTCTTCGTCAGTCTGGCCGAGGTCATCCGAAGGGGTATGTGGTCCCTTTTCCGGGTCGAAAACGAACATTGCAACAATGTCGGGAAATTCCGTGCTTCCCGAGATATTCCTTTACCCTACGACATACCGGACTCACGTATGGTGTCTCCTGTTCAGAAGCGCCAGACGCCAACCACTCCACCTCCCACAGAACCCGAAGAACATGTTGCCACTGGCGTGGACCTAGAGAGCCTACCCTCGCTAGATGCGTCGCTTCGTCAACGACGCCCTCCTGCCACGCCGCGGACCCCCGCCATGCGGGCCCTGCAACGTGTGGGAACCATCATTGGAACTGCCCACGCGCAAGACTTCGAGAGACGCAGAAAGCCGCCGGAAGATGAGAACGTTGGACCTGACGATGAGGGAGATGGAGGTCGCAGCAGCGATGAAGACGACGAGGCGGAGGCAAGCGGAGGAGAAGAGGAGATGGCGGAATTGGAGAGACAAAGGGCGCAACAGACCACGGAACTTGCGGAGGCGAATCGTTTCGTGGGCGATGGGCTGAGGCGTGCTCGATAGAATCGACGGTACTCTACTGTTTACAGCACGGGGGTCAAATGGGAATTTGTGGTTGGACAGGTACAAGGTGATGGATCGCGATGTAAACTGAGATACGAGTCGTCAGATTCGGTGCTTGAGATGGCTCAATGGCTTAAAAAGAGGAAGAGTCTTGGGAAAGGGATTGATATAAGGCATAGCTGCTACGTGAAGCCGAATCCAACCGGTTGACAGGCTCTCATTTCGACCTCAGCCTTGATCTAGTGACTGTGCCTGGTGATTTTCAATCTCTACCATCATGTGCCCGTAGACTCCTCTTCATGTCAATCTTGGGGGGTAATAGGGACCGTGGCTGTCGCGCGAGGCTGATCCGCTTACATAACGCCAACTCCTTTTCGCTCTGCTCACATCCCGTCGATTGCGTGCTTCAATCATTCCACCCGGCGTATGATTTTGCATGCATCCATCACCCTCCCCTCCTTGCATGTCGTGGCTATGACACTGATAAAGTCACCTTCAAAGTCGAGAATCGCTCCCCTTCTCTCTTGATCAACGGTAGGATCCGCGGTGGGAAAAGACATACCCTCTTCAGTCTTCCCATATCCGATATTGACATATCGTGAACACAATCTTGACGGCAGTTTCGCCAGCGATGTCCATCCCAACTATTGATCTCCGCATGGCCGACGACGGCGACCCGACGACACGGGCTCAGCTCCTCCACGACCTCCGCCACGCGCTGTTCGAAGTCGGCTTCCTGTACCTCTCCAACCACGGCATCCGGGAGTCCACTGTCCAGGACCTGGTGGAGGCGCTGCCCCGTCTCTTCGCCCTCCCGGACCACGTCAAGGAGTCCGTCGCCCTCGTCAACTCGCCGCATTTCCTGGGCTACAGCAAATTCGGGTCCGAGATCACGGCGCGCGTCCGGGACCAGCGCGAGCAGTTCGAGTTCGCCAACGAGTTGCCCGACAGGTATGGTCTGGCTGTTTCCCAGCTGGGGGCGAGTGTGTCATCATCATCATCACCACCACCCCCGGCCTTGCCGCTGTATACTCGACTCCAGGGCCCGAATCAGTGGTTCGGTCAATCGGAGGAGGCCGCGGTGCCCCGGTTCCGCGAGATCGTCGAGGCGTACGTGGCGGCGCTGCAGGATCTCGCGATGCGGTTCCTCGAGCTGGTCACCGAGGCTCTCGACCTGCCTGCGCACAGCCTCGAGCGGTTCACGGGGCCGCAAGACCGGATCAAACTCGTGCACTACCGACCAAGTCCTACTACGCCGTCGTCCTCTTCCCCGGCAGACCCTCCCTCTTCTACACAGGGCGTGGGCCCCCACAAGGACAGTTCCGGATGGATGACGTTCCTGCTGCAGGCGTCGGACCCGTCGATCCCGGGCCTGCAGGTGCTGTCCAAGGACGGGCTGTGGCTGGACGCACCGCCCGTGCCCGGCACGCTGGTGGTGAACATGGGCCAGGCCTTCGAGGCGGCCACCAACGGCATCTGCAAGGCCACCACGCACCGCGTGCTGCTCCCGCCGGGCGACTACGACCGCTACAGCGTGCCCTTCTTCCAGGGCGTGCGGCCCGACCTGACCAAGCCGGACCTCCGGTCTCTCTGGGACCACTTCGCCGCCGCCGAGAGGTGGACGACCGGTCGAGAGTCAGCGGAGGGCCGGGGCATCGACAGCCCCTTCCTCAGAGGCCGGTATGATACCTGGGGCGAGGCGCAGCTCAGGACCAAGATACGGAGTCACAGGGATGTAGGCGCGAGGTGGTACACGGATGTGTTTGACAAGTACGTCAATGATGATTGAACGTTAAGTTTAGTCATTGGGACCGAAAGTGACCTGAAACTCGAAGTGATGGCATTTATTGCGGTGGAGCTGCGTGAGTGGCGAGCTATCTTGTTTGTCTGATTCTTTAGCGTCCTCTTCCAAACCTGGTTGGATCAATCAAGGGAGATGAGGACGAAATCTATCATGACAAGGTGGGAGGACGAGTGAGCCTGATCTTCCACTTCTCCACTTCTCGCCCTTCCATCCTCTTTCCCGTTCATCCCTCTAGTCTAGCTAGAAGACACCCAGCTGGCCCCGTAACCACGTCTCTGGGTTTTGGTCCATCTGCTCACGCGACCAGCGTCCTGAGCTCCTCTTTCAGGTCCTCCAGGGTCTTCTGATAGCCGGACCCGGGTTCGATCAAGCGTTCGAAGTCGGCGTTGTAGCGGTTGTGCTCTTCGAAGATGCCGTAGGTTCCTAGCATATTGTACGCTTTACCGGCGGCGTAAGTTACAAGTGCCCTAAATGTTTTGCGAGAAGCCAGAGGAGAGAGAAAATGGGGGGGTTGAATCAAGGAGAAAAGCAAGGGAAAAGAAAAGTTCAGCTAGGAATGAAGGTGTTCGAAACGTTGGACGATCCATTTTCGTCGCCGCTTGCTCGGGCAGGTTGCGTGGAGGGTCACACTCACCAGGAGTCAACAGGCGCACTTCGACCCCTTCCTTCGAATCCTCATCCCACATCCTCTTCGCGGTGGCCAGGAACTCGTCCAGGTCGACCCTTTGGATCTCCCAGCCCGGCTTGACCTCCTCGAGGATCGGGATCAGCTGGTTCATGCTCACGGTGTGGTCGGCGACGTAGACGGGCCGGTTGGCGTACTTGTCGGGCTGGCGGAACACGTCGCAGACGGCCTGTGCGGCGGTGGAGACGCGGCACATACTGTTGCGCTGGTCGCCGCTGCCGTAGACCACGAGGGTGTTTGTGCGCGGGTTGATCCAGTAGTAACCCAGCGGGATGGCTGTGGAAAGCCAGACGAGGCGGGAAAAACAGTGTCAGTTCTCTCAGCACGCAACAGAAACGGATTTCATCCCCAACCCTTTCTCTTCTCCTCCTTGGACAGAGAGAGATCACAGCTGAAGGGGAAAAAAGGGGCGTGGCAATACTCACCCCAGTCATACCAACCTCCCGTGATAATGGCGCTCCAGTTCACCTTTGTGCCCTTCAGTTTCTCCTCCAGCACCTTCTGCGCCTCCACCTTGGGCACATACAGCGGCAGCTCGCTGATGTGCTCATTGAACGTGTCGCCCGCAAAATCCGGCGTGATGATGTGCTTGACCGTGCCCGCGGCGACGCAGGCTTCCACGATGGTGGACTGCAGGTGCAGGGCGTTGGGGGGAATGGCTTCCACCACGGCATCCTGGCCCGTGAAGAGTGCCGTGAGGGCTGAGAGGGAGCTGTAGTCTTCGATGACGGCGGAGATGATGTTCGTCTCGTCGGGGAACTTCTTCCCCGGGGTGCGCGAGGCCGCCGTCACGGTGAACCCGGCTTCAGCGAGTGCGGTGCTGATGGGCTTCCCGACGTTGCCTGTCGCCTAGATGGGTGTGGACCGTGTTAGTCACGATGGAGATTCTCTCGTGTCTTTTTCTCTCTCGAAGCAGGGTGGTTTCGTACCCCGAGGACAACGACCTTCTTGATAGGATCGGACATGTTCTCTCAGACCAGTATCACCGATGGAGGATGTCCACCCTCAAGCTGATGGTATAGAATCGCGTGCAGAGATTGTTACTTCCTGGCTCTAGAGCTGGCACTGGCACCACCCTTTGACACATGTCGATCGAGGAACGGGTCCTTTTATCAACGCCGCAATATATAGGCCTCTCCTTGGGGCAGTCTCCATCCTTTCTGCACGAGAAGAAGTAGCGTTTGTTGACGTGTCCAGCTCCTCCTCATTGGCAGCAGCCCTAGGGCGGAAAATGGAGACTTACCGGTCATCGCTATCGCGGATTCGATGTTAGCGTTTCATGACATGATGGCGACAGCGCCGCGCATTTTGTCCATGAGGAAGGCGCTAGATCGCGGTCGAACAGTAATGGTCTTAGTGTTGAGATATGCGAGGCCCGGTTAGAAATAGAGGTGAGATGTACGTGCGCAGAAGGCGAGGGAGCGAAGACAGAACTCAGCGACTTCTCTTGCTTGATGCCGAATCGGGTTTGTGCAGCTGCATATTCAACCCCGGTTTATGTCAGCATTGACCGGGCATGCATTGATTGTCGACTAGAGCGGATTATCGCTTGAACTCCTTCGTGTCAAGGACGAACTTTCGAGGACTGGGATCCCTGCAAGCCGCTGACCAAGCTGGGACTCTTGTGTAGAGATGTACAGGGTACATATAGGTGGAAAACAGGAGCACGGGCTGGCAATCTCGCCCAAAGTGGTCCCGCGAGAAGGCTGTGCCGGGAAAGGGGCTGGACGAAACATCGGACGAGGGAGAGAGAGAGAAGCAATAGATATCCTCATGGCATTTGGTAATCGTGCTCATATCCAGTCCTATCTTCTTCGTGTCATGCATGGAGATCTCTTCAGAGGAGGACACATCATCATATCATGTCCATGCCAAAACGACCACGGCTCTCATATCTCGACTGTCCCAAGTCTGGTTGGCAACCCCCTTTTCCAAATGCAACGGATAGATAAACTCGATCAAAATCTTTCCCCTTTGAGTCGGACCATGCATGCATGACCATTCCCACCCTCAAGAAGGCTGCTGGTTGTCCTGTCTCCGTGGTGGCATAGTCTGTCTGTCGTTTGCTAGCAAGCCCGATCACGCCGCCCTTTCTTCATATCTTGCATCATCAATGCTCGCAACCCGTCGTCCATAGGTAGACGGGCGATCCCAACCTTCTTCGGAATCCAACCAAGCAAATCTCCCCCTTCCTCTTGCTTTCCTGCCTTGCGACACCCCGCTGGGGATCTGGAACGGTGGTCGCGGTCAGATCTTCCCGGCAATTCCACGTGAGAGAAGCGCATGGCCCTGCGTCCTCGTGGTTCGGCGCGATCATGAGGGCGGCGATGGGCATGATTTGCAGCGGAGACGAACCCTCCGGCTACCATCGTGTCCTCGCCCGCAAACGGTGCCCCTTTGACATGTTTCGGTCGATAGATCTTGAGGGACTCGGCAGTTTCCGTGCTTGAGAATTTGGATGCCACGGCGCGAAAATTGACTGGGATGAATGTGCTCGATTCCACAAAGACCTGTCTGGCGCCGTGCAGTTCCTCCGTCAGCGTCGCTTCGAGGGGAGGCAGATGCACGTTCGGGCCCTTGACGTTCGCCGCCTCGATGCCAGCATTTCCTTCCTCCGTCCATTCCTGGCTCGCGGTGCCGGCTTGAACCACCTCTTGGATCCCGCAAACCACCTCCGTCAAGGCCTTCAACTCGGTCTTGACTTGCTGCGCAGTCTCGATCAACGTGGTCGCGTTCTCCAAGATGCCCTTGTGTCTATATCCGACTTGATTCTTCTGGCCATCGACAAGCGCATCTCCCTCACAACTGTGCTTCGACCTCTTCTCCCACGCCGCCTTTCTCAGACCGGCAATTCGACTCTCGATGTCGTAGACCTTGAAGTCGAGGATCTTGGCGGCAAAGTGAATGTCGCTGCTGAGACGCTGGACGATTTCGGATTGAGCTTGTAAGAAGTCCGCCTCGAGGAGAAGGAGGTCTGGGCGAGACATAGCTGGTGCCATGGTGAGATGTGCATGCAAAGCGACGAGAAAATCAAAAGGGAGAATGAGGAGATGAACAAGGGAAACGGAAAAGGGCAAAGGCGATCTCAAAGACGTCAAATAACAGAAAAGAGAACTTGCATGAAGAAGGAAATGATTCAAGAGTGAGAGAAGTTTGGATTCGGTCTTTCTCGCAAGCCAACACATAAGTGACATTCTCTCCAAATATTCACTTCCGTTCAGTCCGAGTGAAGACAGCGGCGACACATCTCTCATCTTCTGAGCAGCCCCTTCTGCCCTGGTTGAATAGTTCTCGGAAGTTCGATTACAGCGGCGTTTTGAGACAAACTTGAGCTCAAAATCTAAAGCCGATGGCATCACCAATCAGGCAGTATTCCCTGAGCCTTTCCATTAAGATAGAGATTCGTTCCAGAAGAACCCCGCTTCCAGCTGCTCATTATCGACATGTTTCTTGTTCGTTCTCTATCTGGGGAGGACTTTCTTTGCGACTTTGTTCTTGCCTCCATCCATGGTCATATTCTTTTGATGATGTTCTCCTTGGAACGAACGACCCGTCTTCATGTCTGCCGAAGCCGAATGAGGCAGCGTGAGGCTGCTCGAGGTGGAGGACGAAAGAGATTGGATGCTGTTGGTTGAGCATCGACCAGAATAGTTCTTAGTAGTTGGTTCGGTTTCGTTGACGGCCGTGTGAGAGCCCGTAGATGCGACTGATTCTGTCTCTTCAACAGATGATCCGGTCGCCTCGGAATCGGCATTTTCGTCGTCGGAATCGTCGTCACTTGCCGACTCCGTTCCTTCATCTGAGCTCTCTTCCACGTGTATTGTGGCCCCAGCTCTGGTTTTTCCATTTGTTTCAGCATTGTTGTCCGATTCGTCTTCGTCGTCTTCGTCCGAGGAGGAAGCCTCGTCATCCGACACCATATTGTCAACGACATTGTTGGATCCTTCCGAGTCCGCATCTGCGACACTCTCATCTTCCTCTTGAAAGGCGGACAACTTTCGTTTCTGACCTCGGTTGGTTGCCAACTCCGGTTCCGACTGGTTTTGAGCTTGTCCTACGGAAGACTGTGTATCCAAAGTACTTGGTGGACTTTCGGGCTCGGGCGCGGCTGATCTCTGTACTCGTTCCGACGCAATGAGAAAGTGCTGGTATACATCTTCAAGGAACGCCTCCATCTCTTCCATAGTCACCATACCGTCCTCCGAGCGTGTTCTGATGTCATTGAAACGTGCTTCTTTTCGGGGAGCGGAAACGTAAACCGCGTACATGTGCTTGTAAACGCAGAGTGACCTCTCAAACATGGTCTGTATTGCGTCGCGGTCTTGCTCTGCGATTTCCTGAAGCCCTTCGGCGGTTGCGGTCAGGCAGTCGGCTCGATCGTTGAGAAAGTCGATCTGTTCTTGGAGCTCTTTGGCCTGTTCCCGCAGACCTGAAGCCTGCAGGATAAGTTCGTCTACTTGTTCGAAGGCTTGCTGCGGAGTGGTAGATAGAATCATACGCGTCATAAACCGTGGGAGTGCCGGATCCATGGCCGTTGTATGAAGACGAATGTGCTTTGAGATTTCATTTGGAGAGAGTCGAGTCGGATGAATTGAACAGCGCGACGGCCGGGTGATTGATGTGTGTTTGTTGACACAGTGTCAACAAACTGCCGCACCTGCTACCTGTCTCACCTTTCCGGCGGACTGGCCTTGCTCGACACTGTAGGCTGCAGAGCCTATGTGTAAATGCCTATCCGGATCATTTTGTCGGCGTCCAAAGTTCTGGTACTGCTAGATTGTTCTTCTTGTACTCGGCCATTTGAGCTTCAAGCTCTGCCAAATTCCCAGAGAAAGGATCCTTGACCGGCTCTCGTCGGACCTCCCAGACATCTTCACTGCTGGGTCCAGTCTTCCATTTTACAGCTTTCTTCCGATAATGCTCCTGTATGGCTCTCTCACGATCCTCCTTTTTCCAGTTCCGTGTCTTCATGCAAAGCCAAAAGTCATCCCAGTGGTTTGAGCACGACCGAAAGGAACCATAGCGATAGACGTTGACAAATTGGCCTCCAAAGCTCTGGCAGAACATGGCATAATCGAAGGCAGATCTGCAAGATATCTCGGCAGGGTAGAGTGAGTCGGGAGAGATGTCTGTTTGACCGATTGCTTGCTGCGACGGTGCTGCAGGTGGCTTGGATTTGGTTCTCTGAGCTTGTTCCACATCTGCTTGTGCCTGAAGCTCCTTCAGGAACTCCATCAATTCCTGCTCACTCTGCTCATCCCGGGTCAGGGTGCGCTTGACGGGTTCAGGAACGGGAACAGCAGAGACAGTGGTGGGCTCGTCCTGGGTACGGGGAGTGGACTCAGCATCTCCTCTGCCACCATCACTGCTCGAGGCAGGCTTCTGCTTCCACCACCAGCTCATCCTGGCTCGATTGGCTCTCGTTGGAAAGATGAACAACGCGGGTAGATCAGTCGTGTCGGAGGAGCAAAAATAATTGCTAGTCCAAGCCACGAATTGACCAGTAGCCACAGATCAGCCACAAATTTACTTTTCCGACGTCATTGCCCCATCCGCAACGATGATGCTGGCTTGATCAAGCTGCGCCCATGGTAATAGGAGCCGATTAAAGATACTTTGACGAGGAGATCTTGCGCATTGATAAGGAAAAGGGGATTATGTTTCGAGCTATGCTATATGTCCATGGCAAGATGAGGAGATAGACCACAAAGTTCTCTGAACGATGCTTGGGCCATCGGCAGCATGATTCCCTTGAGGATTGCACGAAGCTGTTGCGGGAGACCTACAGGTCTCCTAACGAACCACTGGAGGCAAAAGCAGGCTTCCACTTTCAAGATTCCTTCTTCGACGACTAGACTCTCCGTGGTGCCCTCAGGAAAGAGGTGGACTTCTACTGAAGCTGGCGATAATGAGTCAGGCCACATTCTGACCCAGAAAAATGAAGGGATCTTGTTTTTCGACAGTGAGCGCCACCTATCGATATCTCTCTCTACGCAATCTACTAACCTCAAGGCAGATGTCTTTCCCTTGAAACTTCAATGGCTCAATCGCATCCCCTACTTAAACCCTGACAAGTTGCTGGCGACATCCCTCAGCAAGGTGAACCAACCCAATCTTGCGCTGGCCGACACCTCCAGTATCATCAAGCGAGCACTTCCTGAAAACCTACCCCTCCATGTCAAAACCATTTTACCGAGACTGCGCGAAGGCGGAGCTTTTGTCAAGTTCTCCCACGAAGAAGGAATCACTGCCACAGAGCTGGAAAGCACGCTGAAACAATATCTGGAGGAAAAGCCCATTACACCATGGTTCAATCCTTTTCGGAGGGTTCGGGCCTTCTTGGTGCAAGGGAAGCCGTGGATCGAAGATCTGTATCGCGTCCCTACTCCCAGGATCAAGGTTGAATTCTTGCCCACTGCTCCTGAGAACTCTGCGGCCGAATTGACCCAAGAGACGCTTTATTCGTTGTTCCGCCGGTATGGAAAGCTCACAGAGATCCTATCGCAACCATCCGACTCAAAGGTCGTCCCGAGATACGCCTATGTCGACTACACGCGGGTTAGATTCGCAACCATGGCCAAGAATTGTATGCATGGTTACGTCGTCCCGGCCGCAGATGGCGGAGGAAAGACTGGGACGCTCCTCAAATTGAGTTATGAGTCCAAACGCAAAACCTACTGGATATGGGACTGGATGACGAACCACCCCAGGATTGTTATCCCCTTGATAGTAGCTCTATTAACAGCAGCTTCCGTCGCCGTGTTCGACCCCATCCGAACTTTCTTCATCAGGATGCACATCACGCACGGCCTTCACCTGGAAGACAATCGAATCTTCAAGTGGGTCAGAAGCCAGCTTCTGCGAGGCTACGACATCATCAGATTCCGGAAACAGAATCGTGACGAGGACAGCCTGAGGATTGTCTGGGAGGATCGCCAAGATGCCATCAACCAGTTGAAAACGTGGTTGATCGAGACTGCAGACACATTCATAGTGGTGCAAGGACCGCGCGGCGCTGGAAAGAAGGAACTGGTCGTCGACCAAGCCTTGAAAGATCGACCCCACAAACTCGTGATTGATTGCAAGAAGATTCAGGAAGCTCGCGGAGACAGCAACACCATTGCTGCGGCGGCGGCCGAAGTAGGCTATCGTCCAGTGTTTTCGTGGATGAACAGCATCAGCAGCATGGTCGATCTTGCGGCAACAGCCACCATTGGCACGAAGGCAGGGTTCTCCGAGACATTGGACAACCAATTGGCCAAGATTTGGGGCAACACAACGACTGCATTGAAGCAGATTGCATTAGCGCCGCGCAAAAAGGATGACAAAGACGCGCAAATGGCGGATGACGAGTGGCTGGAAGCTCATCCAGAGTATCGGCCAGTGGTGGTGATTGACAACTTCTTGCACAAAAACAATGAGGGTTCCGCGAGTATGGTCTATGACAAACTGGGAGAATGGGCTGCTGTTCTGACGACGCAGAACATTGCCCATGTCATTTTCCTGACTACAGACGTGTCCTTCTCCAAGTCACTCAGCAAAGCATTGCCCGACCGAGTTTTCCGGCAAATTACATTGAGTGACTGTACTCCCGAAGTGGCAAAGAAGCTTGTAATCAAGCACCTTGACGCTGACATCGCAGAAGACGGTGCATCGGCCGAGGGGAAGATTAGTCCGTCCCAAATGAGAAGTGATCTTGACGAGCTGGACGGAGTGATCCAGGTGCTTGGAGGTCGACTGACCGACCTCGAGTTCCTGGCGCGGAGGATCAAGACAGGCGAATCCCCCGGAAGTACGTGACTGACCTCCGTTCCATTTTCGATGATTACTGACAGGTGGAAAACAGAAGCAGTACGCCAGATCATTGAGCAGTCCGCATCGGAGATCCTCAAAATGTATCTTCTTGACGTCGATGTTTCGAGCCGCAAATGGACGCCTCAGCAAGCATGGCTATTGATCAAGGAGCTTGCGGCAAATGAAACACTCCGATACAATGAGTTGCTTCTGAACGATCTGTTCAAAGATGGCGAAACCGTGCTCCAAGCTCTCGAGCAGGCAGAATTGATTACGATCGCATCTAAGAATGGACGGCCCTACAGCATCAAGCCTGGGAAACCGGTGTACCAATCCGCGTTCGAGTATCTGACCGAGGACGACGTGCTCCGAGCGAGGCTGGATTTGGCAATTATGACCCAACTGATCAGCCTGGAGAACAAGAACGTGGAGAAATACGAGGCGGAGTTGAAGACGCTGGGCGAGCTGCCTGGCATGCCCAGCGAGTTGAAGCCCCGGATCAAATGGTGTCTGGGCAAGGCGATGGCCAGCCAGGAGAAGATCATGAAGTACGAGGCACAGAGCGGGAAGTTGAAGAAGGTGCTTGCCGAGCAGTTTTGATTCATTCCAGGCGTCTCTGCCACTACTCCCCTCAATTAGCATTGTTCGATAGCCTTTGTCGAGCGAGTGAAACTTGTATATACTCTATATACCCCGAACTGTGCTTTATCCCTAGCATTTTCGTTCAGGAAAGGGAGCGAGGCCGCTTTAATCGGGCACGTGACGAAGCCATCGAGGAGGCCCGGCCCAGGAGAGCGTCGTCGGAGCCAGTTCGGGCTCAGGAGCCCTCTATCTTGAATCACACTACAGATCATCTCGAAACCTGCGTACCTCGCGGACACTACTCCAAGTCGAAGCCAAGGATATCAGTGGATCACGCTCGCCCGGATCTGCAATCGTAGAACCACCTCAACAATGAATCACCCGTTCGTCTGGTATTGCCAACACCGTATGACTCTTCGCAGAAGTCCGGTATTAAATCAGAATGATTCACGGATCATTCCCACGCGCGTGCTTCTGAGCTTGATTCAGAAAAACCCCGCGCCTTAAGGAAACTCTGTAGGGACGTCGGTCCCCGCCTCCAGAATCATAACACCTCAGGTGATGGCTATGCATGCTCAGCTCCCAAGTCCAAGGTGATCTTCAGGAGGCCACAAAAGCACGCTCGAGTTATTCTACTAATCCTGAGAGAGTACAAGTAGTCACTTTTGCCCGAGAAGTACGAGATGGCGAGGAGCCGATCAGGAGAGGGCAAAACAGAACGAGTCTTCAGTTCAGTAGTGTTGTGAACACAATTCTATAAATGTATGTTGTCCTCCCTGTTAGTTAGAGCTTCTAAATCTCTCCTCAAGTCTACAAACCAGCGAAGGTTTTATACAAATTAGGAGAGACCAGATGAATGAGGGAGCCCTGCCACTATTCAGTACTCCGGAAGCAGCAAGCGGTATGCACGCCCAGCAAGCCAAAACTAAAATGCGTGGGGTTCCAACAGAAGACCAGATCACCAGGCCTACCGTCGTGGAGCTTAAGCCTGAAGATGGATACTGTGGCCTCGCTCAATTCGACTCTGAAGGTGTCAAGCTTATAGCTCAGCTTGAGCAGGTCCAACCCACAGAATACGGCCATGAAGACATTTACTTAGTCCAGTTCAAAGTGGATTTGATGAGTTCTGTTGCGCAGCGGAAGAGGATACAGGCAGCAGATTTCGATATCAAGATCTCACCGCTCCCCGAGCACGGTGAACAAACTCCACAAGAACAAAAGCCAACGACGCCGGATCAGGACCCTCAGATTGTGGTCGTTTCACCCGAAATCCAGCTTTGGAACGTGTCCGAGCGAGAAATCAGTGTCGAGGCGCGGAAGAGCTTGTTACTGTCCGCGAATGCCACCACTTTTGCAGGAGCGAGTATTGGGGCGGAAAACACTGCTCGAGAGCTCACTAAATTTGACGGTGTCGTTACCATCCATGGGGTAATCAAGAACGGTAAAGACACGGCGTGCTGGCGCATTCGAGAAGACTCTGCTTCCAAGAGCGGCGTGCCGCAGAGCCTCAGGCTCGTCGCAGGGGTGAGAGCGAAGGCCGGTTTCCAGATCCAAGTGCTGCGGCTCGAAGCTCATGTCCGGGAGAGAAAACGTTTCTGGAAACTGCGCATCCTGTCAGCGCGGTCCACCGCCATCGTGCAAATTAACCCCTTGGATAAACTTCTCGCGCAAATCCTCCATGCCACCACCGAAAGAGCTAAACAACTGCTCGCAAAGACAACGTCGGTTGCCACTCAAGCCCGCTCTGCCTTGAAGGAGTTGCATGAGAAAGCCGACAGCACAATTAAAGAACTCGAGGCGAACGATCTCGCAAACCATGGGCAACATGTTGAAGGTGCCCTGCGGCTTGTGGAGGATATTGCGAATGCCTGCCAAGGGTGGCGCAACCCACTCAATGATGGGCGGCTCAAGAAAGATGAAGTGGTTTTTGACGCCCTGACAAAGCGAATCATCGAAGCAGAGAGACATCAGGAGAACGAAGAGGCCCAGAGAAATCAAGGGTCTCGAGAGAAGACAAGAGAACAGCTTCAAGACGAGAAAATCAGCGAGCAGTTGGCATCCACCAAGGAGGACTTGCGACGAATCAAACGGCAAGTCCATTTAACTGAGCTCAAAGGCACGTTAGAGAAACTGAACCGAATGATCGCCAACGAGAACACTGAGCAAGCTGAAATCAAATCCGCCATGAGGGACGCGGAAGAACTAGCCTCTAGGCTAGATACTGAGCCCGATATTTCATATCAAAGGACGCGACAACACTACCGACACTTGATCGAAGGTGATGGTGAATCTTCCTCCGAGTCGGGATCCGCCTCTTCTTCCGACTCCGATTCTAGTTCCGACCTAGGTGCTGATTCCGACACTGACTACGACAATGTGAATGCGCATCATCATCTTCATGAGCATTATCGTCGTCGTCGCCATGGCCGGCGAAACTCACCTTTGGTGGTGCCACAGACGAGCACCGTGATCAGCACGAGGAGAAGGATCAAACCGGAGGAGCTAAGGTCATTCTCGGCGGTCGGAGGCTATTCTATCAAGGTGTTGTAATTTTGCATATGATGGTCATGTTTGTTCGGAAATTGAGTACACGAATCTCAATGAGTCTTGAATACGTAAAGTCGTTGCCAGGAAATCCGCCTGCGGTTTTGACTCCAGTCTCACACAAAGCCCCCTTTGCTTACAACCAGCCTTGTGGTAACTTTGCCAGATAAGCATCTCTGATAGTCCGTTTCGAGCCCTGGCGAAAGGTGGGATCCATACGAGGATGCCCTACGACCTGCTGGATAGGGTCGACTAGACCCCCCCGTTCGACGAGCGACATGAAGGTTTTCAGAGGCGGGGATGAGCTGATATCCGGAAATCTTGGGAAGGGGTTAATGCGTCCCTAGGCAAGATGAGAAGGAGCTCAACTCGGAACCCAAGAGTTGAAGACGTGCCAACAGATACGGCAATCTCGAAAGCCCTTCTGGCTTCCTTTCTCACCAAGGATACCAACGGATACCCTGCGTACATCCGATTCCGTCCCTTTTGACAATGCCCGCTGTACAAGTTCAGAGTCCTCTGGGGTCACCGACATGGATATTTGACCGGAGAAGGCTGTTGTGTTCACGAACCTGAATGTCACGTGTGACCTTGACATGGTTCTCTGCACTGGGCGGTATGATGGCTCCTATTCTGTTTAGGAGGTCGCAATCATAAAAGCATGTTGTAAATTACCGGCATTTTCCCCCGTCTCAGCAGCGGTTGCCAGAATGATTTTTTCCTGCCAATATCTAATAGTAAGTCTGCAGCGCGCTCACCCAATTCGGCGGCAATAAGGACAACATTCCTGTGGTCACCTTTTCAACTAGGGGACGCAGCCCAACCAGATCTAGGTAGGTCAATCAATACTGCTATCATCTGTCAAAGCCTTCATGAAAACACCATGGATAACCACGGCCACGTCAAGCCTCGAAGGGTTTTCCCAAGATGCGACCCGCTCTTTCATCATTTTCTCTACGTTTTATAGCTCTAGTTTCCACTCGCCTCGTCTTGCTCAGAGTAGGAGCCCCGTCTTTAACCTCGATGCTGCGTCCTCAGCATCCATTAGTTGCGAAAAGTCAAGGTAGGGGGACATCTGTTGCAGTGACTCTCGAGTTGAACAGGTATCACAGGGGAGGGCTGCTCCGCTCCTGCGCATCGGGATCCACGGTAAAGACCGCGCCTGCTTCGACCCCTTTTCGGCTTCATGGGCGAAAACAGCGCCCGGCGGGTCGAGGACGTCTGTCAATACAGCCAACGCAGTCTAGATTGATGAAATCAAAAGTGTCACCTCCAGCAAGACTTCTTCTACTTTGAGGGTCAGGTCGTCGCGCCCTCTAGAAATTTCTGTTCCATCTGAATCTGCTGTAACGAGATAGGCCGGATGACCGGGCTTGACAGCATTAGATGGTGAATTGCATCGCCGTGAGACTTGATGGCAGCTTCATCCAGACGTTCATGAACCAAATTGAGTCTGTAACCGTCACACTGATCTATAACGGCTTCCCAAGCCTGGATTAAAGATGATTCCATGGTCAATTGCCATGTCCCTCTCCAGGTGATTGTAGCTTCCTGTCGGCCGTGGAACACCCGATACCTGAAGAGCGCCGCCAACCCCTGTCTTCCGTTCCAAATCTCCATTGTTTCCAGTCGCGGCATCTTGATAGCCGCTGCCGCCGCTGCCTGAAGCATAACTCCAATCTTAGTCGGATCCTCGTCGGGCGTAAGCAGGTTTGAAGTAAGCACGATCGAGCTTAGATTTGACCACTCCCACGAGGGTTCGATCTCAAAGAAATGGCTGGCATCTACGATGAAAGATGCTGCGAGATGCTCAAGTTTGAGGCTGGCGAGTGCAACCATCCGACTAACAGCCGGTGTTGGGTTGCGATGAATGTCACATTCGGTCAAGTCAACCCCGAATTGGAATCGCTGCATGATCGCGGGATACTGTTGATTGAAGTTCTCGAAGACCACCAGTCTCTTGAGATTCTCGTTGAATCGGGGGATAGACTCGAAAAGGTATTGGAAATCTAGATAACGAATGCGGATTATTAGCAATGAAGTACCTATATAAAATGAGAGCGAGCATCACATTGGGCAGGTATGCAACAATACTCACGTCTATCTGTAAACCTCTGGAGCGAATCCCATTCCCTCCAAGGCTCGTAGTGGACTTCCTGGAGTCTGGGGAAACGGGCGAACATATGGGCAAGCGAGTATGGCTTCCATCTCCGGCGGTTCTGTTGCCGGAGGAGTAAACTGGTCACGGCCGGGACCGATGGAAGCTGATCCCACCATTGGAGCTCCAACTGCTCGCTATCAAACGGTCCCCCCTCCATGATGGAATTAAAAACTTTGTAGATAGCATAGCGAGGCGGCGCGGACTGTCGAAAACCAGCGACCCAGCCGTGTTGAGGATCATTGTAGGCTTTGTTTGAGATCGGTGGCTCTATACCACCACCACCACCACCACCCAGCATATTTGAAGCGATATCGGGCATAAAGGTCAGATACGGGAACCAATGTTTGGAGTCACTAGGCGAGTGGATACTAATATCGAGGACCAAGTCGCCGTGAGGGTCCCATGTGCTTAGAATCGAGAACAGATTCTGGAATGCCGTGGTGATGGGACAGCCATCTGCATCGTAGATACCGAATGCCTCTTCCATCTCCTCGTCTGTGAGCATTCCATGGACAGGCGCACAGGTGCTGCACCCATAGTCATCGAGTTCCAAGCAGAACCAGACGTGGTGGACGAGAGCTCGATTGCGATGAATCATCGAACCAAAATCGACGAGGCGTGATGGCGTCACTTTGATTCGTGCGAAATTATGTCTCTCGAGCTCTGCCTGCCATTCTCGAGACACGGTGGCCAAGCGACTCAGTGTGCAACCGTCTTGTACCAGAGTTTGTAGAATTTGGGTCCGGACTTCTTGAGGCAAGCTAACCCATCTTGAAGCCATTGCTTCTTGTCCAGGGATATTAAAAATATTAGCTGATAAACCGAGACTGGTGAAATTTCGGTCATGGAGCGATGATCCTAGGAGTATGGGCCGGAAAATATCAGAGGGGAGCAGCGTGGGCGATTGTTGCAAAAAAGGAATGAAATTCAGTGTGCGAAGGTTGAGGGAGTGGTTCCCGTTGTGAAGATGGGACGAGATTTTATAGCAGAAACCCGACCCTCTCGATCTAGGTTCTTCGTCTTCTTGCTTGCGTCCCAACCTGGTTCAAGGTCCTCGACGAGACTTCTGGATATCTCTCTCTTGCTTTGTATGGTACCCTTATAATGATTGGTCGCACCAGTATTTGACGTTCTTGGATGTGTTTCGAAGTGGGGCTCGGTTCTAAGCTAATGCCTCAGGCTTCCACTTTTCCACTTGTAAAGTCGTGGCCGGGAAACCCGCCCTTGGGTTAGGCGGTCTAGCCGTTTCGAGTATAGTCGTAGGCTAGGCGGGCCGCCGCTTTTGACGGCTATAAGAACCTTGTCTCCTATCCCATCTCTCTCCCACTCTCTTCTAACTTATTTTTTTTCCCTTCTCTTACTTTCCATCGACCCTAACGCACCCTATCGTACTTCACTTCGACACCGCCTGAATTCTCCCCCTTACCGCATTAGGCCCCCTATCGTCAATTCTTCTCCTGGCTTCTCTAAAATTAGCCTCGTTACCCGGATTCTTCCCCTACCGTATTAGGCTCCCCTCGATTCTCCTTTCCGGCTTCTTCAAAACCTACCTCGCCTCTTCAAGTGCGCCTCGATTAGCCTCTTAACCCTCGATCTTCGCGGCTCCTTCTACACTTTCCGAGGAGGATCTGTTTTGGCCTCTTATACGCCTAATCCCTCGATAGTAAATTTAAGGTCGCTAGCCGTACGTCGTATAGGCTAGGCTAACTCCACCCGTTATCCACACCTCAACTAGGGTCCTAAGGATATAGATTTCGGTATCGGTAAATCTCCGTATATCACCTTACTGTAATGGGAAAGGTTTGGAGAGGACCTGAGGTGCAAGGCGGACGAGCAAGGTGATTGGTCGACTTTTGGCTATACATTGTACAGGCAAACGTTGCCACTCTCTGATTGGCCAGTTCGAGGGTACCACTCTAGCTTGGTGGTCTTTTCTTTTGTCATTCGCCTGAGCAGATAGATGTTACGAACCGACCATATGGGAGGCCAAGGAGGAAAGACAAGGAGGAAGGTCGACCGAGGAGAACGTGTCAGACGCCAATGTCTTGGCAAACATATTGGCATGACCAAGCGGGGCAACAGAGCAACATGCCCAAATAGGCTCAGAAACATGTTGACATGTTTGACATGTTCAACAGAGCAACATGTCAAACATATATCCCGAGTGGTATATAGCCGCACTCAGCTACATAGTTCTCCTCGTAGTCAATAACAGTTACACAGAATCGAGTTCCTCACGATCATCTGCTATACGTATAGGTCTGCGTACTATACACTTGGTTTCCTGTCTCAGTGACATCGCCCCTCCCTACTATATCACCAAGCGAACCACCTCGGGTTTGCCTGTGGACACCTCACGTGTCAGATAGCAGCTCGTAACAATAGACAGACAATAACACAATCAATCAACTGCTTTACAAGATGTGAACGCGCCTGTTACCTACCGCCGTACGAGTTGGCGCCTATGGCTAGAAGCCTCGCCCCAGTTCATTACGAAGGTGAATCTAAGTGATAGGCTCCCTTCTAGCGCTCATTATAGACCTATAAAGACTCTATGTGAGGGTTTAGAAAGAGTTCTGTAACTAGCTAGCTAACCTAGTAATAAGGAGGATAAATCTAAGGAGGGAAAGAAAGAAGGAAGAATACTCTCTCTCTCTCTCTTTATATCGTACGCTCTACTATAAGTAGGCTCTGACATAGGTCGGGTCGGCCCGGCGGGTCATGGGTCGGGTCGGGTTTTTGGGTCGGGTCGGGTTATAGGATTATCCGGCCCGACCCGCTAAGAAACGGGTCGGCTCTAAGGCTAACCTGACCCGACCTAACCTAAAACCCGCTAAGACTTTATTTATATACTATAAATAGTAATATATAATAGATAAGTCTACTATTGTAATGGGAAAG